GTCGTTTTCTTGCCGCCAGGACAGAATAACAATCTTGTGTGGAGTAAGATTTTGCAACCAATCTCAATCACGATTTTTAAAATTTTTTATGGTTAGTCTAAGCCCGCCTGACTCGTGGAGCAGTGACTGAGAATTCCTCTCCATCTAGCTTAAGAAATGATACACTAAATTAGTCTTTTAAATTTAATGTTAAATGAAGAATATTAAAAGTGCTGATGGAAGGACTTCATTCAAGTTTATGTTTACGTTATAATTTGCCTGATTATATTTAAGGTTATTAAAAGAATTTTACGTTTTAAATTTCTTATGCTGATGAGGAATTAATTGAAAGTGCATTTGTTGAAAAAAGTCCACATTTTAGATTGGAAAACCATATTATGTTTTATTTTTTATAGTTTGAATTATCAAGTGAAAAAAATTATGGTTATGCGGACGACAAGACGACGAGGGACGGTATTGAAACGAAACTTCTTTCGGATTTGTAAGTTAGCCTAAAATTTTTTCAACGGACATCGTTTTCGGGTGAATCAAGTGGGCCTGTATTGTACATCTATAGTTCCATGGCCCAAGTAGGCCCTTCGAAAAAAATACATTTATTAGCAAAAGCCCGTGAGATTTGGCCCATGTCATAGTTGGCCAACAAACTGTTTATTACGTCACCTAATACATGGTGAAGGCCTGTTTAGAAATTTTGATCTGGGCCACATAGAACCCGAAAAAAACGTTTCTGCGACCATACCAGCTTCATGAGAATTGCTCCCTTTCTTCAAACAAATGTTGAACTTTTGAAAAAAAAAATAACTGTCAGTCAAACATGTTTTGTGTAGAAGAATTGCAATGGTTGATTTCAAGAATGTTGGTCTGAGTTGAGTTCTTAAATGGCCAATTTTTTTTTTTTTCCAAAAAAAAAAAAAAAGAAGAAGAAGCAGAAGATTAAATTTTAAAGCATCCACAAAGACTCCATGGTAATGTAATTATCAACTGCTTTCCAAAAGGAGAAAACACATGCAAATTTTATTTTCTTGAGTGCCTCTCTTCTTATGTTTGACAACTATCAATCATCATATGATTATTCTTTTTTCTTTCCTCCATAAATCAAAATTATTAAAATGTGAAAACCCCATTAGAAACTTTTTTTATTTGTTTAATTAAGGATTTTCTCGTTAAAAATTTAAATAAGCAGATTTTATAGTATTCGAAAATGGGACTTTGCTGATCATTTGTGATATGAGATTGAATTTTCCCTCGTTTTAGGAATTTGCTTGAGTATGAAATTTAATTTCATTATTCAAGATTATGTTCCCTTGGAAGGTTTTTATACCATTATTACCATTAACTACTTCCTAGTTTAATTGAAGGATGATAATTTTGGGTAAAACGCAAGATACTGAGGTTAGTGGTGGCCTACGCAGATAGTATTTGGAGAGTTTTGTTTTTGTACATCTGTTTGTCGTTACAAGAACACTAATGTGATGGTAAGAAAATTGCTTGTGGTTTCGTTGAAACGTCATTAATTACCCAGTGTGGGCTGTCGGATTCTCAAATGAGCGTGCCTTTTCCCGCATAGCTCCGCTGGCTCAATCGACTCTGAGTAGGTGCTCAGCAGTCTATATTAGATATTCTTCAGAAACATCCATTCAGTCTCGTTAATTATTCTTGGTTTTGGAAAGAGACATAGATGCGCACGTTTGTATTGATTTTTTCCAATAGGCGTAAAACGACGAATATTGGGCTTAATTTAACCCACGTCAATTGTATTAGAGATGGGAGCAATTAAGGTTGGAATTCCCGTGCTCCTATGTTAGAAAGAGGTTGTACTTGGAAAAGAGCATCAAAATCTACGTATATACATTATTAATGACATTAATTTTCTATCATGAACAAAGTTTTGGCAACATATAACTTTGCCTGATCTACACAATCTTTGTTCCGCCTACATTGGCAATGTTGGATTCCAGCATTGTAGCCAATTTTTCAAGTTCTGCAGACTGCTCAACCTGCATTGTGTTGCAAGTGGTGTTTCAAGATTCCCAGTTTCCGCTTGAAGGTTCTTTGCTTTCTTGTGAAAGAAAGACTGCTCAAGCGGCTTCTGCTCTACCATTTTTCTTTAACTTTACCATTAAACAATTTGATGATTGAGCTACTTATGCTTGGATTGCTGACGTAATGTAAACCTTGTTAAGTTTAGCTTGCGAAGCTTCGGCCGCATAGTTTTGTTTTAGATTCAGTGCAGGAAATATAATAAGCTTAGACCTTTCTATTCTTCCTTTAATTTGAGTAGTGGACCTTGAAAAGCAACCAGAGTCAGTAATAATAGTTCTTCAAATTAAAAATAAAAGAAAAAAAACATGAAACATATACCTCAAGTGATAAGTCAATGGCTTGGTAATTTGTCGTGTCCAGCATATTTTTCTTGCCAGAATCTGAAGCACTGACAGTAATGCCGCGAAAGTGGGAAGGTTTCAGACGGAAAATCTAAAGCGATTTTCTATTAGATAGGAATCCAATGCAAGCAAAGCCAACCTTATTCAAACCGACGTGACTTATCCAAACCTTGAAAGCAAATAGGCTTTGCAGAGCCGTTAAAACCAAAATCACATCGTACATCGCGTATAAATTTCCATTGGAGAAGGTCGAATTAGCAGATGATCCAAAGTTACGTTGATCAAGCTGTGAAAGAACCTATTAATCTGGCTCTAACTTGATTTTGTAGCATTTTCTAATTTGTTTCAAGGCTTGAGCATAGACTCGAAGAATATCAAAATAAGCGCCTTGCAAGAAAAGACAAGTACTTGATGCGAGAATGGAAGCATACTTTATTTACAGCTTCTACCCATTTGGCGCTTCTGATCAAGTCCAATTACTAAAAGAAAGGTCTTGATTTCAGTAAAAGGATGAGAAACCTTTAAAAATGATAACATGGGTTTAATTTAAGCGATATCATCATTCCCTGATCACTTTGTCGAGGAAAGTTTGGAAATTCAAGAACAAAAGGATCTGTGAAACCTTGAAACCAACAAGTGGGTAGATAGCAGTCGTTTCTTGTACTAGAAATGCTGCTTGTATCAGAGGAAAGCTGGGAACTAAAATTCTCTGAGCAAAATCTAAATGGACTTGCAGTAGACATAGCAAGCTTTTCGACAATGGAGTTCAATAATTTCTCAAGTAGAATTGACGAATTTGTTGCAGGAAATATTTCTTGGCATTGTTTGAAAGCTACAAGGAGGTCACCAAGTCCAGTAATTAATCTCTTCAAGAGAATTTTCTATTTGGTCTATTAAGTTGAGTGTTGCTGAGCTACTACTATTATTTCCCATTTCCATGAAATAAGCAGCAGAATTTAGTAGAACTATATTAGAGGGAGTTATCTCAATTTTGCCATTGTTGTAGCAAAACCTTGCAACTAGCTCAAAACCATCTGCACCTCCTGGAAAGTCTTGGAATATCACTTTCATGTGACCTGTGTTGTCATTATCAGCCAATTTCCAAAATTATAATCCTCCTTTTATAGGCAGCTCATTGAATGAGTCGTGTATAACTCATTCACATCTTTATACTTTATCAAAGAAGATTGCAATGAGTCGTGTATAACTCATTCACATCTTTATACTTTATCAAAGAAGATTGCCAACTTTTCTTTCTTTTTCAAATAACACGTTTTTCTCTTCTTTTTCGTTTTTCTCTTGCTTTTCTTTTTTTTTTTCTTTATCATGCACACGTTTTTCTCTTCTTTTTTTTTTTTTTCTTTATCTGCAGCCTTGTTTGACCTTTATAAAAAAACGTGGTATATTTCCTTTTTTTTCTTTCTTCAAACTTGTGTGGGTCACACATGTTGGAGGGATCCCACAGTTAGAACCCACGCGGCGGGGAAAATATATGGTATGTACTTATTTGGATTCGGGTCCATCAATATTCAAATATTAGTATTAAATAATTAGCTAGTTAATTTTTCACTTTTATATCTATTTTGTGGATTTGCTATTTAGTCGATTTGAATTTCTGACAAGGTCAACCTCAATTTAAAATACATCAAAATTTTACTTCTATTATTTAAATCCGTCTCAAATTCTATTACAATTACTCATTTTAACATTTTTAACATTAAAAGTATTATTTTTTTATTTTTTGAAAATAAAAACAAGAAAAATCATAAATAAAATATTACTTCAATATCCATTTTTTATTACTCGAATATGTTAAAATTGGGTGGGATTAGATACCGATGACTTGGGTAAAATTACTATCTTTAGGAAGATAGGATGAGTTTTTTTCGCATGTTTTTAATTTTTTATTTTAATATATCATAGTAAATTTATCTATAAAAAATAAATTATAAATTACAAATATAAGTTTTTACGCATGATTGGTGGAGAGAAGGTGTGTCGAGCATGGGAGTGGAAATGAGAATAACAAACGTGGTCAAGACCAAAACAAGTACTTGTCGGTTTCAAAAACAATTGCCATGACTATCAGCAGTTGCTTGAGATACATATAATAACGTGCATATGTCTAACCAAAACAAACATAATCTTGTGCAATCAATTTAACTCTTTTGTCGTTTCAAGAAATGTTAAAGTGTTTGTTTCCTTTCAGTCTACGGTCTGAAATATTTTTGAGCACTGATCACTCATTTTATAATGCTATATGTATTTCAATATTTTTTAGAATGTTGCGTAATTGTGTCGTGTTTTCTAGCTATGGAGAAGATGAAGACGAACATGAAGAGAGGAATGCTTGTGTTTTATTACTTGTTAAAAATTTGTACTATATCGATGGGACAACAATTATTTGGAACCTTAAAGACAAAATTTAAAATTAAACTCGAATCTAAAGCTAGAGTAAAACATGATTATGTCAGCGTATTCTAGAAACTATAATATAAAATTATAAAATATAAAATATGGATGTTGAATGTCAACAAAACAGAGAGATATTGAATTAATTTTTCAAAATAGAGATCTTAATTTAAAATATTTTACAAATTAAAGATATTAAACTTAGAGATCTTAATTTAAAATATTTTACAAATTAAAGATATTAAACTGTAATTCACCCTTACTGAAACTTCTTTATTTTCCTATCCTCTTTACATTGCTATTATAACGAGGAATTATCAAATACATGATTATTTTCAGAATTACTGTTTTACAGTACAATTAAGAGAAATTGTCCGGCAGGATAGACTTGACATGGCTTTCAAGAAGTGGAAGGTTTTGGCAATCGTCATAACCGTACATTAATGGAACCATTCTTGCAAGATTAAGACAAGCTTTGTTGAAAGTCGATGAAAATGGAGTTGGCGAGAGGCATTCTTGGTTGAGCTGTTTCCATGCATTTGAAATCATGTCGTTTACCTTCTTTCTTACACTTTCTACCGAACATCCTTTATATTCCTTCATGTAACATTCCACGTACGATCCATCATGCCCATCCTGATCCTCATCCTGCATATATACTTTCCCATTACTATTACTTTGTACATCTTAAAATAATATTTCAGTTTGATTTTGGCACGAAAATATAGTACCTTGGCACTTCCCAAGTCATCCCAGAGACGAAGAATTGCAGCGGTAGAAGATATTATGGGTGGATGATTGTCAATGAGTTCCACATTTTCCTTGGTAACACCATGACCCAGTAGAAAGAAAATGTAAGAAGAAAATGTGCATCCAGAACCCACGTGAAAACACCATGACCCAGTAGAAAGAAAATGTGCACCAGAACCACGTGAACGCCTGAACTAATAATTCCATTCTTCAAGTATTCTTCGGCGTTTGGCAACTGTCCAGAACCAAACCATTTTGCTTCTACTAGAAATGCATTGCACAAACTGGCCCACTGCGAGAATCGTAAAGGACCTCTGATTATAATCAATCTTGTGGAAATTTAAAATTTAGTTTCTGTATACATAAGAGTTTCTTGTTTTCCTGTACCGTTTTTCGCAGAGAGTCTACAGGATTCCAGCCGAGCTGTTTATAGACCTTGTGACTAATTTCATCAGTGATATTGTCAAGAGCCATGAAGCAGATCCTCATGTAGTCTGGCAGTTGTTCAGCGGCTGCAATGTCCCATCTATGCATGTAGATAATTAGTTAATTAGTTTAATTAACTGTTATTACTTAAATTGCTTGATAAAATCTGTTTCATATTTGATATTCCAGGGACTTTACAATTTATATACCTGTTAATAACATCTGTAAATAATATAAGTTCATCTAGAGTCCCATAAACGTCGAAGATGTCATCTATTAAAAAAATAAAAGAGATGGGTTTTGTGAGGTCTACTCTCTGCTCTGATAAGCTTGGATCTGCAAGGGTCTCCATGGAGCACATATACCATTTTAGTGGCTGGTTTCTTGCGAACTTTAGTTCTTTAGACAAACCCACTTCTTTCCACCACCTAAATAGTCCCACCAAAGGAAAAATATCAACATTAATTATTACGTGGTTAAGGCTTTTACAAGGACAAAATACCCACAAGCATTTATGATAATAATGGAACCTTGATATTTTAAGAATTTCTTGCTGGTGTTGAGACTGGACCATCTTCATATCAATCTTCGCTAGTTCCTGTAGTTCATTCATCCACCCATTTGGCCTCTGAAAATCTCTAATGAAGCTTTTGGCCATGAACCTGCTCAAGCTTTTGTGATGTGGGTATTGGAGTGTATTCTTTACTATTCTGGCTTGAGTATCGTCAAGATGTGTCGTGGATGAATTTAGAAGCCTGTGACTATAGTCTGCAGCTTCATCGAGTATATCTTCTATGAATTTAGAAGCCTGTGACTATAGTCTGCAGCTTCATCGAGTATATCTTCTCCTACTATGCTCAGCTGCGAAGCCTCATATAAACCCATTAGTCCTTTGATGTCATCTGTCAGCTCCTTCTTGAATTTTCCCTCGTCTTTAAAGTTGTTAAATACTCCTGTAAAGAAATCATGCATGTTGTGAATTTTGGTGTAATTTTTATAGCCAAGAAACAGAAATTTAGAGAAAGGAAATCAATTAATTACCTGGGAGGACATGGTAACCCTCTTGTCTCAAGAGTCGAAAGCGAAGGGCAGTCTCATGAAGATCATAGTCATTAGTGGTAGGTATCAAATATTGTCTTTTCAAAATTGCATCAATTTCCTCCTGGAAATTATATTCAATGCCAAGGCGTTGGATAGCATCAATCATGACTAAACCCTCAACGGCATCTTCACAACTCGTTTTGGCTAGAGTTTGCTTAAATGCCCTCAACCTTTCCCCATGATGCTTAACGCAAATATCATCCTGCGAAAGTACTTTAGAGTTGGAGAAGTGTTGATCAGGTAGATTGGTTAAGTGATTTAAGGAAGTAGAAGCCAAAGTGTTTTCCTGGATAATGCTCCATTTTTCAGGAGCAAGGGCAGAGTTGAAATCTACTTGGTTTAACTTAACAATTTTTGGAGTCAATGCCATCGTGACTTGTGAGAGATTAATTCTATCAAATGTTTCTGCAAACAGAACTAACGCTGATGAGCTTAATTTATAACAAAATTTCTTGCCTAAATCCTGGGGCAAAATCCTGGGGCAGGTGGTTTTGTTTTTTTTTTTTTTTTTAAATTTATACGTGTATGGTTATTTTAAATTTATACGTGTATGGTTAGAAATGCTCTTGTTATCTTACTTAATTCACGTGTTTTTTTCTTTTTTTTTTTTTCTTAAATTTGAGAAGCACGTGTTACTCATTGCAGAATTAATGTTGACTTTTATATCGTTTAAAAGTCTTTTCTTGCTCCAGACAGAAACATCTTGTGTGAGTAATATTTTTGCAACAATCTCAATCACGACTTCTAAAATTTTTTATGTATCTAAGCCGCCTGTCTCGTGAGCAGTGACTGAGGGAATTCCTCTCCATCTCACTAAGAATACAACTAAATATCTTTTAATTTATGTTGATGAAAATATTAAAGTGCTGATGGAGGAATTCATTCGAGTTTATGTTTATTTATACATTTGCCTGATTATATTTAAGGGTATAAAAGAATTTTCGTTTTAAATTTCTTATCTTATGAGGAATTAATTGAAGTCATTTGTTGAAAAGTCACATTTTAATTGAAAACCATATTTATGTTTTATTTTTTATATTTTAATTTTTCCAAGTGAAAAAATATGGTTTGCGACGACAAGACGACAGGGACGGTATGAAACGAACTTCTTTCCAGTTGTAAGTAGCTAAAATTTTTTCAACGACATCGTTTTCAAACGACATCGTTTTTGGGTGATCAAGTTGGGCTGTATTGTTACATCTTATAGTTTCCATGGCCCAAGTAGGCCCTAAAATACATTTATAGCAAAGCCCGTGCAGATTTGGCCCATTTTGTCATATGGGCCAACAACTTTTATTACTGTCAAAACCCAAATACATGGTGAAGGCCTTTTAGAAATTTTGATCCTGGGGCACATAAACCGAAAGAAAACGTTCTCGACTCTACCACTCAATAATGCTCCCTTCTTCCAACAAAAAATTTGAGGACTTTGAAAAAAAAAAAAAAAATCACTGCGTCATCAAACATGTTTTTGTTTAGAAAATTTGGCAATGGGATTTCAAGAATGTTGGTCTACATTGAGTTTTAAATTGGCCAAATTTTTTTTTTTTTTTTTTCAAAAAAAAAAAAAAAAGAAGAGAAGGATATTTTTAAAGCTCAATAAAAACTCCATGGTAATTAATTATCACTCTTTTCCCAAAAGGAAAAAAAAAAAAAAAAAAGAAGAGAAGATAATTTAAAGCTCAATAAACTCCATGGTAATTAATTATCACTCTTTCCAAAAGGACAAAGACACATGCATATTTATTTCTTGGGTGCCTCTCTTCTATGTTTGACTACTGATCAATCATCATATGATTATTTCTTTTCTTTCTCCATAAATCAAAATTATAAAATGTGAAAACCTACTTTTTTTTATTTTTTAATTAAGGATTTCTCTTAAAAAATTTAAATAAGCAACTTTGTATATTCAAAAATGACTTTCTGATACGTTTTTGTGAGTACGAAATTAATTTCGTTTCAGGAATTTGTGAATATAAAATTAATTTTATTTCAAAATTATGTTTCCTTGGGAAGGTTTCTATACCATTATACCATTACTTTACTTCCTAGTTTAATTGAAAATGAGGTAACTTGTTCGTAAACGAAGGATACTGAAGGTATGGTGGCTGTACCAGAGTAGTATGGGAGAGTTTTGTTTTTGTATATCTGTTTGTCGTTTACAAGAACACTAATGTATGGTAAGAAAATGCTTTGGTTTCTGAAACCTCATTAATTACAGTTTGGGCTTCGGATTTCTCAAATGAGCGTGCCTTTTCCCGCATAGCTCGCTGGCTCAATCGGCTCTGAGTAGGCTCAGCAGTCTGTATAGATATTCTTCAGAAACATCCATTTATCTCTTAATTATTCTTGGTTTTGGGAAAGGAAGACATAGATGCGCACTTTGTGTTGATTTTTTCCAATAGGTAAAACGACAATATTGTGCTTAATTAACCACTCTAATTTGTATTAGAAGATGGACAATTAAGGTTGGAATTCCCGTCTCTTATGTTAGAAGAGGTTGTACTTGGAAAAACAGCAAAATCTACGTATATACATAATTAATATATTAATTTTCTATCATGAACATAGTTTTGGCAACGATCTAACTTTACCTGATTTACACAATCTTTGTTCCGCTACATTTGGCATGTGGGATTCCATCATTGGACAAACTTTTTCAAGTTCTGCAACTCTCAACTGCATTTGTTGCAAGTGTGTTTCAAGATTCCCAGTTTCCCTTGAATGTTCTTGCTTTATTGTGAAAGAAAGGACTTGCTCAGCTTCTTCTCTACCATTTTTCTTTAACTTACCATTAAACAATTTGATGATTGAGCTACTATGCTTGGATTGCTGCGTAATGTAAACCTTGTAAGTTTGAGCTTGCGAAGCTTCGGCCGATAGTTTTGTTTGATTCAGTGCAGAATATAACTTAACCTTGTCTTCTTCCTTTAATTGAGTATGGACCTGAAAAGCACCAGAGTCAGTAATAATATTTCTCAAATTAAAAATAAAAGAAAAAACATGAACTTATACCTCAATGTATAAGTCAATGGCTTGGTATTGTCTGTCACTAGTTTTTCTTGCAGAATCTGGAAGCACTGACAGTAATGCCGCGAATGTGGAAGGTTTCAGACGAAAATCTAAAGCTATTTCTATTAGATAGGAATCAATCAAGCAAGCAACCTTATTCAACCGACTTGGACTTATCCAACCTTGAAGCAAATAGGCTTCTGCAAGCCTTAAAACCAAATTCACATCGTACATGGTATAAATTTTCCTATTGGGAGGTCGAATTAGCAGATGATCCAAAGTTACTTGATCAAGCTGTGAACCTATTAATCTCTCTAACTTGACTTTGTAGCATTTTCTTATTGTTTTCAAGCTTGAGATGACTCGAAGAATATCAAATAAGCCCTTGCAAGAAAGACAATTCTTATCGAGTAATGAAAGCATACTTATTACAGCTTCTACCATTTGGCGCTTCTCATCAAGTCCAATACTAAGAAGTCTTGATTTCATGTAAAAGATGAGAAACTTAAAAATGATAACATGGTTTAATTTAAGGGATATCATCATCCTGATCACTTTGTCGAGAAAGTTGAAATTCAAGAACAAAAGATCTTGAAACCAACAAGTGGGTAGATAGCAGTCGTTTCTTGTACTAGAAATGCTGCTTGCATCAGAGGAAAGCTGGGAACTAAAATTCTCTGAGCAAAATCTAAATGGACTTGCAGTAGACATAGCAAGCTTTCCGACAATGGAGTTCAATAATTTCTCAAGTAGAATTGACGAATTTGTTGCAGGAAATATTTCTTGGCATTGTTTGAAAGCTACAAGGAGGTCAGACCAAGTCCAGTAATTAATCTCTTCAAGAGATTTTTCCGTTTGGTCTATTAAGTTGAGTGTTGCTGAGCTACTACTATTATTTCCCATTTCCATGAAATAAGCAGTAGAATTTAGTAGAACTATATTAGAGGGAGTTATCTCAATTTTGCCATTGTTGTAGCAAAACCTTGCAACTAGCTCAAAACCATCTGCACCTCCTGGAAAGTCTTGGAATATCACTTTCATGTGTGCTGTGTTGTCATTATCAGCCAATTTCCCAAATAATTTTCTCAATTTTCCTGAGAAATGTGCAAGAACTTTCTGCAAAAAAGCACAGGACAAACTTCAATAAACAAAATACTCGGTTGTTCATATATACAATAAATGCTCTAAATGCATCATACAAAATTATAGAATTCAAAACGAGAATTTTTATTGTAAGAAGTTGCTATCAACAATAAATTCTTTGAGAGGTGCTGTTACCTGTTTTAGAGGGAGAAGAACCAATAGATCATAAATGGGGCACAGAAGAGCATTGATTGAGCTTAAAAATAAGTACAAAGCGACATAAGGTGCAGATTCAAAGAGAGGCGGAGTCGGTATTTATTGCGCATGACATGATAAGAACTTTCTATAAATAGTGTAGGGCAAGAATTTATGGCAAGTGTATTGAAAGAAGAAAAATGTGCATGAACACAAACATGAGAAGCAGGGAACATAGAAATGAAATGAGTAGGGTAAGCAGAGTGTTAGTACCTTATCCATCACGAAAATCTCATCGCCATTGACATCTACTTCAAGCTGACATCCAATTTCCATTTTCAAGCAAGAAGTATCAAAACCCACCTCAAAATCAGAAGTTCATGTAACTGGAAATATCTTTTTGCCAGAAAGAGACGAACTTTTTCAGTTTGAACCAAAAAGGGTAATTACTAAGATATGAAGAGAGAGTGAAAAGGCAGAAAGTGGTAGCATTTATCAATCTGCTGTTGCTTGGTCAATGTGCTCATTGAGGAGAGGCAGTTCTCTTTAAGTAACGAGAGAAAGGAGGGCATAAGAAGCAAAAAAAAAAAAAAAAAAAAAAAAAAAAAAAAAAAAAAAAAAAAAAAAAAAAAAAAAAAAAAAAAAAAAAAAAAAAAAAAAAAAAAAAAAAAAAAAAAAAAAAAAAAAAAAAAAAAAAAAAAAAAAAAAATACCTCTTAAAAAATAGTAAAAAAAAAATTAATTTAATACGTAAGACATTAGAATTTTATTTTATTTATCGTAGTAAGAATTTTTAAATATTTTTAATGCAATTGACATAATAATTTTTATCAGGATTTCGATGACTTATTTTCCTTTGAAAATAAATGAATTCAATGCAATCACAATCAAAAAACAGTTTAAAGCCTAATCCTTCCCAATGTAGAGTATACTTCAAATTGATAGAGAAGCACTTCTCCTCAGGGACTTTTTTTTTTCTCTAAATGTGGAAGAATGCTAGCAGTTACTTCTAATTAAATTGTACTATATTTTCTATTTTATGAAAATAAACTTATTGAAGTAGGCCAATCCATTCATCATGGGCAGACCCAGATGCCAATAATTCGAAATCCTTGGAAAAAAAAAAAAAAAAGAACGAGAGTAGTAGAGTTGATTAGATTGGTATACAGAAAAACGAAAAACGTAAGTTAGACCCTTGCTGTTCAAAAATGAAAAGAAATGATACTACTACTAGGCTAGCTGCGAAGGACAGGACAAATTTCTTCTGATGCACAAAAATATTTGCAAGTGCCATTGTGAATGTGAATAGGTGGGATACCCCAAGTACTAGAAGCTCTAAACCCCATAATTTCTTTGATTCTTCTGACTTTTCTGAACTTTTCTGATTGTCATTTTTTTTTTTTACGCATGTGATAGTTTTGCTTGACCTAATGAAGCTTTGCTTCGCCTTTTCCGTCACTTATGCCGCCAATTATTGTTGCGGAGGCTTGACTCGAACAAGCACCTCTTTGATGAAATAGAGTACTACTGGATCTCACTCTGGAGGACCAGAGAAGCTCATCACTGCACTACATGAAATATGAATAGTCGAGTTCTAAAGAATCAAGTTCACATCAATATATTGTCTTATTATTTTGCTTTGACAGTAAGAACAGCCAAACCCTATTCTTTAGCTAAAGCCTGAAGAGTCGTTGGAATCTATAACAGTTCACTCCAACTATCTCTATGCAATTAATCCAAGCTAACCATTCAAGCTTGAGAGTTTCTTTTTTCTTTCTTTCAATAAAAAGAAAACACAAATCATTAACATAAATTCAGTAAAATCACGAAAAGCCTAAATTTTCAATTATAAATAAGCAACACATACCACTTTCTCTTTCTAAAAAAATGAAGGGTACAGTAATCAAGAGACAAATAAGAAATAGAAGAAAAGAACAGAAAATGACATTGGGTCATGACGCGCAAAGGGCAGCGCCATCAGAAGCTGAAGGATCACAACAATTCAAAAGGCCATCAATTTTGCTCAGAGATGTAAGTATATAGCGCACACTCATTTGGTTTGATCAGTGAGATGTGCGTAAGCTACAACTTGCACCTATCTAATGATGCTGAAATACGAAAGACTTCTTCTCACCAGACACCCAACAGGCCATAACGCCTCAAAATTTAGTAGCCATTTATCTGAGGCCTCGGTGTTGGACCCATCAGCCGCGAAAAAGGCATCTGGGTCTTGCCAGGGAAGCTCCTTTGACCAGAATACTGATCAGCTGTTTTTGGATCTGAGAAGGATTTAGAGAATGCTTGTGCCAGCTCCAAGGCTGAAGCTGTTTTTCCATACCGCAAACTAGCAGAATCAGGGGAGGCTGGTTTTGGTTGCTCGACGGGTTTGCGCCAGCTTTCTGGCGAAGGAGGCCTCTCCTGAGGCATTTGTGGCAGCTGCTGCTGCTGCTGCTGCTGCCTCTCAGTCTCCCTACTGTTTCTCCAGTTCTCATTTCGCCAATTCCTCCTCTGCTTATCAACTCTCTCAACATCCACCCACTGCTCCTTCTTCTCAAATTTCTTTCCAGCCTTTTGATCCAGTGGCAAATTGTCAGTCTTTTCACCAGCAACTGCATGCTCAGGAACTCTCTCGGTCTTGGAAACATTTTGCTTGATCCTTCATGTATCACAGCAATGACATACAAATAGATGAAATTTATTCTTTTAGCGTTAGCATCATCAACAATAATGTAATAAAATGACAAAGACAAAATAAATACCTATCCGGATGATGACCCAAGTCATGGTTGCTTAAAGCAGCATCATCAATTCCTCGCTCCTTCAGAACCTGAAAGTGTATAACCGACATTAATAAACAAGTAAAGATAACATGAAAAATAGCGTTATCAACAACAGATAGCATTAGCAACAATAGATTCTTGCACCCCCCCCCCCCATTAGCAACAAAATAAGATTCTTTGCACCCCCCCCCCCCCTCTCTCTCTCTCTTTTCTCTCTAATCCAAAACATTAAAAAAAAGAAAACCCCATTTCCATTTTCCATGCAGGGCCCCCCCCCCCCTCTCTCTCTCTCTTTTCTCTCTATCAAAACATTAAAAAAAGAAAACCCCATTTCCATTTTCCATGCAGGGAAAGGGATTGAGGTCTGTTCTGATAACAAATTCTATGTGAAAGATTAACTAAGGGACCACATCTTTATTATAAGTCAGAAAAATCAATCCCAGACTTTTTCCTCCTTTATTCCCAAAATAGATATTAAAAAAATCCACTTACAACTTCTCGTGGTCGTGCACCACCAAACAATGCATCCCTGCATCAATGCAAGATGATGAGCAATTGCACATTCATAACAGGTACAGGTATATTATACAACAGAGTAAGACCAAAAAAAAAAAATCATATGCCATTAATGAGAAGCCCACGAGAATAAATAGCATAGAGGATAACCTTAGCCAAAATGAATTTTATCCAGCTTGATCATTTTAAGGCATTTTCTAAGCTTGGATCAGGTTTGAGTCAACCTAAATAGAAGCTATCTCAGTTCGACTTAATACTGGCATCTCAACTTGCATCATCAGTAAAGTGTTTCATATCCACAGTTCATATTGAGCTTTCAAATAGAAACTACACAAATTAATTAGCATTTTAACCAGATACAATCATGCATAAACTATAACGTCAAGCATTTTACAAAAGATCATATTTAATAAATTCTATGTCACTTATCATTTGACTGCATTCACTTCTTACTAAGATAAAAAATTCAAATTTTCAAAATGAAATTCTAACCTTCCCATTTCTCTATTCCCTTCTGATTGTTCAAGAGGTTGTGACCGCGGCTTCAAATTCAATTTTGGCCGCTCTATCACCTGATTATCACTCTCCAAACCAGCTGTACCAGACTTTGCTGCATTGGTATTATTTCCCCGCAATTCTCTAGTTTCAATGTGAACATTAGCAGAGTTATTCAGCTCTTTGTATCCCTACATTCAATCAACTGATACAATTAAGTGCAATTATGCTAAAGTGGGCCTAAAAAAATAAACAATATAGGACATTCATAAGGTTAACCTGCTTATGATCAATAATAGAAGGTTCTGGAGTTTCCATTGGCTTTGTTCTTGGCAGCAACTTCACCTTAGGTCGTTCTAATGCTTCAGATGGCACAGACGGTAGCAATTCGGGCCCACAAATTCTGACATCAGTACGTGGTGGTTGAACCCTGTCATCATGCACTGGTAGGTTCCTCTCTTTTAACTCTGCATATGAAGCAGCCCTCGTTGATTCATGATCAATGTATTCCTTTCTACCATTTTGGATCCCATCCTCAATTTTCAAGCCCCTTTCCACATGCCTTGCCAATGTTGCATCAGAATATTCTCTCCCACCCACTGCATCCATCCTATTGTAAGCATAACCATCATGACCTCCAGAACTTGTTATCTTTTCTGCTTCGAAATCTTCAATAACCTCAACATCTGTTTGATAGTGACTAGAATGCTTTGTCTGCCATCTACCTGAAGACACCTTTTCAAGGGCACTTGCATGAGCTAACTTTGAAACAGCACTGACGCCTGACCATGCCGATTGTACTGGCTCATTAACACCCACTGCCATCTCCTTCCGGGCTGCCCATACATTTGGGTGTGACGCCCCAACGCTATGCCCAATATTACCCCCAACATTTTGCATACTCGGCCCCATATGAGCCCCATCACTAACCGTCCCTGAGTATGAACTTGCAACCTGTGTTACTGAGACTGAACCAGACACCCTCCCACTCAACACAGGCTCAGGCTTCAGCTCCACTCTGCTAGGTGGGACTCGAAAGCTCTCATCACTGACTGTCCGGCGTGGGCCTGAAACACCATCTAAAGGCTTGCGTTCATCCTCATCAAAGTGACGGCCAATATGAGTTGTATGACTGAGAAATGGAGTTTTATCATCTAAATGCCTAATAGCAGGGGACGAATTAGGCCGGGCCCGGTGATCAGGTCGAGAAATAGGCCCTCCCCATGAATTTGATCGGTCGTAACCAGACCACTCCGACGATCTAACAACCCTACACAAAATCAATGAAAATTAACTTAGGGTTGGCAACTTACAGATCTAATGTTCAAAGTTGATGATAACTTAACGAAGCAAACTGACCATGAAAACTTGTTTAAAAAATAACTAGATACCAGATCTGTGATTGCTTCCAACATCAAAAAATTGAAAAATCGAATAAAATTAACACGATTTGAAGTGAAAAAGGCAATAGATTTGATAAAGATAAGAATTGGGATTGATAAAGATAAGAATTGGGACTTACACACCAGGAGCAGAAGGAAGAGGAAGATCAGATGGGATAGAACCACCATGAAAGTCCTTGAGAGTCATAGTGTTGCCACTGAAAGCTTTCTTCTTCGACATTTTCTCTCCTTCAATCAAGATCCCTCCCCCTCTCTCCCTCTATGGAAATAAGTATATCCGTCTATGCAGAGATTCAAATTCGCTTACGTTATATCTGTATACCTTTTGTTGGTGTGTGAGAGAGAGTGGTAAGAAAGGGAAAGGAACCCCCCGAATCCTGACGAGTAATTGCGATATTTTGAGAGAGCGGAGGACTCACTGGAGGAACGAAACTCAGGCTTTGAGGGTTGCCCTCTTATTCGCGGACCATCTGGCGTCTGCTTTCCCTACCACCGATTCTCTTATTGGGCTTTTTTGATTTGGGTTCCGTTTCTGTTCCCGTTCCTGTATCTCTGTGTGTACGGTTCGATTGGTTCCAATGAGTTGGTCCCACGTTATTTCGAGAGCATTCGGTCTCTCTTTTTATTCTTCAAAATTATACGGAAACTAATTATTTTTTTCATTATTTTTAATAGTATCTAATCCATAAAATAAAATAAATATACAATTGAGTAGGAAAATACTTCAAAATTCAAGTGATTCCAACTTTTTTTCTCTTCTTATTATTATTATTATCAATTACTATTAATTAAAATTTTAACTAAATACATATAGTATAATTGTTAAATACAAATCACTTAATGCCCTCTCAAATTTTTTTTTTTTTTTTTATTTTAACTAAATACAATAGTATAAATTGTTAAATACAAATCCACTTAATGCCCTCTCAAAATTTTTTTTTTTTTTTTTTTTGAGAATGAAAAATGCTCTCTCAATTTTTAATACAAATTTTTTTTTTTTTTTTTGAGAATGAAATGCTCTCTCAATTTTTAATAATCCATTTATAAGTAAATTTTATTTCAAATTTATTTATTTTTAATAATCCATTTGTAAGTAAATTTTATTCCAAATTTTTTTATAAGTCAAATAATTTTTTGTGTTCATTTAATTCAAACAGAGTGTTTGAGAGTTATCTTCGGAATCGTGGGACTGGACATGCCCAAATTCCGTTACACTAGGCTTAAAAATACAAATAAAGGTCAATGTCGGCCTTATATAATGTCCAAAACATACAAATAACTTTCATTTGGGCCAAAGGCATGGGCCTTGGTTCAAAGTCCACTAAAACAATCCACATTTTTTAGTTATTGCACGTTCAATATTCCTACTGCAATGCAATTAATTTATACATTTTAAATTGATTAACTTTAAAGTATACTCTCTCTTCAAAAAGAAAAAAAAAAGTACTTTAAAATATAATCTCAATCCAGTTCGAGAGGATCGACAAGAAGGGATAAGATCTGCTTCTTAATTTCCCGGTCTTGAATACCAAATCCGTCTCCGTACTGGTAAAGATTATGAGCCACACGAGCCATATTTGTAATGATGTTCAAGTGATTACAATTAGGTAATAAACCAAAGCATTGTCCATTTATTTTCTTCCATGAATTGTTTATCAAGCTCTTAACATAATTCTTGGCTGCCTCCTCTGAGACATTCTTTTCTCGCATGTAACATACTATTGATGAAGCAGCATCTCCTCTCTCTTGTTCTGCCTGTTTAAGTTATAATTACATGTATACATATAGTTATATCCGGTGAAATAAAACTATTAATTATAGAGTTTAAGAAGGAGAAGTAATTGATTATTACCACTGAGGTCCCCAAATCGTTGCAGAGCCTGATTATCAGGGAAATGTTATACACCAGATCTTGATTTATCCCCATAAAATCTTGCATGTCCTCATCATTGACTAGAGAGAAATATGAAGTAACACAAAGGACAGTGCCTGATGATGAAATCCAAGCATTATCCAGATATTCTTGCAAAGTTGGTGTGTATCCTTTGTGATACCATTTTGCTTCCACTAACAATGCTTCACAAAAATCTGCCCACTAACATATATTCAACTGGTAATAACTAATTAGCCCCACCATTAATATCTAATCATAGCTTTTCAGCGCAGCATTTTCATTTTGATTTTGATTTTTTTACCACTTGTGATAGAGAAAAAGTGAAAAATGAAATGATAGAGAGGAGGAGAAGAGATTCGTTAGTAGTTAGTACCACTTTCTTGCTTGCAGTTTCACCAGTTATACTGTTAAGTGCTTGAAAGCATATTTGCATACATTCTGGCAGCTGTTCAATTTCCTTTGTATCCCTCCTAATATTAATGTAATTAATTAGTTAATTAAGAAGCTTAATTTTTACTGATAATAATTCAATTTTCATTGCTAAGTACTGACCTACTAATAGCATCGGTGAAATGTTGCAATTCTTCCAATGAACCATAAACGTCATAAACATCATCTATAATTAATACCATAATGATAGCTTTAGTAAGCCATTTTCTGAGACAACTGAACTGAGGTTCAAAAGCAACCCCCACTGAGCACAAGAAGCTCTCAACTAAACGATCTCTTGTAAAGTTGAGATTCTCTATTAGACCCAAACTCGACCACCACCTGTAAAGAAGTTGCAGAAGACAGATGCATGTTAACTCTTGATGGTTCCATTAATTTCTCTCCCTCTATATATATATATATACAAATTATCTTTTGACGTTGAGAGAGAGATATATTTATACCTGGATATCTCCTTTAGATCTTTCTGTAGTGTGGCTTGGACAATATTAAAATTAAGTTTTGCTAAATCAAGTAACGTGTTTTTTGTGTCTTTGTCTTTCTCATATGTGTTTATTTGCCATTCCACATCAAACCATTGCACTCTCCAATGGTATGGGAGATCCAAAGAGTGAGCCGCATGCTTTGACAAGTTGCTATCATCTCTGGACTTGATGTCTTTAAGAATTCTGATAGAGAAAGCCTTTGCTTCATCTAAGATATTTTCACCTTGTAAAGCTACATGGGAGGCTTCGAAAAGCTCCAGGACTCCTTTAACGTCCAAGCATTTACTTTCCATGAAACTGCCCATCTCGTCCAAAAATTCACTGAACATTTCTGCGTTTAGAAGTTCGTTAATTTACCGTTAGTACGTATAAATCATAAAAATAATTGTTTTGGGTAAAATTCAGTTGGAACTTTTAGGTGCTAATCAATAATATCTTGTATATTTAACAAAAAGAGATTATATATACTTTGGATTTTCACCTTGTGAAACTTCGTAACCATGCTGTCTGAGAAGCGTAAAAGATAAGGCAGTGACGTAAAGGTTCTTGTCGATATTGAGACTGCTGTTCTTTGTGGATGATGCTATTGTATCTAGAGCTTCCTTGATCTCAACTTCGAAATGGCTTGCCAGACCAAGCTTTCTGATCCAGTCAACAAGCTCTAATTTAGCTTCCAAGTTTACTGCTTCAAAAAACAGATGCTTAACATCCTCTTTCAGCCTCTCCATTTTTGTTTTGTATTGGTCTTCCTGCAAAAATATTACATTCTCAAGCCTTAATGAAGTACTGGAATAGAATATATATGTATATATATATATATGCATACGAATCCTTCAACTAGGAAGTCGGGTGGAGGAGGAGTAGAATCTCACATCATATGCACTAAAAAGAGATTGCAGAAAATCATATTTCCAAATGTTAGGCTTGTAATTAGCAGACCGCCTTTCTTGCACAATGTTAAAGGCTTCAGATTTAGTCATGAGATTGTAATAATTGTTGCCCAACTTCCATAATGATTGAGAAGAGTATGATAAGGGAAACAAAATGGCTAAGTACTACAGGTTTAGCTTCTAATGGACTTCTGCAATTTTTGCAAGGGAATTTATAGGCAACTAGCTAAATAACTACGTACGCGTATTTCCCATGTCTGGGTCCGGACAGCCTATGAATGAAATAAATCATTAAGAAAATACAGACTCAAATTAATCAACATTGCACACCAAAATTTATAATATTAAATTTATTACTAAAATATTGACAGTGAAATATTGCTTATTGAATTTAAATATATAAACAAATTGCAATTCAATTTCTCATATTTTATTTTATGTCTCTTATACATTTATATGCATACAAATATAAAAATGGAATTTTAAAATTGCATTAATTTAGAGTGGTGTGCTGTGAAAATTAATAAATGAAAATATATAATAATTTTTTGATTTGATCACTAAATTTAAATATGAACAGATAAAATATAATGATATGGCAAATTACATAGTAGGAAACTAAAAAAAAAAAAATCATATGAAACCATGCATTTAAAATCTAGATTTTAGATAATATTAAATAAGTATGATCATGAAAATTTTAAATTTTGTATTTCAACTCAGAAAAAAAATTAAAAATAAAATAAAATAAAGTACTTAAGTATGTATTAAAAACGAGAAAATAACACAAGAGTATAAGTTAAAAAAAAAACTAATAATAACGAGAAGAAAACTAACAATACATAAGTATTGGATAAGGTTATAAAATGATGAAAGCACAATAAGCAAGCAAAAACAAACAAAAAAAGTAAATGATCCTCTGATGCCCTATGACCTCGATAATTGGTAATGTAATATTTAATTTCAATTTATAACCTTATTTTCAGTGGATTGTATTATTCTTTGATAGACTTTCAAATTGTAATTACTGCAAATAGTGCGGAGTGTATAAAAAAATTCATTGTATATAATATCGAATAGAAAAAAAATGGTAATTGGGAAACAGAATTGAAAACAATTGCAATGTTCTTAAGAAGTAATAATAATGGAAGTATGAGTCAGGCATTTCCTATCTCTCTATCACCTATTAAGAGTCTAATTAATGCTCTATCTACTAAGTTAGTGGCCTCAGCCACTAGGTACGTGCCATGGATCATGACTTCAATTTCTACCTCAGCTACCTTAGTGTATACTCCACTACATGATATAATTAAGTTTTGACTTCGACATCTAAAAAATTCTTTTAGCTATCGATAATTCTATTTTTATCACTATTTGTCAAGTGAAAAAAATATGTATAATTGAAATATTAATTTCATAATATAATGATCTATTAAAATAAATATCGGTAATTCATTTGAATTTTTTTTTTTAAATAAATATTGGTAAATGTATATATTTTCCTCTTTAATGAAAATTTTAATTTAATACTTAAAGTTACTAATTAAAGTCGTCGAGGACATGCTATATATATATAGGCCTCATACTGGGAAAAATGACTACATATAGGCCTCCATTAGGCATTATTCTTGAAGATTTTATTACATAACACCACATATGAAAAATGCCATCACAACTCTTCACTTCAGCATCCCTTGGGCCTTCAGGTACTCCAAAGTTTGATCATAAATCTCTTCAATTCCATACTTGAAACTGAACCCTTCACCGATGAGCTTCTGCGATGACAGAATCAACTTGGGCTTCAAAGGGAAATCTCCAAAACTGAAATTGTTTATTCAAAAAGAATTAGGATTTATATATATCAGTTATTCCTGTAATTAGAAAATGAACCTGAAACTTACTCAGTAGGGACCTTATACTGAGGATATCTTTCAATCAGAAACTTGGCAAGTTCAGGAACACTGGTATTAACACAGCAACATATGTATCGACCAGAAGCTGATTGTTTCTCAGCTAAAAAAACATGAGCACGACAAACATCCTCCACATGCGTTATTGAGATAGAGCCTGATAACATTTGCATGCCTTTCAATCCATTTATCAGGAACTCATTTCCTGCAAATTTATTGTTAATTTTATATATATAAGTCCATCAATTCCAGAATTGGTTGTATATATTTTAGTTCTCTGGTTGAATCAAAACCTGTTATCAACGACGTCGCTAGATTTATGCTGCTTGGAATGTCTGATGTGAGAGAAGGACCAGCCATAAGACTAGGGATGACTGTAATGAGATCGATCTTATTTTCTTCAGCAAATTTCCAAGCTGCCTTCTCAGCTAAGGTTTTGGAAAGAGGGTAACCCTGCATATAATAATGTATGGAGCGGGAAATTCTTTTACTAAAACTTGAAGTGAAATGGAGGCAGTATTTCTTAATCATTCACCGATTGTTAATCATTCGGATCAAATAAGCTATTTATTCAAGATCAAGAAATGTGATAAGTGAAGAAATTACCCATGTGGGTGGTTTCTCAGAAGTCAAGAAATCAACATCTGTCCAGTCTTTCTCATCCATGACCAGACCTGTCCCATTCAGCTTATTGATTGACACAGCTGCAGCTGAGGACGTCAAAATGACCCTTTTGACTGTTTTAGCTTTTACACAGGCTTTCAGAACATTATGTACTCCTTGGATTGCTGGCTTTATCATGTCATTCTATTTGTTTGTTTATGTCCCCAATCCAAATATAGAAAATAAAAGGAAAAAATAGGAAGAAAATCAGCATTATCTATTATTCTGATTATGTGTAGTTCAGTATCTAAGATATTTGTACCTCAGGATCTTGAGAAGCAAAATTAACAGGGGTCGCAACATGGAAGACAAGGTCACAACCTGTTATGGGAGCGTTGAAGCTTTCTTCATTTGTCAAATCAGCTCCAAATATTCTTAATTCTCCTAATTCTTTTAGTGCCATGAGGTGAGCTATCTTCTTCTCATTTCCTATGTATATTATGAAAATAAAAGTCGAATGATGATGCCATAAATGTAAATCTGGAAAATGTTCCAAGTTCCAACAACGAAGGGAACAAGAACTGAAGAACTAAAGGAAGTAAAGACAGAGAAATTAAAGATGATGACCAAAGACCGAACCTGGGTCCCTAACTGTTGTATTGACTGCGTAGCCCTTCTCGAGCAACAGCTTCACTAGCAAAGAAGCCACAAACCCAGTACCACCGATCACACAAGCAGTCTTTTTAGGGTTTAATTGGGTCGTCATAGCTGCTTCAAATTCAATCCTGTATGATCGTTTAGTTTTTTTTCTGAGTAATCAAAAGAGAGTCGCCGTGAAAATAGTAGGCGTTGGTGTGGTTCTTGAATTTTGACTTCAATGTTGTGCTTTTTATACGGGACGTTTCAGTTTCGGCACTAATTCAACTAATTCACACTAATAGAATATAAGGTGAGCACGTGAACTTGTGCTCTACCGAGAATTCAAACTATTTGAAAAATACACTTCAATACCTATATTATATCCTAATTCATACTTCCGTCTCTTTATTTTTAAAAAATTACAAATTACTCCGATAACTGTTACTTTGAACTCAGGTGACTATATGGCCTAATGACATTGGTTGGAAAAATCCTATTCTAAATCTAGTCTAATGGAGTGGAGTCTTGTCCCTACAAATATTATTGTTGATGCATTGTGTAACGACGTTGTTGAATGAATTCTCATTTTTCTTTGAAAAAAAATAATAAAAAAATAAAAAAGGTAGTGGTAGATTGTCACGCGGTCCAGGGAGGTAGATGGACGTATATAGAAAATGGCCAAAGTGAGCATTATTTTTCCCATTTTTTCCTTTAGTTATGTTTCTTTCTGATATATAGCAACTAGAAACTGTAGATAATTACTGTTCTGTGCCCAAAAACGAGCAGTGGTGTCCTTCGCCACTGGTCCTTTATGTCTTTTTAACTCTCACAATTTCAGAATACTAGTGTAGGTCTCTCCTAATTAAAATTACTATTTGTTCTCTGATTCTCTCTAGTTTTAGGTCGGGCTTTCAAATGGGTCAAACTTTTGTCCTCTCGTGCGGCCCAATTTAGCCTAACTGGGCCTCCTTTTTTATTTTAATCTAATTTTTAATATTTTCAATTTTATTCTAATTTGTAAACTTATTTTCAATTTTACATCGGTCAAAATTTATTTAGAATTGAAAGAAAGGCAAAGATAATTAAAACATTGAGTTGACCGTCAAATTTATATTAGACTATCAATTTGATCTCTAAATTTCAATTAAAACCAATTGAATTTTTTAATGTTGTAAATCTTATAAATACAATTCACAAATATATCTAATACTGAGTTTTTGGCAATCACTTTCTAATTAATAATAAAATATTATTTTTCTTTAAAATATTTCTAAATTAGGGTAAAATATAAAAAAGCAAAATTAAATAGTGTTTTATTAATTTGTCGACCGGGCCAATGGACCGAACTGAACATTTCGGGCCAACTGATCATTTGGTGCCTAAGCCCACACATGTCCATGCAAACATTTTCTTGCATTGAAAAAGCCGAATAAACAGGCTTAAGTTTATCATTTGAAAAAGCCAGATTTATGTGCAACAAAATGGAAGAGACGAGACACGTCACCAGAGGACATCTTGCTTGCACCAGAACTAAAATTCTTCTTACCTCCTGAAATATTCTCTGCTTCAAAAATGGAGGGCTATGGCCATCTTAATTTGTGCATCAATGTCATTTATTTATGACCATGTGGGTGAGCAAGTGTACAAGTAGAGAGACAGGCCCAGTTATAAATATACAAGACAAAAAGTAAAGAAACAAGTATAAATGTTGCAGAACAGAGGAAATTGGAAAATTTTAAAAATAAAAAAATTGAGTACTTAATATTAATTTTCATGGTTAGCAAATTACTACAAAACAAGGAAGGAGAGCTTTGGGATTTAGTAAATAAAGCTCCTCAATACTACAATTTTGATGACCATAGTTTCCGGCCAATGAATCAAAACCCGATTGACCTGCAATTTCTTGAAAATTTTCAAGAGGTTTATGAACTCTTCCAGCAATAACTCTGCATACCAACAAAGCCTTTCTTGAGGAACTTTTTTCTTCACTAAATTCAATACATTCCAAAGCTTTTCCACTTGTAGAAGCTGTATAAACACCAATTCCATCTTTAAGGTCTTTCTTTAAGAACCCATTTCTCAGAATTTGGCAAACATCGCAGTTCTCCATTGTACAAAGACAAGAAGAACCATTTAAGCCAAGAGAACAAGCAATAGTTGTGCCATGGAATCTGAGGAGCTCATTTCCATCTGCTAAACAACGTGGGTGTCTTGTAGGAAGTTTACTAGCTTTGATTTTGACAATTTCTCTATGTTCTTCAAATTGAGCAATTCTACTCTGCATGTTATGGACTTTTAGGATTTTTTCTATGCGGATACAATTAGCCTCAGATTTTAGCCAGCTAGCTCTGCAGATAATTTCAACTATCTTCCTAGATGAGTCACCTTCTACCAGTTCAGTAACTGCAGAAGGAGAGTGACATGTGAGTTTCTCTCTGACCAATAGAGACTGTAAAAAAATTCCAATAAACGAAAATGCTACTTAAACTACAATTTAAAGAAAGAAAATACAAGAAATCATTATTATATGGGTATATTAAACTAAGGGAAACGACAACCACCTGCAACTATCATAAAAATGGCAGTGACAATTCACAGAACAGAAATCTCAGGTACAATTTATGGTTGAAATTTGGATTCAAATAGCCATGAAGAAGACTAAAGACAAATTTGTCTAATTCCAAGAATTTAAAAAAGTATTGAAAAGACAACAAAACATAATGACTGTCTAATTAATTATTTTCTCAAAGATCGTAGATTTTATTCTCATGAACAAGAATATTAAAACAAATAATTGAATGTGAAAATATGAAAACAGAATTGGATTTTGGCATTTTTGTTACCGGCATGTTTGGAGAGATGATGTTCTTCAACAGCATCCAAAGTCTTGAACTCGGCGAAACATTTTTTGCAAATCAGATTTGAAGAAGAATCATAAAACTTTGCATCAAAAGAAATTCTGGAATTGGAAGAGATACTCATGCCAGTACCAAAAACTGGAGAGTCGCCTTGAATCCTCCTTGAAAGATTACTACTTGACTTTCTTGGGTGATGAAGGGTACCCAGTTCATAGCCACCAGGGCCAGGTGTTCCTGGCTTAAGAGTACCCACAAAAGTAGAAGAAACGCCTTTAGCACCACCACCGCTGGCATTGCCGCCAAAACCAGAAATCTTTAGTTCGCAGGTGGAGTCGTTAAGAACTACTTCATGGGTTATAGGGTTAAGAAAGTCACTGCTACCCAAAGATCTCGGGCTGCAACTCGGTGCCTTCTCTGTGTATCTCTTGCTTCCATGAATAACATCTCTTAGATTAGATACGGATCTCGAGCAACCAGACCCGCATGGCTTTTTTGTTTGAATGCTGGATGAATTGCTCCTGACCCTCGGAACATGCACGTCAGATTGCTGTGATTTGCACTGTAATGATCTTTTCAGAGAAAACCAGAATGCAGGCATTATATGTATATATATTCTTGATCCTCTCGTGGCTGCTTTCGATTATTTTCTTAACTACAAAAGTTTCGAGAATGCGTACAGAATTTTTGTATGAAGCACAGATATTGCCAAGCAAAGAAGATTGTCAAGGAAAGACATTTCTCCTGGACATGACATTTCTGTTTTAGTAGTCTATTCACCAATTTCCACAACTTTTCTTTATTGAACCAGCCATGGTAATAGATGCAAGTTAAGGACAAAAGAGCCTATATATGTCTTTGACTTTTTTCGAGTCCATAATATATATATATATATATATATATTTTCGATCCATAAAATATATATATATATATATATTTCTTTTAATATTCGTAGTTATGTTAAGCTTCCGGGTTTGAAGTACGAAGAATCATTTTAATCATGTCTGCAACTCTGTAACAAGAATAATCTTAAAATGAATGTCCATTTTCGTTTTCAACAATAAATTAATTTCGAGCTAATTGTGTTTCCTAAATTAAACCTTTTTTTTTTGTGTGCGGGCAAGAATGCAATATATACTCTTCCCATAGGAAATGAAGTTGATATCTTCTATAAAAATCAATCTAAGTTAGAATATAAATTTAATACTCCATTAATGTCCTTACAGAATATCAAAGTAGCATAACCTAGCGCATACATGAGCTGATGTAGGTTGGAACCTTTCCTCATGCTTAAAGAAAATAAAAAGTCGGATGTCTCAGTCAAATGATTCACACCCATTACTTGTATAATTAACCAAAGGTAATTTGCTTTTCCCTTTTTATCTGAGAATGAGATGCATTATTATTGTCTTGTTTGAAGAAATTAGCTATTTGCCAAAGCGTGACAAACGGACCAAATTAAGACAAAGCTCGTTCCTTTAAGTTTATTACAAGTCACATTCAAAGACCACATCTCCATTATTGTCACGAGTTCCAGAAACACCCTTCTCATCACGTTGAACCATGGATTTATGCACATGCTCATGATTCTTTCAGAATGTGTTATATATATTTAAATATCTATAAATAATATATAAATATATATTTGAATGTGTACTACCCTCCGCTACTGAGACAGTTGCCAACATTGGACAACTAGACTTTTCTATTAATTATATATTTGAAATTGTGTACATACCCTCGCTACTGAGACATTGCAACATTGACAAACTAGACTTTTCTATTAATATTTCTTCTGATAATTGCTAGGTAACATCTTCACTCGCACAAGTCACGTCTAGCAACTAGCATTCTTAGTATAAACAAACAAAATTACAACATGGGCACAGCCTGTTGACTTCCAGCTATGAATATATATCACAACAAATCAAAATTCCAGGAACAGACAATATGAGCTTTATTTAGCACTTCCAAAACAGACAATACAAAATGACAACAGCAGTAATAACCATTGACTTCCGACGAGATATAAGTTGTACAAAGCAACAGTTCAGGACAGAAAATATGATGAAGTGAGGAAAGAAGGGTTGTTTTTACCCAAATTGCGTCCCCGAAGGCATTCTAGACCAATTACTTGAGAATGATCAACAAAGAGGTTCACCTGAGAAAAAAGGATGTTACTTCACTACTATGCATAAATGCACTAGATAACAGTATTATGTTAATGTAAGAGTCCTATGTACTCCTATGTACCTTAGGACCATAGCGTTTAATAAACCACTCAGCTGTTCTAGCACTGGATGCTTCAAACATAGTTTTCTCAATACCTAGTCGTCCGATGACCTTTGCAATTATATCTGTCCTCAGAGAATCAAAATCTTTGCAGACATCATCAGCGTCAATCATTATCATGTCTGCTCCAGCCTCCAGGCACCTCTCAGCCCTTCTAATTAAGAGATCTACATCTTCAATAAATTCTGTAAAAGAGATGAAGCTCCTTATGATAAGCATAAGTTCATTTCTCCTGCTGACATATGTAGCTATTTGAAAGGGTTTTTACCATTAAGCCAGTAAACCACCCATCTATTTGGTAGGATATGTGCTATAACTTTTTCCATACACAACAGAATACTAGAGTTTTTAATAAACAACAAAACGTCGGGTTTATTATTCCACAGCTGGCAAAACATCTGCATCTTTCACGCAGTTGCTTTTAATACTTTTACCATCATTGAAGAACACAAAGCTTGTAATGAGCATCACTGAGTAAATGTGAGAATTAACAGTACTAAATAAAAATTATATTAAATTAAATTAATACACACACACACAAACTATAGTTCAACTTTAGACATTTTAGACTTCATCAGGACATTGCAAACTAAGGACTATCCCTAACTGACAGGGACCCAATGCAGGACAGCAAATGTAAAACCACCACATCCAAGAAACAAAGGTCAGGAACACAGATCAAAAATTGAAAATGCTGAACTTGAAACCTTTAGCACATTTTTGGATGTGGAAAATATTGGCTAAGAATAACTTCATGACAGTTGATAATCTGCAGTGCTTACTATACAAAAACTGATAGCATTGACAAAATAAAAGGAAATGTCTTTCCAAAATCAGTAAGGGGCCAATAATTAAATTACAAAGAAACATATAATGCATATCCCAAGTTTCAAGGAAGCCCATTTGATTTTTAATTAAGCTGGTAGAGAACCAATTTTTCAGAATATATTTAAAGATAAACACCTGTAAACAAAAAGGATTGTGAATTATCCACAGGGAAATTATGCTCATACACACTCCTTAGTTAAGAATGCATCATTATACCGAATTCATCAACCACTCTACCTAGCTCATATTTCCATATTTCAAACATTAGATTATGACAAAGAATAGAAATTTACCACAGCAAATATCACAGCAGCAATAATTCTGCAAATAACTGTATCTTAGAAGATTCCGATGCCTTACCAGAGCTTCGAGGTGTTGGAGGCACATAAGACCCAAATGCTATATCACCACCAATGGGAATGTCAGACTTGTTAACCCTTGTTGCAAATTGAGGCTTTGCTTTCAAACCACCACTCTTAATCAAGCGCACATATCTCAAAAGTGTCTCTTCTGGCACTCCAAGTGACCCCACATTAAGCTCGATTGTATCAAACCCCATACTCTTACATTCCTAACAAGTATCAGGTATCATAATATCAAGACTAAATTACCACACCTATAAAACCTTCTAAACATGCAGTATACAATATCTCTCAAACACCGCACCTCAACATATTCTTTGAAAGCTGATGGACCTTTACGAAGCAAGTGTTCAGCCCAGTCACCAGTACTGACATATACATCATGTTGGTGGGCCACGTCAATCACCTCTTTTATAAAAGACTTTGGCATGAGACTGTGGGAACCTTCGGAGAACTTGAGCCCATCCACAAATTGCCCCATAGACTCGAAAATATCCTGCCAAACATTACAATAGCAAGAACAAACAGCACATAAGATCAGGAAGAATAGTCTTCCGCTAGCCATAAATAGATTCTGATTCAATTACCTCAGCCAGAGAAAGAAACTAATGTCTCATGTACTAATTTGCTGTAAATTTAGCTAGACAACATGATCGTTCTAATAAAAAAAAGTCAGATAAATATAAATTTGTGCATGCAAATCGGAGAACTCCATTAAGGTTCTCCATTTTGAGCAACTGAACATTATTAAAACATATGACGGTTCAATCAACAGGAATTTGCAAATCAGTAATAATACCTAGATAAATTAAATGAATATGAAATTTTAGGAATCACTGAAAAAGATTACATACTTGAAGCATGTTTTGGCTTAAAAGAGTATATTGAGGACCTCGTATCTCTGTGACTCCATATCGGCGAGGCTTCTCCGGTCGATCTTCGTCGTCCTCGAAGGTCTTCCATGGATAATACACTGACATCCTTTTTCCCTTTCCCTTCCTTTTTCTCTGATTCCTTCGGTTTCTTGTCCCGTGCTGTCAAAGACGTAGTGGATCAGTTTGATCTTTTTGTTCCTTGATGAAGATTTTAGGAAGAATTGAGCTGCTTCTAGAAATGCCCGATCATCGCGTTTAATTTTTTTAATTATTATATATAATTATATGCCCCCATCGCACGACACGTGGACGTGCCGTTGGTACATGTCATTCTTTCTTATCTATGATTTACTTTTTCCTTGCTGGAAAATTTAATTCTTGCAAAATTAATTTCGAAAATATTACTAGTCATAGGAAAATCTTTCTTTTCCACACTTAAGAGTTGGATTCCATAATTCATATTAAAAAAAAAAAAAAAAAAATCAAACATGAAATTGAATATATTTTTTTTCTATGTAGCTTATACAGGAATAATTCAAAAAATACGTATGCTTAGTTGTCCATGCACATCACAGTGTTTATCATGCTAGTGATACTCTACTTTCCTTGCATCCCATGAAAGGAATCAGAATTTTGAGAAGGAAAGGAGAAGGTAAAAGAACGAATAAAGGAAATTGCAGACATGAAAGAAAATTTTAACTCTTAATTCACAGCTAATCGCCCTCAATATCCAGTAATAATCTGCGTGCCTCGTTCCGCTTTATTCGTATTCCCCTCTTAATGCATTCATAAAGCTTGATGATTGAAAAGTGAAGTTCCTTATAAGATCTCCTCTGCCTCCTCTTTCTTCTCCACAATTTTCTGTAGAACTGTAACTGTGCTCAATATTGAAAAAACCAAAAAGAATGGCAAAGAACGTAGGTGTTTTAGTTTGCCTTCTGATTATGGCCATGGATATTGCAGCTGGGATACTTGGAATTGAAGCTGAAATAGCCCAGAACAAAGTAAGTTAACAATTAAATTAAACTGAAATAGTAATGTCTGACTGCTGCTACATCTTAATTTGAATTGATGGCATTGAAATGTATTTGATGGATAGGTAAAGCATTTAAGGATGTGGATATTCGAGTGTAGAGACCCAAGCTATCAAGCATTCAAGCTTGGGTTGGCTGCAGCGGTGCTTATGGTCCTTGCTCATGTTATTGCTAACCTCTTTGGCGGGTGCATATGCATGTGGTCCAAGGAAGATTTCTCAAAGGCCTCTGCTAACAAGCAATTAGCTGTCACCTCCCTCATCTTTTCCTGGTATTTTTGCCTTTTGATAAAGATAAGAGAATAACTATCAGAATTTAATTAATGCACGGCTAAATAATATAATTTGACCCAAAATTGAAATCAGTAACTCTTTTCTTTTTTTTTTTTCTGAGAATTTAATTTGGTGTGACAACGCAGGATTATATTGGCAATTGGATTCTCAATGCTGATAATAGGGACGATGGCAAATTCAAGATCAAGGAAATCATGCGGGATATCTCACCATCGAGTGCTATCTATAGGAGGCATCCTTTGTTTCATTCATGGACTTTTCGTAGTAGCCTATTATGTGTCAGCCACTGCTGCAGCCAGAGAAGAAACGCCCCGCCAAGGAGCTGCCCATGCTTAACCAAGCTTCAATTCATTTTCCCTTTTTACCTGTGTCATTCATCTGTAATTTGGGTTGCCACATTAAAGTAATTTGTACTTTAGAGGTGTTTAAAAAGTTAACTCATGTTAACTATTTTAATTCATAAAATATTGTAGTATACAAACTAATTTATGAAGATTGTACTTTGCTATTTTGATTAAGAAAGTATACCAACCAATTTATATAGACGAGCAAAAGAAATGCAAATGTGACTCGAATAGAATTACTCTGTTTCATTTCTAAATTTGATAAAGTACAACATATCAATCCATTTTCAGCACCAAAAAAAAAAAAAAAAAAAAAAAAAGATTACTCTGTTTTCATTTCTAAATTTGATAAAGCAACAGACTATCAACTCCCTTTTCAGCACAAAAAAAAAAAAACAAAAAAAAGAACAGAAGAAAAAAGAAAAAGAATCCTAAAAGCTTAATCCTGATATGAAATGTAAAAGCTAAAAAAAAAAAAAAAAAAAAAAAAAGAAAAAAGAAAAAAGAAAAAAGAATCCTAAAAGCTAATCTGAATATGGAAATGTAAAAGCTAATTCAGAACCTACAATTGCTACACTATAAGACTCTGTTTTCATCAGAATAGAAAAGGCATATAATAAAGATCTTTAGTTGTCATCATCACCAGGACCTTTAGGTCCACTACCAGTTCTCTTAGGTAGCAACATGTTGTGAATATTAGGCAACACACCGCCATTAGCAATAGTTACAGAACCAAGCAGCTTGCTCAGCTCCTCATCATTCCTAATCGCTAATTGAATGTGCCTTGGCACAATTCTATTCTTCTTGTTATCCCTTGCTGCATTCCCAGCCAACTCCAATACCTACGTCCACGAATAAATACAAAAAATCATCTCCCAAATGAACACATCCCTGAAAATTCCGAAACCAAAAATCAAGTAATTTAATTCCAAACGCAAGGTTTGGGATATACCTCAGCTGCGAGATACTCGAGCACAGCGGCAAGATACACAGGTGCTCCAGCACCAACACGCTCAGCGTATTTGCCATGTTTCAGGAACCGAGCAATGCGACCGACAGGAAATTGCAGACCGGCCTTACTGCTCCTCGACGCACTTTTTTTGGCCGTCGCAGAACCCAAAGATTTACCTCTTCCTGCCATCTTTTTTCTACCAAAAGAGAGAATCAGAGAATTGATTGGATTTCCTAGAGAATTCGAGTTTCGGCTGCGCTGAACAGTTAATTTGTTTGATGCGAGACGGCGAGGAGAGGACCTTATATAAGGAAATAAAATTTTTTTCTTTCTTTAACATTAATCGAGAGCCAATCAGTAGGAGTCACGCGGATCGTGATCTTTGGCCGTTGGATTATCTCACCGTGGATGGTTGGATTATATTTCTTGTCCTTTGACTGTTTTCGAAAGGCGGGAACTTCATTTTTTTTTTTTTTACTGCAGATAAAATGACGAAACTGTCCATGATCATTGATCCGTTATCCTGGATCAAATTTAGGCCCACGATATTAGAGTTAACCCACATTTATCAAGCGTTGCGTTTCCCTGTCGAAACAAAGGTGGGTAAATCTCTTGCGTAATCTAAACAAACAACACATACCGGTAAATACAAATTTTTAGACTCAGTAATTAATTGTTTTATTTATCTAAATGACACTAAAAAGACAATTTAATTGTTGGATAAAAGAAAACATATATATCTAAATGAATTAGATTTTTGTTCCCTTAAAAAGAATTTTTATATAATTATATAAAAATTATGGGTAATTGTAAATTAGCGCATTATTATCCTTATCAGATTAGGGATTTGAAATCAAGGTTTTATGCCAGTAGTGATATTCTTTAATTGGATCGCAGCTTTCTTTGCAAGCATGTCACTTGCCAATCCGACTACCTACACTATTATCTATCTTAAAAATGAAATCAAAACAACTTTAAAACTTTAATCATGTGTACGCCTTAACCGTTTTGATGGTGGAAGCAAAGTATTAAATTAGAGATCCAATTACTTGCTGAAATCTTGATCTGACCCTTATGATATTATAGTATATCAACCAAGTCATAAATTTACATTCGTTGCTTTATGTCAAAATAAAGGCCGCGTATGGTGGTCGTGGTAGGTTCGAGGATCTTACGCGGATGAGCAAACTCTTCTATCGTCTTGCATTTTCTCTGGCAGCTACAAAACACCTACAAGTTGTACTCAATTGGCAACGCATATGGAAATAGCTTTTAAGTTAAATTTTCACTAAATGCACCTCAGAGAGGGGCGAGAAGTCTTAATTGTTACTAACTTTCGATGCGAATTAGGCAATCTCTGCTAATAGAATCCGAATACTGGTGGTTTACAAAAAAAAAAAAAAAAGAAGATAAAAGGCTAATAGCAAATCCGAATATGGTTGGTTTACAAAAAAAAGAAAGAGAAAAAAGAAGGGAAAACGACATCCGAAGCTTCTGCGTTGGGGAGTTTGGAATGTAACTATATGGTTCAAAAATGGATTCGTGGAACTGGGTGGGCAACTAACGGGATGTGAGTTAAGAACTTAGCACCGAGGCGCAGTTGGGCCCAGCATACGGGTGCACGTTCACATTGTTCTTGAAGGGACCCAATGGTAGTAAGAATAATGTATGCGCCGACGAATCTCACTCATATTAAAATCATATTTCAAATCTGCATTCTCCGTCGCTTTCAAAAAAAAAAAAAAAAAAGAAGGGAAAACGACATCGAAGCTTCTGCCGTTTTGAGTTTGGAATGTAAGACTATCGATTTCACAAATGGATCTGGAACTGGGCCAACTCGGTCATGAGTTAGAATTAGCAACCGAGCCAGTTGGGCCCAGCATGGTGCAACGTTCACATTTTCTTGAGGGGCCCAATTAGTAAAAAATGTAGCGCCGGATCTCCCATTTCAAATCTATTCAAATTTCATTCTCCGCTCAAAAACACAGTCTCTTCTTCGCTCTCATTTCGTCCAGATTTCGACTTGTTCTACTGCTTTCAAATCCTTCCACATCTCCCACCGTTCATCAGAGAAATCAACGGCTCTAATTGAATCTGAGCCTCTCTACATGCGCCACGCGAGGAATCTGTAGAAACCTCCTGGTTTGAGTTTAGGCTTTGTTTTTTCTCGACTTCAGATTATGGCTTCCCGGAACCAGAACAGACCTCCTCGAAGTCCTTCCACTGTAAGACTTGATCTTATTCTTTTTTTATTAGTTCTTTCATTTTTAGAGTTGTTTAGCTGCTGAGAAAAGTAAGTAAACTGTGAATATGAATTTGGATCTGAAAATTTAATTTCTATTTGTTATTTTATTTATCTGGAACTTCTCGATTTGTAGAAAGATGGCGGTGGCGGTATCCCATTGGACAAGCGTAGGAGGATTGGGGCAGGAAGAATTGGGGGACCTAACAGCACTGACCGCCGGCCATTTGGGTCAGTTAACAAAAGACAGGATGTTACAGCACCTGGTGATATAGGCAGTACTGAGGGGTCGGAGTGTGAGAATATCGATTTCACAAAAGAAGAAATCGAGGCGTTGGTAATTGAGAGACCCAAAATGAAGAAGTTTGATCACAAGGTTATTCTTTCAATCATTATAATTCGCTATATTATATTAGCAATTGGTAGCTAGGTAACTTTTTTAAAATTTTGGTACTTGTTTTTGTGCTGTTAATATTGCAGGGTAATATGGAATTAGTGAGTGAACTTAATAACAGACTCAAGCTTTGCATTAAATGGTTCCAGAAAAGAGATGAAAGTCATGTTGATGAGCAGGGAAAGCTAAGAAATGCTTTGGAATCTTCCGAGAAAAAATGTGCAGATATGGGTAACTTTTATTAATTTTTGTTCTAGCTATGTATCTTCGATGTTGAATTAGCTTTCCTACTACATAGTTTCAAGATTGAGAAATTCATATAATGTTATGTTCATGGAGAAGTTATGAATACAATAATTCACTGTAGATTTTCCCTCTTTTCATGCTTAGGTTCTGTTTAAAGAAATGATTTTTCCCTATCGCCAAGTACATTGTTGTGATTTACCTCCATTTTGGATTACAATGTTGTTTGTTGTTTTCCCTAAGACATGTTGTACAAACAGAAAAACAGTGTTAATGGAGATTAATTTGTGTGATTTTAGATATGGAGATGAAAAGCAGAGAGGAGAAGTATAATGAAGATATATCAGAATTGAGAAAAGAGAACATTTCTTTACAAGAGAAACTCACAAAGGAAGAATCGGAAAAATTGGTAAGGATGTATTTATTGAATTGTTGTGTTTGCCATTACAATTCTGCCTCTATTTTTGTTCCTTGTTAATTCTGTTTTTGAGGTTTGGCAACTAGGATGCAATTGACTGTCATAAACGAGAAAAAGAAGCTCGAATTGCTGTGGAAACTTTGCACGCTTCACTTTCAAAAGAGTTTGAAAAGGCTCAACAAGACATATTGGCAGCCAATCAGAGGGTAATGCCTCATTTGTTTTAGGCTTTTTGTCTATTAAATTTAGTTTCCATTATTATCTAATTGGGAAAATGCGTTTCCTGACATTGGTGGACTGCGTGCACTTTTACCGTACATGTACCTTACTGCACTCTACAAGTTTCATTTGCTACATGACCCATAAATTTGTTATATTCTTCAGGCTAATTCACTTGATGATATGTACAAGCGATTGCAAGAATACAACCTAAGTCTACAACAGTATAATAGCAAATTGCATGCTGAACTTGAAACAGCCCGTGAATCTCTCAAACGAGTGGAAAAAGAGAAGCTTACTATAGTGGAGAACCTTAGCACTTTAAGGGGTCACTATAATTCACTGCAAGAACAATTAAGTTTATCCAGAGTAAATTTCTTCAATTTGCTATTTAAATCAGTAGACTGCAGATGTGGTTGTTTCATAATTGACGTATTTTATTGTGGCATCTGAACTGCTGTTTTTCTCATTGCTACTTCCAGGCTTCTCAAGATGAGGCTATAAGTCAGAAAGAATCACTAGTTAATGAAGTTAAATGCCTTAGGGTTGAATTGCAGCAAGTGAGAGATGATCGTGATCGCCAAACAGGACAGGTTCAAGCTTTAACTGCTGAGGCATTGAAGTACAAAGAAAGTGCAGGAAAGTCTTTTTCCGAGATAGACAATCTGATGGCAAAATCAAAATCACTAGAGGTTTGCTCAGACCATCTTACTAAGTTATATATATATATAGAGAGAGAGAGAAAGAGAGAGAGGGGAGGGGGGGGGGGGCTGAGGCATTGGAAGTACCAAAGAAGTGCAGGAAAGTCTTTTTTCCGAGATTAGACAATCTGAATGGCAAATCAAAATCACTAGAAGGTTTGCTCAGACCATCTTTTACTTAAGTTATATATATTAACTAAGGAGAGAGAGAGAAAGAAGAGAGAGGGGAGGGGGGGGGGGGGTTAACAAATTATCTGAGACTGGAGGTTTCTATCACAGGAATACTGTTCTGCCTCAAAGGGACGTATACATTCTATTAGAAGCATCGTTATAATGCTGCTATAACCAGGCCAAGTATAAAAGGTAATGCTTTTATTTTTAATATGGAAAGCGCGCATGCATAATCTGGGGGGGGGGGGGGGGGGGGTTAACAAATTATCTGAGACTGGAGGTTTTCTATCACAGGATACTTGTTCTGCTCAAAGGGAACGTATACATTTATTAGAGCATCAGTTAACTGCTGCTAACGAGAAGTTAAAGGTAATGTTTTATTTTAATATGGACCCGCAGTGCATAATCTAAAGTTACTTAAGTTCTGCAAGCAAGTCTCCTGAGTTTTTCTAATTAAGTATTATTTTATGTGTTTCTTTAGATGGCTGATTTATCTGTATCAGAAACAAAGACAGAATTCGAAGAACAACGAAGAACAGCACGAGAGCTACAAGAGCGCCTTGCGGAAGCTGAACATCAATTAATTGAAGGGGAAACATTAAGGAAAAAGTTACACAACACTATCCTGGTACTGCTTTTTTCCTCTATTATTTTTAATCCTTGCATAATGCTCTAGGCAGTTCTAACAGTCCTAACTGGTAATAAATTGTGCTGTATGACAGGAATTGAAGGGCAATATTCGTGTATTCTGTAGAGTGAGACCCTTGTTACCAGACGATAGTGTTGGAACTGAAGCGCCAGTTATTGCTTATCCTACATCAGCAGAAACCCTTGGTCGGGGAATTGACTTGATGCAAAGTGGTAAAATTGAATGTTTTTCTTTCTTCTGTTTTTAATTGCATAGGAGGCTTTATTGTTTGGATGAGCAAAATCTTATCGTTGCTAAGCCAGTGCTGTATCAATGTAACAGGGCAGAAATATCCTTTCACATTTGACAAGGTGTTTAGTCATGATGCCTCCCAACAAGATGTTTTTGTGGAAATATCTCAATTGATACAAAGTGCTCTTGATGGTTATAAAGTGAGTCTATGGTGCCTGCAGCTTTTTCTTTCCACTTAACTTATTTCAACATATATAATATGACTTGCAGTTAAGAATAAGTTATCTTTGTTTGGAGGACATTGACTGGTTTATAGCAATTAATTCTATCAGAAATGCACTGATATGGAATTATAATGTAAATCTGCCGATATTTTCATTATTAAATATGCATGTCAAAATTTGGTCGATTTCAATTGCTTTTGATGTAAGTGAAGTGATAACTTAGTTATTTTCCCAAAAAAGCATGCGAATGGAGCTTATTATTATGTATTCCATTCCTAGTAGAACTGTACATAAACGGGTGCTACTATTTTGCCTTTTGTAGGTGTGCATTTTCGCATATGGCCAAACTGGTTCTGGAAAAACATATACAATGATGGGTAAGACAGAGGTGCAAGAGCAAAAAGGGCTAATACCTCGGTCTTTGGAACAAATATTTCAAACTAGCCAGTCCCTTTCAGCTCAGGGGTGGAAGTATACAATGAAGGTAATCCAACTAATCTTTAGGTTTTCACATCACATTGACCTGCTATTATAATAGATATTCTTTTTAAATGGTAGGCTTCAATGTTGGAGATATACAATGAAAACATTCGTGATTTATTGTCAACAAATAGATCAAGCACTACAGAAAATACTGGCAAGCAGTATACTATAAAACATGATGCAAATGGCAATACAATCGTGGATGGCCTCACCATTATTGATGTTTGTAGCATCCAAGAGATTTCCTCTCTTCTAAGGCAAGCTGCACAAAGCAGGTCTGTTGGTAGGACACAAATGAATGACCAGTCATCCAGAAGTCATTTTGTGTTCACATTACGGATATCTGGGGAGAATGAGGTTTGTAAATACCTATATCGGTCTTGTATTTTTTCTATTTATGCAAGTATACAAGTACTCGTTTCTGTAATTTCTCTATTTATTTACATGTTTTCTTTCTCATAATGCTAGAACACTGAACAACAAGTCCAAGGTGTGCTAAACCTCATTGACCTCGCTGGGAGTGAGCGACTCTCAAGGAGTGGAGCAACTGGGGAGAGGCTGAAAGAAACTCAGGTATTTGCATTAGAAGATTAGTTGCAAATTTGATTTATATGCATTTTAACTTGACTCAACTGTCCTAACTTCCAATGCAAAACAGGCCATCAATAAAAGCTTGTCATCTTTAAGTGACGTAATATTTGCCCTGGCAAAGAAGGAAGATCATGTTCCTTTCAGGAACTCAAAATTAACATATCTTCTCCAGGTAAAACCCATTTCTTTAACAAGCAATTGTTGTTTCTTACTTAGCCAGTTTATCTTGGATTATTAGATGTTCTAATTTTAATTAATTTTACGAACAGCCATGCCTAGGTGGGGATTCAAAAACGTTGATGTTTGTTAATCTTTCACCGGAACCTTCTTCAGTAGGTGAATCGCTGTGCTCTCTTCGATTTGCTGCTAGAGTTAATGCCTGTGAAATTGGAATTCCTAGACGTCAGACAGCATTACGATTGAGCTGATTCTGATTTACTTTGTTGTGCATCTTGACACAAATAATCTGTTTTCACAGTAATTGTTATCTATAAAGAGGGTCATGGTTATGCCTCAGGTTTGTGTAATGAAGTTCAGCGAGTTGCTGGTTGTTTGTAGAGTTGCTATCTGAGCTACTAATTTGTATTCCTGGAATCAAGTTTAGATTTAGGATCTTGTTTTTAGTTCCTTAACAGAGGAAAGCTCAACTTGTTGGCTTAGCAACATGACCCTTTGAATGTTAAAATGTTCATTAATTAGTGAACAGAGGTAACAACATAGAGCTTTGTTGTTCTATTAATTTGACTTCACAAACTGGTGTATTTTTACAGTGTTATAATTATATAATATGAGATTTGTTGTTTGTAACATTAAAAAATATTTCATATGCAAAATCATTACTGAGAAAGTCTTTAGTAGATCACGTGAACTCTAGAATGTGCTGTTTGTTCAATCAGGTAGCCTATTTTCTTTGCCAAAAAAAAAAAAAAAAAAAAAATTTTCAGGTATGCCTATTTTTCTTTGCCAAAAAAAAAAAAAAAAAAAAATTCCATTTTCCACCAATTAATTGTTATTAAATAATTTAGACGATTTTTTTTAAAAGGAAAATGAATTATCTTCTTCGAAGACAAAAACAGAAGATTGAATTGCTTGACAGCCAGCTTCAAATGAAGAGACCGGCCCACAGCTGGTGTTTATAATTCTATCATAAAAGGAAACAAACTTTAGCAGAGGGTACCCGCCCTTTTACATTTGTGATATGTTTGCTATTAATGTAAAATTCAGGTGAAAGTATCACTGGATAGGTTCTGTAGCCATAGAAAAATGTATAAAAATAGGACCTAAAAAAATAGGGAATTATAAACAAGGTGTGTGCTCCAAATTACGATGGCATACCTCGACTGTTTCACTATACATTGGTTAATCAATGCCTTTTCTGGTTTTTGATACAAAGATAAAACTAAAGAATAAATTTAGTATAGCGTCTTAGAAGAAGAAGATAAAAAAAAAAAAAAAAAAAAAAATCCATTTCCACAATTAATTTGTTATTAAATAATTAGACGATTTTTTTAAAAGAAAATGAATTATCTTCTTCGAGACAAAAACAGAAGATTGATTGCTTGACAGCCAGCTTCAAATGAAGAGGACCGCACAGCTGGTTATAATTCTATCTATAAAGAAACAGACTAGCAGAGGGTACCCGCCCTTTTACATTTTGTGATATGTTGCTATTAATGTAAATCAGGTGATATCCTGATAGGTTTGTAGAAAAATATAAAAAGGATAAATAGGAATATAAGTGGGTCCAACGGGCACCCGTTCATATACATTGGTTAATCTGCTTGTCTGGTAGCTCAAAGAAACTAAAGAAAATAGTAGCGTCTAGAAGAAGAAGAAGAAGAAGAAGAGGAAGAAAGAAGAGATGGAGAATCAAGAGCAGCAAACCAAGTCAAGAGTTGTAAAGGTGGATTCAGTACAGTCATGGGAGTTCTATGTTACCCAAGCCAACAACCAAGGCTGCCCTGTAAGTTTTTAATTCCTCCATATTGTAAAGTTCTCAATTTTGGAAATTTCGCTTTGCCCTTAATTTTCCATCTTATATTTCATGAAATAGAAAAATTCTAATTATATAACAAATGGGTTTGGATAGACATGATTGATTCTAATCTGATGAATCGGATTTCGTATAAGATTAGCGATCTAACATATGGGTTTGTTGTGATTTTGATGATGATTGCGAGGAGTTATTACAAGAATCTGAAAATTTTCGATTTGCTGATGTTAATTTTTGGATCACATATTGTAGATTGTTGTGCACTTTACTGCTTCATGGTGTATTCCATCGGTGGCTATGAATCCTTTTTTTGAGGAATTAGCCTCCACTTATCCAGATGTTCTGTTTCTTACAGTTGACGTTGACGATGTCAAGGTAATTGTTTCTGTTCATAGACTCATATTTCTTCCTCTAAATTTTGATCATCTTGTGATGTGGGTTTTGAATGCAATTTTTATATGCGGTTGGGGTAGGAGGTGGCTTCAAAACTGGAGGTGAAGGCAATGCCTACATTTGTGCTGATGAAGGAAGGTGCTCAAGTTGACAGGCTGGTAGGTGCCAATCCAGAGGAGATAAGGAAAAGGATTGATGGTTTTGTGCACTCCGTCCGTGTATATGTAGCCTAATAGTGTGTGTGTGTATATTGTCTGGAAGAAAGATATTTTGTGTAATTCTGAACATGTAAAAATTGTGGTTATAGTGTCCACAACAGTTTCAATAGATTCTGTGTCGGTGTTGTGTTTTTTGTGAGTTTGATTTCTGTTTTACCATTTTCTATCAGAGTTCTCTTCAGATTTGTCTAAATTGACTTCCATTGGATTTTGGGTCCTAAGTTTGCTGTTACTTATGAATAGGAATTTCTCAATTTCTTAACAAACTCTAAATCAAATAAAAAGTTTCCAATGTACCAAAAAAAAGCAATTCGTCACTATTATATCCTTTTTGTAATTTTAAGAATTATCTAATTAATTTTCCCTAAGATATCACTTAGGCTATGTTTACTAGTATTGGAAGGAATCCCAAGTTTCCAATTTCCTGTTTCATTGTTGAATGAGGAGGGACAAGGAATATGAATTCTCTGGAGGGGTTGGAATGTCTCCATCCTGGAGGAAAATTTTCCTCTCAATTAATAGCTGGGGTGTCGTTTGTGGTGGCCTAGCGGCAAGAAATCATGCCAATCTCTTAATGCATATTGGGCTGATCTCAATTAGCCCAAGAAAGTTGAAGATGGTCGGAAAGTTCAAACCCGAAAAAGAAAAGGGCCAAAAAGCCCAATTATGAACTGCTCGTGTTGCTTTCTGTTACGTTCTGCGCCTTTTCTTGTTTGTGGTGGTGGTCGAATGCGTTGGAACTCGTTTCTCTTTTCAAAATCCCTTCTGTTCCTCTACCCTTCTCCCTTTCATACCTTTACCAACCAAACCTAATTCACTCCCTTTATTATCGTCTTTCTAAATAGCCACGGCGTGACTCCTCCTTTGAAGAAGAAGCCGGGAATCTTGACATTCCGGCAAACAAACGGAGGAGATGGGGTCACCAAATGATAATGCTAATTGGGTTTTCGATTATAACATGATAGCTGATGTTCCTGTTCCTGGAGGTGAATTGCCGTCTCTTGAGCCCGCAGGAGCTCTTTGGTCTTCAACTCCCTTCATTGATAATTCCTCTGTAAGGTGCTTCCTCATTTCTTTTCTTCTACTTCCTTTTATTAACTGCTAACTGCTTTTATTTGGTGTAAAGCAATGGTTTTGATGAAATTTCACTCATATTATTTGGTAGGCAGTTCAAGGTTTGATGCATTATTGGTTGAATTATGGTTTGATACAAAACCAACCCCAATTAAAGATTGGCTACTTAGATGTTATTAACAATACGATTGTATTTCAGCTGTGTCTTTCATCTTTTTCTTGTGGTTTTGGGATGGCATCACCTGAATTGAACAACCGTACACGCATTTTTAGCTCTCTTTTTAGCTGTGCTGGTTATGATGATATTGTAGTTCAAGCCATCTCTAATGTACTGGGAGGCTGGGAGCTTTTAATTTTGATGTTTCGATTTCTCATGCATGGTTCTTTTTATGCTCTAACAGTATATCCTGGGGATGTCTATCATGCTCTCCGGTCTTCACATGAAATTTACGTGCAAAGTTCAACTTTTTATTTTTGTTTTTATTCTGGTCATACTACTCTCTCAGACCATCTAATTATTATTCCGGCATACTTGTTTTATGCATATGAATCAACTGCATTGTTTAACATATTTATTCCTGTTTGCCTTTTCATTTATATTTTTAGCGTGGGACTTGATGGCTCTTTTGGGAAGTCTGATGTTATTGAGGACAATGGATCGCGAAAACGGTACTAATTATTTATTTTTTTTCCTAATATTGTTAGCAAATGAGAAGCAGTATCTTTATTCTGTTTCTTTGTATTCATGGTCCACAGGGGGCTTCTGGCATTATATTGCTCTAATAAACATAAATAGAATGGTCATTGTATACATATTAGTAATTTACTAGTTTTTTCTTCCTTTTTTCCTAATTTTTCTTTTGTTGCACTAATATTACATCACAGGGTGAGGCCTGGGTCTTGCAATTCAGTAGGTTCCAAAGCATGTAGAGAGAAAATGCGGAGAGATAGACTGAATGACAGGCATGCTCTACTGTAGTAGTGCTTTAATTCTCTCTCTCTCTCTCTCTCTCTCTCTCTCTCATATGTAGTATTTGATGCTATTTCCAGGTTTATGGAATTGGGTGCTCTGTTAGATCCGGGGATGCCTCCTAAGATGGACAAATCTGTTATATTGGCTGATGCTGTGAAAATGGTGAATCAGCTACGTGATGAAGCTCAAAAGCTGAAGGAGTCGAATGAGAGTCTGCAGGAGAAAATCAATGAATTAAAGGTATCCCTTGGATTTTGTACTTGGACCTTCATTATATAAAAATTTTCTGAAGATGGTTGCTTTACAAGCTGTATATCATTTTTATCCTTCATGTATTCTTGGATATTCCTGAGGAAATCAGCATAATTGCTTGTTAGTTGTTTTGAGTTAGTTTTCTATACGTAGGTTGAGAAGAATGAGCTCCGTGATGAGAAGCAGAGGCTAAAGACAGAGAAAGAGACCATTGAGCGGCAAGTCAAAATCCTTAGTGCTCCAACAGGATTCATGCCTCATCCTCCTGCCATCCCAGCCCCGTTTACCCCAAGCCAAGTGTTTGGCAGCAAGCTGGTCCCTTATGTTGGCTATCCTGGAGTTCCTATGTGGCAGGTTATGTCTCCTGCTACTCTAGATACCTCGCAGGATCCTGTTCTACGCTCTCCAGCTGCTTAAGTTGGCATGCAGATTGCATGCTTTTGGGTTCGCGCTCTCAACAAGCAGAATTTTTTTTGGCCTTTGTTTATATTAATTCGCATTAGTTATGTATTATGGTGGTTTTAATTTTTATTTTTTCCCTTTCCTGCGTCATAGGTTTATTTTTGTCTCTCCTTTCTTTTTTCTATCCCCCGGGTGGTGTTGGCCAAAATGTACAAGAGTAGAATCAGCTTGATTCTATGATAGGAAATTTGGAATGCCTATCAAATTGTATGGACAGCTTGTAATTTCCATTAATCATAATTGTTAAATTTCATTTGCTGATTTTACCTGCTGTTTTAAATTCCTGTAAAGATGTTTGCAATCATTGAAATGCAAAAATTAGAATATATCTGCTTTAACCAGTACTAACTATTATATCTCTAAGCTTCTCTACATAGAAGTACGACCTATCCTTGACCATCTAGTGGATCTGGATATAACAGCCTACTACAGAATCTGCAAGCGTTGAACTGCAGCTTCAGATATGAGAGGGAATTCAACTGTCCATAATTTAAAACTAGCCGTTAAAATTTTCAAGTTCTCAAGTTCTCAAGTTCTTTCTGTTTAACAGGGGAATTTGAAGCCCATGTGTCGGCCAGATGTATAATCTCTCAACACATCCATAGCTCCAAAGCTTGTTATGAGAACTGTACTCAAAGCCATGACAATACCAACAGAGAAAACAATTATAGAAGCCCTGCCATATTCTTGTATTGTTCTCTGGACTACCAGCAGACCGAGAAGTGAAGCAACAAAACAAATGACGGCAAAGATAAGGGCAGTGTCTGTGTGCTCCATGCCGGATAATAAATATTGAAAAGACGACATGGTTGATGAAAAGAAAACCATGAAGGAACAAGTTGCTGCTGTTACCTGAAGTAAAATTCAGAGTTGTTAGATCATATTATGTCCTCTAACCAATGTTCCCTGCAGAGAAGCATTGAAATGACGAGAATTTACCTCAGGTGGTATTCCCACATGAAGAAGAAGTGGGCTGATGAGCATTCCGCCTCCAATTCCAAAACCTCCACCCAGTACACCTGCTAATAGTGCCATTATTGGGAAAAGGAACTTGTTTGGCATTCTGCCTCCTGCTGAGTCTTCTATGTCCTTTACAGAGTTCTTTACAAGTTCGAGAAAATTCTGACTTATTAGTGTCCATTAAAAAAAAAAAAAAAAAAAAAAAAAAAATGAGAAGAAGTGGTGCTGTGAGCATTCCGCCTCAATTTCCAAAACCTCCCACCCAGTACACCTGCTAATGTGCCATTATTGGAAAAGGAAAACTTGTTTGGCATTCTGCCTCCTGCTGAGTCTTCTATGTCTTTACAGAGTTCTTCTAACAAGTTCGAGAAATTCTGACTTATTTAGTGTTCCAATTAAAAAAAAAAAAAAAAAAAAAAAAAAAAAAAAGAAGTAAACTAAGGGGTGGTTCAGTCAGCACCTTGTTGGTTTGTTGTTTGAATTTGGCATTTCTGTTTTCTGAATAGAATCCATGCTGTGAAAATTAAAAAAAAAAAAAAAAAAAAAAAAAAAAGAAGTAAACTAGGGGTGGTTCAGTTCAGCACCTGTTGGTTTGTTGTTTGAATTTGGCATTTCTGTTTTCTGAATAGAATCCATGCTGTGAAAATTATTGCGAGTGGAACTTGAAGTGATGAGAGTACCCAATATCCCAATCCACATGGCTTCACTGGTGTAATGCCCTGCTCATATTTATAACATATAAATAAATGCTACTGTTTTTGAGTTGTTCAAAAAGAAAATGGCTTTGGCTATGTTGGGTTTCTCAGTTTCTATTTCTTTATTTGAATAATCAGTCAGGAGAATGTCGGGACCCACTTTTCATGCAAAATTTTCTCCAAGTGTAATTTAATCCTTAAACCTTTTTAATGTTGGGACCCACTTTACTGTTCATACAGACCCTGTATATACAAAAGATTTTGTCTCTCAGACATTTGTTAGTTGATGCAGCCTGGAGTTATCTAGAGCCTTGCTAGATTCCAATTCCTACTCAAAAAGATTGAAACTTTATATGAATAATATCAAGAGCCTGGCATAAAAACTAAAGGGAGTAGCAAGTGGATTGCAGAACATTCACTTGACATCACTTTTCTTATCCAGGACTCCTTCTAGGTGCTACTAATGGTCCTATAATTGATAAGAGAGGGACCGTAGTTAGTAGATATCGGCAACTTGCAAGTACAAATTAAGCAAAAGAGACAACAATTTGAATAGCTAATCTCAGCTTGTTTAACTTAAAGAAGATGCATTACAAGAAATCATACCTTTCCATTCCGGTTACCACGAAGAAGATAGAGAAGAGAGAAAGAGAACCAGATCAAAAGTAAGACCCCAAATTTCTGCCATGGAAAACACTTTTTATCTGGCATTTCCATATCCAAAAGTGGCTCTTTGCTACTTTTCATCGCTTGGCTTTCATCATCCTTAACCAACCCATTTTCTAAAATGTGATAACCATTTCTTTTAACCTCTTCTGACTCCAACCTCCAATACAAAACCCCATTTTTACAAGTCTTGATGGTAGACCAGACAAGAAAAACAACAAACAAAATTGTGATGAGCCACTCTGGAAAAACTAAGTTACAAATAACTCCAACACTAACTCCTAACAACATGCAGGGCTCCGATAGAAGTGCAATATCATAATTAATCAAAGCTTTACCACCAAATTTAGGACTTAACAAGTTACACATGACATTAGCAATAGACCCTCCAGTGACCATAAAAGCTGAGAAACATGTAGCTATCTTAAGGTCTAGACCTGCTACTATAGTCAATATAGGAATAAACAAACCTCCACCACCAATGCCACCTGCACTAGATATAGAAGCAGATATGAAGCATAAAAGCCCTGCGAGCATGGTAGGAGGTGCTAATTTAAGTTCTGGTACTTGGGATTTACGTTGATGACTCCAATACTTAGCAGTAATGTTAAGAAACCAATTTAGATCAGATTTAACGAAACCCGACATGGGTTGTGTTTGTTCTGCTTTGGATTGTGAAGAAGTGATGAAAATGGCGAAGAAGAAAGCAAGACATGTTAGGATATTGAGATTCTTCATTTGGTTAAAGTATTTTGGTGGTGTTGTGTGGTGCGTCAAGAATGAGTTCCTTAGGTGTCTTTATATCCGAGGGTGAAGGTTCTTCTATTGCATGGCATTAGTGAGCAAAAGGACAATAAAGAAATTAAAGCTTTGTAAATTCTAAATGAACTTGCACTGTGCACTTACTGGTAGTAAAGGAGACTGCCATACTTTACTAAAGGAGTAGCTTATCTGGATGATAGCTCCATTCAGGATGTTTACATTTTATTTTATTTTTTAATAACTCTAAGAGAAAGGAGTTTCTTTAATTATAAATACTTTTAACAAAAAGTATAAATATCTATTTCTTCTGATTAAAATACACGCTTTGGTTGGATTAAGATAAAATTAAACAGGATAATATTTTATATATAAGAACTAAAAGCAAGTAGATCTTTGTTCAGGAAAAAAAAAGGAAGTAGATCTGCTTCTTGAGAAGAGACAAATGCAAGAATGCAAGAATACATTTAATTACAGAAAATGGATCCATAAACTGTTCTTTATGTCCTGGATATGGCATATATGATATGATCAAATCAATATAGGTAATCTTTATCCAATCGTTCTTCTGTTATTAATCAATTTGTCCACCATCTAATACAGAGATTATAATAATAATCCATTTTTGTTCAAACCCAAACAGAAAATAAGTTTTTCGATTTTCTTACTATCGGTGAGTGTGAAATGAAAAGGAAAAATTATACATATAAACAAGGAAAGCTAACATAATTGTACTTGGCATGAAGGTGAGTATGTCAATTTCGTGTTTTTCCAACTAGAAAAAGAAATAGTACTTGTGAAGGAAAAGAAACATGAAGCCCACAAGAAGTTTCATTTCTCAACAGGTTATAGGCTTGGATGATAAAGAAAGGGAGAAGGAAAGAAAGAAAACGACGATTGGAGATGTATAATTTTTTAATCTCATGTAATGCTCCACTAAACAAGAGCAAATAGACAAATGCCAGTTGCTCCAAAAGGACTCGTTCACGTAGTGCTCTACTTGTTTTAACTTTTACTTTCATATTTAGGTGGGCTAACCTAATTCGTGCCTTTGTTTAAAAAAGGGTTGGCAATTGTAACTTGCTGCAAATAAAAAATTTAAAACAAACAAAACCTAATTATAGTTATCTTGTTGAGCTAAATCTTTATATGGTTTCTTTATTTCCATCTATAAGATTACATTATGTCATTATTTGGTCCACTTAGATAATTAATCTTTTCAAATATTTGAACATTTAATTAAAATTTATATTAAATTTAATATCAAATTACAAAATATTCAAATGGAGTCATTGTATTTAATTTTAGTTTTATATATATATATATATATATAAACATAGATATACAGATAAATATTGATATAAAAAATAGATTCTAAAAAAAATTAATTTCAAACTTAAATAAAACACTTTGAAATAATTTAATATTTAATATTCAACATGTTATCCATCAGAATGCTGTAAATTTTAAAATCGGCATTGCATTAAAATGAGTTATGGTTTTGGATAAAGAGCAAAAGAATTATCCTTGTCACAATCCATATATCTTCGCTTCTATTTAATCTACATACATGAAAGCTGAAATAAAGAGCAACTTCAATGGCGTTTTCTTTGTTCATTATTCTATTTTTCTTTTTTTAAAAAATTTAAAGTTTTTTTCTTATTTTTTTATATTTTGATTGGCCAATTTAACTTATTTTTAATTAGCCATATGTTTTGAATCTAACGTAATCTACCCACCTAATCTAATCCAACTAAAACTTTAAATTTATATATAAATAATTATAAATTTACAAATATTCAATTTTTTTTCTTGTCCATATCTGTAAACCTATATATATATTCAAGCGTACAACTAGATTTTTATGAGTTTTTCGTATTTTGGTTTGGCTACGACATATGTACTCTGTTTTATCTTCTACTTTTACAATTCAGTATTTTATTATCTTATGCTCTTGCGGTTTAATATTTTTGTTTTTTTTTTATTTTAATTTCATGAGTTCTTTATTTTATTATCTTTTGCTTTTACAATTTAATATTTTTGTTTTATTATTTGATGCTCTTGTAAATTTTGATTTCATTCACTGATTATAAATCTTGGTCCTCAGAATTTAGTTATCTTGAGACATCAAGACAAGAAGAGAGGAAGCAATTAAAGCTGCTCAAGATGAGATCATATACAGTATAAGAACTTACAGTAAACAGCCAACAGACATCAAGGCAATGAGGATGACAAAGATAAAGAAGACAAGAAATTTAGTAGTTGCATCTTTACTCAGTTTTTTTAATACATATTCCTGCATTATATAATTATTTTCGATATCAAAAATATATTTGTATGTTGATTAAAATTTATTACTGCCTTTTATATCTATTAAAATTAAATATTATCCGTTGATTAATCTATTCATTTTATTTTTTAAATTTATTTAATATTAATAGAAAATAATCAGGTAGGTATTCTTATTTAACTATAAATCTAACTACATATCTATTTACAATCTATAATAACATATTATTAAATAATTAAATAATTATTAATTCTTTTTTATCTAATTATAAATCTATCTGCATCCTACATCTATAAAAATAAAAATTATTTCTTCATTTATCTATATATTTTAATTGATTAATTTATTTTTTTAAATTTATTTAATGTTAATAGAAAATAACTAAATAATTAATAAAAAATAACTAAAACAATTCCTGAACAAATCATCCCTAGCAAAACCTTTGCATTATTTCATTGTTTGTTTTCTGTAAAATCAATGTAAAACATGAATTTATAATTTTCAATAAAAAATTTTAATCTCTATTTTTTTTAATCATCAAAATATTTAAAAATTTTCTGAACATAATTTTATTTCTTAGATTCTTCCCTGCTATTATTTAAAATCAATTCAAAGTATCTAAATATCTTTAATAAGGAAATTTACCAAGTTTTTTTCAATCATCTTTGGCAAATTTTAACATATGGTACTTCTTCCACTATGAGGTTATTTTGATAAAGAAACTTGATTACAATATTATAGATTTACAATATTATGTTATTAAAAAAATGTCATCATTTTATTATAAATCATTTTGACTATTATTAATTATTTCAAGTACAAAATTTTAATTGTTATATCTAACAATTTGACAATGCATGATAGTTTATAAAAAAGTAATAATATAATCAACTATAATAATTAAATATCTGCCCCCGAAGCGCGGTTTTCGACTAGTTTTATATCACATTCCAATAAAGGAGACACTATGTTTTTCAACTTTTGGAGGATCGAAATCATTTTCTTCCACGCAGAAAAATTAAAAGGAAAAAGTAATTTTTTTAAAAGATTATAATGTATGATAAAATTAAAGAAAACACTAATATTTTTTTTTAAGAAAAGATTATAATGTACAATAAAATTCATAAATTGGTGATAAGAAAGAACTCGAACTTGAAACTTTTCACCCTCGTAATTTACAAAGTGGATCGTAATTTACAAAGTGGATAATGGTCAATTAGATTATGACAATAGAAAAAATCATATTACTTTAGCTTATTCAACCTCCAATGAAAAAATAAAGGCAAAATTGAAGAAATTAAAACACTTGGGCTTTGGGTCAAGGCCCTTTACTACTAACGTGGGCTATCTCTTGGTCTCTACGGTCCAATCCCTATACTTAAGGGTCAAGTTCCTCTAATTGGTCTCGTCCAAGTGGGAAAGTTGCTTGATTCCTAGAGAGTTGTACTAAAGCAACTTGATCCATTGTTCATGTAAATTAATTGAAATCAACGGTCAGAATACTAAAATTTTATAATTAAATTGAAAACCACAAGCTACTGAATCTTAACTTGTAGTAATTTAACATGTAACTGTATGATTATGATAAAGTTGAGTGCATCCACTTGAACTTTAATACTGTATATAATTATAATTTAATCAAATTACTTATATTTCACTTGTATTATACTAAATTCTGATACTTTGTCCTTCTCAAAAAAAAAAAAAAAAAAAATCAAGTGGGAAAAGTTGCTGATTCCTAGAGAGTTGCTACTAAGCAACTTGATCCATTGTTCATGTAAAATTTAATGAACATTCAAACGGTTCAGAATACTAAAATTTTATAATTAAATTGAAAACCAACAAGCTACTTGAATCTAACTTGTAGTAATTTAACATGTAACTGTATGATTATGCATTAAAGTTGGAGTGCATCCACTTGAACTTTAATACTGTATATAATTATATTTTAATCAAATCTACTTTATATTTCACTGGTATTTATACTAAAATTTCTGATAATACTCTCTCTGTCCTTCTCAAAAAAAAAAAAAACAAAAAATGTTAATTATTAACTATTGTTTCCTTGAACATTTTGACTTGGGTGCTTTATCCTTATAAATAAATAATTACTTCAATTATTAAAAAAAAAAAAAAAAAAAAAAATGTAATTATTAACTATTGTTTCCTTGCATTTTGACTTGGTGCTTATCCATTATAAATAATAATTACTTCAATTATTAATTACTTTGTAATTATTAATAATCATTAACAATTATTTAATTAAAAGGAACTAGCTAGTTTCAATTGATTTAAAATTTTAATATTGGCTAACTCCAAACTAGATTAATTTTGTTGACTTCAATTTTATAGTGCTGAGCCTTTATTCATCCTGTAATAATTGCAATCCAAGTAACAGTTGACTTTAATGTGCTTAAACCAAAAATGCCAAGATTTGATAGTTTTTTCTTGTATGATCTGAAAGTAATAATGTAAAGCTGTACAAACTAGCTAGAGACTCCCTTTTATGACTTCTCTCCCTCTTTTGTTTTTCCTTGCAGACTCAGAAAAGGGATATGGAGAGTTTCATTTTCTTGTCAACTTTAATGTTCTGGTTATTTTCAAGTTCAAGCCTTTCTACTGCTGATACTGATCAGATTATTGGATTGCTATGTTCAGGTTCTGATAATGTTACTCTGGAAAACCAACAATACCAAATCAACCTCAACAGCCTGTTCAATTCGCTTGCCAGAAATGGGCCTATTCAAAATGGTTTCTACACAGCCACAGCTGGTAAAGGTGATGACAGGATTTATGGCCTTGCTGGATGCAGAGGTGATATTTCTGTTGCAGACTGCTCAACTTGCATCAACAATTCTACTGCCAATCGTGGCTGCTTGACAAGCAAGAACGTTACTATATGGCTTCGATGGTGTTTTCTCCGGTATTCAAATGTTAGCTTTTTTGGTGTATGGGATCAATCTGCAATGGCTTTAGCTAATGATACTGATATCGACGATCCGAATGTATTTTCTAAAGGGCTTAACTTTATGAATCAGCTTGCTTCTATTGCTCCACTGCAACCATTTATGTTTCAAACAGCGATTTTGGATGTTGGTCAAAGTGGGAAGAGATATGGAATGGCTCAGTGCAGTAGAGATATTAGCAGAAGTGATTGTGGAAGATGTTTTGATTATCTATTGATGACATTTAGAACCACAATTGGAAATAAAAGAGGATGGGAGATTTATGGGACTAGTTGTAGCTTGTGGTATCATGATTTCCAGTTCTATTTCAACTACTCAATTCCTTTAAATGAAGGTATTTTCTTTTTCAAATCCTAGCCGAATTTTCTAATATAAGAAGATAATTTGAATTCCTGATCCTCATTTCTGCTATGTCAATACAGGTGCTGTTAAATTTTCACCTCCAGGAGTTGCAATTGGCATGATTATTACAGTGGTAGTGTGCCTGTCAGTTCTCTAGCCGTTGAAGTTGAATGGGTTGGTTTTGTTTCGTCAGCTATTTGCAAATGTAAATTCTCCATTTTCTATTATATTGATTTCATTTTCCATTTTTTGTCTGTTAAAGGGAATTTGTCAAATATATTTATTGTAAAGAACTGAAGATAAGTTTGTAGCTGAGGTAAACTTTGTTAATTGAGAATTGTTGATAGTGAAATTAGAAATATTATTTTTTTGTAGCTTCCCCAGATACATATAGATGGAAACAAATGGGCTAAGGTTAATATAGGTCCGGCCCATCAACCATTGTTGGTGGCCGATTAATTTGCCAGGAATCATGTTTTTCAAATATAAGACAATCTTCATTAGTGCATTCCACAGAACATATGTGTATGTAAAAAAAATTTGCAGGCTAGTAAGGAAGGAAAAGATCTAAGGAATCTCTCAACTATCTAGAAACAGTAGCTGTGGATTGATCTGATGTGAGAAAGCCAGTTCCAGTTCCAGATGTTGAAGATTGATCAGACAATGTCATAAATCTACCCATAGAGTATGGAGCTGTGGATGGTTGGGGAAGGTTTACTGAGTTGCTCCCAAGCATGAGAACAACTGATGACATGGTAGGTCTTTCTGCAGGATCATCTTGAACACACAACAAGGCAATGTGAATCCATCTCAAGGTCTCACTTACAGGACAAGAGTCAACTATATTTTCGTCTATCAAATCCTTCCCTCTGCCTTCATTCCAGAGTTGCCAGGTCTGTTCAGAGTCATATTTAATGATTTTATAACTATCATGGAGAAAAAAGCAAATTTGGGAAAAAAAAGAAAAGAAAAGGGGAGACAAGGAGATATTCCTACATATAACAGAAGACTGGGAGCACGTTCTGGGTTGTAGAAGCCCCTGTTCTTTTTACCACTGATGATCTCTAGCATTAATATCCCAAAGCTGTATACATCTGACTTAATTGAAATTATTCCCTCCAGTGCATATTCTGGAGCCATATATCCACTGTCCAGGAAAATAGATTATTTCCTTTTCACCACCAATGAGTAAAAGTTTGAAAGAAAGAAGATAGAATGGTGCTAAATGTAAAGGACTTACTATGTCCCAACAACTCTGTCAGTGTTGGCTTCAATTTGATTGCCACCAAAAATTCTTGCAGTGCCAAAGTCTGATATTTTTGGGTTCATCTCATCATCCAACAAAACATTGCTTGCTTTCAGATCCCGATGGATGATTTTGAGTCGAGAATCTTCATGTAGATATAGAAGGCCTCTTGCAGTTCCAGTTATGATGTTTGCACGTTTTGCCCAGTTGAGCTCCTTAGTCCTTTTTGGATCTGCCTTCATAAAAGTAACTCTGTCACTGGAAATACATTGTTACTATGCAAGAAACAGAACATCTGGGTATTAACAATTACATATCCGTGGATATCAAGGGAAGACATAGGTGAGGGAGCTAACCAAACAGGAAGGCATCAAGGCTAGTGTTGGCCAAGTACTCATAGATAAGAAGCTTTTCTTCTCCTTCCATGCAGTATCCTAATAGTCTCACGAGATTCTTGTGTTGAAGTTTGACAATTACCATCACTTCGTTCCTGAACTCATCAAGACCTTGCTTTGATGTCATGGATAGCCTTTTAACTGCTATTGCTTCTCCACTAGGCAACATTCCCTAAATGCATATCAAACTTTGTCAAATCAAAGCAACCATAATTTAATCCTAGTACATAGTACTTGTTTGTCGTAGCCAATATCCCTCTAACCTTGTAAACAGGGCCAAAACCTCCTTCTCCAAGCTTGTTTGCATCTGAGAAATTACTTGTAGCCGTTCTAATGGTAGTCAAACTAAAGTAATGCGTTTCACCATTGTTTTCTTCATTGCTTACATGCATATCTTCATCCATCCATTGCTTCCGATTTGAGCCTCCTGAATTTCCTAGTAGAATTACTTCGCTTGTTTCCCTACCTGATGAACAAGTTGCATGTAAGCGATAATTTAACAATGCAAATTCTACCTTGTGCAGGTTTCAGCATATCAACCTGTATGTCTTCTTCTCTTCCTGCGGTAGCATAAATAGTACCAGAAACCTAAGAGAGCTCCGACTGCCAAGATTGATGCTACGACAGCCACGATTGCAATTGTTGTGGTATTGCTATCTCCTTTTCCTTTTTTATCACGTAATATTATATTAAAAAAATGTTTTTCTATTAAAACAGAATAAACACTATAAAAACAGGAGGATTAGGTAATAGATACCTTGTCAAAGTAGCATAAAATCAAGGGGAAAGAAACTTTTCTAACCACTTACCTCGCCTAATCCCTATTCTTCAACTCAAGGTAATGTATTTTAATTGAAAATTTAGATAAGACGAATGATTGTCTAATTTCTTCAACCAAATATTCATATTTGTCTAATTTCTTCAACCAAATATTCATATTTGACTCACCATTATCAGGCACCGGCTCTGGAGCTGTGGGCACTGGTCTTGGTGTTGGTGGTTGATAGAACGGTCTCTCCTCATACCTTAAATTGCAGCTTGAGGCTGTGGGCACTGGTTCTTGGTGTGGTGGTGATAGAACCCGGTCTCTCCTCATACCTTAAATTGCAGCTTGGGGCCTAAAATACGCCAAACCAATCTTTTGCTTGGCAACAAATCTTGACAGCATCACTCAATTGCCCCAGACACGAACACCAGCATCACTCAATTGCCCCAGACACGAACTACAAGCACTGCTATTAATATCTCTAGTGCACTGCACCAAAGCATATCTTTTCTGTGACCCATTAGCAGTTGCTGATTCATTTGTCCCAAACATTATCTTTGTCGATGGAACGTAATCTATTAGCGTGTAAATTAGTGCTAGTGCCCCATAGTTTGGTTCCTCAGGTGAGGTAGTGTTTTGGACATTCCACATGAGCAACCTTGGGAAAGTCTCTGCCACCCCAAAGAAGTTGGTATTAGAGTAACGTAACATACACTGATCATACCATATGATTGCAGATTTATTGGAGGCGCATCGCTGTTGGATTCCTTGAATAGCAGCGTCAACACAGAGTTTACAGGCGGTATTTGAAACATCGCCGCGGCATAAGTAAAGGCTGTAAACTCCATTTGATGAATCATTGTAGAAGGTGTTGAGGGTGGCCTTAGAAGATAGAGAATTGAAAAGGGCAATAAGTTCTGATTTGAAATTGGCACTTGCAGTGTCATTAGCTGCACCTTGACAGATATGGGTATTGTAAGTTGCTTGACAATTGATTGAGCTTGTAAGAGCTGAGAATATGATTAAGATGAAAATGGAGACTCTAGATTCCTGAAGAAAAAACATGGTTGTCCTTGTCTTGATCGGAGGTGTTGATGGAAAATTGGTCAAATAAAGATTTATATATGCTTGTCGGCTTCAAGAAAATAAAAACTATTCTATGCTTGGACAAATGGAAGTTTCTTATCATTTTTAATTAGCATCAATGGAGGGCTAGAACTGGCGCTAGTTATGAATATATTGAAGGTTTAGCAACTCTTGACTGGGTCGTTTACATTTGAATTTAATAGCTCTTTTTTTTTTTTCTGATGTCAATCCAGCTACGATGCTGTTTCATTTGAAATTTCTCTGCAGTCAAACATTATATCGTGTCTGATTAAATGATTAAAATTTTCTGGGTCATGAGTTTTTGGGATACAAAAGCCCGTTTAGAATTACATGGGTTTACGTTTCACAATTTCAGTCCGTTTCCGAACCAAATTATTTGGACCACTGGGGAATTAACCGGCATGTAGCTCGGCCCAGCTATGTCAAAGCCTATCCAATCCGTATGTATAAAGGCAATAAGAAATGATATTTTATTAGAAAAATTACTTATCTTCAGACACAAAACCAAATAAATAATTAACATTATCACTATTTTTCTTATGTTCCTTTTAAGAATAATGCCCCGTTAATCGACTCGGAGAGTCAAAGTGTATAATACTTAACTAATATGTCCAATAAAAAAAAACTAACATTTTTTTTAATACACATAAGATAATAGTGTATTAAAATATTGATGGTGACAGAAGTGGTCAGGACAAGCCTCCCACGTTTCTGCGGCGGAAACACGCTAACTTTCATTTTTTTTGTCCATTTATTTGACTGGAGTTTCATACAACACGACAGCTTTGAATTTTATTTTCCAAAAGGCCATTCTAATATGAAGGGTCAAGAAAAAAAGAAACCAAATTACAGTTACTAAATAAATTATAATGGACTAGTCAAATAAGTATTATTAAAGGAAAGCAGTGGATTACTGTTGACGCAAACAGAAGTTAATATTATCAGAATTCAAACTGGAAATCAATAATACACACGCAACAAATGACAAACTAAAAATATGAACTTCATCAAATCTTTAACGAGGAAACAATTCAGTAATTGAAACTTCATTCACTGATAATGGAAGAGTTCCAATTTTAGATTGTGAGGACTCTGTTTCTGACGCCCTGGAGCTATACCCCAGTGAAGAAGACACATCTGATTGAGTGCTGCTGTGCATAAAAAATGCTGGTTTTGAGGGTACAGGTAGAACCCCAGTGAAGAAGACACATCTGATTGAGTGCTGCTGTGCATAAAAAATGCTGGTTTTGAGGGTACAGGTAGAGTAAGAGAATAGCTGCTTAGCATCAGAACTACTGATGCCATGTTTGGCCTATCAGCCACATTTTCTTGAACGCACAGTAATCCAATGTGGATGCACCTCATCATTTCATTTGTCGAGCCAGATGTTCTCAGTATAGGATCTATAAGATTCATGTATGTCCCTTCCCTCCAGTTTTTCCATGCCTGCATGTAAGGTTTATCAATTAAGGTTTCATTTAGGACGATTGAAGAGACCGTTGTTGGATCATAGAATTATATACTTACATAGCTCAAAAGATCTTCTACATTCTCCCCATCACGGAAGTTACTATTCTTTTGACCGCATACAATCTCTAAAAGCAGCACACCAAAGCTAAATACGTCTGATTTAACTGAGAATCGGCCATGCATTGCATACTCTGGAGCCATATAGCCACATACTCTGGAGCCATATAGCCACTGTATATAAATTTACATAAGTTTAGATTTTAATTAAGTATTGAACGATCATTTTTTGTTTATTATCATTATTTTTTGTGTTGTTTAGATACTTACTAGGTACCCACAATTCTACTTGTATTGCCTTGAGTTTGATCCACCATAAACAATCTTGCCATGCCAAAATCTGAAATTTTCGGGTTCATCTCTGCATCTAGCAAAATATTGCTAGCTTTCATGTCACGGTGAATTATCCGTAACCGAGAATCCTCATGAAGGTAAAGAAGTCCTTTAGCAATTCCACCAATGATCTTATAACGCCTGTGCCAATCCAAATGCGTTCGCCGCCTGTTTTGATCTATACATTGATACAATTATCTCAAATTTTTCAAACTATGTTATCTGAAATATTAAGTTAATTTTTCAAACTATGTTATCTGAAATATTAAGTTAAAACAAAAACAAAGTAGATTTGCATCCTTACTAAAAAGGAAATGATCGAGGCTGGTGTTAGGCACAAACTCATATATAAGGAGCCTTTCTTTTCCTTCCAAGCAAAATCCCAAAAGCCTAACCAAATTCCGGTGTTGAAGCTTGGCCACCAGTAGAACTTCATTTTTAAATTCCAAATCTCCTTGTCCTGAATCTTTAGAAAGCCTTTTCACTGCTATGTCTTGTCCATCAGAAAGCGTACCCTTGTAAACAGCACCAAATCCACCTTGTCCAAGCTTATTTTCTTCAGAAAAGTTATTTGTTGCAACTCTAATAGTCCCAAAATCGAATTGCAATGACTTCACATTTTTTATTTCATCAGCTTTATGAGAGGTGCAAATCCAATGGTTAGTGCACAATATCTAAATGGCTTTTCTATCACAGACTTTGAAAATAATAATGGAATTTAAGTAAGCCAATATTTACTTACTTTCAAAATTCTCCCTTGGCTTCCGAACTCTTAAAAAGATGCAGAAACAGATGACAAGTATTACAGTGCCAACAATTACTGGAACAACTATGATAGCAATCGTCCGTGCTTTATTGCTCTTCTCCCCTGTAAAAGCCAGTCTGATCCCATTAAATTATGGCTAATTTCAAAAAATTAACAACAAATTAATGGACAAAAGTCCAAATAAAAGAAAAAAATAAGATAGATATGCTTAACACAAACTGAAAGTGAACTAATTAACAATAGCTACCTTTCATTGTATTATTGATTGAAGAGGGAGAAATACTAAGTAGAGGTTGAGGAGATGGCGTTGGAGGTTCAGCTATAGGAGTATAGAATGGGTACAAATCCCATCGGAATGTACAACTAGGCTTCGTAACATAACCTCCTTGCTTCCCATGGCAACAGTTACTATAAGCAGCTGCTGCCTGTTGTAGACAATAGCTGCAATCGCTCGAGGATAAATCAGGAGTACACTGCATTAGTGCAAATATTCTTTCAAGGGGCTTGACGTCTGCTTCTTCTGTCGCAGTCTTAAGCGTAGAATTGGACTTAGAAGCTTTCGTTGCTAAGCTTGCCATCAAACTAGTCCAAGTCTGATCAAACTCAGACATATTAATATTAGACGGAAGGTTACCGGTATTATAACCAGCATCGGTGGGTTCTATCTCCGGCTGTCCGAAAAATGAGCGATTCGCGTAGTGTATTCTGCAAGGAGGATCCCCATCCCATCTCAGTGCTTCTTTCTGGTTAGGACATTTTGTGGTTATATCTTCAATTGCAACATTGACGCATTTGGAACAATCTTCTGATGAAGAGTCAAATCTGCAAAGCACCAGACCATAAATTTTATCCGCCCCTTGGCCTACAGTAGTGGTGTAGAAACCTCCATTCGCTGTGACGTTTGAAGCTAAAGAAGAGAGGATGAGAGCTCGGTTATTGGCGTATGTACCTTTGGCTGTGAAGTTTCCTGTGTTATAACATTTCAACAGAGCATTGGCAAGGTTGATGCCAATCAGAAGATGGAAAATAAGACAAACAAAATCTATACAGCGCATGGTTATACTATTCGCAAGTTTGATTCATGAGGAGTTGAGATGGGATATTGCAGGATGTGGAAAAGGAAGCCCCAAACCCAAAATTATATTGCAGGATGTGGAAAAGGAAGCCCCAAACCCAAAATTATATTGCAGGATGTGGAAAAGGAAGCCCCAAACCCAAAATTATATTGCAGGATGTGGAAAAGGAAGCCTGAATGGATTGTTAAATTCTCATTAACAATCACCAACCTATCACTGTATTGACTTTATCACGCTTGTGAATTGTATTCACTGCACTAACTACTTTATATTGTCTTTCCTTACAGCCAATCTCTGCACTCTTCCTTAATCCTTCTATACGGCTCAGGCTCACTTTGATCAAGCGACGACTTGACTTGGTTATGGTTTCCTAAAAAAAAAATAAAAAAAAGAAAAAAGTAAATAGAGTAAAAGCAAGTATTTCCACTCCCATCAGAATCAATACTTTTCTCCTCTGGCTCTACAATAATAATAATAATAATAATAATAATAAGAATGAGAAGGTATTGAAAGTATTGCCTTTTATGAGTGGTCTTAATTATAAATGTGAAAGGGACTCGAATAATCCATATAATAGACTTCAAAGAATGGGTAATAAGAATGAGAAGGTATTGAAAGTATTGCCTTTTATGAGTGGTCTTAATTATAAATGTGAAAGGGACTCGAATAATCCATATAATAGACTTCAAAGAATGGGTAATAATATTGAAAATTTGAAATTAATTTCATCTACTCACAAAAGGGATTATAGCCAAAACTTCTTTAATTTTAGCTAAAACTTTAACTAAATTTAACTAATTTGGAGCTGGCTAAAATCCCAGGAGAATTGGTGATTATGGAAATGGAGAAAGCGGTTGGTGACGGTAGAAGAAACGGAAAGAATGGCTATGGCGAGATACATCGCCACCTACGGCGACAATTTCCATAGTGATGGTGGTGATTGCAGGTGGTGCCGGTGCCATCGGTTCAGTGGCTAGGGACACATCCTATTTCTAGGTCATGGGTATTTGGGATACAAAAGCCGGTCCAGAATACATGGGCTTACGTTTTACAATTTCAGTCCGCTGCGTCGTTAATTTCTCCCAATTAAATTATTTGGACCACTGGGCAATTAACTGGCATGAAGCTTGGCCCAGTTATGTCAAAGCCTATCCAATCCGTATGTGTAAAGGCAATAATATCTTATTAGAAAAGTTATTTATTTTCAGACAAGAAAACAAATAAATAATTAATATTATCACTGTTTTATTTTAATGAAATTAAGACTACTTTTTCTTTTAACAAACTAAAAATTTAATAACATATCTTTTACTCTCCAAATTATTGGACTGAAAATTTAGTCACCATTAAAATTTTTGCTTCCCATTAAAAATATATTTATTAGGTATTAAATTTAAAAGTTTTTTTTTACATATTCAGATTTCGTTGTCAAGGAAGTTGCAAAATTTAGAGATTTATAGATTAATTAACATTTTTTTTTACACGTACAAATATAATAACAGTGTATTAAAATATTGATGCGACAGGAACACGCTATCATCTTTTTTTTGTCCGTTTATTTGACTGGAGTTTCATACAATGATACAAAACGACAACTTTGAATTTTATCTTCAAAGAGGCATTGTCCAAACAATATTCTAATACGAAGGGATAAGAAAAAAAGAAACAAAACTACAATTATTAAATCGAATAAGACGGACCATTCTAAATAAATTACAATTTAGTCAAATTCACGAGATTTAATAAGCATTATTGGTATTATCAGAGCAAAGCCGTGGATTACTGATGATGCAAACACAAGTTAAATGTTAAAAATTTTAATGTAAGCTACTATTAATTGTCAAACTATTTTAATTTGCGAAAATAGACTGAATAAATATAGTTTAAAAATATGTTTATAGGGTCTAATTTGGGTTTATGTGATCACATGTGAAACGAGTTTGTACATCCTAATGGACTTGTGATGGGGAGATCCATAAAATTCTATAAAAATAAGTAGATCCCATCTATTTTCTTAATCTTAATATTGACTAATCTCATTGAATAATTGCCTTGTGGATAAGGAGACCGAGAGAAAAATGTAATCCCTCTTTTATACATTCAAATTTCGTATTTGAGTGTGTGATTGCAGTTAATCACTAAAAAGGATTACGAATTCTACTTTATATCATAAATCAGACACACAAATTCTGTAATTTTTTTACAGTAAATATATCAAAATTCAAATTGAAAATCAATAATACACAGACAACACATAACAAACTAAAACATGAACCTTGTCAAACATTTAACGGGGAACCAATTCTGTAATTGAAACATCATTCATTGATGCCTTGGAATTATACCACAGTGAAGATGATATATCTGATTCAATGCTGTTGAGCATTAAAAAAGCCGGTCGTGAAGGTATAGGTAGAGTAAGAGAGTAACTGCTTAGCATCAGAACTACTGATGCCATGTTTGGTCTATCAGCCACATTTTCTTGAACACACAACAATCCAATGTGGATGCACCTCATCATTTCATTTGTTGACCTAGATGTCCTAAGTATAGGGTCTATAAGGTTCATGCATGTCCCTTCCCTCCAATTTTTCCATGCATGCATGTAAGATTTATCAATTAAAATTTCATTTAGGATAACTGAAGACTGATATACTTACATAACTCAAAAGATCTTTCGTATTTTCTCCACTGCGGAAGCAACTAGTCTTTTGACCACATACAATTTCTAAAAGCAGTACACCGAAGCTAAATACGTCTGATTTGACTGAGAATCGACCATGCATTGCATACTCTGGAGCCATATAGCCACTCTATACAAATTTATACAATTTTAAATTTTAAACATGTATTGAATGATTGATTTATAAGTTTAGTTTTTTTTTTTTTAAAATTTTCTTTTTTCTCACTCTGTTTGGATACTTACTAGGTTCCCACAATTCTACTTGTGTTGCCTTGAGTTTGATCCATCATAAACATTCTTGCCATTCCAAAGTCTGAAATTTTCGGATTCATTTCTGCATCTAACAAAATATTACTTGCTTTCAAATCACGGTGAATAATCCGTAGCCGAGAATCCTGATGAAGGTAAAGAAGTCCTTTAGCAATACCACCAATGATCTTATACCGCCTATGCCAATCCAAATGTGTTCGCCGCTTGTTTTGATCTATACATTCATACAATTATCTCAAATTTCTCCAACAATGTTATATGAAATATTAAGTTAAAACAAAGAACAAAGTAGATTTGGTTTAAAAAACAAAGACCAAAGTAGATTGCATCCTTACCAAATATGGAAATATCAAAGCTTGGTGTTAAGTTAAAACAAAGAACAAGGTAGATTTGCAATCCTTACCAAAATATTGAAATTATCAAACTGGTGTTAGGCACAACTCATATATAAGGGAGCTTTCTCTTCCTTCCAGGCAAAATCCAAAAGCCTAACCAAATTCCGGTGTTGAAGCTTTGCCCAGTAGGACTTCATTTTTAAATTCCAAATCTTTCCTTGTTCCCTGAATCTTTAGAAACCTATTTCCTGCTAATATCTTGTCCATCAGAAAGCGTACCCTTGTAAACAGCACCAAATCCACCTTGTCCAAGCCTTATGATCCTCAGAAAAAGTTATTTGTTGCAAACAAAGTTATTTGTTGCAACTCTAATAGTCCCGAAATCGAATTGCAACGACTCCATCGTTTTGATTTCATCCACTTCAAGAGCTTCATGAGAGGTGCAAAGCCAATGGTTAATGCCCGACATCTCAATTTTTATTTTTATTAATTTTTTTAAAAGTAAAGTAACTGGCTTTACTATCGCATTTGACTTGTAAAATAACAATAGAATTTAGGTAAGCCAATTTTTACTTACTTTCAAGTTTTTCCTTTTGCTTACCAACTCTTAGAAAAATGCAGAAACAGATGAAAACAGTACCAACAATTATTGGAACAACTATGATAGCAATCCTCCGTGGTTTATTGCTCTTCTCTCCTGCGAATAGCCGGTCTGATCCCATTAGGTTATGGCTAATTTATAAAAAAAAAAAAAAAAAAAAAAAAAAAAAAGAAAATCAGATAAAAAAAAAAAAAAAAAAAAAAAGAAGAAAAAAAAGAAAATCAGATACCTATTCTTAAAACAAACTGAAAGAGTAAAGTAATTAATAATTCAGATTCTAAAGCACGGTTACCTTTTCTTGTATTATTGAAAGGGGGAGAAATATTAGATGGAGAAGATGGTGTTGGAGGTCCAGCAACAGGAGCATAGAATGAGTACAAATCCCATCTGAATGTACAACTAGGCTTCCTAACATAACCTCCTTGCTTCCCATGGCAACACTTATTATAAGCACTTGGTGCCTGTCGTAGACAATAGCTGCAATTGCTCTGGGATAAATCAGGGCTACACTGCATTGCTGCATATATTCTTGGAAAGGATCGGACGTCTGATTCTCCTGTCGCAGTCTTAAGCGTAGAATTGGACATAGAAGCTTTCGTTGCTAAGCTTTCCATCAAACTAGTCCAAGTCTGATCAAACTCAGACATATTAATACTAGATGGGAGGTCAGCGATATTATAGCCAGTCTCGGAAGGATCTACCTCCAGCTGTCCCAAAAATGAGCGATTCGCGTAGTGTATTTTACAAGCATTCCCAGTCCATATCACTGCTTCTTTCTGGTGAGGACATGTTGTGGTCAGCTTTTCAATTGAATCGTCGACACATTTGAAGCAAGCTTCTTGTGAATAGTCATATCTGCAAAGCACCAGACCATAAATTTTGTTTGTTCCTTGGCCTACTGTTGTGGTGTAGAAACCTCCATTTGCTGTGACGTTTGAAGCTAAAGAAGAAAGGATGAGAGCTCGATTATTGGCGTATGTACTGTTGGCTGTGAAGTTTCCTGTGTCGTAACATTTCAAAAGAGCATCGGCAAGGTTTATGCCAATGAGGAGATAGAAAATAAGACAAACAAATTCTATACAGCGCATGATTATGCTATTCGCGATTTTGATTCTTGAGCAGTTGAGATGAGATATTGCAGAATGTGGAAAAGGAAGACCCAAAATTTAACTGAATCGATTGTTAAATTCCCATTAACACATTATTTTGTTGACTTTATTACGCTTGTGAATTGTAATCACTACACTGCCCACTTTAGATTGTCTTTCCTTATAGCCCATGTATGCACTCTTCCCTAATCCTTCTATAGGGCCCAGGCCCAATTTAATAAAACTACGACTTGGTCCAACAGAACAAAAAAGTCATAATTTCACCGTTGACTTGGTTATCATTTCCAAAAGAAAAAAGCCGAACTGCCTATTGGCCAAAATTAATTATTCAACTAATCATAAAAAAATATTAATATTTTTGAAAGTAAAAGAAAGAGAGAGAAATTATTAATATTCATTATCATTACAAAGGAATTAGACATATATAACTGCCTAATTGATTAAATTAAAAATTTTGGTTAAAAAAATTGTTTCTACTTCATTATTTTTTTCCGGTGTTTAGTCAGAAATATTTTCGTTTCAATAAAAATTCTATTATTTATTTAGTTTGATCTATATATCTCTATCGGTACACAATATGTCTATTTTTTGAATCTTTGAATAAATCGTCAAAATTACACACAAACGTAAAATAGCTACAAAATATTTGAAATAATCAATATAAATACAACAACCAAAATTTGTTTTCAAAAATAATTTCCTACAGAGGATATAAATTCGTAATAGCTGATGAGTCATTTCTAGACAATGGAAGAGTTTCAATTTTCGAATGCGAGGATTCTGTCATTTTTGAATAGTAGCTTGCTGAAGAAGACACATCTGATTGAGTGCTGCCGTGCATAAAAAATGCAAGCTCTGAAGGTAAAGGTAAAGTAGTAGAATAGCTATTTAGCATAAGAACAACTGAAGCCATGTTTGGCCTATCAACTACATTTTCCTGAACACATAGTAATCCAATATGGACACATCTCATCATTTCAGTTCTTGAACCACTCCTCAAAGTTGGGTCTATAAGATTCATAGATGTGCCTTCCCTAAAATTTCTCCATGCCTGCAGAATTTATACAGGTTCTTAGTTAAGGAAAGGGGCAGTACTTTCAATATTTTGTTGAATAGATACGTAAAACTTAAATTTACTTACATAGCTCAAAAGATCCTCTATGTTCTCTCCATTGCGGAAACCATTATTTCTTTGACCACTCAAAATCTCCAAAATTAGAACACCGAAGCTAAATAAGTCTGATTTGACTGAAAATTGCTCGTGCATTGCATACTCTGGAGCCATATAGCCACTGTACACCAAAAACATTTATATTGACATGCCTAGATTATTTTCAATTGGCTATAATTAAAAATATATATAATACTTACTAGGTTCCAACAATTCTACTTGTGTTGCCTTGAGTTTGATCCATTACAAACAATCTTACGATGCCAAAATCTGAGATTTTTGGATTCATGTCAGCGTCTAATTTCTTCAACCAAATATTCATATTTGACTCACCATTATCAGGCACCGGCTCTGGAGCTGCGGGCACTGGTCTTGGTGTTGGTGGTTGATAGAATGGTCTCTCCTCATACCTTAAATTGCAGCTTGGGGCTAAAATACGCCAACCAATCTTTGCTTGGCAACAATCTTTGACAGCATCACTCAATTGCCCCAGACACGAACTACAAGCACTGCTATTAATATCTCTAGTGCACTGCACCAAAGCATATCTTTTCTGTGACCCATTAGCAGTTGCTGATTCATTTGTCCCAAACATTATCTTTGACGATGGAACGTAATCTATTAACGTGTAAATTAGTGCCAGTGCCCCATAGTTTGGTTCCTCAGGTGAGGTAGTGTTTTGGACATTCCACATGAGCAACCTTGGGAAAGTCTCTGCCACCCCAAAGAAGTTGGTATTAGAGTAACGTAACATACACTGATCATACCATATGATTGCAGATTTATTGGAGGCGCAGAATAGCAGCATCAATACAGAGTTTACAGGCGGTATTTGAAACATCGCCGCTGCATAAGTAGAGGCTGTAAACTCCATTTGATGAATCATTGTAGAAGGTGTTGAGCGTGGCCTTAGTAAGAAGAATAATAGATGAGAAAAGTTTTTGTGTATGTTATTCACATAAGTAGTGAGTTTATATAGATAAATACTCAACCACTTTCCATGAATATCTCAACAGATTTAGAGGATTTACAGGAATACAAATATTTGCAGAAATCAAAATAGCAAAATCTGATACAGATACAAAAGAATATGATTCTAATGTTTATCCTTTATTATGCCCCCGCAAGTTGGTGGTGATATCAAGAAGTGCCAACTTGGTAAACATGCGATTGAAGGTGGAACGTGGGAGAGGTTTAGTGAGGATATCAGCTACCTGATCAGCAGAATGTAAGTGCTTGACCTCTATCTCTTTGTTTTGTACCTGATCACGCACGAAATGAAAATCGATGGCAACATGCTTCATACGACTATGAAAGATAGGGTTCGCACAAAGATAGGTGGCACCCACATTATCACAAAAAATCCGTGGAATGGCAGATAGAGAAACACGAAGTTCATGTAAAAGATTGGTAAGCCAATTAGTTTCAGCAAGTGCACCCGCAACAGCTCGGTATTCAGCCTCAGTAGAAGAGCGAGAGACAGATCGTTGTTTCTTTGAGGACCAAGAGATTGGAGTGCCACCAAAATAAACAACATAACTAGTAGTAGAGGTTCGATCAATCGGATCACCGGCCCAATCAGAGTCAGAGTACACAAGTAATCGATTATCATGGTGATGAAAAATCTGAAGACCAATTGAGGAGGTGTGTTTGAGATACCGAATGAGGCGTTTGACAGCCTTCCAGTGAGTTTCTTTGGGGCAGTGCATGAATTGAGAAAGTTTATCGACCGCGAAGGCGATGTCCGGCCGAGTAAAGGATAAATATTGTAATTTTCCTACAACTCTGCGATAATAAGAACCATCAACAAGAGGGTCATCGGGTGAAATACCAAACACAGTGGAAGAAGACATTGGTGTAGGAACTCCTTTACTGTCTTGTATATTAACATCCTGTAACAGATCGATAATATATTTTTGTTGAGATAAGAACAATCCATCAGAATGTGGAATAACCTCAACACCCAAGAAATAATGAAGAGCACCAAGGTCTTTGAGAGAGAACCGAGTGGAGAGACCATGGATAACATGCCGAATACCACTCATGTGACTACCAGTAACAATTATGTCATCCACATAAACAAGAACATAAATACCTATCAATTGAACCATCAGGGTGATGCTTAACACGAAATAGCCACTTACAATCAACCAGTTCCAATGGGGTTGGAGTTTAGCTTGTTTGTAGGAACGTGGAAGAGAGGTCGTAGCAAGAAGGTTGATTATTTGTTTAGGTTTATGTATGTTATTTTTGGAGTGGGTAACCATGGGGTGGCTGGAAGTCGTAGGAGGTTGTATCGGTCAGTGGTGGTGGGAGTTGTAGAAGTCATGGTAAGGACCAATGTAGAAGAAGTAGTAGAAGAAGCAGGAGATGATAAAGAAGTAGAATTACCTGAAACGAGAGGTCTCTCTCTGGTTCGGTAGAGACGGAACTTTGTGAAGCGAGCGGCAAACACCTAGCAGGAGGTGGAAGTTCTAAACAAGGATTGGATGTGGAGGAGGAATCCTTATGACTGTGGTTATCGACGGTGAGTTCCCAAGAAATATGCTGAGAATGATTTTTAAGATGACCAAAGATATTTTGAAAAGGATAATTATCTTCAAAAAATAATACATCCCTGGATAGAAATATTTTTGAAGAAACAGGATCAAAACATTGATGGCAATAATATTTGTTAGAGAATCCTAAATAAACACATGGTGTTGAACGTGGCTCAAGTTTATTTTTGGTATATGGCCTAAGCCGTGGATAGCATAAGCAACCAAATATTTTTACAGACTCAAACTTTGGTGCATCATTGAACAAAAGTCCATATGGACAATTGTCCTATAGAGTTGGTGAGGGTAACCTATTAATAAGGTAAACAGCTTGATGACACGCAAAGCTCCAAAAAGTAGAGGGTAAAGATGCTTGATGCAATAAAGTTTTAGCAGTTTCAATAACATGTCTGTGTCGACGCTCAACTACGGATACGCGTTGAGGTGTGTAAGGTGGAGAAATTAAATGTTCAATACCATGTGTCTTAAAATAAATAGATAGTCCTTCAAATTCACCACCACCATCTGTATAAACAGAAAGAATTTTAGTTTGAAAATGTCGTTCAAGTAAGGGGTGTAGAATTTTAAAAACCCCTTGAACTTCATGTTTTGCTTTGATAGTGTACAACCACATGTATTTTGAGAAGTGATCAACAAACAAAACATAATAACGTTTTTTATCAATAGAAAGCACTGGAGAAGGGCCCCATGAATCACTGTAGATTATTTGCATAGGCTTATGACTTTGTAAGGAATTTTCAAAAAAAGGCAACCTATGCATCTTTGAAGAGCAACACGAATTACAAAGTGAAAAAGTCTTTGAATCACAAAAGGGAATAGAAAATTTATGCAGCAATTTATTTAGAACGGGACGATTAGGATGTCCTAAAGGTCGATGCCACGGGTTAAGAGGAAGACGTCGACAAGCCAAATTGGATTGAGGAAATTTGCGTGTAAGGCTCACCGGCCATTCATAAAGTCCATCTCTATTCCGCCCGCGTAGTAGAGGCACCCTCGTATTCAGATCCTTCACAAAGAAATGAGAAGGAAAAAAATTCAATAGAGGTTTTATTGTCTTGACAAAATTGAGATACAGATATAAGGTTACTTTTAATGTCAGGAGCACATAATGTATTTAATAGTTTGAAATTATAAGTTGATGCACATAAATGTGTGTTACCGGTATGAGAAATTGGAATGGTATTACCATTGCCCATTGAGATTTTTGTTGGTCCATGGTAGCCATGAACAGGTTCTAAGTTTTAAGCATCGGAAGTGATGAGGTGATTAGCTCTAGAATCAACAACCCATGGTTCAGAATGGTGAGACTGACGGCTCGCAAAGTTAGCTCGAGCTTGGAGGTGATTGTGAGACTGAGAACGACAAACTTTTGCAGAGTGACCGAAACGCTCACATAATTGGCATTGAATCCCATTATTTGAAAATTGTTGCTGTTGGTTTCTTCTAGAGCGCCATCTGGGATTGTTTTGTGTTTCGTGGCTGGATGGAGATGGCCATTGCTGGGTATGCGAGGGGTAAGTATTTCCCGGTCGTCGATTGTTATGGTTGTTGCGAGAAGGTTGATTGTTTCTGTGAGCTATTGCAGCAGTAATCGATGGCAACTTCTTAGATTCCTCATGCTGGATGAACAACTCATGATCAAGTAATTTTTCATATAGCTCTTCATAAGTGACAACTGTGTCTCTGGATCTAATAGCAGCAGAAATTTCTCGAAATTCAGGACCAAGACCATGAAGGATCTTAACAATGAGTTCTTCGTTGCTAACTGGGGCTCCAGCAATGGCAACTTCATCAGAAAGAGAGCGTACATCACGTAAATAATCAGTGACAGGTCGTGAATCTTTGTTGATGCGAGCTAGTTGATCTCGAAGACTAAAAATTCTAGTCTGAGATTTGTTGGCAAACGCAGTATGGAGAGATTGCCAAGCTTCGTGTGATGAGGGTGCTGCAGCAACAGTAGAGGCAAGAGTTGGATCTACTGACGCTAACAGAGCATTTTGGATGAGCTGATCTTGACGAAACCATGGTCCGTATGCAGGATTTGGGGCGGGTTGATTTGTTATGGTAACTGTGGTAGGAGGAGCTGGCAATGAACCATCAAGATGACCAAAAAGGTTATGGCCATGTAAAAGCATGGAGATTTGAGCTTTCCATGTGGCAAAATTATGACTGCCAAGAAGTTTTATGGGTAGTTGAGTGGCTGGGTTGAATTGGACAATTATAGCTAAAGTAGCTGTGTGATCAGCATTAACAACGGGAGTGTTGTCAGCCATGGCAGTAGAAGAGAAGCAGGAAGTGAAAAAAAAATGGGCTCGTATGAGCTTAATGCTCTGATACCATAAGAAGAATAATAGATGAGAAAAGTTTTTGTGTATGTTATTCACATAAGTAGTGAGTTTATATAGATAAATACTCAACCACTTTCCAAGAATATCTCAACAGATTTAGAGGATTTACAGGAATGCAAATATTTGCAGAAATCAAAGTAGCAAAATCTGATACAGATACAAAAGAATATGATTCTAATATTTATCCTTTATTACTTAGAAGATAGAGAATTGAAAAGGGCAATTAGTTCTGATTTGAAATTGGCACTTGCAGTGTCATTACCTGCACCTTGACAGATATGGGTATTGTAAGGTGCTTGACAATTGATTGAGCTTGTAAGAGCTGAGAATATGCTTGTAGGCTTGCAAGAAAATAAAAACTATCCTATGCTTGGACAAATGGAAGTTTCTTATCATTTTTAATTAGCATCAATGGAGGGCTAGAACTGGCGCTAGTTATGAATATATTGTAGGTTTAGCAACTCTTGACCGGGTCGTTTACTTTTGAATTTAATAGTTCTTTTTGTTTTTCTGATGTCAATCCAGCTACGATGCCGTTTCATTCGAAATTTCTCTGCAGTCAAACATTATATCGTGTCTGCTTAAATGATTAAAATTTTCTGGGTCATGGGTATTTGGGATACAAAAGCCCGTTTAGAATCACATGGGTTTACGTTTTACAATTTCAGTCCGTTTCCCAACAAAATTATTTGGACCACTGGGGAATTAACCGGCATGTAGCTCGCCCCAGCTATGTCAAAGACTATCCAATCCGTATATATAAAGGCAATAAGAAATGATATTTTATTAGAAAAATTACTTATCTTCATACAAAAAAACCAAATAAATAATTAACATTATCACTATTTTTCTTATGTTCCTTTAAGAATATTGTCCCGTTAATCGACTCGGAGAGTCAAAGTGTATAATACTTAACTAATATGTCCAATAAAAAAAAAATAACATTTTTTTCAATACACATAAGATAATAGTGTATTAAAATATTGATGGTGACAGAAGTGGTCAGGACAAGCCTCCCACGTCTCTGCGGCGGAAACCCGCTAACTTTCATTTTTTTTTGTCCATTTATTTGACTGGAGTTTCATACAACACGACAGCTTTGAATTTTATTTTCCAAAAGAAACCAAATTACAATTACTAAATAAATTATAATGGACTAGTCAAATACGTATTATTAGAGGAAAGCAGTGGATTACTGTTGACGCAAACAGAAGTTAATATTATCAGAATTCAAACTGGAAATCAATAATACACACGCAACAAATGACAAACTAAAAATATGAACTTTATCAAATCTTTAACGAGGAAACAATTCAGTAATTGAAACTTCATTCACTGATAATGGAAGAGTTCCAATTTTACCAGTGAAGAAGACATACATATATTGAGTGGCTGCTGTGCAAATAAAAATGCTGTTTTGAGGGTAAGGTAGATGTAAGAGAATAAGCTGCTTAGCATCAGAACTACTGGATACATGTTTGCCTATACACATTTTTTGAACTGCACATAATCATGTGGATGCACCTCATCATTTCTTTGTCGAGCCAGTGTTCTCAGTATAGGATCTAATAAGATTCATGTATGTCTTCCGTCCAGTTTTTCATAGCCTTGCATGTAGGTTTATCATTAAGGTTCATTTAGGAGATGAAAGACGCCGTGTTGGGATCACAGAATTTAATACTTACATAGCTCTCAAAATATCTTCTACAATTCTCCCATGTACGGAATTACTAATTGCTTTTGACCGCATACAGTCTCTAAAGGCAGCCACCAATAGTAAATAAAGTTGATTTTAACTGAGAATTGAACAATGGCATTGCATATCTGGAGCCATATGACTGTATAACAAATTTACATTAAGTTTTAGATTTAAAATATGTACATTGACGATGTTTATTTTTATTATCATTATTTTTTGTGTTGTTTAGATACTTACTAGGTACCCACAATTCTACTTGTATTGCCTTGAGTTTGATCCACCGCAAACAATCTTGCCATGCCAAAATCTGCAATTTTCGGGTTCATCTCTGCATCTAGCAAAATATTGCTAGCTTTCATGTCACGGTGAATTATCCGTAACCGAGAATCCTCGTGAAGGTAAAGAAGTCCTTTAGCAATACCACCAATGATCTTATAACGCCTATGCCAATCCAAATGCATTTGCCGCCTGTTTTGATCTATACATTCATACAATTATCTCAATTTTTTCAAACTATGTTATCTGAAATATTAAGTTAAAACAAAAACAAAGTAGATTTGCATCCTTACTAAAAAGGAAATGATCGAGGCTGGTGTTAGGCACAAACTCATATATAAGGAGCCTTTCTTTTCCTTCCAAGCAAAATCCCAAAAGCCTAACCAAATTCCGGTGTTGAAGCTTGGCCACCAGTAGAACTTCATTTTTAAATTCCAAATCTCCTTGTTGAAATTTCTTTAGAAAGCCTTTTCACTGCTATGTCTCGTCCATCAGAAAGCGTGCCCTTGTAAACAGCACCAAATCCACCTTGTCCAAGCTTATTTTCTTCAGAAAAGTTATTTGTTGCAACTCTAATAGTCCCAAAATCGAATTGCAATGACTCCACATTTTTTATTTCATCAGCTTTATGAGAGGTGCAAAGCCAATGGTTAGTGCACAACATCTCAATGGCTTTTCTATCACAGGTTTTGAAAATAATAATGGAATTTAAGTAAGCCAATATTTACTTACTTTCAAAACTTTCCCTTGGCTTCCGAACTCTTAAAAAGATGCAGAAACAGATGACAAGAATTACAGTGCCGACAATTATTGGAACAACTATGATAGCAATCGTACGTGCTTCATTGCTCTTCTCCCCTGCAAAAGCCAGTCTGATCCCATTAAATTATGGCTAATTTAGAAAAATTAACAACAAATTAATGGACAAAAGTCCAAATAAAAGAAAAAATAAGATAGATATGCTTAACACAAACTGAAAGTGAACTAATTAACAATAGCTACCTTTCATTGTATTATTGATTGAAGGGGGAGAAATACTAAGTAGAGGTGGAGGAGATGGTGTTGGAGGTTCAGCTATAGGAGTATAGAATGGGTACAAATCCCATCGGAATGTACAACTAGGCTTCGTAACATAACCTCCTTGCTTCCCATGGCAACAGTTATTATAAGCACTTGCTGCCTGTCGTAGACAATAGCTGCAATCGCTCGAGGATAAATCAGGAGTACACTGCATTTGTGCAAATATTCTTTCAAGGGGCTTGACGTCTGCTTCTTCTGTCGCAGTCTTAAGCGTAGAATTGGACATAGAAGCTTTCGTTGCTAAGCTTTCCATCAAACTAGTCCAAGTTTGATCAAACTCAGACATATTAATATTAGACGAAAGGTTACCGGTATTATAGCCAGCATCGGTAGGGTCTATCTCCAGCTGTCCGAAAAAAGAGCGATTCGCGTAGTGTATTGTGCAAGGATTCCCAGCCCATATCACTGCTTCTTTCTGGTTAGGACAGTTTGTGGTTATCTCTTCAATTGCATCATTGACCCATTTGGAACAATCTTCTGATGAAGAGCCAAATCTGCAAAGCACCAGACCATAAATTTTATCCGCCCCTTGGCCTACAGTAGTGGTGTAGAAACCTCCATTCGCTGTGACGTTTGAAGCTAAAGAAGAGAGGATGAGAGCTCGGTTATTGGCGTATGTACTGTTGGCTGTGAAGTTTCCTGTGTCGTAACATTTCAACAGAGCATTGGCAAGGTTGATGCCAATCAGAAGATGGAAAATAAGACAAACAAAATCTTTGCAGCGCATGGTTATACCATTCGCAAGTTTGATTCATGAGCAGTTGAGATGGGATATTGCAGGATGTGGAAAAGGAAGCCCCAAACCCAAAATTGAACTGAATGGATTGTTAAATTCTCATTAACAATAACGCAGTTTCCAGTCACCAACCTATCACTTTATTGACTTTATTACGCTTGTGAATTGTATTCACTGCACTACCTACTTTATATTGTCTTTCCTTACAGCCAATCTCTGCACTCTTCCTTAATCCTTCTATGCGGCTCAGGCCCATTTGATCAAGCGACGACTTGGTCCAACAGAACAAAAAGTCATAATTTCACCGCTGTCTTGGTTATGGTTTCCAAAAAAAAAAGAAAAAAAAAAAAAAAAAAAAGAAAAAAAAAAAAAAGTAAATAGAGTAAAAGTAAGTATTTCCACTCCCATCAGAATCAATGCTCTACAATAATAATAATAATAAGAAGAAGAAGAATGAGAAGGTATTGAAAGTATTGCCTTTTATGAGTGAAGAATGAGAAGGTATTGAAAGTATTGCCTTTTATGAGTGGTCTTAATTATAAATGTGAAAGGGACTCGAATAATCCATATAATAGACTTCAAAGAATGGGTAATAATATTGAAAATTTGAAATTAATTTCATCTACTCACAAAAGGGATTATAGCCAAAACTTCTTTAATTTTAGCTAAAACTTTAACTAAATTTAACTAATTTGGAGCTGGCTAAAATCCCAGGAGAATTGGTGATTATGGAAATGGAGAAAGCGGTTGGTGACGGTAGAAGAAACGGAAAGAATGGCTATGGCGAGATACATCGCCACCTACGGCGACAATTTCCATAGTGATGGTGGTGATTGCAGGTGGTGCCGGTGCCATCGGTTCAGTGGCTAGGGACACATCCTATTTCTAGGTCATGGGTATTTGGGATACAAAAGCCGGTCCAGAATACATGGGCTTACGTTTTACAATTTCAGTCCGCTGCGTCGTTAATTTCTCCCAATTAAATTATTTGGACCACTGGGCAATTAACTGCCATGTAGCTCGGCCCAGCTATGTCAAAGCCTATCCAATCCGTATGTTTAAAGGCAATAATATCTTATTAGAAAAGTTATTTATTTTCAGACACGAAACCAAATAAATAATTAATATTATCACTGTTTTTCTTTAATGAAATTAAGACTACGTTTTCTTTTAACAAACTATAAATTTAATAATATATCTTTTACTCTCCAAATTATTGGACTGAAAATTTAGTCACAATTAAAATTTTCGCTTCCCATTAAAAATATATTTAGTACGAAGTAAATTCAAAAGCTCTTTGTACACATTCCAATTACATTATCAACTAAATTGCAAACAGTAGAGATTTATAGATTAATTAACATTTTTTTTAAACACGTACAAATATAATAACAGTGTATTAAAATATTGATGTGACAGGAACACGCTATCATCTTTTTTTTGTCCGTTTATTTGACTGGAGTTTCATACAATGATACAACACGACAACTTTGAATTTTATCTTCAAAGAGGCATTGTCCAAACAATATTCTAATACGAAGGGATAAGAAAAAAAGAAACAAAACTACAATTATTAAATCGAATAAGACGGACCATTCTAAATAAATTACAATTTAGTCAAATTCACGAGATTTAATAAGCATTGTTGGTATTATCAGAGCAAAGCAGTGGATTACTGATGATGCAAACACAAGTTAAATGTTAAAAATTTTAATATAAGCTACTATGAATTGTTGACTGTTTTAATTTGAAAAAGTAGACCGAATAAATATAGTTTAAAAATATGTGTATGGAGTCTAATTTGAGTTCATGTGATCACATGTGCAACGAGTATGTACATCTCTAATGGACTTGCCATGGGAAGATCTACAAAATTCTATATAAATAAGTAGGTCCCATCTCTTTTCTTAATCCTAATATTGACTAATTTCATTGAATAATTGCTTTGTGGATAAGGAGACGGAGAGAAAAATCTAGTCCCTCTTTTACACATTCAAATTTCGTATTTGAATGTGTAATTGCAGTTAATCAAGAAAAAAGATTACGAATTCTACTGTTATATCGACTTTATATCATAAATGTGTGATTGCAGTTCTAAAAAGATTACGAATTCTACTTTATATATTTCATATCTATTTTATATCACAAATCAAGTACACAAATTCTGCAATTTTTTTACAGTAAATATATCAAAATTCAAATTGAAAATCAATAATATACAAGAACACATAACAAACTAAAACATGAACCTTGTCAAACATTTAACGGGGAACCAGTTCTGTAATTGAAACGTCGTTCATTGATGCCTTGGAATTATACCACAGTGAAGATGATATATCTGATTCAATGCTACTGAGCATTAAAAAAGCCGGTCGTGAGGGTACAGGTAGAGTAAGAGAGTAACTGCTTAGCATCAGAACTACTGATGCCATGTTTGGTCTATCAGCCACATTTTCTTGAACACACAACAATCCAATGTGGATGCACCTCATCATTTCATTTGTTGAGCTAGAGTATAGGGTCTATAAGGTTCATGTATGTCCCTTCCCTCCAATTTTTACATGCCTGCATGTAAGATTTATCAATTAAGATTTCATTTAGGATAACTGAAGACTGATATACTTACATAACTCAAAAGATTGCTGAAGCAACTAGTCTTTTGACCACATACAATCTCTAAAAGCAGTACACCGAAGCTAAATACGTCTGATTTGACTGAGAATCGACCATGCATTGCATACTCTGGAGCCATATAGCCACTGTATACAAATTTACACGATTTTAAATTTTAAACATGCATTGAATGATTGATTTATAAGTTTTTTTTTTTAATTTTCTTTTTTTTTTTCACTCTGTTTGGATTCTTACTAGGTTCCCACAATTCTACTTGTGTTGCCTTGAGTTTGATCCATCACAAACATTCTTGCCATTCCAAAGTCTGAAATTTTCGGATTCATTTCTGCATCTAACAAAATATTACTTGCTTTCAAATCACGGTGAATAATCCGTAGCCGAGAATCCTGATGAAGGTAAAGAAGTCCTTTAGCAATACCACCAATGATCTTATACCGCCTATGCCAATCCAAATGTGTTCGCCGCTTGTTTTGATCTATACATTCATACAATTATCTCAAATTTCTCCAACAATGTTATATGAAATATTAAGTTAAAACAAAGAACAAAGTAGATTTTTATACGAAATATTAAGTTAAAACAAAGAACAAAGTAGATTTGCAATCCTTACCAAAATATGAAATTATCAACAGCTGGTGTTAGGCACAAACTCCATATAATAAGGAGCCTTTCTCTTCCTCCTTCCAGGCAAAATCCAAAAGCCTAACCAAAAATTCCGGTGTTGAAGCTGGCACAAACTCATATATAAGGAGCCTTTCTCTTCCTTCCAGGCAAAATCCCAAAAGCCTAACCAAATTCCGGTGTTGAAGCTTGGCCATCAGTAGGACTTCATTTTTAAATTCCAAATCTCCTTGTCCTGAATCTCTAGAAAGCCTTTTCACTGCTATATCTTGTCCATCAGAAAGCGTACCCTTGTAAACAGCACCAAATCCACCTTGTCCAAGCTTATTTTCCTCAGAAAAGTTATTTGTTGCAACTCTAATAGTCCCGAAATCGAATTGCAACGACTCCATCGTTTTGATTTCATCCACTTCAACAGCTTCATGAGAGGTGCAAAGCCAATGGTTAATGCCCGACATCTCAATTTTTATTTTTATTAATTTTTTTAAAAGTAAAGTAACTGGCTTTACTATCGCATTTGATATTTAAAATAACAATAGAATTTAGGTAAGCCAATTTTTACTTACTTTCAAGTTTTTCCTTTTGCTTCCCAACTCTTAAAAAAATGCAGAAACAGATGAAAAGAGTACCAACAATTATTGGAACAACTATGATAGCAATCGTCCGTGCTTTATTGCTGTTCTCTCCTGCGAATAGCCGGTCTGATCCCGTTAGCTTATGGCTAATTTTTTTTTTTTAGAAATTCAGATACCTATTCTTAAAACAAACTGAAAGAGTAAAGTAATTAATAATTCAGATTCCAAAGCATGGTTACCTTTTCTTGATTTATTTATTGAAGGGGGAGAAATATTAGGTGGAGAAGATGGTGTTGGAGGTTCAGCAACAGGAGTATAGAATGGGTACAAATCCCATCGGAATGTACAACTAGGCTTCCTAACATAACCTCCTTGCTTCCCATGGCAACAGTTATTATAAGCACTTGGTGCTTGTTGTAGACAATAGCTGCAATTGCTCTGGGATAAATCAGGGCTACATTGCATTACTGCATATATTCTTCGAAAGGATCCGACGTCTGATTCTCCTGTCGCAGTCTTAAGCGTAGAATTGGACATAGAAGCTTTCGTTGCTAAGCTTTCCATCAAACTAGTCCAAGTCTGATCAAACGCAGACATATTAATACTAGATGGGAGGTCAGCTGTATTATAGCCAGTCTCGGAAGGATCTACCTCCAGCTGTCCGAAAAATGAGCGATTCGCGTAGTGTATTTTACAAGGATTCCCAGTCCATATCACTGCTTCTTTCTGGTTAGGACATGTTGTGGTCAGCTTTTCAATTGACTCGTTGACACATTTGGAGCAAGCTTCTGATGAATAGTCATATCTGCAAAGCACCAGACCATAAATTTTGTTTGTTCCTTGGCCTACTGTTGTGGTGTAGAAACCTCCATTTGCTGTGACGTTTGAAGCTAAAGAAGAAAGGATGAGAGCTCGATTATTGGCGTATGTACTGTTGGCTGTGAAGTTTCCTGTGTCGTAACATTTCAAAAGAGCATCGGCAAAGTTTATGCCAATGAGAAGATGGAAAATAAGACAAACAAATTCTATACAGCCCATGATTATGCTATTCGCCATTTTGATTCTTGAGCAGTTGAGATGAGATATTGCAGAATGTGGAAAAGGAAGACCCAAAATTTAACTGAATCGATTGTTAAATTCCCATGAACACATCATTTTGTTGACTTCAGATTCTCTTTCCTTATAGCCCATGTCTGCACTCTTCCTTAATCCTTCTATAGGGCCCAGGCCCAATTTAATAAAACTACGACTTGGTCCAACAGAACAAAAAAGTCATAATTTCACCGTTGACTTGGTTATCGTTTCCAACAGAAAAAAGCCAAACTGCCTATCGGCCAAAATTAATTATTCAACTAATCATAAAAAAATATTAATATTTTTGAAAGTAAAAGAAAGAGAGAGAAATTATTAATATTCATTATCATTACAAAGGAATTAGACCCACTTCAGATTAAATTAAAAATTTTGGTTAAAAAAATTGTTCTTACTTCATTGTTTTTTCTCCTGTGTTTAGTCAAAAATATTTTCGTTTTAACAAAAATTCTATTATTCATTAGTTTGGTCTATGAGTGTAGCCAACGGAGAATTGACCATATATCTCTATCAGTACACAACATGTCTATTTTTTGAATCTTTGAATAAATCGTCAAAATTACACACAAACGTAATATAGCTACAAAATATTTGAAATAATCAATATAAATACAACAACCAAAATTTGTTTTCAAAAATAATTTCCTACAGAGGATATAAATTCGTAATAGCTGATGAGTCATTTTTAGACAATGGAAGAGTTTCAATTTTCGAATGCGAGGATTCTGTCATTTTTGAATAGTAGCTTGCTGAAGAAGACACATCTGAATGAGCGCTGCTGTGCATAAAAAATGCAGGCTCTAAAGGTAAAGGTAAAGTAGTTGAATAGCTATTTAGCATAAGAACAACTAAAGCCATGTTTGGCCTATCAACTACATTTTCCTGAACACATAGTAATCCAATATGGACACATCTCATCATTTCAGTTCTTGAACCACTCCTCAAAGTTGGGTCTATAAGATTCATAGATGTGCCTTCCCTAAAATTTCTCCATGCCTGCAGAATTTATACAGGTTCTTAGTTAAGGAAAAGCCATGTTTGGCCTATCAACTACATTTTCCTGAACACATAGTAATCCAATATGGACACATCTCATCATTTCAGTTCTTGAACCACTCCTCAAAGTTGGGTCTATAAGATTCATAGATGTGCCTTCCCTAAAATTTCTCCATGCCTGCAGAATTTATACAGGTTCTTAGTTAAGGAAAGGGGCAGTCCTTTCAATATTTTGTTGAATAGATAAGTAAAACTTAAATTTACTTACATAGCTCAAAAGATCCTCTATGTTCTCTCCATTGCGGAAACCATTATTTCTTTGACCACTCAAAATCTCCAAAATTAGAACACCGAAGCTAAATACGTCTGATTTGACTGAAAATTGCCCGTGCATTGCATACTCTGGAGCCATATAGCCACTGTATACCAAAAACATATATATTGACATGCCTAGATTATTTTCAATTGGCTATTATTAAAAATATATATAATACTTACTAGGTTCCGACAATTCTGCTTGTGTTGCCTTGAGTTTGATCCATTACAAACAACCTTGCCATGCCAAAATCTGAGATTTTTGGATTCATGTCAGCGTCTAATAGAATATTGCTGGCTTTCATGTCACGATGAATGATTCGAAGCCGAGAGTCCTCGTGAAGGTAAACAAGTCCTCGAGCTATGCCACAAATAATCTTGTAACGTGTTTCCCAATCTAATTCTTCACGCTTTGTTCGATCTAAGTAGTTATAATGTATAAGTTAATATAGACATTAATTTTGCTATAGCGAGATGATTAATTATAATTAAATATATATGCCATTTCTTACCAAATAAGAAATGGTCAAGGCTAGTGTTTGGGACAAACTCATAGATAAGAAGCCTTTCATTGCCTTCCAAGCAGAAACCGAGAAGCCTAACTAAATTTCTGTGCTGAAGCTTAGCCACCAAAAGGACTTCATTTTTAAATTCTAGATCTCCTTGTCCTGAATCTTTAGACAGTCTCTTCACTGCTATTGTTTGACCGTTATATAATGTACCCTGAAAATTAGTTAATTACATTTTCAGATATGGAAAAATTTAATTAGATTATTATTTGTCCATTCTATAGAATTCCATTATTACCTTGTAAACAGCACCAAATCCACCTTGCCCGAGCTTATTTTCATCAGAGAAGTTATTTGTTGCAGCTTTAACAGTTTCAAAGTCCAACTGCAAAGATTCTGCAGTTTCAATGTCATCTACAGCTTTACATCACAACAAAAGGGAACAAATTAATTAGCCCAATTGCAAAATGAAATTAATATGTAATAATACATTCTTAAAATGTACATCAAGAAACTATAAGTCCAATCTATTTTTACTTACTTTCAGCTTTTTCATTTGGCTTCCTCCGCGTCCTGAAAAAGATGCAGAAGATGATGATGGCTAATAATACCACAACACTGACAGTTGGAACTACGATGATAATGACTGTTCGTGCTTTGTTGCTCTTCTTTCCTGCAGAAATCAATTCAGCTCCATTAATTATTTGTTAAAATGCAATTATATATGCTATACAACAGGGAGTTTATAAGTCTGCCAACCTTCTGATGGTGGAGGAAGAGGTACAGCCGGTGATGATGGTGATGGAAGTTGGTAAAAGAACCTATTGTCAAACCTGACGTTGCAACTGGGTTTAATTATTTGTGCTCCTAAACTTCCAGCACAGCATCCAGGAATGTCCCGAATAGCCTGAGCCAGGCAATCATCGCACTCCTGGCTAGATAAGTCAGGACTGCATTCCGTTAGTCCAAATACATTTTCAAATCCTGCGTTTTCATTTCCTATTGCAAACTTTCGAGTTGAGTTCCCTGACGCTGTCTCGCTCCGAAGTCTACTCAACAACGTTTGCAGTGCCTGAGTGAAACGGTTCACATCCGAAGCATTGTTTGTATTCCAGATACGGAAAACGGGTGATCCTTCCATCACACCAAATATGGATCTGTTGGAGTATCGCAGAGTACAGAAATCATATACTCCAAAAGCTTCCTTCTGGTTTGGACAAATCTGTAAGATCTTACTAGTAGCGTTGCTTATACAACCTCGACAGTCTTCAAGCCCCACATCTCCTCTACAGAGCCCAATAGCACTTACTTGGTCCGGGGCTTCGCCGACAGAGAGATTGTAAAATCCATTGTCAATTTCGGTGTTGGAAGCGAGGGATGACAGGAGATTGTCGAGGTTTCTTTTGTAGAGGCTGTTAGTTGTATAATTACCTCTTCCATTGTTACAGAACGGGAACAAGAAGTCTGGCTGAGCATTGGCTAGAGAAACTAGTCGTAGGAGAAGATAAGAACAGGACAATAGAATTGTTAAAGAAGCCATTCACGTCGTGCAATGTACAAGCTCACCCTCTGAAAATCAGTCTTTATCAAATATTTATGGGATTCTACAAGTTCACCGGTCAGAATATTTGAAAATTTTCCTCTTGTTTTTTTTTTTTTGTTTCAAGAGTAGAACATGTCATTGTTGAATATGTCTGTAATGGATGGTAAATTAGTTTATTGTAACGCGGTATCATCCCTAGCATCTAGATTCTCAGAACCTGTCAAAGAATTTTCAGGGACTCGGATTAAACGGCCTTGTAGAAAACGTCAGATCGGGTTACCTTTTCGTAAAGGCCCATCAAGAGTGGCCCAATACCTTTACTTATGGACTCCAATAAACTGCAATTACTAATTAACGGGCCTAAAATGCTGTTAACAATGCATTGCCAAATTGTTTATGTTTTTCTATAATAATTAATTATATTTTTCTATGTTGCCAAATCCCACAATAATAACCAATTGGAAGTTAAAAAAAAATAAAAAATAACTAAAACAATGACTACCAACTTAAAGAGAAATCACAATTTTACATCAAAACAAGTGAAGAAATTAATTTAGAAAATTGAGTTTAATTGATAATTGTCCTTTTAGCTTGTAAATTTTTATGTTTGGAGACCATTTAGCATATGATACTTTATCTAAAAATCAGTGAGAATTTGATGAAAAAAGAAAAAAAAGAAGAAGCAGATGTTAGACCCCTTCAAAGAATATATGCACTAATGCAATGTACTCCTGATTTATCCTCGAGCGATTGCAGCTATTGTCTACAACAGGCAGCGGGTGATTATAATAACTGTAGCCGTGGGAAGCGAGGATTTTATGTTACGAAGCCTAGTTGTACATTCCGATGGGATTTGTACCCATTCTATACTTCTATTGCTGAACCTCCAACACCACCTCCTCCACCTTTGCTTAATATTTCTCCCTCTGCAGTCAATTATACAAGAAGGCAAGGTGGCTAAGCTCTGGAATTTGAATTATTAATTAGTTCACTCTCAGTTTGTGTTAAATATATCTATCTGATTTTTCAGTCCTTTTTTCACAATTTCTGATCTGGGCAGAAAATGAAGTTTAGCTGCTCGCGCTGTTGTAATTGGCGTTGCTCCTACAATAATCTTGGTGTCAGTTATGGCCCTCACTTGCGCCCTATTCCGTTATAGGAAGTCAAAGCAACCGACCAAAAGTAAGTTACATGCTGAAGATTTGAACGAAAATAGTAGCACAGGATGCCAGCAATTCACCCATGAAACAATCAGACTTGCAACTGATAACTTCTCTGATAATAATAAACTTGGACAAGGCGGATTTGGTTCTGATCTCACAACATGTCAATCTCCTTTCAAATTTCCTTTCTTCATTTGTATATTTTAATTTTTAATTAATATTTTTTTGAATTGGGGAATCCTTCCAGATGGACAGCGAGTAGCTGTGAAAAAGCTGCTAAGAAACTCAAGGCAAGGAGAAGTTCAATTTAAGAATGAAGTCACGATAGTGGCCAGGATTCAACGTACGAATTTGGTTAGGCTCTTGGGTTTCTGCTTTGAAGGAAATGAAAAACTTCTTCTCTATGAGTTCGTGCCAAATTCAAGTGTCGACCGTTTCATATTTGGTATTAGTTCCTGAATTTCTTCTCTACTCTATTTTGGTTTTCATTTGAACTATATATATGAGATCTTGATGAGATTTAATGTTTGGGTAAAAAATGACTCTCTCTCAATCTATTTATTGAGAATAGAAGTATTTATTTACAACTAATTACAAGTATAAATATCTATCTAATAAATCCTAACAGATCTTAAATTTGCAGATCAAGGGAAGCGTTTACTACTGGATTGGGAGAAGCCCACAAAATTATAGTGGGCATAGCCTTTGGAATTCTTTATCTTCATGAAGATTCTCAGCTCCGGATTATTCATCGCGATCTCAAACTTAGCAATGTTCCCTAGATGAAAATACGAAGCCTAAAATTGCAGACTTTGGAATTGCAAAATTGTTTGCAATCGATCAATCTCAGGCTGCTACAAGCAAAGTCATAGGAACCTTGCAAGTATAAAAATTATTTACAGCAGTGCATTCATCGTTAGCACAAAACAAAAGTTATTTGTATCCAAAATCAAACAATTAATTGTTGTCACGTTCAGTGGCTATATGGCTCCAGAGTACGTGAAGCATGGACTTGTGTTAGTGAAAGCAGATGTCTTTAGCTTTTGGTGTGCTAGTTTTGGAAATTATCAATGGTCAAGAGAACCGTAATTTCCGAAATGTAGAAGAAGGGGAACAGTTTCTAACCTATGTAAATATATGCTTCTTGTTATATTTCTCCTTTCAATTAGCTATTCGACTCATCAATCTGAAAATCTTTAATATTTGTAGGCATGGGAGAACTAGAATAAAGGGACTGCTTCAAATGTAATAGATCCTGTCCTATTGGAAGATTCTTCAAGAAGTGAAATATTGAGATGCATCCATATAGCATTACTATGCTTACAAGAAGACGCAGCCAAAAGACCAACCAGGGCTTCAGTGGTTCTCATGCTCACTAGCCACTCTCTTGTTCTCACAAAACCGTCAAAACCTGCATATCTTATGCGCAGTTCCATGGAGCGAAAAACATCACTGTCACCAGAATCGACTCCGGCAAGACTGTCCCAAGGCAGGCCTATCCAATGCTCAATTAACGATGCTTCGATTACAGAGCTAGAACCTCGTTAAAAGTCAGCAACTTTTGTCTTTTTCTTTTTTTCCCTTAAAACAAGCTTGTTTAAAGTTCTTGATAAGATGAATTACTTCTTCAAGTATATTTAGTTTTAATACTGTGCCTATATGTTAAAGTTCAACTCTTTTGTCATAGTTTTGTCTACGGCTTCTTTATGCAATTGTTTATTCCTGGCTAATTGATGAATTTTTTCTTTTAGAATTTCCTTCTTGTCAATTGGATAATTCTAAAGAAATTAGATTATCTTAATTATTTTGTAGAACTCCATCTATCTACATAGCTATGGTGTTGCTTTATTTTCAGTCGACTTATTATTGTAAAAGATACACAATGTTCAACCAGGACATGTGAAATTAAGATACAGCTATTACATATTCCTGCAAATTATCTATGCAGAAAACAATACTAGCCAAAACCACTTATTTAGCCTTTTTCATTATATTATGGAGCAAAACCGTTTACACAGAATACATTGATTCAACCTTCTCCGATCGGAAATGTCGTGAATAGAGAGATGAAGACGAAAGGTACCACTAAAGTAACACTAGGAGCAAAGTGGCGATGAAACCTCCTGCAGCTATATTACTTGCTTTTCCTGTAAAACCAGAACGAAATTTGATTATAGCTGAATTTGGCGGTATAGATCGGCAAGTGCACTTTTTTTTTTTCTTTAAGGATTTTTTATGCATACATTATACAAAGAAATAGTAATTACCTATTAAGCTAGCTCTACCAGTTGGTGGTTGAGGCGCCAGTGGTGGTGAAGATGACGATGGTAGAGGTGGAGGCGCCAGTGGTGGTGAAGATGACGATGGTAGAGGTGGAGGCGCCAGTGGTGGTGAAGATGAGTAGAGGTGGAGGCGCCAGTGGTGGTGAAGATGACGATGGTAGAGGTGGAGGCGCCAGTGGTGGTGAAGATGACGATGGTAGAGGTGGAGGCGCCAGTGGTGGTGAAGATGACGATGGTAGAGGTGGAGGCGCCAGTGGTGGTGAAGATGACGATGGTAGAGGTGGAGGCGCCAGTGGTGGTGAAGATGACGATGGTAGAGGTGGAGGCGCCAGTGGTGGTGAAGATGATGATGGTAGAGGTGCTGGAGCTGGTGATGGTGATGGTGGCAGTGTCTCGGCGGCAGAGTCATAGAAAAGCTCTATCTCGTACCTGAAATTGCAACTAGGTGTACCCACTCTGGCCCCTTGCTTCCCATCACAACATTGTGGAATGATTCCAGTTGCTTTAGCTAAGCAATCGCTGCAGTTCTGCTTCGACAAATCAGGAGTACACTGAGCCAGTGCATATATAGTTTGATTACTTGTAGTTCTTGCATTTCCTGTCGCGAACTTGCGTAGAGAATCGCCTGATGCAACTTGAGTAACCAAGCTATCTAACAAGGTCTTTAGCACCCGATTGAATTGAGTTACTTGGGAGACATTGTTGACGTTCCACATTACAAAACTCGGATTTATTTCCATACTGCCAAACAGGGAGCGATTTGAATATCTTAACATACAATTGTCATACCAGGTAATAGCTTCCTTCTGGTTAGGGCAAAGCTGCTTTAGTGCTAGGCTGGAGTTTCCAATGCAACTCCGGCATATTTCAGGCTTTGTGTCTCCTCTACAAAGTGCAATTGCATTAACTTTGTCGGTGTTTTGGCCGATTGAATCATTGTAAAAGCCGCTACTGATTTTAGTATTGGAGGAGAGGGAGGTGAGGATGCGATCAAGGTTGGAACTGTAAGTACTGTTAGCAGTGAAATTACCATTGTTATTGCAGAAATAAAACAATGGTGGAATTGGCTGTGCAATGGTCACAACAAGTAGTTGAATCAAAGTGGGATAGAAGAGAAGCAGTAATCTTGAAGAACCCATTTCCAATTGCCTCGCAATTTTTATTTGCCGAGTCTTTTTAATTCCTCTTATGAGCAGTTGAAATTAATTCCAATACAATAGCAATTGAGGACTACCTGTAAGTTGTGAGTTTCACATTTATGTCAACACTCATCAAAGCAATACTTCGGTTCTTTGCGCGTAGGTCGTCGGTCGTCCTATGTCAACAGCTCAAGTGCTCCATCTTTTATCTTATTTATTTATTTATTTATTATTGTTATTATTGTTATTATTATTATTATTATTTTGCCAGCACTAAATGAGAAAAGAAAAGTATTGGTTTTGATGGATGAAGTAAGTCAAGGTCAAGCTACATATAATGTCCTGTCAATGTCATGAAAGAAGACGTTTGCCTAGGGTAAGGGAAGTTCTAATCCGTGTATAACGGGAACATGACATAACCGGGCAATTAAAATACATGTCAGTCTAGGTCACAACAGCAACCTCATTCGTTTGCTTCCTTGTGCAGAAAAGTTCTAAAAAAAACACTTTATACAGGTAATTAGAGGAAAAAAAAAAAAATCAATCTCTCAATGTGAACTTGCTGACTTTTTTGTTTGACCAATTCGTCGTTTGATTTAATCGGGCCTAACCCTAAATTAGAACCACCGACCACAAGATTGTAAAGACTGTCACTTCGCGATTCAGTCAAGTCTTAAACCAATGTTTTGATTTTTCTGCTTTGGCCATGGCTTAAAGCAATCTATTTTTAAAAAAAATAATAATAATTTGACAAAAATGAACTTGATTGCAACTTTTTTTTAATAATTTAATTACTTCAATTATAAATTTTTATGTTCAGATACCTAATTTAAAAAAATTAAAAAACTCAGATAGTATAAATATAATTAACCCTTAATTAAATAAAATAATTGATATCTTTTTAAGTTAGGTAGGTCATTATAAAGAATCCTAGTCAAACTACAATCGCAAAGTTGAAATTTTTGTTTTCAGAAAATGATAGACAGATAGCAGAAGCGAGATGGCGAAGGCAACCAAAAGATAGCGACTGAACTGAAAGAAACAAGAAATTTCTGCCTAAATAGTTGACAGTAATATCATTACCCATTACCCAGTAAAGTTGAAAAGTAATCGATCTGTCGTCTTAACGAAAGGATTTTTCTTTCTTCCTTCTGTTGTTTTGTCAAAAATGCTGAAAAGTTCTGCCACTGAAATCCAAGTACACACTGTTACATAAAAAATTGTTCATGAAAATTCTACAGCTTTCATTTCCGAACGTACTATTTGCCAAATTTATTTTGCTTCCATAGATCACATAAATAAAGAAAAAAGTTTGATTTTTTTAACTGAAGTAATAATCTTGCTTAAAACTCATTTTTGTCACTATCGAGGATATACTTGAGTAATGGGTTCTTCATCAACAGAGCATATCACTGTACTCTTGCTAATGGTGGTTGATTTATCAGATTCAAACCCCTTCAGTTGCATGCTCTGTTCTGATCCGCTGTTGAGAAAAAAAGCAGGCTGTTGAGGCACTGGTAGAGTAACAGAGTAGCTGCTGAGCATGAGAACTATCGTGGGCATTGTTGGTCTATCTGCTGGATCTTCCTGAACACATAATAAACCTATTTGGATGCATCTTAAGACTTCACTTCTTGAATGTGAATCTACTAGAGTGGGATCTAACACTTCCATGGGTGTCCCATTTCTCCAATGTTTCCAGACCTGTAGAAATTCAAGTAATAAAGATTTTTTTTTTTTTTCTGATATTTGACTGGGATGAGATTATCTATTGAAAGTAACTTACATAGCTCACGAGGTCATTAGCACCATCTGTTTCATAGAAAGAACTATTCTTCTTTCCACTTATAATCTCAAGAACTAAGACACCAAAGCTATACATGTCAGACTTGATGGAGAACTGTCCGTGCATTGCATATTCCGGTGACATATATCCACTGGAAACCATTAACATAGAATGATGTTAGTCTAAGAAACCAAAATTATTTCGTTAGTTAACATTTGAAATAATTCTAATAGGATCCTTTATTTTCCCTCATTTTGAATATTTTCACAGTCGAATATTCATTAATCTAGATGAATAAGCAGAGCAAACAGTAAAACAGCAGATTAACTCACTATGTCCCAACAACTCTATTCGTATTCCCTTGAGTTTGATCAACTCCAAAAATTCTGGCCATTCCAAAATCTGAAATTTTTGCATTCATATCTGCATCCAGCAAAATATTGCTAACTTTAAGGTCGCGATGTATAATCGTAAGTCGAGAATCCTGGTGAAGATAAAGAATCCCTCGAGCAATTCCTCCTATTATCTTGTAGCGTCTTGACCAATCCAGTACTCCTCGCTTTTCAGGATCTACAAATTTATAAAATCAAATATTCAAGCAAACCGATTGCATGATGAAAAGAAAAAAAAAGGGAATCGAATGTGTTTAGAAGAACAGTACCAAATAAGAAGTAGTCGAGACTTTTGTTGGGAACAAATTCATAAACAAGTATCTTTTCTTCTCTTTCCAAGCAAAATCCTAGCAGCCTGACCAGATTTCTGTGTTGAAGCTTGGCTAACAATAGGACCTCGTTCTTAAATTCTACTGAGCCTTGCCCAGAGCCTTCCGATAGTCTCTTCACAGCTATTTCTTGCCCATTAGGAAGTCTACCCTGGGAATTTACTAGCACCAATTGTTAAATAAACTAATGCTATATGATCATTAATTAAAATCTTCAAATAGTATTTTGTGAGTTATTCAGTCTTTGAATTTACAGTAAAATTCCGATCATCAATATATACATATGGATATATATGAATAGACTAAAAAGGACATTATCGTAATTCATATTTTATAAGTTTTGGAAATTTAGGAAAATTATACTATCAAAAAAAATTTTTATTCTGATTGTTGATATTAAAATAAAATTTTTTTTCATAAATGTTTTTCATTTAGTAGTGACCAAGTTTTACATATAACTCTACTTTTTTTATCTTTTATGTATATATAATATTTTGTTTATGTATATACAGACTACTGACCTTGTAAACATCACCAAATCCACCTCCACCCAACTTTTTATCATCGGAGAACTTGCTTGTAGCAGCTTCTATTGTGCTCAGATCGAATTGCAAGGATTCCACAGTTGTAATGTCATTTCCAGCTACATATATAAAATGCAAGAAAATGAATGTTTCAGTTTTTTAAGGTAATTGTGATATTTGGTCATTAGTGAAGAATATTATACCATCATCTTCCTGTACAGCATCATACTTCTTCCTTGCCCGCCTCCTTAAGAAACAGAAGCCCATGCAGAAGAGAACAATACTAACACTAATTGGAACAACAATGGCTACGATTGTAACAGTTGACATGCCGCTTTTTTCTGCATAAATACATATAAAAGCATCACCAAAATAATAATAATAAAAATGGCATAAGCATTTATCAAATTTATACAGTACCGATCAACTTTACCTTGCGGTATTGTTCCTGAACTTGTAGGCGGGGGAGGAAGACCAACGGGTGGCGGTGATGGCGGCGGCGACGGCGCCTTAACTGCAGTAGCGTTATAAAACCGGTACACTTCATATCGCATATTGCAACTGGGAGACAGAACTCTTCCTCCTTGTCTAAGGGGTAAATTGGGGATCGCTGTCTGAAGACAACTGTCACAGTCAAAGCTGGATAGGTCCGGAGTGCACTGTACAAGGCTGTACAGCGTCCGAAACGCTGTAAAATTGGCTTCTTTGACAGCAAACTTTTTAGCTCCTGATGGAGCATTCTTTGCCTCTGTAGCCGCCTCCCTAATAGTGGTCCCTAATAGCTCGTTAAAACTGTTTTGATCTGTGAAATTTTGGACATTCCACATTAATACCATAGGTTGTGAGTCCATTGTAGAGAACATTGACCGGTTTGAGTAACGTAGAAGGCACTCATCGTACCAAACTACGGCCACTTTTTCGACAGGGCAACGTTGGACTATGTCTTGGGTAGCGAAAGTCACACAGTTTCGGCAGCTAGCTGTGGAAACATCACCGCGGCAGAGAAATAAACCATAGATATCATCGGGATCCTGACCGACGGAGACGTTGTAGAATCCAATACTGCGGGTTGCGTTGGAGGAAAGAGAAGAGAAAAGGACATTTAAATTGGCCTGGTAGGTGCTATTTGCAGTGAAAGTGGTTTTGTTTGAGCAATCATGATAGAGATAAGTGGGCTGTGACTGTGCTTCGCTGGTAATGGCAAGACCGAGCAAGAAAGCTGTGATTATGGATAGTTTATGAGGAGAGTTCATTTTTCGATCAAACTCTGTTACCCTTTAGAAGAAAAGAGGAAAAAGATCATTATTTTGTTTCTCTTCCTTTCTCTTCTCTACATTAATTTGGTTTGATGATGAAATTGATGAGGTGGTATCCTATCCCATGTGGACACGCAAAAGAGAAGACTATACTCAGTCAAGACCCGAAAATGGACGAAAATTATTATTTTTGTCCTCACTGGATATCATAGTACAATTTTCTTTTTTTTTTTATATATATATATATATATTTAAAAAAATTAAGTCAATATCAAATATTAAAAAAAAAAAAAAAATGTTAGCCCTTTAGAAGAAAGAGGAAAAAAAGATCATTATTTTGGTTTTCCTCTTCGCCTTTCTGCTCTCTACATTAATTTGGGTTTGATGATGAAAAATTGATGAGGGTGGTTATAGCTATCCCCTATTGTGGACAAACGCAAAAGAGAATGACTATCCTCAGTTCAAGACCCGAAAATGGACCGATTATTATTTTTGTCCTCACTGGATATCATAGTACAGATTTTCTTTTTTTTTTTTTTATATATATATATATATAGTTTAAAAAATTAAGTTCCAATATCAAATATTAAAAAAAAAAAAAAAAAATCGGGCCAATGTGGATAGGGAGGGAAGTGAGAAGACTGAAATAGTTTTTTATATAGTTTCCTTAAAAGCACTAACAGAGTAACAGATAAAAATTTTTTATATTAATTATTAATATTGCATTTTCTGTGTCGTCCTTATTGAAAATCTCTGGATATTTTAGTGTTGGATAACAGTTAATAAATAAATCAAGTTCCAGAAATCGTCGTGAACAAAAAAAAAAAAAAAAAATGCAGCCAATGGATAGGGACGGAAGTGAGAGACTGAAATATTTTATATAGTTTTCCTAAAAGCACTAACAGAGTAACAGATAAACTTTTTTATATTAATTAATTAATATTGCATTTTCTGTGTCGTCCTTATTGAATCTCTGGGATATTTTATGTTGGATAACAGTTATAAATAAATCAATTAAAAATCAGTCGTGATTCTTGCAACATACCATTGATTAACAAACACCTGTTTAGAGAGAGAAAAAAAAAAAGGTTACCCGCGCCTTGCTCAAAAAGATCAGATTGGCTTCCCTCCACCTGCAGTACTTAAAAAAAAAAAAAAAATGCTCTCTCTATTTTTTTTGCAAGAGGAAGAAATCAGTGGACCGTAATACCTTAGAAAAATGTTTGGTTACTGAGAAACAGAAAGGAAAACAGAGAAAGATAGGGCAAGAAAGGAAAGAAATTGCAGAATAAGAATGAGAAAGAGAACGAAGTGAGAGAAAATGTGTGAGATTTGCACGACACAACTATTTATACTAATGGGCTGAATTCTATTGCTCTTTAGCAGATTACTGCCAATCACTCTTTACAATTACAGGTTAATAAAATACTGGCTGTTGAGGTAATGGATGAGTAACAGAGTGACTATTAAGCATTAGCATAATTGTTGCCATTGTAGGTCTCTCAACTGGATCTTGCTGAACACATAATAACCCAATATGAGGGCATCTAATCACTTCATTTCTTGAATAGTAACCTTTCAAACTTGCATCCAACACTTCCAATGGCTTCCCATCTCTCCATTGTCTCCAAACCTAAAATAATCAATTGTTTTATCAGGAATATTGTTTCAGCAAGCCAAATTTTCTTTGCAAAGCCTCTTTTCTTTTTTTCTTTTTTTTTTTTTTTTTTTTTTTTTTTTCTTTTTTTCTTTTTTTTTTTTTTTTTTTTTTTTTTTGTTAAAATTTAGTAGTAAAAAATAATACAAATGGGTGATACTTTTTTGATCCCCTCAACATGAGCTGCAAGAGCTGCCCTGCTTCATCTGTTTTTGATTTGATTGAACTGTTTGTCTTCTTCGCAAGCTAAACTATCTCAAGAATTACACTGCCGAAACTGTAACCCATTCAAGATTTCATAGAGCCATGTCCGTGCATAGGCATATTCTAGCGAGACGAATGTAACCCACTGCAAAACCACCAAATTTAGAATACAAAGAGTTAAAAGAAATATGTTTTTTAAAAAAAAAAAATGCTGCTATTCTCCATGATAGTGGAGAATATATGTAATTAAAGTCCTGGCAGAAAATTTTAAAAATTCAAACATTACTATGTCCGCCATACAATTCTATTTGTGTTTGCTTGAGTTTGGTCAACTCCAAAAAATCTTGCCCATACCTAAAATGTCTGAAACTTTTGGGTTCATAACTCTGTCTAACAAAAATATTGGCCTGCCTTGGAGATCGCGATGTATGATTCTAAATAGTAGAGCTCTCATGAAGATAAACCAACTGTCGCTCCGAGCAATTCTTCCTATTTATTTGTACCGCTCGTTGAGATTCACGGCTGATGTTTGATTTCCTTTAGTTTTTCGGTGGTCTATCAAGTTCAATAGATATAGGCAAGATAGAGTCTGGTATATTAAAGATATCCGTGGATAAACTTAATTAGTTCTATTCAAAATGCCAATTGGAGATCTATACCGTAATAGAAAAGAGTCAAGGCTCTTGTTGGGCAAAACTCAAATAGATTAAGTCATACTTTCATCTGCCTTCGAAAGCAAACCTCCCAATAGCCCTTCTAGATTTCTGTGTTGAAGCATCTGTAACAATACAAACCTGCATTCTTCAGAAACCTGCCCTGTCACGCATTGGGCTAGAGCTTCTTCGCAGCCGCTTTGCACTGATTATATTTCTATCCCATCAGTGAAGAGACCTGTATTAAAATGCTATAATCTGTCAACTATTCACATCAGTAAATCTCTTATATCAGGCCAGAAAGATTCCTCTCATCTAAAGAGATAGGCAACAACTAACTTATCTCACTATAAATAGGACAACTTCAGGGGTCCATGGAGTCGGACGCTCCAGCACTATTCTGTCTACAATGATCTCCTGTAATGAAGAACATGTGGTATATTTTTTTTTTTTTTTTTTTTTTTTTTTTTTTTTTTAATTTCAGTAGTAAAATAATACAAATGGGATATTTTTGATCTCACATAGCTCAAGAGCTCGCCTGCTTCATCTGTTTGATTGAATGAACTGTTCTTCTTTCCAGTAACTATCTCAAGAATTAACACTCCGAAACTGTACCCATCAGATTTCATAGAGAATTGTCCGTGCATAGCATATTCTAGAGACATGTAACCACTGCAAAACCAATTTAGAATACCAAAGAGTTAAAAGAAAATATTAAAATGCTGCTATTCTCCATGATTTAGTGAGAATATATGTAATTAAGTCTGCAGAAAATTTTAAAAATTCAAACTTACTATGTCCCAACAATTCTATTTGTGTTTGCTTGAGTTTGGTCAACTCCAAAAATCCTTGCCATACCAAAGTCTGAAACTTTTGGGTTCATAACTCTGTCTAACAAAATATTGCTGGCCTTGAGATCGCGATGTATGATTCTAAATCGAGAGTCCTCATGAAGATAAACAATTCCTCGAGCAATTCCTTCTATTATTTTGTAGCGTTGAGACCAACCTAGTTGTCCTTGTTTTTCTGGGTCTATAAGTTCATGAAATCAAATATTCAAGTTAAAATACCGTGGATTAATTAATTAGTTTCAAATGCCCAATTAGATCTATACCGTATAGAAAAGAGTCAAGGCTCTTGTTGGGCACAAACTCATAGATAAGTATCTTTTCTTCTCCTTCGAAGCAAAATCCCAATAGCCTTACTAGATTTCTGTGTTGAAGCATCGCTAACAATACAACCTCATTCTTGAACTCCCCTGCACCTTGGCTAGAGCTTCTTGACAGCCGCTTCACTGCTATTTCTATCCCATCAGGAAGAGAACCCTTAAAATTTACTCAACTTCATCAGTAATCTTTACAGCAAAGATTTTCCATTCTAAAAATGACCTAATTTCTCACCTTATAAACTTCGCCAAATCCACCAGCACCTAATTTGTTGTCTTCGGTGAACATTTTTGTGGCAACTTTTATGGTAGCCAAATCAAATTGCAAGGACTCCACTGTTGTGATTTCATTTTCATCTACACAGAGCAAGTAGCAAATGAAATTTATTAATTTGTTGCTTATTGCAAAGTGGCGATAAAATAATAATTGAAAACTACTATTTCCTACCATTTTCTTCTCTTGTGGCAGACTTGGGCTTCCTTCTTACCCTTGTACTAAGGAAACAGCAACCCAGGACAAAGAGCAAAATGGACACGCCAACTGGAGCAACAATGGCAATGATTACTGATGATGAGCTACGTCTTTTACCTGCATGAATTAACCAGATATGATTTGTCTGTCAGGCTAGCTCTATGGACATGCAGAGCCTAATGAAGGTCTAATAGCAACTGTAATGTGTTTGTTTGGGGAGAAATTGAAAGAAAATGCAAGAAAGAGAAGAGAAATAAGGATCGATAGCGGATTACAAGAAGAGCGAGCAGAGACACAAGCATGCAATGCACACTTACAATTTTCCTCAATCACGTTCAACATATTTACAAAACAGACCCAAATTGCACACCTTATATTCTATTAGGTCCCTGTAGAATTGTTCAAGATATTTGATTTTTAAATTCCAAAGTGTACCTCAAAAGTGGGATCTAGTGGCCACAAACCGCATTGAGAAACATTTACTTCAAAAGGCCGCTTATCTTTTTAACAAAACATTAAGAAACAGCTTAGTCCACTAAACCCTATTCTATAATTAAAAGTAGCTTTAGAATTCAGATTGCTAATAATTAATTCTAGTGACTCGTTTACGTACTGTTAGATAACTTAACCTTTACTTCTTGTTACAGATGGTTGTGGTACTGGAGGCTGAGAAACAAACAGAGGTGAAGACGGTGGGGCCGCCGCTGCGGTTAAACTATAAAACGGGTATAATTCATATCTAACGTTGCAGCTGGGAGTTAGAACCCTTGCTCCTTGCTTTCCACCGCAACAATTAGGAAGATAAGCGATAGCTACCTCAAAACACAAACTACAATCAGCCTCAAATAGGTCGGGCGTGCATTGCACGAGGCCATAAAGCGCCTGAAATCTTGAAAAATTAGCAACCTCCATTGCAAGCTTTTTAGCTCCGGTTAAAGCGCTCGCTGCTTTAGCAGTTGCATCGTTCATGGTTTCCGCCACAAGCTCATTTAAGAGGTCATGCTGGGTTGCGTTCTGAGTGTTATACAAGGCTATCCTTGGATCTTGATCGTTAACGGAGAAGATAGAGCGATTAGAATAACGTAAAAGGCATTCGTCGTACCAAATGACGGCTACTTTTTCTACAGGGCATCGTTGGACGATATCTTGAGCGGCAAAGGTGACACAGTCTTGGCAGACTTGGGAGCTCACGTCGCCACGGCAGAGAAAAAGGCCGTAGACGGTATTTGGATTGTGGCCTGCGGTGCTGTTGTAGAATCCATTCTTGCGAGTGGCATTGGAGGAAAGAGATGAGAGGAGGAGATTGAGATTGGATTGGTTAGTGGTGTTTGCTGTGAAAGTAGTTGTGTTCGGGCAAGAATGGAAAAGATAAGTAGGATCTGCTGCTTCAGAGGTAATTATTATGGTTCCAACGCTAAGCAAGAAAAGAAACACGAAGAGTTGGGAGAATTTGGAGAAAACTATTTCCATCAACAAATTTTCTTGGAAAATATTATTTATTTGATTTGTTGATTTTAATTAAATTGAAAAACTAAAGGAAATGTTTCTTTCTAATAAACATTTATGAAAATTTTAAAATAATATTTTAATAGAAAATTATTATTTTTAAATAACTATAAATAAAATTATCACAAATTATTAATTTGAACAAAAATAATTTTATCAAATAATTATTTTTATGAGTACAGAGATGCTAGCAATCAATAATAATAAATAAGGGATTTTTAACTCATAAATTAAGCTAGACACCTTTCTGTCTATTTTCTAAATAGTAAGTAGGTTTGACTGGGTTAATGCCAAACCAAACACCCTCTTTCGTGTATATTTTCTGAAACCTAAAACCTTTTTATATTCATTCTCAGTCGCATGCAGCTGTCGCTCCACTCCATTCTCCGCCTCCATCTGCATGCTCCACTGGTACCTCTCCAGTCCACTGCCACCTCCACTTCTTCAACAGTTTACTCCATCACGCAGAGAAGCTAATATTTTAGTCTTGATTGGTGGGGAAATGAGTGAAAATTAAGACTACCTATTCTAGCATATGGGCCTACTCTCAAGTAACTTGGTCCACATGGACCAAATAAGGCAGAACAGAACCACATAATAAAAGGCGTGGGCTACACGAACAATGTTTGATTCTTACAGTCCATTCCACTGTCTTATATTTACATCTAAGTTGCTGTAGATGATCTACAGCGTTGATTTGAATTAACTTTGAACAAAAAACAGAAAAAAAAAAAAAAATTCAAGAACGTATAATTAAGTCGGTATCCTGCTACGCTAGCAAACAGTTTGATCTCCTCTTGACAGTCACCGCGGTGAGATGATACAATCTGTAATCTGATTCACAGAAGGATCAGTTGCTAAATGCACAGAAATTGGAAGTGGAACCATTCTACCAACAGAAAATGCAGGTTTTTTTGGTTCAGGAAGAACAACTGGTTCACTTTCCAATAGTACAACTACAGATGACATGGTAGGTCTGTCTTCTGGATCTTGTTGTACACATAAAAGTCCAATATGCATGCACCTTATAAGTTCTTCTCTTGGACTTCTTTCTATCAGTAAAGGATCTATAAACTCTGCTTCTTTTCCTTCATTCCACAATCTCCATGCCTGCAAGTTTTAAATGAATTAACATATGCAGTAGCCAAGTTATTTGAATGGAAATTTTTTATGGAGGGAAAGTTGCACTTACATATGCTAGAAGTGTTGGGGCAAGTTCTGTAATGTAAAAGCCACTATTTTTCTTCCCACTTAAAAACTCTAGCATTATAACACCAAAGCTGAAAACATCAGATTTTACAGAGAATAGTCCTTCCATTGCATATTCCGGAGCCATATATCCACTGTTTTGCATATAATCAAGAAATTTTTTAATAATCAAGAAAAAAGAAAGTAAATAAGAAATAATGTGCACTCACAATGTTCCCGCAACTCTTCTCGTGTTGGCTGTGTTCTGGTTTTCACCAAAAATCCTTGCCATTCCAAAATCTGAAATCTTGGCAACCATTTCCTGGTCTAGTAATACATTGTTAGGCTTTAAGTCTCTGTGAATAATTTTAAGCCTGGAATCTTCATGGAGATAAAGAAGTCCTTTGGCAATTCCACCAATTATGTTGTAGCATGTCTTCCAATCAAGTTGTGCCCGTCTTTCAGAATCTGAAATTGGTATCAGAAGAAAAATTTTAAGCATACAGTTTGATTTGATATAAATGTACATAAAGCTTATAACTTTGTTGGAAAATGGGATAATTAAGGAACAGACCAAAGATAAACACATCAAGACTTTTGTTAGGCATGAATTCATAAACGAGTAGTTTTTCCTCTCCCCCCAAGCCACATCCTAAAAGCCTCACAAGGTTTCTGTGTTGAAGTTTTGCAATTAGTATGATTTCATTCTTGAACTCTTCTAGGCCCTGCCATGACTTCTTTGAAAGTCTTTTAACAGCTATTTCCTTCCCATCTGGTAACACACCCTGAAAAATTTGCGGCCAAGATACACTTTCTATGCATGAAAGTTGAAAATAATATAGAAGCCATGAAAAACAGACAAGATCGGTTTTACCTTGTATACAGTACCGAACCCACCTTGCCCAAGCTTATTTGAACCAGAAAAGTTATCTGTAGCTGCTTCTATAATAGCCAGATCGAAGATAGGTAGTTCCTCGGAACTCATCAAATCACATGCTTCTGTCATGGATATCCCCTTAGGGGTTACCAATTCCTGTAGTAATGCAATCTGGCCTTTTTCCCCATCTTAAGAAGAAAAGGAGAAAAAGAAAAACTGAGTTCTAGTTCTTCGTAGTTCTAATGTGAATTTAGCGTGCTCAGACAGGCCAAGAATTGGTTTTACCTTCAGTTTGTCCTCTTTCTCGACATTTATAGAGAATGCAAGACCCAATGAGAACAGCAAGTATCACTATCGGTATACAGACATTTAGTGCAATCATCCAAACCTCCCATCTATCCCCTGTTTTACAAAACAGAAAACAACGTTTAGTTCTGGTTTACCCTTAAAAGTACAGGTTATTGAAAAGTAAGTTTCCTGTAACTAGATCACCATGTGAAACAGTGAACTGCAGAGTATCTAACTGTGGAAAGAGAAAAGTAGACTGCCGTTTTATATTTTCCAATGAAAAAAAAAAAAAAAAAAAAAAAAAAAAAAAAAAAACCTTAAAAGTACAGTTATTGAAAAGTAAGTTTGCCTGTAGAGACTAGATCACCATGTGAAAGCAGTGACTGCAGGAGTACTCTAACTGTGGAAAGAGAAAAAGTCAAGAAGATATGCGGAAAGGCTTGCGTTTTTAGATATATGTTTTATGCAATGAGATAAAAAAAAAAAAAAAAAAAAAAAAAAAAAAAAAAAAACAGGGGAAACGGGGGACTGAATTTATGGGTAATTTTGGTACTAACGTGTTATCGAAAGGTTTGATGCAGAAAATAGTACTACTTTCTTAATTACTCAAAGACATCTAAAAACAATCTGTATTTCAACAGTAGAAGATTCAGTTTTCCAGAAAACCATCAATAAATCTTTCTGCTTGCTTACCTTTTGAAGTGGGGTATGTTAGCAAGTTTCTTGAAGCATTATAAAAGCTGTAAATCTCATATCTCACATTACAATTCCTGCTAACAATAATTCCACCTTCAGTTGAATAACAGCATCCGCGAAGATCTCCAAAAGCTTCATTTAAACAATTAAGACAGTCACCCCCATTGATGTCCCTAGTGCACTGAACAAGCCCATATATAGTTACCTTCTTCGAAAATTTCACTTCCCCAGTTGAAAACATCTTCTTTACAGGATTAAATGCAGCTTCATTTGAGATATTATTCAACAAATACATCAAAACCTCATTGAAATGAACTGGTTTTGATACATTTTGCCTCTGTGCTTCCCAATCCACATACTTTCCCGTATAAACTTGCGTCGAGAAAAACATTCTGTAAGAGTAACGGACTTGACATGATTCATACCATATCATTGCATCTTTACTCTTGCATATCTCTAGTACTTGCCTTGCGCTTTTGACACAATCTTGACAAGCTTTTGCATTGAGATCTCCTCTACACAGTGCTTGCCCGTGGACTCTGTCAGGACCACCTCCAATAGAATTATTATAGAAACCTGTTAATGGAGTTTTTGAAGTTAAGGTCTGAAAGAGAAGTTTAAGGTTGTTTTCAAATGTACTGTTGAGGGTATAATTATTGGCAGCTGAGCAATCTGTGTAGAGGGGATCTGCACCAATAGGTTTAGGAAGCACTATAAGTGGTATAATCAAGAACAGCTCTACTGGAAGTTCATATTTGTCCATTTTCTTAAATCCAGAGGTAATCGAATCACTAGTTTGAGCAACTTAGGATGTGAAAGAAATTTGTATCAATGTAAAGTCAAATTTTTCAGTAGAATATCTCATTTGTCTATGTCAAGATCTCGCCACTGGATTTCCCAATTAAAATTACTACATTTGTTATGAGGAAACTTCCATTCAGAGGCTGCAAGCACAGGACCATTTACATTTAATGCAGTCAGGATCAAGAATGCTTTGAAAAGTATTCTCTCCTTGTCAATCAACTTTAGTTATTGACATTCAACATCTATGCTGACAGAAAAAAATTGGCTTAGGTATTTGTTTTTCCCTTGGTATTCTTCTGTCAACGATGAGGTATTTCTGAGCATGTGTTAAAGAAAAAATAAATAAAATAAAAATAATTTTAAAAAATTTTTATTTATTGTTTTGGTCAACAGGTAAAACCATAATCGGGTTTAGGGCAAATATGATAAACTCTGTAATTTCTGTTTTTCAATTTTCAATTAAAATATTTTAAATTTAATTATTTATTATCGAGTAAATCACTTAAGAAATTTCATGTAGTGGCACCAGATTTATATTATTCCCTAGATGGGACATGAAGGAAAAGTAGATAACGTACTTGACGTGGGAAAGTAATTAATTAATTAACCAAACCATAGAGTTTGATTATGGTTTGACGTAAAATTAATTGAAATATATGTTATTTCGTGCGACTCATGTTGATTATAAATATAATAAAGACTGTATGTTTTGGCTACTTTAGCATGCTGACTAGATTTGGACATAAACTGTTTCATGTGCACATGTAAGAAATATTTAAAAATATATATTAGAAGTCTTATCGAGATGATTATCTGAATGCTTTCTGAAAAGTTGCAGTACCAAATATTATTATTACAGTAGTTACGATGTCCATGTCTCATAAGGTAAATTTCTTTCTTTCTTTTTTTTTTTTTTTTTTTTTTTCTATAACTTTAATTTTTGTATTTTTTTTTTTATCCAACTGCTAGAAGCGGTACAGCGAGGAACTTAATTTTGAAGAGCTCTTCTAAAATCTCCAAAAAGTTACAGGAGATCAGGTCAAAGCTGGAAATATACACAATCCATGGAATAGCTCCTTCAGAAAAATAATATTTAAAGTTACATATTTCTCGATACACACACATAGCATATTTATCACGATGGTCGTCCACTTTCTTTCTTTTTTTTTTTTTTTTTTTTTTCCAACTGCTGAAAGCGGTAACAGCGAGGCTTAATTTGAAGACTTTCTTCTATGAAATCTCAAAATTACCGGAATCCAGTCAAAGTGGAAAATCCCATCCAATGGAATAGCTCCTTCAGAAAAATAATATTTTAGTACATAGTTTTGTACCTAACCATTTAGCTATTTATCACATGGTCGTCACTACTATTATATTTTAGAAGGCACATGGATATTGTTAATCTTAAGATTCATATTACTTATTAGTTGTTGTTCCTTTTTTCCACAAGTGAATCCAAAACCTAAAGGATGCATCCCCTTCAACCAAGATTGGGCAGCCGTTTAGGATTTTTCATTTTCCCTTCAGAATATCAGAAATATTGTTCACAATTTTTAAAAAATATGCTTTTAGGATATATGGAAGCTCAATGGATCAGAATACTTTTGTGCGCGATATAATTGGGATGGCCTTCCCACTAAAAAAAAAATGCTATCAGGAACTTTAATTGGACAAATTTTTAAAATAATCAAATATGCTTGTTCTTTACAAATACTGATGGCAAATTATGAGGAAGCTTCCAGGTTTACAAAACCATGAAGAAACTACAATCGAAAACAAGTGCGTTGTACATCAGCTTCATTACCGAGGCGTAAGAGAAACAGTTAAACCAGAAGAACAATCGTTAGGATGGTAATCTGTGAATCTCCCAACAGAAAAGGCCGGCCTTTCAGGTTGCTGAAGAGTTACAGTTTCACTTTTCAGCATCAAAACGACATTTGACATTGTAGGCCTGGCACAAGCATCTTCTTGAACACACAGTAATCCAATATTCATGTATCGCGAAAAATCTTCAACAGAACATGCATCAGCCAGCGATGGATCCATCAATTCCAGCTCATTCCCTCTATTCCATAAATGCCATGCCTGTTTCACCATTTTTGGTTTTAAGCAATATTATAAATAACCATGTCAATCTTTTAAAGCTAGTTATTTTAATAACTTTTAATAAGCTTACATATGCTGTGAGGCTAGGAGCAGTTTTGGATTTGGGGAATCCAGTGTTCTTTCTGCCAGTTATAATCTCAAGCAATAGAACTCCAAAACTGAAAACATCAGACTTGGTGGAGTATAGTCCCTCCATAGCATACTCCGGTGCCATGTATCCACTATTCCATTAAAAGAACAAAAGAAATGTTTTAGGAGCATTTTAAAATTAAAAGTTTCAAGCAGAAATGAAAAACAGTCCCATGTGCTTCCAACAACTAGCCTGGTGGGACCATTATCATTAAAAATTTTAGATCTTGAAGCACGTTTGCACTGCAAAACACTGCAAATTTTATAACCTGAAAAGTTGAAAGAGTACTTACTATGTTCCAACAATTCTAGCAGTATTGGCTTCCCCTTCACTGCTTGCAAAGATCCTTGCCATTCCAAAATCTGAAATTTTTGGGTTCATATCATGATCCAATAAAATATTGCTAGCTTTTAGGTCTCGATGAATAATTCGAAGCCGAGAATCCTCATGAAGATAAAGAATTCCCCTTGCAATCCCATTTATAATAGAAACTCTTTTTCCCCAATCAAGTTGAGCATGTTTCTTTGGATCTACCAAAAATTCAGAAGCAGGAAAGTAATTAATTATAGCTTCATACTGAATATCACATCTCAAAAATCAATAGAACGTTTCGAATGAAGAGGACTAACCAAAAAGAATAAGATCTAGGCTACTGTTAGGCATGAATTCATAGACTAGTAGCTTTTCTTCCCCATCAACACAAAAACCAAGAAGCTTAACAAGATTTTTATGTTGAAGTTTCATTATTAGCAGAACTTCATTTGTGAACTCATCTATTCCCTGCTCAGAGAAACTTGAAAGCCTCTTCACTGCTACTTCACTTCCATCACTTAATATGCCCTTCAAAAGTTATAAAAACAAGATCCTTCTTTTTATTGGTGTACAGTACCGAAAAAATTAACAGACATTCCTTTACCTTGTAAACAGGACCAAAACCACCTTCTCCAAGCTTATTCGATTCAGAGAAATTATTAGTAGCTGCATGTATGTATGCCAAATTCATAAACCCAGATTCACTAGCACTGAGGCTATTACTGCCTGGAAAATTTTTGTCCTGAAGCTGGAAAACTGTTCCGTTTGAATCACCAATATTATGCAATCCAACTTCTCTACCTAACATGTCAATTTTCCATGTAAGAAAACATTCCTAATTAATCGAAATAAGAAAGGAAACCAGAAAGAAAGTGTTAACAGGTTTTGGAGACGCATCATTACATTTTTGAATTCCATTTTTCATAGAAACCATGTAAATAAAGAAACTGAATACTGCTATAACCACAATTGCTGATACAGAAGCAAAGATCACAATCATCAGGATTTTCTCATGGTTGCCTGCATAGAGAGAAAAATGAAATCTTTATTTAGCACATTAAAACTAATTTATCAAAGCATAAGCAAAAAAATTATACGTATAGAAATACTTACTCTTTCCAGTCCCCTGACTTTCTGCAGAAGCAAGAGGTTCAGGTTTGCCTTCATAGAAGGCATATAACTCATATCTTAAGTAGCAACTGCGGCTAAGAACCCGTGCCCCACGAGAAAAATAGAAGCAACTAGAAACATTTTCTAAAGCAACAAGAAGACAAGTATTGCAGTCATTTGAAGATAAGTCTGTAGTGCACTGCACTAAAGCATAGAGTGTCTCTATATCCATGAAGGAGGCTTTTCCAGTAGCATACATGTTAACCGAACTATTAAAAGCTGCCTTCTTTATCAGATTTCTCAGTGTTTCATTTACAACTGATCTGAACTGCTCTGGATTTGAAACGTTCTTCTTGTTATCTAATGCAAGATTTCCTGATACATCTAAATGGCCTAAGAAGCTTTGATTCGAATAGCGTAATTGGCATTCTTCCTCCCATACAATTGCTTCTGTATCGTTTGTACAGAGCTGAGCGATATCTTCTGTTGCTGCGCTTATGCATTTGCTGCAAGTCTCATCTGATACATAGTTAAGGCACATGTATTGACTATAGACTTGATCTGACTCATTTCCAATGGAGGAGCTATACAGTTTTGAAACGGAAGCATTTGAAGGAAGAGAAAGCATGAGTTCATTGAGATTATTCTGAAATAGAGCGTTAGATGCCCGGTTAGTGATGTTTGAGCAAAGAGGGTAAGGTGGATCAGCATTAGTAAAAACAAGAAAATTAGCAAACCCAAAATACAGCAAAACCAATTGAAAGGTTTCTGCAACCTTGTGGCTCTGACCCATTTCTTGCCTTAATTTCTCAGTCTTGAGCTTTCTCCAATTTATAATTACACTAGGAGATTTTCATTTCTCTGTTCATGATCTTGACTTGAGACTCGAGTGAATATGCAAAGCATCAATCCAGTCACAGGTCTCTATTTGTTAAGTTAATAAGCAATATCTTGGAAGAATTTGAAATTATTGCCATCAATATGTGATAACTCTGCTTTAAAAAAACTTCCAATCTGTAAGTCTGTCTAACACATCTTCATTCTACAATTTTGCTTTTGCATTTCGGTAATAAAGATCTGCATTTAGCCAATTGGCCATTCAAAAATGACAAAGAAGAAAAACTTGTGATGGTCAACAACATTGGGCAACTCAAGTAGTACTTAACTGAATTTTGATAGGAATTTTTAATTGGGTGTATTTTCTAAGAAGTTCTACTGTTTGCGAAATAGATTAATAGCACAACCTACCCGTTTGCAGTCATTTCCGGGAAGGTCCTGCGGTTAGTAAGTTTTATGACAAAAATGCCACTGATATTCACCTAATATTACTTATTGACTAGGATTAATAATTATAATTATTAATCAATGGCACACCTAGTAAGAGATTCAAATCCCCATCACCAATTCTTGAAAAAAAAAATATTAATACTCCAACTCCTAAGTTTAAACACTGGACCAATTCAATAATAATGAGACTTTTCATGCTTGGGTTTTTATTTTCAGCAGCCAGAGCTGACATGTAGGTTGCGAGACTGCCCTAGAATTGGAAAAGGCATACCATTTAGTTCAGCCCTAGACGACATATCGTTTCTTTGATGTTGTCATTTCATTTTAGGCCACGCCTATATCCCTCTCCACAGACATGACTGGACAAGATATTTAATAAAAGCAAAAATGTCCCCAATAGGAGAATATTTCTTTGTTGTCCACTTGTCAAGGGAAAAGTTTCCCTTCTGCTTTATACGACAGGGTTACGCCACTCGAAGGAAAAAGTTTCATGGAATTCATGCTGTTGTGATTTGTGAACAATTGGATGGGCAAAACTAGAAGACTTGTTAAATGAGAACATATCCAAAACTATGTCGAGCCTAGGCCTCGCATGCTAAGTTGCTAACTCTTTCAGGACTTTTTTTTAAGGAAAGAAAATATTAAGGAAAACGATTTTATTGTTTGAAAAAATTGTAGAAAATATCAAATAAAAAATATATACACTGTTTTTCTTTGGAATTTTATAAAATTAGAATATTTTCAAATTAAAAAATGATGAATAAATGTAAAAAATTCCATTTTTTAATATGAAATGATTTTTTTTTTTTTTTTGAACCCCTTTCCAAACAAAGCCAAAAGGGCTAAGCCTTTGCAGCCTGTCTAGTGTCTGGGCGCCTAAAATATTATTTTACTTCAGAAATGGAGAATTGAAACGGTGGTAATAGCCACTGCTTGCTTTCTTTATCCAGCGGATATTTTAACAGATTTTGTCAATTCAAATCCCGGGAAAGACACGTCGGCCCATCAAAGGCCCATTCGAGATTACCACAGATTAGCAACCCCGGTTCATCGCATATTTCAGTTCAGATAAACCATTTGTCAATCATGTTTGCGATTTACTATTACTTTTTGGGCACTATCCATTACCGTTGCCCAATTTCTTCAAATCGATGAGCCTGTAACATTTATTTTCAGTATGTACTCGCTCTCACGTAGAATATCGCAGAATATATGTTCGTTAAAATGCGTCAGAGGTTATTTTGTTCTTTAACCATATCAAGTTCATTACGTCGTTTCTGTCTTTCACGCAGAGCCACTTGGAGTGAAAGATTGATTCAGTCTCCGTGAAGTACATTTGTAAAAGATGTACATTATGGACAGTTTCCGTGAAAATATAATGCAAAGGTTCAATTTTGAACATTTGCGGCGAGTTTCTATGTAAAAGATTTACCGGAATGAATCAAGCCTTGAATGTGTATGAGTTTTATGAAAAGAGTAACATGGCAATCAACGTGGTGATACATTTGAAATAGTTACCTCATTAACAGAACAAGTTTTGGGACTTGAGAATGGAGCTGATCTTGCTAAAAATTGTTGAACAGAAAATGCAGGTTCTCTTGGTTGAGGAAGCGTTATGGTATCACTTGCCAACATAACGACCACAGATGACATAGTCGGTCTCTGCGTTGGGTCGTCTTGCACACACAATAATCCAATGTGGATACACTTCAGGACCTCAGCAGCCACACTAGACTCCAGAAGTGATGTATCCATCAATTCCAACCCTTGGCCTTTAGACCACAGCTTCCATGCCTGAAATGTTGTGGGAAAAAAAAATTAATATTAGCCAATTGCTAGTATTCTTCACTTCATGACAAATATTGGACAACGAAACTTACAAAAGTGAGGAGGCTTTCTCCCTGTTCTGAAAGATAAAACCCCCCGTTCCTTTTGCCGCTAATCATTTCCAAGAGCAGAACTCCAAAACTGAAAACATCTGATTTTACAGAAAATAGTCCTTCCATAGCATACTCTGGAGACATGTATCCACTAATTGAATTCATGGGAAGACCAAATAAGGTTAGCTAGATGCTAAAATTTGATACGATTTTATGCATCATTTAGAATATTTATATACTGAAAGTGTGTTTATGGGAATTGATCTTCGTACTTACTATGTTCCAACAATTCGATTTGTGGAATTCTTTTCATTTCCTCCACAAATCCTTGCCATTCCAAAGTCTGATATCTTGGGGTTCATTTCATAATCGAGCAGAACATTACTAGCTTTTAAATCCCTGTGAATAATTCTAAGTCGAGAATCTTCATGCAGATACAAGAGACCCCGAGCAACCCCATTGATGATGCTAAGGCGTTTTCTCCAATCAAGATGCTTACCCATCTTTGAATCTGTGAAGCACCCGTAAAAGTTTCAAATCAGTTTTTACATTTTGTGCCTTTCATTTCTAGTGTGATAACAGGTGCTATTTTTGGAGTTTAAGAATATGACCAAAAAGAAAGACATCGAGACTTTTGTTTGGCATGTACTCGTAGACAAGTAACTTCTCATTATTTTCTAGGCAACAACATAGAAGTCTGACAAGGTTTCTATGTTGAAGTTTGGCAATTAAAGTTACTTCATTCATGAATTCTTGTAGTCCTTGAGCAGAAGTTCTTGAGAGCCTCTTAACTGCAACTTCTTTGCCATTTACTAATGTACCCTGCATATATAAGCATCTTTCAAAGTACAATTAACATGGAAATTATCATTTCTCTTCTGTCAGCTATTTATCGAAAGCATTACCTTGTATACTGGGCCAAACCCGCCTTCTCCAAGTTTAGTTTCATCAGAAAAGTGCATCGTGGCTTGACTAACTGTATCAAATGGGATTAAAGGACAATCCTGGGAGTTCAATTGCATCTCTCCTTGAATATCTGTGATTGACTGGCCATCTCCTATTGTTCCTCTTCCCAAGTCAAATAATTGAACCTTTTGGCTTGTTTCTTTCACTACTAGATCACTACAAAAAAAACGTCATTTTGCGACCGATAAATCGGTCGCAAAATGGCTAACATCGGTCGCAAATTGTACTTTGCGACCGATCTGCGACCGAAATATGTTGCTAAAACACTCGGGTCGCAAAGCCTCGGTACTTTTGGCGACGTCGAAACGCCACCCGCAATCATGCTGACCGGAAATATTCCTGGTTCGCCCCAACAATTACGCTAGGTCGCCAAAAATTACTCAGGCGACCGAAATGTGGTCCCTACCAAACCGAATATCGAACCATCGGTCACTATTATTGCAGATCCGCATTGAATATAGGGTCATCGGTCGGCATACTGGAATAATCGTCGCAATTTTTGCCGTCTCAGGTGGCGTTTAATTTGTAAATATCAGTCCGCTTAATTTTGGTCGCAAGGGGAAAACATACACACCTGCCTACTACCCAAACGGTCGTCCCGAAAATGGACCTTATACCGTTCTGCAAACTATTTTTTAAAGTTCGTCGTGTGTTCGTCTATAATGCTCGGGTCCAGTGCTCAAACACCCGTTACAAAACACCTGGTCCGCACAAAATGTTAATTTTAAAATTGTAATTTCGGTCAATCTTCAAATCGGTCGACCACAAAATCACGGCTCGGCAAATCTCCACAAAAACAATAAAAAAAAAAGAATTAAATAATTATTATAAAACACACATAACATGACGATAAAATTTAACTATGGTGTTCCCGCGAGCCTATGAAATGATGGGTAGCACACTTTGCACTTGACATAGCTATTAACAACAACTATCCATCACACACGCAATTCCCAAGTGAAACAACTGTAAATTATGTATATTTATCTACAGCGAGTAGAGTATTTCCGAGGTGGTTCATACCACCCCAAGATATATTACAATATATTCGACAAGCAATCAATCTCTTCTATCCAGAGTGAGTCCCAATTCCCCGCGAACTAATTTTTTTGGTGTCCGATAAAAATATCAACCATTGAAATGGCCTGTCAGCAATCATTCCTTTGCTAACTTACTAAAATCATGACGTCACACACCTTTCTGAAAAATGGTGCTTCCGTTTCATGTGAAGTAAGTGAGCGTGCACAACAGACAGACACTGAATGATTTCTGCGATTCCAGGCCACCTTCACTGTTAGCTGCACCTTGAAACATGTCAAACAATTGTTGTGCGTTGCCTACAATTTTTGGCGATTCCTCATATTATCCCAATCATATTCCTACTCGCCTACTCGCATCGACACACCATCACTCATATGCATTGCTTTACCGCATACAGAAAAGCTCGATTCAGGACTTCTAAAACTTACCGGGAATTGAAGTTGGCCTGACCCACTTTGGCAACTCTACGCTTCACCCATTGATGTAATTCCATATCGTATAATTTTCCACCCAAACCATTTTTCGCCAACAAATGAGTAGTTTCACTGATCGATGTCTTAAGAAGGGCTCGGATTTCGGACACTTCTTGTGCATTACATGGACACACTAACTTATTACCAGAGTCCAAAAACTTGGACTTACCAACTGCAAACTGTATAAACGCTCCACATCCTTTGCAGAATCCTTGTTGCTTGAATAGGTGCCCAGTGACCTCGAACCTCCCAGTACAGTCCAATCTCGAATTATTTTTCGCATTTTTTTTTACCCCTAAATTAAACAATCTGTTTTTATTGAAGGATAATTATATGTAATATGCCAATTAGTCGTAAACCAACCAGTAAAAACATCCACTAATGATAATGTCAATTTACGCTTAGCTTATAAACTAAAACTAAGGGTTATTTCCTCATAATAAGGGTACATACTATCTATCAAATGTAAAATCACTAAGGTCCATTTATTCACCTACATTCATTTATTACCTTACCCTAATTAAAGGTAAGTGTCATTCCATCTATTGAATTTTTTTTGAAAAAAAAGTTCCTCCGAAACGACGGCAGCCATGTTTCGGCCAACAACTCCAATTACGAACATCTCCAAATTATAAAAACACGTTCACATAAACCACCTCATATCAATTACCAACATTCTCAAAAGGCAAAATGACCACTTACCTACGCCCCAACCAAACAATACGCATCATTTCAATTCAAATAAAAAAATTAAATATTTTCATGAATAAATAACAACAATAATGTAAGAAAAAAAAATACGACTTGATTTCTTACGATTCATGTAAAGAGAATAAGGAAGTCAATTTCAATATCACTGGTAACATAAGCTATAACATACGATTATTACTTAACAAAAAATTCAAAGACTATCATGGTTAGTTATTCTTAGTTTGAAAAGCATCAATATTACCATATTTAAAATTAATATTATCATTCTTTTTATTTATTTACTATGTAGTTATAAGATATTTAGCTTATTGCCTATATATATTAATATAATAGCTATCGTAGGTTTATACAAAGAATAGAAATTGCTAATTTATAAGGAACAATAATCCAAAAAATAACTCTCTTAGCAATTATTTCAAAAGTTTTAAAAATTCATTTGTTCCAAACAAGGTCACAAAATGGATGATTTTTAGATTTCCTACAGCTCCTAATTACTTATTAGGTGTTTGGATATCGTGCTCCTTCAATGAGTTATCAATTAGTATTACATTTCATTTATTAGGTATATGCATATTGCGGCGTGGATGTAGATTGGGTGATTTTTAATCAGTTTTAATTTAATTAATTATTATTACATTATTTTGCACTTTAGTATTATCGATTTCAAAATTATTTTTTTAAGTTCGTTTTAGAATTTTAAATTAGAATTTTCGATAACAATTAGATAATATTCGCTATTTCTTTTATCGACACATGGTAAAAGTTGAGTCTTTTAGCAGCTGTATTACATATTACGGTCATGGTGTTATTTTGATATGTTTTGTTCTTTCTTCGTATTTAAAGTTGCTAAGCATAATTAAATATATTTAAATCACTCCGGAGCGTTATGATGTATAATAATTAGATGTTGAAGTAACATTTTACGAGATGGGAAGATAATGATTTCTTTACAATTTTTTACAAGTAAAGTGATCTTGCCCTTACTTTTGTTTTGTACCATCTTAATTTCATGATTTCTAAACGTTAATTTTGCATATACCATTATTTTAAATTTTATATATTACGCTAATAACATTTTATTTTTTACCTACGACTATAATGATTAATGATTTTTTATGATATATGTTTCCCACTAATTACAATTTTTAGGATTCGCTGGACAATTAGTGTTTAGGCAGTTTAACCAATTTGTTAGCAGATAACTGTGAAGGGTATATATTTTCTATAATTGATGGTTAACCGTTTTAGGAATAACAAAACTGGGCCAAACCATTGCATTTTTTGGTTCAATTTCGTTGGTTCAATTATCAGAATATCCAGTCTCTTTTTTTCATCTTAATATTTACCAAAATCTGACAATCTAAGTTCAAATTAAAAGGATAGTTGCTGCAAATGACACTGTATGCCTTCAGTTAGGTTCAATTAATCATTTTTTTTCTAAATCGAACCAAATTGAAAAACTAAAATTTTCTTCAAATTAAAAAGAAAAATGTATCGAAACCAAAGACTGAAAAATCTTCCTTCAATCGGTTCAGTGCAGTTTTTTCAATTTTTTTTTCCAAGTTTACGCACCCTAAATTTAGGTTCAAACAAAGTATTTATAGACATATTTGAATACACTCTCACAAACAAAGTATTTAGGTTCAGTGCAGTATAAACATTAACCGCTCAATACGCTGGAGGTCTGCGGGTGCGGGAGCAGGAGAGTCGGGCTGGCCCGTTCGGCTCTTGAGGGGTGGCGTGACGTGACATAGCTCGACTGCGCCTGGGCGGGTGGAGATCGACCTAACACCCCGTGGTGGATAAACAAAAGAAAGACCAAATTTCAAGGACAAAAGGTATAGTTTCTGTATGCCTTCAAGTTAATTAAGTCATTTTTTTCTTCTTAAATCAAATCCAATGAAAAAACTAAAGATTTTCTTTCAAATTAAAAAGAAATGATCAAACCAATACTTGAAATAAATCAAATAACTAACATCCGGTCAGTGACAGTTTATCATTTTTTTTTTTGCGAAGTTTTACGTCACCCTAAATTTAGGTTCAAACATATATAATAGGACAAGAAATATATTATGAGTGCCCAAATACACAAAAATTCGCAAAGAAAAAAAAAAAAAAAAACATGAAAAAAAAAATATCAAAAAAATCGGCAAAAATACTCTGGAAAAATGTCCTAACAAGACGGGTGGAGCAACGGATGGGGCCATGGCACTGCCGGCTCAGGGCCAAGGCGCCGATGACCCCCCGGCAGCGATGCGCGTCAGCGGGCTGCAGTAGGCAGTCGAAGAGGGGGGTGGAAGCGCTCGCGAACACGAGAGGAGCAGGAGAGGAGGAGAGGAGTAACGAAAGACATAGCAAGAAGAAATACAGAGGAGGCGCGGTCTGGTCGTTAAGCCCTAATATGCGACCGAATTTAAAGCCCTAATAATTGCGACCGACAAGTCGGTCGCAAATCGGTCGCAATTTTTAAACCTGCGACGTCGTTTTACATGCAGTCCAATTTGCGACCGATTTGCGATCAAATAAGTCGGTCGCAAAAAATCGGTCTCAAATAAGTCGCACATCGGTCGCAAAAATCATTCCAAATTTTGAACGGCTAAATTTTGCGACCGATAAACCTTAGCCGCAATATCGGTCGCAAATCCGTCGCAACTCGGTCACAAACTGAGAAACAAGATCGCGAGAATTTTTAGCGCTAAAATTCCCGACGGTTTTTTCTTCTGTAGTAAATCTGTCGCAAATTTGCGACCGATATCTGTCGGTCGCAAAAATCGGTCGCAATTTAGCGTTTTTTTTGTAGTCTCTATTCCTGTAGTAAAAAATCAGTGTCGCAAATTTGCGACCGATACTTTGTCTCCACACGCGACGGTTTTTTCTTCTGTAGTAAATCTGTCGCAAATTTGCGACCGATATTTGTCGGTCGCAAAAATCGGTCGCAATTTAGCGTTTTTTTTGTAGTGGATATAGTTTTATTAGTATTAAAACGAAGGTGATATAAGAAAATATAAAATCATAATATATAGCAAGAATTCACATTACTCCTTTTAAGAATCTTCTTTCTCCATATAACGTAAATGGAGGAACCGATCATCAGTAACCCTACAATAGCTGCAGAAACACTTGCAATGACTTTAGTCTGCGTTGATTTGGTTTCTTTTCTTCCTCCTGAAGTGAAAACATTTTGCTTGTAATGGAAATAATTAATTTAAGATACAGAAACTAAATTAAGATAAGGATGATGATTAATATTGAATTCTTGATTGCTCCACTTCCCCTTCATTTCTCAACTTTACCTTCAGCTCTCTTCGCTGGAGCTGGAGATGGAGATGGAGGAGGAGGAGGAGAAGGAGATGGAGCGACAATGGAAGATGCCGATCCCACGGCCACAGTCGTAGATGGAGATGGAGAAGGAGGAGGAGAAGGAGATGGAGCGACAATGGAAGATGACGATCCCACGGCCACAATCGTAGATGGAGATGGAGAAGGAGGAGGAGGACTTTGTGAAACGACAATGGGTACCACGTCCATATTCGTAGCTTTAGATGGAGAAGGAGGAAGAGAAAGAGATGGAACGACAATGGAAGATGACGATCCCACGGCCACAATCGTAGATGGAGATGGAGAAGGAGGAGGAGGACTTTGTGAAACGACAATGGGTACCACAATCCGATAGCCTTATGTCAGAGCACAGCATGGTTATGCACACGCCGGAGAGGGGAGGAGGACTTGGTTTCGAAACCGACGCAATCGGGCGTCTCGGGCTCACCACGTCCATACCGGTCTCATCAGATTCATAGGTTTAGCATGGATGACAGGAGGAAGAGGGAAAGAGAATCTGGCAACCGACAATGGAAGCATGACCGATAGAAAGAGATGGAACGACAATGGAAGATGACGATCCCACGGCCACAATCGTAGATGGAGATGGAGAAGGAGGAGGAGGACTTTGTGAAACGACAATGGGTACCACGCCCATATTCGTAGCTTTAGATGGAGAAGGAGGAACAGAAAGAGATGGAACGACAATGGAAGATGACGATCCCACGGCCACAGTCGTAGATGGAGACGGAGAAGGAGAAGGACGAGGTTGTGAAACGACAATGGATCCCACGGCCATATTCGTAGCTTTAGATGGAGAAGGAGGAGGAGAAGGATATGAAACGACAAGGGAAAATGACGATCCCATGACCACAGTCTTAGATGGAGAAACTTCAGGTTGAAATCCGGTTTCATTATAAAACGGGTAGAGCTCATACCGAATATAACAGCTTGGAGTCAAAACTCTTCCTCGCCTTCCAAGAGGAAGAGATGAGACAGCATTCGTAAAACAAATATTACAATCAGAAGCAGACAGGTCCGATGTGCACTGCGCTAGAGTGTACAGGCTTTGAAATCCGGTAACATTTGCTTCTTTCACAGCAAACTTTTTAGCACCTGACGGAACATTCGCTGCCTGATCTGCTGTCTCTTTCATTGTGGTGACAAGAAGTTCGTTAAAAAGTTCTTCATCTGTGACGTTTTGTATATTCCGCATAATTATAGAAGGCTCCTGTGTCCTGATATTTATTATGGGCTGGCTCGAATAACGCAGGAAGCACTCATCGTACCATACTATGGCCGTCTTTTCAGTCGGACAACGCTGGATGATGTCCTTGGTAGCAAATCTGACACAATTTTGGCAGATGTTGGAGCTAATGTCACCGGCGCATAGAAAGAGGCCAAAGACAGCATCCGGCTCCTCCCCAGAAGCGGTGTCGTAGAACCCACTTTGGCGGTTTGCATTCAACGAAAGAAGAGAGAGGAGGGAATTAAGGCTGGCATTGTAGGCGCTGTTTCTGGTGAAAGTGGTTGTATTTGAGCAAACATGATTGAGATAATTGGGTTGTGTCAGTGCTTCTATGGTAATGGGTAGGACAATAAAGAAGTGCAGGATTATGAAATATTTATGAGGGTTCATTTAGCGGATCAAATTCTTTTGCTCGACCAAACCTATTTGCTAATTTTTCCCTTTATTCTGGAAATTTTAATCAAGATCTGTATACCATTATTAATTTGTGGTAAGCATGAGCGCTTTCTGTTTGATATTGAGTCAGGTTCAGAGAGCACAAATGCAAATTCAGGCCTTAAGCACAGGAGAGTCCTCAGGTCAACGAAGTAAGTCAAGCGAATTTTCCATCTGCAGAAGTCGAAAGAAAAAAAGGTTCACCTGACGTGACGAAGGAGCCATTGGAAAGTTGAAAAATTCAACTGGACGTAGAACCAAAAACGAATAATTAATCAATGGATACTGGATGGGGACGTAACTGAAAAGCAGTGTCTACTTCCACGCAGCCTAGACCAGTACCATAAACTTATAAGTCAAAACTATTGTTATTGAAAATTCCAATTTCCACAGCTGCATGCCTATTAGATTTCTTTATTCTACATTGCCTCGAAGACTTACTATGCAGCGTATGCATTGAAGTCACCTTGTTGATTTTTATATTTCTTTTTTAATAATGAATAACCTTTGTTGTTTTATTCAGTTACATAACTATATAATTATTGCTCCAAAAACCTCCAAAAATAAGAATATTTTATTCCTTCTTCCATCTATGATTAGCCATGTTCCGTAATCTTAGCTGTTTATAAAAAAATTATAATGTTATATTAATGAAAGCCATAATTAATTAAAATAATATTTTAAATTAATTAAAATATTAAACGCTATTCCAGATACTAATGTCGAACAGAACCTAAGTCAATTATTAGCATAACACATATAATTTTAAATTATAAGAGACATACTAAAGTACATAGAAATTTTTCTTAAGTTTCCCTTACTTTTTTTTTTTAATAATTTATTAACATGCGTTATCCCAGAAATGTATAACTCGTGTTTCATTTTTTTTTTTTTTAAATCTAAATACTTATATTCGCTTTTTTTTTTTTTATTCTATTTTTATTTCAATAAAGATATCCATTGCATGAAATTGAAAAACAGAAAGTAAATATTTCAAACATGCACACCTTAAGTTACTCATATAGAAAGAATACTCTTTCACATATTAGTACCATATATAAAAATAACTCCTCAGTTTTCTCAAAAAAACAAAAAAAAAAAAAAAAATAAATACGCAGAATAATATACATCAATGGGGATACTGGTGATGAAGATGTACGGGACGGAAAACGATAACTGAAAGCGTAGACACAAAAGTGACCACTCTTCAGAGTTCCCACGAGCCCTTCACCTAGTACACATAAAATCATATAAAGATCATTAAAACTGTAGTATTGTCTATCTGAAGAATTCCTCCACTTAGTGGTTCCGACGATGACTTGAGCGGCATTGGCTATTAAGGGAGTTATCTTTATTTACAGACTTGTGTCGTGTGGGTCATCGTGCGAAGATGTACCTATCCGCTATCTCAGCTGGTATGGCAGTCTTGAAGAAGTCACCTTGCGTGATTTTAAATTACTCCTTTCTTCGCTTTTGAACTATTACTTTGGAAAGTAACCTTGTTGTCTTACTAGTTACCAATGTTATGCGATTATCACTGTGACTTTATATATGATTTGCTCCATTGAGAGAAACCGTTCAAGAAATCAAGATACTCCTACTTTGTCTACAATCCTCATTCTATCATCCTGAACCGGCTTATGACCCTCACAGCAATTGAGATTTGTGCGCCGTTATTGCCTTTCAGTGGCCCAGTCCTTCGTTGCTGAAGGATATAAACAAACACAAAAGAAATAATTGAACAAAAAATCCCTAAACTATAGCATTGATGTCTAATATATGAATGAAGGTACAAGCAGGCCATAATATAACTTTAGATAGTAGAAACAATCAATAAACTGTTTGTAAAATTAATGGATGTATGTATAGTGAAGTGGTGAGTGGTAACGGCGATTTATTCCCGCATTTCCAGTGAGATACTAATGCTCGAACATGAACCTATAGGTCAATTATTGCAGTCTCTGTAATTATAACACACTACTGCGTACTCAATGTGTGTTTATAAGTTTTTTGAGTGAATTTGGATGATCGACGGCTAACTGAAGTACGCTCACTTTCGAATTACATCAGGCTTAACTGAAATATTGTGTTCTTGAAGTTTTTCCGCCTACTTGTGTATTTATATTAATAGGTATTTATATTTCTAACTGATTGTCTGTATGCTAATGCCCTCATGAAGAGATGCTCCGTATCCTACAGCTATAACTCCGTCTCGAGTGATGTGATTTTCAGCTTTTCGTTTATCTTCTTTTTTTCTCTGTAACCATTTACCTAACGATACCTTTATATTCCGTTCTCTTTTCTTCGGTTTTTTGCTTATTCTTTACCTTTTTAATTTTCTATACGTCACACGCAAGTCATATCACTCTACTAGAGCATGTCATTGAACCATCTCGCAATTGCTATGTATCCTCACGGGTGAATAGTAATCGAATATTGTCCGTCACTTGAACCATTGTCACACCAGGACCGCGCTGCCTTTAATAAAGCTAGTTCTCGCTACTCCCAAGTGTGTGTGAGTGGATTTACATAGAAAGCCAGCAAGTTACTGTTACACTCATTGCGCTCTTTCTTGCAATCTATTACATTATTTAGATCTTGTACAACAGAGGCCCCGAACTAGACAAAAATACAACTCGCTCCCTATGTACCTGAGGTTTCATTACAAGCGTAAAGAACGACACGAGAACCGACTTAATAGCAGAAAATACAAATCAAACCAGGAAATAAAATATAATGAGCATAAGAAAATGCGTTGGTGAAAATTAAAGCTTGTGACTGCGAGGAATGAGGAAAAACAGTGGGAAGGAACGTGATTAAAGGTATAAGGGGCAAGAGATCCCAAATACCTACGTCGGGCTAGGCCCTTTTACTTTTCTCTAGTTGTACCACTTCCAGGCAAGCCCTTGTTCCTACCTGTCCCGGCGCCCAGAAGAGTATCATTTGTTACCTTTAATCTGTGGTGAATCCCACAAAATGTGGTGGAACTGCCATAAAACAGGTTCACTCCCGCTAAATGGGCGGATCCTGTTGGTCGAATGGCATATTGTGCTTCAACATGTAATTACACTAAATCAAGCAATCTCCCACTTATCCATCTACCCATCTCGCCCGAATTTTGCGTCTTTCTCGGCCCGCTCTACCGCCCCGTTACCGTTATCAACACCCTCGAGGTCCAAAGTCAAGAGTGTGGTACCTAAGTTCCTGGTAAACTGTTTAGTCTCTTTATATTTCCTTTCTCTGCCTTATGTTTGTAACTTTTTTCTTGCCTCCGCATTACATGTTTGCCTCACAACGCCGTCTGATATTATAATATACCGATTTAACCGTCTTGCTCGGTGCTTGCTAAAAAAAAAAAAAAAAAAAAAAAAATAAATAAATCTTAAAATTTTGCTAAAAACTGGAAGACGTGTTAAAGTAAAGGGCAAAGAGATCCAAACCTACGTCGGGCCTAGGCCTTCTAGTTCTAGTTGTACATTCCAGGGCCAAGCCTTGTCTACCTGTCTCGGCGCCCAGAATATCATTGTACTTTAATTTTGGAATCCAAAATGGTGGAAACTGCAAACAGGTTCAGCTACCGCTAAATTGCTGATCTGTTGTCGAATGGCTATGTCTGTCAACAGATTACACTGTATCAGCAACTCCACTTTCATTACCCATCTTCGCGATTTTCGCGTACTTTCTGGCGCTACCCGTTACCGTTATTCAACCCCTTCGGTCAGTCAAATTGGTAAGTCGGTAACTGTAGTCTTATTTATCTGCTTATGTCGTAACTTCTTGCAGATTACATGTTTGTCAAAACGCGTCTGAGATTATTATACATTAACGCTTGCTCGCTTGCTGCAATCAAATTTCTAAGCTCTCTTGCTGTGCATGATTCTAAGATTAGCGGATGGTGGTGGAATAAATCATCGAGAATTTTCAGAATGGCGTAATGGAGGTGGAATTTTCCATAAATCAGCTTGTATCGACGAAACAGCGCTGATCGAAGTCGGTGCAATAGTTCATTCCAAAGCTGTACTAGCTGCGAATGTTCATGTTGGATCAGGGACTGTTATAGGACATGCTGTTACTGTCGGTCAGTCCACAAGTATAGGGTATACCATCTTCTTTACGTGTAAAGAGGTCTCTGAAATCATTGCAATACTTATTTGCATTACCATTTTTCGTTTTACGAAAATAGGTAGTGTTTTTTGCAGGTATAATGTTTCACTTAGCAATTGCATTATAGGTGATTTATGTGTAATCCACAATGGAGTTTGCATTGGTCAAGATGGTAAGGCTGGACTATCTTTAACTTCAATTTTCTTTTCTATCAACTAATCAAATTAAGCAACCAAATGTTCAAAATTCTGACATGTTGTGTTCAGTTGATAATGCTCTTTAATTTTATGGATCTGTGAAATATTATTGCCTTATTTTTCTCCTCTCAAAAAATATGTATAGTTGCACCCTTTTTTTCCTTAAATAGTTCCTGTGCTTTTCCCATACAGGATTTGGATTTTTTGTCGATGAGCAGGGAAGCATGGTGAAGAAGCCTCAAGTTGGTGATATTTTACTTTTTGAGCCATATTGAATTCATTTAGTTCCTTCTTTTGCGTGCACACATGCACATCTGAAGAACCATTTACAGTGAAGGATGGATGATACTTTGTGATGCACACATGTAAAAGATACACATTTTGGGGGGTTTCTGTGTTGAACTCCCAGGCGCAGAATTATGATTTTAACTTTTAAGAAATTGCTAAGTTGAAACTTGAAATTGTTTCTACTGCATCAGTTCCTTCCGATCAAAATTTGAACGGCAATGTTTTTCTCGTTCCTTGTCTCATTTAGAGCCACCAATAATGCTTCAGTTATATAGTTGTTTCAAATCTGGGCTAAGATACCTTCTTATGTCCTTTATGCAGCTGCTGAATGCTAAAATAGGAAATCATGTAGAGATTGGGGCAAATACATGCATTGATAGAGGCAGGTGAGGTGTGTTTGGTTTGTGTTGCTGCTAGTTTTTGGTCATATGTACATGCTAAAGAGTGAATTAGTTGGCAGTGGCACTTTGAGGCAGTCAAATTTCAGGCACTAAGTATGTGATCTTTTTGGTTATGCAGTTGGAGAGATACAGTTATTGGTGATTATACAAAGATAGACAATTTAGTCCAAGTGAGTTTTCTTTCCTTTGCATTGTTTGTTGAGTGGTAAACTTATTTTATGATGTATGATTGCCTCTGCTTGGCCATGCAGATTGGTCATAATTGTGTCATTGGAAAGAGTTGCCTACTCTGTGGACAAGTTGGAATAGCAGGTTCAGTGACGTATGTCACTGCTAAATCATATTTTTTTCTTGCTATTTCTTTTGGGATCCTTTTAGATATAACAATTATGTGCTTAAAGTTATGTTTGTAGATTGGTGAAGCTTTTACAGGTAATGCTAATTTATATTATTCTTTTTTCTTGTTTTTTCTTGTTTAGGATAGGAGATTATGTTACTTTCGGGGGAAGAGTAGCAGTTCGTGATCATGTATCTATCGCTTCAAAGGTATTTAATTGGTTATCTGCTTGGAATTGAACAAGCAACAATCAACCAATTACGTGTTTACTATCAATTTTTGTTTTCTTTTTTTCTATAGGAAAAAGGTTGTAATTAAGAAAAATGGAAAAAACAAGCAAAAACTAATTTTTGTGGTTTTCCCATGTAACGACTTGTTTTTCTGGTTTAAGCTGTTAAATAACAAAAATATAAGTATATTTTGATAATACATTTTTCTTTGACCATTGAAAGACAAAAACCATACCAAACAGTTTTTCGTCAAGTTGCTAAGAAACCTTATTTATTTATTTTTATTTCATTTATATCTTGTGTCCTCCTTCCAATATTTCAAAGTTGAATCATGCATCAGAATATTTTTCAACTCACTGTGTCCAACTAAGGCAATTGTCTCGATGCTTTTCTGCTTTTCATATGAAGTGGCAATATTTTGGTATACACAATTTCTTTGTCTGCAAATGTGTTTCTTTACTTAACTAAGAGTAGGCAGCATTATGATGAAGTTGAATCACGCACCTTCTCTGAACTAGCAAGAGCAACATAAAGTATGGTATAGCTGTATAGGTCCTTAGCTATTTGATTTGGTAAATTGTAGGTCCGGCTGGCAGCTAATAGTTGTGTCACCAAGGATATAAAAGAGCCAGGCGATTATGGTGGCTTTCCTGCTGTAAGATTCATTCTTGTGATCTTTCTTAATTCGATACTAATGTGCAGAGATCAGAGAAAAAAAGTGTCAGCCAAATTTCTTGGTCTTAATTCATACTTGGTATAACAGATGCCCAATTGATCTATAAAATTTAATCCTTGTTTGCTTGGCAGGTTCCAATTTATGAATGGCGGAGACAAGTTGTTAACCATTGCCGGATTTCAAAGAAGGCGTCTCCATAGGGTTGGTTATAGGATAAAGTGTTTTAACACATTTGGCATGTAATCTGTGATGACAATAAAGAGTAAGTTTCTGCTAAAGTTGCTTGCAATATAAATTTTCTCGTCCATAAATTGGCATCATCCGCATAAGAATCATAAGACTGAGCTTATTTTTTTGGATTTGATTCTGCTTTTCTAAACATATTTTAGTGTGTCATGGAGAAACTTTAATTAATTTTATTTTAGAAGTGTTAAAAAGAATCAAATAGGGGATACATTTGAAAGAGAATTACCCGATTTTGTAAGAACAGACTTTAGGATTGAAAGATTGAGCTGATCCTGCAACAGAAATAAAATAGAGTTTGTGTAGGTTGAGGAAGCGTAGTTCTACTGCTTCCCAACATCACAAAGATTCACGACAATGGATGACGTAGTGGGTCTCTGAGCTGTGACGTTTCTTCACACGCAACAATGCAATATGTCTGCGCTTCAGCACCTCAGGCGCCGCCACATTTGACTTCTCATGTGTTCGCATTCCTTTACCTTCAGTCTTTCGGCCAAATCTTCCATGCCTGCAATATATTATCAATTACTTAATAATATAATTAGTCTCTACTAATGGTTATTTTATTTCCCTGAAATCAGAAAAAAAGGAAAAAAAGATGACAACATACAAGAGTGAGGAGACTTCAGTCGTAACTGCAATTTCTTTGCCACCTTCTAATGAGCATCTTTTTAATTAATCAGCGTCCATCAAGTAAAAACAAGATCCCTAAAATTTGGTTTAAAAGACCCCAAAAAAAAAAAAAAAATTAAAGGAAAAAAATTGGACTATTTTTTTCAAATTAAAGCACATTTTCCTTGATTTTTAAAATTGTTTACGTTATACAAGGATAATTGTTAACATTAATAAAACTTTATTATTAATAAAAATTAATAAATTATAACTACTTTTTTTTTTCTTTTTTTGGTCGGTTGCTTGTGATTCAAGAGTTTATAAGAACGTTTGCGAGACTCTAATGTCAAGTATTACATCACAGCAATTTGATTCTATAGTCTCAAATTATCCTACAACCTTCACATTTTATACAGAATGATATCAATAGTGTTACAGCCACGTGTAATCTCTATGTATACGATACAATTCAGTCAAACAAATAGTATTCTGATTTAATTAGTAGCTAGCAGATTACAATTGATTTGAGCTTGTAGAACATGAAGCATGAGATTGTATCCCGCTAGAATTGGTGAATGCAGGTTGCTGAGGCATTGGTAGACTCGTAGTATCACTAGTAAGCATAGCAACAACTCTTGCCATAGTAGGTCGATCTTCCATATCCTCTTGAACACATAACAGCCCAATATGAACACCCCTAATCACTTCATTTACAGAACATGATTCTTTTAGAGCTGGATCCATTAATTCTACAGGTGTTCCTTGACTCCACTGTCTCCATGCCTACAAAGTTTTGATTGAGAACATGTTTTAGGAAAGAAATGCAGTTTTAGTTTGTCTTTACTTACCGTGTCCAGAAGACCTCGACCACATTCTATTTTAGAGCTGCTGTTTCTTTTGCTGCTTATGATCTCTAAAACCAGGACACCGAAACTGAAAACATCGGACTTGACTGAGAAGTTTCCGAATGTTACATATTCTGGAGACATATATCCACTGCAATATGACAATCCAAATTAGAAAACAGTAATTCTAGTCAAATTTGAACAAAGAAGAATAGGATGTTGTAACTTACTATGTTCCTACAATTCTTTTTGTACTTCCTTCAATTTGATCTACACCAAAAATTCTTGCAGTTCCAAAATCTGAAATTCTTGGATTCATATCACCATCCAACAACACATTACTGGCTTTGAGATCGCGATGTATTATTCTAAGACGAGAATCTTCGTGCAAGTATAGAAGGCCTCGAGCAATTCCTACAATAATCTTGTATCGTCTTGACCAATCCAATTGATCTTTCTTTCCAGCATCTATACAAAATTTTCATGTCTGAGTATAAAGTTGTATGGGTAAAATATAAAATGATCAATCAAATAAAGAGCAAGGGCTAACCAAACAAAATGTAGTCAAGGCTTCTGTTAGGCACAAACTCATAGACAAGTATCTTTTCTTCTCCTTCAAAGCAGAGTCCTAACAGTCTTACCAGATTTCTATGTTGAAGCTTGGTTACTGATTCAATTTCGTTTTTGAATTCTTCTGCACCTTGGCCAGAGCATTTGGATAGCCTCTTAGCTGCTATTTCCTGTCCATTTGGAAGCGTACCCTAAAAGCACATTTCAATATGGTATCATTAGAAATTTTGCGGCTAGCATGTTTAAATTAAAAAAATTCTGCAGGCTACCTTATATACAGCACCAAATCCCCCTTCACCTAGCTTGTTATCAGGAGAGAAGTTATTTGTTGCAGCTTTAACTGTACTCAAACTAAACTGCAAGGATTCTATATTTGAAAATTTACTTCGATCTACACAGTTCAAAACATTATATTAACCCTCTTTAAGTTTTGCAAATAAATGATAAATTACAAGGATTTTGAATATTTGCTTCCAATTTAATAAATTACCAAGTAATTCATCTATTCTACTGCTACGTTTCTTCAGTCTTTTCCTTCGAAAGAAACAGAAGACTATAGAGAAAACCACCATGTTAAATACTGAACAAACAACAGCAGCCGTTACTCTCAACCAAACAGCATGATGACCATGGCCACCTGCTTCCACCCAAAATTAAGGAAATTGAATAAAATATACCAAGGAGGCAAGGAGCTATATAATTAATAAAAAAGGAAATAATATATATTGCCCATACCTTCTTGGCTTCTGTAGAAAGGGTAATTCTCGTATCTAATTGAACAACTGGGAAGTAAGATCCTGCCGCCAATTTTCTCACTGCAGCAATTCGGAAGATATGAAATAGCTTTTTTCAAACAGATGGAACAATCAACCGCAGAGATATCTGGTGTGCAATCTGCTAAGCTGTAGATTGGAAAAGGTTTATATTTCACCATCTTCGTCGCAAACTTCTTAGCCGATGACTGATAGTGCCTTACCATCGCAGACACAAGATGATTCATAATATCTTGCAATTTTACTATAAAATTTGGTTCTTGGGTGTTCTCCGCATTTGTCCCAATAACATGAGGCTCCAGCTCCATTCTGTTGAAGAAATTCTTGTTGGAATATCGCACCATACACTGGTCATACCAAATTATGGATTCTTTATGACTTGAGCAAATACGAGTCATATCTTGAGTAGCATTATCTACACAAGCTTTGCACTTTCCGGTCGTGAGGTCTCCTCTGCACAAAAAGCTGCCATAAACAACATCGTTGGAACTGTGGCCAGCGCTATATTTGTAAAAATAGTTTTTGCTTGTGATATTAGAGAGTAGAGAAGAAAAGACAAGATCAAGACTGGCTTTGTAGGTGCTGTTTGGTGTGAAAGTAGAAGTTCCAAAGCAGGTGACGTTAACTGGATTTTTCGTTGCTTCAATTATTCTGTTGCTGAGCAAGCTAAGCATGCAGAGAAGTACAGTGAGTCTCCACATGATCATGAAACATGAAAATGTACTGAAAATTTTGCAGTGAAGTATTTTTGGCTATAAAGCAAAGAATTAACGATTAGGTAATAATTTTGACTTGGAAAAGGTGTAGTGTAGGGAAGTTAGAGCGAACATGGCCACCCCTTGACCCCTTCCTCCCTAGGCCGTAGCCCAGGTGGTTCAAACCGCTGTCTTTTACACTCTGGTCGTGACATGAAATAATAATATATATCCACGTTTTTTTGTTTTTATCATTAGAAGATGAACCAGATATCTATGTTGATATCAACGACAATATTTTTTAATAAAAAATTATAATTGTAAAGCATTCTCCCACCTTTGATGTTTGTTGGATCCTCTTTTTCTTTATTTCTCCACTATGGCTTAGTATTATCTAAACAAAAGGTGAGGGCTTTGGACTTGAGAGTAATTAACTATTGTTGCTGTACGTGGAAACACAGTGTAAAATGTGGAATACTGTCCCGTCGCGTTCTGGAAATATATTGATTCAGAAAAAGGTTCAATTAATCTTGTCTTCAAAAGCAGAAACGGAAAGACTAATCACTAATTCTTTGTTTTCCGTCCAAAAGTCACTTTTTCTCGTTTAATCAACAAAGAAAGACTATAAAATAAAGTGCTCAATGCGGTATTATTATTATCAGGATCTCTAACTCCAAGTTCAAATCTATCACAGCTAAGGTAATAGGAGTATAATGATAAAAAATTTAACAGGATTATTTTCATTTAGTCATTTAGTGGTGGGTCTACCCAGTGCGATCGGATTAGTGTACCAGCAGTCTTCACAGGCCGAATGGTTAAAACGAAAAAAAAAAAAAAATGCCACATTTGAGACTTCTTTAGAATTAATACACTTTGGAATCAATATAACTCAATATTCAAGAACAATAATGCACAATTGAATGAGTCACCCTTCTAATCTGAAAAATACAATACCTACGCTTCCATTTCACAGCCAATATGAAAAGCAGCAGAATGCGTGATTCTGTTTTTGGCTTGTCATGATCTTTTTTAACCCTTCCATTGAAACAAACACGATAACGAGCAAGATAAAATATGTAGAGTAACTCAAAGAAATCTAGTAGCCCTTATTTTCCATTTCTTGGATTGGTGGTGTAGTTTAATCTTCTTCTTCTTACCTAGTATCCTTCCGTCTGAACCAACTGGAACAGTAGCTTGCAACTTGACTCCGTGATGCTTATTCTTGACACCCCAAGTATTATACTGAATCTTAGTTGATACATCAAGCTTCAATTCGGCCTTTCCATCAGAAATTGCATTGAGAAGGGCTCGCCGTACCTGCTGAGTAGCATCAACATGGTTCATTTCTCTAACTTTTTTATTCTTTCCTTGATGAAAAGCAGAAATTTTGTTCTTTCCAACCGTATCCTCCCCAAAATGGAATATCAACAAAATATCATCATAGTAGATACTGGAGTCCTTGTTTGAATTGCTAATTTCAAGGGTATAACTGAGGGTGCCATCCTCCTCAGAAGCAGAAGAGTCCTGGGTAGGAACAGAGAACTCAACGATGCTGAAGGTAGGTTCTTTTGGACGTAAACTTAGCCATAAACAAAGAGCAAGGAGACCTAAGAGGCCTATAATTTGAAGAAGCCATAAGTAAAAGTTTTTGGAATCACGCATTATTATTATCTTTGTGGAGATATATTCAGAGAGGTTTTGTAAGCATAAAATGGGTATGCTTCCATTTTCTTGAAATGCAATAGTGCTTTGAGTGCAAAGAAAGGTTAGAAGCTTTAAACTTTCCCTTGAAGGAGACAAGTTACAAGGGGAATATATTACTACACAGGTTAATGCATGTTATCAAAGTCTCAAGTACAATATGCTTTGCTTCGGATCAATATTTTTACTTCTTCAGGTGTACATACAGGAAACTAATTTAAAGGATTTAACAATTTGTAGCTTTTCTTTGTTTCAGTCTAGTGGGATTCTAAGAGGTTTAATAACAAAAGCAAAACAATGAACAAATCATCAAGGAAGAGAGAATCTTCCTAAAATAAATAAGATAGGATTTGCATCATGAGATTAGCAATCCTCTTCCCTACCTCCACTATATCCAATCTTACCTCCACAGAAGTGGGGACATACCCAGCAAATTCGACTACTTGACAGTATATATATTCATTTTAATTCCCTTTCTCGTCCGTCTAGCTTTGTCGATATTTCTGTAGCTTTATATTCATGTTCCGCAGATATCTGCCATCAAAACCAATTGGCATATGGGCCTGCAAATCAATCTGACGAAGTTTAGTCTCAGTATGGAAAATCTTGTATTGAATTTCACGGGAGTTTCTAAACTAACTCTGAAAACCATAGCCCTTCCTCTAGTTCCTCTCCAAAACCAGAACTTTTGGCCTGGATTAACTCGCAGTTTCCATGTGATATTCTCTCTATAGCCCTGATAAAACCCGTGAAGAGACTTGTTACCAATAATGGAGTCCCTGTAATGCAAGGCTATATAGATATCATTATAGTAGATGTCAAAGCCTTTGTTAGGGTTGAAAATTTCAAGTTGGAGGATAATAGAGGCGTTTGGACTAACTTTGTGGTTCTGAAATAAGGATGGAATACAGACTCCAGTAATAGTGTAGAAGATCTTTAGGAGTTAAACATCGCCATATTAGATAGGAGATAGAACCTAACACCAAAAGAACTTGAAGAAACCAGACACAGGCATCTAGCTTAGTTATTGATGTCTTTGTTGAGAGCCATTGATTTGCAGGAAATGTTCTCTAAGAAATTCCTAACGTTTCGTAATCACCAATTTATAAAGGAAGCTCATGACATGGACAAAGATTCATGGACTCACACCAGTAATCTTTATTGAATAAAAAAATATTCTAACAGTGCTACATATAAATTCAATGACCACACACAAACACGCATATATATATCTTAGTTGAAAGCTAAAAGTATATTGCCTGACGAGGCTTCCATATTCATCCAAATATAGAGATACTTCTTGCCTAAGAATTTAATAGCTTAGCTAGTTCTTTCTATCTAAAAGTGAGCTTTTTGTTCAGTTCTTCTTCTATTTGATCCTCTTTTCTTCTTTATTCCAAAAAATATTTCCTCCATCACTTAAATCATCAATGAGTAATATTTTTATTCTTTTAAATCATCAATCAATTGACTGTTACTCTTGGAAAATTTTGATGCGATGTGTTTGGTATAATCAATGAATTCCACAAAATTTAATAAAATTTAATAAAATTTATAACTTCAATGTCAATTGGGAATATTTAAAATATGTAAATTTAAAAGTTAAGAAGAAGCATAAAAAGCAATTCAATCTGCATTAAAAATGACGGGAAGTGTCTATTAACTTAAAGAGATGAATTATTAACAAGCCGAACTATATTAAAATTAACGGATTATTATTAAACACCTTCCAAATTGATAAAGAAATTAGTTCAGATTAATTACATCTGAAGTAATAAAATGGAATTGTGAAGAACATAAAAAAAATAAAAAATAAAAAAAGGAAAAGGAAAATGCATCAATCTCATGTGGCTGAAAACATCAAACTAAACACAAATCAAGTGAAATAAACGGGACACCTCTTGTCCCGGTACAATGCCAAGATGGATCCATCCGGGCCCACCCCTACATTACAATTGGCATGCATCCGATGATTTTTACTATGCCACGTGGACACTTTAAATTCAATGGTTGATGTTATATCTAAACGAAAGATCACCGTCCCTTGCGACCGATCATTCAGGAACTCATTCCAACGTTGGCTATTCAAATTTAAGGTGGCCCCACCTAAAACCCCGGTCATAACTGTGGTGTTCTTGGGCTCTTGATAGAACGGGTCCAATAACGGCGTGTACCCGATCATTTGATCCTTATAATAAACCGATCCCTCTACTTTACCATAATAAAATCCGATATGCTGGTTAGAATTCCGGGCCGATACATTGAAGATTATCTGAGCATTGTCAAACCCGTTTCCTTGACCCAAAGCCGGAACCGAAAAATTATGGATGTGGATCCGGGGGCGATGTGGGCGCAAACTGAGCCATAAAATAAAAGCAACAATGCCAGCAACGAAAAGAATGATCAAGAAACTGGCACATATAAGCTTGGAGACACGGGTGGTCAGGCTTTCATGGACCCGGTGGGCATAATAGCGGGCGGTATGGTGGCGCTTGATGGCGGGAGGTTGAGAGCCGGAGCTAACGGGTAATCTCTCGGAGGTGTTCATTAACAAAATGGACCCAGGGACTGAGTTTCAAGAGAAATTTTGATGAATAGAAACGTTTGCTGGGTTAGTTTTAAGCAGTGGGCGAAACAGAAAAGGGAAGGTTGAGGAATATGTAGGTTGTCTTGTTTTGCATGGCGAAGAAAAGAATAATTTCATTGTTTAGTCGATTAGTTCATATTATGCTTTGTTTCAGTCTCTGTTTTGCAGATAAATAATCATTTTTTTGCTCGCAGATTTATAATAATAAATATTAAGCATCAAGTGGGTTGATTATATCTTGTTAAAAAAGGTAACCTAAGCCATACCTGTATGTATATGTATCTGGGTAAACAAGGTATAAAGCTTCCCTGCAGTTCATGAAAAGCATAGATTCCAAAGAGAAAGTGATTTTATTATCTGTTACCTTGTGGTCGTTTCGATCTTTTCTTTAATAAGTTTAGACTTTAGATACAGATTTATGCCTCATCTGGTTCAAAAACAATATTCTTGGCTCAAGTTAAAGAAACAGAGCTGGCACTGGCAGTATATGCATAAAGGTAAACAGAGTAAAGTGGTCTGAAAATGTTCTTATACCCTTTAAATTAGCAAGTAGACCAAAATTGGAATAATCAATTGCGTATCATAGAACCATATCGAAAAGAAATTGCAGAGAGAATTTTCCCTAAAAAATTAATTATTAAACTAAGCCATTCAAATCAGAAATAATTATGAAACAAATCAATCAGGATACCTTAATTATCGGTTGAAGAGTTCATTTATCCTGCGGATTTTTCAAGCCCATCTACAAATAGTTGGGCTACAGTCTCTAATTCTTCCTAACCCAGTCCCAGTTTAGAGAAAGGACAAGGTGAAGCCCATGATATGTACACCACCCGTTTGCCAATTTGTCTGGGCCATCTTTGTTTGGAAATGATAAAAGATGAAAAAAAATTATTAAAGGGAAAACACATACCTACACGAAACTTTTGTTTTCTTTTTGATTAAGTTGGCATATAAGACCATGTGTACACCGGGTATAACGAAGACAGATTGTCAATCCATTGGTTAAAAAAGGTTCTCCATAGCATATGCATTGCCTACAAAACAGGGAAACCAATTGTAAGAGAATGTCTTAGACAAACATAAAACGCCAATTGGTCAACATATAAACATAGGACACCAGTTATGGTGTTTTAGTTGTTTAATGAATATTACAGCTATGATATCATTTAGAAAATATTAGTAAAATTGTTTTTTTAAGTTCATTGACTTCATTTGTGTGCTCATTATCAAGAATGATCTTCGTATTATTCAAAAGCAATGGAACAATTTTAAGCCACTTCTCCATCATAATTAGCTCATTCTTGTAAAAAAGTTATTAGAAACTCCTTCAGGTTCTAACTAGGGAAAGCACGATAATAATTTAGTAATAATTAATTATAAATAATTAGTATCTCGTAATATAAAAAATTAAAGATTCAAACTTTAACATGGTTACTTTCTCCTTCTATGAGATTTAAAAGTAGTAAGAAAAAGAATAAAATCAAGTTGTCTGGTTAGTTAAAAGGTACTTATAGTGACAAATCTTACAGGCTTCTTTGTGATGCTAACTAGACAACTACTTAGATATGGAGATCCTTGTTCAGTCTATAAATATAAATTATCCAAAAATAAAAGAAAATGGTAACTGAGATTCAAGGTGACCGTTGCACTTCTAAATGATGCTAACAGCATAACTACTTTTTAATTAAATTACATATTTAGGTTAGTGTTTATTTTAATATAAAAAAAAACATTCTAAAAGACTTCAAACAAATATACAAATGTTCTCATTATTCTTACAAAGAACTCAGTAATTACATGAAGTTGTATGTGCAGATCTTATTGCGCAATGTTTTACAGTCTGTCTGTCACATCAAAATTACAAATTATGACCTCAAAGCGAACAATTATTGCAAATATTCAAATACAAATAATACGAAACAGAAACCGCAGCTAGAAATTTACTAGCAAACATCATCCTTACAATTCTTTTCTTCTTCTTCTTCCCCATTATTTACGCTAAACTTTGTCTAGTTAATCTTGCTGCAGACTTTCCTGATTTGTTGGGATATCCTCCCAAGTCCCACATCGGATAAAAAGGAGAAATGGAACCAAAATATAATGGTTCAAACCCAACCCATTAGTATGAGGCCTAAAAGGAGAAATGGAACCAAAATATAATGGTTCCAAAACCCAACCCATAAGTATGAGGGCCTTTGGGAGGTGCCCAAACAAACAACATCCGTGAGGGCCTTTGGCCCCAAAGCGGACAATATCAAACTAATTCGGCGGTTGGATTGGTACAATACGCGGTCCCACGAAGTGGTATCAGAGCCCTGGTAAGTATTACGGAGGAACTCAGATGTGTGGAAAGCGGACTGCGCAGTGGTGGAGAAAAATCTCGATGTGACGGTGTATTCATCAGAATACAAATCAGGAAAACCAAGAGCTCATTTTTTTAACACAAACCCACTAAGACCTAAAAGATATCACATGTAAGGTTTGTCCGTTCGCTTCGTCCGTACAGAGAGCAATTCCAAGGGAAGGGGCACCAAGGGACTTAACCGAGATAGGTATGGGTTTAACACGTGTTCGAAGTTCCCTGCATAGAGAATTGAGATAATGCTGGCGGTTACACGGGACCACATTGAGTTCTAGAGGGAGGAAAAAATGTTAAACCCACTCATCGATTATCCCTGGAGGGGAAGGCTAAACACGCACTGGTGGGTGGTTCCTATTGGTTGGAGGGGAGGGTTTGTTGGGACATAATACTCTACCACTCACCTAAAGCGGTATAGAGAGGAGCAAAATGGAAACCAAACATACTATTTAGGTTTCTCAACCAACCATTAGTATAGGTCCTTATATTTGGGAGGTGCCCAAAAACAAATCCGTGAGGGCTTGGCCCAAAGCGGACAATATCATACTAATTCGGGGTTGGATGGTACACGCGGTCCCAACATGATTTCGCCTGCAGTACCAGTAAGAACCCCGACCCGACCCATTTTGATCATGGACACAGCAAAGTCTTTGAAGAAACTGGATCCCTGTGTGGCTGCCTGAAGCTTGATATAAGCTTTTGTAACACTATTGTCGAGAAGAGCTGCATCGGATTGGAATAGACCCCTGTTTTTATTCACAAGTGTTGTGCGGTGCCCACTCAATGGGACCCACATTTGAAACAAATAAAAAAAAAAAAAAAAAAAAAAAAGAAAACGTGGTAAGGACCCACACGTAGTTTGAAAATGGAAATAAGGAAATAAGAATTTTATTTTCTTCTTGGTAGGTGATCCGTTTTTCGGTGGACGCGTAATTAACGCGTCCACCTCTCCTAATCCCGCGTCCATCCCTCCTATAAATAGGAGATTGCACAACGCTTCATAAAACACAGACCAAAAGAGTGAAGAGAGTTTTTTTTTGAGAGAATTTGAGTTTTAGAATTGGGTTCTAAAACTCGGGTCGAGAGAATAGTGAGGATAATTTGGAAAACACGGTGTGAGTGCCACTATTTTGTATTACTCTCTTTGTAAGCCTACTATTTTTAATAGTGGAAGAATTATTCAGTTTTTATCCCGTGGACGTAGCCCTAACAGTTAAAGGGTGAACCACGTAAATATCTGTGTCATATTTTTATTTTTCCGCTGTGTTATTTTTCTCGTAATCTTATTGCCGTAATCTTATTGCCGGGACCACAACAAGTGGGTAATCAGAGCCGAAGGTTTACCGGATCCGTGGATATATTTTAAAAATAAATATACCACGACGAACGAGAAAATTAACGCCGAGTCCATTAGTGCATCCGTTTCGAAAGACGTTGCAGAACGACTTAGTGGATGAAATAGTAAAATAGTAACTCAAAAGTTGAGGGTGAACAGTACTATTGGCTGTTTCTGAGTCCGTTTCAAATAAGCCCCAGCAACTATTCACGCATAGTACTATTCACATAAATAAGTTACTATTCCGCAACAGGTACTCGGTTTACGTATACTGTTACTATTCAATTATAACGGTCACTATTCACGTATACTACTATTCACGTATCGGTTTGCTGGTGATAATATTCTGCAACAAGTTAAAAAATGGACGACAGAACAACAGGCATCAAATGGTTAGACTCAACTCATCAAAAACTATGCAGTAATGGAAGATATAAATGGAAGATCTTCTATGCTGTAAAAATCTGTTTGAAACGATTGAGTTGAAGGGGTCCAGGCCAAAGCTTCAAATATGAATAGGCCGATTGGGAAGTCAAATTAAACAGAAAAAGCATCGCAACTATTAGGCATCCTGTTGAAAATGAGCGTCATAAACATATCGCTCATGGAGAAAGATGCCTGTTCAATTGGGAAGAAAGTTGGAGGACCATGTAACGAGCGGAAGAATGCCCAGAAAAAGCCTTTTTTAAATTAAAAGCTTGGTAAACTAAAAGTAAGAAGATGACGAAAGTGCTTTCAGATCACTTGGGCAAAATTTTCAAGAAAATAGTGAACCAACTGACGAACGTCAAAGATAGTGTTTGACGACCAGGTGCAGGCACTATTCTTATTGAGTTCCTTGCCAGAACAGTTGGGAGACACTGACTGTTACGCTCAGTAAATGTGTCGGAGGGGAATCCTGACCTTAACCACAGTCAAGGAAAGCATTCTGAATGAAAGACAAACCAGACGTAAGGATGAATGCTCGAGTAGCAACTCAGATGCACTCGTTAACAGTTACAGAAAGGAGGGGAGAAGCAGAAACAGATACACCCAAAATCCCAAACAAAACGTGACAATTCACGGAAGAAGATCCAAGTCAAGAAAAGGTGTTCACTTGGCTATCAATTGTGGCAAGCCGGTCACATCCCAAAGCATTGTAACGAAAGTGGAAAGAAGGAACGAGCCAAAGAAAGTGAAATGAAGAAAAGAACGATAAACGGAGGTAGCTTCAGTAGCTATTGATCTGACGCACTTGGTGATGGTAGTGCGCTGATTTCTCATGCTGGTCCTTAGTGAGTGTTCCACTAGTTCAACAATCTTTAAAATGGAATTATTGACTCTGGCATGTTCCTTATCAAATATTATTCAAAATAAGGAATATTTCTCCATCAACCTCGGAGATTACGGCCATGTCAAGACTTTGAATGGCACATATGTGGAAAATTGCGGCATTGGAGCAGTATGCATCAAAACCAATGCTGGTTATGATCTCTGGTTGGAAGATGTGAGATACACTCCTACGGCAAACTTCAATCTAATCTCAGTTCATTGTCTTGATGAATTGGGCTATACAAATCTGTTTGTTAACAGAACGTGGAAGCTTTCTAAAGGTAACTTGGTGTTCGGTCAAGGAAGAAAGTTCAACACCCTCTACTACACCCAGGCTAAAGTTTGCACAGGAGTAGTGAATGCAGTTGAAGATTCATCTGCTAAGTTATGGCACAAACGACTTGGGCATTTGAGTGAGAAAGGAATGGAGACTCTCACCAAGAAGAAAATGCTATCTTTGAAAGGTTTGCCTCTGAAAATATTTTGCCTCTGAAATATGCACTGATTGTTTGTCCTGGTATAAACAACATAGATTTCCTTTCAAAAAGATCTCCTTCTCCATCTAGAAAAACCTGGTATTCTAGAATTGGTAACACCACTGATCGTTTGGCTCAATGGGTGACAAACTTTGAGTGGCTGCTTATATTATGTTAGTCTTATTGACTGACTTCTAGAAAGGTGTGGGCTTCCCAATAAAGTCAAAAGACGACCAGGTGCTGGATATGTTTAAAATCTTTCATGTCAGTGTTGAAAGACAAACGGGAAGAAAGTTAAAATGTGTTAGAGCTGATAATGGTGGTGAGTAAAGAGGACCGTTTGAAAAGTATTGCTCAGAACACGGCATCAGACTTCAGAAGACAGTTCCCAAAACTCTACAGCAGAATGGAGTTGCAGAGAGAATGAACAGAACCATTGTTGAAAGGGTTCGATGCATGCTCTCTCATGCAAAACTTCCTAAAACCTTTTGGGCTGAAGCAATGAATACTGTAGTTTACTTGATCAACCTTTCACCTTCAACCTCCCTCAACGGAGATGTACCAGAAAAGGTGTGGTCAGGAAAAATATTTCTTACGATCATCTAGAATATTTGGCTGCAGGGCTTTTGCTCATGGTTCCAAAAGATGAAAAATCCAAGCTTGATTCGAAGTCCAAAAACAGTGTATCTTCTTGGGTTATGGAAATGGATGATTTTGGGTACAGATTATGGATCCCAGTTGAAAAGAAGCTCATCAAGAAGCAGAGATGTAGTAAATTCCTGGAAGACCAAAACCATTGAAGACTTTGAGAAAAAATGAAAAGCAAAGTCTATCAATGAGTTTCCTGTTTAGTCTTGATGCAGAACATCATTAGAACCACAAATGATGAAAAGATGATGATGAACCTGTTCGAATGATGCTGAACCAGCTCCAATAGAAGAAACTGCCTCAATTGAGAGATCTGCGAGAGGCAGCGAATACCCTTCCCAAAGATATTCTCCTAATGAATATGACTTGTTGACTCAAGGGGGAGAACCAGAGAACTACCCAGGAGGCAATGGAAGATTGTAAAAATAGAATGAGTGGCTGAAAGCCATGCAAGATGAGATGGAGTCCTTGCATGAGAACCAGACTTCATGAGTTGGTGAAACTGCCCAAAGGTAAGAAAGCATTGAAGAAACCAAATGGGTGTTCAGGTTTGAAGACTGAACAGAACAACGTCACAGCCAAAGGGTACAAGGCGAGACTGGTTGTGAAGGGATTCGGTCAGAAGAAAGGAGTTGACTTTTGAAAAGAAATTTTCTCACCCGAGTCAAGATGTCTTTCTATCAGAGTTGGTGGCTCGGTTTAGCAGCTAGCCTGAATTTGGAGATCGAGCAACCTTGATGTAAAAGACCGCTTTCCTCCATGGTGACCTTAGAGGAGGAAATTTATATGGAGCAACCAGAAAGGGTTCAGAGTCAAGGCAAAGAACACTTGGTGGTGTAATTGCAGAAAGCTTGGTATGGCCTCAAAACAAGCTCCAAGACAAGGTACAAAAGGTTTGGACCTCTTTATGGTAAATCATGGGTATGAGAAAACTACTTCTGAATCAACTGTGTATTTGTGAAAAGTTTCATGAAGGCGACTTTATTATTCTCTGTTATATGTGGATGATATGCTTATTGGTGGGGCCCAAGATGCTAAGAAAAATTGAGAGCTTGAAAAGAACTTGGAAATCCTTTGCTATGAAGGATTTGGATCGGCAAAAACAGATACTCGGAATGAAAGATCTCCAAGAGACAGGAAAAAGAGAAAGTTGTGGCTGTCTCCAAAGGAAGTCATCGAGAAAGTTCTCAGCGAGATTTCAAATATGAGCAATGCAAAACCAGTTTCTACTCCGCTTGCAGGTCATTTCAATTACAATGTCCTTCAAGTGAGAAAGAAAAAGAAGAACTGAAGAAGATTCCTTATGCATCCGCCGTTGGCAGCTTGATGTACGCTATGGTATGCACAAGACCAGATATTGCTCATGCTGTTAGTGTTGTTAGCCGATTTCTTTCAAATCCAGGTAAAGAACACTGGAATGCTGTAAAGTGGATTCTCAGGTATCTTAAGGGCACTTCCAAAATGTGCTTATGTTTTGGTGATAATAGACCTGTGTTAGATGGTTACACAGATGCAGACATGGGTGGTGATGTTAATTCGAGCAAATCAACTTCTGGATATCTGATGACCTTTGCAGGTGCAGCAGTTTCTTCGCAATCAAAATTGCAAAAATGCGTTGCACTCTCATCCACTGAGGCGGAATATCCCTCCATCCACTGAGGCGGAATATATCGGCCAATTACAGAAGCTAGCAAAGAACTCTTATGGATGAGAAATTCCTAACAAGAATTCGGGTGTAGAACAAGAAAGAAGTTACATTCTGCTATGTGATAGTCAAAGCGGCGATAACAATCTCAGCAAGAATTTCGACCTTTCATTCAAGGTCAAAAGCACATTGATGTGAAGGTATCATTGGATTTACGCGATGCGACTGGAGATGAAGTTATTTCTCAGATTTGAAAAGAATTCACACTTGATGTAATGGCGCTGATAATGATGCTAAAGCTTTACCTACGGAGAAACTTGTCACTTGCAAGAAAGATAGCTGGTATGGCTAACGTTCCCCACTTGAGTGTGCAAGGGGGAAGATTGTTTGTGCGGTGGCCCACTCAATGGGACCACATTGAAAATCAAATAAAAAAAAAAAAAAAAAGAGAAACGTGGTAGGACCCATCAGCGTAGTTGAAAATGGAAATAAGGAAATAAGATTTTTCTTTCTTGGTAGGTGATCCGTTTTTTCGGTGGACGCGTAATTAACGCGTCCACCCTTCCTATCCCGCGTCCCATCCCTCACTATAATAGGAGATGGGCACAACGCCTTCATAACACACATAAAAAGACCAAAAGAGCGACAGAGAGTTTTTTTTGAGAGAATTTGAGTTTTAGATTGGGTTCTAAAACTCGGGTCGAGAGAAATACGTGAGGAATTAATTTGGGAAAACACTGCTGTGAAGTGCCAACTTATTTTGTATTTACTCTCTTTGTAAGCCTACTATTTTTAATAGTGGAAGAATTATTCATTCGTTTTTGTCCCGAGTGGACGTAGCCCTAACAAGTTAAAGGGTGAACCACGTAAATATCTCTGTGTAATATTTTTATTTTTAACAGTTAAAGGGTGAACCACGTAAATATCTGTGTCATATTTTTATTTTTCCGCTGTGTTATTTTTCTCGTAATCTTATTGCCGGGACCCAACAACAAGTGTGTAATAGTCATCATCAAATGTCCTAACGCTTCCTGGATCCATTTCTACAAGAGAATTTTGATCTCCTGGCTTGCACTTGATTTTCAATTGTTTTACGTAATATGGGTCTAATGTCGGGTCAAAGTCATTGTTTATTCCTCTTCCAGTGAAGTTGTAAAGCCTGGAATTGAACGAAGAGCAATGAGAAGTTCCAATAGTGTGCCCACCTGCATAAAACAAGTCATCAGCGTTATAATCCGCTTTTTCCAGGCGGAGACATGAATTTATCGCAGCACAACCAAAGAAAGTTATATACCTGATAGCACCACTAAATCTTTTAGGTTTAGACCCTTAGCTTGAAATCTTGCTATTAATGTAGTAATGTTTGCATTAGGAGGTATCAGGTTTGTTAAGGTTTCAGCTGCAATGGACACCCTTCCATCTCTTCGTCCGGTTTCAACTTGCCAGTATGGTCCCTTGGTCTGAGATTAATATCAATTTTCTTTGATTAAAATTAATTATTATCTTCCTTTTGATTTTTTTTTTTCTATATTATGCAATTAAATGGAAGGAAAACTTAAATACGCTTGCATAAAAAATAATTACCGCAAAAGTTACATCCCTGGCCACAATAGCAACAATGTCTGCGCATGAAACTATTCCAGGACACTCCTTTTCCAATGCAGACTTGACTCTGTCAATAATTTCATATCCTCGAAGGGTTTGATTTGGAATTCCATCCTTTTCAGCTTGCTGACCTTTAGTAGCGTCCAATAGCACTGAGCCATCACAACCCTATACGTGCACAGAATTAAATTACCCATATATATAGGGAAAAAAATGTTTTATATTACATTTTTTCAAAAATACACTTACCCTAACAAAGCAATCATGAAAATGCATCCTCAACAATGGTCCTGAAAGGGAAGGAGCTACTGACATGACTTGATCAATAACTTCCTTAACAATGGCCTCAGCTCGTGGACATGTCTTAGAGTAAAACCCTACTTTCAATTGCGCATTTGCTGCGTTAAAGACAAATAACACACATATCAATCCAAGAAAAGTAACTGAAGATGCCTTGGAAGCAGCCATGTTTGTAAGAAAGCTATTGCGGTGTGAGAAGCAGTTAGAGGGAAAGGGCAGTCTTATATAGTAGGTTGGACGGGCTGACTATTTCATTGAAAGCTGTCAGTACATAACATCTGATCTGTTATTGGTTTAAGAAAGTAATAATTTGGCTTTGTCAATTATTTGATTGAAACAATTTGATATTAGAATAATTTGTTGACTTGAAATGAGGATGATTGATGGATAATGGATCCTTTCTTTATATATATAATGATAAGATTAATTGTTGTTTAAACTTTAAAGCCTTGATGAATCACGCAGCAGAGTATAAGTCTTTCGAAGCATAACGTTGCAAGATAAAACAACTCAACTACCTATATAATAAAGAATAAAATAAAAATTTAATTAATTAGTTTAAGAACAACAAGAGGAGGAGTGTACGTTGACATTGCTAGTAAATAACATGTGTTTGTTCAACAAAAGTGTTTGTTTATTCTGATATATATGTTTTCATTAGCACTTCAATAATCCAATTGGCTGCTAACAGAAGGTCCAATGGGAATGGATGCTCTGAATGATATATTTTGTGTTAGTAACTTTTACAATTATAATATATAATGAATTTAATTGACGCCAAATCATCATTTCTCCACTTCTTTTAGTATATATGGGAGGAATTATCGCTATTGATAGTTAAATTTTATATTGATAGTTAAATTTTAAATTAACTTCCTCTTTTTAGATAGTTTAATTTTTGGATTTGTTCGATAATACTATGTGTTTTAAATAGTTGATAGCTATTTTACTAGTTCTCGTCAAACATTATCCCTTAGCTCTAGACTAATTAATTAAACTCAACCTAGCCAACTAGAGAGTGATCTGATTGGTCTTATTAGTTATACGAGGATAGGAGGTTTCGAGTTTAACAATCATTTTCATCAAATCATTTTCATTAATTGAGTGAACCAAGGAAAAGCTACCACTGCTGCGTAGCCGTGGATTTAAATATGTATTAGGACATTGAAAGAAAGGCCGAAACATATAGACAAATGAAGCCCATAAGAGGCCTTAAATTATCCAAGAAAAGGCCCAACTATATCACTAAAACAAGCCTCTTATACAAAAAGGCCGAAATCTCAATAGTCAGTATCCGACTTCGACATCTTTGGGCTTATTTCGCGACAAAAATGGAACTACTTGCAAGTTGCAACTGTCGGTCCATTGAGAACCAAGGCCTAAATACGATAAGGAAAAACTTACCTTAGTCTTTATGAACGACAAATAAATTTTTTCTTGTCGTTCGCATATGAGAGGAAAAGTTTCTCTTTCATGCCATCCACATATTCGTATTTGATTAATCATGGATTAGTTTTTTATAACATTATATTATCTATATCATTGCGAGCGTTAACAATTGTTTCTATGGATGTTTTGGTACTAATGGCTTGCTAATACGTTGTAATTTTTTTTTTTTAAAAAAAAAAACTAAATTATCTACTAATTGGACAGTTCTTTGAATTATAAAATTTATACCTCTAATAAGAATTGTTCTATTTACTAAAAGACTAGTATTATAATATATATATATATATAAATTGTATTAAATGTTGAAATCTCCAATCGAAGTCAGAGATGGAGAAAAATCATTTTTTAAAAAAAGTTCAACCATAGGCCATCGCTATGGCAGTAATATATTTACTTCCAGTGTTGCTTAGGCATTAGGCAGTAGGATGCTGCACATGCACAATTAGAGGATTCTATTCTTTTTGGCCTGGTCTACATATCTGCGTTTTGTTAGGTAGGTGAAAAGGCAAAAGAGAATGAGCGAAGGCGGCCTCCATTGACCGCCTTTAAATCCCTTGAGCCTTTAAGTTCATTGACGCAGATCATTCAGGACAGCATCAACAATAAAAGAAACACTATAATTTGTAAAATGAAAAGTATAACTGCCGCAAGGAAAATTTTTCTAACGTGCAAGAGAAACAAACTGAAAGAAATTATTGCAACGGTTGTACTTATCACCATACATATTTTCTGCTCCATATGCACACGCAATGTGGAAGAAACATTGATTGGATGACAATAACCTTGCAAAGGAGGTCAATGGCTCGATTTTCTTGAATTAAAAACTAAATCAAATACGGCATCTCTAGACAAACTTTATCTATAAAATAAAGAATTTAAATTTTAAAATTACTTTTGTTAAAAACGTTATCTGAATACTACACCAGACTTGTGCGTATACACTGCGTAATAAAAGAAAAACATAAAATAATATGAAAAATAAATGTAGTAAGTAATTTTGCTGAGAAAGTTTGATACTTCCATATTAATTATACATTTGACTTTTATTTCCAGAGGCTCAAAGTCAACTTTTGGCTGTAATCACATAACGTAATGGATCAGTAATGGTGAAATAAAACAGAAAAATATGAATAAAATTGAATTATTAAATCATTCACGAGTAATTAAATTGCTCGAGGCACCCTTTTTCAAAGGGATACTAACAGTAATGAAAGACCTGAATCTCGATTATTTAATTGTATAATAACTTAGACTGTGTATTTATATATATATATATATTTGAAAAAAAGAGTTTCTGGTTAGCTATATCTAACTCTGTAGGGATAAAGTACGTAAGGAGAGAGACGGAGCCACATCTCCAGTGTGTATTTTCGATTTTATTTTGTTTATTTGTACTCTTTTCACAGAAAGCTAAGGGACTGGTTGAAAATGACACAACTGAACAATAACAAAAAGAATATTAACTAGTGATCTTTGCATTTACAATTTGTTCATTGTTATTTTGTCAATATGGCCAAAATTTTTATCGATCGACAAGGAAACCTGTGAAATATAATTGTTTGTTTTATCTGAGTTTTTTTCCTATTTCTTGGTCTGAGACAAATGGGCAAAGGTTGTCAATTTCCATCACGTTCTGCAACTTGGAAGAAACATCCACAAATTTTCATTTCCAACCGACAAAACCATCCTCGTTATACCCTGTCTCTATTTCAATACTAACTATATATGTTCTTGCAGTAACTAACAAATCTTCAAGTATCAGCTTTATTGAACAAGCAATGGCCATTCTTGTAGATGATGGACTGAGCCTGAGGGCCATTCTTTAACCACTGAACTTTCTTTATCCAATTATTAAAGAATTCTGATATTAAAACTGAATTAGTAGCTAACTTGCATTAGAGTCAAATGATGATGTGGGTTTCTTACAACCGTTAATGAAGCCGCTGTTCATACTACAAGTTGTTAAGCATGTGCTGTGATGCTTTATTTTGTTTAATTAATTAATCAAAATACAACGTTTTCTGTAATCTCACTTAGTTAATTAATTGTTTTTCGTTCATTGGAGAACAGATATGCACAAACGTATTCTCTATCTATCTCTAGAGATAATTAAGCCAGAATTGCTTGCTTGACAAGCGCTGATCAAAGCTATATAATGCTCAGATTCAAGTCTGCAAATTTTCCACATCAAAACTCCTCAATAACAAAGAATTGGAAATGTACGTGGAATAAGTAAATTTTATTCAAATAATTTGATTTCAATATTTAATTATCTGCTTGGTAGAAAGTAGGTCAAGATATAGCACCTAAATGCAAATCAAAAAAGGAAAAAAGAAAAAGAAAAAGAAAATGGACGCACCATGTATAATTAATCATTGATCCTATCATGTTTAGTGGTAAAGTTAGGTATAATTTCTAATATTATTTTTCATTCGAACATACATTCTGTATTACAGAAATACTATATACATTACTGGTGTACGTTTAATACTATATTGTTGTGACAATACTTGGTGATGGAGAATTGTGAAAAAAGCATAAAAAGCTGTCATAAATTATGCAATATTGCTATATATTATCATCCTCTGCACATTATTCATGCAGCAATATATTCTAATGCAGACAAAAGAGCACCTTAATTGGGTGCAGCCTGGAAAAAAGGGGAGGTTGGAGCTAAACCTTTACCAGAAAAATTAAAGTTTAAGACTTGGGAGTTGGGACCCTTTCAAAGTCATATGCAACCCATATAATTCAGCTCTCTTTTGCTTATAAATATATGATCAACCAACATTTATCGAATTTGTAATAGAATCAAAGAAACTAGTTTGATCCTCTTATTTTTCTTTCTCGATCCGAGAAATGCATGAATTGGGATTCGAATTCCTAATACATATAGAAACAAATGGTCTAATGGAAGCAAGAATTTCCAGGAACATTCACAACATTTCATTTCTGAATAGAAGAGCCGTTTTCCTTTTTCTACAATTCAAGTAGTTCATACAGTACCTTATTGGAGTTCTTTTAATGGTTTCAGTAACTGCAGGCCATGCCAGCCCTGTAGAAATGTAGTGTTTGCTTGGAGCTAAGTGATTATATTGGCAGTATAGGGTTCACGGGAGGTTTAAGGAAACCTAACGCATAACTATTTTAATGCAAAACGAACTTGTCATTACCTCTAGGTATTATTCAACTTTTGAGATATGAAGGAAAAAAAAAAGTCAGTTTGATCATTCAAGTCATGCACACTGAAACGGATAAATCTAGCTAGATGTGGATAATTTATTGGTCACTGTCAGCATCGGAGTTGCTGTTTAGTCACACTTGCTTGATGGGTATTATCCTTTTTTTTTTTTGTTTGATAAGGTATTATCCAAATAATTTTAGGTTTAACACGCAACTAGCAAAATAATGTTGCCATGGATTATTATCAAAATGAAATTTTTAGGTCCACCATTAGATTTCAGATATGGGTTTTAAGGTAAGGTGGACAATGAAACATCTATGTTCGTGAATTAATGCTAATATAAGAAAGGAAGTCTTTGTCATTAAAATTAAAAATAAACATCAAACTGTTTCTTCTGTTGCTGCAAGGTTACAAAATTAGATTTTGGCACTTTCTTTTCTTCTTCTCCTCAACAAATGATTCAAATTTAAAATGTAAAATGAACAATTAATTCTTCTACCAACTAATTATGCAGAAAACTTTCATGTCACTCCTATATCTTAACCACAATTACGGTTTCAACTTATAAATAAATAAATGTTATTTATAAATAGAAATTTTATATTATAAGGAAAACTATTATGGTTTTTGTAATTTTTGAGTGCATTATATATTTTCCATTTAAACCAATAAAAATAAATGAAATTGCTATTTTGTTATTTCTATTACAACCTTCTAAGGTATGTGAAATAGATACGGATCATGTTCGGCAAGCTAGTTTTTAGCGTTTTGATCAAGTTAAAACTTTATATCAATTAGTTATACAGTACGGTAATATAGTTTTGATAGCTTTTAATTAGTTTTTTTTTTACAGTTATACCTATTGTTTTTTTTTTTTTTACAGCTAATTGAATACTAGCTAATAGTTAATATACATCTAATGTATCAACAGTTAACAAATATTAAAACAGCAAATAATATTTAGATATAAATCGAAGAAAATTTTCAATTTTGGAAGTATAAAAAAATTTGATACTATAATATTAGAAAGCGAATCAATTCGGACTTGGGAATATCCGGATAACAATGAAAGTTACTATATAATAACAAAATACTCTATTGTACTCTTCTCTTTCAAGAAACAAAAAAACCCCTCAATAATGCTTTTTCCATATTTTTATTTCAAAACAAATCTTTAATCCTACTATAAAAATTCGAATTTAAAAAATTATATTTTTAATCAGTATAATAATTTTAAAGATTATTGCACGTACAAGCTTGTCTTCTATACAATTATGGCAGTTTTAATAAACATAGTGTTGGAATATTATAGAATGGCTCAAGTTGTCTTCATCTTAAATCAGGGGATACCCTTAACATGGGTCTGAGTACGATGACTGGTTTATAATCTCGACCCTGTACAAAACATATTTTTAAAAAATTATATAATTTATGTATTTAAAATTTAAATAATTATAATAATGACCAAATATATATACACAGGTGACATCCTCTCCATTTCCAATTGCAATTCCTCAGTTTCCTTTTTGTTTCTTTATACAAACCGAAACATGGTCTTGTCCTCACTTTCCTAGTTTCCTTCTTAGATTTGAGTTCCCATTCGAACAGAATTGAATTCCTCAACTCTTGATTTCTTATCCTACAAGATAAGAGAAAAAGAAAAAAGAAATCCTCCACCCTTTCTCAACAAGACAAGAAACAGAGTAGTTAAGAGTCAGTTCATCTACAACATTTCTTTCAAGAAAAACCGTCACCACGATTGTTGAAAAAGATTCAAATACCAACTGGAAAGAGAATTACCCATCTTGGCTAGCTCTGTTATATGTAAAGGTTTCTTTTTTTTTTTTTTTTTTTTTTTTTTTTTTTTTTTTTTTTTACCATCTGTGGCTGCTTCTGTTATATGAAAGGTTTCTTTTTTTTTTTTTTTTTTTTTTTTTTTTTTTTTTTTTTTTTTTTTTTTTTTTTTTTTTTTTTTTTTTTTTTTTTATGAATGAAATGAAGCAGTTCTAAGAAAGAATAAGTCTTTGTTCGTTTTCTTTTTCTTTTTATAATTTCTTTTTTATTTTAGAATTGTTTATATGTATCTCAACTATCGAGCTTTGACTCATGAGGTTGGTCTTATTTTTCTTGCAATCAGGCGGTGGAAAGTGATTGCCACATCAAGTATTCCATTTGAGTCCTTCTATTTCCAATCCTCTTTTCTTTTCTTTTCCCCTAGAAAGTGTTGGAAATGACGGATACTCCAAAGTTGGTGAGTTCATCTTTCTGGTTTCTGGGTTTATTTTTCTTCTATTAATTTGCAATTAATATATTTGTCTGATTCATTTATCACTGTTTTCTTGAACAGAAGAAAGTAACCGTTCTTTCTCTTAATTTTGAATTAGGATTTGACTTCTTGTCACAATGAGGCTGGTGGATTAGACGAAAATTTAGGAAACCAGAAAATTTCTTTTTTGGATCACATAAACGGATTTCAATACACAACGGAGAAATCGGATAGCTTTGTTATCGACATGGAAAGCTTCTCCCGTGGCAGCAATATTAAAGATATCAACCCAAATTCAAGAATTACAGTAAGTTTCCTCTTTAAATTTCAATTTTTTTTTCTTTTGGGATAATTTTTCTTTTTGGTGCATTCAAATGTGTTTTTTAAAAATTTCCTATTTAGTCATGAAAGTAATTTTACTTCCAATTCTTTTATTTTCTCAATATGTCAACTTTGCGGTGGTAAAAATCGAATGTCTCTCTGATAAGTTTACTTAACTATGATTATTTTTTATGAATAAAAATAGTTGCAGAGAAGCCTTTCCAGAAAAGGGTCGTTGCGCAGCCCAGGCGGCGGCGGGACAGGCAGTGAAAAGAAGGTTAATGGTTCGCCTAATGACAGAGACAATGACACTGTTGTTGCTTCCTCCTTACCTAAAGGTACTATTCTTGAGTTTTTGAAGGTATTATTCTGGAGTTTTTGACTTCCTTTTTTATAATTCCCTTCCCTTTTTTTTTTCTTGGCTTGAAATTGCCATTTTCTTCAAATTTAATTGTGAAAATTTCTAGACAAAGAATTTTCATTTTTAAATTTTTTATTGTTCAATTTGTTTTATCCTGATGGATCTTTGGATCCTGTGTGAAAGAGAAAGAGATAGTGATGCACACGCAAGACGCTAGCAAACAATAGTGAATAAATTAACAATGTTCTTATTCTTGATATTTGCCACGTATAGATTATATTCCAAAATCTTTTATTCCCTACCAACAATTTCTGGAGCGGCACCTATTATGATGGGGAGGTTGACATCTTGGTGTTTTTTAGTTGGAGGTTAGTTACCAACTTGTTTCAGATGACTTAGTTTATTTATGAATTATGATACCAAAACCAAAATTCTACTACTACCACCGGACAAACAATGATCAAATTGCTGAATTGCAAAGTACAGTTTAAGGATTATTCATTTTGATGGTGTACTTTAACCGAAGACATGTGCAATTGAATTATTGGAAAATAGATGGTGAAATAATAATGCTAGTTAATCTGGAATTGCTTTTGAGTAGGGCCTAACATGACTGAAAAAAGCTTGCTGGTAGCGGCTGGGACCACTGATTATTCCGGTAGCCCACAAGTTCATCATCAGATCACCATCAATACTACCGGCAATATGAATGCTTCTACAGAAAGCAGATACATCGGCAGGAGAAACAGTTTCAAGCGTCCTCCATTTTCATGGGCGATTGATCCCAAAAGGATTCTTTTCTTTTTTGCCACCCTGTAAGTTCTTATGCCTTTCAACCTGCAAGACATCATAAAATAATGGTTTTAAATATGCAAAAGTGTTTTATGTTCTTTCTTTCAAATCTGTTACAGATCAAGCATGGGAACAATATTGCTGATATACTTCACTCTTTCCATGGGCAAGCTCAGTGCAGACGACACCGCTCTTGATTGATACTGGGAATGTGAGATAGAAATTCAGATTAATGGAAATTCAGATAAACATAATTTATTGGCAGTGAGGGCCCTTTCTTCGAAAAATAGTCTTCATGTAATGAGAATTTCAGGGAAATATTCAGAACAGAGAAAAGTTAGAAATGGCAAAAAGCTAACCGACCATCCACTACCATGACTTCAACTTAGGAGTGCTCAACTTTTGCAGGGAATTATTAAATAACTCTTAGAGATGAAGACAAGCAGCTATCCATTATGACAAAAAGAAGGAATCTTCTTTTTTATATGTATGGATGAGGAAATGAGATGTGTTTGTGCAATCCTATACAGCTGAGTGAAGGACCAGAGAGTCCTTTCTTTTGCTCTCTTCTAATTTTTTAAACATTCTTATCCATACCTTAAAATTCTGTTTGTTCTGTTGGCAGTCCCACTTAGATAGGCCCTTTTGTTGTATGGTTTTCATGTCAGTGAAACAAAGATGCAGACAGTGCTCCAATAATGAGATTTTCATATGCGCTCATGCTCGTGTGCGCTACACCAGCACAAGCTCTAACCTTTTTACCAGAAGATGTGAGACTATCCTGCAACTAAAGAAAGCCTAATAAAAGACATTTTGGCTAGCACTGAACATGCTGGACATAAGAATTATAATATAGTGGGATGAGAACAAGTATTGTCATAATCATGAGAATGTCTGATACCACCTCCAAGAAAGGTAAACACGCTCTCTAACTCAAGCGTGCACAATTAAGCAACCACATGCATGGAATAATAGAGAAAAGGGAATGAAAACAAAATTAAGTTAATATTCAAATAAGACTCTGGTGAGCATGCAGAGACTTGAAGTAATCAACATCCAAATCTGCCAGCAACTAATATTTGCCTCAATCAAAATCATTTTTTCTCCTGTAATTTTCTGAATCATATAAATGGAGGAGAATCCAGCACATGAAAGTTCAAAATAAATTACCATGCATTTGAGTAGTCATGCATGATGAGATTTGATTGATAAAAAAGAAACCCAACCCACCCAAACCCCGGGGGGGGGGGGGGGGGGGGGGGGAGAATCCAGCACATTGAAATGTCAAAATAGAATGTGAGCCATGCATGTTGAGTATCAGCATGTGATGAAGTTTGATGATAAAAAAAAACCAACCCACCCCCAAAACCGGCCGGGGGGGGGGGGGGGGGGCGTGGGTGCGGGCCCAAAAGAGAAAAGAAAATTCAGCAGAGTAGAGAATGGCGAAGTAGTAAAATAATCTAGTTATTTAGTATGTTCGATATATAAAAAAAAAAAAATTCAGCAGAGGTAGAGAATGGCAAGGTTATAGTAATAATCTATTGTATTAGTATGTCATGATATTCACAGTAACATATAAACCGCAGTAGGTTTACCAGCTTGATGCATCCTCCATGTCATACTGTTTCAGCCACTCAAGCTTGAGCTGAGAATAAGACTTTCCATATTAGTAAAGTTTTGAGATTCGTGGCATTGAACATTTGTGCTTCCGATCATGGTGAAGTCTTAATATAACTGCTGCAGTTTCTTCAATTGCTTTTCCTGTCACTTCTGCACATGACAAAAGAAGAAACAGTATGAGCATCAGATTCAATTACTTGCATATCACTTTACCCATGATGAAGCATCTGGATTATCCCTTTTTCTTTTTCTATCTATCTTATGTTCCCCAAACATGGGAATTTTCCATATGTCTATATTAAATATTTAAGAAAGTTCGCAGTATATAACTACATAATCCAAAGGCAATACTTGAAATTTGAAATAAGTGTATTACCAATCACTGGCCAAACAGGATTCTGTGCAAAAACCCTGCGAGCGAATTCCAACTCTTCTCTCACATGATCCATCTCAGAATAATTACTTCTTACATCTTGGCTGAACCCAAGACTCTTAGCTCTAGCTTTTCTAATGGTGTGTAGAACCACAGGATTTATGGTCAAACCAAAAACTTTCTCTGGGTCAACCTCAAAAAGGCCATTTGGCAATTCGACACCCATCACAATAGGCACATTTGCCACTTTGTATCCTTTCTGTGCCAGATAAATAGACAATGGTGTCTTTCCAGTACGAGAAACACCAGCAAGAACAATGTCAGCTTTGTACAAGTTCTGCGGCAGGGCACCATCATCTTGCTTGATGGTGAATTCAATTGCTTCAATCCGTCGAAAGTACTCATCAGAAAGGGGAAACTGCCTCCCAGGAGCTCCACGGGGAAGACCAGAGGGCGAGACGCCTAAATGAGAAGCTATTGCCTCTGTTATTGGACCCAGAATGTCGGTAGATGGTATTCCCCATAACTTGCAGGCTTGTCTAGCTGATTCAGCCATGGATGGATCAGCAAGAGTATAGACTACAATTGCACCTTCTTTAGCAGCTTGTTTTATAATCTCCATTAACCTTTCTGCATCATCAATCTGACAAATGCAAATATATCAACTAATTATTCAGCGTTATTTCTAAGAACTAAACAAAATAGTGGATTCGTTAATAGCATCTCAACAAATAAGAAAGCTAAGAACTAAAAGACAACAAAAACAGGGGAAAGGAAGGCTAGAAATCATAATTACCCCGGAAAACAGGTGGGTGTTTACAGGACAACCACGATCGACCAAGCAGTAATCGAACTGCCCCAAGGCAGCGTTAACGGAGTGCTCCGCGGTCCATCCGGTTCCGTCAGAGACCATATAAATGGACTTCCCAGTTGTGAGCTCCGCGGCTTCATCATCTCTATTTCCTGTTGTAACAGGACTAGTCTCCTTCAATTCGCCTTCTCTGGATTGTTGTGCAGGAGGATTAAGCTGCGCCACTCGGGTCCGCAGACCCGGAAGGTCCAATTTACGGCCAGACCGGATTGCTCGAGCCCTAGACCAACGGTTGAGCTGAGAGCTGCCCTTCAGCTTCCGAGGCTGAGGCTGAGGCTGAGGCTCGGAGTCTGTTTCGGGAGGGACTTGGTTGGATAAGCGGATATAGTTGGCGTTAGGAGGATTAAGCTTAGGTTGGGAAAGGGAAGAGAGTAGCGGGGTTGGACGGAGGTTGGGGGCCGGTACGGTAGACAAAGAAATCATGACCACAGCGTCCGCTTGCCGAACCAGCGATTGTTGTTTTGTTTTTTTTTCTGAAAGGCAACATTCATTTTACCAACGAGGCCCAAAAAGGCCCAAAATCCTTGTTTGGGCTCAGCAACGGCCTTTGGACTTTGGACATTATTTCTAAATCTTTTTTTATTCCCCATTAGAACCAAGAAAGAAACTAATAGCCTACTTTTACTAGTATACGTTTAAACCTGTCAATCCATAACCAAAACATATTTTGGTCACAAGCTACATTTATCTTATGTTTTACTTTTATTCCAACGATGAGTTCTTATACTCGGGTTGTAGACATGCCAAATCTCTCACTCCCAAAACTTAAAAAAAAATTAATAAAATAGATATAGATAATAAATCTCATCCATAATAATAATGCTAATAAGACCTACGAGACTTCTTTTTATTTGTTATATTATTAAAAAATAATGTAGGTTTTTTTATTAATATATATGAAAATACTAATAAATAAAATTTCCTATGGTTCTTAAATTATATAAATAAAATGATCTAATTAAGATCTTATTCAGTATACTAAAATATCGTTTAATTGAAAATTAATACATGTACATTCTGACAATAAATTTAGGTTCGAATTTTCTTTCCCAATACTCAATATACTAAAACATTGTCTAATGTAAATTAATACATGTACATTCTTACAATAAATTCATGTTCGAATTTTCTCTCCCAATACTTAAAAAAAAAAAAAAATCCTATTACAGATACATAAAATTTCATAAAAGATTCAATTGATTTTTATAAATAAAAAAAAAAAAAAAGTTAGGGTTCGAATTTCTTTCCCAATAGCTCGGGAAGTATACTAAAGAGCATGTGTCTAATGTAAGTGAATACATGTAGCATTGCTTAAGCAATATAATCGGGGGATGTTCGAAGTGTTTCTCTCGCCCAGATAGCTGTAAGAGAAAAAAGGAAAAAGAGAAGGAAATCGTATTACGGGATACATAGAAAATTCAGTGAAGAAGGATTTCAATGTGGGAGTGTGTGTATAAATAAAAAAAAAAAAGAAATGGTATGCCTCCGGAAATTGTCTAAGAACTATAGAGGTATTAGTAGTATGATAGATAAAGTGGGTGGGGGGGGGGTACCAGTATGCTCGCTTAATGGATTTTAATTAAGAATAGGTATATCTATAATAGTTAATGCAGTTCAATTCACTGATAATTAAATCATATTCATCTAATCAAAAAAAAAAAAAAAAAAAGTTATGGCTCGGGAAACTTGTGTCTAAGAATATATATATATATATATAATAGAGATTACATTATGTCTCTAATGATTTTAATTAAGAATATATAATATAATAGTTAATGCAGTCAATTCACTGATTAATTAATATATCATCTAATCAGCTAGAAATTAAACTGCTGCTTTTTCTATTTTCATTTCCCAAATGAACAAAGAATACATATACCCTTCTATTTCTTTTTATCCTTTTTCCTATTTGAAGGGGAAGAAGATCAACAACAAGAACAGGAAGAAAGCCCGTAAGTAATAACCTAGTTCATATATAGCAAAAATCTTGTACTAGATCGTATTATACAAGAAATCTTGGGAGTCCTACCTTGCGACCTAATTTCTGGACATCTTTCTGCACTTGTTCTCTGTACTCTTTAAAGCTGAACTTCTTATAAACTGAAGTCTCGCACCCACTTTTTATTTCTGTATCATATGAAGGGCAGAAGAAATATGCGGTTGAAAATCTTTCTACTAGCGGATTAGTCACAACGCGATGCTGGACGCTTTTGTAAACATCATTGCTCCAAGCCTGAATCATTGTATGTACACGTAAAATAACTTGAAAAAAAAAAAAACAGCATCGACCCTTTCAGAAGTAATGAATTTCAATGTATAAAATTACCTGAAACAAGTCTCCGATGTTTATTATTAGAGCTTCAGGATTAGGTTTAACGGCTATCCATTTCCCATCTTTGACTAGTTGCAATCCTCCAACTTGATCTTGATGGAGAATTGTGAGGAAGTCGCTGTCAGTATGTGACATCAGACCAAGTACCTGTCCAGGGATTGGACATGTCGGATATCGGTTGAGTCGAAGATAGCAAGTGCTTGGCACACAATTTTCTTTGAAGAAAGTGGACTTGCAACCCAATTTCTCTGCCAAAATTTCAGCCAATTTTTGTGCTAGATTTGCTACTGTTATAGCGAATTGTTCCATCGTTGAACTGCATACAATGGAAAAAATAATTAAATTAATTTCATCAAAATTTTTTATTTTTTGAATTCTAATCATTATATATTCAATTAAGAGCAAGTAAATCAATTTAAACTAATTATAATAATGGAACCATTTGTATCAAAGAAGATTTTTCTAACTTGTGAGAAGTTGGATTAGCGTGACCAATAGCAAGCAAGAAACTTAGTCGGCAGTCAAAACTCTAATAATTATAGCAAGCAAACACTTCAAACTAGTAATTGAAATCTAAAAATCAATCTCAAAGACCCTAATACCACGTTCACACATATACATATGGAAACGAAATTTTATAGTTTCAAAGAATTTTTTGAGAATAATCCATCTCAAAACGAATCTTTTTTTAAAAAAAAAGAAATCCCTGAGAAAGTAATTATCCTCTTTCTTCCAAGTATATGGGGAGAGAGAGACTGTGAATTATTTTCCAATTTGTATCAATTATAAACAGGATGGGACCCAATATTCAAGTGAGGATCACAGAGATGTCAAGTTTAGAGTTTCAGAAGACTGACTTACAGCTCATCCAATTTGTAACATTCATTCACGTGAGAGGAAGGTAATTAAAATTGCGATAGATACTGCAAATACCAGACCATGCATGCAAAAAGTGTACGTACATGATTTGATGTGGTAAAGCTCAGAAGCTTTCTTAAATCCATCACCAGCTAAGCTAGATGGATTGGTGCAGCCAAAAAAAGCTGTGCTCCGTGGATTGTATCACCATTAAAAGAAAGTTTTTACCCACCAACAGAACATGAGACTCGGATACAAAAAAATAAAATAAAAACAAAATATATTAATGTCTGAGCCCGGGTTCGAACCGGGGACCTCTAGTGTGTGAGACTAGCGTGATAACCAACTACACCACCCAGACAGATGTTATCATGACGTATCTGAAGAAAAACCTCTGAATTATTGACTGAAACTTTTGATTGTATGTCCCAAAATCCTGGCCTTAAATTTGACAGGCTGAGGTACTCTTCTTTGAAAACACGCACATAAAAGTGGGCGATATAAAAAAATTCTAGATTTGTTCTAATTTTGGAAAGTCCTCCAAAAATATAATCAATTTGTCACTTAGGAAATGCTTTAGAATTGTTACTTTCAAATTCACAACCTCAAAATCCTAAAGGAAATGCCCAAATACCATTGAGCCATATTGAGGGTGGAACTAGAACTTTGAGGTTAAAGGGGACCGATGCTACATATGATAATGGAAAAAAAAGGAGATCATAGATAAGTGTATTAATGGACAATAGGAAAAATTTAGAATTCAAAGACAAAAGGATAGAATTACCATGGAGAATTTTGAAGATTAGGAAAATTTCAAGACTTAAGGACATGGGATCCTCTTAGAAATATCTTTTTTGAGCCACTTAACAAAATTCATTAATACATAAAATCAATTATGGATTGTGAATAATATAGTTGTCTTTTAAATTAAAAATTAAGATGATGTAAAAGAATTAAATTTATATGCATATATAAAAATTTAAATAAAACTAGTTTTTCTTTTTGTAAGATGACTGCCTTCCTTGCTCCAGGTTGCATCACTAATGAAATTCAGTTCATGTCTGTATTTACGGACTTCTTTTTTTTTTTTTTTTTTTTTTTTATTGAATTCAGTTCTTGGTCTGTAGTTTAACGGGACTTCTTTTTTTTTTTTTTTTGTTTTTGAACCTTACACCCTTTCTTCTATGATCCACGGTTTATTGTATTCTTACCATTCCGTGAGAGAATTAATATGGTCTTTAACGCTGAATAAAGAAAACCTAAGGACAAAAAAGATTTTTTTTTTTTTTTTTTTTTTTTTGAACCTTACACCCTTTTCTTCTATGAATCCAACGTTTTATTGGATCTTACCATTCCTTAAAATAATATGTGTGCTTTAACGCTTGAATAAAGAGAACTAAGACAATAAAAGAAAAAGAATATAGTGATATTAAATTACCTGAAAGTAGTAAAACCATCTGAAGCTGATATATCAGTCATGGGAATGTGAAAAGCTTCAGACCATGATAATTGACTGAGGCAAGTAGCTGTTGGCGTCCCCCAACGGTATGTTCCAGAAGAGAAATTCAAAAACTTATCTTCTTTGCTCTTTTTATCAAACGGTTGTTTAAAAAGCTTCACTTGTTCTCTTCTCATGTTCTCCAAAATCTCACGTGAAATCCCATGATTCACCACCTGAAAGAATCCCCACTCTTGCGAAGCCCTAGCTATCTCTTCTTTGCATTTCTCTTTCTCTAGCTCATCCAATAAGCTCAGACGACTGAGATCGATCAAGGGAAGCTCACATTCCTCAATTATATCAAGCTCGTTATCGGTAGTTGCAGTCTTTGTTTTTGATTCTTGAATGGTTTTGTCCAGAAGAGTTTTGTAGATCTCATGGAAAGGTGGGTCCGTGTCCATGCTTGGAGGCTGAAGGAATAATTAGAAGATGATCGATGAGAAGAGAAAGATATGTTGAAAGAGCTAATATATAAAGAAAAAAGAAAAGAAAAGAAATCCTTAGTGGGAATTTGGGGAAAAGAAAAGAAAAGAAAAGACAAAGAAGACAACGTTGAAATAGGTAGTACACGATTCGCGATTTTCCTTTTTTCTTTCTTTGTATTTGATTTTTCGCTGCTTCTTTCTTTAGTCTTCGATGAAAACGTTATGGCGTTTTGGACTCTTTGGAGAAAAAGTCGAATGCATGTCTTTTTGTCCAAAGACTAGAACATGTCTTTTCTCTAATCGTTTTATTTTTAGTTTTTCTTGTTATAGTTTCAAACTACTTTTTTACAATAAATTCATATGAAGAAGATAGGAACAAAGCCACAAAAAATCTGTGATCTAATGCTGCCAAATCTAGTGTCAAAATTGTTTTTTTTATATATTATTAAGGGCCTCATTGCATCTCTCGTTCAATAGTTATATAAAAAACTAATCTCTTTCGGATAAAAGTGATTACGATCAAAATTATTAAAATTTGAAAACTATTAATACTTGGTTTGCCCAAATAATGCTTTTTGCTTAATACAATGATAGTGAATTTTTCAAGAACATCTTGAAATTTATCTTTTAGTATTCAGATTAAAATTCTTTTTTTAAGAGAAAAAATCTATTATAAATAGCAATTCTCTCTCCAATACATTTTTTTAAAAAAAAAGAAAAACAGTCGAAAGAAAAGCAATAAGGATATATAATACAGATTATCTGTGTAAGACCACAAATCATGTTTTGATTGGTATAAATATGACTGTTGATGAAGAAATTCGCATCTTTAACAGTAAAAAGCACAAATTATAATCATAAAGTTGATGGTATAATTGCCTCTTTTTGCCCTCTTTTCCTCGTGGCTGGGAAGCAAAATCTCACTGCTTATGGATAATTCTAATCTCTAGTGCCAATTTTAAGACTACTTCAAAATAAAAAAGCAAGACTCGGTGTATACAATCGACAAATCTAATAATAATACTTGATAACGTTTTATAAAAAGTTAACTTATGTAATGCGCTTAGCTTTTAACGTTTTATGAAAAGCTAATCTAACCGATAAACGCTACAAAAACAGCTAATAACTACCAAAACAGTTAATTTTACTGAACAAATTTTTAAACTTATAGATTAGTGGTTGGATGTTTTTTTGTAATATATGCTTATTTAGAATAAGAAAAATCAACTATTTATATATAATATTATATGTATAAGGAACAAGGCCAGAGAAGGCAGGGGGGACATGAACCCCTCGGCAATGTTTAAGGACCTTTGGCTGGATATCCATGCCACACAGCTACCTTGTCTAAAAGATATGGCCAACATCAACTTGTCCCATGGAAAGCATTTGGTCCCCTGCTGTTTCCTAAAAGTCTTTCCCAATCTTCCCTTTTCTGTTTTTAATTTTGACACTAATACAACAAAACAAGACTATAGTCTTCCCATCAACACCAAAATAGTATCTTAGGTTTCATTAATTAGTATAAAATATAAAAAATCTCCCTAACTGAAAACGACTTCCCTTTTTTAAAAAAATAAAATAAAATTTTATCAACTGCCTTATTATAATTCACTTGATCACTAACATTACATGTCATTGTCCCAACACGTAACCCTATATATTATTTATTAATATAAACATTCTTCCAATTTAATAATAAATTAAAGAAAGGTATAACTTTAACTTCAAGTAATTAATTTAAAAAGGATAAGACTTATCCACATCCGTATATACGAGAATTTTTAAAAAAATTAAAACTGTTTTATTTTTTCAGTAAATAATCAAAAAATACCTCTATTATAATAAAAAAAATTTTAATTTTTCATTTTTTATTCATATACTGAACATAAGTAACTCTTTCTAATCGGAAATTTTATTCCCAACACCTTAGTAAGCCATGATTCATGGTTTCCACTAGAATGATCTTGTGTGCCCATAATGCATACAATTTTATGCACTTTTCTCAGGTTCCCATCTTATCATGAATAATGAAAAAATAAAATAAAATAAAACAAGGGACCCGGATGTCATTTCAATCGAAAAAGGAGAAGCAAAAGATATAAACTATAGTCACTATATATTTATATAATGAATTAGAGAATTCTAGAAAGATAATATATAAGCTGAATATACATAACAGGTTATGGGCCATATATATACTTATGGTCCCTCTCAACCATGATTTATATATATTCATTGAAACCACAAAATGAAGGAATTTCATTTTTCTTACCTGAATCATATCAGCCATTATTTTATTGGATTCCACCATATTTATCATATCCTTCAATGTGGTCTTGTAGTTAGCTATTCCTTTTTGATTATGTATATCAGTTCTGCATCCTCAAGAAAAACTAATGAGCAAAATTGAATGATTTTTCCCAGAAATAATAATTAAAATGGTTCTTAATTCTAATTGAGAACCAACAGATATAGATAGAGCAAGTGGAATATCAGTGTGTATATATATCACTTTTGGACATATATATATATATAAAATTGACTGAAAATTAATTAAAAAGATATATATATTTAACTATTTGCATGGCACTGCACGGAAATGTCAACGTCTGCAAGTGGTTCTCAGGTGAGGGGAAAAAGAAATATTTTGTGTGTAAAATGAAAACAATGGTGGTATAGAGAGAAACAAGCATGAAAATATAAATTAAATGATTAGGAAAAGAGCAAATTGGGGAGAAGAACTTAATGTTCAATAGTGATATTACTCACATGAATGAGAAAGAAAGAGAGAGTGAGAGAGATGGAAAGAGAAGGAAGTGTTTGTGCAGTCCACTAAGTTTGGAGAGGGATTTTATAGGGAAAAATAAAGAAAGCAATCCCATTAATAAATAATTAATGTATGGAGGGAAAATGATTAATGAGTAGTAATTTTGATTAAGAGAGAGATTTACTCTGTTAAGCATAATATAAAGATTATCTTTCATTATTTCCGTTTATGGTGTCGACAAGCAAGGGAAAGAGATAAGGGAAGTGAAGACTTGGAAGAATGAGAACCAAATGAAATTGTTGTGACTAGAAATTTTGGGGCTAAATTGATAAAAAGAATACTTGGTTCAATATAAACCAATTGAACATTTTGGTATCTCAACTTTGAATCTAAGCCTTCTTTCTTTCTTTCTTTCTCTGTTTCTGTCTCTATCTCTGTCTGTGTGAAATCAAATCTGAGAACAAGTCACATGATTAGTACTGGACCCAACCGCATAACTCCTTAACTGCTGAGTCTATGTCGGCACATACGTGGCGGCAACTAGAATCACATGCATGGTAAATTTTTACGTCAAAATTTCTGGTTGGTATAAGAGGAGAATTAAGGGGATGCATGTGCTTTGCTTATCAGTAAAACGACATGAGTATCATCAGTCAATTATACATGCCCTAATTTCCTTCTACTATAATATCTTCTGTACGACAACAAAAATCCTCTGTTTCTCATAATATACCACATTCCTCAATTATGCAACGTGGCCATCTGCCTATTGCAATTTATAATATGTTTTTTTTTTTTTTTTTTTTTTTTAAGGTCACGATATTTATACTACGCACAAGCCGCAGTAACTTCCGTAACTGCTGAGTCTATGTCGCACATACGTGCGGCGCAAACTGAGAATGCACGGAGTGCGATGGGTAGAATTGTTTACGTCAAAATTTGCGTTTGTATAAGAGGAGAATTAAGGGATGCGATGTGCTTGGCTTATCGAGAAATACTACGGGGGATGAGTAGTCATGCATTCAGGGGGGTAGACTATACATGCCCTAATCGGCTTTCTTACTATATATCTTGGCTGTAACGGACAACAAAAATCCCTGGCGTTGTCTCATTTAGAGGTGAGTACCCCAACATTCCTGCAATAGTGCCAAAGCGTGGCCATCTGCCTATTGCAATTGTATATAGGTTTTTTTTTTTTTTTTTTTTTTTTTTCCCAGAAACCAGAGTTATAATCTACATTTGGTGTGGTAGAATTGTTTATATAGTAATAAAAAGGAATTTTTTTTTTTTTTTTTTTTTTTTTCCCAGAACCAGGAGGTATAATCTACATTTGGGTTTAGAATTTTTATATATAATAAAAATACAAATTAAATTTAATAATTGAAGAAATTAATTAAATTTAATTATTATAACAATTAAATTATGTATATAGGTAGGTTATGAACTGGGATTATGGGAATATGGTCTCCAGAAATGAATACAGTAGACATGTGATGCATCTCAACAGAAGCAGCATATTTTCAGTTGAATGGGCCAAGGGTTGAGTTGTCGAATACTCAAAGGTACGTACCTTTCGTCCTCCAATTGAGCCCATCAATGTGTTCTTATATATATATATATATATATAATATCTGATCAGTACAGTTACTATACTGCTAAATGAAAATCGCCCTCTTTTCTTGAAATTATATTAAATAATTTCCATTATTGGATTAATAATTGAAAAACATAAATCGAGTAATTATTGTCCTCTGATCTGACAAGTCGGCAGTGAACCGACGATTGCAGACGATGGAAATTAAAGCACTAAGAAATAAAAAGGAGCTTAGTGTGGTCATGTTAAGAATGTGGGAAATTGAAAACAAAAAGCTTTTTAACAGCGAGTGGTAGAGTTAGCTTAGCAGGTCATATCCATTGATTGAAATTTATATCAAGGCAATCCATGATTGGGAAGATCAATCAATGTGTGATTTTCGCTGCTCTCAATCATTAAGAGGACCCTGAACCTCAAGATTCTTGATTTTAATTCAGGGTCTTTTCATTTAGCTTTTCATTTTTATTATAATTAACTCGTCGGCGATCGAGGGTTGCCCCATCCCATGCCACCCTGCTTTCAACCATGTGGATTGTTGGAGCTGTATACACACATATGTTTTTTGTTGTTGTAAAATGTAAATTTCATATCATGTGTATGAGTTTTTATGTTTCGATCTTTTAGTATTTATTAATGGGTACCTGACCTGACAATTGCCTACACACCCACCTGATATTTGTCAGAAAAGTTCTTGAAAGCTTCATGACCTTGCTATATTCACCACCACCACCAATCGCCAAGATGAAAGATCGATGCAGACTTATCATCCAAGTTTTTGGCATTTAATTTTATGGCAGTACTCACTAGCTACTCACATCTACAGATTTCTATTCGTAATTAATTCAATCCACTGCATTTAGCTTCTCAATTACTTGATGCAACACAGATCGATGTTCTGTGGATTAAGATAATGATGATGAAATGATTTCGACAGGGTGATATATGCTAATAAATCCCCTTAAGCTTAATGGAGAAATATCTCTCAATAGTTGAATTTGAAATATATAGAGAAATATCTCTCAATCTTTAGTGCTAAATCATCATTGATTATAGAGTTTCTGTAAAATAATTGTGAAGGAGGAGAGTCGTGTTTGGGTGGTGTCCATGGAAATTCTGTGATATCCTTTGTTTCGTGGGGCTTAAGCCCACCAATACCATTACATTCACTACTTAACTGTCATTGTCACTAATTAATTAACATTACCACTAATTAATAATCATTACCACTAAGAAAAGAATTCCCCGATCACTACCCACGCATTAAATGCTATTTGTTGATTAATTATCAACGATGGATCGATGGCTATCAATTCTCATTAGTCATTATTTGTCATGTCATCTCTATCATTGTTAATCACCAAAAATCATTATGAATTATACTTGTTAGTTGAGTATGAATATTCGTTCTACCTGACCAACTGTCAACGAATAATAACCAGATTTAAATAAAAATTTAATAAAATAATATGGATATCTTTCTTTAGGTTGAAAATAATTGAATATATAAGGCGATGATGTTATTAATGGAGAAAAAATAATTTTATTATCGTGAACCTAATATAATTGGTATTTTTACTTTTTTAAGGAGTAAAAAGTCTTGAATTTACTTCTATTGAGCACAAGAGTTTTAACAATTTAATAAATTTATGTGAGGAATTCAAGACTCGTTTTCTAGCTTTGCAAAATGGTTAAGTCCCTATTTTTTTTGTCACTGCATTTTTTGTATATTAATTCAGGAAATACTTATATATTAATTTTATTTTTGCATTTTTTGCAGTGCAAAAGTGAACAATTAATTTTTAAAATAAAATTTTAATTACTATAATTTTTATAAGCTTTATATATATATATATATTTGAAAAGTCTATAAGCTTGATATCTATTTCAAAGGCCATTGGTTGAATGCTAATTCAATGGAGTTTTATATTATTTGTGAATGATTAGACAATATATTAATGGAAACAAAGGGGAAAAAAAAGTAAATTAACTACTTAATTTAAAAGGTAATCTTATTAGTTTTAATGTTAACAAAATATTCTGCGCTGGTATTAAAAAGATAACAAAATATTAATGTTGATATACCGATATGAGTTGTTTCGAATAGAAGGGACTTGATGCCTTGATCAACTTAAGTAAGTGATATTAAATTCAGTCTGATGCTTTATATATATAAAAAATTCGATTAAAATCTCTGTTTAGACGCCACATAATATCTCTATCTCAAAGAGATTAGTCTTTCCCTTTCCACCAAAAGATATTACATGTATAGCATTTCTTTTTTATATATAAACAAGCACCTAATCTTTAATGTTTTTAAATTTCGTAATTTCAGTGAGGCAGATAAGTTTGATAGCAACAAATTGTTTAAACTTAGACTGGCAGTAAATATTATTCACCGTGAAGCTTGTTTTATTTTTATCTGTCCTCAACCGCGACTTGCATCTTCGAATCGGAAGGTCCAAATATTTTTGATCTCATGATTTGTTGACTTTCTCGAGTAAAACTTGAGAGAAATGAAATTCTTGTAATTTCGCTGAATACGTCATTCTCTGCTTCTCTTTGCAACAGGAAAGCCCAATTATCACAACTAACATAACATCCGCTCGGAGAGGCACAAAGGCAATGGCGCCACCATCGTCCATTAGGTGGTGTGCAATTGTATCGGCTCTCGTTCTGTCTGTCTTCGTCTTTCCATCAACTGCCATTTACTGCGACGAGGACGACTGCTATGATCTGCTAGGGTCAGCTCCTTATGCTCTATCTGTCTCTCCCTCCTCTGCCTTCCCTCAAGACTTTTCTAATTATTACTGATTAGTATCTTCTGTCTCCATTTCTAGGGTTTCTCAAAACGCTAATGCTTCAGAGATCAAAAAAGCCTACTACAAACTCTCGTTGAAGCAGTAAGTTTTATAGATTTCGAATTTGTTTCCTTGTGCATTGATTTTGTTAGTATAAGCTGAATTCGAGCTTCTTATGTTTGTTTTATATGGCAGTCACCCGGACAAAAACCCCGATCCGGAGTCGAAAAAGCTTTTTGTGAAAATCGCAAATGCTTATGAGGTAGTGCTAATCCTTCTTTCAATTTTAGCTATTGCAATTAGATTCGATTGAATCGATATTGTTTCAATTTGCACGCTCAAATGTAACGGCAATACAACGGAGTGAATTCTATGCGTCCAATGAATATCAGTACATTACTTGTAAAATGCTGCCGAAATTTTGAAATGAACAATATCATGATACAGATTGGCTAGTTAAATTTGGACTGCACAAATTCTTTTTTGGTTCCTTGTTTAAATTTGTGTTTCAGTGATGAGAGCAATTTTGGATTGCAGATTCTGAAAGATGAAGCTACACGGGAGCAGTATGATTATGCCATTGCACATCCAGAGGAGGTGCAGCTCATTTTACTCGTCCAGAAATATAGTGGATGCTTGTTGTTATATGACCTCTATTTAGTTAGTTGTGATTGCACATTTTGGTTATTACCGTGTTGCATATTGTTATAAAATATTAAATTATCTGTTCCTCTATGGGTACTCGATGTATGCAACTTCATGGAGATGGAGGCTTGAAGCAAATTAATAATCAAACCATCAGCCTCTGCATCTCTAATTGCTATAAGTGGAGAATTTTTGAAGTCTAGATTATTAGAATAATGCTAAGAAGTATTTTACTTTTCTTTCCTTTTAGGTATTTTACAACACTGCTCAGTACTATCGTGCATATTATGGTCATAAGACGGTGAGTGCTCTTTTCATTATTTTACTGGCTAGTATCTTCGTACTGGCTTTTGAACTACTTCTGGCAGTTGATTGATGGAGTTTCAAGTTTTTACATTTGAGTTTTGATGGTGATATATAATACTTTCTAGGATCCTCGCTATGTCCTGGTTGGTCTTCTTCTGGTTCTGTCAGGATTTCAGTACCTGAATCAGTGGACGAGGTATAACCAGGTATAATTGTATCTAAAGCAAAAATTAAACATGGTTACATTTAAAACTTGATGATAAATTTTTGATGCCTATGCTGGATGCTATTAAGTCTGCAGCAACTTTATTTTTGGATATTTTGAATCAAATGTGATGGCTAATATCGTCTGTGCATCGAAGTTCTATGATATGCAGTATCCCTTTTGCACACTGAAAGTGCAATTCTGGTGATAGCTAATGTGCTAGGATAAGGAAGTTATAATTTAAAGGATATTACATATGTATATTATTTTCTCTTTCACATTTCCTGCTTCAATGGGCTTTATGACTTCTCTGAGTTGCATTTGCCCTGTCTGTCATATTATTGCAGGCTGTAGCAATGGTCAAGAAGACTCCTGCTTACAAAAATAGGTTACGGGCACTGGAACTTGAACGCAGTGGAGGAACTGCTTCTAAGAAGAAGGGTAACAAGCAGATGGACAAGTATGTACTTATTTGATCTTACACAATGAAACAAATTTACGTCATGGATGTGATATGTTATGATTTGTCTCTGACTAGCGTGGATGTTTATCTCATTATCCTGTTCATGTGCATGTGCGGGTATGGGTGTTCACTATAAAATTTGTTCTGGGTTGTCTATGGTGGGATGGGGGTTTTGCTATTTCTTACTGTTAAACCACAGTATTTATAATTATCATGTTATGCTTGAGGATAAACCAGCCACATTTCTATGGTAGGAAAGTGGAGGAAGATCTCAGCAAAGAACTTGAACTGGACATTAAAGGAGCTCAAAAACCTGTCATCTGGGAACTTATCGTCATTCGGTTTTTACTTCTACCTTACTTTATAAGCAAGGTTAGATCAATATTTTATTTATGACATCAGCCATCTTCAAGGGAGAAAGAACGTAAAAGGACAAACTTAAATCGATTCCTTTTTCTTTGCTGCGTTAAAAAAAAAAACATTGCTCCCTTATATTCTGATATTCAAGTTTTGCATAGCAAAGGTCACCAATTTATTTTCTGTTCACCCAGTTATTATTGTGGAATGGTCGCTGGTTGTGGAGATACAAAGTGAAACAAGCTCCAGTTTCTTGGGAAGATGCTTCTTACCTAACACAGAGGTCCCTGAGAGTGCCTGTTGACGCATGGAGAACACTTGGTAAACATGCTTCCTCCCCTTGTTTTCAACCTTACTGGTTAAAGGACAATATTAACTATGTTAGAGCAGTAAACAAGCTAAATTTATGTTGAACATCAAGATTAATAATGCTGGGTGCTGTCAGTAATCAGTTGCTCATATCCATAAAATTTTATAACCTTTTTTACCTACTCTGATGGATATTTTGACCTTTATATCATTTACCTTAGTCTTTTTTGGACTGCGAGCAAGCATTTGGCTGAAGTCCAACTTATGTGTTTGTGTTTATTAGATGAAGCAATGAAGGAGGAACTTGTTCATAGGCGATTGTGGGAAAAGTCCAACTTAGAGAGGTACCTTGCGGAAATGCGCAAAGAATCCAAGCGTAGAAGATAGCACATTTAGTTACCTTGCTGTCTCAAATGTTTTTCAAATATTGACACGACAAAATTTTGGGTAGAAGTTAACCAATGTACTAGAGCTCACGCATATTATACTGAATGTACGTGATTTCTTGAGTTAATCTATATCCAGGGGGAGAGTACCAAATTATGTATCTGTAAACATACAGATGGATTCTCGAAGACAAGCTAATACGATCTTGTATCGTTAGCATTAATTCATTATGTTTTGAGGTTTTGTCCGGTAAAAGTCCCTGCAAGCTATTGTAAAAATAAAATGCTTGGAGAAATTTATTAATTTTATATCAATGGTATTGTAGATATTTAAGTAGGAATTAAGCAGCGTAGGAAAAATCTCGTGAAATTAAAATTTAAATATAAGAGATGATTGGTTTTTTCCAACTATCAAAAGGTAATTATTTATAAGCTAAAATTTACTTTTAATGCAAAATTAAAATTAAGTTACAATTCTTCTTTGCAATTTTATTCACTTACAATTTCTTTTCAACAAATGAAAATAGAAAATTCCTTCTTATGTAATCAAACGCAAGAAACTTTCTTTCTGATGAAATCGTCCCGGACTTGCGCTATCCGGTAAGCAAGTAAGAATGTAACGGCGTCGTTGGTGCAAGTAAGCAAAAGCAGTTTAAACGAAACGCATCGTATAAGAATGTAACTGAACTAGACGCCTCGTGACTAATCATCGACACTGTACACCCGGCATCCAAAAACAACCAGCGCTTGCTGTTCGTTGCTCGAAATTCTGCATTGCAGGGAAAAGCTCCTTTCTGCTACAAATTACAGTAGACTCTCTCTCCGAATTGACCCTATTATCCATTTTCCTCCACTTTCCTTTCTCTGCTTGTGTATGAACCAATGTCTCGCTCTCAGGTATGTTCTTCTTTGCATCATGAAAATCAAAATCTCTGTACAATCTTTATTTATTTTCATTTTTGATTCTCTCTCAATTTTTTTTTTTTTTTTTTTTTTTTTGTGTATAACCAATGTATCCGCTCTCAGGTATGTTCTTCTTTGCATCAATGAAAATCAAAATCTCCTTACAATCTTTAATTTATTTTCATTTTTTGATTCTCTCTCATTTTTTTTTTTTTTTTTTTTTTTGGCATGGAAGATTGGTTATCTGGTTCCTCTGAACAGTAAATTTAGAGGAAGGATTTTTTTTTTTTTTTTTTTTTTTTGCATGGAAGATTGGTTATCTGGTTCCTCTGAAAGTAAATTTAGAGGAGGACACTTCGCTTCCTAAGCTACCTCTTTCCAAAGGCTCTAACACCATCGGCCGCAGCCACGTTTCCGTCCCCGATAAGAGACTCAGTCGCAACCACCTCACTGTAACCGCCTCTATTGATGGTTCTCTCAATTTGACTCCCGTAATTTCCCTATTTCTTAACTTTTTGTGCTTGAACCTTCTTTGTGGATAATTTTACTTGATCATAGAGTTCTGAACAATGGAAAACTTGAAAAAAATAATAGGAGGGTACTAATCCAGTCGTGGTTAAATCTGGGAATCTAAGAAGGAAGCTGAATCCTGGAGAGCAGTTGTCTATTGCTAGCGGTGATATTATAGAGCTAATACCTGGCCACCATTTCTTTAAGTACGTGGCTTCGTCTTCTCACAGCAGTAATAGTAATTCATCTTCTCCTAATACACCAAAGAGACATTGTAATAATGATGGTGGAGAAATCATCAAAAGCGACCCACCTAGTAGAAAGAAGATGCGAGAAGCACCTGAAGTTGCTAACCGCTCTAAGGTATAGCATTTGTTGATTCCACGGAAATTAAAAGCAGCTTGCTAGTATTGGAATTTATGTTAGAATTTTGCATTCTAAATTTGCAATTTGTTTTTAACGCTTAGTTGGAGACAGAAAATAATGGACAAGGAAACTGTGAAGAGGCTATTTGTAAATTTCATGTTCCTGATGATAAATTGCCGTTGATCTTCCGGCTTTTGAAAGTGCAAGGGCTTCCGGCTTGGGCAAATACCTCTTGCGTTTCTATAAATGACGTGGTTCAGGTAAACTTGATAATACAACCCGTTTGCTTTGTGTCTTTTTATCTAGTCGTTACTTCTCTATAAGTAACTTTCTTAAACGTTGAACTACTATGTTATGCAGTCTGATAGTTGATTTAGATTTTAGAATACCTTTTTTTTTTTTTTCTTTCTTGGCTAGGGGGATATTCTTGTTGCTATCCTTTCAAACTACATGGTGGACGTTGATTGGTTGATTTCTGGTGAGTTCTTATAATTTTAAATGAGGCCTGCCAAGTTTGTCTTAGCCTTTTTTTTATCCTTTTTATTTGTTGGCTTCAGATATGCAATTTGCATCTTTGAAGTTGGTTTAGATTGGTGTTTGACTTTTATACAGTGATGGACAAATATTCAATTTTGTATTCACATGAGCTTGGTTGGGCAATCTTCTACCCCTAATAATTTTCAGCTCATTTTTGCATTTAAGATCATTTTATTGTTGTTATGCTTTACTTCAATTAATAGCTGTAATCAAATTGGTCATAGCAATCTTGGTGCAGTTGTAAATGTATGCCTTGTGGTATAATTTATAAGCTTGTAAGCATCAACTAGTTGATTGTTGTGTTTTCTTTCTACCTCCCAATCATACTTTTGGCTTTCTTACTTCCATTCTTTATGTTCGTTTTTCTCTCATGAAGCATGTCCAACACTAGCTAAAATTCCCCATGTCTTGGTTATTCATGGGGAGGGTGATGCTACGCTCGAACATATGAAGGTTTGCCTTAGCTTCTGTTTGTTCTAGTCTCCATCTATGCATTTCAAACACTATTTTGGAAGCCAAGAACTTGACTATGTTAGCTCCAATTATTTTAGAGAAGCAAGCCTGCAAATTGGATTCTGCATAAACCTCCACTGCCTATTTCATTTGGGACACACCATTCCAAGGCCATGCTTCTCATCTATCCTCGAGGAGTTAGAATCATTGTGCATACAGCAAACTTAATATATGTTGACTGGAACAACAAAAGCCAAGGTCTATGGATGCAAGATTTCCCTTGGAAGGATGAAAAGAGTCAAAGCAAAGGATGCGGATTTGAAAATGACTTGGTTGATTATCTCCACGCTTTAAAGGTATTGGAATGCAAATGGCAGAAGCATTAAACATAAGGATTTCTTTTGAGATGCATTTTGGCTTTTATTTGGACCTTTGCAGTGGCCAGAATTCCCTGTTAAGCTACCTGCCCTTGGGAACTTCACTATGAACCCATCCTTTTTAAAGAAGTTTGATTACAGCAGTGCAGCAGTAAGATTTCATTTCCTTACTGTTGCTATTCTCAAAATATATTACTCTTTTGGGTCCTGAATGGTTTTTCCTTTATGATGCTGAAAACTCTAGGCTGCTATTGAGTAGTAATATGAAAGCTAATGTACATAATTTTCAGGTTAGGTTAATTGCATCTGTTCCTGGATATCATGCTGGTGCCAACCTAAAAAAATGGGGACATATGAAGTTAAGAAGTGTTCTCCAGGAATGCATTTTTGGAAAGGAATTTAAAAATTCTCCTCTTGTCTATCAGGTATATTTATGGTGGATTCTTCCTCCTTTCTTGTAGTATTGTGATGCAGTGTAGGTGGATGCAAATGCTACTTTTGTCAATGATCAGATAATTTCAATGATCAGTTAATGAAATCTCATGCTGTGTAATCCTAACCAGTGAGAGATGGATCTGAATGCTTGGTTTGTCTGGTGATTGGGTGCTAATATGAAATAAAATCTTATACCTCTGGTCCTTGTAATTGATCCGTTTCTGCTGATTTTTATCCTTTTTTACTGTTTATCCATTATACGATGATTTTACTTAAAATAATGTTGTATTCCTGCCTTGTTGCAGTTCTCTTCCCTTGGTTCGTTGGATGAAAAGTGGATGACAGAGCTGGCTACCTCAATGTCTTCTGGACTCTCAGAAGATAAAACGCCTCTTGGCCTTGGAGAGGCTAGAATAATATGGCCTACTGTGGAAGATGTCAGATGCTCGTTAGAGGTACTAACAAGGAGGTCATTTCTGTGAGCCTTTTTCACCATTAGTGGAATCCTATGATTATGTTTCAGATAGTTATTTGTTTTGAATGTCGGTTTTTGATGAAACTTGGATGATGTTATTCCACTTTAGATGTTTGGCTCCATATAGATAGTTTATGGACTTCATCACACCTAATGGACTTAAGCTGACTCGCGTGGCTACTGCCTGATAGAAAGGTCAGGGTGTAAAAGAGTGGGATGGTTATGGAATGGCCAAGATTTTTTTCTTTCTTCTGAATAGTTCCTGATTCCAGCTAAAATGTTTGTTATATGCATAGAAATCTTGTATAAAATGGTAATACAGGAATCAATAGAGAGAGAGAGAGAGAGAGAGAGAGAGAGAGAGAGAGAGAGAGAGAGAGGAAAATCTTGGTATACAAATGGTAATACAAAGGAATCAATAGAGAGAGAGGAGAGAGAGAGAGAGAGAGAGAGAGAGAGAGAGAGGAGGAGAGCCATGATTAGCTATTCAAATAGCCATTTCCAACTAGAAGTTTTCTCGCTTTTGATAATAGTGGTACATATGGAACAAAATAACATCAACCTTGAGCCTCATCTAGTGATATGTATAGAGTTTCATCCAAGTGACTCCTGAGATTTATTTGGCCTAAAATATAGACTTCAATATGCCACTTCACTATTTTTTATTGTAAGTTGTCCTCTTATTTGCTGTCATATTTCATCGTGTGATAAACTTGAAATGAAGATAAATGGGTCCCCCTCATGACTCAATTCTATAGCTGTGTATTCATTGATATTCTTTGATCTGCTATTTTGGTCTCTTCTTGCGTGCACTATGTTTCTGATTCAATTTTTTCTTCTCATCTAGGGTTATGCTGCTGGAAATGCTATTCCAAGCCCATTAAAGAATGTAGAGAGAGAATTTCTGAAGAAGTATTGGTCAAAATGGAAGGCTACCCACACTGGCCGCTGGTGTATATCTGTGGAATTCCTTTTTAATGTTTGGTTACCAAATGCAAATTGTTGTTATAAGTCTAGTTTCATTATGTGTCAACCAGATTTCAGTATAGTGCCTTGCAGGACAATTATGGTTATATTGTTATGGGATAAAGCTAAATTGAAGAAATTGATGAGTTAACTTTCATTTAAAAATCATCTTCTTTTTTGCACACATTTGCCTAGGTTTGATATTGACACTGTATTTTGATATTTCAGTCGTGCAATGCCGCATATAAAGACATTCACGCGGTATAATGGCCAGAAACTTGCGTAAGTGTTACTTTCAGATGAATTAAATGCCAATTTTGTTTTTGTTTTTATGTTTTCACTTTTCTTTTCAGTTTGAACCTGATTTTGTATTTATATTGCCAAAACAGTTGGTTTCTGCTGACTTCAGCTAATCTAAGCAAAGCAGCTTGGGGGGCCTTGCAAAAGAATAATTCTCAGTTGATGATTCGTTCCTACGAGGTATGTGTATTGAAAAGTATATAAAATGTTCTACATACATGTAGGAGAGCCAGGAAATTATAGACAAGCAGCAGAACTTATTTTTGTTTGATTTTTTAAACAATTTGCCCATTCTCTTTAATTTAGTTGAAATGTTTCGTGCTTTTTGCTCCCTGAAAGCATTGGATCCTTTATTATTGTTGTATGATTCACCTCAGCTCGGTGTGCTCTTTCTACCATCTCCCTATAAAATACATGCTTATGGATTTTCTTGCGTAGACAATGAAGTTCTATCCAAGGTAATAGGATCCTGTTCTTGAAAATTTTATCTAAATATTGGATATATTTAGGAATTTTCGCATGGAATTGTGAAAGAGGAAAATTGCAACTTATTTTGAGTTTCAGGATAAATGTGGAGTATTAGCAGATTCTGAAGTGCTGAGAACGAAACTAGTGACTTTGGCGTGGCAAGGAACTAAAGATTCATCATGTGAAGTGATTCCACTACCAGTGCCTTACGAGCTCCCTCCCCAACCATACTCCTCTGAAGGTTACCGTTTATTTTTCCCTGCCATTTCTGGGTTCTCTTCTTTTTGCATTTATCTGACTATTGTTATCCTGTCTGCAGATATTCCCTGGTCTTGGGACAGACGATATACCAAGAAGGATGTTTATGGCCAAGTTTGGCCTAGGCTTGTACAGCTTTATACTTCTCAACATTAATGACTCTTGGTTTTGCATTTGGTTTTGTAGTTTTTTCCATGTATTGTGCTGCAGATTTTTCTGTCAGAAAAGGGACGTTGAAGACTCCTGTATTAGAAGTTATATCAAGTGTAACTTCCAAATTTGTTGCTCTTAAGCATTTATGGTCCAAAGAATAATACGTTAAGAGAGAGATATCGCCTTAAATGTCAATTGAATGTTTTTTTTCTTTACTTAATTGTGAATATCTGGAATATCTAAAACACTATTTACAATTACAAATACATATTTTTCAAAATAACTTTTTTTTTTCACGTATTTGTGTAATAACTTTCGATCAGCGTATTATTTTCTTCCAACCTGAAAAGGTCAATGTATTAATATCTCGTTCCCAGAAAAAAAAAAAAGGAATAATGTTTTTTTTTTCTTCAAGAAATAATATTCAAACGTTCATCCAAAAGAAGGTGTGAATTTACTTTTGATTAGAAAAGAAAAGTTTATTCACGAAGTTGTGGAAAGTAATTATTAACCCATTTAAGAAGAAGAGGAAATTCTAATTAATTCTAACCAAGAATAAATAATATGTGGAATATTCTATTTTGATTAGAACAAGATAATCATGACTTATGTAGAACTATAAAGAATTATATAAATAGTACAGTAATATTGAATTGTTTTGAAAATTGAAATTGCATATATTAATTAGATGCAATCATCAAACAAACAAATAAATAAATGAATGCAATCATGGGCTAATCGTGTTGGCGCTTATTGGCCTAGAAGAGTTGTTGGATCATAGGATTGTCACCCTCCTTAGGAATAAAATAATAAAAATAAAAGAAATATTGAAAACTAAGGAATTAAGCAAAAGATAAAGATTCCGATATATATTGATAACAAAATATAAATATCAAAAGATAAAGTTTTTAATTTTTTACATGTTTTTTTAAAATGTAAAACGTTTATAATATATATTTTTTTTTTTAAAGTTGGCAGCCGAAGAATCTCAGCCCATTTAAGTGTATCTCATTTTTAAAATTTTTTTATCTCATTTCAAAAAGTTCATATCCACAGAAATAATTATAAGCGATTTTGTATAGTAATACCTTTGATATCGGTTCACAGTTAGACGATACCGGATACTGTTATAACAGCACATAAAAAATAAATCCTTTTCACTACCAGAAAACCGTACATTCTCCATTGCTCTACCTTCCTCGCCCACCACTTACCAATTTTCAAATGGACGTCTTCTTTGAAACTCAAAGAGGCAGACCATTCTCCATTGAAGTGGGTTTCTTTGACACAGTCTTAGAAATCAAAGAAAAGATACAAAAATATCAAGGCATACCCGTTAACAAGCAAACCCTAATTTTCAATGGCCAAGTTCTTCAAGACGATCGTGATGTAGAACACTGTGAAATCCTTCAAAACTCTCACATTCAGCTTTTGATTGCTCCTGATAATGATAAACCTCAAATCAAGGTCGAAGAATCTTCTCCTTCCAAGAAAATTCAACTCAGTATCAAGATTCCATCCTCCAAATTGCATGTCCCTCTAGAAATGGATTTGAATGATACCGTTTTACGTTTAAAAGAAAAGATACAAGAAATGGAGTCTGTTCCAATTCACAGATTAATACTCCAGTCGAACGGTGGAGAATTGCAGGATAATCGATCACTACATGAATGTGAACTGATGGAAAATAGTGAAATAAATGTGAATATAAGGCCATCACCAACTTGTTCAGGGACAGGGTCAACAGGGGCCGCCGCCACCACCACTGGAACAAAAAATAAGCTGAAGCTGATGGTGCTGACGAAGTGCGGGACTAAGAAGATACCGGTGGAAATGAACGCATCGGATAATGTTGGAGAGCTTAGAAAAGAGTTGCAGAAGTTGCATCAGAAGCTGCAATTTCATCTTCCACAAGAAGGCTATTTCTTTATATACAAACAGAATGTGATGGATGAGGATCAGTCTTTTAGGTGGCACCATGTTTGCCAAGGTGATACGATAGAGATCTTTAACGGAAGCGTTACGGGTGGATCCTAATATTTTAATTTATTACTCCTTTTGTTTTTTAGCCTTGCTTAATTAGATAGGTCTCTTGAAATTTTTGTTTTAGTAATTAATTCTGGGGCTGATGAAATGTTGTAAATGATCTAGAGTTTACCATTATCATTTCGTACAAGAACACTAGCTAATTAACCTTCATTAAGTCTAATTAGACTTTTTTTTTTTTTTAATCCAGTTAGAACTGTAGTTCTCTTTATCTTTCTATATATAATTTTGGTAGAATTCTCCAATCTTAAAGTTTGTTGTATGCAAATTTTAGGATATAAAGTTGGGCTGATATACAGATTTAGATTTCCCATGGGCTTTAAAGGCCCAAGTAAGAGGGAGGTCCGATGCCTGACTAGGCATTTTCAGTTAGCTGTAAGGCTAGTTGTAATGCTAACCTAACTAGTCAGGCATAGGCTAGCTTCCAATGCCTGACTAGTTAGTTTAGTTCGTTATGTTCATTCGTTATGTTCAGACACAGTGCTTAATACCATGGTTATACTACAGAGAACAAATTTATGCATGGGAGGAATTTAGCTAGCACAAAATTCTCATTTGTCTACCAAACAAAAATAAACATCTAAATTACATTATTAACAATAAATACATCATCCTTAACCCATGATCAAAAATCAAAGACAGTAAAGTTCTTCCATCTCTGCATATAATTAACAGCAGAGAATCTGAAATTCCTCTGTTCAAAATGATTTTCTGGGTTGAACACCATTCATCTAAGTACCCTATAGATCTTCCAAACCCAAGCATTAAAGACATCAAAGTAGATATTGCAAAATTGCTCGACATCGATGTGGCCAGCCAAAAGCTAACCTATAATGGAATCCACCTCGAAAATGATAAACTCAGAGCTGAAGATTATGGAATTAAAGATAATGATCACATATTTCTCACTGCTGTGTGTAGTTTAATTTGTAGCCAATAACTTTAAATTACACTTTTAAAAAAATATATGCTTTTAACCAATTAGATTCTTTTTTGCATGCAGAGGACGGATTACTTTTTTGAAGCAAACGGAGGGCATCACTATATGAGGGTTTGGGAGGACCAAACTGTTTCAGAACTCAAGAAGGACGTATGGGTACTGACTGGTATTCCAGCGGAGAGGATGGAGCTATCTTACATTGGATATAAGCTGCAAGATGATCAAACGGTTGGCAGTTACCAAATTCCTGAAGATGCTATTATTGATGTTCTTGAGTGGTATGACATGAAGGTTATGGGTTATAACGGGATTTATATGCTGAAAGTTCATAAGAGAATGACAATTGGTCAAGTGAAGCACAAACTTCATGTTGAATATGGTCTTGACCATACAAAAATGAGAATCGAACGTGCCTATGGGAAAGGTTTGTTTAGAGATAATGAATATTTATCATCTCATCCTCATCAGGTTATAGTGGCCCTTGATGGTGGAGCTTAATTAGCAGAAATTATAATAGAGCTTAATATATAATTATATGTTACTTATTGTTATTGATTTGTCTCTTAAAACAATGAAAAGAATTAAATGGCATCAAGAATCGATAATTTGTTTTTATTATTATTTCTTACAAAAAAAACTAATTAATCAACCTTCTGTTTAGTTAGAATCTTGCTAGTAATTTATATAAACTGAAAAATATATTTTGATTTAAATAGAATAATTTCTATATTGATAAATAGATAAAAATCAAAATTGATAAATCCAGTCTATGTTATATAATTTTTTTACACTCCAATATTTTCATGATATTTGCTAAACCGATAAAAAAATAATTAAAAAAAAAAAAATGAATTGTCATTTTAGGAAACCCAGGAGGTCTACTGACCGCTGGGCAGGACGAAACTCCGCCTGAATAGTCCTTTCCTGGTTCTGTTTTACTTGATCTTTGTTGTTCATAAAATTGGGCTGTTATTAACTTTCAAATTTCCCATGGGCTTTAAAGGCCCAAAAAAGACGGAGGCCCAATTCCTGGCCAGGCATTATTAGACATTAGTTAGCTGCCTCATGGCATTCTTGCTCCGAAGTACAACAGATATTCACAGCGCTTAATTTCATGTTACAATTCCTTTCAAAAAAAAAAAAAAAAAAAAATTGGGCTGTTATTAACTTATCAAAAATTTCCATGGGCTGTAAAGGCCAAAAAAAAAGAACGGAGGACCCAAATTCCTGGCAGTGCATTATTATGGAACATTTAGTTATCTGCCTCATGGCATTTCTTGCTCCGAAGTACAACAGATATTCACAGCGCGTAATTTTCATGTTACAATTTCCTTTCAAAAAAAAAAAAAAAAAAATTCATGTTATAATTACTGACAGAGAAACAGATCAAAAAAAAAAAAAAAAAAAAAAAATTCATGTTATAATTACTGTACAGAGAACAGATCAAAAATTTAATTCTCATTTTTCTACCAAACGAAAATAATTAAAACAATAATTTTATCATCCTCAATCCATGATTACACTGTTTAAAATCAGTGCTAATAAAAGTTTTATCATCCTTCTCCGCATATAATAGCTCAGAATCCAAAATTTCTCTGTTCAAGATGATTTTCTGGGTTATCTACCTTTCAACTAAGTACCCCACTAGAAATCTTACAGACCCAACAATTTATGACATCAAATTAGAAATTGGACAACTGCTTCACGTTGAGGTGGGAAGGCAAAAGATCACCCATGATGGAGTTGAAGTGGAAAATAATACGCTCAGAGCTGAAGATTACGGAATTAGAGATAATGACGAGATATTTCTCAGTGTTGTGCGTTGTTTAATTTGCATCCATAGGCCATTAACATGCTTTAAATTATATTTTAAAAAAGAAATGGTATTGACCAATTAGAGTGTTTTGTGTTTGCAGAAGAAGGCTTTCTATATTGAAGCAAATGCTCCTGCCAAGTACTATTTGACGATCTGGGACGATCAAACTATTTTGAAACTCAAAAGGGAGATCTGGATACTGACTGGTATGGCAGTGGATAGGATGGAGCTGTCTTATATTCAACAGAAGCTTGACGATGATAAAAAGATTATGACTTACCAAATTCCTGATGAAGCTACTATTGATGCAGTTGAGATGTATGATCTGGAGGTGAAGGGATCAAATGGCAATTATAGATTAAAAGTTCATGAGATGATGACAATTGGTCAAGTGAAGGAGAAACTTCATGTGGACTATGGTCTTGACCATGAAACACTGACACTCGAACGTGCCTATAGCAGAGGTTTCTTCAGAGACGATGAACATTTGTCTGCTCATCATTATCAAGTTATGACCGCCGTTGGTGGTGGATCTTAGGATCTGAGGCAGATTGTTGCAATAAACCAGTTAATTTAGTTTCTGATGATAACAGAGCTTAATAAATCTTAATTATTATTATTATTTTTCATGCGTCTTAAAGCAATGAAAATATCATTATTAATAACAAACTATTTATGAATAATAAGGATCAACAGTAGAACAGGAGGGAAACTTTTCCCTTCAATATATGACATGCTGGAAAAAGTACGAGAGAAACTTTTTAATCTTCTGAAGTGTGAATCTAGCTTGTTGGCTTCAGTTTGGCAATTTAGGAAATAACAATATCTTTCATTCTTGATGAAACAATAGGTCCAAGCTTTTAAGATGCGTATATATATGGGCTTGGCATATGGTTGGGCCTTCTCTATGGGCTTTTTAATCGAACTACATTATGTGGGTTTTCAATGGGCTCAACATCGTCGAGCGTTTCAACATAGTCATGTACACTGTACAGGAAGCAAATATTGCATGGAAGCAATTCATATATTCTGTACATTTCAAATTGCATGAAAGAAGTATATCATCCTCAGTCTATGATTACATAATTTATAATCAAAGTCAGTAACAATTTAAAAAGATGTTGTTATTCTCGGACTGGCTACAAATCTGAAATTTCTCTGTAATCAAATTTCAAAATGGTTTTCTGGGTTGAATACCGTTCAACTAGATACCCTGTAGATCCTCCAGACCCAACTATTTTTGACATCAAAGTAGCTATTGCACACATGCATCACGACGTTGGGGTGTGGAATCAAAAGATCTTCCATCGTGGAGTCGAAATGGACAATGATGCAATCAGAGCTGAAGATTATGGAATTAGAGATAATGATGAGATATTTCTCAGTGTTGTGCGTCGTTTAATTTGTAGCCACTGACATGATTTAAGTTAAATTTTGTAAAATAATCAATTGGATTCTTTTGTGTATGCAGAGGAGGGATTACTATTTCCAAGCAAATGATGTGAAGCACTTTTCGACGATCTGGGATCACCAAACTATTTTGGAAGTCAAGAACGAGATCCGGATAATGACAGGTATCCCTGCGGAGAAGATGGAGCTGTCTTACATAGGAAATACCCTTCAAGATAATCAAAAGCTTGCCAGTTACAAAATTCCTAATACTGCTACTATTGATGCTTTTGAGATGTATGATTTGGAGGTTATGGGATATAACGGCATTTATAAATTAAAAGTCCATAAGAGGATGACAATTGGTCAAGTGAAGTATAAACTTCATGTTGAATATGGTCTTGACCATACAACAATGAGACTCGAACGTGCTTATAGTAAAGGCTTCTTTAGAGATTATGAACGTCTGTCAGCTCATAAATATCTAGTTATGATGGCTGTTGGTGGTGGAGCTTAAGTAGATTTTTTTTTTTTTTTTTTTTTTTTTTTAGAATAAGGTTGTTTACTTACATGCTGTAGGATGTATAAATTAGTTTGCAAATAGTTTCAAAAATTCTTAACTTTTTTTTTTTTTTTTTTTTTTTTTTGAGAATAAGGTTTGTGTTACTTACATGCTGCTAGATGTATAAATTAGTTTGCAAAATAGTTCAAAAAATTCTTAACATTTTAAATCAATAACAAACTATTTAATAATAAGGATCAAAATTATATAACAATTTACCAAATTATTTACATCAATAGTTCAACAACTACCTGTAGATTATATAATTAACAGGCGAGAAACATAGAAATGATCAATCTCTATTTTATGTTATGAGAAATTAATGTTCATTTTACACAGATCTTGTCAGGAATGGAGTACATCATATGGTACGTAGAAGGCTAACACTTCTTGATATCGGGGTGGCGTCCAGTCCTTAGGACTGACTAGCCTCTCCAACTCGGTCCATGCAAGAAAAATGTCAAATTTATGCTGCCTTTTGAGTTAATGATTTTGATTTTCTCCTTTCCTCTCCTCTCTCATTTTCCAACAAAATTTGGTGTTTCATAGCACAGAAAACAAATAATGCAATATTTGCATGACAACAATTTACGTATTTTCTACCAGACCAAAACTAAACATTAAAATTACATTCAAACAATATATCATCCTTAGTTCATGATGACACAATTTAAAATAGCAGTTCAACAGATGTAGTTCAAAGCATATAATAGTTCAGAATCTGAAGTTTCTCTAATCAAAATGTACTCGGTCTGGATTTGCCGCGGGCCATATAAATATCCTGTGGTTCTTCCTGTAGATCCAACTATTAAAAACATCAAAGAAAAGATTAGGGACAACATGCACCTTAAAATTCCAGAAGAGAACCAACAGCTATTCTACAATGGTACCCTGCTGAAAGATAATGAAAAAGCTGCAAATTATGGAATTGGATCTAGTTCTGAAATCCAGCTTATTGTTGTGCGTAGTCTTGTAGCCAATTATATGTTTTAGATAATCACATGCAAATTTTCTCATCTGATTTTTCTGATATATATTATGTGTATGTAATATGAGCTTCTTGGTGTATGCAGATTAGGAATGTGAATCTTAAATATGAGACCGGAATGTTTCGTGTGGCGATTCCGTCCCACGAATTGGTTTTTGAACTCAGAAGCAGAGTTGCAAGCATGCTTCGTACTCCACCGGAGACTGTGGTGCTCATTCACAATGATACAGAGTTGCAAGATTACCGAAACATCTCAACTATTCCGGTTCAGGATACTGTTTCTGCCGTTATCTTATATCGGATTAAAGTTATGGAATTAAGATTAAGATGCAGTTATCACGTAACAGTCCATGCGATGATGACAATTGCAGAGGTGAAGCAGAAACTTAGACAACATGGTCTTGACGATACAAACCTGACACTGCTACTCGAGTCGGGAAATTCTCTTGATGATCATGCAACTTTGAAGGATTGTGGAATTGATCGAGCTGAAACCTTAATCTATGCACGTGATGGTGGATCTTAAGTAGATTTATGTTGGTTTTATCATATAATATGAGCAAAATAAAAGTTATGCATGTTTGCTTATTTCAATAAAGAATTTATAACTATGCTTGTTCAGTTGTTGCAATAAACAATAGTTAACTTAGTTTCTGAAATGATAGCAGAGCTTAATAAACATGTTCTTATGTTCCTACAAGAAGACCCATTTGTAGATTGATATTAACAGTAGGTTGTTAAGATTTATCAGGCAAATCAGCTCCTGATTCTATGGCGAATGTGTTTTTAAAAATATATTTAGAAGAGGTAAAGCAAATTTGAATTTGATAGGAGATATTTCAGTGAAAGAATCTTCTTATCCTTCTTCTTCCTTTATTATTATTTTTTTTAATCTTGCTAAACTATAGCTTGTACATAGGGTTTAGGTTAGCAATTTAGGAAATAATAACAGCTTTGATTTACTGTTTTTCTCTTATTTATTTATTTCATTTCTAAATTCTTACTTGTGTATATTAATTGATTTTAGAAATTTATAATTTATTTAACAGTACGGAGATAAGTACTTTTTTTGGCGTATTATCTTCTTGTTTTAGTGTAAATCCTGGTTAATTAAGGATAAACATTGAAAAATTTAATAACTAAAATTTACTAAATATTGAAAAGAAAAAATTTAAATTTTCATTACTTTGAAAAACTACTAATGATGTCATTAAACAATGCTATTAATTTTAATTTCTTTTTTTTTTTGACAGAACTATTAATTTTAATTTTATTAAGTATTAAAAAAATATTTCATTATTTAAAATAATATTATGATATTATTAATTTAGTTGATTATTAAACAGTTAGTTAAGAAACGGATAAGAGTAATCATAGTTTTAAAATAATATTAATATTAATGATATTAAATTTTAAAACCAAATAAAGATAGAAAATGATCAAATTATATATTTATATAGATATAGATAGATACAGTCATATAGATACATATAGCAGTACAACAAATGTTTTTCCAAAATCTGAAATTTCTCTTTTCTAAAATCTGAAATTTAAAATGCTGATCTGGATAACCTACCACTCATATACGTATCCTCTGGTTATTCCAGAGAATCCAACTATTCAAAACGTCAAAGAAGAAATTAGAGACGAGAAGTACCTTAAATTTGCAGTGGAGGACCAACAGCTATTCTGCAATAGAATCCTGCTGGAAAATGGAAAAAGAGTTGAAGATTATGGAATTACATCTGATTCTCTCATCTTTCTTCGTGTTGTACGTAGTCTTTTACCCCATTATACGTTTTAGATTTGCATTTGAATCAAATTTCTTCATTAGGATATTCAATCTGATATGAGCTTCTTGGTGTGTGCAGATTAGGCGTGTGCAGATTGATTATAACTTAATGACGTTTAATGTGATGAATTGGGATGATGAAAGGGTTTTGGAACTCAAAACCAGAGTTGCACGCGTGACCAGTATTCCATTGGAGAGGCTGGAGCTGCTTTACAACGATAAAGAGTTGCAAAATGACGAAAAAATCTCGACTCTCACCGCTGGGGATACTGTTTTTGCTGTTATGAAATTTGGAGTTCAGATTTATGGACTAAAACGCATATACAGTTTAACAGTCCATAAGATGATGAGAGTTGCAGAATTGAAGCAGAAACTTCATAGTCAGTATGCTCTTGATGACACAAAACTGAAACTGGTTCTTGGCGATACGTCGAAAACTTTTCTTGACGATCGTGCTTCTTTGGATGCTTATGACATTGAAAAAGATGGAACTGTTCTTCATGCAATTGGTGGTGGAGCTTAAGTAGATTTATGTTAGTTCTATTCTTTTAGCATTAAACCTACCGTTACTTGTTAGTTATTACTTATTAGTTCATTAATAAATATTGAGGTACCCTTTATTTTTAAAATCATTGAAGAATTCACCTTCAAACCATGTCAGATTCACGGTAAATATATCATCCTCAATCCATGAACAAACATTTTAAAACCAAATTCAGCAATGGATATCTGAAATTTCACTAATCAAAATAATCATGTCCACCTATTTATGACATCAAAATTCATATTTTAGGGTATTTGACATTGCTTCAAGGACTGGCTATATTGCTGACCAACATTGTTACATAGGAAATGAATATCCAATATTTTACCAACAGAATATCAATACAAACTGTATTCTTTCCTCCAGGTGCTTACTTGACAGGATATATTTCAGTGAAAGAATTTTCTTATTCATCTTCTTGCTTTGATTTTTTGAATCCTGTGAACCTACAGCTTGTTGGCTTCAAGTTTAGCAAGATAACAACTTTGATTCTTGATGAAACAACAGGTCCTAGTTTTTAAGTTGGGTAAATAATGCATATGGGCTTGGTCTGGTGATATGATTGGGTTTTCAATGGGCTCAGTTATGTGTTTAAGCTTTGGACTTTCTGATGTTATTACTAAACCTGCCTGTTAATGTTACCCAGTCAATTTCATGTCGTTTTTATGCACAGAAGCAATTCACATAATTTCTACTAGACGAAAATAAACATTCTGATTACATTGAAAACTATATCATTCTCAGTTCATGATGACACAATTTAAAATCAAAGAAGATATATGAGTTGAACAGATGTTTTTTTCTGCAGCTCATAATCTGAAATTTCTCTATTCAAAATGTTGGTCTGGATTACCTATCATTTGTATAAGTATCCTCTGGTTCTTCCAGAGAATCCAACCATTCAAAACATCAAAGAAGAAATTCGAGATGAGAAGTACCTTAAATTTGCAGTGAAGGACCAACAACTATTCTGCAATAGTACCATGCTGGAAAATGAAAAGAAAGTTGAAGATTATGGAATTACATCTGATTCTGATATCCTTCTTCGTGTTGTATGTAGTTTTGCAACCAATTATATATGTTTTACAAATTATTCAATCTGATTTTTCTGGCATTTGTATGTAATATGAGCTTATTGGTGTGTGCAGATTAGGGGCGTGCAGATTGATTATAACTCTCAGAGATTTAGTGTGATGACTTGGGATGACGATACAGTTTCGAAACTCAAGAACATAGTTGCAGCCCTGATTCGTATTCGTGCGGCGAAGCTGTTGCTGCATTACGATAATAAAGAGTTGCAAAATGATGAAGATATCTCAATTATTTCTGTTGGGAATACTGTTTTTGTGACTGTGAAATTTGTCGTTCAAATTTTTGGATTTAAACGCATATATACCTTAGAAGTCCATAACATGATGAAAGTTGCAGAATTGAAGCAGAAACTTCAGACTCAATATGCACTCAACTGTACAAAAATTACTCTACAACTTGGCGATGTGTCTAGAACTTTTCTCGATGATTGTGCTTATCTGAATGCTTATGACATTAAAGATGGAACTATAATCCATGCAACTGTTAGTGGAGCTTAAGTAAATTTATGTTAGTTTATCATATAGTCTGTAACTAACATATGGTCTGTAATCATACCAGAAGCTTTTATCGGACTCAATAAATTGATTTCTTCAACTTTTATTACTTGTGATTGTTTTTTTTTTTTTTTTTTTTTTTTTTTTTTTTGTAACTAAACATATGGTCTGTAATCATACCAGAAGCTTTTATCGCGACTCAATAAAAGTGATTTCTTCAACTTTTATACTTTGATTGTTTTTTTTTTTTTTTTTTTTTTTTTTTTTTTTTTTTTTTTTTTTTTTTTTTTTTTTTTTTTTAAAAAAAAAAAGAAATTGCATAAGGCCAGCCCCAGAAGTAGAAATCGAAGTCGATTGACTTCATTAATTCATCCCATATATTACATACATATATTAATTTGGAGAGGCTATTTGAATAAAGGAAAATAAAGGGGAAAAAAAAATTTTTATCATCCTACAAGAAGACCCATTTGTAGATTAATATTAATATTAGTTTTTAAAGATTTATCAGGCAAATTCAGTTCCTGATGCTATGGCGAATGTGTCTGTATAGTAATGCTGATATTTTTAAAAATATTTAGAAGAGGTAAAGCAAAATTTGAATTTGACAGGATATATTTCAGTGAAAGAATTTTCTTATTCTCCTTCCTTCATTTATTTACTTTTAATCTTGCGAAACTATAGCAATTTATTTATTACTAAAGCTACGTACACAGTTAAATTTCATGTCGATCTTATGCACCTGTAAAATTATGTGTTCTGTTGGTGGAACAGATAAATGAATATTTTGCACAGAAGCAATTCACGTATTTTCTACTATGACCAAAATAAACATTCAGAGTACATTGCAAACTATATCATCCTCAGTTCATGATGACACAATTTAAAATCAAAGAAGATATAGGAGTTGAACAGATGTTTTTCTCTGCAGCTCAATATCTGAAATTTCTCTATTCAAAATGTTGGTCTGGATTACCTATCATTTATACAAGTACCCTCTGGTTCTTCCCGAGAACCCAACCATTCAAAACATCAAAGAAGAAATTCGGGACGAGAAGTACCTTAAATTTGCAGTGGACGACCAACAGCTATTCTGCAATAGTACCCTGCTGGAAAATGAAAAAAAAGTTGAAGATTATGGAATTACATCTGATTCTGATATCATTCTTCGTGTTGTATGTATTTTTGAAGCAAATTGTGTATGTTTTACAAATTATTCAATCTGATTTTTTTGACATTTGTATGTAATGTGAGCTTATTGGTGTGTGCAGATTAGGCGTGTGCAGATTGAGTATAAATCTCTGAGATTTGGTGTGATGATTTGGGATGAAGAAAAGGTTTCGAAACTCAAGAACAGAGTTGCAAGCCTGATTTATATTCCCGTGGAGAAGCTGGTGCTGCGTTACGATGATAGAGAGTTGCAAAATGATGAAGATATCTCAATTATTTCTGTTAGGCATACTGTTTATGCGTATGTGAAATTTGTGGTTCAAATTCTTGGATTTAAACGCATATACAAAGTAGAAGTCCATACCATGATGAAAGTTGCAGCATTGAAGCAGAAACTTCAAACTGAATATGCACTCGACAGTACAAAAATTAAGCTAATGAGTGGCGATATGCCTAGAACTTTTCTCCAGGATCGTGCTTATCTGGATATTTATGACATTAAAGAAGAAACTGTAATCCATGCAGTTGGTGGTGGAGTTGAGTAGATTTATGTTAGTTTATCATATAATAAAGTTTATCATATAATAAGAGTATAATAAAAGAGCTAGGGATATTTAAGTTGATCTTTTGTTCTTTATAGTCTGGAATCATACCAGAAGCTTTTATCAGAGTCAATAAATTGATTTCTTCAACTTTTATTACTTGTGATCGTTATTTCAAAAAACGAAATTGCATAAGGCCAGCCCCAGAAGTACATGAAACATGATAGAATTAAACCATACCCAAGTCAATTAACTCAGTTAATTCCAGGACATACTTGGAAAGATTCTAGCTCAGAAAATTTTTCTTTTACTTAACTGATAATTTAAAAAAAAAAATGAAGGGGAAGATTTGGATACAGAAAAGAAACTGTATATGAAATGTAAATTGGACTATACTGATATATAGTTGAAATGAAAGTCTACCATGTGATAAGCATTACCTAAAACCAAGCACACTCCCAGGTTTTTCCAACTGCAGCAATCTGATAACAAATGATCATCCCTACTCCAATTGGCATCCATTAAAAGCAATTTCTCCCTTTCACAAACAGTTATCAATCAAAAAAAAAAAAAAAAGTATTAGTAATTCATTCCAGCTCTCTGAAATAGTGTTATTTAGAGTACCTGACAAAGTCTCAATTGCTTGACTTTAGAATCAGAATAAGCAAAATGCCATCTCAAAAGCCTCACAAACGCTTCCTTTTCGGTTATCTTCTTCACACTGCTGTACATGTTTTGCACTGGCAATGGCGACTTCTTCATCTCTAACTAAAAAGAAACGCCACTGTTTCTCACAGAACCGGAACCGGAAAAGCAAGAGAAAATCTTCAAAACTGGTTCCTTTTCTATTCTACACCTTACAAATTTTTACGGAAGATTGCATTGGAGCTATCATAAAGGCCCATTGAATGAACAATTTCAAGGTCCAACCATCAAATGAAAAATGCCCAGGCCTATATTGCTACGATTGGCTTTCCACGGTCGCTACCTAACTGATAAATGAATGATTAGATTCCAACCCAACGTTTTCCAAATACAAAAACCACAAGTTGAGAGCGACAGGTCACCAACCAACCCCCATGTAGGACCCACCAATAAGTTTAAGTTAGCCGGTACTACTTGCTAACTCCGTCGACTTTGGACACCGTCAACAAAACGGTCCCGAAGCAACGAACAAGGAAGCGGTCACGTAAACCTTGTTAATATCGGATTCCAAACGGCAACTTGACTCTATCATTTAACTTTTCAACTGGGCACGACATGTCATCCGTATACGTGTCAAAAACCCATTGCCTAGATTTCTCCATTGCCGTGACGAAATCGGCTATCTATTTCTATAAATTAGACCCCTAACTTCCCCTTCCTCTTCACTATCGTTACAATCTCTTTTCTTGTGAAGTTTCAGAGGAAGCAATCATAACCTATTCAAGGTAAAACTAAGGCTTCTCTATCTCTTCTTTCGTCTTACTCTCTTTTGTCTTTACATGTATTTTTAGGGTTTTATTATTTCTGGTTTGCTAAATAAAGTTTGCTGCTTCATTGTTATACAGATGCAGATCTTCGTTAAGACCCTCACCGGCAAGACTATCACTCTCGAGGTAGAGAGCAGCGACACCATCGACAACGTCAAAGCCAAAATCCAAGACAAAGAAGGTATCCCGCCAGACCAGCAGCGTCTTATCTTTGCCGGGAAACAGCTCGAAGATGGCCGTACTTTGGCCGATTACAATATCCAGAAGGAGTCCACCCTTCACCTCGTCCTCCGTCTCCGTGGAGGCATGCAGATCTTCGTCAAGACCTTGACTGGAAAGACTATTACTCTGGAGGTTGAAAGTAGCGACACCATCGATAATGTCAAGGCAAAGATTCAGGATAAGGAAGGAATTCCCCCAGATCAGCAGAGGCTGATCTTCGCCGGAAAACAGCTAGAGGACGGTCGTACCTTGGCCGATTACAACATTCAGAAGGAGTCCACCCTTCACCTCGTGCTCCGCCTCCGTGGAGGGATGCAGATTTTCGTTAAGACCTTGACTGGGAAGACCATCACCCTCGAGGTTGAGAGCAGCGACACTATTGACAACGTGAAGGCAAAAATTCAAGACAAGGAGCCGGAAAACAACTAGAGGACGGGCGTACCTTGGCCGATTATAACATTCAGAAGGAGTCTACCCTTCACCTTGTGCTCCGTCTCCGTGGAGGGATGCAGATTTTCGTCAAGACCTTGACTGGAAAGACCATCACCCTGGAGGTTGAGAGCAGTGACACTATTGATAACGTGAAGGCAAAAATTCAAGACAAGGAGGGCATCCCACCAGACCAGCAGAGGCTGATCTTCGCCGGAAAACAACTAGAGGACGGGCGTACCTTGGCCGATTATAACATTCAGAAGGAGTCTACCCTTCACCTTGTGCTCCGTCTCCGTGGAGGGATGCAGATTTTCGTCAAGACCTTGACTGGAAAGACCATCACCCTGGAGGTTGAGAGCAGTGACACTATTGATAACGTGAAGGCAAAAATTCAAGACAAGGAGGGCATCCCACCAGACCAGCAGAGGCTGATCTTCGCCGGTAAGCAACTGGAAGATGGCCGAACTTTGGCCGATTACAATATTCAGAAGGAATCCACTCTCCACCTTGTGCTCAGGCTTCGTGGTGGAATGCAAATCTTCGTCAAGACCCTGACAGGGAAGACTATCACTCTGGAAGTGGAGAGCAGTGATACAATCGATAATGTGAAGGCGAAAATCCAGGATAAGGAAGGGATTCCTCCAGATCAGCAAAGGCTGATCTTTGCTGGGAAGCAGTTGGAGGACGGAAGGACTCTGGCCGACTACAATATCCAGAAAGAATCAACCCTTCACCTTGTCCTGCGTCTGCGTGGTGGATTCTGAAGGGGGGAATTGCTTTCCTTAATTGTTTTCATGCTTTCATCTGAATGTATTTTCTTAGAGAGTCTAATGGGCTTCTCTATCATCGTTGTATTCTGTTTCCTTTCTGATTGGCCTGTTACGGCCTTCTGTGGATGTTATGTTTGCTTTAATTCAATAAAAATATAAAATTTAATAATTTTTTGTGTATTTATTTTGTCGAGAATTGTGTTACTGCTTGTTTCCTGCAACCAGTATGCATAATTTTTAGTTATTGCATTTGTATAACTCGAATACCAATTTTCCACACAGATCTTGAAGTCTCATATGCAATGATTAGGTAACTAAACATACTGATCACTTGAGTTCAAAGAAAAATTTTTTCTTAGACATCAAAAATTTAAGATAGTATCTGTTTAGATAAATGTTCATGTATGTTATTGCCAACCCATTTGAGTATCTGTCTACTCTAAAAAAAGGCCATTCGAAACGGAAATTAAGGTAGCTGGATTTAAGAAAATCCTAATGGGAATTAGGTAGGCTGGACGTGTTTGTGGTGAAGAGAAGTTCTCTCTGGTCTCTACTGTAAAAACAGACGACATGACCATTCGCGTTTCTATTTTATTCTTATATTTTTATTTCCTTCTCACAGAATTTCTCTCCAATCTTATCCTTCCTCTCTTTAAACAAAGATCAGGTATTTTCTTCTTCTTAATATTTGTAATTTTCAATCCCTTATTTGTATGTGTGTGTGTGTATATATTCTTTCATCATCTTCTTATTGTCACCATGAATTCCTATCAGCATTAATGTTGTTCTGTAATATGATTCTCTATTTTATGATCTTGATTTGAGTTTAGAATGTCAATTGGTTGTATAGAATGTTTATGTATTGAATGTGTCATTGGATGGATAGGTTTGTTGAAATTCAGGAAAATGAAAATTTCAATCAATTTCTTCTTGTGTTAGATATGCAAAAACTTACACAAAAACCCTTGTCATACAGGGGAAAATGCGAAGGTAACCCCATTTTTAGCAATCTTTTTCTTGTCTTTTTTGGTGGTATTGTGTTCCATTTTCCACAGAAAGTCAATCCCTCTTTGGTGACCTCGGGATCGTGTGGAAAGGAAGTGAACAAATTATTTTGTTTCTTAACAACTTGGATAATTGTTCGTGTTTTATGCTATTACTGTAAAAGAAGATGGCCATGATATGCGGTATTGTTTTTCCATTTTACATCAGGATTACAATCATCCTCTGTGTCTTTTCTCTCCAGAATATTTGGGGATGTTGAGTTTCTGAATTATATTGTCGCAGTGACTCTACTTTCGTGTTCTATATTTTGTTTGATCAATTCTGGTCGCTTATTGCAGCTGTAACCGAGTGTATTTGAATCTTGGAAGAAGAGGAAATATTTGTCAGTACCATTCAATTGATCAGAACTAAGGTTCATGTCTGAACGCGACATCCAAATTCCAACTGCCTTTGGTATGTCCTTTCTTCATCTACTATTCAGTTGTTCAATGAAAAACTAGCATTTTGGAGCTAAAATTGCTATCATGACTTTTACCAGAAGAAGATGTAAAACATTACACAACAATGAAAATAACAGTACAATAAGAGTTAACTTTCAATTTAAGGTCAAGATAACCCTGTTAGCAATAAGAATAAGTTATCTACATGAAATGAACATCTATTTACATCTTTTGCCAAAAAAAAAAAAAAAAACTACATAAATGAACATCTATTTACGATCTTTTGCCAAAAAAAAAAAAAAAAGCTGGACTGTCGTTTATTCAGATCCATTGCCGAGGCAAATGCTGCAGATGTCAGGTGCTGGAGCCCAAGGAATACGTGCATATACGCTACAGCAGGCGAAAAATGGTGCCATAAAAAAAAAAAAAAAAACTGACTGTCGTTTATTCAGATCCATTGGCCGAGGCAAATGCTGCAGATTCAGGTGCTGGAGCCAAGGAATACGTGCATATACGCGTACAGCAGCGAAATGGTAGGAAAAGCCTGACAACTGTTCAGGGTTTGAAGAAGGAATTCAGCTATAATATGATTCTCAAGGACCTTAAGAAAGAGTTTTGCTGCAATGGCACTGTGGTCCAGGATCCAGAGTTGGGACAGGTGCTCATTTGCTGCACTATTTTCTGATATGGCAAATTCCTCCTTTTCTTCTTATATTTGTGAATTGATACGTTCGATTGTTATAAAATGTTGTAATTATCACAGGTTATTCAGCTTCAAGGTGATCAAAGAAAAAATGTTTCAACTTTCCTTGTTCAGGTGGTTATTTTCTACTTCATATTATTTGTTTTTCGAACTTTTAGTTTGTGGGATTTCTCAAAAGTGCTACATGAATTGCAAGCAGGCACGCATAGTGAAGAAAGAGCACATCAAGATTCATGGATTCTAAGCAGAAGCACCTGCAAAATTGATCTTATGTGGTTATTGCTGCTATATTTTGAATCTTTATGATACATCTGAACTCTTCAACATCCTTAATGTGAAGTAACTCTTGCAGTTTGTGTTGTATGATTATTTTTTGGAATCATTTTTTTGTCTTTATACTCAACTATATCAGATGTGTAAGTGTTTGATTAGTTATGAAATCACTCCAATATGTAATGGCTTTACTCATCCATTCCGGTCTCTTCCATGCTTTTGGCTTATTGTGCTTTATATCTCGAAAAACAAAAAAATCTCAAGAGGGTTCCTATACCCAAAATGAATAAGAGTATAATCTTCTTTCAGGTTTATAGCTTTCCTTTCTATAAGTGTTTTTCCATGAATTTCACGTTGTAGAACACAAAATTATTTTTGTATTCAAGCCCCTCCTCAAGCTGATTTTGACAATATGAGTAGGATTAAATTGAATAAAAGTATAATCCTCGTTTCAAATTTGTAACTTTCCATAAGTGTTTTTCTATAAATTTCACGTTGTAGAACACAAAATTATTTTTGTCTTCAAGCCACTCCTCAAGCTGATTTTGACAATATGAGTAGGATTAAATTGAATAAGAGTATAATCTCGTTTTAGGTTTATAGCTTTCCTTTCTATAAGTGTTTTTCCATGAATTTCACGTTGTAGAACACAATTATTTTTGTATTCAAGCCACTCCTCAAGCTGAAGGTTTATAGCTTTCCTTTCTATAAGTGTTTTTCCATGAATTTCACGTTGTAGAACACAATTATTTTTGTATTCAAGCCACTCCTCAAGCTGATTTTGACAATATGAGTAGGATTAAATTGAATAAGAGTATAATCTCGTTTCAGGTTTATAGCTTTCCTTTCTATAAGTGTTTTTCCATGAATTTCACGTTGTAGAACACAATTATTTTTGTATTCAAGCCACTCCTCAAGCTGATTTTGACAATATGAGTAGGATTAAATTGAACGAGAGTATAATCTCGTTTCATTTTTATAGCTTTCCTTTCTATAAGTTTTTCCATGAACTTCACATTGCAGAACACAATTATTTTTGTATTCAAGCCACTCTTCAAGTTGATTTTGACAATATGAGTAGGATTAAATTGAATATTGGCCGGTTAACGATCACCTGATAGACTTCAAATTATCAATGCAGACAAAAGTTAGTGGCCAGCAATAATTAAATATGTGATTCGTCATGCTCCAAAATTATATACAAAACGACATTTGAACAAGGACCAGCCTCTTTTGTCCATACTCAAATTTACATCCTAGAATGACTACTGACACTGATGCCGCGGCCGTAAATGGATTTTTCAGCTACAAACTTTCAAGGCAGTAACAAATAAGAAGCTAAATTTGATATTTACGCACGCAGCAGCAAGCTATACTATTTGCTCGTTTACCCTTTTCATGACAGTAATTTTTGCATATATTCCATTCCATTCTTCTGTCCTATTGATCATTCTTTCTGTTTTTTAAATATAAATCTTATTGAAGAATTCATTTACGAATCTTATATAGTGAAGTGGGGCAGTATTGATGACTGGATAGCTTGTTTGAAGACATTAAGGGCCAGAATTTAAGGTTTGACAGTGCAATATAATGATTTGATAGTCTCCCATCACAGCTTCAGCAAATCAAGGGAGGACATTTTACCTCCTAATTGAATGCAAGAAACTGCGGTTAAGAATAGTTGCAGAAAACCCTATTCCTCTTTTTTCCTTTTTCTTTTTTTCTGTCTCTCTCTTTTTTGTACATAAAAGGAAAACAAAATCTTACCAGCAAAGCCTTGAATAAGCTAGGCCAAGACGACCATAAAAGATGTATCTCATGCTTTAGTTTGTTTCTAAAATATTTTATTTCTAGTTGTATTTGAACTTATGATTGAACATCTACAAACAAATAATAGAACAATTAACAGATTTCTAAGAAGTTTATCTTCTCAATTGGATTAAAAGAAAGTATCTTTATTTGAACAGTAAAACTATTGAGAGTTGAAAATCTGAAATCCTTAATGTTATGACAGTTTTACTTCAATATTACCCTGCATCACAGTCCATAATTTTTTAGATAAATATAGAAAATCTTTGAAGTACAAGGGTTGTTAGGTCTTCAATTCTTACTTTCCTAGAGTACAAGTTATCTACTCAAAAGGAGAAGGAAAAAGTTTGATTTTAACTAAAAGATAGGTTTTAAGAGACCATAGTACAGATAAGTTGAGAATTAAACACCAGCCACTAATTTAATCTACGGTTACTCATTCTAGGGATTTTTTTTTTTTTTTTTTTTTTTTTTTTTTTTTTTTTTTTTAATTTTTCTTTCTGCGCTTGCCTAGCTTTTGCATCTCTTAATTTTTTTTTTTTTTTTTTTTTTTTAATTTTTCTTTCTGCTCTTCCTAGCTTTTGCATCTCTTAATTTTGGCCGATCCTCGTAAGGTCAAAGGTAAAATAACTTCTCACATGAGTAGTTGGTAAACTGGACTACCTATCAAACCTGCCAGATTGTAGCCTTCTTGTACAACTAACATTCTTCGCTTCCTTAGCACTGTACATTCTTTTATACTGTACAAAAAGATGCTATCTTTTCTTTTTTTACCCAAAAAACTGTGCTGCCCAAACCCCGTTAATATAAATACATTAAGCTACACCAATTGGCTCATACATAAATCATAATCTAGTTCCCATTGCCAACTTGCAGAGCCGCTCTTTTTTTACTCCATTTCTACATAAGTCACATATGGCTGATTCTGAACATTCTTCTTCTGATGAGACTTGTGTATACTCTCAAGGTAATCCATCATCAAATTAATTTACCTTTTCGTTAAGAAAAAAGTATGTTTCTTCTATGCCTCACTATTCTTTCATTTGTTTGGTTCAGAGGAAAGAACTCAAACATCGAAGGCCGAATTTTCTGAGGATGAAGAAGCACTAGTAATTAGGATGTATAATTTGGTTGGAGAGAGGTTGCTTTCCAGTTTCTTGCTTTTTCTTTCTTTCTTTCTTTTCTTTTTAGATTATCTTACGACGACTAATAATTGTTTGTTAGATGGTCTCTAATTGCTGGGAGGATTCCTGGAAGAACAGCAGAGGAGATCGAGAAATACTGGAACTCCAGATATTCAACTAGTCAATGAAATTACAACAGAAAATACAAGTTTTGGAGCTGACAATGGCTAGCTAGCCTGCATGTTCTGCTTCTGTTTGTCTCAAGGAACCATTTGATTTACAAATTTTGTTCCTGTAACTCTACTGTGTTTTTATGATGCAAAGCAAAGTGTGTTGTTTTTTCTATGTGATTCTGTTTGGTGATTTCTAAACTTTAATGTTGCGTTTTAGATCAAGTGTATCGGTGTCCGTTTCAATTCTCCAGTAGGGAAACCGACAAAAGAAAAGGAGGCGTCCATTGTGAATATGCCCCCGTACTGTGTTTTGCTGTACACTACTCAGATTGTCTATGCTATAGAGATCGGGTATCTTTTGATGGTTCTTGGCTAGCTTCATGTGGATAGGATCTAACTTGTTCTTATCCAAAATATTTTTTGTTTTTGGGATTTTGCTTTTAAGTTTATTTAAAACGAGTATCATTATCGCCTCGTGGAGCACTGTCATTTTCGCGCAGATGAAGACTAATAGAAGGTACAGCGATAAATAACAACTGGTCGTATTACGCCATCTCAACATCCTCTGCTGTTGATATAAATTTCGCTCTTATCCGAAACAGGGAAAGCAAATTTCACCATTTATAAATTGGTGATTGAACCCGAACTTCAACTTCTAAGGAATGAAGGAAACAAGGGGGAAAAAAAATAAAAATCCATTCAAACGCGCACAAAGCTGCAAGTGCTTACTGTATCAACAGAAGGAAAACGCACATTCTGCCTTAACAAGCATTTAATAAACTATAGAAAGCACAAAGAGAGATTACAGAAAAGTTCTCACTACCATATTTCATTAATCAGTAAAAAGAAACCAGGCAACCATGGTAGTATAAAACATGAATGTTGGTGATCTTTACAGCATCATTTTCATAATTTGCAAGTTCATGATAGGGATCAACTGAGCCCTAGAGAGTCAGGAGTCTACACGTCGATACTAAATAGCACTTGCTTTGAATTATACATTGCTTTGTTTGTAAAGCTTCGTGTCAAGTACTTGCTTACCACACATTGCACAAACCCCTGAAAAATTTATATAACAATGTCAGAATTTGTTGAAGAGAGTTAAACATGCTGAATATGTCATATTTGGAAAATAATCAGTACATCATTTTATGTCACCTTTGGTATAAGCACAAGTGTGACAGTACTTGGCATCTTGGTGTACTTGCTGCTTGCAAATGGTGCACTTGGTATTTCCATAAGGGGTCCATCTACAAGCAAGATAGATTTCAAAAAACGAGAATCGCACTCTTAAGACTAACAATAAAAAAACTTATTATCATGAAAATGCTAACAACGTTAATAAAATGACCTGCCCAAGAATCCATGGTAACTACATTGACAACATAGAGAAGCTAAGGCTTCAAGGCCTAATTCCAAGAAATTAAAAAGGAATAAGTAGTTTGTACACTTAGCATACCTGCATTGTTCAGATGCTCTCATATTTCCATAACTACATCTTGTAGCTCCCTATCAATGCATGGATTTTAAGATGAAAAATAGCATCATTTCTGGCTCTTAAATCCTAACCCCCATTTACAGTCATAATATATTATTAGTTTCAGTAAACCAGTCTTAGTTTCCCTACACCAAAACTACTGTAAATTTTATTGCTCTATTACAGTTTAAACCATATTGTAACTGAAAAAACCTATAATTCCTACAACTTTGGCCTCCAAACATAAGCATAGCAACATACTATAAATATCGGTTAAACTAAAATTGCACAATATTAATGAAAGAACACTCAAATTTCAGGTAGACGGGGATATGACATATGAATGATTGACTACTACGTACATTGTTGTACAGGCGTGATCTTTTTCTTCTCACAGTCTAGACAGTAGATGTAATCTCCAAAACCCATTAAACAAAACTATTCACAGAGAATGATAATACCATATAACTCATAATTGAATAGACCCATGCCCAGATGCCAATCAATAACCAAGCAACTGCTAAATTGAAAAAAAAAAAAACGCAGAATGGGAAACGTGCAATATAAGTAAGAACCTCGAAAATTTACTATCTATTTGCAAAGGCACAAGAGAGAAACGAACCAATTGATAAAAAAGAAAAAAGCCGATCACCGTATAAACAAAAGATTATCTCCAAAATTTTTTGTAAAGATCGAACCTTTTCTTCTTAGAGAGGAGTTTGTTCTCATTGATTTTACGGCCACCGCCTTCAGTGGTGTTGCTGGCTCCTTCCTTCCACTTATCTGGTACAATCACCTTCGATAACTTTTTTTCACCTAAATAAAAATTATTCCTTCCATAATTATAATCCAACATAAAATTCACAAGATAATCACTAACTATTTAAGCTGAAAAGAATAGACTGAATGACTGAGAAACTTACACTTCTCGCAAACCATTGTTCCTCCTCTGTCAAAATCAAAGCCCTAATTGAAACTACAGTGAATCGGAAAATTGAGATGCCCGGTCAATTGACAAATCTAAATACGATTTTTCAACCTTTTATTTAGACCGGTAATTTACTAAACTATCCTCGCGCAAAAAGACAATTCCGTTGCAGCCCTCAGGGTCGGTGGGCCTGGAATGCTAAACCGACAATAGCCATGAAAAGCTATCCCTGCCAAAAATTTCTACGTTTTAAACTCTCCGTAATTAAGAAAGTAACTAATTTTTCTAAAATCATAAGCAACTGTATATTAAATTAATAATTTTTTTTTGATACCTCATCATAAAATTAAATTATCCTTCTTAAAAATAATTATAGTGTTTCATATATAAAAGAGTAAAATTAAAAAAAAAATCAATAATTACTTTTTAATATTCGCAATATGATTAATATAGACAAAATATCTACTCTAAAAAGACAATTGTATATGAGAATTATAAATGAATCATATAAATTCCGTAATATCCTTTTAATATTCATTTTTTTAATTTCAAACCTGTGATTATATATTTATTTATTAGTTATACTTTTTCAATAGTTTTTGTAATTACTTATTTATTATTGGTTCATCATTTTACGTAATTACCTTAAACGAATTATGATTTTAGTGTATAAAGATTTTTTTTATTCATAAGATATTATATATAGGTTAATTTACAATGTTGTTTGGGTAATCGCGTCCAAAGTTTTCAAAATTCAATTTTTTCCTTATAATATTATATTTATTTTTTTAATTATTTATTTTTATCCCTCTAAATTTTTGGAAACTCAACTTTTCCCCTCTAAAAGTTTATATAAATATTCAAAAAGACAATCACAGAGAATAAATATTGTCTATTGTTTTCAAGAAATATGATTTAACAATTTTATGATACAAAAATCGAGGAAAATTTTTGAAATTTTCGAAATTATTTCATACTATCTTTATAGTAACCTATAAATTTTAATATTGTTCAGAGTGCGAGACAACTCTGCTCATGACGCGGAGCTAAACTGCTAATAAGCCCATTTATAAAATACAGAAATGGCAAATAATACAAAATTTCACTTAAATAATTGAATCAATTAAATTAAAATCCAATAATGCAAATCAAAAGATGGGACAAAAATTACAAATTTTAAAGTCTGTCTCAAAATATATATAAAAAAGAATAAAAATAGTATAAAAAAAAACAGAAGGATCTATCTCTTCCAATGTCGATTATCAATCCCATGGACTCAAAGAGCACTCCACAGGAAGTTCAGGATATCTCTCATTGTCTTTACAATAATCATAGATGACGAGGTTTCTCTGCACCCAAGCATAGTCATTTTTTTGTGAATCAGAAAGATGCCAAGCATCATATTGATCCCACCAATTCTTGGTTGTAGTAGATACACAAGCAGGGTATGGATCTTCCCATTGACAACCATCGACGCTAAAGTCCTTATAGGATGAAACAAATGGAGCTTTTTTCCAGTCTGTCTTCTCTAGCCCACCTCTTGTTGCCCAGTCATCTGCATTCCAAATGCTAGAGAATAGGTACATTGGCTTCTCATTTGGAAAGAAGTTGTTTGGTTCTCCATTGTTCTTGTGCACTCTTACTGGAACTTTATCTACAAAGAACCTGCCATTCAATGGGAACATTCAAGATCTCCAGTTGCATTAACATAATATATTCGAAATTGATCAGAAGCTTACACAATTTGGTGATCGTTCCATAGGATTGAGTAGGAGTGGAACTCTTCAGTCGGGTCGAACCAAAGCATGTGCCTCATTTCACGGCCACCGGTCCCATTTTTGTACACATTAGTCTGGATTAAGTAGGGTTGTCCAGTTCTGTTACCCAAGAACTCAAAATCTAACTCATCTCTTGTTGGTCCTGCTCCATTCTCTGTGCACATCTGCAATAATTTTTTGTACAATGAGCATATAATTTTAAACTTTCTTAATTTTCTTATTATCAAGATTCAGCAATAAAGACTCACATAATAAGCTGTCACTACACCAGCTGAGTCACCTCCAACCAGTTTCAACTTCATACTAAACCATCCAAATCTGTACCTCTGTTTTGTTTGAAACCCACAACCTATTCAAGAAATATAAGTTTAGATAATATTCTTCTATATAAAAAAAACAAATCTTGAAAATGAAGCAAGTTGGATATATATATACCTGTTTCTTTGTCCAAGGAGAGGTACCAGATCTGCCCATCTTCAGATGTTTTGAAATGCTCCTCTGACCACATGATACTGAAATTGTCTTCAAAAGATCCTTTAGAGATAGCTGCTTCAGATGATATATGAGAAGCAGCCATTAGAGCTGCAATGAAGAGAAGAGCTGCCATTGGATAAACCCTTCTCTCCATTTCTGCCTCGAGAAGAGCTTTTGGATCCCTGTCCGAAGACTATGAGCAATAAATGATGAGTATTTGAAAATGGAGTGTCTGAAATCAAGGGTAGAAATGGAAACCAAGTTGGAATTGTCAATTGTTGATCAATTATTCGGTTATGATCGCATGTACAATTTTACCCGTTATAGATGCGATCACTACAATATAAAAGAATTATTAGGATTGAAATCCACATGGGTATTTTGGAAATTTGATAAAATGGTGCAGTGAGGAATGAGGGCAAAGCCAGGCTGCCTCCAATGGGGTTTTAGGAGAATGAAAATGGTTTTATGGGGTCCACTGTCCAGAGTCCACATGTTAGTTTGTGTGTGAGAAGAGGGATTGATTTTGATGTTTCATGCAATAATCAGAAAGTTCTTAGATTGGACAACTGGAATTTGCAATGCAGCATATTCTATGCTTTGAATTAAATTAAATTGCTCAATGGCCAACAGCCATTCACTGGTCACTAGGAGCAAAAAGAAACAGGCTTTCAAACGAAGGATTACTTTAGCTTAACTATGGTCAAAAGCAAAAGAAACTATGATTAAGAGCACTAAAGAAAGGGGGGGAAGGAAATTTTTACTGGGAAGCAGAGTTTACTTTCTTGGGAACAAACATAAAAAGCATGCTAATCGCATTGGCCAAGAAACAAGGTTATTTGATTTACAGTGACAAAATGCTCTTCCATAGCTCAAGTTTATCTCAAGACAGCCCATGTGGGCAACTTGATCCAGGTGCCTAATGATAAATAAGCCTTACACAATTTGCATTAATGTGATTTTTGAGGCTAAGAAAATTGACTGTTTTGTGATTGTTTTATAGATTGCTATGAGTGAAGGAAAGATTATTTTAGTTTAATTAAGATGTTATAAAGGAAAATATAACTTGGAATCATAAATTGAATATATCTCTATTCAACGTGCTGATAAGAATTAAATCTATATTATAGATAAATTCAGTCCTTCGACATGCCGATGACAGTTTGGCCGAGTGGTCTAAGGCGCCAGATTTAGGCTCTGGTCCGAAAGGGCGTGGGTTCAAATCCCACAGCTGTCATAATTTTTCTTTTTTTGGCCCAATGTTTTCAGTCACTGGACCCCTGCCTCCGGGAACAGCCCAACTTTAGGAAAATGTAAACCCAATGTTTATACAATCCGAATGACATCATTTACCAATCGCCTGCAAAATCTGATTACCTTCCTCTATTCTCCATTGCAAATCTGGGCGATACGCGCCGGCCATCAAATGCTCCTTAACAAAAGATTTTCTACTGCAACTTCTTTTGGAATCAGTTGGAGAACCACAATCAAGCAAAACCAATTGGTATCTCAAATCTCTTCAATTCTCCTAGAAAGAAAAAACTGGATCCCATTCCTTGAGAACCTCAATCTCTCCTCTAAGCTAACCTCTTATGTTTTCCTCCAAATCCTCCATAAAACCCAAATCCAACCTCAAATCTCCCTCGAATTCTTCAATTGGGCTATTTCCCATCTTAAATTCAAGCCAGACCTCAAATCTCAATGCCATGTCATCCAAGTTTGTGTCGGTTCGGATCTTGTCCAACCTGCAAAGAACATGTTGGATTCTCTGGTTCAAGTCCATCCTGCAAGTGTACTTGCGGAGAGTATGTTTCAAGCTTGTAGAGGTAAAAATTATCAGTCTGATGTGTTCAACTTTGTCCTTGAATGTTATTCGCATCAGAGTTCGTCTATGGGTGGTTTGGAGGTTTATAGAAAATTGAGATTTATTGGATTTACTCCTTCAGTTAATGCCTGTAATGCACTCCTTGGTAATTTTGAAAGAGAAGAAGAGACAAAATTAGCTTGGTGTTTTTATAGCGCCATGATTCGACTTGGGGTTTTGCCCAATAAGTTTACTTGGTCGTTGGTTGTTCATATTCTTTGTAAAGATAAGAAATTTGTGAAAATCGTTAAATTGTTGGACATGGGCATTTACAGTTCATTTATGTATAATGCTGTTATTGATTATTATAGTAGAAGTGGGGATTTTGAAGGTGCATTTTATCGCCTGAATGAAATGTGTGATAGAAAATTTGACCCTAGTTTCAGTACCTGTAGCTCCATACTTGATGGAGCTTGCAAATGTAGAGAAGTTGAAGTAATTGAGAGAATAATGTCAATAATGGTACAGAAAGAGCTGCTTCCTAAGCCTCCTTTATCTGAATGTAATTCAATTATCCAAAAGCTTTGTCATTTGGGAAGGGTGAATGCTGCAACAATGTTTTTCAAAGGAGCTTGTGATGAGAAGATTGGATTGAAGGATGCTACTTATGGGTGTATGCTAAGTGTTCTTTGTAAACATGGAAGAGCAGAGGAAGCTATTGGTTTATACCGAGTAACATCTGAAAGAGGTATCACAATAAATGATAGTGCTTATCATGCATTTGCAGATTTTCTTTGTGGGGAATATCAATCTGAGGAAGGATATGGAATACTGAAGGACATGATGAAGAGAGGTTTTAGTCCTAATGCATCTACTTTGTCTAAATTTATCTTGTTGCTATGTAATGAACAGAAATGGAGAGAAGCAGAGGAGCTTTTGAATGTGGTTCTAGAGAAAGGTTTATTGCCAGATGCATTACCTTGTTGCTCCTTAGTTAAGCACTATTGCTCCAGCAAACAGATTGATAAAGCTGTTGCATTGCATGATAGGTTGAAGAAAATGCGAGCAGGTTTGGATGTAACATCGTATAATACACTCCTTGATGGTTTATTTGAAGATGGAAGGATTGAAGAATCAATTCCATTTTCTGCCTATATGAAAGAACTCAAGTTAGTGAATAGTGCAAGTTTTGTAATTGTAATCCGTGGGCTGTGCCGTGCAAAGGAAATGAGAAATGCTATGAAACTTCATGATGAAATGTTGAATATAGGCCTTAAACCTGATAGAGTAACGTATAAAAAGTTGATTCTGGAATTCAAGCTATAGAATGACAATGTCTTTCTTTTTATCGTGTTAGATCTGATACAGTAACATCCTGTGCTTGGCTGGTTGCTTGATTTATACTCTGTTTTCTCAGTCTTCTAGTTCATGCGTTTTGGATAACAATTACGACGTCGTTTTTGGGTTATGTCTTTTGCTGACGAGTTCGTACTTGTCACTTTTTTATTGGTGGCTACACGGAAGCAAAAACAAAAAAAGAAAAAAACAGGAAATGTAGAAATCTTCCCGTCCATTGACTGTATCTCCTTCCCCCGAACCAGAACAAAAACGAAAAACAATTTCTCTCCATTCGAAGGGGGAGTGAAGTCGCCCAAAAATGGCGATATCTCTAAACCACACTTTCTGTCTCCTCCTCTTAACAACTCTCGTCTCCCTCTTTATCTCCCTCACCACCAGCACTACCGACTCTGAAGAGCTCATCTCTGAACTCCTCTCCCTCCAATCCCAATCTAAATCAGGCGTGATTCACCTTGATGACCACACTGTATCTCGTTTCCTAACTTCCACCAAAACACCACGCCCCTACTCGCTTCTCATCTTCTTCGACGCCAAACAGCTCCATGACAAGCCCGAGCTCCACCTCGAAGACCTCCACCGCGAGTTCTCTCTCCTCGCCTCTTCCTTCATCGCCAACAATCCTGAAAAATCCTCCACATCCTACGGAAAACTCTTCTTCTGCCACATCGAGTTCAAGGAATCTCAATCCTCCTTTTCTCTTTTCGGCGTGAATTCCCTCCCGCACATCCGTCTCGTTGGCCCCAATGTGAAGAACCCTAAAGAATCTGACGCCATGGATCAGGGCGATTTCTCTAGAATGGCTGAATCCATGTCCGATTTCATCGAGACCAGGACCAAACTATCGGTGGGACCCATACAACGTCCCCCTATTGTCTCCAAAAATCAAATTGCTTTTCTAATCGTCGTTTTACTAATCTGGACGCCGTTTATGATCAAGAAGTTGTTGACCGGTGGCACATTGCTTCACGATCGGAAAATATGGCTTGGAGGGGCTGTGTTTGTATACTTCTTCAGCGTTTCCGGTGCGATGCACAATATAATTCGTAAAATGCCCATGTTTTTGGCTGACCGGAATGACCCCAGCAAGCTGATTTTCTTTTACCAGGGGTCCGGGATGCAGCTTGGAGCAGAGGGGTTTGCCATTGGTTTCTTATACACCATTGTTGGTCTATTGTTAGCGTTTGTAACTCATGTGCTTGTAATGGTTAAGAATGTGACTGCACAGAGATTTATTATGGTCGTTTCACTAGTGGTTTCATTCTGGGCTGTGAATAAGGTTATCTATCTGGATAATTGGAAGACTGGCTATGGTGTTCATACTTTCTGGCCTTCGAGTTGGAGATGAGACTGCAGTTCTGCTTTCGAGAAGTGAAAGGTGATCACTTTTTTTTCATTATTGAACTATATTTGTGTAAGACTTCATATTGCAATGTACTAGTTTACCTAGACTAGATGGCTGCAGTTGAATTTCAGCTTGTTTACTGCTTCACAAATACTTAAACTTTTTATGCTAAAAGATTTTGTCTTGGTTATTGCTCTTTTTTCATTTGGCTGGTAATTTTGAACTATATTTAGTTATTTTTGTGATGATGCGTGGGATATTTGAATTGAACTTAACATTGCAAGAAGCAAGACAAAGATCATGAGAAAGATGTATAAATGTGTTTATTAGTCCGAAAAGTTAGCCTCATTCAACTTAGTATGCAATGTTGTCTGCTAAAAACTAAAGATGTCCTGTGAACTGTGTCTGTTCCCATAGGGTCGGGATACCTCATGCAGGGAGAAAATAGGCATTTCCTTGTGAATATTGTTTGAGTTACTCCTGGAAGTATCCAGTTATGAGTGGCTGAAACTATTGTCATTTCTTTTGCTTCTGTCATTACTCACTATAATATTTCGCTCTCTCTCAATTTAATTATATCCTGGCAATAGAAGCATGCTTCTGTTTTTCAAATATAGTTTGTATTTGCTTTTCCTTCTGTATGGTATATATGAGAAGGTCCAGATTCCAGTTTACTTTAAGAGACAGGTCGGATTATGAAATTTCACAAAGATTGGTTCGTCAATTCTGAGAAGGTTTACTTCAATATATCTAAATATATATTTTGAAGATGTCTTAACCTTACTTAGGTTGAGAAATATAATCATCCTATGCCTGTCTGGTTGCTTAATTTATGTGTTTCGTCTGCATGCCTTTTACTTCAAGCTTTTTGGAGGATCCATGCTATCCTATAGATGACATTATTAGCATATTCTGGTGAAAGCCAGGGAGTGACTATTAGGAGAGTCCAAAGAATAATAGCGGCACCTCGGTTTCGTTAAGCAAGTTAGAGTCTTGGACTTACAGTTGGCCAGATTAAGATATGTTAACTAGGGTTATTGGAGTTATCATGCATAACTACACTCTTCCTCGAGTGTCCTGATTCAAAAAATGATTGGAGCTAATAATCCTGCAGTATATAGGCATCCTTATGGGTTTGGAGATGCATATTGATGTGCAGGAATTTGAAAGAGTTAGATGAAAGTTCATTGGTCATATGAATCTTTGGATATGGTTGTTCGTCGCATCTATTTGAAATTTATGGATTACTAGGGGGACGATGAATTCATGGAAAGTGCAAGAATGGAAGAGGCTGCATGTTCTAGATGGAGGACAAGGATGTTATATTTGAAATCTATGGATTACTAGGGGGACTATGAATCCACGGAAGGTGCAAGAATGCGAACAGGCTGCTTGTTCTAGATGGTGCACAAGGATGTTAAATTTATTTGCGTGCTGTTTGTGAGTTTAGTGTTGTGGACTGGGTCTTGGACCTACCCATCACAGGCCTTTGTTAAAACTTCTGATAGGTTTAGGTTTTGCTACAGGATCCAGAGCCTTCAGAGTGAGGACCCTCCATTTTAAATTTCTGGTAGGCTTTAATCCAAGGGCTGTGCAGAAAGCATATACTGATATAACTGCTAGATGACCCCTGTGATGAGTTACTAAATACTGACTTCTTGCTTGGAAAATCAAATTTTACAAGAACTCAATTAAAAATGAGATAATTCATGGATGTAAATGTTTTGAAAAATTACTTCCTCTAAGATTTAGACTTAATTAGATTAGAATTATTGTCAAATTACATAATATCATTATAATTTATATCCTGATTTCTTAAATTTCTAATGACAGTAGTTTTACTTAAATACATAAAGATAAGAGGATTGAATTAAATTCTTCTACATGAGTTTTCTCAATCAATGTGAATGAATTATAATCCATGGGATATGCGATCTTTCCTCAAAAAGGAGAGCTAGAATGGGATCAAGACTCAGTCAGAATGGGAACTCCTTGCCAGTTTCCCTACTCTATCTAATCAAGAATTTGAATCAATGCATTTAGCTGGCTTCGAAACTTGACTAGTCTAAAAATTTTAGGCTTAAAAGTTGATTGAAGCCAAATTTTTATTCAGCTAAATTTAAATAACTCGGCAGTCAGCTCAGCCCATTGGATGGTCCGCAAGTACAAACGCGGTTCCCAGCTCACTGGGTGGTCCGCAAGTACAAACGCGGTTCAAAAGGGAAGTATTATAGCTTTAGAACCAATGTTGGGGATAAAAAGAAAAAAGAGGTCTTTCTGCTAATAAGCATATATTCTATGCTTTGGGCTCGTTGGAGTGTTCATCTGCAAACAAACTTGTTATCTTGAGTGTGAAGATCAAGATTGTATATTTCTCAATATATATATATATATATACATAAAAGTTTGTTGAACATTTTTAAGAAGCTGACTCAGAAAGTTAAATTGGACGGCCAAAAAGTCTCTAAAGCACAGAGTAACTTCTCTCATTCTGCTCTGCCTTGATGCCAATTGCAATTCTTTTTCCTCTTTCTAACATCATTCAACTTTGCGTAAGAACACAGCAGTTCTGATTCTCAATCCCATTTTACCATATTACCCTTCTCCTCTTTTAATTCATTACTATCGAATCCCAAAAGCAGAAGGCTATTATGGTCACAATTGGGCTAAATTGGGAGACACTGCAATATCCTTCACCCTTTTCCCTTCCTTAACCCAATCCACTATATTTCCATGGCCTGTTGATTGCAAAGGAGAGAACTTGAATTTTGAATAGAAAGAGAGAGATAATGGAAGAACAAGTTGAACTGATCGGGAAGGCATTTGTTAACCATTACTACCAACTTTTTGATAATGATCGACTTGCTCTTGCCTCTCTTTATCAGCCTAGCTCCATGCTTAGTTTCGAGGGTCAGAAGATATTAGGCGTTAATGATATCTCCGCCAAGCTAAACGACTTGCCATTTGATCAATGTAAGCATGTTATTAGCACCATCGATTCACAGCCCTCTTCTTTTGCCGGCGGCATTGTTGTCTTTGTGAGCGGCAGCCTCCAACTTCCAGGAGAGGAGCACCTGTTGAGATTTAGTCAGGTACTTTTCACATCGTTTTTCTTGGAATTTTGAGTTATAAAACTCCGGCAGGGAGTTTACCGGTACACTAAACAATAATCCAATAACGTAGGGCTTATGATTATTAAGAAAAATTGTTTATGTTGCAGATGTTTCACCTGATTCCTGAGCAACAGGGAGGCCTCTTCGTGCAGAATGACATTTTCCGCCTCAATTACGGCTAATTTATTGATACTAGAGAACAATTGATGAAGAGAATAATTTAATTTGTATCATCTTCCAATGATTTCTTTCTGCTTCATTTTTAAATTTCCTTTACAATCATGCAATTGATGTAAAGTTAATTTTTCTAATAAAAAGATTAATGAAATTTTATACAGTGGTTGTTTGATCTGAAAGCATTCTATATACAATTTTATGGAATTTATTTATAAACTCAAATTTTTATGTTTGATAAAAAATAAAAATTCATTTGAAATTCTTTAATTATATAAAGCTGATTATACTTAAACAAAAAGAAACCTTATTAAAAGATCGTGAAGAGAATTAATCAAAGTCTAATATGCATTATGCAAAACCAATATAATGGGTTCTCAATTGGGCTAGCTACCAAGCCCATTTCATTTCTCACAACTCCAATGCCCACAGGGTTAGCCCATGGGCCGTAGGCGACACTGTGAGATGAAGGTTTGGATTTTTTTAAAAAAAAAAAAAAAGAATCAACTTGTATTTTTCTATTAAAAAGTTCTCTCGTGCAATTTCAGATATTTAATAAAATATCAACCAACACACGACAACTTTAACCAGTGGTTGCACAAAACAATGATACTGTCCAAAAAAAGAGTATTAAATGTTTCAAAATTTAATCACAGTTTGGGAAAAAAAATATCCTGGATCGTATTAAAAATATTAGAAAATAATTAATAATGTTTTTTTCAAATTTATAAATATTTAGTCATAAAATTAATTTTCCACCCATCGCTATCCAATAAATTTGACATTAATGAGTGATCTTATAGTAATTATTTATCAATAAAATAAGTAAAAAAAGTACGCCGAGAAACGCGCTGATGAGAAGATAATGAAGAAATAATTAAAGAAGATGAATGAATGATGACAGTGTTCATCCACTATAGGTATTGCTTTTTGAAATATAGAGCAATATAAAGAAACTTTTGTTATTGTTTCAAGGAATCACATGATTGTTTTCACTTGCGATAAACCAGACCCACATCTTCCACACCGATCGATCATTTTCAAAACCCAACATCACCCACTTGATTATTTAATCTCTTCTTCAAATTGTTAAATACAGAGATATATTATTATATAGCGTCAAAACAATCACATGCTGACGTGCTGTCCAAGGTATTGGACTCTCCGATGCTCATACTTCATTATATATTCATTTATTAATTAATTTATGTAAGACTGTGATGTTAAATTCAAGTGTGAGTAGCAACCACTCTTTAAGATATCAATTACAATATATTAATGCTATAATAATTAATAAAACGACAACTCGCAATGCTTATTTAAGGACTGCAATTTAGCCAAAAGCATACAGGTAGAAAAACCATGGCAACACATGAGCCTCTGCTAGCCTCACCCAAAACCTCTCACAAAAAAACTCTCTATCTTCTTCTCTGCTTAGCAGCTATCATACTCTCAGCTGCAATACTCACACTGCATTTTACTGAACTTACCTTCTCCAATCCTCCATTGCAGAACCTATGTGATAATGCCCATGACAAAGCCTCATGCCTAGGCATAGTCACAGAAATAGCTTCAAACACGTCCAAGAAACCAAATCAAGTAAACCTACTTCAAATCTTGCTAAAGAAATCCAAATACCAAATTCAGAACTCCATCCAAGAGGCTACCCATGTTAGCCGTCAGATCAATGATCCTGTAAATCAAGCGGCTCTTGTTGATTGTGTGCAGCTGATGGAGCTATCTATAGATAGAACCAACGACTCTATAGTAGCTCTCCAGAGTGGTACAGTTAATTCCCATGCAAATGCGCATGTATGGCTCAGCAGCGTACTCACTAACCATTTTACGTGTCTGGATGGACTCACCGGTCCGGCCAGGTCCATAATGGAGCCAGAGCTCAACGACTTGATATCTAAATCAAGAACCTCCCTTGCATTGCTGGTCGGAATTTCTCCGGCGAAAGACTATCTGATTTCGCCTTTGAACAGGGATTTTCCGTCGTGGGTAACGACGAAGGATAGAAAACTTCTGGAAGCCTCGGTTAAGGATATAAAGGCCAATGTTATAGTGGCTAAAGACGGTAGTGGTAACTACAAGACGATTAAAGAGGCGGTGGCAGCTGCGCCAAATAATGGAAAGACAAGGCACGTAATTTATGTGAAGAAGGGAACATATAAAGAGCAAGTTGAGATTGGAAAGAGCAAGAAGAATGTTATGCTTGTTGGCGATGGCATGGACTTAACCATCATAACTGGTAGTCTCAACGTTGTTGATGGATCCACAACTTTCGATTCAGCAACCGTAGGTAAAGTTCACTTCCTTTTTTCTTTCTTCCTCTTAATCCCTTCGGTCGGGAGCGAGCTATTATGTTAAAAATTTCTGCAAGATTCTGATTTCACGACTCGATTTTATTTCTATATATTTTGAACACTAAAGCGTGCTAAATTTAAGGCATTTTCCAAATTTGTGTATGCAGCTGCTGTTGGGGATGGATTTATAGCCCAAGACATATGGTTCCAAAACACGGCTGGTCCGGAAAAGCATCAAGCGGTGGCGCTACGTGTTGGTGCTGATCAGTCAGTTATAAACCGCTGCCGTATGGATGCTTATCAAGACACTCTCTATACACACAGCAACCGTCAATTCTACAGAGATAGCTTGATCACAGGCACAGTGGACTTCATATTCGGCAATGCAGCTGTCGTTTTCCAAAACTGCAAATTAGTAGCCCGAAAGCCCATGAACGGCCAAAAAAATATGGTAACGGCCCAAGGCCGAATTGACCCTAACCAAAACACAGGCACTTCAATCCAAAAATGTGAAATAATTGCAAGTTCGGATCTTGAGCCCGTTAAGAGCTCGGTCAAATCATACTTGGGCCGGCCATGGAAGGAGTATTCAAGGACAGTGGTGATGCAGTCCAATATTGCTGACCATATAGACCCTGCTGGATGGTCGATTTGGGAGGGAGATTTTGCACTAAAAACATTGTATTACGGTGAGTACATGAACAGAGGAGCAGGTGCTGGTACTAGTAAGAGGGTAAAATGGGCAGGTTATCGTGTGATAACTAGTGCTACTGAAGCCCAGAAATTTACAGTTGCAGAGCTTATACAAGGAGGGGTATGGTTAAAATCTACTGGAGTAGCTTTTACAGAAGGGCTGTGAACTTGAGATTAATCAAGCTATTGTTTTACCATGTCCTTTTATGTGACCTTTTTAAGTTATGAATATATATATATATTTGTGACTTTTTCATCCGCCGGAGCTCTTGCAAGGCTGTTTAATGTCTTGTGGGGGATAACTTTTCATCGATTAGCAGCAAAAATACCAAATATATTGTCTGAAAGGTGACTAGTCCAAATCCATATTATGTTATACTGTAAACTTGACTTTTAAGAATATGTTTCCTTCTAAGAAACACATCTACCATAAACGTGGCTCCAACAATTCCTTAATCCTAATTTTGTGAGATTTGCCAGAAAAGCATAATAACGATTTCACTACTGCTAAATCGCAAGCTTGATGTTCCTCTCAATATAATAATACACATTGCAAATTTTTATTTTTTAACTTAAAAATAAAAATGAGAGGCACACATAGTATATATCAAAAATCAGATTCTAACGTTACAGACATATATGTATATATTAAATAACTTTCTTAAACTATTGGCATGCACTTAGGAAATTAGATTTTTTTTTTTCACTAATAATACAGAATGGGTACCAAATCATTCTTTTTCATTATAATATATGAAGCTAAATGCATAAATATAGAAGTTGAGTTGTATTATTTAATTTCATGACTTTAATTGTTTTGATTTTTGCATTAAAAATGTTAAATTTTTATTTAGCCCCTTGAAATTCAACTAAATAATAATTAATGTCAAACTTTAGAATAAAAGTTATTAATTGTAATTACGTGGCAGTTAAATAAAACTATTTTATTAGATGGAGATAAGTCCAAGGAACTTTTGATCTTCGAGGCACAGTAACATTAGTCTTTGTAAAAGTCAAACATTGCATGAATATAACTCTTATGCTTGTCGTTTTAACAGAGCTTTAGGCATTTATAAAGCCAAAAAAAACTTAATTAATTGGATAAAACTCGCCATTTTGCTTTATTTTTTTCTCCAAAAATAATTAAAAAAACTCTAGTTAAAAAAAATTCGTCCATATGGTCCAGAGCCTATAGATGGGGTCTAAATAATTCATTCGCATACTATGACAAAAATTATGTTTGAATATAGCAAAATAAAAACAAAGAGAAAATGATTATATATATATATATATATTCCTCTTATTTTTCTTATTTTTTCCTCATTTATTTTCTTTCATCTGCTATCCAAAGACATGAGAGGATAAAAGGTCGCAGCGTTTACTCCTTCAACAACAAAAGCACTGGCAATTAAATTCTCTCCAATTGAAACCCTTAACCAAACCATGAAACCCACCACCTAACTTTTTTTTTTTTTTTAAAGAAATATCTTTACTCGCATGTCCTGTCTTTTTTTCATTTTCATGGCTTCCCACCTTCTTTTCTTTCTGCTTTAGATCCTTCCCCTCGTTTTCATGGCTTCTGGTTTTCTCTCCATTTCTCTTTAATTTAGACCCTTCCATTTTTTATTATATTTTCCTTTTCGTTTTCATTTTCCATTTTATCTTTGCTAGTGCAGCAAGCTCATGATTTCACATATACTTTTTGTATGTTTCTCTATTCACCAAGAATTTTATAGCAGAAACAAGAAAGATAGAATCTTGCAACACTATTGGCTGGAAGAGAAGGAGAAGAAAATTTCTCTTCTTTCTTGAATCTCTCATCATTTCTTTGCACCACTATAGTCATTCCCTTAAGGTACATTTAACTCTGGTTTTTTCTTTATTTTTTTCTAGTTGCTCGTTGTTTTTCCATCTTTCGATAGATTCCAATCTTCATTCACGGGTAAATAGTTGCCATTCACATGCATTTATTATCTTCTATGACAAGCTACTATATCTTTTTGTCTTTTATCCGTATTTGTTCTTGGCTTCTTGTGCTGTAAAATGTTCTCATCAGTATAAACAATATATATAATCTTGCTCTCTGGCAGCAATAAAAAAGAACCATCCCTGCGTTTGTTTGGAGTTACTTCATTGAAAGGACTATTGCATTGGCTTTACTAGTTTCAAATTATGGCAACTAAGATCAAAGGCATCTATAATAAGGGCTTCAAGTACATCACACAAATCTTCGGTAATCCATTTCTCCTTTTTCTTTCTTTTCTTTTCTTTCCTTTTTTTTTTTTCCATCTATATCTCTCTCTACATTCATATAGAATTTGCACAATTGTTAAGGCTTTTGCTTTCTTTTTCTTCTAATTTAACTCTAAATTTGATTGTAATTTGCAATTTCACTGTCTTATATATATATAAAAGAAACGCGATGAAACCCTGCGTATAGTGAAATTACCGATTAACGCCTCAATAAAAGACAAGAGAGGCTGAAGGATGCTCAAATATGGCTTAGTAAACTATGAATATAACAAGATTAATAGGTCAAGCATAGCACATCAAAAAGGCAAAATAAATAGAACACAGGAACAATGGGGCCGAGGTAATGCAAATATCTAACTAAAAAACAAAATTCAGATAAAAAAGTTCAGCATTTGGTCTGGCCTTTTCTTTCTTTCTTTTCTTTCCTGTTTTTTTTTTCGCAATCCATATCTTCTCTACATTCAATAGAATTTGCACAATGTTAGAGGCGTTTTGCTTTCTTTTTCTTCTAATTTAAACTCTAAATTGATTGTAATTTGCAATTTCACTGTCTTATATATAAGTATAGTATATATAATATATGTATGTATAGAGAGAGAGAGAGAGAGAGAGAGAGAGTGTGTGTATAGCTAATTGGTATGAGCCATTGTTTTCTTTAATTTGGGGGCTCAAAATTTAGAAATGGCAATTTGTTTTGTCAGTGGTGAAGGAAAGAGAGATGGAAATTGGCTACCCAACAGATGTGAAACATGTGGCACATATAGGTTGGGATGGTAATTCTGGTGCTGCACCGAGTTGGGTATGTAGTCTATTTCTTTTAAATCTTCAATCAACTGAAATTCCATGTTCTTGCACTAAAATATGTTTTGCTTGTTGAGAAATTTAGATGACTGAGTTCAAGACAGCTCCTGAATTCTCAACAACAACAATTGGCAATGCAAGAGATCCCAGTTCTGTTAATTTCTCCCCATGGTCCTCCCAAGGTATTGTATTACTAGTACTACTGTTCTTTTCTTTTCTTTTTTTTTTTTTTTCAATACACAGGCGAATTAGGGAGTTGTCGGGTATTGCAAAACAGACAATAAATAGGGTCATTTCAGTTGTCAGATTGATGTCTCATTTAATTTGTGGAAGCTTATTTTTGGATGGTATAGCGAAAGTTGATCAGATTCTTTACCTAATAGCAGAGAGATTTTTGGCTCTTATGTCACGAGACAATACTTGTGTAATAAGGGGAATCAATCAATTCTAAATAGTCCAATTCTCTGCAAATGGGTTTTAATATAGATTGAGGAGAGTGTTCTTGGATTCATTATGTTTTAATGCTTTTCTCATTAATTAATTTTGAATTCTACGACAGATTTTGATCAGTCAACTGGATACTTCAACATTTCATCTTCAGATCTTACCAAGAAATCAAAAAGAAAAAAGAAGACAAGAAACTCCTCCCCTTCTTCATCTTCAAATTCCTCTTCAAGATCTTCATTAGCAATCAAGTCCAAGGCTGTATTGTGAACTGGAGTCCAGACGTAACCTGTAAGTGTAAACAATGGCTGCCATTAGAATATGGAAATCGTTACAAAGAAAAGAATAACACTCTCAATTAATGTAAAAACTGCGAAGAAATCACCTTTCTCTTCTTTAGAATGCCATGAGAGCAAGAACCGAAATGTTAACTGTTGTAGATGAAAGAAAGAAACTAGAAGAAGCAGAGATTTGTTTTTCAATGGCGACATTGGCATAGCTAATGTTTTTTTTTTTTTTTTGGGTTTTACAATATGAGCAACTAAGATGTAGACAAATGTGGATTCTTTTCAATTAGCTGTTCTGATGGAAAAATTTTGCTAATTCAAACAATTTGATTTTCCTTAAATTAAGAGAGTTTTAGACGTAATGCCTTTTAAATTGGCTGCAGAATGCAAGAAATTGCAAACAGTTAAAAAAAAATAATAATAATACATTGAAATGACCCCCAAGGTTTTGACCAATGACTCATGAACAAGAAAAGCAATCTCAACGAGGGTATTCTAGTCATGTTGAGTGGGCTTAGCTGTGTTGGGCCCATGTAAATGGGTGTTTTTTTTATTTTCACATTACATAATATAGCCCACCAACAGGTCCAATGCCGTCCTCCGAGAAGCTAACAAACTAGGGGCAAGGGCTATCAAAACAAGAAAACATACAAAAGTACAAAAAGGTCCTTCCAAATTCAATTAGAAAACTTTTTAATTAAATTTAAAAATCTTCGCCCACTTATTATTAGTGAAATTTATATGGAATCAAATTAAGGAAAAAATAAAAACTAAAAAAAAAAAAATTCCATTGCTCATGGATGCCAAAATAAAATAAAAGTCTGTGAGATGAGATATCAAAAATCTTTTCTCCTTTGATTAAAAGTCTTCGATCCGAATTTTCACAAATACCTGTAAAATTTAATAAAGAGTATTTTATCCCCTTCAGTGAATTTATTTGGCATGAATTTGAAATACCTGGACCAATAGACTTTAAATACCAGATGATTTAAAATAAATAAATAAAAATCATGCATGCACTCCCAATAATCTCCAACCTTTCCTACATTGTTATAATCCCCATTTTCCATGCCTTGTTCCACATTTTGATTATAAAATAATACACACCCCTAATTAATCACTTCCCCATCAATTAATTACTAATTAATTAGTTAAGATCTTATATAAATATTTCTGAGTCTTCCTCTTTCTTAGACTCATCCAGTATTAATCAAACAATGACAAAACCCAAAATGTCTTATCGTGGCTTAAAGATATGCTGTGGTGTCTCCCTTGCTCTTTTACTCACAATAGCCGTGGTTTTAATAGTTCTCTTCTTTACACTCTTCAAGCCTAAAGAACCTACCTTTACCACTCCATCAGTCACCATCGAACATTTCCGGGCAGCTTGGCCGGCATTATTTTTAAATTTTACACTAGGTATAGGAGTCACGGTCAGTAACAAAAATTATGGAGGGTTTATGTATGAGGAAAGTATAGGCTATGTTAGTTATCGGGGAAATCTGATTGGAGAAGCTCCGATCGCCGCCGACACAATTCCAGCTCGAGGAAAACATGATGTAAAAACTTCCGTTACCATTTTCGCCAATAAGTTGTTCGATGATGATACTTTTGTCCTCGACTTTCTTAGTGGAGTGTTGAATGTTACTTCGTCTTTGAGCTTGCATGGAAAAGTAATCGTGTTTAAGTTGTTCAAGTTAAAAGCCGAAAGTTTAAGCACGTGTAACATCTCTATCTTTATTGTGCCACAGCAAGCTCAGTCTGTCTGCAACGCGAAGATCAGCTTCTGACATGCAATCCCAGCTAGGTTTTTGGTTCAAAGATTTTTGATTATTACATAATAATCGACAATGAGATTGGAATTATTTATTAAGAAATTAAATTTAGCTTACCAATTTGTATATGTAATGGTCAGAATTTGTTTCTTCTCAAAGAAATCGAATTGGGTTAAGGTTTTCAAATTGAAAGCCAATTCAAATCAGACCCAACATAGTGAATTTAGATGTATCAATTAGGGTTGTATCTATAAATTAATTGACCAGGAAGAAGAGTACAACTACTATGGTCCTTTACGAAGCATAACCCAGCAAGAAAATTAATTGCTGAAGTCTGAAAACGATCGCTCAGAATAAAAATTTTTGGTTGGTGCCTTTTGTAGTCATAAAGAGAGCAATCACCACTCAATACAGGTTTTTTTTTTTTTTTTTTTTTTTTTTTTCACCACCAATACAGGTTTTTTTTTTTTTTTTTTTTTTTTTTTTTCTTTTTCAGAATAAATCATTGCATGTTTAATCCAACTTCGAATTCATAACTTTCACATAAAAAAATAGTTTTTGAAAACGCTATGAATTCAATAATTTTTTTTTTTTCCCAATCACGTGTTATCCAAAACTCTAAGCTTTCTCCGGTATCCAAAATTCAAACTCTAGATTTCTGATTAAACCCTCGGTGAATTAATGCAAATTAAAGTTTCAGTTAACCAAAAATTATGAAAGCAATGACCTAACAAAAACTTATTGTTTGACTTAAGAGATGGTTTTTTAAAATATTATGAAAATCTTTTATTTTTATGGATCAAAAAAATTTGTGAAATATCTTTTTATTAAAAAATGCCTTTTATTCATGTAGTTTTTATATAAAAAAAATTATAATAAATTTTATGGAATTGAAAATTCAAATTTTAATTCCGTTAGGTGTGAACTAGCCATGCATATGCTTGGCAAAGCACGGGAAAAAATATTATTTGAACATTTTTAACCATTGTCGTATTTTGTTTTTTATTTTTATTTTTCAATTGTAAAATAATTTGATATTAGAAATATATTGAATTATTTACTTTTTAAAATGATTTCCATAATAAATAAAGATTATAAAAGTGATAAAATGCTTCCCTTTAACCTCTACCTCCTTAAAAAGAATTGTTTTATTTTTATTTTTATTTTTTTGCCCTTTAAATGTATTTCCTAATGCGGTAAAAGTAAAACACTAGTAGATAATTAAATGCTTAAATCCGAAGTGAACTGTATTATCAAATAAATTTTATTTATAATATTAAAAACTCGAGGCTCAGAAATTAAAATCACTATTATTTTAAACATTTTTATCTAAATATTATCATTTTTAATCCGAATGTAAATATTTTTTTTGAGACAAAAAAAAAAAAAAAAAAAAAAAAAAAAAGAAGCAAAATAGATTTGTTAATGCCCATAGTTCGAATCGTTGTATTTATGGACATGGTTGACATGTTTTGCATGCCAATATAAATAAGTTTAATTACTTATATATCAGGACATAAAAAATGATGTGAGAACAAATATATGTTTATCCTATAATTTAATGGGTGGATATGAATGGTTATTCTATAATCTTTTTTTCTTTTAATATAAATATAATGACAAACTACCTCAATTAATTACTGCAACTGCATCAATTAATAAAATTGCCAAAATAAATAAAGGAAAAAAGAAACATAAAAACATAAGCTGGAGCAGCTCCTATTCCCGTATGTGCAGTCTATGTCGGTGTTCAACAATAATTTTTTAAATAGCTTTTGGTATTCATAACGGTAAATGATATTTTTTATATCTTTTATAGTATTTGAAAATATAGCGTTGAATTAACTTTAAAAAATTAAGATAACCTAATTCATATAACGTTTAACTTTTAATATTTTATAAAAAACTACTCAAATAGTTAATAAATAAACACCGTTAGTATCAAAGTACTAATATCATCCGTAATCTGTGGAGATAGATGTTAGGTATACATGACTGCGAGTAGTAAAAGTTGTAGAACACGTAGCTAGTAGCTGTAATCCATTGATGGAATTTAATGGAGGATAGTGTAATTTATTATATTGTAATAATTTTATTTATTATTTTTACATGGTGACATCACTTCATCCACCAAGCAGTAAAATTTCTTTTTTTTTTTTACAAAAAAAAAAAAAATAAATAAATAAATAACGGCATACTAATTGAAATTATTCCTTTAATGCTCTCCAATGAAAATGAACCCTAATTCACAAGAAAGGGAAGGTTTCAGCCTTACCAATTGGACAAATCTAATTTAATTGAAAAACGAAAAGTGTTTCTCTATTATTATTCGTTCATATAAATGTTTCTAGCCTATTGTATTAAGTTTAATTTTGTTTGCATTGCGTCAAACTCATAAGAAGAAAACATTTTCAGTAGAGATTTTTTTCATCCATAAGAAAAAGGACGAAGCTAGAAAATATAATTAGTGGAGAAAAAAAAGTAAAAATTTAGTGAAATAAATGCAAATTAATGTAAGTATGTGAATTAAAATGTAAAACTAATCAAAAGCTTTCCATGTATATAAACTGGATTATACTAATTGCTTAATTCATTTGTTTATATAAAATTAATCCATGCAGAAGAAATTAAAATGATACATTTTTCACTTTGTTAAATGCTTTCGAATTTTATTTTTTTTGACTTCATAAATGTCATCCTAATATATAGTATTAATACAAGATCAATAACCATATTTTACAATAATCTTATAAATCCAATTTAGAAGAATTTATAGAATATAATTAATTTCTTAAGTTAATATTAGACAAGAGAAAAACAAAAATGCACTTACTAATTCAGTATGTAATTATTAAATAAAGGGAAAATTATTATTTAGTCCCTCTGTTTTTACATAATTATCCAACTAATCCCAAGTTTTGCGCAAATATCTAACTAGTCTCTCAGGTTTAACTCCGTCTAATTAAAAGTTTAACTCCGTCTAATTAAAAGGTCATTCTGTCCGAAAAGTTGGTTTTTTTTCGTTAATTGAAGACTAAAAGACTAAAACACTCCTCCCTAGCTGACGTGGACCATAAGATAAAATTATTATCTAGTCCCTCAAGTTTTACATAATTATCTAACTAATCCCAAGTTTTACACAAATATCTAACTAGTCCCTCGAGTTTAACTCCGTCTAATTGAAAGGTCCTTCCGTCCGAAAGTTAGTTTTTTTCCGTTAATTGAAGACTAAAAGACTAAAAAACCCATCCTTAGCTGACGGGGACCAGTATGAAGCGATAAGGGAGGGAATTGTATAAACTAAAAGACTAAATAATAATTTTCCCTAAAAGACAAATATTTTAGAACAAACTATTTTCTAAACCGTATATAAGAGCGAAAGAAATTGATATGTCTCCCATCGACTTATATGAAACCGTCAATTTTCATTTTTAAATTTAGCGAAGGCTAATTTCCTACCAATGTAATAATATCTTAGCCTATGACGAGAGTGTGGTGCGAGGGGGGCGAGGTGGGCGGGAGGAAGATAGGAAAAAGTGATGGGAGTGGTGTAGGGTGCGGTGTGTGTAGGTTTGAGGAGGCAGGGAGTTGTGGGGGTGGCCGTCCGCTGTAGTCGCTGCTAATGGACTGGGGTCGCAGGGGGGGGCGGGGGGAGGCGTAGTGGGGAGGGTGGGGGTGTGGGGGGGTGTGGGAGGGGTCTGGTGGGGTATGGGTGGCGTGGGCGGATGAGCGGATAATATGAGAAATGTAAGGGCTGTTGGGCAGATGGCGGGGGAGGAGGGAGACGGGGGGGCGGTTGTCAAGGGTGGAGTGAGTGCGAGGAGGGTTAAGGAACGCATGGAGGGATGGCGGGTAGGGGTTAGGAGGGTATTGCGTAAACCTTGGTGATAGTTCAGTATAATATTAAAACCTGAGGACCTAGATAATAATTTCCCTTATGGTCCATGTCAGCTAGGGAGGGGTGGTTTTAAAATTCTGTAGAATAATTAAACGGAAAAAAACTAACTTTCGATCGGAATGGACTTTTCGAACGGAAGGACCTTTTAATTAGATGGAGTTAAACCTGAGGGACTAGTTAGATATTTGTGCAAAACTTGAGATTAGTTAGATAATTATGTAAAAATGGAGGGACTAAATAATAATTTTCCCTTAAATAAAACATTCTAATAGAATAATTAATTTAATGAATACAAAAGAATTACACCACCCAGTACAATATTTAAGCCTTGACAAAAATGGTTCAAGAACTAGGGCTTATGACTCGACCAACAAGAAACAATTCAAATCATCATATACCTACAGCGGAAATTTAAAACAAGAAAAGCTTTCTCTCTCTCATTTAAACCTCTCTTGCTCCATAAATGCTATTGCAACCTCTCAATACGCTGTGCAATAACTCCTGCGGTGCCAAATATTTAACACCTCTTCCTCTTCTTCTTCCCTTTTACTTCCCAAACCGCTCTCTCTCTTTTGATTTTATTTTATCTTCCATTTTTCTCTCTGCGTTGGCTTTTTTTTTTTTTTTTTTTTTTTTTTTTTTTTTTTTTTTTCTTTTTTGTTTTTCTGGTTTCTCTTTCATCTTCATTCCTGTATTTCTCTCTTAAACCCTATTTCAGGTAAGTTGTACTAAAACAGCCCAAAACCACAACCCTCTCTCCTTAAACACTGGTTTCTTTATATAAAGCCAAACTAATTAGCCCTTCTTTCATCAATTCTCCAAGAACTGCAAAACGCTAGCTATATAGAGTACAGACCTCAACTTCCATGTACATGTGCAGGTGAGTTACATACTAAACCCTGACTCTCCAGTTTCTATTAACAAGATAATGAAGACGATGCTGTTTTAATTATAAGATTTGAAAATGATGATTTAAATTCAAATAACATATATTACATGTCGGTTATTATTTTTTAATTTTGCAGAGGAAGAAAATTAGAAAGAGAAGAGTTAAAATGGGAATCGGCGAGATCCTAGTGGGCGTTATAATCTTGGTACAGTGAGGTGTTGAAAATTAGCCTGTGCGTGTGTCAAAGGGGTGGGGATTTGAGTCAGCGTCAACTCTTTTTGTTTTCTTTTTTTCTTTTTCTTCCAGTTTCTTGTCTTTTGGCACGTCAGATTATAAAGGCTTAAGACTTTTTCTTAAGAGAGAGAGAGAGACCTAAAACCATAGTCGTTTCTGCTCGTTTGCTAGTTGTATTAATCTCATTAGGTTTTGCTCAGACACTTGCAGGGAATCTATTAAAACCCTATAACAAACTGCACATGTCCAAATAACCAACTGGGTAACCTTACGAGAGAGAGAGAGAGAGAGAGAGAAGGAGAGAGATGGATGCTGCTTAGGGTTTTTGGGGATACTGAGATAATATGCCTTAAAGAATGAAGTTCAAGGAGTAAGAAAAGTTGACGGATTCGAGCAATAACCTTCGCGGCTAAGCAATCAGGTTCACTTTCTCTTACATTCAGAATAAAAAATACTGTATCTTTAGGGGACATATCTGTCTTTCAATATATCTCTGCTATTTCTATGTGCCCATCTATATCTTTATTTTCTCGATTTGAACGCTAAGAACTTCCTTACAGAGAGAAAGGTTTAGGTGTAACTTTATAAGCCTTCAATGTTTTCTTGACATGTATTAGTATTACGGCAGTGCAATACAGATCACTTACCCACATAATTCCTCTTAACATTTATTTGCTAGGCTGACTTCGCCTGGTCTTTCCTTCTCTCTCCGCTTCTTGTTAATCTGTTTTCATTTCTCGTCTTTTTCATTACTATGTCCATGTACTCACTAAATCAGTTTTGATAACATGCTTTTGTATGTGTTGGCTTATTTGCAGATGAAAACACCATATTCGGTGTAAAATTTAAATTTTATCGAAGTTTTATATTCAGTATGTTCCAACCAAACATGTTTGAAAGTCATCATTTGTTTGATATGAGTATGACCCCAAAGAGCTCTGAGAATGAACTGGCGAAGCTGAAAGATGATGATTGTGAGACCAAATCCGGCACTGAAACCACTGAAGCTCCTTCCGGAGATGATCAAGATCCTAACCAGCGCCCTAAAAAGAAACGTTATCACCGCCACACCCAGCGACAAATCCAAGAGATGGAAGCGTAAGAATTAATTAATTTATTCTCTTTAAATCCAATGATATGATATGGAATAGGTAGATATGATACTTTTTTTTTTTGGCTTTGTTAAATTTGGGGGTTTTTAATTTGAACCAGTTTCTTCAAAGAGTGTCCTCACCCAGATGATAAGCAACGGAAGGAGTTGAGCCGTGAATTAGGGTTAGAGCCTCTGCAAGTCAAGTTTTGGTTCCAGAACAAGCGTACACAAATGAAGGTAACGCATTAGCTGCATTTCAGGCCCACTAAATATGTCTTTTACTTAAAGACCTTATTTTTTCTTGGATTTACAGTAATTTTACGGTAAGCGCTCATATATAGCAACTCAAATACAAGTAATCCCTTTTTGTTGGTTATAAATTTAGTATTGACTTCCTTTTTTTTTTTTTTTTTTTTTTTTTTATATATTAAGCTTTTTCTTTGTTTTCGTTTTCCATTAATTGCAGGCTCAACATGAACGAACAGAAAATTCAATTTTGAAGTCTGAGAATGAAAAACTTCGTGCGGAGAATAGTAGGTATAAGGAAGCCCTTGGTAATGCCTCATGCCCTAACTGTGGTGGCCCAGCAGCTCTTGGTGAGATGTCTTTTGATGAGCAGCATTTGAGGATTGAGAATGCTCGTTTAAGAGAAGAGGTCATCATATAATATGGAACGACATGCTTGATCATTTTTTATTTCTTAATTTCTTTCCTTTTTTCAATTCTGATTTATTGTTGATTGGATCTAACCCTGTTCTTTCGTCAAATAATCACAGATTGACAGGATATCTGGAATTGCTGCAAAGTATGTGGGGAAGCCTTTATCTTCTTTGTCTCATCTTCCTTCCCATTTATCTTCAAGGTCTCTTGATCTTGGAGTTAGCAATTTTGGAGCACAACCGGGCTTTGTGGGAGAAATGTATGGAGCTACTGATCTTTTGAGATCAATCACCGGCCCTACTGAGGCAGAAAAGCCTATGATAGTTGAACTTGCAGTTGCAGCAATGGAGGAACTAATGAGAATGGCGCAGGCGGGAGAACCCTTGTGGGTTCCTGGTGAGAACAGTACTAGCGAAGTGCTTAATGAGGACGAATATTTGAGAGCTTTTCCAAGGGGAATTGGGCCAAGGCCTTTGGGATTAAGATCAGAAGCTTCAAGGGATTCTGCAGTCATTATTATGAATCATATAAATCTTGTTGAGATTCTAATGGATGTGGTGGGTTTTTTTTCTCTTATTTGGGATTATAATTATCTTAATCTCAATCATTATTTTGAGATATTACGTACTAATGTTGGATTATTTTTTTTTTTTTTTCTAGAATCAATGGTCTACTATGTTTTGTGGTATTGTATCCAGAGGGATGACCTTGGAAATACTTTCAACTGGTGTAGCTGGGAACTATAATGGAGCCTTGCAAGTGGTACTAATTCAGAAATTCAAGAAATCTACTCATATACTAATCTTTATAACTTGTTTTGTAAAGAAATTACATTTTTCACAAATTAATTAAGACAGACGTGTTACATTTTTTTTTTTTTTTTTTTTGGCAGATGACAGCTGAGTTTCAAGTCCCTTCACCACTTGTTCCAACTCGAGAAAATTACTTTGTTAGGTACTGTAAACAACATGTTGATGGGACATGGGCAGTGGTTGATGTTTCATTGGACAATTTGCGCCCTATTCCAATATCCAGGAGTAGAAGAAGACCTTCGGGTTGTGTAATCCAAGAATTGCCAAATGGTTACTCAAAGGTGATCAGCTAAATTATCACTCTCATAACCATTACAATTTTTGTTTGTATCTGTTCAATTAGTCAAATATTAACTATGTATTGAAAGGTAAAACCATCAAGTTTCAATACTATCTCGGTGATGAACGTGCAGGTGATATGGGTTGAGCACATTGAAGTAGATGATAGATCCCTTCACAGTGTATATAAGCCACTAGTTAGTTCTGGTGTTGCGTTTGGAGCAAAACGATGGGTTGCTACCTTAGATCGACAATGTGAACGTCTAGCAAGTTCAATGGCCATAAACATTCCAGCAGGAGATCTCTGTGGTATTATATCCTTAATTTGAATTCTTTCCCTTTGTCTACAACATAATTTTTTAATCAAAATTCCTTTTCTCTAACACTATTTACTTTAATCAATTTCTTAAACAGTGATAACGAGCCCAGAAGGGAGAAAGAGTATGTTAAAACTAGCGGAAAGAATGGTAATGAGCTTTTGCTCTGGTGTTGGTGCTTCCACTGCACACGCATGGACAACATTATCTGCAACAGGTTCTGATGATGTTAGGGTCATGACAAGAAAGAGTATGGACGATCCTGGCAGGCCTCCTGGTATTGTACTTAGCGCAGCAACTTCTTTCTGGATTCCAGTTCCTCCTAAGAAAGTATTTGAGTTCCTAAGTGATGAGAATCATCGAAGCGAGGTATATTAACTTATCAGTAATAGCATTTAAGCACTATTTTTTATTTTTGTTTTATCTAACGAATCAAGAAATTTACAGTGGGATATCCTTTCAAATGGTGGCCAAGTTCAAGAAATGGCTCACATTGCTAATGGACGCGATCCAGGAAACTATGTTTCTTTGCTCCGTGTGAATGTAAGCTGCACAAAAATGTGTATTTGAATCAAAATTAGCTACTATGTTATTGATGATGCTTCAAATGATTATTGCAGAGTGCAAATTCAAGCCAAAGCAACATGCTGATACTACAAGAGAGCTGCACAGACTCTACTGGATCGTATGTCATATATGCACCAGTAGACATTGCAGCAATGAATATAGTGCTGAGTGGAGGAGACCCAGATTATGTAGCTCTCCTTCCATCAGGTTTTGCTATACTTCCTGATGGACCTGAATATAACCCAGGAGGGAGTCTTGATGTTGGTTCTGGTGGTGCTTTACTTACTGTTGCATTTCAAATATTAGTTGATTCAGTTCCAACTGCAAAACTCTCTCTTGGATCAGTAGCAACAGTAAACAATCTAATTAAGTGCACAGTTGAAAGGATCAAGGCTGCAGTATCCAGTGATAATAATGCATGACTAATTGAAGACCCTTACATGCGGTGAGTCAATTCTAGTATTCAATTTCTACAGATTAAACTTGTCGTAGATCAGGTCTGACTCCAACATGGACCATTCCAATGAGAAATACCCGTTTTAACAAAAAAAAAAAAAAAATCATTTTTCATTGGTTGGTCCATTAATTGATTCATAGACAGAGTCTATGCAAGTCCATCCCGTTTTCTACCATTAATTAATAAAAGAAAAAATAAGAAATTTTGTTGATTTCGTCTTCGTTTCTTTCATGTATTGCAGTGAGAAAATAATAACGGGAAAGTACTACAAGGAAGCTGATGTTTGCATCGAAAAGAAGTCAAGAACGCACCTTAGCTGATCCTTCACCACCCTGCAAGGGTTATGGGTTCGGGCATTGACTTCGGCTAGCAAAGATCCATGAAAGTGAACTTAGTATCAGACCTCGTTATATTATTATATATATGTTAATCTAATTTCCCGTTTAATCACTTCTGGTTTTTCGATAGGGATAATTAGGTTTAGCGTGTTATAATCTAGAAGCAAGCTACCCACTTATTTCAATTGTAATTCCCTAATCTGTCTTTTCATCTGTAGTTTAGTTGTAAAAGGATATAGGCCTTAGTAGACTGCTCTGCTTAATTACTAATTAATAAACTATGGTTAATTTCCTCTCCTTTTGTTTTAAAAAATAAAAATAGAATGGTTAATTTATTTTTCATATTTCAGAATGTTAATTCCTCAAACAGATCTAATCTTTCATCAATAAAACTCAAATTTTAATAAAAAAGAAAAATCTCAAATTCTAAAATTTCTCTGATTCAAAAAACAAGAGTGATTGACTTTCTCATTTTCTATAAGAATATAAAATGCAGGAGATTCCAGTTTTTAATCTTTTCGGCCATAAAAATTTTCGCAAATTTGATAAATCAAAAGAAACGATATTTACCATGTTGGCTTTCCATGAATTGAACTCCTCCCATGATCATAGCTACGCTTAACCCAGCTTTCAAACATATATATCTCACCTGTTCCATTATTTGATATGCTCAGATGGACAGAAATCAATAAATAACTGAATGGATAAAAGATAAAAATGAATTCAAGTTGGCCTTTTAATTTTACCTACTCTGGCTTCGACTGCACCCGCCTGCCGTTCTTGTTGAAGACTATTTAATTTGCGATTATGATGATTTACATTAAAATTGACTGCTGTGTATTTCAGTATGTATTAATTTTTATGCAAACATACAGAGAGCTATAGAAGGAGAGTTTCATAATAAAGAAAATTTTGAAAAATATTGTAGGCGGATGTCAGGGTTCCGACCACTGTAACAGAAAAGCTATACACATCTACTCTCTTCAGAACCCACAAATGTACGATGCTTCGTATACTGAAATTTCTGCTCTTCTTGTTCATCTTCCCGTTTGAGTCTGCAGCATATTTGAATTTCTCATCAAGAGTCACTGAATCTAGTGGTGGTTGTTGCTGTTACAGTTGCAGTTTCAGCCTTTCAGGGAATGCATGTGAGAAATAAAGTTTGTTAGGTTAAATTTTAATTACCTGAAAATGGTTCGTATGAAATGAATTTGATATAAATGAATAAACAACAAATGCAGTAAAACTTGTTAAATGTGATTCATGGCATGCTCACCAAATTTTGTATTTCTAACCTACCAATAAATATCAGTACTTTTATTTTTTACCCCCAAAATTTTAAAGAACAAGCATCTCATCGTAAATGATAATTAATCATAATGAGTATTTTCTAAAAATGATTCTCATTTTATCTTTTTCTAAAAAAAATATTTTTCGTTACTTTGATGACCAGCTTTATTATGGCATTTACATATATTATCACGTTTTCCGAACGACATAAAAGACGGGCCTATTTTTATTAAATAGCGGATGATAATGGGCCTTTATTGGGCTGGATTGCCATCCCCTCCGACCCTTCTTCAACAACTCCAGAGACCACTGTGTAAACTATTTTCATTAAATTGCGGATGATAATGGATTGGGCCTTTACTGGCCTATCTGCGATATTTTTTTCCTAACAGAAAATTTCCTCTGTTGGTTGCAAATAGGGATGGCCACGGTTCCGGAACCAGTTTCAAAAAATTTAAAATCAAAATCGAACTGAAAATTAACGGTTTTGATTACAGTTTAGAACCGAACGGTTTCGGTTTCGATTTTGGTTCCTCAATGGTTCCAAAATTGATGGTTCTGGCCAGTTTTCTGACGGTTCCGGCCGTTTCGGACCGATTTCGGCCGATTTCAGATGAAACTAGAACCGTCGGTTTTAATTGGAGCTGGAACCGCCGGTTCACGGTTTCAAAACTGGTGAAACCGGAACCAAACCGGTTTGTACGGTTCCAATTCGGACCGGTTCCGATTTCGGTTCTCACCTGTTCGGAACCGATAGTTCTGGTTCTAAAAACCAGATTTTGGCCACCCATAGTTGCAAATGTCAGGGAAAGTTTTCCCTGTCATCTATTAACAATAGAAAAAATTTTCAGTCATTGGCATAGGGAAGGGAAAGACGTATGTTTAAAGATCATGTTTGGTTAATTAGTCAAGTCTTATCCATTAGTTAGAAACTTAGAACTAAGTATTAATAGATAGCAAAATGCAGAGTTTAGACACGAGCAAAACGGGGAATTTAGAAACACAAAACCAACTTAAATGATACGATGAGGATAACGTTAATGTTTATTATACCCCAGTTAGTTAGACCAGAAATCTTAAATGGTAAGTTAGTTAGAGATGAAAAACAACCTCTTGTTCTAGAAGCTATTACGACATAAAGCTGAGAAGCTTTTATATATGTGGTTGTTAATTTGTCGATAGTACACAGTGATAATGATAGGTGCTTGCCAACCTGGTTTTAATATAATGGACAAAAATCCTTAAAGGCTGCGTCCTCAATGTCTCTGTTACCGATCAGTTGGGGCCAAGGGATAGCCCATTTTGCCTAACCAAGATCAGAGAAATGGTGATTAAGGGAGCAACGAGGACCAATGGATGGTCGGTTAGGTTTTTGAGGTTAAATTGGTCTTTTTATTCCCTTCAAATGCATGTGAATTGCATGTCCTCGAATGGCCTAATTGCTTTTGAAGTTTACCAAATCTATTATAACTTCACAATTTCAATTTTGAATGATAACTATGCTATCTTTAAAATAAAATAATATTATAAAAGTTGAATAATTACACGTCTACATTTTATTTTGACAATGCCTTTTGAGTTGTTGTATTTATGAATTTTTTTTTTTTTTTTTTAATTATTGGTTGTTAACTATCATTTCAAAAAGTTTAATTCCTTGGAGATGATCGAAATGGTGGTCCTGACGTTGGATCCAGGATGAAGAAAAGAGGAAGGATTACAAGGGATTGATATGCAACATTAATTAACTCTGGGACTTGCAAATATTTTTTGTTTATTATGGAATTTTGATGGATTTAAAATTATAGTGTAAATTTAAGAAAAATGTGAAATTGAGATATCTAAGTTTTAAAGTCATTTTAGAGTACAATTGATATAGCCGACAAATTTCAGAATATAACAAATGATTTATGTTTTAAGAAACCATCAAACAAATTTCAGGATATAACAAATGATTTATGTTTTAAGAAATTATCAAAATATGTAGATTATCCTTTATATTTAATAATTTTATTTAAATTATTCAAAATTTTTAGTTTGTCAGTTGATTAAAATATTTAAATTTAATTCTTTTTTACATTATTTCAAAGGAAAGAAGAAATCAACCAAATTTAATGTGTAATTTTTCCCTTAGTTTCATTTTTGATTAATTATAAAATTAAAATTGCAACGTTAACTTGTTTTTAATTAGTATGCCATCCCTAGAAAATCTTGCCCGCAATTGAGACACGTTTTTATACTGGAAAAAAAAATAAAAATGTGTTCTATAACATCATTATCATTTATCATTCTCCTTAGTAAATACAGGAAGTCATCTATATATACTCTTGACACTTGTCCTGCACAAATGAAAAATACCAAAGAGTCTCCTTTTTATCTGTTCTTTCTCTTGACTATTAAGACTTAAGATCCATAAACAAGCACTTACACTTATGCTTATGGCTTGCAATATCCAAACTTCTTTCTATAATCGCCAAGTAGAAAATTTGTCTCCAGCCAGTAGGCATTTGTTATCTAACAGAAGAACTGGCAATTCCCATGTAGTTTGTGCTAAAATCTTCACCAGGGAAAGTCCCCAAATCAGAAAATCGGAGGTTACAAATACAAACAGACATGCTGCGACAGAGAAACGAGTTTCAAAGGTCAACCCAGGAAAATTTGGAAGGTTCGGAGGCAACTACGTGCCCGAAATTCTCGTTGCATGCTTGAGAGAGCTTGAAACTCAATTCATTTCTGCTTTACGGGACCCTCTGTTTCAGGTTTGCTAATCACTGCCTTCCCTTAATTAAGCTCGCAATTAAACCAACTTTGTAACAAGTGCATGAAAAAGGGTTATAACCTCTGTTATGTGTGATCTTATACAGGAGGAGCTAGCTACAGCACTAAGAGACTATGTAGGAAGAGAGACTCCCTTATATTTTGCAGAGCGGCTTACGAATCACTACAAGAAAGAAGACGGAAAAGGACCAGAAATTTACTTGAAAAGAGAAGATCTCAACCATTGTGGTGCACACAAGATGAATAACGCGATTGCACAAGCTATGATTGCCAAACGCATGGGATTGAAAAGTGTCGTGGCGGCCACCGGTGCTGGACAACATGGCGTTGCTACTGCTGCTGCTTGTGCTAAGCTTTCATTAGAGTGTACCGTTCTTATGGGCACCACGGACATGGAAAAGCAATCCTCTAACGTACTCTTGATGAAACTATTAGGAGCTCAGGTGCCCTTATAATCTATGATGCAGAAAACCTCTTGACCATGGGCATTTCCACGTGTCCGTTTCCCTTTATAAAATACAATTTTTCCGTGTAAAATTATATCTTAAATTTCATTTTCTCGTATTATCTCCGCATTTCCACGTTTTTCCCTTTCTGTTTCCATGCTAGATAGCTTATAATAGATCTCACTACTACTACTACAATTATTATAATTATTATGATTATAGGAATAGGAGGTCACGGTTAAACAACTTCTTTTCTCTTGGCTTTTATAAAACAGAAAAAAATGAAAGGATAAGGTTTGCCCTTCTTTATTTATTAAATTTGTGTGATATTTATTAGGTTAAAGCTGTAAATGGAAATTTCAAAGATGCGAGCTCAGAAGCAGTAAGAGAATGGGTAGGCAATTTAGAGACAAGCTATTACTTGTCAGGGACAGCCGTGGGGCCTCATCCATGTCCAACTATGGTACGGCAGTTTCAGTCGGTGATAGGAAAAGAGATAAGGAAACAAGCAATGGAGAAATGGGGTGGGAAGCCAGATGTGCTTATCGCCTGCGTAGGAAGCGGATCAAATGCATTGGGAGCTTTCTACGAGTTCATAGAAGATGAAGATGTAAGGTTGATTGGAGTTGAAGCTGCTGGATTTGGTCTGGATAGTGGAAAACACGCTGCTACCCTTGCTATGGGAGACGTGGGTGTCTACCATGGAGCCATGAGCTATTTGCTGCAAGATGAAGAAGGACAGATACTAGGACCACATTCTATTGGTGTAGGGTATGTTATTATTCACTGAAAACTATGTAAATAGAATTTCTTTAAAACACTCGGAGCGATTATCCCTTCGTGGATTTGACCGATGCGAATCTAGATTAGTCGAGTAAACGAGTTTTCCATACAGGATAGTTAAAAAAAAAAAAACTATAACTTTTAACTACCATTATTTTTCATTATTTATTGATTTATTATCCTATAGGTTGGAATATCCAGGAGTTAGCCCAGAACTAAGCTTGCTTAAAGAAACAAAACGGGCAGAGTTTTATTCTGCTACAGATAAGGAGGCTGTAGAAGGTATATATAAGACCCAAAATACTAATAACTATATATAGAAGAAGCATATACTGATTTTGTATCTATATAAATTGCTTACAGCATTCAAAAGACTGTGCAAGTTAGAGGGTATAATTCCAGCTTTGGAGGCGTCTCATGCATTGGCATTTCTGGAGAAACTGTGTCCTACTTTACCCAGTGGCATTAAGATTATAGTAAATTGTAGCGGCGTTGGAGATAAAGATGCTGCGACAGTCTTAAACTACAAAGCAAACTATAAGTGTATAAATAACATCAATTGAAAATTTGATGTAAGAGAAATATTTAGCAACTATAATATCGTTTTGCCTTTGAATTGACTAGAATACCGTTTTACTTTTGTAACCATGATATTATCTAGTTTACTTAGTAGTCAACCACATATCAAATTATATACTCGCTTTCTCCGTTCTAAAATATTGTCTCCATTTTTAGATGTACTCAAATGTTTATTTTTTATTTTACGCCCCTTGTAATAAATGGTTTTAAATTCTAGAAATAATCTTTTCTTTTTATTTTAAAGAGAACAATTTCGAAAAAATATAGATATTTTATATAATGTTACGTCATAATTTATTTTAAAGAGAATATTTTTGAAAAAATATCTATAGATATTTTTTATGATGTCACATCATAATTAATGTGTTTTTTAATCTCTGTGCATGAAAGGGAGAGAATTTTAAAAGCAATTCATTTTGGAGGTATTTTGATAATTTTACTCCTAACGTATATCTTTTATTTTCAGAATTTGTTCACCTTTTTTACATGATTCATGATACTGTTTCATATTACCAATTACTTGGTTCAAGGTACTTTCTAATAGCACACCATTGAAGTAAATTTGAAATTCTCTTGTTAAGGCTGAAACTATCACGTGTTTAATTTATTTAATTTTGATATTTTTCATTTAAATTAAAATTAACTCCATAAAATAATATTAATTCAAATCCAGTTGAATAGAACAATTGCGCTATTGAAATGAACATAACATCCGGCATACAAAAATAAAAAATTGCCCTCAAAAATTAAAACACTAATCATATCGAAGTGGCCTCTTACATAGTGTAGCAGAAAAAAATAAAAAAAATAAAAAGTTGGGAAGTACAGGAACAGACAGCAGCTCCAGAAAAGAGAATTTGTAATAATTTTCAGCAAAGATGATATGAATGGTACAATTCCAACTATACATGTACATGTGTCTGACAAAAAGCCAGAGTATAGCAAGCTTAAACACCAGAGGAAGAATAAGAGCATTACTACTAACATGACTAAGCTCAAACTAAGTTACAGAATGTTGGAAGCCGATCTAATATACTTAACTCCGCAATCGTTTTCTATGACTAGTCTCTTCACTGTCGCCCTGTGGACAAGAAAATAGGTTAATGCAAGTCAAAGAGAAGAGCGCATTTATAGTTCTTCAGATGGAATTTATACTTAAAAATAATATCAACATTCGATAAATGCTTTTAAAAGTTAAAAGCCCAACATGAATAAATCTAATGACCAAGTACACGCTTTAACAGGCGGACAAAATTCAATAATCACAACTTCTAATGCAAAATAGCACCGAATATTCCATTAATCTTGACAAGCTTGTGTGCCTCCAAAAAGTAGGCAGGTGAGTGTGTGCATCCATATTCAATTATTCTGATGCTCCACAAACCATAATACTTTAATCTACCCTCAAGGCTCGAACATATAAAAAATAATTCAAATAGATACGTACCAGATTAAACATATTGTTCCAGACAATTAACCGAAAAAGAACGACTAAACTTGCATGAAAAGATATTAACAGAAACACATACCCCATCATCACATCTGAAATCTTCAGGTGGAGCCACACTAGACTCAGACCTGCATTTAGCATGTACTATAGGACCTAACTGGGACCTCTCCATGCCTGCTGTTGATCCATTGGGCGCATTCATGTAGACAGCTCCTTTGTACATCCATTCCTCTGTTTCATCGCTGTAGAAATCATCAAAAGGCTCTCCACATAATGCACAAGCATTCTGCTCCTCATCAGCAGGAACAGCCATTTCTTCGTCATCCTTCTTCTCCACGACAGACTCAGTAGGCAAAAATCCAGGAACTGCATCAGTTCCTAATGCCTCTGCCCCACTGAGCCACATACTTGTATCAACGAACCACTTGCGAGAAGGTTTGTGCTTCCGGTTCTTGGACATCCGGTTCTTAGTGACATGCCAATCCATGTGGCTACTGTGCTCTTCTTGACACTTAAATCTAAGGCCACATGTTGTGCACTGTCTGGGGAGATCTGCATATAAAGCACTTATTGCAGACTCATGGCGCACCTTAATAAGATCAGCATTGAACTCGAGTCCGACAGAATCCTACATATTGTGATTTGTGCCAGATGATTGAGATACAGTCTTACAATGCATTTGTGAAGAGGAAGGGAAAGAGAAAGAGAGAGAGAGAGATGTCATTCAAAGAAGTACCTGTCCAGGAGTTTGTTTTGTCAATGAGATTAAACCTTGAGCCATGAGGGAACCAATCAAGCCCGAAAAAGCACTGCCTGGTGGTTGGTTAGGGGCGACTGGACCAACATTTTGAGGGACATGTATCATTTGAGCCGGGTGAGGACCTGGAGGTAGGGGTGGACGAGTCCCAGCATGTGGTTGCAAGGTGTTTGGAATATTGTTAACAGGTAAAGGCAGCATAAAAGGTACAGGATTAGAACGAACCATACTCATGGCAGCACCATGTCCTTGTGTGGCATGTACTGGATCCAGTGTAGATACCCGTGTCTGATGTGGCAATGAAGAGATAGATAGTGGAAAATTTTCTCGAGCCTCGTTAGATGGGAGAAACTGTGGCTGAAAATGATTAACTTGAGCCTGGTTTTGCTGATTTAGGGTGGCATGCCGACTGGGTAACAGTGGTTGCTTCGTCAAACTGGGCTCCATGCTTTCAAAACCATTGAACTGTTGCTCAGATGAAAAGGTAGACTGCTGTAAACCCTGATTTACAACAGTATTTCTTGCATTTGTTGAATCAAACTGACTTCTACTCTGCTTTTGTGGTGGGAAAATTGGGTGCACAGGAGGTGGATGAGATTTATGCACATTTACAAGAGGCCATACTCCTGCTGTTGATGGTGCAATACTAGAACCCACTCTCGAGGGGAGAGTTGGAGGCCTAACATACTGACCATCAGTGTCAGGAAGTTTGTCAACAAGAGGAGCCAAACTATCACTGACTGAAGAGGATATAACACTTCTAGAAAATGGCATCCGGAATTCTCGATTTCTTCCTTTAGCATTCAGATCTGTTGACTGAGGGTAATGATTCAGCAACTTCCAAGCTTCTCGAGGATAGTGGGAAGCCATAATCTGATTTCTCTCAGGTTGGAAGCCAGGTAACTTAGCAGTAGATCCACGACCAGACTGCATCAAACAAATAAATACTTTTGGACGTGAGACCAAAGCATGAAGCTGACTTTGCTATTCAAAGTTCCATCTAAAAAGAAGAATTTGAGAACACAGACGAACATACAAATTGATTTCCAGTAAATGTAGAAACCAAACTGCTATAATCAACACTAAATAAATAAAAGATCATCCAAGAAAACAACAATTGAAACTATTATTTGTGGAAAGGATAATCAATTACACAAATAATAAGCAGAAAACACAATTTGAATTTGAAAATTCTGTTCGAGCATGAACGATAAAGAACAGTGCTGTAAATGAACTTCAAATGGCTGTGGCAGAAAATGATCCAGGGTGAGGAAACACAAAAAGAAATCCAAATTACTTTCAGTGGAAGCTCTCATCATACTCTCATTAACAACAATTACCAATAATCGCTATCTTTCCGTTTTCAGTTCATGACTTGCTCATATCTAATAGTTAGATAAGAGCAGTTCTGAATAGCATCAAAACAGAACAACATATAAATATGCTTATACAGAAAGACAGACAGCAAACCAATTGAGAAGGCTTACACCCAAAATGGGGATTGAATCTTCAGCAATATCGGAGGAATCATCTATCAATGATAGCTGAGCCTGAGCAGATCGGTTGCTCCTAATATCAGAATCCAACTGGGAAGGACCTCTTGTTCCAAACCCAGGCCTAGTCCCCACCCCTCCAAAAGGCGGAACAGATGATGATAAGAAATCATTGCTCCTATTGCGGTCTGCTAATGTAGGGCTCATATCTTCCCAATCAAATTCCTCCTCTTCAGTATTCTGCCATAACCTTGGAGCCACTTTATTGACCATGCCATCTACATCTAAGCGATCAATTTGCAAAGGTTTGCTATTTGAAACTCTACTCCGTTTGTCTTCTCCATATGCATCTATCAAAGCCCTAGGTCCTTGATGCTCATGTCCATTGGAAAGGCTATATGCAACAGAAGTTTCCAATCGGTTTTGGATATCATCAGAATAGTGTTTTCGTCTCCAATCAGTTGTTTCTTCATCTCTGGCAATGGGTCTACTGGGCCCATAATCAAACAGAGGATGAGATGGTGAAGCCCCCTCAACAAACCTTCTAGGAGAATTGCCCATAGCAAAGTCATCAACTTCTGAAGGCAAAGGCCTTTCAGCTCCAACACTTGAAGGTGCGTGTCTTGCGAGCCTAGAACTTGAAGATGCATACAGCTTATTAGCCCCAAGCATAAAAGAAGTATGACCCACAGTTCCCACTGTTCCCACTGTATTTAATCTCTGGGCTCCAACCTGTGAGGATGTGACCTCTGCATGATCAGAATCATACTCATCATATGCAATGGCAGGTTTTTGTCCATATACTTTTAGAGTTGAAGAAGCTCCTCTAACATGTTGCTGAGCATTCTGCAAAGGGCACGAACAATTTCAGAACTCTAGTTGTCTGCATTATTGACCTTGTGTGACAGTCACATACAGAAAAGCTCATTGCACATACAAAGCATATCAATAGCTAATATTAGATATACATTCTCAGCAGGTTTGATAGTCAAGAAATACATAAGCTATAAGCAAGAAATGAACAATAAAATAAGCCATGGTCTAACTCACATGTAAGAAAGAAATCTCATTAAAAGACTTACATTATCTGAAGTTGAATTTTCCAACTGACGTAAGTATTTGGGATTAACATGAATGCCATGAGTCGGCCTTGGTGAATCAGATGCCTTCAAGGAAGACAAGCCAGAGGATTGACTATTAACTTGTGGAGAAAATTGCAGTTGAGTCTCAATTTTGCCAAGCACAGAAGGTGGGAATACAGAGGACCATGTTCCAAAGAGGTGCCGCATTGAAGGATATAAGTTAGGATGAACTTGTCTGTATGCCTCACAGAAAACCTGGCAAAGTGATAAAATTGCAAAATCATTAAAATAATGCAAATGGAAGTGCAAACTGACGACTACATAACTTCAAGAGAACTCTATAATTTGCTCACCTCAGGCAAACGGGTAGAAAAGTACCTAACATAATCACGGCCAATGTTCTTGACAATGCTATCCAAGAGATATAAAGAAGGCAATTTTTGCTCGACTGGAACCTGCAGAAGATAAGAGAGTAAAACACGTTCTTATTTCAGTATTTTGTTTCTTGTTCTCAATTATCCAAAATTCTAATTTGTGCATTCAGACAAACCTTCAGAACCCCCAATAACTAAAATCAAAACCAACACATAGATTGCCCCAAAATAATACAAAAATATTTCAAAAAAACCTTATTATGCACCAACGGACCTCGATAATACGGGCACAGATAGCATCCGCAATGCCCTCGCCTTGCTCCCTCAGCTCGCCAGCAATAATTGTCAAATCGGTAATGATAGGTTTGGAATTAAAAGTCAATTCATCGAGCACCAGCTCGTAAAGCTGCACTATCTCCTCGGCACTCAAAGTTGGCCCTGCCGCATCATCATCCTCCGCAGAAACCCTAGCCTCCTCTTCCCGCTGCTTCAACAGAGCCCTGAACCTGTCCAGCAATGACGGAGTCGTCTTCTGCGATAGCTCATTGCTGGCCATGGTTTTGGCAGAGCTAGTTGGGAACCTAGGGTTTTGAAGAACTTTCCCTGATTCCATTCCCAGTCAGGCCCACAGAAAAGAGTAACAAAAATAACAATAGTAATAATAATAACGACTGTAAATTAGGGTTTTGAAGAACCATGAGAGGTCGCTGATAGAATTGGTGTTTTTAATTGCCACCATTTACAGAGACGGACTATAGATACTGAAATTGTGTGATTTCCTCTTTTTTTTTTTTTTTTTTTTTTTTTTTTTTTACCATTTACATAGATTCGGACTATAGATTACTGATATTGTGTGAAATTTTTCTTCTTTTTTTTTTTTTTTTTTTTTTTTTTTTTTTTTGCACTACTACTTTCTTCTGTTGGATGTGGTGTACCTTACAATATCGATGAATGCGATTTTTTTTTTTTTTTTTTTTTTTTTTTTTTGCACTACTACTTTCCTCGTGGGATTGGGACTGGGACAAGTATCGAGATGCGTGAAAATTATAGATTTTTATTAACGGTTGAGATTAAATAGAATTTGCTTTAGTTTAGAGATTAACTAACTTGTCCACGTGTACAGTGATATAACACGCTTATACCATTATTTTGTGTATACGTGACTACACAAAATATGTTATTCTCGGTTTGATCTAAAAGGACAAGAAGGCCAGGCCCTGCTTTCCCTCTTTAAGTTTTAAGCAGAGGCCAAACAAACAAGCACAAACAGCAAAATTTTGGGGGGAAAATCTGAGAGAAACCTAACCAGAACTATTGCATTCCATTGTCTAGGATTCCGATTCAGAAGGTTGGCTAGGGAAATTGAATTCTTTTTCTTTGTTTTTTTTTTCTCTATGGCTTGTTTTCTTGTTCGGTTTATTTATTCTGGTGATTGTGTATTTTGCTCGGTCCCTAATTTTTGTCTTACGTGTAATTCTGAGAGAAACATATTAGCTTAAATTTCCTTTCTTGCAGACTTTTACTGAACCTAGAACCTTGTTGTTTGGGTAAAGAAATGAAATTATGCGATAGTGGCATATTTGTTGGAAAAGTTTTATTCTTTACACTTGGATTTCTTAAATTGCATTTAAAATTGGAACAGTGACACCCTCAGTTATACCCCATGCTTATTTGTTTGTTTCTGGGTGAATGGAAATGACTTTTTTGGCTTTTTTTTCATCAAATTCTGCAATCTTCTTAAAAAATAAGTTTGGTATGGTTTGTTTTGCTTGAAAGAGGAAGATGATTGTATATTGGTTTGTCTGGCACTTTATTTTCATCTTGATTAGTTGCAATTTTTTTTTTCCAAGTTCCTTACTTTTTTTATTTTCTGCTTTGGTAATATCATGGACAAAATTGATATTGGGCGCGATACCAAAAGCCAAAAGCTCAGTCAGGAACAGAACTTAAATAAGGGAGGAAATGTAATAGAAAATCTACCAAATGAAGTTATTCAGCACATTTTATCATTCCTTCCAACAAAAGATGCTGTCAGAACTGGTATATTATCAAAGAAGTGGCAATACACATGGATGTTTCTCTTGAATCTTGACTTTTATCTTGACTTTGATGAGTGAAAATCAACTCAGAGGACACTCTTCATGAATTTTGTAGAAAGGGCACTGATGCCTCGTGGTTCCTCAAATCTTGAAAAATTCTCCCTCCATTGTCAGGTGTTGTCCGATGCATCTCGTGTTAATACATGGATATTTGCTGCGATAAGGCACATAAGTTCAAAAGTTATTACTTAACCTTATCGATATTAATATGCCATTTGTTTTGCCTTGTTGCCTATTTACTTGTGAGTCACTAAATGTGTTGTGGCTGCATATAGGCTATGAATATGATGTTAAGCTTCCTTCCGCTGTAAGCCTTCCAAGTTTCAAGGAGTTGAGTGTTTCACATGCTACATTTCTGGATGACCACTCGGTGCTGCAGCTATTTTCTGGTTGCCCAAACCTTCAAAAGCTAAGTCTACTTGAATGTGAGTGGAAGAATGTGAAGGCTGTTAGTATTTCTCTTCCAAAGCTCGAATTCTTGAACCTATTTGAAATTATGGATTTTGAAGACCATCGTAGTGTATGTTAATTTACGATTTTTGGACCTAATCTCAGAACCTTCTCTACATAGGCGAAATGACAAATGATTATTGCATACATTATCGTCACTAGTCAATGCATCCATTAGTATGTATAACATTATTGAATCAGATGGATTGGAAAGAGATGCTGCTTATCTTTTATATAAGCTTCTTAAGGGGCTCTCTCAGGTGAAAAGCTTAGAAATGTCAGACGAAACACTTAAGGTATATTTCCTCATCTGCCTGTTTTTCAAAGATTGACTCATCTTCAATTATATATAGCACCTGTACACTTTGATGATAGAGCACTGCAGAGCATTCTCAAAAATTCGCCTCTTCTTAATTGTCGTGATTTTGGTATGGTGACACTTTCTTGACTACAATTTTATTTCTTTTGTGTATCAACTATTAAGTGTAAAATTATCATTTGGTAGGGTACCCACTTGTATACTGAAAGACAGCTGCATATTGGATTCGATACCTCCTTGCTAATGATGCTCTTCAACATCATCCAAATCAGAAGTTCCTGAATGCAGACAGGAGCTGCGCATCTCATATTTTTCAACATTTCTGTAGAACGAGATGTATGATTGTGGTGGTTTCTTAATGCAGAAGGGGACATTAAGGTTTCCCAAAGAATCAATGAATTGTGGAACCATCTTAAGAATGTTTATTGAGTCCAACTATGTTGCTTCTTATAATTTGTCACCTCTGGCTATTTCCCAGAGCTTCTTACAATGTTCTTACCTGTTTGATTATGTTCGATTACAATGTTTTACATGTTTTATGGTTGCTAACTTATTAAGAATGTTGTCGTTTGGCTATATAGGGCCATTATTGAAAGCCAGATACAGAGATCCTTATGGATGAGAATTGAAATGAGACTTCTCTATTGCATTTTACACCGAAGTTTATCTTCTAAGCATATTCCCTCTGATATGCACTTTGATTCCAGAATAACTACATAGCACCTTACAAATGTGCTTCTATCAAATTAAAATTTACACTAGTGAATAAATAAATCAAATTCTAATCTATACTGAAAAAAGATTCCATGAAATGATTTTTGGAACCTCCCATATTGCAAGTATGATGCATTGATTTAATTAATTAAAGATGAAAACTTTATTTAATATATAGCGAAAGTCAGATTTGATATTTTGCACTAATATTTTTGAATTTTTTTAAAATAATTAAAAATTACATTTAACTTTTCAGATCATTTAGTTATTGAATTTGTTTTGATTTTTATAATTTAATATTATGACTTTTATCCTTTCTTATTTTGCACTAAAAAAATACCCAGATCAAAATTTTTCATCATTCATAAATGTAAGTTTAAATTTTATTAAAGCACCATTTTTTCTAAAACAATAAATTTATAAAATATAATACTAATTTATTTAATATGAAAATTTTATGGATTTCATATAACGAAGGTCAATTTTAAAATATTTAAATTAATATATTTATAAATTCAAAATAATCAGTCAAATTAAGGTAAAAAAAATGTAAATCTACTATTTTCAATCATTTTAATTTTTTTTTTTTTTGGGAGAATAAATAAATTTAGAGATTGAATTAGCTGAAAATGTAGATACGCGGGCTCACCTACGTAGGTCCACCTATTTCGCGGGTACCGAAGCGACCATCCATGTTGCTTCCGTTCCCGCTCAAAAGGGTAAAAAACACAAACCCTGATTTTGGGAACGCACAATCACTATTCCGGCGACAGGGAGCTGCAATCTAGGGTTTGCAAGTTACAAGTTTGGCGTTTTTAATGGGTTTTCTTCACCTTTTTTTCTTCTATTATCCTTTACAGTTAATATTGTTCTGTATGCTATTCATTTCCCGCGCGCTATACTTCTTGTTCTTCCCACAATTTTAATCGATTATTCCTGTAGTTACTTGGAGCTTGCATGTAATCAGCATTTAGCAGTGTTTTAATTGGGGAATTAAGTTATTTAAGTTAGTATTTGTCAAAAATATGTTACCTATATAAATTAGTAATCGTAGCTGTTAGTGCTTCTGCGAAGAGGGGAAATATGAATTGAACCCAAAATCAATTTCATAGAAACTATAATCTAGTCCAGACATTATCAAACTAAAATTCTTATGTGTTTATTTCAACATTTGTTGTTTACAAGTTTAAGCAAAATTAAAGGAAAATGCATCAGCCAATGCAGCGTTGACCTTTCAATAGGAATAGCTTGTGTAAGATCAGATGATGAGAAAATGTAATGGTTTATAATAAGTGAGACCTTCATTGTCAATTTTATCTTAAGTTGGTTTGCTTATTCCATGTTTTTCTTTAAGGGCCTTCGATATGCGATTTTGTGATTAGTGGAATTTTAGAATAATGGAAGTAAATTCTTCAGTACATAGCACCAAATTGCGGAAGGTGAATGAGGAAGGAAACATCTATAGTAATGGAATAGATGATTTGCCAGAACCGATTCTTGTGCACATCCTTTCCTTTCTTCCAGCAAAAGATGCTGTCAAGACAAGCATATTATCAAAAAAATGGGAATACCTATGGAGGTCTGTCACCAATCTTCGTTTTCATGACATGTGAGTTCGTGGTAGTCAGAGGAAGATTTTCATGGATGCTGTGGATAGAGTGCCTTCACTTCGAGACTCTGTGGACATACATCTGTTCTCACTCTCATGTAAGGTAGAAGAAGATGAAGAAGAATCTGAAGAGCTGCGCATCAATTCTTGGTTATTTACAGCGTTAAATCATAAAGTTCAAGTGTTAAAGTTTCGATTTTTTTTATCCTATATCATATGTTTTACCTTCCTCCTTATTTATGAGTGATTCATTAACTGAGCTCAAAGTTGGCATGTTTGAGGATCTCAAGCTTCCTTCTTATATATGTTTTTCAAGCCTGAAGATCTTGACTCTTAAATATGTCACATTTTTGGATGCACAGTCAATGCATCAACTTTTTTCTGGTTGCCTTGTTCTAGAGAAGTTGACTTTGGATGAATGTGCATGGATAATCTTATGGCTGCTCGTGTTGAAATTCCCACGCTTAAAACCTTGTTGATATTTGAGGGTAGAGATGATAAGAACAATTGTCAAGTTGTGATTACTGGAGCAAATCTCAGAACCTTTGACTATGGAGGTGATCTGAAAAATGAGTATCATTTATATGACCTATCATCATTAGTTGATTCATCTATTGTTGTGGGCAAGATTAGTGATATTGTAGAAGATGATCGTCTGAGAGAAGTTGCTGATCACACAAATAAGCTTCTTGGAGGACTCTCTAATGTTAGAGACCTATATCTGTCACATGAGACTGTAAAGGTTTGTTACTATATCCAGATTGATGGATAATGTGTATTTAAATAATTTTTAGCTTGTTAATTGTCTAATATTGAATTTTGTTTCTAGGTTCTAAATTCCACGGCAGAACCTTTCACCCATTCTAATTTGACTTATCTTAGAGTGAATTTGGGTTCAGTGAATTTCAATTGTGGAGCACTACAGAGCATCCTGCAAAAAACCCCTTTTCTCAGTAATCTTGAATTTATGCGGGTAAGCTTGATTGCTATATATACATGCCCCTTTTTTACCACTTTTTATGAATGTATTGATACCAAAAAGTCTATTTCTAATGTAAGGGGATCTCCTTGGACACTCCTGATGATGAAGATGAATGGAAATTAGATCCGGTGCTTCTGTGTTTCTCAAAGCAACTGAAGACTATATATATTGGGGACTTCTGTGGAACTGAACAAGAGTTCCATGTAGCAAAAAATTTACTTCAAAATGCAAGCGTTCTGGAGAGACTATGTATTCAATTAGCATCGTGCAAGGATGTGTTTGACTCATCAGAGTCCATTGCTATAGGGTCTAGATGTGAAATCTGTTTTCATGCTTGATCTTAATCAATCTCAGCATTTCATCGAGCATGTAAAGGACATAGAGCGGTTATTTTAAGGTTTCCCCTATTGCTTTACCTCCTAAATGCAAATTGACTTTTTAATTGGTAAAATAGAAGTCCTGCTTTTGTATAATCTATTTGATATTTCTAATGTTTATAAAGGGCCACTGGACAGAAGGATTGGAGCTCATAATAATGGAAGTAAGGGCCAATTTTAATCTCTGGGAAATTTTATGAGTTAGACTTGCTCGATAGGACATCCTAATCTCCAAGGAGATCCAAGGGACAAATATTACTAGCAAATGCATGAAAAGACATGCTCCTCGTAACCATTTTGGCCTTTACGACCTATACCTAACATAAACAAGAGACTCTAATAACATCAAAGGTCTGTCTTTTCCATTCAAGAAATAATTGCATTTGCTTAAAAAATTATCATCCGTCCAAAATGGAACCCAGTTCAATAACACCAAGTTGGACAAGATTTTTACGGTTGGTAAGCAATCAGAGGCCAGGTGTGTGTCTCTTTCACAGAGATGTTTTTCGCTCTGGGAGTTGTTGCGAGCAATTAGCGGTGCAGATTGACGGGTAACATCTATCTAGCCAGGCAGGGATGGCTCTGGTTCGTATCATAGTTGTAACTTGCTATAAGCATTTTTAGAAATTGATGAATCGGATTTGTACTTATTTGAATTATTGAAGGCTATTGGACCCATAACTTAAATCGTATGCAAGAGGATGTCTGCTTCTGCCAGAAAATTAACGGCTGAAAATTTTTTTGTGGAAGAGAATTGAAATATAAATATCACAGAGGGAATTGGCATTTCCTAAACAACAGTTCCATCAATCAATTTTGTAAGAGTTGGTAGGGAGAAATTTCTATTATGGAATTGCTAAATAAGAGAAAAATTTTAAACGGGTTTGACAAGTTCAATTCTAAATTTTTAAAATGTGGAAAATAGGAAACTCAGCTGGAAACTTATTAGAATGACAATTTTTGAAACACTTTGAACTCTAAATTGGCTGTAATCTCTCACCAAAATCCAAATTTAGATTTATTTCTTATTTTGTCAACTTCAAAATATATAAAAATATTTGAATTTCATATTACTAAGGGTTAAATTTGAAATTTTTGGTTAAGAGAGAATTACCTTTATTAAAACAATTACGGTTAATTATCATCCTTCTTATAATTATGACCATAATTACTATATTGACAAAAGCTTTTCCACCAATAAAATTTTTATAGAGAAAATCAGCAATCAGTGTCTTAGAGTGAGGAACAAACTAGCAATGAAAAGAACCCAGCTGAAGGATATTTGAGTAATTTCTCAAAATATCACAACTGTCCTACCTCTTGGCCGTTGGGTGTCATGCTGCACATGCAGCACTGGTCAATCTTGGCCTCTCCTCTCGTCTCTCCCTCGCCTTCTCCCTATATAAATACCTCTCTTCCTACCTCTTTTGCCCAGCAATTATAGCTTCCTTTCTTCTCCAACTTTCTCTTTGGTCTATCATCTGATAGACTAATATACCAAAGGTTAACCTTTGCTAATTCTGCTTGACGCCTATATATTCACTGCATTCTCACATTTTCGAGGCAAACAATCACTATTCCAGGAAATTTTGTTTCTTTTAACTAGACCTTAAACCTCTGATTTTTATTTTTTTGTTCATTTTTTCTGAATACTCTCCTCAAAATTCTAGTTCTTTCACTCTTTGATTTGTAGACACCATGATCTCTTCACTAAATCATACGCCCTCTGCTTTCACTTCTTCTGATTTTCTACCCAGAAAGCGTTCAGCTCTCAGACCTCAATCCTCTCCTCTCCCCATTATTCAGAATTCTCAAAAAGGCTTTAGCTTTGACACTTCACTGATTTCAGAGAAGCCACTTCATATTTCTACAGTTGAGAACTTCACATTTGCCGCGAAATCCGGACAGAAGAACCCACTGACAGTTTGCAGTGCCTATGAGGCTGACCGGTCACGGCCATTAGACATTAACATAGAACTGCCGGACGAGCAGGCAGCACAGAGGATTAAAATCGGGATATATTTTGCCACGTGGTGGGCTTTGAACGTGGTGTTCAATATTTATAACAAGAAGGTCTTGAATGCTTTCCCTTATCCTTGGCTCACTTCTACACTCTCGCTTGCTTGCGGCTCTCTGATGATGCTTATTTCCTGGGCCACGAGGATTGCTGATGCTCCTAAAACTGATTTTGAATTTTGGAAAGCTCTGTTTCCTGTAAGTAATTTAAAGCTCTTTTGGATTTGCCTTTCCATTGCGTTGCAAAATTGAAACTTTGAAATAAAACCTGTATTTTGGTTTGTGCATTCCTGATCTTTTATGATTTTTCATTTAGGTTGCGGTGGCGCATACTATTGGGCATGTGGCTGCAACTGTGAGTATGTCTAAAGTTGCAGTCTCATTCACTCACATCATTAAGAGCGGTGAGCCTGCTTTCAGTGTGTTGGTATCAAGGCTTCTATTGGGCGAGGCATTCCCTGTGCCAGTTTATCTATCACTTGTACCAATTATTGGAGGTTGCGCTCTATCAGCTCTCACTGAGCTAAATTTCAATATGACTGGTAAGAAAACTTGTTTCTGTTGCTAAAAATTTTGATATGATATGGAACTTTGAAGGGTGTTGAATTTAAGTGTTTGAGATCTAAATTATGTTTCCTTTTTCTCAGGGTTTATGGGGGCTATGATATCCAATTTGGCATTTGTGTTCCGCAACATATTCTCGAAGAAGGGGATGAAGGGGAAGTCTGTTAGTGGGATGAATTACTATGCTTGTTTGTCTATGTTGTCTCTGTTGATCCTTACACCTTTTTCAATTGCTATGGAGGGCCCTCAGATATGGGCTGCTGGCTGGCAAAAAGCTCTTGCTCAAATTGGACCCAATTTTGTTTGGTAATTTCTACATATCCTATTCTCATGAACCTTTTTAAATTTCGTTTTGATATGCATGCCCTCCATTCAGTTGGAGATTGCACAATTGACTGGTAAACACATAGATAATTTAAGTTACTAAATCATATTCATGAATATGAAGATTGATTGGACATGTTTCTCCTTTCATGTAACTGGAATTCTTTGTTCTAAGCCAGCCTTCTTGTACAAACTAAAGTGTTGAAGAAAGTACTACCTTGGTTTCTGGGTCTCTGTTTGATTGCAACTTTTATGTTGTTGACGATATAAGTATCTTTTAGTTTGTGCCTGCAAATATATGATATAGATTTTCTGTAATGATTTTAGTCAATTCTTCAACATCTGAGATCTTCCATAATTTTCATCCAATTTTGGTTTTTTATGCTTGTTTCATGAAGGGCATTTTTATCCTGCCTTCTACTTATATATAAAGAATTGAAATATTGATCCTGACGTCTTTTTTTTTAAGTGGTACTGGTTGAGTCCAAAATGAAAAGTTAATTTTTTTATATGTTACTAAAAAAATTTTCTGTGGCTTGGAATTTATGCAGGTGGGTGGCAGCGCAGAGTATATTTTATCACCTATATAATCAAGTTTCATACATGTCCCTTGATCAAATCTCTCCATTGACATTTAGTGTCGGAAACACAATGAAGCGGATATCCGTCATCGTCTCATCTATCATCATCTTCCAAACCCCTGTCCGACCTGTAAATGCCCTTGGAGCTGCCATCGCAATCCTTGGAACTTTCCTGTATTCACAGGTATATTTTCATCACTATGATCATTAAGTTTTGAAAGGGGACCATAATGATTTTAACGTGCCTGAACATATTCACTTTGCCACTTGTTTGTACGCAGACAAAAATCTTGAAACTATCCTTTCAGTTTTCTTTGGGGGCGTATATAGAACCCAGAAAAAAGGTCACTCAATCCCCTTTTTTTTTTTTTTGGAAAAGAAGTGGTTGAATTCTTGGCCTAATTACTTAAAGCCCTCAAAAGATTTAATAGTTAGCAACTGGCTCGATTGCCCATAATTGTAGGACAGATTTGATTAGAGTATGAACTAATGAACTACATCATCATCGAGTGTAAGAAAGATTGATGGTGTCTAACAGTATTCTGATTGATATTTGAGCAGGCAAAGCGGTAGAGGAGTCTGAGAATTCCAAGGTTTTGATATCAGACGATAGAAGAATATAATGAAGATTAATATATTCCAGTTTGGCCGGAATGATTGGTAATGGCTGCTTTGAATTAACAATCACTGGTGATGGCCTTTGGACGAACACAGGGAAACAGTTTTTTGGTCCGACAGTTGACAGAAGTTTCTCTCTCATGGTCAGAATAATGATCTTCAGTATAATCTTATATTTGTTGGTGATTAAGTACGTTGCAATTCCCAAAAAAAAAAAAAAAAAAAAAATCTTTATAATTTTGGTTGGTGTTAAGTACGTTTGCTGTTATTAGAAAGTAAAAAAAAACGTACGTTAGTAATATCTCATTTCACTGTACACTCACTCTCTCGCTCACCACTCACTCACCACGCACACAACTGTTGTGAACAAAATGTTGTGTGTGCCTTGAGAATAAGTTTAACAAGCAATTCTGACTGGATTTTGTGCTGATAATGGGTTATGCAACTTTTTTGCTGCTGTCTGTTCATGTTAAAAAAGAAAAAAAAAAAAAAAAAAAAAGTACGTTTGCAATTTCATTTCCACTGTACAATCCTTTGTCAATCAATAAAGAAAATGTTGGAGACCAAATTTTGATGCACAATTCTAAATAATAAAACAAGCAATTTCTGACTGATGTGGCTGATAATGGTTATGCACTTTTGCTGCTTCTGTTCATGTAAAAAGATTGAAAACTGTAACTTTCAGCGTTGATCCATCATCATCTCCCCCATCCAAGAACGACTAAATTCCTAAAATCCTAATTGCAAGCAGGTTAGTGGCAAGAGGGAAAGCTTAAAGAAAGGAGAAATTACCGAAAGATTAAATAACACAATAAAGATATTAATACTCAAACCCAATATTGTCCCAAGTCTTCAGAATGTTTCTTAACGTTTCAACGACTTATGCTCTGGGGTAGATTGAAGCAGGCGACACGACTGTGCCTGTGCTCACGACAAACTGATGGTCCTCGCTCTTTAAACGAAAAGCGTTCAAGCTGTTGTCCGACGACTGCGTAAATGTTAATGGGCTTTAAAGGTTAGTTTTGGGCCTCAAAGTGAGCCCAAATTGTCTTTGTCCACGACTGGTTTCCAATTAACCATCACTGGTGACAGTTGACAGTTGACAGAAGTTTCAATGTCGAGATCAGATGAGCATAATTCGATTGCTGTTTCATTTCCTCTGTGGAATGAAATTTTTAGTAGGAGAAGAAAGTGTTGCAGACCATATTTTGATGCACAATTATAATAAAAACCAGCAAGTCCTAGACTGATTCGATTTCACGTTTTCTTTTCATGCAAAAAGATCGAGAAAAGCGCTAGATGCCACAATTGTGCCAATCAAGCCGGTCGGAACCGCCCATCGGTGATTTTCTGGTGAAACCCAACACATAAGGCTTCCGGATGGGCATTTCAATTTTCAAGCATCAAGAAGTTATTGGAAGGTTTGTCTTATGGAATTAGTAGCTTATTCCAGACTCGAGTCCAGTTACTCTATGAATGGTGGATTACTGGATTGCCAAACTTTTAGGAGCAATGGAATGTTCAAGGTGCTGTTTCCGTATCATTTAAGCTAATTACCTCGTTTGCCCACTACCATCAATTAATTTCTTGAAAAAATTTCCTTCAGTGGTTTATGTTTAGCTTCTGGTGAAACAGTCGAAATGATATGGAAATATAATCAATGTCATTCTGATAAATAATTAGCAAAAATATCCGATGTTTAACAGTTATTAACCCCGTTGCATTGTTCTACAGCTTTTAGCTTAGATTCAGGTCAATTAACCACTCGTTTCATGTTTCTCTTTGTTATTTGTTATATATATATATATATATATATATAAACGAAAAATAAACATATTTAATAAAACATAATAGTTGTATGGTTCTTGTTTCATAATTTGTTTCTGACAAAGAAAAACATGAATACATCATAACTAGAATGGAAACTGATCAATTTGGTTGGTTATAACATGAGAAAGCAGGAAGGCATTGATCTCATGGAATATATTGGAGTTGATCGCTATCGCTTCTCCATATCACGGGCAAGAGTCCTACCCAGTGAGTTTATGATTTCTTAGTTAAAGAATGGGCTACTAGTCTGGTTAAAATATTGTAGTTGCATCTTTAACTACCATCTTACCTTGAGCCAGAGGGAAGATTCGGACCTGTGAACCAGGCTGGAATCAATCATTACGACAAGTTCATCAACGGCCTTCTGCATAAGGGTCAGTAAGAATGCCTAGAATAGCCTGAAACTGTCCTAATGTGATCAGAATCTGGAAAGTGAGCTAAGAAAGTTAGATAAACAAACATATTTTATCATCAAAATTGTGTTCACGTAGTTAGTACCTGTCCTTCCTATAATAACAGATCTTTCATATCATATTTTTCAAAACAGTATTTATTTGTTCTGGTTTCAGGGATTCAACCCTTTGTGAAATTGACTAATTATGACGTCCCTCAGGAACTCGTAGACAGGTATGGAGCTTGGCTAAGTCCCGGTAAGCGACTGATCTCCTGCTATGCTTATACTCCTGCAGTACTGTTAGGCCATCTGTCTCTCACTTTGGTTTGACTGATACGAATTCAATGTTTTAGGGAGGACTTCAAACATTATGCTGATATATGTTTTGGATTCTTTGGAGACAGAGTTAAATACTGGGTTACCTTCAATGAGCCAAATGTTGTGGCAGTTCCTGGTTATAGATCAGGGGAATACCCACCAGCTCATTGCTCTGGCTCATTCGGGAACTGTACCACTGGAGATTCAGAGAGAGAGCCTTTCATTGCAGCCCATAACATGATCCTATCACATGCAGCTGCTGTTAGTGTTTACAGGAATAAATACCAGGTACTTGAGCAGTTAAGCTAATATCTCCAACTCATCTAGAAAGACTAAGTAATCTCTACTTTATATTTCTGAAATTGATTGCTAATATATAAACATGGAGAGTTATAAAGTTTAATTCTATGAGACATCAATTTTAATTTTACATTCTCGATGAATATTCAGAAAGAACAAGGCGGCAGCATAGGAATTGTTAATAATGCCATTTGGTTTGAACCTTTCAGCATCTCCTTGTTAGACAAGCTAGCAGTTGAGAGAGCTCAAGCTTTCTATTTGTACCGGTAAGCATACCTGTTATACATGGATCTGTAAGTGTGAAGGGATGAAATCCTAAGTCCTAGGGATATTTTAATGGTTGCAAACACCTAAGCCCACTGTGGAAGCAACCTTTAATGCTATTCAAACATCTGCTTCAGGTTCCTAGACCCAATTATATTTGGAAAATATCCTACAGAAATGCATGAAATTCTAGGAATTCATCATTTGCCTGCTTTTTCAAACTATGAACTGGAGGAGCTGAAGAGTGGACTAGACTTCATTTGCATAAACCACTACAATAGTTTTTACGCAAAGGACTGCATGTTTTCTTTCTGCAACCAAGGTCGTGGCTGTGGAGTTACAAAGACAGAAGGTTTTGCCTGGTGGACTGCTCATCAAAAGGATGGTATCTTCATTGGAGAACCTGTACGGGAACACAACTTACCTTCATATTACAGTGTACCTTCTCCTTTTCTAATGAATAACTTGAGCTTTTTCCTCATGTAGACCTCAGTTGAGTGGCTATATGTTTATCCTCAAGGAATGGAAAAAATAGTGACAGATATAAAAGACAGATACAACAACGTACCATTGTTCATTACAGAAAATGGAAAGCAGTCCAGGCCATAGATCCTGGAAGAGATATGTTTTTTCTCTTTTGAATTTAAAGTTTCTCTTATAATCGTTGTGTTCTTATAGGATTTAGTGAGAAGGGAAATAGCAATACAACTACTGAAATGTTACTCAATGATGTGAAGAGAGTCGAGTACATGAGCAGGTACTTGGATTCTCTGGCAATGGCAGTCAGGTAGTGTCATAGTTTCTCACCCTAGCCTTTTTTTTCTTCTTCTTTTTCTTTTTTTAAGCCTTGAATTCCGCCATACATATGTCCTCGATGCACATTCTGATAGAGTATGTTAGATGTTGAAGGGGCAATAATGATTAATTGTTTATCTGGAAAATTTGTCAGGAAAGGAGCAGATGTACAAGGGTACTTTAGTTGGTCATTGCTTGACAATTTTGAGTGGATGGATGGGATATACAATAAGGTTTGGACTTCACCATGTTGATTATTCAACTCTCAAGGGAACCCGAAAACTATCTGCAGCTTGGTATAGAGACTATATTTCCAATCATAAGGCTGGCAGAACTTGCACCTGAGCGTAATCCTGAATATTACTTAGATGTTGAAGATCAGTTAATATTTACCGGCAAGGTTGAAATCCTGTATTATTTGTATTATTTGATATCATAAAATGCTCTTCGTTTCCTGAAACTAATAATGAGGAATAATTCATTCTCAAAAAAAAAATATAATAATAATGAGGAATAATTGGATAATGACGTAATATGACGGATACAGATTTTTCAGTTATTTCCGTAAAAGGGCAGTTCGCTCACCAGTAGGTAAAAAATTGACGACCCCACACGTCACAGTAAATAGAGGAGTAGTATCATTTGACGATAACAGAACTTTTAATTGTTTCCAAAAACAGCCGTTCTGTCATCAAACGACCATGAAAGCGTAGTCGTTTCATCTAACAATCCTTCTGCTTAAAGCTTTCTGGCTCTATGTAACAGAAGCCATTTTTCTCTATCGCTCCCCGATTCTGACAAGTGACTCCAGGTTCCATCTTCATCTTCACACTTAATCCCGTTTAATTACAATGTTGTGGTCGATATCGCTATTAATTGGATAGCATTAGAGTTTGAAGAGCAGAATCCTGTTACAGGCAAAATAATTGATGGAAGCAATGAAGATGTGTATTTTCTAGAGTGGAACTCAACGGACGGAGTAGTATTTTGCTTGTAAAAAAAAAAAAAAAAATACTATTCAAACCATATAAAATAATGTATAATTAGTCATCATAATGAATTAATACAAGACACTGAAGAAATGGTAAAAGTTTCGCTTTTGTCTCACTTTTCAAGACTACTATTCTGCAAAAATATGGTCCTATTAAATATCATATTGAAAGAAAAGTAGCTCTTCCTTGTTAAATATGCTGCCATACATGAGAACTTGAGCGGGTAGAAGATTTTTACCAGCAGGATGTCTAACCATGTAATGTAACCAAAAATTTTCTCTTCAACAGTTGTATTTGCCTTGCTGCTTCTTCTAATACCATCGGCATGAACCGCTCGATTCCTTGTCATTAGAGCTGCACCCTGCCTTTTGATAATCCATGCCTGCATATCATAGACCTTATATTTGCCAACAGTACAGGAAAAAAAATCACTTCAGAAGTGAGTTGACTCAGCAGCACTGGCAATTCAGAACCCTAGAATCCTGGGATTGATGGACAAGAAATTCAGATATATAGGAAAATATTTTCACTGGGTATCTCAGTCTTACAAAATACCTGTTCTAAGCAATTCTGTGTTGCCACCAGGGAGATCCAGCCTTATAAATATGCTGGCCATCATCCCATGAAATTTGGCAGGCCTGAAGACCAATAGCAACATTTGGTTCCTTTCTGTGCTGTTTGACCCACTCAGCAATAGCTATTGATTCATCATCTTCGTTAGCATATAGTTTTTTGTGTTTGCCAAATGGGTTAAGCCCAGGGTTAGTCATTTCTGCAATTACAGCTGGCATGTAGATTGAGTCACCCACCAATGGTGCACCACAGGCAGCCAGTTGAGCTCGAATCTGTAGCACATGATACAGCTGGTTATTGCTATATTTCCCTTGTGGTACCGAAAAGTAAGTTAAAGATCCGTACGTTCCTATTATCATTTAGAACAGATTATACGGATCTGCAGTGTTCTCCCTGCATTTAGACTAAAAAATGGGAAGCCAACAATACTTCAGTTTTTCCCAAGCAAAACAACTTGTAAACTAATTTGAGTTATTAATTGCAATACTCAATTCTCACTTGAATCATACAATCATACATAATCTTGATAACTAAACTCCCAGAAATTTTGCATCTATCTGAACTCATTTGTCCTTAGATCTGATTCTATTCTTTAAAAGAAAAGGGAGTTTTTCATTAACCAGTGACAATTAAAAACAGAATTTGAGGGTCGCACCCTTTTGTCTCTTCAATAACAGATTGAGATGGCGTGAGATTATTAGAAACAGACAAGAAAAACTATGACTTGCAAACACAGTGCTCAAAAATATAGATTTCCAATGAAAACAACACAAGCTTGTGTCAAGAAAATGAAGGACAGATCAATAACCTGATGTGTCCGACCAGTCAAAAGATTGATCTTACACTCATATGCATAATCTTTTGAGGACCACCCACAGTCTTCAACAGAATATTTCTCCATAGTTCTAGCATCTGGCCAAGGAACCTTTTTGCATTCCAAGATCTCAAGTTGGCACAATTGCCATCCTTGCATAAATTCTGCATATAATAACAGTTTTTGAGTGAATTTTATATGAGAAAATAAACGTGCATAGTGACTTCTTCACTAAATAGAAGTAATTGCACCACCTTCAATAAAGAAAATAAGAAAGTGCACTAATATCATTCAGAAATGAAAGCTTGCTGAAACTGTTTAGTTAAGAAGTCAAGAAGCCTAAAGAAAGCCTATAATGAAACTGTCCTTCAGTTAATTGCAAACAGAATTGATAAGGTACGCTCATAATGGTATTTAGCGGCGAATACTAGAAGACATCTATTAAGCGACTATCAGATCAACAAATCATTCAGGAATAAAACTGCTAGGTTATGTTCGATGCTTTAATGCCTTCCAGAAACCTTCAAAGATCCAGACTTATTTTCTATTATTAATGTTATGCTTGATAGAGTTATTACCTTCTGAAACGAGTCTTGGAGCAATATTAACAGGACGCATGTAGTGAGTAATCAAACCAATTGGCATAGGAGATGCTGCAAGAGCAAGATAGAGCTTCTTCACTGTTTTCTCCTGCTGATCAGAAAAACTTGTAGATCAATGTCAACAGTGGTGAGATGAATTAAAACTGCTAAATTTTCATTTACTTTATGCAGGTGGTGCCCTTGAAGATACTGAACTCAAGGCCCAGTACTGCATGAAAGTGACCTTCCTAAAAGTAGGTGCAAAGGACTGAATAATTCAAGTGTGCAACCAGGTAAAGTATCAGTCATCATACTCTGATTTTTCTATGGAAAACTGAGCAGTAGTCATTAGTCCTAGCTAACACAACACTGCAAATGAAGCGAAGTAATTCAGTAAATTCTCTAAACCATAAAAAGACAACTAAAACAACACAGACAAAATCCTATAATATAAGAATTGGTACCAGCCCTCCGCGCAATTATCAATTTGATGGGTGGTCTTCAATGGGGCTGTTAATCCCAACGCACGAGTGGCAAAGGTTGCACAACTTTCTTCTATATTATTTGTAGTTCCTCCTACCTGAGTGAAGTTGAAATTTACATGCTCCATAAGCAATTGATTAACTAATATCATGACAAAAAATACAAGGTTCAGTATGCTGCTTGGATCAATTAAATTTGACATTGACACACAAGCAATATACTATTCTGCTCAAGCCATTTTTTTTTTTTTTTTGGGGGGGGGGGGGGGGGGAACCATTGACTAGCAACAAGCAATATACTATTCTGGCTCAGCGCATTTTTTTTTTTTTTTGGGGGGGGGTGGGGGGGGGGCGCGGGGCGGGGGTTGTGTGGGGTGCAGGAGGAGAAGAAGGAAAGAAGGAAAGAAGGAAATTAAAGGATAAATCACATACGGATGTACCAGCTGGCTTGTCCAAAACAAACGTGAAGATGGTCCGTGGACAGCTTATAAATCCTTGATTGCCCAATCAATGTTCAATAAGCACCTGAAAAAAAAAAAAATTAATATGTGAACAAGTGCATCCTAAATGGTTAAATGATAATACAATTATTCTGCACCTTACACCATCACCATTACCTTGGGAAAGGCTTTTGGTGTACTATATAACACGCAAATATGTTCCAACTTCAAGAAACTGGTCTATCATGATTATTCCGAAAAAGTTTGTGTGCTTCTGCTCGGGGCGGGGTGTGTGGGGTGCAGGAGGAGAAGAGGAAGAAGAAAAAGAAATTAAAGGATCAATCACATACTGATGTACCAGCTGGCTTGTCCAAAACAACGTAAGATTCCGTGACAGCTATAATCCTTGATTGCCAATCAATGTCATAGCACCTGAAAAAAAAAAAATTAATATGTGAACAAGTGCAATCCTAATGGTAAATGATAATACATATCCACCTTACACCATCACCATACCTTGGGAAGCGTTTTGGGTGTACATAAACACGCAAATATGTTCCAACTTCAAGAAACTGGTCTACATGATTTATCCGAAAAGTTTTTTGTGCTTCTCTTACCGTCTTCCCTTTAATGGAAGCCCTGTTCTTAAGAACTGACGGTGATGTAAATTCTTCAAATAATCTAATCTGCTCTGGAGTAGCAGTTGGAGGTGGCTGTGGGCATACAAGGGCATAATGCACAGCTCCAAACTGTATAAGGTCTGCAACATACCTTCAAAGGATGAAATTTTCTATGTATCACTCTATCCTTATTAATAATCCTATTCACAGTTGTAAAATCAAGAATTGTGTCACACCATCATTCAAACTGTCAAAAGAACAAGAAAGTATTGCTTACAAAGGAGGAAGCTCCAGAGCTTTGCAGATATACCCTAGCACGGGCCCTTCCTCCAAAACAACTAAGTGCTCAACTCTTGGTGGTCTACTCTGTGCAGGACATGGAAGCAATCGATCATAGTCCAGGTATCTGAAACAAAACCAACATTTGAAACCCAGCAGAGCTAGCAATATAAAAGGTAAACATGAAAAAACAAATGAGTTTCACATTTAATATGAACACAAAGGAATCAATGGCAAGCTCAGTCATAGTAGGCCCCAAAACAAATTGTAAAGCTTTGGCTAGAGGTTAGATTAAGTTAAACCTTGGATAAAAACCAATTGGCGCATTAGGCATAAACCTCTTTTCTCCTTTCATCAACTCAAGTTGTCATACTTCTTAGGAACATATTACGTTAGTGCAGAACAGTGTGGCTTCGGATCACTCAACTATTCATTTTGTCCAAAACTTCTTAGTTTACCAGCAAGCATAACAATCCTTCAACTGTGCAGCAAGTTAACTGTATAACTACTCCAACTCCAAGGGAGATAAATTCAAAACTTCATTTCTCCTTTTGGTTCTCTTTAGTCGTTTGAGCAATCAACAGCGAGACAAACAAAAACGACAGTCCTTATCTTGACATAAGCTAGAACAAGCAAATATTAAATACCCAATAAATTATATGCAATTAAAACATAAAATTCGAATACCCATTAGCAGAAGAAGTGGTCGTTGAGTGAGCAACTTCCTGTCTCGAGGATTCACAGCCAAACGATCTCTTACGTGAACTCAGTGAATACCAAATTAAAGCATTCTTGTTTTGGTGCTTGTTAAAATGACAATGAACGACCGCTAAAGTGCGCCGGATGGTAACGGACGCACCAAGACTCCGGTAGCCACCAGCAGCACCAGCGAAGATTGAAGCTAAACTCAAAGAACTCATCTTCAGTTCTTGACACGGACACCGTCGCCCGAGGCTCGGAGTTTGTTAGGATAGATGTGCATATTGGAAAATGGATGTGGACTGAACTGGGCTTTGCATGGCAAAAGCGGCTTAGGTGGGTTTCGTAATGGATTTGTTCAAATCAATTGGGCCTGAATCAATTCCATTCTATGTATGTGATGGCCCCATTACAGCCCGTGACGGGTAATATTGGTTGGTTTTGTCTTTATTAATGAATTGAAAGAATATTGTGAATTACACATTCGAACAGTTGAGAAGTTGCTCACTGAATTAATAATGTGTTGGTTAATCTTCATAAAATTGAGAATGTAACTTCCATTCTGGAAAATTAAATTTTTATTTTTTTATTTATTTTCTTTTATAAGTTTAATTTTCGAAAAGTGTATTTATCGAGATAGCGAAAAACATTTACACTAGGCGCAATTACCTCCACACTAAAATGGAAATAACTTATCTAGACTAGTCTAGGTAAATTTTACATACCTCCACACTTATGAATCAAATCAATAAAATTTAAGGATTTTCTAAAAAATTTTATTTTTTTTCCAATTATATGATAGAAATACATGTATTTCAATAATATTCATAAGCAAGATGATAGACCAGTCTAGTCAAAATTTTTCATACCTCCTTCTAGAGTCCTATTTCTACCAGAAAAAACAGTGCCCTAGTTAAAACTGCCAGCTGAGTTGAGTTGGCCTTGCACGCACTTGCCAGCAGCCCATGACTTCTTCACTGTCCCTTCTCATATCTGAATACTAACTTCGATCAGAGCAATAAATTTTACAGTTAGTTACATTTAAGGCCACAACAACCATATCAATCAAGATTCAGAAAAGGGCATACAAGACCCTCCAACTTTAATCCTGCAAATCATGGAATTCTGATACAGAGTAACCAACGTAGCAAGTGATAGGTGAAACACAATAATTCAGGTTTAAATTCCATTTATGGATCATAAAGAAAAGAAAGTGATGAGTCAAATATCCATTTTACAGTTCGTGTAGGATTAGTCACGGAGAATGGCAGAAGTCATAAATGGGAGTGTTAATAACAAGCATGGGCTATTCTTTTTTGTGTCAAACGTAAGCATAAGTATTTCTTGCTAGAAAATTTTATTTACGCATGGGACTGACGGGTGGGTGGCTGATGGCACGTACAATAAAAGGAAAATTTAATAGAGATGTTGATATTTGATAATTTTTTATTATGAAACTATATGTTAAAATAGCTAAATTTGGAGTTCTCCTTAACAAAACTTATAAAAGCAAATTGATAATTAATGAAACAAACCAAAACAATTTGAATTAAATAATCCAATATGAATTCTTATGATTTGAACTTTAACATTTAAAATCATATATTTCCTAATTTTAGCTTGCTAACTAACTAATCTCAATAAATTTGTCTTCCCTTTATGGAACGGATAATTAAAGATTAAGATTCAACGGTTCCAAATTTAATTTCTATTTTTTATTAAATAGGATTTTTACCCGTTAAATTTAATATTTTATTTTGTATTGTAACAACATGTTTTTTTTAAAAATTTTTATGGTCTTGAACTCGAAACCTCTCCATGCGTATTTATCCCTAGGTTATGCATTTGTGTGCTTAATTCCCTTTAAATGCACATATACTTCTCATTTGAAACTCTTTAAAATTTAGAATAAATACTTCATTATAGTTTATCATAAGTTGATGCAGAAATTTCTTTTTTTAGATTGGAATAATGCATTCTACCATAATATTTCTTGAAAAAAAAATTGTGGATTAAGGAACTCCTTTTTATTGCACATATATAAAATCATCAACTTCCACGCAAAAATACAAAACAAACTACCTTTCATTTATTTCTTTCACCTTGGCAAAATGACTGCTTTTAGAGGGTTCTTCATGACAACAGTAAAGGCAAATGTCTCTGTCGGGTCCGGTTGCCCATTTGGCGTGGGTACCCACTTGAAAGCTTGGACCATCCTAGCAAGCATCAAGTTTACGTGCAACACGCCAAGAGCAAGACCCGGGCAAGTCCTCCTCCCTGCCCCAAACGGCAGCATCTTCACTGTGCCCTTAGTTCCGGTCAGATCGACGTCAACTCCATCACCTTCTAAGAATCTCTCGGGTCGGAAAACATCCGGATCCTTCCACAAATTCGGATCCTCAGTCATCCACTCGATGTAGAACTCCACATAAACGTTGGTCGGAATCTTGTATCCTCCGAGCTCCGTCTCCTCCGTGGTGGCGTGCGACAATGTAAAGTGGGCCGGAGAATGTACACGTAAAGTTTCCTTAACCACTGCATTAAGATATGTCATTTTCTCTACATTGTCCTCAGTGATTAGCCCATTTTTGCCCACACTGTCGACAATTTCTTTGTAGAGCTTCTCTTGAATATCCTGATGTAGCACTAGTTCAAGAAAAGCCCATTGCAGGACACTTGTACTAGTGTCAATACCAGCAACAAAGAGCTCTGAGCAAAGTGTCACGAGCTCTTCTTCTCCTAATCGACCACGACCTGGTGCCTCAAGTCCAAAAAGTGAGTCCACATAGGCCGCACCAACTGGACTCACCATTAATGAGCCAGGGTTATCACCTTTCTCTACATAAGCTCTTCTGTTCCTTATAAGAGGAACCAAACACTCCATCTGTGTCTTCCTTAACTCTTTCGCTCTTTTCATTTGCCTGCGAAACAAGGGAGTGAAAATTGGCAGGAAATCAGGGAGTTGTGGTGTGGTTATAAGCATAACCTCTTTCGTAACACTGTCAATGTCTTTAATCCAATGTTCTGGGATCTTGGCACCAAAACATATGCATACTAAAATGCTACAAACAGTAAATCTACAAATATCCATTACATCTACACAACCCTTTTCAAAAGCTTCATTTTCGAGCCTTTTCATGTGATTTTCCATAGCCCATTCTCGTATCCAACTGCACTGTTTGATTCTCACTGGGCTCATCAGCTCTGTGACAAAGTTCCGGCGAAGTGTTCGCCAGAGAGGTCCATATTCAGCTGAGTTGACTGCACATTTCCCAACACTGAAAACCAAGCGGATCGGCGAGTCCGGTGGTCGGCTGGCGAAAACAGGGCCTCTTTGGATTAAGGCTTCGTGTATAAGATCAGGACTTGTGACTATAACAAGAGTGCGTTGACCCATTTTCATGGTAAAAATTGGACCATACTTTTTACGCAAATCACGTATAATAAAAATGAAGTGACGGCGCTGGAAGATCACCTGGAACAAATTGCCAACAAGCGGCCATCCTGGAGGACCCGGAGGGAGGTTCTTGGACTTGGTCGGGGTTAAAAAGCTTCGCCACCAGAGGGCAAGGAAGACGAAGGAGAAACAGAGAATGAAGAGGTCTATCAATTCCATGATCGACAAAAAAAAAAGATTAATTTGCTGGACTATGCAATACATGCATATTTGGTTATATACAGAGGATCAACCGCGTTGAGTTAATGCGGTATGGCCTGCGAACCACCCATAGAAATATGAAATTAATTTTTAATAACCAAATATTAAAGAAATAAAAAATTTTTTAATCAGGAGACCCAATCCCTTAAAAATTTTTTGGCCCTCAGGTCAAAGCCATCACTTGTCATCAATGGTCAACGGACATCGAATTATTAATTAGTATATGGAATACTATATCTTTGTAATCAATAAATGATTGTAATAATTAATTATTTTCAGTCTTTCAAAGTTGTCAGAAACTCAATTATTGCGTATTTAAAATACTAATGGTCCGAAGAGTTTTAGCAAAAAGCAAAAATTAGTATTGGCAGTAGAAATTTTTCACAATGCTTGCTACTACATTATAAAAATAATATTTATTCCAGTAAAAAGAAAAATGAAAACATACAGAAAAAACCAAACATTTTCATAAAGGCAGCTGGCATTTATTATTGGCCATCTGCTTTCTACCCAAGTTCATCAGTTCATTTCTTCCTTCGCCCCTCTTAAATTTTGAAAGATTTTTATTTTTTTTCACCCTTTAAATGGTATTTTTTTAATTAATAAAATAAGCTACTGTTAATTGAATTCATTTAAATATGGAAAGGAAAATTATAATATTTACCAAAAAAAAAAAGAACGGTGGACCTAAAAATATTAAGGAAAGGAAAGGATTGCCAGAAAATCAAAATAAAGCACCGCTCTTATTGGTTCGGTATTCATAACTTCCCTACATCACTGTCTAAGCACTCTGTATGTTACCAAATAACTTGTGATTTGATGAATTGATTAAAATTCTATATTTAATTACTACTTAATTACACACAGTCTTTATAGCACCGGTATTGCAGACGACACAATAAATTCACCTTCAACTTGTTAGTTTAAGTCATTAGCGCCCATCAAAAACTATTATTAGTATATATATATATATATATTGGAAAAAGATGATTCTTTTATTATATCTTAAATATGTAGTCCCCCGTAGTCTCCAAGAATACAAGACCTTTAAGTAAATGAGGCAAAAAAATTAAAAGAGGTAAAAGAAAGAGAAGTATGATGGATCATTTGATGAGTAACCAAAAGATGTGCGACTTGATTTCCTTCACGATATATGTAATGAATGGAAGAAGAGTGAAGATGCAAAAAGTCAACAACACGCAGCAAAATCGAAGGATCTGCTCTAAGCCATTGTGCCCGATTAACACGAGAAACTAGATCCAGACAATCCATTTCCACCTGGATGTATATATATAGAAACACTCCAATCATGTGTGAATTTTATAAAGATTTTTTTCTTAATTCCTTTTCCCGTTTTGATCAAAGGAAAAGAATTTCAATTACTATAAAATTTGCACATTTTTGCTTTTTTTTTAATAAATTCAATTAGCGGTAATTCAACAAAAAAAAAAAAAAAAAACTGGATGTAATATATATAGACACTCCCATCATGTGTGAATTTTATAGAAGATTTTTTCTTAATTCCTTTCCGTTTTGATCAAAGGAAAAAGAATTCAATACTAACGAAATTTGCCACATTTGCTTTTTTTTTAGATACATTCAATTACGGTAATTCAAGCAAAAAAAAAAAAAAAAAAATCTATCAAAAAAAAAAAAAAAAAAAAAATCTATCAACAGGCTATAAAGCCCGATTTCTGTTGCGAAAGGGTTTTAGATGGCATGGGCCTTTCACTGTATGCTGCCCAATTAATTTGGGCTTTTAAAATTTCCAATTAATTCCTTTACTTCTCTTCTCAGATGCATATAAATAATAAATAAATAAATAAAATGTATCAGTTGGAAATAAGTTTTTTCCTCTGTGAATTCATTAGCATTAATGTTGAATGATTCTAAAACTTCGAATTCAAGAGACAGGAAAAGTTTCCATCATAGAAAGGAAAACATTAATTCATGTGGTATAACTGATAGAGAAATGTTTCGTCTGCGAAAAGTTTCCGTCCGACACGGAGAACTTTCCTCTCCATTTATGTTCAACGAACAAAAAGTGCATTGCCTCAATAACACGGCGTCGTTTAAGAAGACTGTTAAGATCGTCCAGGCCTTAGTTAGAGAGTTTGAGCTTTTATTTAACCCATGGACTACTCTAGCATTCTTCCCTCTTTTCGGGATTGTGCGTTGACCTATAGTTGGGCCAGTTCTCTATGTTCCTTTGAATTGGGCTATCCTATGAGCAGGCAAGACAATTTAACACAAACTGATATTCTTTTTGATCCGTTTAATAATGGAGTATGATGGATATTAAAAATAATAGGAATTTAAATTTTTTTAGAAAATATATTTACCCGACCCAATTCTTATTTTACCCGACCCAATTTGTAGTGGGGCGGATGGTAAGACAAATAATACGCGACATCTCACATAAATTGATTTGTGATTCCTAATGAAAATTATTTTTCGATTTATTTATGACCCTACGTAAAAAGAGAAAAAAAAAAAAAAGGTGAAATTACAAATGGAACGTTATTATTTTCATTATTAAAGGAAGCCTAGCTAGGTTTTCACTTTCACATTTAATGGAAACACGGTATGTGTCTCGTACGTAATTACTACTGTTTCTGTGTAAACATCCAGTCCAAGAGCCAACAATTCCTAATCAACCAAATGGAGGATTAGCCTAATTTGAAGCTTCAAGGGGAAATGGAAGGATCTAATTTCATATTCTAATTTAAAAATTTTGCAAGATCTCACCACCCTTTGTTTGGATTAAACCTAATTCAATTCAAAAGAATTATATATATATTTTTTATTAAGTTTCACGTGTAAAAATGAGATAATTTGTAACAAGGAATCAATTTAGAAACTATGTTCAATTTAAATTTAATGCTGCAATAGTTCAATTTAATTCTACTAAACTCATAAAAAATGTCAATTTATATTATATTTTCCCCTAAAATTAACTATTATGTTCTTGGTTGTTTATAAATAAATAAAAACAATTAAGAAAATAACATAAAATAAATTCATCACTAATTTACTTGGTGCTTGAAATAGTTAAATCTTTTTTCATTTATTTATTGGGAGGCTTAATAGGCCGAGTTAAGACTGCGAGCTACACACCGGGGATAGCTTTCCCGTAAATTCATAAAATCGGTGAAAACAATTGTGGTCGACATGACTAATACTCAAAACCTCTCACTCATCACATAAATGAAAATACCATACCTGATTTACATTCAATTTAAATATTTTATAATGATTAAATTATTGCACATGAACTGTTTTCAAATGAAACTTTAATACTTACGTATAACGAGGATTCAGATTATAAATTCAAAAATCAGAGACATTCAAGAATACTAATATTTTCATAAAGTAGATATCAGTGGTCTAGTTTAAAGCTTGAGATAAGAATATAAAATGATATATTTGTCCAATAAATCCTAGGAGATAACATTTCATAATTTATAATTATAAATTCCCCATGAATGTTTTCATCTGCAGCCGTACTTTGCAGTAAATACATATCTGATACGATAAAATTATTTCTCAACAGTTGGTAGACGGCAGACCAAACTCATTTAATTACTCATCTGCCTTCTTCTGTTCTTCTCTACTCGTCTTCTTTTTCGCGTAAAGCTTATCTTCTCAATTCTCATCTTCTATTTAACCATATCTATATTTTAAATCTCGCATACAATCCATCCTTAGCAATATGGATATCATTGATCTTCTCATTCTTTGTTCGGCACTCATTTTTCTCCGTTTATGGTGGCGATATTGGTCCATCACCGGTGGTGGGGCAATTAATCTCCCACCTGGCCCCCCAGGTTGGCCGCTAGTGGGTAACTTGTTTCAAGTTATCCTCCAACGCCGTCCCTTCATCTTTATAGTACGTGATTTACGTGAAAAGTATGGTCCGATTTTCACAATGCAAATGGGTCAACGTACTCTCGTTATAGTAACCAGCTCTGAGTTAATCCATGAAGCTCTAGTCCAAAGAGGCTCCACCTTTGCTAGCAGGCCAGCAGACTCGCCTATCCGGCTTGTATTTAGCGTTGGAAAATGTGCTATTAATTCTGCGGAATATGGCCCTCTCTGGCGAACTCTTCGCCGCAACTTTGTTACTGAGGTAACAAGTCCGGTGAGAATCAAGCAGTGCAGTTGGATAAGGCAATGGGCAATGGAAAATCACATGGAAAGGATAAAAAGGGAGGCTTTTGAAAATGGGTCTGTTGAGGTTATGAGCAATTGCAGGCTCACTATATGCAGCATTCTAATATGCATTTGCTTTGGAGCAAGAATCTCTGAAGATAGAATCAAGCATATAGAAGCTGTACTAAAAGAGGTTATGCTAATGACAACCCCAAAGCTACCAGATTTCTTGCCAGTCCTTGCTCCTTTGTTTCGCAGACAAATGAAAGAAGCCAAAGAACTAAGGAGAAAGCAGATGGAGTGTTTGTTTCCATTGATAAGAAACAGGAGAGCCTTTATTGAAAAAGGCGGAAACCCTAATGAGGAGATGGCGAGTCCAGTTGGTGCAGCTTATATAGACTCGTTGTTTGAGCTAAAACCAGCTAATAGAGGCCAATTAGGGGAGGAAGAATTTGTGACACTCTGCTCCGAGGTTATCAGTGCAGGAACTGACACTAGTGCAACAACCATTGAATGGGCGCTGCTTCATTTGGTGCAAAACCAAGAAATTCAAGAAAAGTTGTACAAGGAAATTGTTGAATGTGTAGGTAAAGACGGAGTGGTAAAAGAAGAGGATGTTGAGAAAATGCGTTATCTTGGAGCTGTTGTTAAAGAAACTCTCCGGCGGCACCCACCCAGCCATTTCTTGTTATCTCATGCTGCAACGAAGGAGACAGAGCTTGGTGGCTACACAATTCCGGCAGGTGTTAACGTGGAGCTTTATACTGCATGGGTGACTGAAGATCCGGAAATGTGGGAGGATCCGAGAGAGTTCCGACCTGAGAGGTTCTTGAAAGGTGATGGGGTTGATGTGGATCTGACCGGAACTCGTGGGTTGAAGATGGTGCCATTTGGAGCCGGACGGCGTATTTGCCCAGCTTGGAGTCTGGGTACTTTACACGTGAATTTGTTGCTGGCTAGGATGATACAGGCTTTCAAGTGGTTGCCGGATCCGCATTCTCCACCGGACCCAACTGAGGCTTTTGCTTTCACTGTTGTGATGAAGAATCCATTAAAGGCTGTGATCTTGCCCAGATCATGAATTGGAAATTAATTTGGTTTTATGCTTTATGTGTCGCAGTTGCTGAATTAATTAGTCCTATTAGTCTTTGTTCACTGCCTAATAATTATAAGTTTAATGATTAAGAACACTCAAATTTTAGTAAATTAAGCATTTAAAAGGTTATTTCAATCTCTTGGTTTTAGTTGAAACATATAACTATACATAATATTTTTTTTCTTTTTAACTGTTTAAATGGGCGAATATTATTTCATTAAATCCGTGAAAATTATTATGAGATAGAGAACTGAAATTCGAAATTAATAAATTAATCTCGTGCAGCTGAAATTGTGAAATAAGTATTCATCATTTCTCTTCTTAAAAAGGGAAAAAAAAAATCACGGTGGTGGTCCCAGAGTAAGAATTTATTCCCTAGAGCAGCAAGTTTGCATTGGAAGAGAGTCCTATCGTTTCGGGAGGGGAACCATTTATTGCCTTGATAACGTGGATCAAGCGCGGACCTTGGACTAACACATAGAGCCCGATTATTAATTATTTCCATGTAAGGATAGTAATATTTTAAAACTCATGAAATTATTTATTTATCTTTAAATTTCATAAAAATGTCCAAATATATAAATTAATTTTAGATAAATAAAACACAAATACTCTTTTTTAGCAAATTAAGTCATAATTAACAAGCAAAATCAACTATAGAGACAAAGATTCACCAAATAAAAATTTTCTTTCTATATAAAGTTCATGGTCATATGAACCAGAACTATCTCCTTCCTTTGCATGCTAAGGTTGTAAAATGAACTATATCTTGCAACTTTTAATGAATGTGGATGGGTAGTTGCCAACTTTTAGGGTTGTAGTTGATGCATCTCATACTTTATGATTATGATTATAGAAGAGCAGAAGTTTTTTTATCAGACAACCAGACAGTTCTATCATAAGTCGGTGTGGATGGAGTTGTCAGAGTTGCTGGTTTGGACTATGCAGATCGGTCTCCTTCTCTCCTGCAATGGAAGAGCAAAATTTAATGAATTCCTTGCACCAAGGTTGGACGACATCGTTTGTGGCCAACATTGTTTTTGTTTATTTTTACCCAGAATGTCCCACGTCAACCCTACATCTCTAAGACCCAAATAGAAGCCATTTTCAATAGTTTTAAAAAATAAAAATGATTAATACTTAATAGCTTAAAACGAAGAAGAATAATAACATCCATACACGTAATAAAAAAATTAATAAATTTTAAATATAATATATAAGATATTTGTTACTGTTTTTGAGTTAGATTGGATTTATATGAGTTTATTTAGTGAATATTTATTTAAATTAGTCCGCAAATTTTAAAAATAATTGATTCAATTAAATTTATTATTTTTCATACATGTTGAGTTAAGTTAAAACGAGTTAGCTCATTTAAATTGACTCGGATTGTAATGGATGTTGGTGCAACTCTAGATGAATCCACCTACAACAAATTTATGTGGTAAGACAAAAACAAATACTTTAAAAAACGAAAAAAAAAAAAAAAGAAATTGAACCTATAGTAGTTAGAACATTTATGCTGAGAGTTAATGCTCCATTGACATATCAATTTCTGTAATTTGTAAAATATTTAATAACTAGAGAAAAAAAGGAAAATGGACAATTTTATGAGACATTTGATATTTGACGACCCTAACAATCTAAAATATAATAATTTTACATATTTACGTATTTAATCAAACCCAAATTTCTACCCTATAATTAGTTAAATTAGAAAAACTGTAAATAATTTTAAAAATATTCAATGGTTACAAACAAAACAACTTGCAGTGTACAGGCTCTGCTCTTTGGGCTGGATAATTGTTTGTGGGTATGGCCCGATACGGGGCAATTAGTTGAGAACATGTCCAATCCATGCCTAAAAAGTGAATCGGAAAAAACAAAGAACAAGGGGAAAGAAAGATTTTGACCTTTAGCCGAGACTGAGAAGATAGTCTCCGCGAGAACTACTGCCCCAATGCACGCAGCAAAGCGAAGTCCACGAGGAGACACAGAAGCAGAAATGGAATGGTGGATATCCATGCCTAAGATTGAGCTACATGCCCACCTCAATGGCTCTGTCAGAGACTCTACACTTCTGTAAGCTCATACTTTTTCTTCTTTTTTTATTTCTCTCTCTCTCTCTCTCTCTCTCTCTCTCTCTCTCTTTTCTTTTTTGTTTCTTTTACTGTTGTTTCTGGTTGATTACCTTATGAGATTGGGTAAATAGAGTCCGTTGTATTATTGATGAAAAGCATATGTTTAATATTTTAGTTCTTTTATTGTTATGGTTTCATTCATAAGGTGAAAGAAATAGTTAGGAAGCTTCAAATTTTAGGATTTTATTGATATTTTTATCTGCCTTGAACTACTCAAAGTTTGATTTTTTTTTTTTTTTTTTTTTTTTTTTTTTTTTTTTTTTGAAAGAAATAGTTAGGAAGCTTTTTCAAATTTTAGGATTTTCATTGATATTTTTATCTGCCTTGGAACTACTGCAAAGTTGATTTTTTTTTTTTTTTTTTTTTTTTTTTTTTTTTTTTTTTTTTTTTTTTTTTTTTTTTTTTTTTTTATTTACAGGGAACTTGCTAGAGTTCTGGGTGAAAAGGGTGAAATCGTTTTCTCAGATGTGGAACATGTAATCATGAAAAGTATGTCCATTTTCCTCTTTTACTGGTTCTTGCTCTCCTCGGAAAATATAGGAAGGAGTTGTTCAAGTTGAGCCTTCAATTTGATAATTTGGCGTCAGAAAAGAGAGAGAGAGAGAGCAAAAGCTTCGTTTAAATTGTGCCAATTACTTTGCTTGGCTGAGATATTATTGTTCATAAACTAAAAAAGAAGTATTGGTTAAAATAATTCTTCTTGTAGTCCACTTCAATTTTCTCTCCTGATTTTTAATTTTTCTTTCTTACCATTGCTAGCAATTCTCATTCCATTTCCATTCAGATGACCGCTCGCTGCGTGAAGTCTTCAAGTTGTTTGACCTGATTCACATTCTTACCACTGATCACAAAACGGTTGCAAGAATCACAAAAGAAGTATGATAAGTTGCATTTTAGTGACTTCTTCTTCTTCTTCTTTAAGTGTTAAACCATTGATATTTGAATGTTTCTGCACTGATTCTTCAACTCTTAAAAAAAAAAAAAAAAAAAAAAAAAAAAAAAAAAAAAAAAACAGGTTGTTTGAAGAATTTTTGCCTCCGACGAATGTTTGTATATTTGGAGTTAAGAACAAACTTCCAAAGGTACTTACAAGAGCTGGTTTAGTGCTTTTTTTTTTTTTTTTTTTTTTTTTTTTTTTTTTTTTTTTTTTTTTTTTTTTTTTTTTTTTTTTTTTTTTTCTCTTCACTCATTTCATATCAGCAATTAGTTTATACCGGTGGAGAAATTTGTGGGTTTCATTTATGTAATCCAGAAAAACGAGTCTAAAGAAATGAGCAAACGCTCATACATGGAAGCAGTGATGGAAGGTTTAAGGGCTGTTACTTCAGTCGAGGTGGATTTGGCTCCTCATAATTTGGAAGTTAGAACTTCCATAAATTCAATTCCTAATAATGATGTATGTTCTGGAGCTACAAGGAGAAACATATATGTTAGACTTCTTCTCAGCATTGACCGACGTGAGACCACTGAAGCTGCAATGGAAACTGTATGTTAGGAAAACTCTACGACTGTTTTCTGGTTTAAGTTGTCAAGTATCAAACTGTCTAAGGCTTCGAACTTTTCTTTCCCCATCTTCTACAGGTTAAGCTTGCTCTAGAAATGAGAGATTTAGGAGTAACTGGCATTGATCTTTCTGGAAATCCTGTTGTGGGTGAATGGTACTTCCTTCAATAATTCTTCATTAGTAGTAATGCGTATGTGTTTTGTAAGTATTACAGTCCTAAGTTTTCATTCTCTCTGAACAGGGTTACATTCTTGCCAGCATTGAAATTTGCCCAGGAACAAGGTCTCTATATAACACTTCACTGTGGAGAGGTGTGTTGATGTGTCAAGTGCTGCTGCTGTATTTAAAATTGTATTTTCTGTTACAGTGAAATTACACTAACTAGTTTATTTTCGCAACCTAGTGCATGTAGGTGCCTAATCGTCATGAGGAGATCCAGATGATGCTTGACTTTCTCCCCCAGAGAATTGGCCATGCTATCTTCTTTGGCGAGGATGATTGGAGAAAGTTAAAATCATCCAGAATTCCGGTTGAGTATCTACAATCATTTTTGGTTTGAGAAAACTAGATTTTGATTGGTCTATGGAGTTTGCTCAATCAAACCTGCGGTTCTAATTAAATTACTTATCAATCATATTTTTCATGCCCAGCATTATAGACTCTTTACATTTGGTGGAAAAGCCTTAAAGAATTTCTATGTGATTGCAGTTCTGGAATTTTTTTGAAATTCTGACCATAAAAGATATGTTTAGTTTCACTCATCTTGTGTGCATGCCTATAGCTATTATGTTTATATTCAAGGGCCTAGCATTTTCATACTGTTAACTGCAGTTGAGGGCTTTGAAAAACTTTAGAATAGAAATTGTAGTATATTTGTTTCACTAGCTAAATTCTTTTTGCTTTTGCAGGTTGAAATTTGTTTGACATCCAACATTATGACCGAGTCAATTTCATCGATAGATATTCATCATTTTGGTTAGTTTTCTGTTCTATTTGACATTGGTGTTTGACCTTGGTACTAAGTAAACAAATTAATACAGTTTAGTCTCGAACATGCATGTAAAACTTATTGCTAGTGATTCGGCCATTACCGTCTCATTGCTATATTTTCATGTGTTTCTCTGTTTTGCAGTTGATTTGTATAATGCAAAACATCCTATAGTACTGTGCACAGATGATTCTGGAGTTTTCTCGACTAGTCTTTCTCAGGAATATAGTCTTGCTTCATCTGCATTTGGTAGGCGAACTGTTAATTGTGCCTTTAATTCATGAAATATCAAATAGCTTATCACCATTGATTATTTGTTCTGTATTTTGAAGGTCTCAAAAAGAGGGAAATGTTTGAGCTAGCGAGAAATGTGATCGAGTACATATTCGCTGATGCTGAAGTGAAGCGCGACTTGTATACGATTTTTAATTCTGCTGCTAAGGAGCTAGGCCTATGATTTACTCATTAGGATTGTTATAGCCAGTTAATAAAATTGTTAGACTGAAACCAATTTGAATCTGTAGATTGCTATACAATCATGTGTTCAATAAATTTAATTTATCATTTCTGGGATTGACATGCTAACTAATTTTTTTTTTTTTGTAGTATTGAAAAAGGGATTCGAATCTGGAATTATTGTCAGGAATTATACACATTTATCCCTAAATTATGCTTAATTAATATTGCTTTGCACGAAATTCTAACATGATATTGATATCAAAAGGATATTGAGAAGAAAACATATAGTAAAATGAGATTATATCTTGTTCATGACAAATTTTAGTGGATTACAATTAAAATTTACATTTTTTATTTTTTTAATTCCAAGCAAGCTATAAATATGTACAAAGAAGACTCCTAAGACATTAAAACTTGAAATTCACCCAAAGAATATAGTTTTATATTTGTGTAAAGTTGGGGAATTTAGGTGGTGGTTGTAAAAACCAAAATTACAGATTTTTTATTTGTAATTTCCCCGTGAAGCCTTCGGCTTGTCTTTGGGTTTGGATCAAGTGACATTATTATTGAAACAACGTCGTTTTCTATACATACAAAACGACACCGCAACGCACAAACTTACCCGGCAACAACAAAGAACACCGAAAACTTGAAGAGTTTAACGGATCAGCAGCGTCACCAGCAACAATCTGAGTTCACGTCTGTTTCTTATTATTTTTCATCTCTCTGTCTATGAACTCCCGCCATTAATCCAACCTTCGGGTTCCAAACCCTAACCGCGAATCATTTCTCTCCCTAACCTCCATTTTGAAGATAACAAACTTCTCTCATGAAAAATTAATCACTAACCGTTACTATCTTGCCATGATCAATCCGAACCGTGCGATCAGATCAATTCTCGAGCGTTAATTTTATTCTTGTACAATGTCTTGGGGATTAGGTTCCTGGAAGCGGCCGTCAGAGGTCTTCCGTTTAACGCTGAATTATGGCACGGAGGAGTCCGAAGACGATCTTAATCGTATATCAACATCATCGTCGTCAAGCTCATTATCATCGTCATCTCCGTCGTTACCGATGTCTCCACCTCGAGATCAGGATCTTGGATTTCGGTTTGATTTGGATTGGACGGCTGGGGATGACGAAGATCAGGTGGCTTTAAGATTGCAGTCGCAGTTGATGGTGGCGTTGCCTTTACCACAGGACTGTGTGGAGGTGGATTTGAAGGAGGAGAAGGGAGAGAAAGGAAATGTTAGGGTGGAGATGAAGGTGGTGAAGAGGAGGGAGCCGTTGCGAGGGATGACGTTGAGCAAAGCTGGTTCCGGTCAGCAGAGCGATGGAGTTGGGGTTTTGACCAGGTTATTGAGGTGTAACCTGGCTACTGGGGGATTTGGCGATGGTTGTGGTGAGCATTGGCGTAATGTCACCTTGCTTAGCCTCTGCGGTTGCGGTTTATCGGTAAGATTTTTATTTGATTTTATTTTCACTGGTAATTGGGAATGGAATATAATTTTTTGTTAACAGGTACTGCCAGCTGAGCTAATTGGATTGCCGCTACTTGAGAAGCTTTATCTTGATAACAATAGGCTCTCAGTTTTGCCACCAGAGCTCGGTCAACTGAAAAATTTGAAAGTTCTCACTGTCGATTACAACACATTGATTTCAGTTCCTGGTAAGAATTGGTTAATTATATATGTTAATCAGAGCATGCTTCGTGATTGATTTATTTATTTTTCCTTGTATCAACTTGGTTGGAGATTTGAACAGTTGAACTGAGGCAGTGCGTTGGACTGGTGGAATTGTCTCTGGAACACAATAAGCTTGTCCGGCCTCTTCTTGATTTCAGGTCATTTTATCAACATATAGATAGATATAATTTGTTGCCTTCTCAGGTTTGATAAAGCTTGTAAACACTAGAATTTTCTTTGGGTCTATTGTTTATCTCCAGTTGAATGGCAGGGCTGTGGCTGAGTTACAAATTCTTAGGCTATTTGGTAATCCTCTGGAATTCCTCCCTGAAATTCTACCGCTGCGCAAACTTCGCCACTTGTCTCTTGCTAATATTAGGATTGTAGCTGATGAGAATTTGAGATCAGTAAACGTGCAGATAGAGGTATTAATCATACTGCAGATATAGCAGTTATTTAAGCTGCTAGATTTGCTTTCTTAAGTTAATTTTGTTATTTGGCCATTGTAGATGGAGAACAGTTCTTATTTTGGTCCATCTAGACACAAGCTGAGTGCCTTCTTCTCTCTTTTATTCCGTTTTTCTTCATGTCATCACCCATTGCTGGCATCTGCACTGGCAAAGATAATACAAGACCAAGGAAACCGTGTTGTTGTTGGTAAAGATGAAAATGCAGTACGGCAGCTTATTAGCATGATAAGTAGTGACAACCAGCATGTGGTATGTAGGCAATTCTTACTATCGCCAGTCAAATCATTGCTTATTTATCAGTTATCTGGGCACTTTTGTGAATTCTTATTTCTGGCAGGTTGAACAAGCATGCTCTGCTTTATCATCTCTTGCCGGAGATGTGTCTGTTGCAATGCAGTTGATGAAGTGTGACATAATGCAACCCATTGAAACAGTGCTGAAATCGGTTGCACATGAAGAAGTAATTTCTGTATTACAAGTTGTGGCTACTTTGGCCTTTGGATCTGATACTGTAGCTCAGAAGATGTTGACCAAGGATATATTGAAATCATTAAAATTGTTATGTGCCCATAAAAATGTCGAGGTAAGTTCTCCTTCTATTGTGATTATAGAAAGGTATTTGTTACCACTTTTTAGAATTCTGCCATCATTTGATATTTGGTTCTTCTTTCACCAGGTGCAAAGGTTAGCTTTATTAGCAGTTGGAAATCTAGCCTTTTGCTTGGAGAATCGAAGCATCTTGGTCACCTCTGAAAGTCTACGGGATCTTCTGATGCGGTTGACAGTTACGTCTGAACCACGTGTGAATAAAGCAGCAGCTCGTGCTTTGGCAATTTTTGGTTTGTCTCTTGGATTTTACTTTTTGCCATATTTTCCGAGTGTTCAGTCTATTAATGCACAAGGGATTGTCCAATTTGTGCTACTAGGAGAAAATGAAAACTTGCGGCGTGCCATAAGGGGAAGACAAGTTGCAAAGCAAGGTCTGCGCATACTCTCAATGGATGGAGGTGGAATGAAAGGTCTGGCAACAGTACAGATGCTTAAAACAATTGAGAAGGGGACTGGAAAACGTATACATGAGTTGTTTGACCTTATATGTGGCACATCAACGGGTGGTATGCTGGCCGTTGCTCTTGGTATCAAGTTGATGACCTTGGACAAATGTGAGGAAATATATAAAAATCTCGGTGCGTATGATTTCTCAAAATGTAATATTTCAAAATATTTTGTTTATTGCTCCATTTTTAATATTTCTCCTGTATAAATATACTTCTTTAGGAAAACTAGTCTTTGCTGAGCCTACACCAAAGGATAATGAAGCTGCAAGCTGGAGAGAGAAGTTGGATCAGCTTTATAAAAGTTCATCGCAAAGTTTTAGAGTTGTTGTACATGGATCTAAAGTATGGATTATCCTTTCTTTGTTTTCTTCACTTCCTTCATCATCATTACTCAAGATTCTTTCATCACACACACCCATGTTGCCCAAGATTCTTTCATCGCGCACACACACACACACACACACACACACACACGACTACATTTTCAGTAAGTGAACATAAAATTGATCATGAACGAAATTTATCTTCCCAAAGACTTGAAAATGTTGCTAATCTTAATAAGTTATACTTTTAGAAAAAAATAGGACTAATGGTTAATATAAGTTGTTACTTCCTCAAATATGCCAATTCAAATATCATTGTTGTGATAATTTATAATGTTTTCTACTATATGTTCCTTTCCCAGTATGCAAAAAACAGAATACCATAATATATTGTCTTGCAGCACAGTGCAGATCAGTTTGAGAGGTTGTTAAAGGAAATGTGTGCTGATGAGGATGGGGATCTGTTAATAGAATCAGCAGTAAAAAACATTCCCAAAGTTTTTGTTGTATCAACTTTGGTCAGCGCGATGCCAGCTCAACCATTTATATTTCGCAATTATCAGGTTTGGTTGGTGTTTAAAATGATCATTAGTTTAGGTTTAGGTTTCTTTGGCTTGTTTTTGGGAAATTTTTATGAGAAAATGACTAATTTCTTTTGTTTGTCTCGATATTGAAATAAATTGAAAATTATTTAATAGTATTTGAATTACATTGGAAAATCTAAATTTTCATTCACCATATAAGATCTGTTTATGTCTCCGAATTTTTTTTTTTCTAATTATAGTTGAAAATGAGAGAAAATTATGTAATTAAAAATTGTGTAATTGTGGGTTGTTGCCTGCTGCTGGCAACAGCCAGTGACCAGAGGGGAGAATTGGCAATAATCAGTAGACTGACAGAGTGGTAGGTATATGTCTAGGTTACACCCTTATAGATTCATTCCCTTTTCATGAGTTTGTGGAAATTTTGGAGAATGACTTCCTTTAAAAGCAGGAAATCGATTTCCTTGAAAGGTTATTTTTCCCTTTAAACAAGATAGCATTTTCTATTGACTAGTTTTTGTGAGTTTTATGCACTGCAAAGTATGGAAATGTTTTCTTAGCAAATATTTTGCACCAAATAAAAGGAGGCTAAGAAGCCTTAGAAATTTAACTAGTTTATTTTGCTGAAAGATTTATAAATGTATCCATGGTGATAATTGTCATTGGATGTTGTTCCACAAATGTCTTCAACCTTTTCTTTTTGGTTTCAATATACAGTATCCTGCTGGAACACCTGAAGTGCCTTTTTCAATTTCGGAAAGTTCAGGGGTTACTGTGTTAGGATCACCTACAACTGGTGCTCAAGTTGGCTATAAACGCAGTGCTTTTATTGGAAGTTGTAAGCATCATGTTTGGCAAGCTATTAGAGCATCATCTGCTGCTCCATATTATCTTGATGATTTCTCAGATGGTATTCTCTTAACCTGTTTATCATGTTTTGAAACCCCACTTCGCCATCCTTAAGTTCAAATTGAATAATGTGCTTAAATTCAATCCATGAAACAGATATACACCGTTGGCAAGATGGTGCTATAGTGGCAAACAACCCTACTATCTTTGCCATGAGGGAAGCACAACTCTTATGGCCTGACACAAACATTGACTGCTTGGTTTCAATTGGCTGTGGTTCTGTTCCAACGAAGGTGATTCTCTCTTCTTCTTCTTCTCCCCTCCCTTCTCCTCTTTAGTGTTTGCATTATATAATGATTGTTCCAGATACTGAGAAAATTTAGAAGGAAACTTTAGTATAGAGCAGTTGAAAGTGTTCAGTATTTACAGTACACCAGAAGATGAATTCTATCTTCCTCAATGTTCTAAGTTACTATTATTTGTGGGTGCTTCTGATAAATTCTTCTAACCTGTAGCTTTTACTTCTCTTTCCCCATATATTGTTTTTAATTGCTTCTTTATCTCATTGTGAATATTTCTGTTGTAGGCAAGGAAAGGGGGTTGGCGTTATTTGGACACTGGGCAAGTGTTGATTGAGAGTGCATGTTCAGTGGACCGAGTTGAAGAAGCTTTGAGCACATTGCTACCTATGCTCCCTGCAATACAGTATTTTCGCTTTAATCCAGGTGTTTCAAATGTTGAAACTTTGGAGTTATTTATCGTTTATTGGGGCATGAAACAGATCCTTTGTTCTTGAAGGATGCTCAAAAAATTTCCTCTTATCTTTTCCATGTTTTAGATGCTTTTAATTTATAAATTGCAAATTATCTTTGAAGAGTAGCTTTTTTACTAAAAAATTTCTAATTCTTATTTCATCTCCTATATGGTTAAACCATTGCAGTTGATGAACGTTGTGATATGGAGCTGGACGAAACTGATCCAGCTGTCTGGCTAAAGTTGGAAGCTGCAGTTGAGGAATATATCCAAAATAATTCAGAAGCCTTTAAGAATGTTTGTGAGAGACTACTTTTACCCCATCAGCATGATGATAAGATTTCAGATACTTTGAAAACCCAGCAATTCCCCAAGGCAAAGGTATCAAAAGCAGGTATTATTGGTCATACTATCTAAAGTTACTTTTCTAAAGGTTTGCAATGCTTCTGGTACTCTTGCTGATCTGAATTTTCTTCTGGCTTGCCATTATGTTAGATGAGAATACTCCTTCTTTGGGTTGGAGGCGTAATGTGCTACTTGTTGAAGCTTTGCATAGTCCTGATTCAGGTAGGATTACGCACCATGCTCGGGCACTTGAATCATTTTGTGCCCGGAATGGAATTAGATTATCTCTCATGCTTGGGGCGTCCGGAATTGCAATGACAGTGCCAACAACAACATTCGCTTCACCATTTACGTCACCTCTGATTACTGGAAGCTTCCCATCAAGCCCACTTCTATATAGTCCTGATTTTGGCCCCCAGCGGATTGGCCGAATTGACATGGTGCCGCCTTTAAGCTTGGATGGAATTCAATCTGGAAAGAATGCTTCATCACCACCAATGTCTCCTTCAGCACGCCGACAGTTATCTTTACCTGTCCGGTCATTGCATGAAAAGTTACAGAATACTCCACAAGTTGGAATTGTACATTTAGCCCTTCAAAATGACTCATTGGGATTGATATTAAGGTGAAAACACCTCTTTTTCATTTTACTGGTTACTGTTTGATATAAAGCTTAGTTTCATCCATTTTTGTAACCTGTTCGACGTTCATTTCTCTAGCTGGCAGAATGATGTTTTTGTTGTTGCCGAACCTGGAGATCTTGCAGATAAGTTTCTCCAAAGTGTAAAATTTAGCTTGTTATCAATGATGCGTAGCCGCTGCAAGAAGTTTACATCACTCATTTCCAATATTTCAACTATTGCTGAACTGGTTCGCTATAGACCATACTTCCAAGTAGGAAATGTTGGCCATCGTTATATTGGACGACAGACACAGGTATTTGTCCATGACTTCTTCCTTTCCAATTGGATGATTCATTGTTATTTATAGGTAATAATTACTATTGATCTCCACTGTACTGTCTGTTGAAGGTTATGGAGGATGACCAAGAAATTGCAGCATATATGTTTCGCAGAACAGTTCCTTCTATGCATTTAACACCTGATGATGTTCGCTGGATGGTATGTTTTTGGCTTTGATTTCATCTACTGGTTCCTATCTCTCAATGTTATGAACCTTTATGTACTATTTGACAAATCTAATTCACTACCAACCTTCTGTAGTTTTCATGTCTCATGCTGGTATATTCTCAAAAACATTACCCAGTAATGGTCCTGCGCAAGCATGACCTCTTGCTGTGTAGACATGAACCTGTGCCATTATAATTAGTCTCTTGACTTCCTTCTCATCTTATCCTTCTCCTCTGGATACTAATTAGCACGTTCTCTAGTATAATGATGCACTCTTCATGAATTCTCATTTTTTTCTAGTTCAAGAAACAGTTATGTGTAAGAACTATTTATTGCTCAATATCTCACTTGATGAAGATTTTATTCCTGTTCTTTGATGTGGCACACTAGGCCTTCTTTTTTTTTTTTTTTTTTTTTCATGAATTCGTCATTTTTTTCTAGTTCAAATAACAGTTGATGGTGGTAAGAACTATTATTGCTCAATATCGTCACTTAGATCGGGAAGAGTTTAGTTCCTTTCCATTTGAATGTGGGCAAACAGGCCTGGTCCTTTTTTTTTTTTTTTTGCCTGATATGTTGCTGCCTTGTCTGGTGTGATCCAGGTGGAAGCTTGGAAGGACAGGTCAATAAAATATCCAGGGACCTATGCACTTACTCCATCTTTAATTAAGGCTTCCTTGGATATCTGGTGCAAAACTGGTTATCGCCCTATGCGCAGATTCCTCAAGAAATCCCCACTGATATCAGCCTATGGATCACCGGAGTTCCCTAAACCTGGAGATGTGGGAGGATTTAGATTGGATGAGGAAGAGCAAGACATGAAGAGGTGGAACCTGCCAGTCCAACAAGCGATTGGCGAAGTAGCGATCGCCTAGAGGAGAGTAACTTATAGATCATTCTAGTGGGGCCTTCTGCTGGAACGACGAAAGGGAATAGTCACAGGTTGTGTCTGTACAGTTGTTAATGAACGCACTTGTTTCAGGAAGGGTCAGGAGTAGATGTTGCTCTAATCAGAAAAGCTCTTGCTTCTCATCGAGAGCTGACGTATTCGTCCATCGTTCCTGGTATACAAAATTTGAATAAAGCTCAATTTACACTGAAATCGAAACGCAGAAAACTGTTAAAGAATAAGGCTAAAAAAGGTAGAGAGAAAATAAGAAACACACACACTTTTTTTTTTTTTTTTTTTTTTTTTGCCTGATTTATGTTGCTGCTTGTCTGGTGTGATCCAGGTTGGAGCTTGGAGGGACAGGATCATAATATGCACAGGGACCTATGGACTTACTCCATCTTTAATTAAGGCCTTCTTGGATTCTGGTGCAAAAACTGTTATCTGCCCTTCTGCAGATCCCCAAGAAATCCCACTGATATCAGCCTATGGATCAGGGGAGTTCCCTAACCTGGAGAGTGGGAGGTTTGAGATTGGAGAGGAAGAGGCAGACAATGAAGAGGTGGAACCTGCCAGTCCAACAAGCGATTGGGAAGATAGCGATCCTGAGAAGAATATAGATCATTCTATGGGCTTTTGGGATGATGACGAAGGGGAATTGTCACAGTTTGTCTGTCAGTTGTATGACGCATTGTTTCAGGAAGGGTCAAGAGTAGATGTTGCTCTACAAAATGCTCTTGCTTCTCATCGGAGGCTGAGGTATTCTTGCCATCTTCCTGGTATACAACTTTGAATACTATTTACATGAAATCGAAACCAGAAACTGTTAAAGATAAAGGCAAAAAGGATAAAGAAAATAAGAATACAAGAGTATATTTCCAATTTTGAGGCTGATGTAAAACAATTATGTTGTTTGTTATTCATTTCAGAACTGTAGTAAATAGCATATACCATGAGTCTAGGACGCTGTTTTTAATTTTACAGATCTATTATCTAAATCGAACTTGTACTTTCTCATTTGAGTCTTGCATCTGCAAAACATCTGGTGTCACTGAGCGATACCAATAAGATGATTGCATAGTTAATCTCTCGTCTTCTTTTAGAATAAAGGAACAGTCAGAGGATTACACATTTGAAGTTGTGTTCGTTTGAAATTTTAAAGGGGAAATTGTCAAATTAACTTTTACTAAAGTTTTTATTTTTCTATCAATAAATAGAATGAATACCCTAATTAATGTAGTTCAGTAAGGTGCTTCTTGTCTTTTGCCTATCGGAGGGAAAAGTTTCCCTTGCATTTACATATGACATGGATAACTTTCTGATAGATGAACATCAGCTTTGCCCCTAGGCCCTACTCCAATTACGATTTGACGACACTGCCGACAATCAAGCAACTAATGCTGCTATTATTTGATTGGCATAATAGATGCTTCCAAACAAGACATCAATATAAATTTTTAATGATTACATATACATCTGCAAATTTAATGAGACAAACCAAAAACAATCAAACGACAAGAAGACAATAATTTTTACGTAAGCTTAGTAAATTTTTTCAATTAGCAAAAAAGAGAATAGATTATTTTTTTTTAAATTATTGTAATACCCTTGTCTCATAAAAGGAAAAAACACTGTTGAAAACCCTTATAACTGAAATTAAAAGGACTTTACGTTTTTGAAGTAAACTGCCAACATCAGTATCGTGCATAACATCCGAAATGGAAAAGACTTTTTTGAAGGGCAATGGTAACCAAAAGTGACCCAAAAAACCCATCAATTCAATCTAAAGGGAAATTTTTGCTTTTCAATGGCCCCACTCAAAAGGAAACATGATGGGGCCCTAAAATTTTATTTAGGACATTAAAAAAGATTCCAACAGGATTGCTTAACCATAAACACAAATTAGATTATTCGTCTATCCTATAATCCTAGTAATGAGTACCTGTCAAAGTGGTCATTACAAAACGAAGAAAATGATTTCTGCCACCGGGTGGAATGGGTAAACTGCTTCCAAAATGAAGAAAAGTAAAAATTCTCTTTCTAAATGAGAAAAAGGGACAACCGTTTTACATAGTCAAAAGGGTAAAAAAAATTTTGTTAGGTTCAAATGTAAAAGCTTTCATTGCAACCGCAAGATGAATATGATGACAATCCTCTCCAATCCAACGCTCCAATTATGCAAAATCTCATGCTGTCCACTTTAATAAAGAAGTTACAAAAACAACTTTAAAAACACCAAAGATGAGATGCCACAACTACAACCTTACTCTCTCATAAAAAAAATATTTAGGGCCACAACTTTCTTCATACACAAGCCTTTTCCATTACTTAAATCATATTGAAATGCACTACAAGGCCACCACCACCAAAACCACTGACTTCCCCAAAAAAATGGCTGCACCCTCTCCGGTCGCGATAGGCACTAGAGGAACCGTAGGATCTTTAGTGAGGAGAGAAATTGAGTACTTCACTAAAGTCGAGTTAGATAGATGTGTGAGCTCCAGTAAATCTGAGATTGATATGGGTTCAAGCAGTGGTCGTTCAAGGCCTAGTTTCTGGTCCTTGAGAATGAACTGGAAAAGAAAGAAGAGACGAGGAAGCAGCAATGGATTCCTTCCGAGCATCTGCTCTGCTGTGGAAGTTGCAGATACCAATGGAATTTCTGGCTTCAGCTATAGAATCCTCAAGAATGATATGAAGGAAATGATTGTTTAGTCAATATTCTTATAAATGAAAACTAATTTTGTTTATCTATATATATTTCAAAAATATTTGGATGACAAAGTTACAGCAAATTCATTAGAGAATTTGTGAACTAGTGTTACAGAGTGGTATATACACGATCATCCCTATTAGCAATTAACAAGTACAGGAGAAGCGGCTTTGTATCTAATGTTAAAACTTTTTATGGTTTGTTTGGTTTATCAAAAAGTTGACTCCAATAAGCACTTCCTACTCTTGTTTCAAATCTTTTTCTTTCCCAGAATTGGCAGGCAGAAGCTTGCTTGTTGATGATTCAGATTCACTTCTCTCCTCAATCTTTGGCTTGGAAAGAAATTCAAGAGCAGTTACTACATCTTCCATTGTGGGTCGAGCTTCAGCTTCCTCTTGGAGACACATGCCTGCAATGGCAATAGCTTGATGTAGACTCTTTGTTGAGTAATCTCCATTAAGCAATGGATCAACCATTTCTGTAAATTTACTTTTGTCTTTAAAAAGTGGTTCCGCCTGCAAGAAGCAAATGCTATTTACAACTCTTGGTTAATCTATACAAGTATTAGAAACTTTTCTTTTATCAAAACATACCCAATCAATAAGGTTTCGCTCCTCGCTTGGCCTTTTAGAATCAATGACTCTCCTTCCTGAAATCATTTCCAGAAAAACAACGCCAAAACTGTACACATCAGACATTTTTGTTAGCTGACCCGTCTTTTGATACTCAGGAGCACAGTAGCCATAGGTTCCCATCACCCTTGTAGACACATGCTCTTTCCCTCCTGTTGGACCTAACTTAGCAAGTCCAAAATCTGACAGCCTTGGATTGAATTCTGCATCTAATAAAATGTTTGATGCTTTGAAATCGCGGTAAATGATTGGTGGATTGGCATCATGTAAGAATTCCAGTCCTCTTGCTGCCCCTGCTGCTATTTTCATCCTAGTATCCCAATCCAAGGGCTCCTTTCCAGGACCGACTTCTGGAAAATAAAGAAAATGTTATAAACATTTTTAGCCCTAACAATATGAAATTAGTCCTCAACTCCTGCCATTAATTTCAGAATTACATTCATTTAAATATGCAAATCAAATGTAAAATACATCTTAAACAAATTTTGTCGTTCATAATTGAAAAATAATGTTTAAACATTACCAAGAAGGTGACTTTCCAATGTTCCATTGGGCAAGAATTCATAAACTAAGATTCTCTGATCACCATCTACACAGTAGCCAATCAATTTGACAAGGTTGGGATTTTGAACCATACTTAACATGAGAATCTCTGAAAAGAATTCTCTGTTCCCTTGCAGGCCGTTCCTGTCAAGCTGCTTAATAGCCACAGCCTAAAAAACAATGAAACCAAAACCCTAAATAAAATATGAATCTGGAAATTAAAACACATACATACAAGACAAAATGATCCAACAGACTTGATCAGTTCTCAAAATGTGTCCTTTGTAGACCCTCCCAAATCCACCTTCTCCCAAAACACAATTAGCACTGAAGTTGTTAGTCGCAGCGGCTAGTTCTTTGTATGAGAAGACCTGAGCACAAACTTCTGCACCAACTTTCTTTATCTCCTCATTAATTAGTTTCCGCCTGGCACTGCCTGCAGAATTAAAACATCAAAATACAAGCAACAGAAATCTCCAGGAAGAAAGAAAAGGAAGGGGCGAAACCATAACATTAGTACACAAAAGCCACCCTCTCAAGGGATAGAAAGAAAAAGAAAAGAAGAGAAAATTAATTAATACCTGTTTTATGTGAAAGATTTCTGAGGAAGAATGAAAATGAGTTTTCCTGCCTGAATTCCTTCTTGGGGTATTCTATGGTCTCATTAAATGAATTGCTGTGTAGCAACTTACAGCACGAAAAACAATTCATTCTCCTCCACCACCTCCTCCTCCTCCGCCTCCTCCTCCTGTTCTTGTGTTTCTAATCACTAATTTTTACCACCCTTTTCTTTAAACTTCACCACCTTCTCAAATTTTGTATTTATATATAAATGTACAAACACATTAATGGCCATTAATTAATTTTAGTAAAATCTAGTTGTCTTTCTTTTCTTCTATCCAGATGTTTATTTTATTTTTACTCTTTGGTTTAGCTTCACTAATTTTGATTGACCTATAAATGACCATGCATGGCAACCGCGAGGGAAGGCTGACATGGCTTCCACCACTCCAACTGTGAGACAATAGAGTTGCCTTGTGGTGGTAAATTATTTTCAAAAACTCTCCATCCAAATTATGGGTTAAACTCCCAAAAATTAGAAAGAAAAGGACCAAGTGAAGCCCATTAGCTCCTGAGAACCAAAGTAAAGCCCAAACGATGGCCAGCTTTTTCCCGGGCCGAGGCCACTAAGATATCTACTTGTGGAAGCTTTTCGCTGTACGCTTGTCGAGCGCAAGCAAGTGACGCATGTCGCTCCCGGCCAGCAACCCACCCACCCACCCACCCACCCCTAAACCCCTCCAAAGCCTAAAATTTCATTGCAGAGGGAAAAAAACTCTTGCAAAATATTTCCGAAAAGAGAAAGCACTAACATGCGCCGTCGATGGTGATATACAGATCGCTAAGAACTTTAACCACTAAAAACACGAACCAGAATAGGACTTTCCTAACAGCAACAGCAACTTCTATAATCCCATCTCCATATACTACTTCTCCTTTCTTTTTTTACCCCTTGCATTACCCTCCTCCTCGTTACTCCCTAACTCGTTTCCTTTCTCCTCTGTCCAAATGGATCGCTCTTCAAGCTCATGGCCCTCTGTTCCTATCTTCGCCTCCTTGGAAGCTCTTGCAATCATCCACTCCGCTTTACCTCCGTGGAAACGCTGTCGTTTTGAGAAAAGTGGAGGCGTTGAACTTGAATTTGCTTAGGAATCGAATCGGCACTGGATTGACCTCTCAGACAGTTTTGGATCGGGTCCAGGAATTGAAGAAAAATGCTTCTGATGATGGATTTTTGGAGAGTTTTGTGAATCTTCCTAATTTCATCTCTCTGACCCGTTTGGTTTCTGGGCCTTTGCTTGGATGGTACTCTTGCTTTTTTTGGTGATTTTATTTTATTTATTATGGTCTTCTTGGAACAAACTGAAATTTATTTTGATTTCAATTCTGATTTCTGCACTTCGATTAAATACACTTTCTGTTGGGACTGGAGGTTAGAGTTCACGAATAACATTCTTCGCTTGACTGGTGAAATCTTGAGGCAAACAATAGGATTTCTGAATTTGTTACACAATTAGGGAATTTGTTACACAATAGTTTCCATGTAAAGAAACAGACAGTTCATATTGATGGACTGCAGAACTAGCAGTGGTGGATTGAGCTATTTAACTATGACATATAAATTAATGTTCGAAAGCTAGAGAACAGCTGGGACTATCATTTATAGGCATGCTGGTTTTAAGGATGGTTGGTTATTTGTACTGGATTAGTCATTCCTTTCTGGTAGTTGGAGCAGTCACCAATTATCTCAATTTAAGTTCTCCTATTGATTGTTATGTGTATGTCTTGCTATGTCTTGTTTTAGAACGATGATTAACAAATTTTACGCAGGATGATCACAAATGAAATGTATTCTTCTGCATTTGTGGGGTTGGTTCTCTCTGGGGCAACTGATTGGGTAACCATACTTGGACAATTTATCTAATAACAAATCAAGTTCAGATGTGTGAAAATAAAGTTAATTTTCCTTTTATTCTTTTTTTTTTTTTTTTCTTGTAGCTAGATGGGTACGTTGCTAGGAAGATGAAAATTAATTCGGTTGTTGGTTCCTACCTTGATCCTCTTGCTGACAAGGTAATATCAAACTTTCTTCTTGTAATTTGTTGATTGCTATTTGTACGTCGTCAACTGGCAGTCAGTTAATCTTATTTCATTTATTCTCTCTTCTTGATACAGGTTCTTATTGGATCAGTTGCATTGGCAATGGTGCATATGGATCTTCTACACCGTAAGTTTTTTCTGCTGTTAAGCTTATCTTCTTGTAACCTGAGCTACTTAATTAGCTTCTCTGTGCTTCAAATTTTGAATTTGTGCTGGCACGAGTTTAAAATTTTAGAGTCACAGGACCAAAGTGTATGCCACTCAATGGTCTCTAAAGTTTTCTTTTGTTATATTCTACCCCATGCTACTGCCATTTGGCATGAGATAGCAAACTGCTGGCTTATGTATTATATTTTCAGAGTGTTGATCACGCTCACATGAAGTGGTTTGTACTGTAAAAGTATGTTAATCCAACCTATCTTATTGTTTTTTTTTTTTCTTGTGAAGCTGGACTTGTGGGACTTATTGTGTTGCGAGATGTTGCCCTTGTTGGTGGTGCAGTATATCATAGAGCTAGTAGTTTGGATTGGAAGGTGATATTGACTGATTTGAACGTGCTATTTATTATTTTTCATGTTATTCTGAAGATCATTAATGTGACTATTGACCAAAATTTTGCTTGTATATTGTTGAATTTATTCTTTCAGTGGAACAGTTGGTATGATTTCTTAAATCTTGATGGAACCCGTCCTGAGAAGGTGGAACCTTTGTTCATAAGCAAGGTGTGTTTCATATTATTTTGATCTGACTAGCAATGGCATTTGCAACATGGTTTAAGTTTAACCCATTAGGCAATGTTAGTTGAAAAAGAATGCCAGTAAGGATGAAAAGCTGCAAAAGGATATGATATCGCTCAGAAAAAATTTTTTTTGTGCTTTTTCCTAACAAGGATCATAATATTGACAGGTCAATACCGTTTTCCAATTGGTATTAGTTGCCACAACCCTTCTTCAACCAGAATTCGGAACTGAGGGAACTCAATCGTATACTACATATTTGGGGTAAATATAGAACCTCTCAGTTTTATTTCTCAAATAGTTGCGGCTCAATTATTTAAATGGTTTGGTGCTATATTTTCCTTGATTTGGTGCAGCTGGTTAGTGGCTGCCACGACAGTGGCTTCTACAGCTGGATATGGAGCACAATACGTGAGGAATAAACCAGCATTGCTTGCAAGGAAATCACAGCTTTAGTTTTTTATGGCACAACTCTGGCGGAAAAACTTGAGTTTTGAGTACAGTTTTTGAATTTTTAGAGTACTGTACAAGGGTTTTCTGTATTGGCATATAAAAAGAAATTTGCTAACTTGGATGTTGAATAGGACCCCGTTGGATTAACCACAGTTTTATGACCACTGAGATTGCTTGCTGTGTAACTTTTAGGACAGAGGGACAGCCTGTGGAACCTGTCTTATCACTTCACATTCGGAGTCAGTTTATTAACATTCCGGGGCCTCCAAAATATTAGCCCTAAACCCTAATCCTAAAATCAAATTGTTGATTACTGTAAAATATTTGTAGATTACAATTAATCTGCTTTGAAAATTTTTGCTGTCTGTTGTCCCTAAAGTTGAGGAATTTTGGAGGGTTCTACTGTCCAACTTAGAAGAGAAACCTAAGGAGACGGTAGAGGTTAGAACTCAAACCGGTTATTCCAAGAACCCGTCGTTCTACATTCCGGAAGTTCGTAAAGTCAAGTATCTGGCTATATCTGAAAAGAAAACATGAGCTGAACTATGATACCTTCACCAAATTCCTGAGGATATAGTAAGCTTAAAGAAATAAAAGCTTTCAGAAGTAACCCAACTGAAACATTCAATTTCATCGTACATAAGCATATCAAGGAGTCGCAAGTCCACAGGTAGCTTCCTGAACCCACACCCAAAAGTAGAGATAAATAATCCTGCCAGTTCCCGCAAACAGAGCACCTCAAAATCATAATGCAAACAAGAATTCCATTGGCTAACCAGCTCCCGCACCGTCCAATAATTTTAGACAATGATTAAGTTTTTTTCGCGGAACCAAATGCCTTTGCTAAAATAGTTCATGATTTTAAAAACATCTCATAGGAAGATCCCATTGAACAAATCACAGAAAAACCATAAGGCTAATGTTTAAGAACGACTTTATTCCTTGCAACCGAGTTCCAACGGTTTATAAACATTAAACTCAAGCATTACTCGCCCAAACATACCTCTAGTATATTACCAAGCTTGATACTTAAATCTTAAGGAGTTCAATCCATAATAACGTCTCACAATTCAATGGTCACCTAATATCAATGTGAATACCTTGACAAATAGCACTAGCCCACTAGCAAAAAAGCTTCTTGGTCAATGGACTACTGGACCACAGTGCAAAAATCAAAGGCAGACCCTGATAGCATAAGATGCTCTGTGCAGACTTTCATATTCAAATGAGTAATCTATTACAGTGCAAAAATTCCTAAATTGTCAATCACAGTAAATTGAGCAGATGCCTAACTTTAATGACAGGACCATGGTGAAACAATCAGTTACTCCTAATATCATGATGATGTGCACATATGGCAAATTCAGAAAATTTAGACAAGCTTGCAACCTCTAAGATGATCAACAATCCGAAAATGGATACCAGCAGCACTAAAGCAAAACACCATTTTCAGTCAACGAACAAATGTTTAACAATTTAAGTAAATGCAAAATTGTTATTTCCTCTGAACTGGTAGATTTGTTGTTCTCATGCCATCTTCCCTGATTTTCCAACTTTATGGTCTAATGATTACGAAACATACCTTAAAATGCCCCCGCCTACTGTGCCAAACCAGCTTCAATCTCATCCCACAGTTGAACATTCTTTGTAAATCTCTTTTTCATTTGCGCAACAAGCCCTTTTGCCTCTTCCACCTTCCCAACACCAGCAAGCCCATTCACCAGGGACTTCATAATTCCAAAGTACGGGACCCATCCCTTCCCAATACTCTCCTTACAAATCGTCAATGCAGTCTCAAAATCCCCACCTTTGCACAAGTAATATAACAAAGTAAAATAACATTCAGAATCTGGTTGGCAGCCGTGATTAACCATGCTCTTAAACAATCTCTTTGCTTCCTCCAAATTCCCTTCACTGCAAAACCCATGAATCAAATGACAATAAGTAACAGAATTTGGCTCAATTTTCCTAGACAACATCCCATCAAGTAGAGCTTTCGCCTCAGTAGCCCTCTTAAGCTTACACAAACTCTGAATCCTAGTATTGTATGTACTAACTCCTGGACGAATCCCATATTTCTGCTTCATTATTTCCAATACTTTCCCCACATCCTCAAACTTCTCCTCTTTATAAAACCCAGCAAGCAAATTCCCAAAAGTAGTCGCATTTGGCTTCACTCCCTTCCTATTCATTTCTGCTAAAACAGAATAACCAGAACTCGAACTCCCAGACTCACAAAAGGCCTTGATAACCGTATTATAAGTATCATAATTAGGCTCAATATTATAAATTTTTGGGAACTCGAGATAAATTCTATTCACTTCACTATAATTTTTAGCCAAAATACAAGCGAATAGCAAAGCATTCAAAGCCTTAACTGAGCCAATACCAGAACCAATAACATCTGTGTGATACTCCTTGAAAGTACGAATAGCGTCGTCAATCATGTTGGCCTGGCCATAGAGGACGATGGCGTGGGCGGCGAATCGTTGAGAGGAGCGTAGATCAGGGCGGGAACTGCGAACGTCGTCAAGGAATTGACGGATGTAAGAGAAGTTATTGGATTTAGAGAGCTTAGAAATGGCCTCGGAGAATACAATTCGGTCCAAGTGGGTTTCTGGTGTTAGAGAGGCTGCCTTGCAGATTTCGACGATTTTTTCAGGATTGTTTTCGACTTTTAAAAGAGAAAGAGCGGCCCTTGTTTTCTCTTTGGAAGAGAGAGGGGTTTTGGAGTCTGGGGAAAGGATTGTTGAGAAGTGACGTTGATTTCTGGTAAGAGACAGGATTCGGAGACGAGAGAACAAAGCCATTTTTGAAAAAAAAAATGATTTTACAGAAATTATAATTCCCAGAATGCAGTAGTTACTGGCTAGGGTTTTGAGCAGATATGGGATCTAGAAATAGGAAGGAAAGTGGGGTTTTGAGCGGAGATGAACAGTCGTGATTATCATGGTCACTGGCTAGGGTTTTGATTAGACAGTAGACGAGTTAAAAAATTATGATCCATTTGGGGATTGAACCCGACGTGAATCGAACACGCAACCTTCTGATCTGGAGTCAGACGCGCTACCATTGCGCCACGGATCCTTGCCAGTTTCAGCTCTTTTTAATTCTAACAAAAAGAAGATTATAGCTTATAAGTTGAAGTAATTATTAAGTGCTATCAATTAATATAATTGTTTTTGTTTGCTTATTTAAAAACCAATTTCACTATCTATTATTAATTTATTATTATTATTTATTACTATTGAAAAATTCACATCCGAAAATGGAAAATATATTATAATGTGGCCAAGAGATAAGAGTGGAGAAACTAGAAACAAATAATCAGATGGCCATCCGCCTTTCCATACTCGTGGGATTGCCAAAACCAATTTGAACCAAAGATGCAACTGCCGCCTGTAACAAACCCCTTTATTTTGATCGTACTCTCACTAATTTCCCTTTTTGTCCCTTTTAAATTTCTAATCTTTTCCCTCCGACTCTCTTCTTTTTTTATTTCTTACATTTGCCACGTGTAATTGGACGTGTGGTTTGTGATTTGTGGACTTCCAAAACAAACAAGCTTATCTAAGCACTACCGTCTAACCGCCCCCGCCCCATGCCACCTCACGCCGTGAGAAATTTCTCGTCACAAACAGTTAAGCTTAGTACTTTCTGTTGTCTCCCCCGCCCCTTGAAGTGGACCCACAGTTGAGGAATCTTCCTCCAGCATCTTTTCGCTTGCATACATCATGCGACAGGCCCATTCAAATTTTTCCATAACTGTCCTTCTGCCCGAAAATATTTTTTTTAGCAAATTTCATTTGTACTGCTACCTCTACTCTTAATTTTGATATTTTTTTTACTTTTAACTAAAATTTAAAAAATATTAAATCATCTTAATTTTTAAAAATAAAAATGATTAATTAAATTAATTTTTATAGTTAAGAGAAAAAATTTGATGGAAATAATAATAAAATTAGAATAAAATTTTCTAAAAGTATAATTTAAGTATAGTTAAGATATGTTCGTCCACTATGATTAGGTGAAATTAAATTCAATTTTGACCGCATAATAAGTTTGCCGCCTAAATAACATAATGGCATTTATGAAATTTAAGCGGAAGTCTAAACCTAGAAAGAAACATGAGTTCTCTCTCCTTATCACAATTTACTATTTACTCCCAGTTATTAATAATAGAGATAATAATAATAATAAAGTCACGGTAACACGTGGAAAAAATAATTGAAATAATGAGAAATGGTAAATATGAATGCTACTGGTACCTGAGTACAACCACCAATTCTCATCATCCGTCTTTTGATGGACGCTTAGGTGTTTTCTCTTCTCCTCTTAGACCGTCTGGTAGAGCAAAAGACCAATCCTTCGCTCTCTTTTGTTTTTATCATTGAAATTCGCTATTGGTATTAGTTTCGGTTTCTTTTTTCCTCTTTTGGGCTGCCGGTGGCCCGGTGCGGTGGTGGTGGTGTTTTGCGGAGAGGATTTTGACTTATACTGGACTTTCTCGAGAAAATTTTAGATGGGAAGAATGACGAGAATGCCAGTGCAATTAGCGCCTATGGAAGTAATAGGTTTGGTTGGGAACTGGTGGGACGAGATCAATGATTCTACTCGGTGGCAAGATGGGATCTTTTACGCTCTTTGTGCTGCTTATGCTCTTGTTTCCTCTGTTGCTCTGGTCTGCCTTGCTCTTTCCCTATTACTGCTTGTTGCTAATCTTGTATTTTAGTTGATTATTTATTGTGGTATTTCCCCTAGTTAAAAGCAAGAGTGTTAGCTGATGAGAAATGATTGACGCTGTAATAAAGCAAAAGAATCATCATTTTATTGGATAAAGGGTCATGCTTTATCTTCAAACTCCCTGAATTCACCCTCTTTTATTTTTATCAAATTGAATTGGTAGGAATACCGATTAGCCTTTAATTCACCCTCTTAGTAAATAATCAACTATTTGAGTTCGTTAGTTGGAGTTCCTGGATTCAATTCAAGTGAAATAAACTGCTTGAGATTCTTTTTAATATGTTATTATGACCTAGGTTAGTCAGCTTGAATGTGTTAATTTGTGGAAATTTCTGCTCTTAGGCTTTTGGTTTGTACGGGATTGATTAACTGAGTTTATAAGGCTTTATGCACGTGGCTTTTGATTTTCAGATTCAATTAATACGGATTGAATTGAGAGTGCCTGAATATGGTTGGACAACTCAGAAAGTTTTCCACCTTATGAACTTTATTGTTAATGGAGGTGATCCTTAAAGTACTGGTGGTTTTCAAATTTTTATAATAACTTTGCTATAGCCTTGTAGAAGTGCTAATTTGCCCTTTTTGATTTGATATTTTGCAGTGCGTGCAATTGTTTTTGGATTTCACAAGCAAGTATTTATTTTGCATCCCAAGGTTAGTTGTTGAAGGTGTAAAAGACATCAGTTCTGCATTTTGAACAACAAGGGCTTTATAATGTCAATGGATAAAGTTGGTTTCTGCATTATATGCTATCAGAATGACTTAGTATTTTACACTAATGTAGTGCTATTACACCTTTCACCAGGTGCTAACATTGGTATTATTGGATCTTCCGGGACTCCTATTTTTTTCAACGTACACTCTGCTTGTCTTATTTTGGGCAGAGATATATCACCAGGCAAGTAAATATTAGAATTAGTCTCGAATGAGTAGTAGGCAATTCATTTGCAAACTTGGTTGTTTCATATGATTATTCCTTTAAAATTTTAAATAAATAAATAAATTCTGAAATTTTCCTTATTTTGACAACCAGGCAAGAAGTTTGCCGACAGATAAGCTCAGAATATTTTATATTTCAGTCAATGCTGGAATCTACTTCATACAGGTATGCTCAGTGTCTGAATCTGTTAGTGGACAGAAGTTCCAATTATTCATCATGTTCATCTCATGTAGTTCCTGAGAATTCTCTTCCATCTAGTCGCTTTACCTTCTGTAAATTTTTCATTTGTTCTGCCAAGGGAGTTGAAACAGTAAAAGTATAACGACAAAAAACTTAAACCTTTTGTCAGGCCTGGGAATCAGGAAAAGATGTTTGTGTATTATTTACCCCAAATATATTTGACATTTACGATTCCTCTTATAGACCCCACACTAGTTTGAATTTTTATGATTGCTTTCCTTAGCTTCTTGCTTTGCTATATGGAGTATAGGTTAAAAAATTGGGGGAAAAGGTTTGGGACTATTAGATGGGCATAATATCAGCATAGCTGTAAAGATAGTCATCTGTGATCTCGACATAAATGGCTGACCAGGCACTGTGAGGTCCACTGCTGAACCTTACTATTGCTTGTGTCACATTTCTTTGGAATGCCTCACCAAAATGAGTTGTTGTATCAGGTTGGCATCTGGGTGTACCTCTGGGTAGATGACAACAGCATTGTGGAATTCATTGGGAAGATATTTATTGGAGGTTAAACCTTGTATTCTACCCTATTAATTTTGGTCACTTTGATTTCTTCTCTATGTTTTTTTATGCTACATATTGCTTATTTAAACAATTATATTTATCTCGGGATATATATATATTTTTTTTCAGTGGTCTCAGTTATAGCTGCATTAGGTTTCTTGTTATATGGAGGACGGTGAGTATTCTGCAATGATTGTGATAAATATGGTATCTTGAGCCATTTCAGCTATATTTGACTCACTTGAAATTCCCTTTGTTTGTTCTTGTTATTGCGTCTTCTTTTAGATTATTTTTCATGCTGAGACGCTTCCCTATTGAGTCTAAAGGGAGAAGAAAGAAGCTCCATGAGGTTTGTACCTTTCCTTTCTCCTTTGTTGGCCTTAAATATGCAAACCAAAGACAGCTTATGCACATATGAAGAGGGAAAAAAGTTTCACCAGTTGAGTTTAAATTATTACTAACTGGTGATATTTGCTCTGTTGCAGGTTGGATCAGTTACGGCTATATGCTTTACATGCTTCCTGATTAGATGCTTTGTGGTAAGCTTGAACATGTACTCTTCCTTCATTGAATTTTGAGATGTCTGAGCTAAAAAAAAAAAACTGTGATTAGTACAAGTGATGATTGGCTTCTCAAAGAGTTGCATAGCTTTACTGGGAAATGAGATGGTAGTGTTATGATTGACGGATGACAATGCATTATCCAGGAGGATGTATGAGCTGGTTTGTGTTGGTGGCTAATAGAAAACTGTCAATCTACAAGTGGTTGGCTATTTCGAGATGCACATCTGCTACTTCAAAACAATTACTGCATTAATTTTTTTTTTTCTTCCAAAAAAAATGACAGAAAGAAAAAGCCTCTATTTGGTGTCATAAATTGATAAATTCAGTTTGAAGTTTGAAGTTTAGATGTGGGTCTTCAATAGATGGATGTCCATGATATTTGGCTGTCAACATGGACTATCCTGGACTTTGAATCTTTGATCTCAAAAGTTAGATTTAATAAGGTTGACTTTTGGCTCAAGTAGAAAGAGAATCATTATAGGGAAATAAGTATCGCGTTTCATCATGGAAATAATTTTGGTGATGTGCTTCTAACTCATTCTCAACCTGCAGGTTCTTCTTTCTGCTTTTGATACAGATGCGTCACTTGATGTTTTGGATCATCCGGTTTTGAACTTGATATATTACATGGTATTCTAATAGATTCTGTTTATAAATATAATTAAGCTTCAGTCTCTACTTCATTGTACGGGTAACTTTTATTTGTGTATTGAATGCTTTGTCGGTCTAAATTACAGTTGGTTGAGATTCTACCTTCAGCTCTAGTGCTCTACATCTTGCGAAAGTTGCCTCCCAAGAGAATATCAGCACAATACCACCCGATACGTTAGTCGCAATGCTTGTTTCTTCTGGTTTAGAAGTTGTTGATACTGGAGTTGAGCAACGCGGAAGGGGCCAGAAAAACAAATCCAGAAGTTGCACTCTGGTATGGCTCACGATGGTGGGCGATTCTTTTTGCATATATATATAACACAGCTATTTGCATCTTGTTGAAGGAAGGTATTTGAATTAATTTCTTCTTGGGTTTTATGGCTTGAGGAATTGGTTGTTGGATACCTTAAATGCAGTTTATTTAATCAAAATGTGGTGGAAGGGAAATTTTCTGTAGTTTGTGGTAGTTCTCTCTCTCTCTCTTTTTAGGCTTCAATCTAATGTTGTATTGCTTGCAGAAAGTTGAAAGAAACTAAAATTTTCCCCTTTTTCCTCATTCTTGCCCTTTAACGTCTGATTTGCTGCTCTCTTTGCAGAGGTAATTGGATGTTTGGATTATTGTGTTTGAGACAAGGAATCTTATTTTAAATTAAAATTTGATGCAGATTTCTTGTGTATAGGATATTGGATTTTTTTTTTTTTTTCATTTTCTTGTATTATTTCTAATTTTATGTCATCTCGCATTCTCTTTATTAAGAGCAAGGAGACTGCCAACAAAAGAGCAACCTTTAGAACCACAAAACTACCTTCTGTTTTTAGATGATTATGATTATCATTCAATTAGTTTTAAAAACAGAAGTTCTAGCTATTGTCATAAGCTATAACACAATAAAATTACATAATAAACGAACCTACAAAGTGCAAAGTCGGACAACCAATGTAGGTTAAGGTGACGTCGTGAAATGCCATTTTTTTTTTTTTTTTTATGTAGGTTAAAGGTGACGTCTGAAATGCCATTTTTTTTTTTTTTTTTGTGAAATTATTTGCCATTTTGGTAAATATGCTGGTTTTGCATGCAATCAGAAAGCTCATCATTTTCATCCATAAAGGATTTGCAATTGCAATTTTATAAAATTTATGCCATTTTTTTTTTTTTTTTGTGAAATTATTTGCCATTTTTGGTAAATATTGCTGGGTTTGCATGCAATCAGAAGCTCATCATTTTCATCCATAAAGGATTTGCAATTGCAATTTTATAAAATTTCAGGGAAAAAAATAAGAAACCCGACCATTTAAATTTAAATAAACTTCAAAAAGGACCAAAAAGGAAAAAGAGTATGGCCGCCGATTACATTAAGAGTAGCAAGTGCACATGAAAAACCCTGCATCAACTAGGGCTCCAGAATACTGCATTCTTGATATAAATTACAAAAACTCGTTTCCTTTCCAACTCCAGTTACACCAATACCATATACATTTAACCTCTAAAAGATGACATGTTAGGATAGATAAAATAAAAAAGAATTTTGCCAAACTTCATATCCCGCTAGTAACAAGGGCAGACTAATGCAATCAAAAGCTATCATTCATTAGCCTATGTTTCCAGGAGTCCGATCAGTCTTGATGCAGTTCCTCTGCGGGTGGGGGAGCAAATCTCACATTTGCAGGTCGTGCCACTACAACAGCATCATCAGCAAACAGTGATTTAATGAATGATGGGGTTCGTAAAGGCCGACGACCAGTCATTCGGGGATATACATCTTCAAGAAAATAGTATGCATGACCAGCTATCATTCCCTGAACCACGAAAAGGACTGTTAAACAAGGAAAACCAAGAGACTTATTTGAAGAAAAGGCAGTCGATCTGCAGGATATTTGCTGGTGAGAGACAACTTGCACACAACAAGATCAAAGTCAGATGCCCAAGAGAATAATACAAGATAATGTCCCAAGAAGCCTCACATTGCCAATAGATCCAACGGCGTCAGAGCTCAAAGTTGCTGTTTGGAATCTAAACAACACATGGAAAAACGTGGAAGTGCTTGATTCCTAACTGAATTTAAAACGTCCCTTGGCAAATAAGGCTACACCTAAGAAGGCCAGGAAAATCGCAGCTATAGAGGAGCATATTTCTCACAGCACAAAAGTTACTATCAGCATTTAATGATTTTTTTTTTTTTTATTTGATTGCATCTTCCTGGTAATAATTTTATTTGTACAGCTACTAAACCTATAAATGGCATAAACATGAAGAAGTTGGAAAAAAATACATCAATGAAGTCCATTCCTCTCAATGAGGCAAGCAAATATTAAATCATTCGCCTGCTCAAGACTAATCTTTTCTGAATGTTGTTTAATAGGCACACAACAAAACAATTGATCAGTACATAATTAACATTTGAACTAATGAGCTTGGAAGCACATCGTGACAAATTTGCTCAACATGCACAGAAGAGTATTAAAAAACAGAAAAAATGACATTGATAGAAATACATCTAGTAAAATAAAACGTACCAGCAGATCTACCCAAGCACTAGCACCAACAAGGACAGAGAATCCCAAAAGAACCTGCATAAATACATGGCATGAAGGTTTTACACTTCCAGAGAATAGCTTCTAACTGATTCAAATAGAAAGAATGCCATGATACTAGAAGATGCAATATTACATGCTCCGATTGGTTTTTATATTGCATTAACATGCTCAGGCGAATTATAAGGGAAAGGTTACTCACCCATGGTAAGTAAGCTGCTGTAAAAGTAAAGAGGCCCAAGAAACTCATATGGATAAAAGGATTTTGCTTACTCCAGACATAAACCTGTAGAGACGAGGCTTAGATAAATATCACTTAAAAAGAGTTACCAACGAGGATAATTTTTCAGGTGGGCAAAAGACTAACTCACTAACCATCATAAACGTCAATGAATTGCTAAGGAAAATGATTTTTGCAAATGATTCTGACAAATATGGTATCATTCCTCCAACAAGAACAATGCCCGTCAAAACAGTAGCACCAAATAAGAGCATGTAAAAGAAATCTGCAGTCCTCCCCCTGAAAGAGTTCTCTTCAAGAAGTTTGCAGTACCGAGCAAGAAAGAACATGTGGAACAAAAAGTCCAGGTCTGATATAACAAAGAACCACATCAAAATAACAGAAATCAGAGATAAAGCATAACTTCAATATAATACATCTCTGAAGATCAGAACCATGATTAAGCAATTTGATATGGATATAAATCTTGACAGAGTTCTGAAACTAGGGACATAAAAGAAATGCATTAAAGAAAGCAATGCACTTCTACAAATTTTCATATCATAACACCATTATACTAATCCCCATTATAGCACCATTCCATAAATAATTGAAGGCCCCCATCATAGCACCATTGCATTCATAAACAATTTAAAGCTCAAAGTTCAAAACATACCCATTTTCCGGAAGTACAGGAAATTGGTGATGAGACGCCAGAATTGATAATTCTTAACCACAAGTGTAGGATGCAAGTATAGATTATGAGGAGATATTATCTGCCAAAAACCAAAATGAGAGAAAGAACTAGCAGCTAAAGCCTTTCAAACCCTTCATAGAATCAAAATTACAATGGAAAAAAAAGAACCCAATTGAAATCTCAATAGTGATAAAAAAATACCAAAGATAAAAACAACCCAAAACAATATCAAAATAAGCTAATCAAATTCACCAGCCCCAACCCAAGCGGCAGCCTGGTTGACAAATGGATTAGCTATTTCTCTCGTTAACAAGGGTTCTTCGTCTAGGGCCTGCAACCCAGGCCGTGAGAAAGATATTTTAAGCATAGTTGGCCTACTTTGATTATCACTAGCCTCATCAAAAGCATTCACTAACCCTAGTCATTAATACTACATAAGAAATAAGCAATCCACGGCAACTTATAAAATTCCAAATTAATGATTAACGGCATTAAAATTTGCGCAATAACGAGAAGCGCAATACAATTCATGTTGAACATGAAAAGGGAATGACTACAGTTCGCAAAATTGAAACAAACCCGATAAAAATCAGCTTAAAACGATAATACCCATTTGCCTAGAAACAAAATTACCAACCACAAGACAATCAATGCAGAACCCTCCTTTTTCAAGCAATACCTATTCAAAATTATATATATTTAATAAAAAAATATATATAAGGGGTAGAGGAAACATACATCTAGGGAACAACCGATGGTGGTGACAATAGCTGCTGTAAGATACGAGCGGGTAATAATAGGCATCTGCTTATACCATTCCTCAACTGCCTGAGCCATTATTACAACGTTCCTTTTAGTCTCTACCTAATGAAATTTTTGAGACCCAATAAAATGAACGATTTTGTGATTAATTCCAATCCTTTCGAAGAAGAGATCGGAAGAGGATTTTGAAGATCGACCTATAAAGTTTTCCAGTAACAGAAGGAAAGTGAAGGAAACAAGAGCTTCTCACAGGACAGCTAAGATATGAACCGAAGTCTTCTAGCTTGTTTGCGGTGACTGGTACCTACGAATAATGTAGCGAGTGACTTGCACGATCCAATAATATTCTCCTATGGCTTCGGTAATTCTTGTAGTACTTCATTTCTTGTAAACACAGCAGTGAAAATACAAAGTAATTTATTACCCGATTAATATACGACTTGTCGTTTATATCGTCGTAGTATTTATATCAAATATCCTGCTTCGTGCGCCACAGGTCACAGCACATGCATACACCTATAGAGTTTTTATTTTTTTACTTGTAGATATTAATATTGAATATACAGAAATAGAAAAATACAGAATATAGAAATAAATATAGATATAGATTTTCAAAAATATTTTTAAATTTAAAAATATCTTGAAATAATTTAATTAATTAAACTTTTTTTGTAATATTTCAATGTTTGATTATATAAAAATACACACTACAAGGAGTTTTACAAGGAAATTCCTATGCTAAATGCAGATCAGACAAAAACTTGATTTCCTGTACAGATTTTGTACAGGTTAATGTGCCTGATCATATCTGTAATTCTCCAAATATTCTTGTTTTCTGATTACATTTATTGCAAGTTTCATAAATTTATTGTTCAGTAGTTCCATTTCCAACTTTTTTATATCTAAAACTTCTCTGCAATTGTTAGTTTCTCAATTGTCTTTGTCCATGACTTTTAACTACAGTATTATCTTTTCTTTGGCTCTATTTGTATCTCTAAGCCATCCTTAAAAGATGGCATTGGATCCCTGGAGAAGGACATATCTGAGCTGCAGAGCTTCCATGTGAATCGGGTCACTAGGTAATAAATTGTAGCTAAAGTTTCAATTCTTGCAAATTCATTTCCAGGACAAATCCTGGGTCCTCCTCCAAAAGCTGTAAAACTGTAGGGTGGAACTGATGCTTGTTTCTCGAAATGGGTTGGATCAAACTTTGATGGATTTGGGAAGATGCACTCATCCATATGTGTCATACAGGCGGCCCACATCACCTGATACACAAAACACACAAAAATACCAGGTTTTTATATATACCCTTTATATAGATCAGATACTGAAACCGAACTAAATTGCGGTTAAGACCTGGTATCCTTTGGGAATGAGGAAACCTTCGTAATCGAAATCTTTAAGGACTTTCCTGAAAGAGCAAAACACAGGAGGAGTCATCCTTAGAGTCTCCATTGCAACTCTCCATGTGTATTTCATTCTTGAAAGATCATTCCATGATAGAAGTTCCCTTGGGTCCTTACTCTTAGCTATCTCCTCTTGTTCTGCAATTTTAAGTTAAATTAATAGTAATTATCAAGAATATGCTAATTTCTGAAAAATATAATATGTATATATATACCTTGAACAATTCTGGCATAAACAGAAGGTTCATTGGCTAAAAGCCTGATCAAGAAAGTGAGGAGGATGGAGGTAGTGTCATGTCCTGCGAGCATTATAATAACAATATTCGATACAATTTCCTCATTAGATAATACTGGTGAGTTGTCTTCATTTCGGAGACTGATCAAGTTAGTGAGAAGATCTTGTTTCGGGGAAGCATTTTTTTCCTCTAAAGCTGCCTTTTTTTCATGTAAAAGATCCATTATAATAGTTCTGATCTTTGCACTTGCTTTAAGGCTTCTATTGAAGCGTGTGTAGGGGCAAATTGATCGGTACTGATAATACTCCCTCCATAATTTGCAGGAAAAGCTGCCCGAGCAAGTCCCTTCTCGATCCTCGTTCTATTCCAATAATAAGCGAGCTCATGACATTGAAAGTAAGTTTCTTCATTAATGGCATTGCCTAATAAAACCATGCAAATCTAGTTAGATACAAATTTAAAGAAGACATTTTTAATATTTGATAAATCGAACTTGGAAATACCAAAATCTTATCCTTGCCATGCCAATGCTTTTCGAAATGCTTTCTAATTTCTTCATCCACCTGTAATACATATTGCTTCAACACTTCAGGCTTTAGAAATGAAACAAGAGCACCTCTAATCCGCTTGTGGTCATTTCCTCTTAATTCCATAATATTACCCTCACCGAAGATCCTTCTTATCGAGGAAGGTTGTTGATTGGCAAGAATATCGCCATCGCAGGTGTAGATGTATTTGTTTGCAGCCTGGCCATGGAGAAATACTGTTGGGGTACCAAAAACGTTCATTTTTGAAATTGGACCGTACCTTTCCACTCTTTTCTGAAGCCAGTTTTCTGCTGTATTTGCACGCATAGCACGCAGAAGGCTGAAGCTCTGACCGATTATAGGTAAACCAAAAGAACCCGGTGGAAGCCTTTTGGAAGTTTTCTTGGGTAGGAGAAAGTATATAGGAAGAATAAGAAGCAATAAGCAGAAATAGATTGCAGGATACATTTTTCCAAGCTGGGTATGAATATCATAGAGATTCACTCTATATTTATAGTAAACACGACAAATGATTCTTCTTTCCAACTTGACAATTAATTAAAATGTCAAAACTTAAGAATCTTCACCTTGAAATATTCCTATCTTGGCCAGGAAGTCGTATGGTAGTGTCGTTTAGCTTGTTGTCTGCACATGGAATTATTGTCTTGTGCATATGATGCAAGAGTAACCTGGGATTAGAACATAATAATAATGGCATGGTATCGAATTTGCATTCTTACATTTACAAGATTTAAATCGCTTACTATATAGACCAAGACCTTGTTTATAATATTGCTACAACATTTTTATGTAGACATTCATAGTTTGAATCTCTATCGCTAGAAATGAAAATGTAAGAGATCAATCAATACTTGTAGTCGTAGCTTGACACGTGACAATGAGATGTACTAAAATTTTTGATTGGTGATGTCAGTCTAGGCTTGGCCACGGTTCTGGAACTGGCGGTTCCGGTTCCAGAAAAATTGGAACTAGAACCGAACCGAAAAGGTCCGGTTCCGGTTCTGGTTTCGGTTCCGATCGGTTTTCCTGTGAATCGCATAATTTTAAATTTTAAATTTTGAAGACCGGTTTAAAAAAAAAATTATTTGAACACAAAAAAATTAAAAAAATACACCTAAAAAATAAAAAAATACTTCAATTAAATTTATTTTTTTTAAAGACTTGAACATAATTATTTTTTTTAAACTTTGAACATAATTATTTTTTTTAAAAAAAAATTTTAACTGAATTTTATTTTTTTAAAAAAAGTTTGAACATAATTTTTAAATTTTGAGACCGATTTAAAAAAAATATATATATTGAACATGAAAAATTAAAAGATACACAATAAAAAATAAAAAAAACTTCAATTAAAATTATTTTTTTAAAGACTTGAACATAATTAAGAGATTTCACAACTAAAAATTAAAACAAAAAAAAAAAAAAAACCTACAGTTTGCGTAGAACAGCCGGGTTCCCCCGGCCGTTTCGGGGAACCGGCGGTTCCAGTCCGGTTCGACCAGTTCTCTGGAACCGCCCGGGTTCCGGTTCCAGAAAAAAAAAAAAAACCTGACAGTTTGGCTAGAACAGCCGGTTCCCCGGCCGGTTCGGGGAACCGGCGGTTCCAGTCCGGTTCCGACCAGTTCTCTGGAACCGCCGGTTCCGGTTCCAGAAAATTTAGAACCGGAACCGAACCGAAATTTTTCGGTTTCGATTCTTATTCGGCCCGGTTCCGGTTACGGTTCCGGATCGGTTCGAACCGACGGTTCTGATTCCCAAAACCGTAATATGGCCATCTCTATGTCCGTCACAGTTTTATTGAAATAAACTATGTTGTAATAACGTCACTACCCTAATAAAAGAAATAAATGTCAGATGATTACTAAACTTTTTTAAAATTAAATAACAGGGTCAAATAATGCCAAAGCTCCCTGTTTTTTCATTTCTTTCTACAAGTCTTCTGACCTGAGCAACATTTTGAAGTTTAAGTGGAGTAAGAAGAAAAGCAATTGATAATAAAATGATGGAGAAAAAAAAAAAAATTCGGTTTCAACTTGATCCAAGGGATTATTTTGAGCTTATTTAATTAAATATTTCTGAAAAATTAATGAATAAATTGAGCGTTTCTTTTTTTTTTTTTTTCTAAAGAAAAAAAGTCATTGAAGCCCAATTCCGTAATTCTGATAAAGCTTCACTGAAGCTCTTTCAGGTGACGTGTCCTACATCTATTCGCTCTTCCCACATTTCAAATTCAAAAGGCTCTCTCGGTCTCTCCCTCCCATTTCTCTTCTCCCTAAAGCCTACAAGAAAACGCTCTTTTCAAATCCAGCAATCTTAACTCTGTCTACTGTCAATGGAAGGTAACGATCAGCCATGTCCGTCACCATATGCACCGGCTTCTTCTTCTTCTTCACTACTCAAGGACATTTCAAATTTCAGAACCCCAAAACGCCCCTCTCATATCTCCAATTTCACCTCTTCCCCTTACCCCCAATTTTTCACTGCCTCCAAACAGACCCCACGGCAGTCTCCGTCATCCTCCTTTCGCCGTTACCATCACCGCCCTTCCCTCTCTGGTCGGCCAAAACACAAAACCGCCACTGCCCGTCGACTCAAGGCTTTTGAGCTCGAGCAATCCAAGTCCTCACGTAAGGTTCAGATTAAAAAAGAACAGTCTCTTCAATCACTTGCAAAGTCCCTCACTACTTGGCTCAATTTCCTCTTCCAGAACCCTAGGTCCTGCGGCTGTGAATTGACTATCAATGGAGATCAAGACATGGGTCCGGCGGGAAAGTTGGGGAAGAGGGATAGTGGACCTAGGGTTGGGGTGGTTGGAGTGGATGCTGCATGGCGGAGTCCGAAGAGGCAGAGGGATCTGAAGTGGCGAGGCGGTGATCATTTGGAGCTTAAAGGAGACGAGAGCTTATCTAGTTTTAAGTACTATGGTTCATTAAGGAATTCACTGAAGGATATTTGTAGTTTCGATGATTTGAAGCAGAGGATGGGGGCGTATTTGAGCTTGGCTAGTTGTAAGGAGATTTTTGATGTCATGACTCATGTAGTTAAAGTATGGTCTCGTCTCTTCTCTTAAATATTGTAACTGCTGGTGCTCTTTTCTATAATTTACTCTGGGGTTTTGATTGCCGTGTTAGTTAATAGTTGGCATTTTTAAGAACTGTAATTTTAAGTGTCGGTAATTAATTTTGTTTCGTTATTTCCACAGAATATTGATGAAGGAAGGTTGAAAATGAAGCCACATTGCCCCATAGTAACAGATGTTGGAATGAAAGAGAAGGCCACGAGAATTCTTATGTGCTATAACCCAATTTGGCTTCGAGTTGGATTGCATATTATTTTAGGTGGCGATTCATTGTTGCCCGATGGAGATGTCAATTCTGACCAAGAAATCGCCTTCTTGAAGATGGTAATTGAAAAGCAGTTTTTCTCACATGCTGGACTAGCAAAAGCTTATGCTTATAACAAGATGGTTGAAGGTTTATATAGACCCGGTTACTATGAAAATTTGGGGAATGTATTATTGAAGAGATTTTTGCTGCTGGTTCTTATCCTTGATAGAGTAAAATCTCGTAGCACACTTTCTCTGAAGTATGGTATTGATGGAGTTGATGGGGGTTCTCCTCTTTTGTTCAAGCTCCAATCTAGTATCAAGTCTAGTCGTCAAATGATTAACGGTAATTTTAGAATCATTCCTCATCTCGTATTTCGTAGATTGACTATAACTGTATTTTATTCATTTTAGCTGACTTTTCTCTATTTTATATAAAACTAGATTTCTTATCATCGGAGATTATGCTGGGAGAAGGTAACCTTCTTGCACATCTAGTGATTGTAGGTTACAAAGCATCATATCAGCAGGTAAGTGGTTCAATTTCTGCCATGGTAAACTCATTTGCATATGGATGTGCGTGCCTGTTGTGTTTAGGGGGTCAAGAGGCAGTGAATCTTGCACCTTTAAGCTGTGGGTCTCATGCATTAATGGCAAAGCTTAAACTAAAACTCCATTTTATGAACAATATAGTTCTGTTAATTGGCTAATTTACCAACAAAAACTTCATATCTACAGTGCCCTCTTGTTGAGTATGACTTTAGAGTGACGGACATATTTTTAGACCTACAAGATGGAGTGCGGCTTTGCAGAGCCATTCAGCTCTTGCAAAATGACTCATCTATTCTTATGGTTAGTTTTTCTTTTCTTTTAAGCTATGGATAAAAAAGGGAATTCATGAAACCTTAAAAACTATTCAACACGCTGAGGCTCGTTGTGGCAGAAAATGGTAGTCCCATCTGATACTCGCAAGAAAAATTTGGTGAATTGTGGCGTTGCACTGCAACATCTAAAACACGCTGGTGTGAAGTTGTGCGATGGAGATGGAATGACAATCATGGAAGATGATGTTGCTAATGGAGACAAGGAACTAACCATTAACTTGCTCTGGAACGTGTTCATCCATCTGCAGGTTTGTTTGCTTCTTTTCCTACTGCCATAGTTCTAAACTGTGTTATGACACTTTATGAAGTGAATAATTTAAGGTTCTTGACCTATCTCTTCATAAACTCTGCAGCTGCCACTTCTGATCAGCGGCACAATCTTAACAGAGGAAATTTTGAAAATTCGGGGAAGCAATGTGGTACGATTCAATTTTTGAGCTTTTTTTTTAATTTTTTATTTTTTATTTAAAGCATATGGAAAACATGTGTCCCTGGAGTTTTTCATTTCTAATTTTCACATTAGTGAAGCTGTAGCTTCAAAAAATGTGGCTGAACTTTTGGCACTTTCCATTTCTTTTTTCAGTTAGTTCTTTCTATTTTTTCTGTAGTTGCTCTCATTTTAAGTTGCATTTTTATTGTCCGGTCTTTCACAGGACCCCTTGAAAGGCATTAATCTTGGTTCTTCTTCCTTGGAGTTGCTTTTAAACTGGATCCAGGTAGGCACGTCCGCGTCATGTATTTCTCTGCACATCACTCTCCCTCCCTCTCTTCATGCCCTTTATTGTCCTCTCTTATGCATGTTAGATCCAGCTTCTACTAGTCTTGCCAGCTGGAGCATGTATATCTAATGAGATCCTTCTTTGACTTTCCCAATGGCTTTTTTCGTTTTTCGCTTTGGTTTGTATGCTTACAACCATTGGCATTGTTCTGCAGGCAGTGTGTGAAACGTATGATCACAAGGTTGATAGTTTTTCTTCTTTGGTTGATGGAAAAGCCATATGGTGTTTACTTGACTATTATTTCCGGAGAGAACTTTATTGTTCTCAATCCCTCAAGGTGGTATTTATTTTCCTATCTTGTTATCTTTGTTTTTAATTCTATCTATGCTACTTTCTCCTTTGTTCTTTTCACATTTATCTTTTGTTCACAGAATCCTCATGACAATAAAGGTGGAGAATCCATTATGTCTGCTGCTGATTACACAGATGCGGTCCACAATTTTATATTATCACAGAAGCTAATAACCTTGTTGGGGAATTTTCCGGAGGTAAGGATTTGAGAATTTAAACAATTGCAGTTAAGTTATTCATATGCATTCAAAACACATTAGCTCATGAAAAGAATAATTGAAGGAAAAAGATGTCTCTGACAAGCAATAATTTAATTTCATGATATCTTGCAATTTTGATATCGCTCGAGCGTGACAATTCTCTGAATAATTGACAAGTTTGACATTCTATGAAAAATTTTCATATGCTTATTTACAGGTTCTGCAAATCAGTGACATACTTGAACATAATGGTGCAATCAGTGAACAGAGTGTGGTTATTCTCTTGGTCTTTTTGGCTTCACAGCTGACTGCAAAGAAAACCATGGTAATGCCAGTATTTATACGCACAAAATAATTGGATCTACAGACTTAGGAAATACCTAATTAACTGCTTGTTTGTCTGGTAGGATCAGCTGAATTTTCATAAACTGTTGTCCTGTAATTGTCAAAGTCACGAGAGGAGACATTCAGATGGTGAAAACTCTGTTTTGAGTGTGAAAGGACTGCTAGACCACGAAGAAGTAGATGGGCACAATACTGGAGGTCAGTACTTCTATTTAAAAATATGTCTCTTTGCAGTGCATAACTTTTTCATTACATTGATGTTTGTGTTCTGTTTCCTTTTCGCTTTCATATGTTGAGCATTTCAAGTATATAGGCAATTGTGAAATAATTTTGTAACTAAAAAGTTCTGAAATTTAGGATATGTCCAATATTCCTTTGTCTGTATCCGTACTTGAGAGGGTGCCTAAAGGTTGATTCATGCATCTGGATTTGGCTGGTTGACAATCATGTACTTTCCCTTTTTGCAAAGTATGAAAATTCTCATAAAATTAGATCATACAGAAGGAAAACATGTTTGACTTTTGGAAACTGAGTTCTTTCCTAAAATTAAGCAAAAATATCAAATGCTATATTGTATACCTGCAGTTCTAGGTAATGAATAAAAAACAATGGTTCTAAAGGTTGATGCTTTATCTTTGTCGTATTTTAATTCCCCTTTTATTGCAGATGCTGCTAGAAAGTTTAAGGCCATCAAGGCTTGGTGGCAAGATATGGCGGAACGGAATAAAAAATTTGTTACAGAGCCTGCAACTTCTACTTTGCAGAACAACTCAACTAGCAAGTCCAAAGTCAACATTCTAAAAGGTTTTCCTTATAGATCCTTCTCAGTTTATTGTTTTTTGTGATGGTCTCAGCATGTTTTCGAATTCTTAGAACAGTTCATAAGTTTTCGAAGCCCTTGTCTTTCTTTGTTATAGAATTCAGCACAACATTTCTGTCTTTTTTTAACACAGTTAATATTTTGTGTTTTTGAGTATTGGACTATTGGGAGAGGACTTGAATTGTCCAGGTCAGATATGCACGTACTGGTAGGCTAGGCCTGTGATTGCTTTAGTTGAATTAATTATTAACAGAATTTAGTTTCAGTTTCAGTTACTACTCGATTACAGAGTTATTATTTGTCAGCAATTAACAGGTCAACAGTTTCTTTTTTTTATTTTTTTATGTTCGACCTAATTATAATTTATACCGAGTTCTGCAATTACGTTTCCCTTCTGATTGGTGCAAGTAGAACTGGCATGCCTTTTTGCTCAATTCTGTTGCTTGAATCCATTACTTTTAATAGTTTTTATTTGCCTCTTTCCTCCTTTTCACATATTGGAACATCTGAGTTCATTAGAGAATTTTTAAATTGTATTCAGTTTTTTTTACTTTTTCTCTACCACAACTATCTCATTACCAAAGTTGCCTTTTTGAATACCTGTTTCAGGAAATGCAGCAACACTCATACAGTCGCACTTAAGGAGATCAGTTGCACGTCGCAATTTTTTGAAGACTATCAATGCAATTTTCTTTTTGCAGACTGTTATTCGGGCTTGGTTAATGGTGAAGCAGAAATCTGCACTCAACAATTTCAGCATTCTTAGTGTTCAGGAGTCTATATACGGTATTCATATTTCCTTACCATCACATTTTTTATGACCTCTACTAGTTCAATGGAATTCTTGACTTTTTTTAGGATTGGTCATTGTTGCAGAGAAGTGGAAACAGTCAGACAGAGTTGGGAGATATGTCCAGTGTATTGTTGATAGACATAGCTTTGTTAAGTTAAGAAAATCAGTAATTTTCATCCAGCAAGCAGCAAGGATTTGGATGAAGGAAAGACTTAATTGTAGAAGTTCTAGAAATCATGGTGTATTCATTATTGATCTAGTTAATGCAGCCATAATTATTCAGAAATATTTTCGTGGTTGGATAGCAAGGTCCGGGTGCAAGGTAATTCAGATGAAGACAGCTTCACGCATGTGCCAAGTGAACAGTAGTGATATTGAAACAGAAGCAGCCATTAAAATCCAGCGTTCTTGGAAGAATTACATATCCAGTAGGTCTCTCCTCAATCAACATCTAGCTGCAGCTAGAATTCAGAGTCATTTCCGAGGTATGCTCTTAAGAAGGAAATTTTTAAAACAGAAGCAAGTGGTAATAAAACTCCAGAGTAATATTAGACGTGCAAAATGTTGGAAGTCCTATCAAGAGCTTAGAACCACTACCAGGTCAGCTATCATTATTCAATCTCACATACGTGGATGGATTGCACGGAGAGCAGCTTGGAGGAACAGACAACTTGTTGGTTTGCTTAAAGTAAGTTATTCCTTTTTCTAACTATCACAAGTGGCAAGTCACATCTTAATTGTTCATTTAATTCTATCTATCAAGGGTTCTTGTTGTACTTATAAGTATATAGGACTAATTTACTTTATGTTGATGAATTGTTGATCAAAATTGGCTTATTTCTGATTCAGGCTAGGCATTACATAATCATTTTTGACTTCTGTGAGCTATATTGATTCACCCTCACCACCAACTGTGTCTTATTTCTATAATTCTGGTTCATATGAAATTGATATTTTTTAGATGGCTACGTTTTTCCTGAAGACAAATGCTCTTGGCAATGCTGAGTCTTTTGGGGGCAATTTCAGCAGTCCCCATCTTTAGCTCTCTATCTCTCTCTTTTATCTAATGGATCTGCGGTTCTTTATGTTTCTTTTAACTTGTTTATTAAAGCAATGAGTTACAAATGTTTTAATGAATTCAGAGATGCTGCCGTGGTTGGTTGACAAGGAAGAACTATTTGCTTAAGAGAGAAGCTGCAATAGAAATCCAAAGTGCTATTCGGTGCTTTAACTGCTCGAAGGCATTTCATTGCAGCAAAATTGCTGCTGTTGAAATTCAACGGTTTGTCAGGGGACAGATCACTCGGAAAAGTCTCCTAGGTATTTTTTGAAAATTTCTCCTATAAAAACTCTTTTTGGCTGTATATTTCCTTTCATAAGCTCCTCTCTTTGTTTCTATTCATGTTGGGTTGTCTTAAAGCTAACCATATTTAGTCTTGGGCTATTACAGGGGCTTCTCACTTCCAGTCAGCCACTGATGCTAATTTCAATTTGCAAACTTCAGTTGGATGCACTCAGAGTTTTGAATTGAAAATGATGATATCTTCAATATTGAAGCTGCAAAGGTGGTGGAGAAGCGTTTCATCGCTTAAACTAAGAATAAAGTCAGTAATTCTTATACAGTCTTATCTTCGAGGATGGATTGCCAGGCGAGAGGTCTCTAGAGAAAGGCATTGTGCTGTGATGATCCAAGTAAGAATGTAGTTTCTCTCAGTTCAGCAATGTTTCTACTAAAATGCATTGCTTCTGGAATATAGCATGCATGTTTTATTGAAAATCTAATTGAGGACTTTCTTAACAATACAAGATTAAGTTGTCAAATTTTTCTTCACATTGATGAAGTTGTCAAACAGCTGATTGCTTCCCCTTCAATTTTCTTGTTTGTTGATAAATGGCTTAGGTAAATACAAATTACTCTATAAAGCCTTGTTTCAACAACTTGATTACTGCATAAGTTTTTTTTACGACTTTCTTTTCATCACTCTCTTTCTTTCTGGATATAATCTTGCTTTCCTGCTTAATCAATGATTAAGGGTTCTTTTGTTGAAGAGTTCCTGCCTTAATATCATCTTGCAGCTTCATAGGTCATTTATGTCCCCATTTTTTTCATTTTGTTCTTTTATTATATATGTTTTGAGTGAGTTTGTGTGTTTATCTGGAGGGGTTACGTAGGCTGTAGGTAGCTTCTTCATGATTGAACTTAGTTGTTTGACTACTCAACACTCCAATGTTCAGAGGCAGAGTATCGCCTTCCATTGACGTTGATGTATGGCATGTGAAAAATTTATGGTTAGGATACTATCATGTTTCATTGCCTCAGTTGATATATGGGGAAATTAATCTTATAATTTTCCAGTGAATATAAGATAAGAATGTCTATTTGGTAATTTGCTTGCTTTGATCACATTTTATATATCCTATTTATCCTTTCTAGTTTATATTTATTTAGTTTTTGGTTCTGGCTATTCTTATCATAGTTGAAGTATTAACATTTCGTAAATTTGACAGTCGCACTGGAGAGGTTATCTTTTGCGCAAAGACTCAAAAGGCAAGCTATTGGATTTGCGCTTGAGAGTTCAAAAGTCGGCTAAGAATGTAGATGACAGTATGCGAATTATTAACAGACTGAAAATGGCGCTTTCAGAACTATTGAGTATGAAAAGCATTAGTGGAATCCTTCATAATTGTGCAACATTAGGTAAGGATTTCTTATTGCTTGTATAATTTGGCAAAATTTTCAATTTGATTCAAGTTATTGCCCTTACTGCTATCTGGAAAATGTTGCATGGTTAGAGATTTTTTTCCAGGGATTCTTGTTTTCCCACATGATACTATAGTTCACAAAGACATTTCATAGGATGAGCAATTAAGTACCCATTCCAAAAACCTGTTTGGACAAAGAGGAAAGCCAACTTTCTTTAACATATGATTGGGAAAAGCATGGAAAAGGAAAGGTTACAGGAATACAATTGTACTCTAAATGTTTATGTCAACTGTCTTGTGCAGTTAATGATTTTTTTAATCATTAAATCAAGAATTATACTAGTAGAATATGCATATGACAGAATTTAATCCATGTTTAAATAATAACTAGGAGTCTAAGAAGCTTCTGATCCTAAAAGAATATTATGGCGTCATATACTCATATCAAAGTTTGTGTGGCAGACATGACCACTGAACATTCTCAGAGATGTTGTGAGGAACTTGTGGCTGCCGGAGCAATTGGCATTTTACTGAAATTGATTTGCTCAGTCAGCCGAAGTGTTCCTGATCAGCAGGTTTTAAAGCATGCACTCTCAACCATCCGGAACCTTACCCGTTATCAACATTTGATTCAAGTGCTAATTGAAAGCGAAGGATCAATAGAAATAATATTTTTGGAATTTCTCAGGTATTCATCTTATCTTTTAGAATGAAACATCAAAAATATATTTTCAGTCATTATTTACAAATAAAGTTTGTCTATCCAAATAAAATTTTTCCAGGAACAAGGAGGAAGGTTATTTTATTGCTTCAGAGATTCTGAAGAAGATCTTTTCAGAACACAGAGGTGCTAAAACCTTGCGCAAGTTACCCGCCCTCTTGAAGAGGTTAAATAGTCTTGTGGAAGAACAAACAAGGAAGGCAACTATTGAAAAAAGGTAAAAGACACTGACATTTTTGCAATTTTCTTCTCTTGTATATTACATGATAGGAAGTTTCAAATCAGGTGACAGATGCCTAAAACTTAAGTATGTCCTATTTTTATGTAGGAACCCTCATGGTGTGTCAGCAAAAGAGAAAGCAGAAAGAAGATTGAGAGAGGCCCTTGAACTCCTGAAACTGATGAAAACTCACTGATTTCTGGTTAATGAACTCGTGCACTCATGGCGTGGTTAGTTTGTGTGCTTTAGGGCGTTAATGTTTATAATATTTGTAAAACCATTTTATGTTTGGCATATAACGTGACAGCGTTGAACGACTGTACATAGGAAAAACGACGCTGTTTAAACAACTTGTGATATTCTTTTTAAGAAAACGGCTTACAGTTGTGGCGATTTAGTCACGAAGTCGTTCCGATCTTAAAAAAACGAGACCGTATTTGTCATCTTGGGGTCATCTTTGGTTAGCAACGGCTTGTAGTTGTCGCTATTTGAGTGATATATTTTTTTACAAGACAACGTTGGTTGTCGTACGAGCTCTCCTTGGCTAGAAGAACAAACTACATCGTTCAAACGAATCTCTTGCCAGTCGTTTCCTGATTTAAAATACTGAATTTCATTTATTATTTCCTAAGTAAAAAAAAAAAAAAAGAATTCATTTAAATCCCGTATAAAATAAATTGTATACAAAAGTACATCCTGTTAAAAGAATTATATTCTCTTTTGACTTCCCTTCTTTAGGGTTCATTTTCTTTTTCTGTTTTTTTTTGTTTTTTGTTTTTTTTTTAAGATTAAGGCTTTATAAATCGAGTTTGAATCCTCAATGGTAAAAAAAAAAAAAAAAAAAAAAAAAAAAAGAACAAAACTACATTCGTCTCAAACGAATCTCTTGCCAGTTCGTTCCTGATTTAAAATACTGAATTTCATTTATTATTTCCTAAGAAAAAAAAAAAAAAGAAGAAATTCATTTTGAAAATCCCGTATAAAATAAATTGTATACAAAGTTACATCCTGTTAAAAAGAATATATTCTCTTTTTGACTTCCCTCTTTTAGGGTTCATTTTCTTTTCTGCTTATTTTTTGTTTTTGTTTTTTTTTTTTAAGATTACAGTCTTTATAAATCGAGTTTGAATCCTCAATGGTAAAAAAAAAAAAAAAAAAAAAAAAAAAAAAAAAAAGACCTTCGAAAAAAAAAAAAAAAAAAAAAAAAAAAAAGACTTCGAAAATATTTTCTAATGCTTAAATGTTTTATAAATAATTCAAATTTTTATACTTGCGTGTTCATGTAAAAATTTGCAACTTGCTAGCCAAATATCTATGGCGATGCAACTATTTATTTGGCAACTTGCAACTAACCCTGGTTAAAGAGCGGTTACCCCGAAAGGCTGCGGCTGCGGTGCACTTGACGTTATCTTTTTGGAAGACGAAATTCAGATGAAGAATATAATATCTACGGCAACTACTAGTTTCAAAGCCCTGTTTGAACAGTCGATAAAAAAGTTATAGAAGCCCGCAAGCTTTCTGTCATCTAAATTTTAGATTAAATAATGATAAAAGAAGCACAACAAGTAGCATCTGCAATTTCTTTCTAATATATCTTGATCAAATTTAAACTCTATCAATAACAATGATCAAATATAGCATACTTATGCTAAAAATTCAAAATCCAATAATATTAGGTGCTAATTAAGACGCTAATCAAATCATGTGAAGATTAATAATTCATGCAGCTCTAGCAGTAACTTCTAGCCTATCTGAAATGGTCGTTGGGTCAATAAGGAGTCCCCTTCTTCTGTAAGATCTCGGTACGGTGACTGTCAATACACCCTCTTCATATCCTGCTGATATTCCATTAATATCAACCAAACCCGGAAGTCGAAATTTCCTCACGAAGCTCTTGGCAGGTTTAGTTGATTCATCAATGGCTTCAGTTCTAATAATAAGGTAGATTGAATCCTCAACCTCCACCTTTATTTCCTCCTTCCTCACTCCTGCAATAAAAATCAATAAAGAACTGAACTTTTCATTCCAATGAAAAAGTAGCAACATGAAAATGCAAAAAAATGGAAAAATGTTAAGAAAAATTGAAGTACCAGGCATATCAGCTGAGTAAACATGAGAATCAGGTGTTTGGGCCCAGTGAACATAGTTTTCTGAGGTGGCGGGATAGGAGAAGTAGGCAGGAGAGGCAAGGAGATAGTGCCATGGGAAAGGTTGATGGGTAGGGAGCTCCATTTTCTCCCTTCTGTTAAGTTTTTGTGGACAGGGAAACGAGCGAGAGATATATCAGAATGCAGCCCTACTTCTGTTTATACTGAGAGAGAGAGAGAGAGAGAGATAAAGGTATTTGACCCTTTAATTATTTGAGAGTAAGTAGCCAAATTGCAAGTTGGTGGGGTTTTGAGGCTGCAAGGTGATTGGGCATTCAAACCTTGCAGGAGGTTTCCTTCAATCCAAGGAAACGAAATAATGAATGCCAAAAATGTGAGGTCCCAATTTATTGGATTACTATTTTGTTCTGCAATGACAACTTTATCCTTCACAAAAACAGTAGCATTTCATTTCTTTCACTTTTTATTCTATCAATGAAAAATAATAAGTTTTCACCCCAGTATTCATCAACTGAGCTTGGTCACCTTGGTCACTGTTCACCTTTTGTCCCAGTGATTTCTAGTTTACGTGTATATAAATTTTCAAATATTGATATTTTCAATATCGTCACATCCTATTATAACAAAAGAAAAAAGAAATATCATCATAATGCATATTTGGATGAGCAAAAGATAGCCATATTCAGCATGATTAATTAATTGCTATAAAAAGATAACAAGATAGACAGCAAGGAAACGATTGTTGATTAAGATCAAAGGAAACATTTAAAGTTCATGCTTCACAGAAGCTGTCCTTAATCCCCAAAAGAAATCATGACGCTTATAATATACTACCTCAAACTAAATTGTTTCCATCATCTTAGCACAGGGCAACATCACCAAGTCACAGGTTTGAAAGCAGCAGGAACAATCCAGGTTCAGTCCTCCATGTCCATGGTACCAACTCATACATACCCCGACAACAAACATGATGCTGCATGGAAGAGGAGTGCTAGAAGTTCTTCAAGTCTTCGCAGGAGGGCCGCAAACAAACATGTGCAAAATAGCTCCATGGAGTACTTGCTTTGCACTGGCTTATGAAATTTGTGACTGTTATATGGAAGGCTGGACGCTTCCAGATTTGATCAATTCGAGTGCCCCACCCAACTCATGTAGCACAGTTTTAATTCATGTATTGACTCCAAGCACAAACCCATTGCTATAAGCAGGAAGATTGCTTGAAGTGCCGAGAGTCTTCACAGGGGACCGGAAAGGATTTGGTGTCACGGGATGGGTTATGTGCAACCCAGCTCCACGAAGGGCCTGCTTTGCATTTGAACATGAAATTTCTGATTTTTCTGTAAAAAAGGCAGGAACATTTGCAGATTTTATCAATTCAAGTGCCCCACTCCAACTTGTATAGCTATCCAATCCACAGTTCAAAACAACAATAACATGAGGAGAAGGCAGATAGGTGGCTTCCTCTTGATAAATGCCCCTCACAAGATTCACTCTCACCCTGCTACTTATTCCAGAAGTTGTGCCTGACAAATTTGTTGGCACTTCAGGTCCCACCATCACAATATGTATATTACCCGATCCATTAAGCAAATGGCTAATCTCTGCAAATGCTTGCATCCAATCCAACTCCCCTTCAGGCCCGAGGTAATGAAGAATCACCTCTTTGCCTTTGAGTAGCAGGTTCTTCGAACTGATATTAAGGGCAGTTAATATGTAATAAACAGTCAATGGGTGAGAAAGAATGTCAGCAACAGGACTTGACAATGGTAATGACCGAAGATTATAGTACTCTGGCCAGCCAGAAAGAAGGATCGGGCTTGATATCCCATCTCTTAAATGGTTATGAAAAGGCAAATCACGGGGATACTCTTCATCATCCAGCCCGCCCCATAAATCCCACAGTCCACCTTTGAAGGGGAGAAGTCCAAAAGGGCAGTGAGAGTAGCAACTACACTTTCGCCTCCACATTCCCTTCTGATGGATACCCAACGACTCGAGCCATTTACAAGGCTGATCAGCATAACAGGGAAACATAAAGATTTTCATTGCCAGCTCTTCTTCCCTTTCCATCATAGCCTTGTAAAGGCCACACATGCTCTTATGCATTTCTTTCCAATGCTGCTTCTGGCATACAGAACCGCAGTAGACCACTGCTCGACACTGCCCACAAGAGAGAGACTGTTCTCCATGAACTTCTTTTTCACACACTGTACACTGCCTCAAGCTGGAATTTGCATTTACTCTCACATCAACAAAAATCTCGTCCCTGGATCGCTCTGAATACTTGGTAGGCGTTGAGCTAGCTGTTGAGCTAGCTGTTGAGCTTGCCTTTTCCTCATATGCCTGACCAGGTGGGTGCGAGATAGTCACTGCAATAAGATCATACCCCTTGGCCATTTCTTGAGGCCACTGTACATCAACAGTTTCAATAAATGGTTCAAAATACATCAACTTTGACCACTTTGGACCACCTTCTTTATCTTCCTGAAGTAATGGATGCACCAGAGACATGGCTCTCATAAATGCATATACAAACCTAAGCTCTTCAATAGTTGGATGCCTAAACCGAAGTGTACCATTAGACATACAACGTGCAACATCAATTACAGGAAATCTATCAGCACCTGACACTTCCAAAGACAGAGACTTTATCATTTTCCTATTAGAAGGAAACATCAACGTTTCAGGTTCATATGTAACCCTCAAAAGCTCAACATTAGGAACACAAATTGTCTCTCTTGACGCCGTCATTTTCTTAGCATCATTTTCAGATCGAAACATGTGAAAGCACACATCCCCACCATCACCTCCTATGAACTGAACACATGGGAAAGGTTGTTTCTTGCTAGACCAATCAGAGTCCTTCCCTACTCGAATTCCAAAAAGATGTGCTGGACGCAATCTTCTCCATGGATCAGTTCTATAAAGAGCAGCACACGCTTTATACATTGACTTAATCAAATTAGGAGAAATGCCCTCCACCTTCATCAGGCAGGTCCCTGATCCAGGACCAAGCCCAGGACCAGAACCAAATTGCTCCTGGAATCTACCAAACAGGCTCTTCAAATGCATATCCATTGAGACCGCTGGTATCAGATCTAACTAAATTCTATTACCAAACTCCGAAACCTCAATAGAACCAGAAAATCCTAAAACAAAGCACGAGCCTTTATTGCTAATATAAATACAAAAACCCAAAAAACTCAGAAATTGATCCCCAAGGTTCTAAAGACAAGCAAAGTAAAACTAGAGAATCTAATCAGAAGCAATGCTTGAAAATGACAGTATTCAGTATTCAGTATTCGAAGTGTATGACAACACTCACTAGAAGAACACTAAAGAAAACTTGAAAGAGGAATTTAGATCAGAAGCATTAAATGGAATCAGAAAGCAAATGATCAGTGCGCCGTACCAGAATTCGATGCTGAAAGGCGGACATAAGAGTGACTCAGTTCAAAAGAGCTACTCAAATCCGGAGACTGTCATTGAATTGAAAATTGAACGAGAGAAAAAGGTCAAACCGAGCCGCAAAGGAAATATGGAAGACTGTCGTTGACTTGATCTAAATCACAAATCATAAAGTACGTCTACTTATCGACGGTTGTATAATTAAGGTGCAATGGAGCTGCTCTACATCTGCCCGTAGTTAATTATATTCTCAAAGTTCCCTAATAGACATCTGCCACGCGTTAATACTACGTGTCGCTCAAGTGATCAATAAAAAAAATCTTAGCTAGATTAAATCTCTTGCCTTCGCCTATTGGATCCCTCTTTCATTCTCTCACTCTCGAGAGCTAGGGTTTCTTTTCTCTTCTCTCCTCTCCTCCAAATATCTAAAGCCATGATGCAGCAGCCAGGAGCTGGAGGCATACCACCTCCACAGCCACCTATGGGCCCACCTCAACCACCGTCAATGGCTCCACCACCTCCACAGGCTCAATACCAGCAAGCTCCTGCGCCTTACATGATGATGATGCCTCCGTTGCCACAGTCTCAACCTCCGCCACCAGCCATGTGGGCTCATCAGACTTCGATGGCACCCTCGGCGGCGCCACTGCAGCAGCAACCACTCCAGCACAGCCAGCAACAACAAGGTCATCCTGCTAGTGCAGATGATGTTCGTACCCTTTGGATCGGCGATTTGCAGTACTGGATGGATGAGAGTTATCTTCATAGCTGCTTCGCTCAGACCGGCGAGGTAAAAAAAAAGGGAAAAAAAAATCTCTATTTAGGTCTCCATGTATGTATCTAGCAACAGTTTCTGTTAACGGATTGCCTTTTGAATATCGTGCAACTGTTTATAGTTTCTTCTGATTTGATTTTGTGTGTGTGTGTATATATATTCCCTGATGGATGACCTCTTTTTTGTTGAATAAAAAAAATCCTCGTTATTTATGTTTGCTAAAAAATTTGATGGTATTGGCTATTTGATTATGTACAATTCTTAATACATGTAGAATTTTTATGGATGCGTCATATGGATCAAATATATGAACGGTTCATTAAGTCGCATTAATATGAAACTATTATGCTTAATTTATGGCTTTAATGATCCTTTATCTCAAGCTATTCTTTTTATGTTTTAGAGTTTAGACACATCCTATGTGCTCATAAATCAGGAAGGTGGTGATTTTCTTCTCTTTTATTTTTGTTTACTGAAACTGCTTGTATTTGCAGGTGGTTAATGTGAAAGTCATTCGAAATAAGCAAACTGGTCAAGTAGAAGGTTATGGATTTATCGAGTTTAACAGTCATGGGTCTGCAGAGAGAGTATTGCAGACCTATAATGGTACTCCCATGCCCAATGGTGAGCAGAACTTCAGGCTGAACTGGGCATCTTTTAGTGGGGGTGATAAACGTGATGATACTCCTGACTTCACCATATTTGTTGGAGACTTGGCTACTGATGTTACAGATTACCTACTGCAAGAGACGTTCAAGGTCCGCTACTCTTCTGTTAAGGGTGCAAAAGTTGTCATTGACAGGCTCACTGGACGCACAAAAGGCTATGGGTTTGTTCGGTTTGCAGATGAAAGTGAACAATTACGTGCTATGACTGAAATGAATGGGACTCTCTGTTCAAGTAGGCCTATGCGAATAGGGCTAGCTACAAACAAGAAGGCAGTGGTTGGCCAGCAGTATCCTAAAGGTATGTCTGTAGGATGTCTTTGTTGTTACTTTATTTGAATGCCTCTCCTCTTATCCATGTCCACCTTGTCTTCAATATGAATTCTTAAACATGGTAGGTCATTAATTTGGTTTTCCAATTACTGTATGATGTGTGGTATGCTGAACATTTTTGTTAAGTCCTCTTTTTCAGTTATGCTTTCGAAGATAGGCAGCAGTTTCCCAAGTCATTTCCTTCCTGTACTTTCCTTTAGCATTTGGGCACTAAATTCTATTAAAGTCTTAAAACTTGCATGAAACTTATAGAAATCCTGTTGTCTCAAAGCAGGGCGTCAAGAGGCTCTATCATCTAGGGGCCTGGGACTGATTTCAGCTGAATTGGTAACCCTTTAGTGCATGCCTCGCCTAGGTCAGTTTTTAGTTTTTGTCTTGTCCTTTATTTAAGCTTTTATGTGGCATCTAATATGCTACATTCTTCGAAGCATCTTTTCTGTCCCTTCAATTGTTTGAGCTTTCAGTCAATTTGCATTCTGTTACTGCTCTGGTTCTTCATCAGTTCAGTAACATGTCATTTTTGTCAGAAGGTTTAGTTCTACTCTTGTTTTCCTTTCAGTTTTTAAGAAATTCATTCTTGTATCTATTTTCCCTCATTATTCGCAAATACATTATTCTAGTTAATAATTTTAGATTTGTGTGGCTATTTATGTATCTAGATTTCACTAAATTTCAAGATTCTTGTTCAGGAGTGTGATGGTGATGTAATATTGTTTGAAGCTGCACAGCAGTATGTTCACAATTTTGACTGTTACCTTGTACTGAACTTTCATAATTCCCAAATTATTTATTGCTTGGGACTTGGGATTCCATGTCCTCCTGTCATATTCCTCTCTTTCATTTTGGTGAATGTTATCTTTTTGAAGGTTCTCTCCATGTAAACTTGGTGGTTTTTGTCAATGTTCAACAATCCGCCCATCCCCCCTCAATTTTTAAAAGGAAAAAGCATAGACATGGAATAATGTTTCTCTTTGTTTGGTATTCTCAGACATCAATTGCCTTGTGGCTGGGAGGACGGATGTGATAAACTGCTGAACCATGCATGTTCATTCCAAGACATTGTTCATGATTAGCTTTTTTTGCTGGTTTTGCTACCTGCAATGTGCCAAAAAATTTGTTTAATATTAGAGTAATGGTGTACACATATATTATTTGTGGTGAGGCAGTATTTATGGTAGTGGCTTAATGAGGCAATATTTATGATCGTGACTTAATCATCTGTGTTTCTTGTTATTTGCTTATATTGCTTGGAAAATAATTTAAGGTATTATTGTGTACCTTATCCTCAAATGTAATCCAATTTAAAATACGTTCGCTTGACAGTGCAATGTAGCATAAAATAACAAGAACTCGGTAACTGAGCATTTTGAGGGCTGAGCAAAAAAAATGTTGAAAAATTAGATATCATAAAAATCTCTTGGCATGTGTTACTTGTGGTGTACGGATCATATATTTGTGATTTAATTTATGAATCCTGTTCCTTCAAATTATGTTTGCTCATATTTTTGAAAAATTGTTGAGGTACAACACATGATTCTTGACCTAATTGATTACCATGAGACACCATAGTGTTTGGCTAGTCTGTCGCCAGTATTTGTCCACCAAATCTCCAAACTCTGAAGAGGAAAATTCTCCTTATTTTGTATTCTTTTTTTTTTTTTTTTTTTTTTTTTTTTTACCATGAGACACCATAGTGTTTGGCTAGTCTGTCGCCAGTATTTGTTCCACCTAAATCTCAAACTTGAAGAGGAAAATTCTCCTTATTTTGTATTCTTTTTTTTTTTTTTTTTTTTTTTTTTGTGTTTTTTTTTTTTTTTTTTTTTTTTTTTTTTGTGTATTTCACACATTTGTCACATGCAGCTTCGTATCAGAATTCTCAAACTCAGGGTGATAACGAGAACGACCCAAATAATACAACTGTGGGTACATTATTTTATTTTTGGTATATAAATTATTCCTTTGCTGCACATTTGTGACTGGCACATTTTGATGCAGATATTTGTTGGTAATTTGGATTCGAATGTGACGGATGACCATTTGAGAGAGCTTTTTGGCCAATATGGCCAATTATTACATGTAAAAATACCTGCTGGCAAGCGATGTGGATTCGTTCAGTTTGCTGACAGGTAAGGACATCTACTGGACAACTGCAGCGACATCTCTTATGGGAGAAGCATAGAGTATTTAATTTGCTTTTGTGCATGGATCAGGAGCTGTGCAGAGGAAGCGTTACGGATGTTAAATGGAGCTCAGTTGAGTGGACAAAATATTCGGCTTTCATGGGGACGCAGTCCTTCAAACAAGCAGGTATGTTGATATTACTTGATTCCAACTTTTGCTTTTGGAAAACATGAATGCTTGAATCTGATATCCCATGGATGGCTTCTTTTTTCAGCCACAGCCAGATGCTAGTCAATATGCTGGATATTATGGATATGCACAAGGATATGAAAACTATGGATATGCCCCTGCTCCCCAAGATCCTAACATGTACTATGGAGGCTATCCTGGGTATGGCAATTATCAGCAGCCCCAGCAGCAGCAGCAGCAGCAGCAACAAGTGGGATATAGTTGAGAAGTTTTGACCTAATTATGCAATCATTTATTTCAGTTGTGAGATGGACTGGCGTTGGTTCTATTTATGTGGCTTTCATGGTAAACAAATTCTGGCTGTGTTGTTTCATTGCTAATAGCATATGCACTGTAGAAACCTCAGTTCTACTAAATTTTGCACAATTACTATCTTAATGTGCCAATTACGTTGTTTTGTTTCTATATATTGAACTTGCTTTGTGGATGACTGATATATTGAACTTGCTTTTTGGATGGCTATTTTGAGCGTCTCCAATTTAATGGACGATGGGCACTGATTCCTTATTTTCTTCATCAAGCAACCCGTTATGTTTTAGAAGAATTTATTATCTTAATTATTACTTATAAAAAGTGGGCTGATGTAGAAAGGCTGTTCACTTCGCATGCAAATAGATTTTGAGAGATTAGAAAGTGATTTTGGTTAACCTCTTTTGCAGAAGAATTTTAGTATAAAAGTTTTCTTCTGAGGTTCTATAGATGGATTAGAAATTGACAATCAATGTGAAGATAGAAATTTAGTGAAGGTTTCAGTTTCAGATGAATCGAGGGGTGATATTAATTTTTTCAATTATGAAGTTGATTTTTAAAATTTTATTATTATTATTATTATTATTATATACTAGTATATGTTACGATAAATGGGATAGGAATCAAATTATAATTACCTCAAGATGACAAATAAAAAGATTCTCTATTTTTATGTTGGATTTATATTGTTAAGCTCATTATACATAATCGAAAAAAATACTGTGTGAACAGTTCTGTAATTATACGAAAGCGTTTAAGATTCACTCTATGGGCAGGCAATCTATTTATCCTTTTTAATAATTTTTTTTGAATAATTCTCGTTTTAAAATATGGCAGAGTAAGCCGTCCAGGATCATTCAAATTTTTCCCAGCAGAATTAAAGCTTATGAGCTAAATTCTGCTTTGGAGAATTGAGTAGTGTATTTCATTCAATAAGGTACTCTCTTCTTTGGAGCACATAGATGTTTTTATACACAATAAAGATGTGAAGACATTAATTAATACTTGCACAACGTGAAGCTATACATCCAGTTTTCTTGAAAACATATTCGAAATCACCATAATTATTTCAATGCAAGCACATTTCAAGCATTTGTACTGTTACTCATGTGAACGATTGGCAAGCATGATACATTCCATGGTGAAGTGAACTTCAAAAGTGAAAGAGCATCTAAGAAAGTTTAAGACGACATTTTGACAAAAGAGACGACATGTAAAATTGCTTCCAAATGATGCAAAGAAAATAACCATCAAAATTTGCCTACATTAGTCTCATTTCGAATATGCGTATCATGTGCCCATCTCAAGGTGAAGAGAGCAGCAGTTCATATTACAAAATCACCAGAGCAAATGGTAAAAAGTATGTCTGAGTTTGTACTTGAGTATCTGTCAATGCGCTTAGCATCACTTGTTTATTCTCCAATATGTGCCTTCATTACCTATCACAACTTTTTACTGTTTACGTAGTTTCAGATGCAACTGCAGAAATCGTTTGCGTGTGAAATTATCAACGCATAAACTAAGATTCTGTAGGTGGAATTGGATCCTTCAAGTTACAATCCACATTATTAGCCGCACCAGAAGAACTGCAGAACAAAGATTCAGTGATTCTGGGAAGAACAGGTCCATCAATAGCAAGTTTGGGCTCAGATTGAATAGATACTCTCTCAAAAAGAGTTACCGGTAAGCTGGTCACTGGTGCAGAAGCAGAGTCTTCCTCCCCAATGTTTACGGCACCAGAAGAACTACATAGCTGGGGTTCAGCTATCCTTTGAGGAGAAGATCCTTTAGTGGCAAGCTTGGATGCAGAAGAAATAACTTCTCTATTGAACAGCATCACTGGAAGACCAGTCATTGCCACTGGTACAGACTCTGAGTCTGCCTCTGTAATATGATCAGCATGATTTAGAGGCCTGCCATTTAAGTGGGATGTCTCATTTCCATTAATAATTTTCATAGCAAGCTCTGGTGGTGCAGCTTTGTCTGGGGAAACCTGTCTTTCCATCCAAATTTTCATTCCAATTGGTTCACTAGACATCATTCGTGGTTCAATGGACATAATCCCAGGTTCAGTGATCGCAGGAACTTGGTTGTTCTCAACGCTTGTGCTTTTTACTTCATCATGAACCAATTGATTTGGCTTGAATTCGTTATCAGCAGCCTGTTGTTGAATTTGAAGCTCAAGATTAACAGTTCCAGTGCCAGGAAAAATATCAACAGAAGGTGCAGATTGTGGCAATGATTTTGATTGCTCAGTTGTCTCCAAATTTACAGCAGGAACTTTTGTTATGGAAGCTTCAAATTCTTTCAGAGACTCATCTTGTTCAGAAACTTTATTATGTTCCATCTGTGGCATGTCAGAGCTAGACTGTCCTCCAAGTCCTGACTCCAGAATTTGCTGTTGTGCAACAATGCCTCCTAACGACGATCCTGTGCTACTTATCGGCAGATTATCAATTAAAGAAAGCATACTAGGAGTGGGTTGATTTGTGCGTGCGACTGGAACATTGGATTGAAAGTCAGATGATAGCCCTTGGATTTGAACTGGTGCAAGGTTTTGAAGCTCAACAGTTTGCTTATCACTTTGATTGGATGAAGGAACAGGGCCAGGGACCTGAGTTGGTGGATTTGGAAATGGTATGGGCATCTCTGTCCTTCTGTACATTTTTGCTTGCGGTGCAATATCATTTGAGGCTGAGATAGGAGTAAATCTGCCTGGCAGAAACACAACACCCCTAAGATGAGTGTCAGTATCACCTACTTTAACTTTAAGGAGATATCCAGCATCAAATGAGCCCTCAATGACACCAGAAACGACTTGACCCACCATTTCATCAGCAACAGTACCAGGGGTATCCACACACTGTTTGTTTTTCTTCATATCAGCTACAGGCATTGCAGGCACATTCTCCACTTGTACCAGGCTCTCATCTTTACGGGGACGGCCCCGTTTTCGCTTCAAAGGGGGGTCTGATGGAGAAGAGCTGGTCCCCTGAAACTGTGGGTTCATATTGCAAAGCACAGAAGATGGCTGATTTTTTCTGCTGCAAACAAAATAATTGTTACTTTTGTCTTAGCTTATTGATGTCAAGCATACAATTGAAAAGTAATATAGGAATCATTTCTGAATTAATAAAAAAAAAAAAACATAAACGAGTATATCTACTCCAGTAGCCTCTCTCTAGTAGTCTTCACTCATGGTCCCCAAACTCTTTTCTCTGATGTGCCCACAAAGATTTTTTCCTCATTTTTTCAATAACGTATTTGCCTTTCCCACATGAACTACTCTGTGAAATGACCACTACAACTAAGGCCAAAAACACACAATAAGGGAGTACTTATCCAGTCAACAGTGTACATAGTCCCAAGTTCATCTCACCACATTTTAATTCAAAATCGGAGGTGAAATTAAGCAAGAATAAAAACAAAAATGGGAAACATATATGGCGCGAAACATAATTAATAGGCTTCAAATAATTAAGCAGTTTGATGACTGGAAGATGGCTAAATGATAATATCTGCAGGCACAAGTTAATCATCTATAACCAGGACAGAGAAATATGTCCTCCATGTAATGGTCACACAGCTTAATATGAGATGTTAAATCTAGAATTTGGTACAACACTCATTGTTTCCTTCTGATAGGATATCAAAACAAGGTGCAAGTACATCCAGCAGAAAGTCAATCCTAGGTACAACAACCAAGTTCAGTATCAACCAGAACCAATCATCATACAAACCCCAAGTCAGTAAAGCCAGCTCGCTCATTCACAGAAAAGTGTCAATTGCGCTGATTTTATCCCATAGTAAAATTCAAGAAAATTAGCTCAAATTAACACAGATCTATATAAATGAAAGGTCTAGGCAAACAAAGATCGACAAAAACAATTAAAGAACAAAAAGAATGTTCAGGTTGGTAAGAAACAAGGAGATGTATTTTCACATAACAAAACAATCTTTTTAATGAGAGGGAGACAAATGAGATAGGACTGTTTCGCCAACAACAAAAATCTGCTTCAGTAGTTTGTGAGCAAATGGGACCACAGGTCTTCATGTAAATAGCTTGAAGCTGCAAATCTTGCAAAATCTATTGCAATCAAATTTTGCTCACAAAATTACGCTTAACTGCTTCTAACACGCTTCCTGACTAGACCTTACGGTGGATCCCGTTATTATTTTAAAGGAAGAGGAAAACAGACAGAGTTTAACGAGAGTTGAAAGTAATGATTCTGGGGGAACCCAGGTTACATTTGATGATACATCCATATAATTGGCCAGTAATCATTCAAAGATGATTCTATGCATTAACACTAGTATAGCTCATTACACTCTGCACAGATTACTTGATGTATAGTGATCTTCACACTTCCTAATTATTGATCTTTTTTATGCTCATTATGGCATAATTCTCTCCCCTTGAACATGACACATTATCTGAGAATGTTTTTGCCACCATCTGACACAACACCAACATGAAAGCAGTAACAAAAATTTATCATTGCAAAACGAATGAACAAATACCCACGAAATGCTTTCCGGACAACCAGAAAACAAGCAAAAACCTATCACAAGAAGCAGGATTTAAAGTTCCAATTCAACATTTAAATTATAAACCATCGAACGAGAAACAGCCTTGAATAATAGACAAACACAAAATAGAGGGGTGGAATATCAGGCATACATCAAGAAGATGAATACCCATTTCATGGATTTCATTTATTAACATCACATTTTGTTTCGCTAACAATTTCAGTGCATCTGTAAAAAATGTATCGCCTAAACAATGAGCTGACGCAGAAAACAAGGGAAATTTTAACCTTTGTTTTCATTCGCACCAATATGATCCGTGAAAAGAAAAAAAAACATATATAGGCAACTGATCAGCTGCATTAAATTTTACTTTTTGTTGTCAGGAAATAAAACTACATCTAGTGGATTGACTTACAGAACTTACGTTGCCGATGCTTTGAAGGATTTGAATCACTTAATAGCCAAAAGGATGTTGGACGAACCAATCCAAGAAATGCCAATATCTGTGGCGCGTTACTTCTTTACTAAAATTTTTTTGTTTGATTCTGTTTCTTACTTTCTTTGGCGTTTGTTGTTTGGTTCATGGGAAAATAACAGAAACAAAACAAACTGGGAAGTGGGAAGTTGGCGCAGTGTTACATTTCGGTTTGGGTCCTTAATGGGCTTAAATAGTTTGGGCTTAACAAGACTTAAATCTTTTATTTATTCAAAAATAAAACCAGGGAAACGTTTTCCTGTCATAGATGATAGGGAAATTTTCCTTCGATGACATGGAAAGGAAAATTTTCCGTCGCGCGTGCAAGTACCTGTTTGAAGTTGATCGCCACCGTTCAAATTTGGCGACTAAATAAAATAATAGCTAAAACCGACATATTAGGGAACGTGTGGGATACACGAGTCTATCGTCAAACTTATGGCCAACAAAATAATCCCCTAATTACCATTTTCAAAACCAGAAAATTTCCTTGCTCCATCTAAGCCACAGCCATGGCTTCTCTGCTTGCCAACGGTATTTCAAGCTTTTCTCCACAACCCAACTTGGATTCAGCTAAGCTGACCAAATCCTTTTCCTTTCCTCTAAAGCCCGCGATTGCAAGAATCCCCAGACCGGCAAATCTTGTCAGGATCCGAGCTGATGTCGGTTTCGAATCCAAGACTCTTAATTCGGATTCAGGTAATAGCGCTACCACTTCAACTTCTAGCTCTGACGAAAAGATTAAGGAAATTCTTCGTAATCGTGATTACGACAAGAAATTTGGCTTCACTATGGATATTGACTCGTTTTCAATCCCTAAAGGTCTTTCTAAAGAAACAATTAGGTTAATTTCTTCGCTTAAAGAAGAACCTGTTTGGATGCTTGAGTTTAGATTAAATGCTTTTGAGAAATTCTTGAAAATGAGAGAACCTAAGTGGTCGGATAATATGTATCCAACAATTGATTTTCAAGATATTTGTTATTATTCGGCTCCTAAAAAGAAGCCAACTTTGAATAGTCTTGATGAGGCTGATCCTGAACTCCTTAAGTACTTTGATAGACTCGGTGTGCCTTTGAATGAAAGGAATAGATTGGCTAATGTTGCTGTCGATGCAGTTCTTGATAGTGTTTCAATAGCTACCACACATAGGAAGACTCTTGAGAAGGCTGGTGTGATTTTTTGTTCTATATCTGAGGCAATAAAGAAGTATCCCGATTTGGTTAAGAAGTATTTGGGGAGAGTTGTGCCTAGCGAGGATAATTATTATGCCGCTTTGAATTCTGCTGTGTTTAGTGATGGATCATTTTGTTATATACCGAAGGATACCAAGTGTCCAATGCAGATTTCCACGTATTTTAGGATTAATGCAATGGAAACAGGGCAGTTTGAGAGGACATTGATTGTTGCTGATGATAGGAGTTTTGTGGAATACTTGGAAGGGTGCACTGCACCATCTTATGACACAAATCAACTTCATGCAGCTGTAGTTGAGTTGTATTGTGCCGAGGGTGCAGAAATTAAGTACTCTACTGTGCAGAACTGGTATGCTGGTGACGAGGAAGGAAAAGGTGGGGTTTATAATTTTGTTACAAAGCGAGGACTTTGTGCTGGGGATAGGTCTAAGATATCTTGGACTCAAGTGGAGACAGGTTCTGCAATAACTTGGAAGTACCCAAGTGTTATTTTAGAGGGAAATGATACTGTGGGAGAGTTCTATTCTGTTGCTTTGACAAACAATTATCAGCAGGCAGATACAGGGACAAAAATGATACACAAGGGAAAGAATACAAGAAGTCGAATTATTTCAAAGGGTATTTCAGCTGGGAATTCCAGAAACTGTTATAGGGGCCTTGTTCAGATTCAATCAAAGGCAGACAATGCTAGAAACTCCTCACAGTGTGATTCAATGCTTATCGGTGACACTGCAGCTGCCAATACATATCCTTACATTCAGGTAATTTTGTTTAATCTGTTAACATGCTTCTGTAAACCTAAAATTTTATCGTCTCTGTGAATATATTAGCTCTCTTTCTATCCAATTTTCATTTGATAAACAATAGGTTATAATCTCTATGGATCTTATTTTACATAATTATTTTGAATGATGTTAACCATAGTCTGAAAAAACCTGCCATAACATGATTGCTATTTTGATCTGTTATATGCAAATTTTACCATATATCATTTCTCTTGGTATCCTTTATGATACATGCTGATGTTGCATTCTTTCTATCTATTTGAGGATATTTTTAGACAGTTCTCAAGCATGGTTACTACTTTTGCATTCAAAGTTGCATAATTTGGATGTGTACAGAAAACTAAAAGCTTACATCCAATTTGAGACAGTTGGGTAAATGTCCACGACATTCAAGATATTGATATACACTTCACAGGAAATTTAGAAATATAGGTCTCTAGATAGCTGCTTTATCTATGTTAAGTAATACATTACTTAAGTTTGATTACTTGTTGCAATCGCTGATTAAACTCTATAGTGGGAAATCCTGCGGTTTGGGATTGAATGTAAGCAAAACCGATTCAAGTAACATCAAGGATGTACTGGGGTTCTTGAGAGAACCATTTCAAAGGAACTTGGTATTGTGATCCTACTTATAAGGTATGGGACTTGCAACCCACATTGAAAGAGCTGGATTTTGATATGGGTTTTATGCTAGCTATTCAGCTCTCCAACCCTATTAGTTAATATTGGTTCCTCCAAGGTCATATCAATCGGCTAATTGACCCACCCCTTAAAATTAGTAGAGGGGTTACTCTCCTACCTTTTGATGAGGAAAGTGGCATGGTTACTTGATAAATATTATCTAACTATTTTTTTCATTATCAATTGTGGGATATGTCAGTTAGACAGCCTAGATTATTATGGCTTGTTTCTCTTCTCCTGTTTAGCTTTTGTGTGATAGTGGTTCTGGTCCAATGCATTTTATCCTTGCTGTCAGGCCATTTGGGCCTTGAGCTGCCCCAAGCCAACCCATGGGCTGGGTCAGGATAGACTAAATGGTACTTCCCTAATATTATGCATGTGGCTTCTGCTCATATCTTTGTGGTGGTTTAGTTGGTTTCAAAACTTTCCTTGTCATTAGAGAGAGATGTACAGGAGTTTTTTTCCAGAACAATACAGTTGCTTCTTGCATATAATAAAAGGTATATGTGGGTGGAGCACCTGTTATTTTTGAGAAACTTCAGTTCATAGTCAGCAAAGACCTGAAAATAGAAATTGCAATTCTAAAAGGAACACTGCAAGGCAATAAGTTGCTGCAGAAAGTACCTTGGAATGTCTTGTTGCCATACTTAGAGTTCTTAATGACCAAGAGAACTAGAAGCCTCCATCTTTGTGCCTTATATCTTAGTTGTCAATACTTTAAAATTTACATTGTAAATCATCATTGTGATTGTATGTTTGGTATTCTCTGGTGAATTTGCCGTATTGGTTCTCATAAGTTGGAACTAGAAAATTACAATTATGCTACATCATTGCCTAATTGTTTAATCTCATCATTTAACAGGTAAAGAACCCCACAGCGCGTGTTGAACATGAAGCCAGCACCTCTAAAATTGGTGAAGATCAGCTATTTTACTTCCAGCAGAGGGGAATTGACTATGAAAAGGCCATGGCTGCCATGATTTCTGGGTTCTGTCAGGATGTCTTCAATGAACTTCCTGATGAATTTGGAGCTGAGGTGAACCAGCTTATGAGCCTGAAGCTTGAAGGATCAGTTGGTTAAGCTGCAAATGAAAATCATGTTTTTTTTCGTCAGTGATTTGATTATTGGAGACGTTTCATGAAGTTTGATCTGTAAATGCATCACTCAAGAAAGCTGTATACTTGGTGGTTTCAGAGTAGGGCAAGAATCATCTGTGACCCTTTGTTCTGCCAAAAAGGAAAAAACAGAAAATAAAAACACGAACTCATATCTAACGTTGTAATAGTATGAGATGTAGTATGTAACGTGTGGCATGGTAATAATACTGATCTGTAACATAATTTGTGTTCACATGTTGTTAACTTCTGATGTCATTGCAAGTCTCACGGATTTTTGGTCTTGTTAATCTGATCTTCTACAGAGAAATAAGTTGAACGCTTGTACTTAATGTCGTGCGGCTAGAGATATCGCTGTTACACCATGAACTAAAGATGGCAAGCAATCTCCTCTTCAAAACCTTCCCACCGGCCAATCTTGTCAATGGGTCAATGTTGTGTGCTCTACATGTCTTTTAGATTGAGAGGTAGACAATTCTACAAGAATATATAATTAATTTGTTTGACTAATTAGTGAGTAGATTGATGATGTCAAGCAACATGCTTGAGTCGGCCATAACGACAGGAGCAGAAAAATACCTAGTGTTAGGTGCATAAACAAGTATTACATCCGTTTTCATTTGTATTATTTTTGTTTTGTATCATCCAGTGATTGGGAGGGAATACAGATGTATACTAATGGCTGATTTCTCCATAAGATAGGTTCCAACAGAGGTGGAAGAAATCCATTAAAGTGAAGGTTACAAATATATAGAAATAAAGATCAAACCTGGGATCTGTCAGCTTTATCACTCGGGCGAGGCATTATCTATGTCGATTTCATTTTATATGGATGGAGGCTTTTTCTTGAATTAAAACATTTATGTTATTTGATTGATGCTTCAAGCTTTCAACCTTTTCAATAATTGACAGAGACGCAGCTTCTTTTGGTAAGAAGATAATACCAACGTTTTAAGAATCCTCACTGGTCTTGATTTTGACTCTCATTTTGAGTATTATTTTATGTTCAATAATTAGTTTTCAAAGATGCTTCATGCCGGTGCATAATTGTGTTCTATTTTATACAGAGCATGCTTTGACTTCAGAGCTCATAAAAGAAAAATATAACTTGTATATTTGTTCATACTTAAGCCGGTGTGATCCCTCCAAAAATAAAAAATGCCGCGTATGTTTAATGAACTTATAGATCCATTAATTTCTATCATTTTGCTAACTAATATTAATTTTTTTGAATATAAGATATAAATGTTGAATGTCGTAATTACAATAAATTCTATTTACCGGTGAATTCACTAAATAGAAAATGTAAATAATTTTAAGAAGTGAGTTACAATAACAAGAATCATTTTTCCCTTAATCAGAAGTCTCGAGCCCTGTTTATTTGATATTTTTAAACATTCGAGAGGGAGTATTTCGCCATTTCTGTAGATGTACCGGCGCAAATCTAGATTAATTAGGACGGATACTTAAAAATAAAGAAAATGTATCTATATTGGGAAAACAAATTAATTATTGGATGTAGTTTTCAAAGGCCAACTATGATTTTTATATTTCCATTATTTTTCTTACCAAATTAGTGCACATGCACTGCTACATCACCATATGCATTCTCTGCAACCCCCACCTCACATCATCATCTTCATCGACTACTCCTTCAAGTCCTTATAAATACTTGTTTAATTTCATTTCTATGTTATTACTCACTTGTCTACTTATACTCTCTAAAAACTCTCTACTCTTTCTAAATTCTAGGGAGAGACGATGAGTCTTGTAATGAAGAGAGGATATGGGTACTCAAAATTAGATAAAGAAGATCCAGAAGAGATAATCCATCGCAGAGCTCAGTTCTTGATCTATAGAGCTCTGCAACAAGCTGATTCAAGAAGAAAATCATCATTTTTGAGAATCAGATTGTGTACGTTAAAAGTCAGGATTGGGAAGAAGTTAAAGAAGCTGAGAAAGAGCGTGTTGTTAAGCTTTTCTGCTGCCAAAATTAGGGTCTACAAGCAAGTTTCTATTCAATGGAAGAGATTGTTTGGCCGTGGAGAAGCCATTGCTACTCTTCCTTCTGTTTTTGTTTGATGCTTTAAAGAATTTTAGTTTTTGTTTCCTTCCAATTTTCGTTTTTCAAGGATTTGGAAATCCATATTTATGTATTTCGAATTATATATATCAAGCTCTATACACAACAAGGTAATTATGGCTTTTTTTTTTATTATCTAATTATGAATTACGAAAATGTCAATATTTATTTATTTTTCTAAAGGAAGTGTTGCCCATTGGTCAATACCAAATGGACCAACCCCATGCAACACAACTGGCATACATGTTATATAACAACTGTCAAATCAAACCTGCTTGATTAATGATGATTTGAGTTCAATCAATTAGAAAAAAAACCCGGTTTATCTTAAAAATACTAAATACTCTGTCACTGGGTACATGTATGGCAGTCCTTCAATTTCTCCACTCCACTAACAGTAACCGGTTGGGGTCACGTTAGGCCAGACCAGCTCAACGTCAACCTTCATGCTTTATTTGTTTCCTGTTTGTTCTTTAATAACTACCATTGTTAAATTCATTCTCAAAATAGGGACACATGAGTACAAAGTGAGCCAATAAATTGGGCCATCATTTTCATAATGCGCCCAAAAGATCGAAGCCCATCCATTATGGATTGGGCTGCCAGCGGTTGAATAAATAAGCAGTCTGCTAATTAGGCCCATTTCAATATCCATCGCACATTCATTTTAGAGTATCTTCATTTATTTTAGAGTGCTTCCTTATTATCCTCCCATTTGTCCAATCGTATCTTAGCCTTCTCAACCTGAAATTGAAAGATACTAATTAATAGGTTTTGCTAATATGAATTTTATAAAAAATTTACACGTCAGTCTTTTTTTTTATATACAATTTTAAGTATTAAATGAAATATTTTTCCTACAAGCTTGTATGCTATAGAGATTACCTCTTTAATCCAATCAGTACGAAATGTTACCCATAATAAAATGAGAGTCTGCATAGTTGTTCCTCCTAGCATCCCAGACCATATTCCCTGAACTCATGAATTAGTAATAAAATTAGTAATTAGCAAGTAATATAAAAGTGTAAGATAAAATTATTAGAGAGGTAACTAAAGATTTTACCTTTGCACCAAAATCAAACTTAAAGCCAAGAACACATCCCAATGGAATTCCAACGAAATAATAGCATCCCACATTTACATACGCCACAAAGGCTTGCCATCCACACCCAACTGCCACCCCTTCACGTACAGTGACAAGATTAAGATAATCACAGCAATTAGCAAAAATTCTTTTGATTAAAAATGTAATTAGTAAAGAAAATCTTACCGGACAAAACTGGTTGAATCCCATTCAGTATGAGAGAGACAGCTAATAACGGACAAAGCTCAGAGACAGCCTTGGCTACGGTTTCTCCTTCAGTGAAGGCATAACTGATTACATGTCGTAGAGAAAGCACAACAACTGCTTCCATAACTGCAATTATCAGCGAAACCGAAGTCACCACAACAACTGAACATGCTGCTGACTTTGGGTTCCCAGCTCCCAGTTCATTGCTAACTCTAACACTGCAGTTCATAATTAATTAATCAGGGCAATCATAATTAATATATTATGAACTATTTCATTAAACTAACCTTGCAGCGGCGTTGAAACCGACGGAGACCATAAACAGCAACCCATATATACCCAGACTGCCAAGAAAAAACAAAAAAAAAAAAAAAAAAAGAAATAACGGACAAAGCTCAGAGGGACAGCCATGGCTACGGTTTCTTCCTTCAGTGAAAGGCATAACTGATTACATGTCGTAGAGAAAAGCAACAACAACTGCTCTCATAACTGCATTATTCAGCGAAACCGAAGTCACCACAACAACTGAACATGCTGCTGAACTTTGGGTTCCCAGCTCCAGTTCATTGCTAACTCTAACACTGCAAGTTTTCATAATTAATTAATCAGTGGCAATCATAATTAATTATATTATGAACTATTTTCATTAAACTAACCTTTGCCAGCGCGTTTGAAACCGACGGAGACCATAAACAGCAACCCATATTATACCAGACTGCCAAGAAAAAAACAAAAAAAAAAAAAAAAAGTTGAAGAGTTGGAAGATATTAAAAAAAAAAAAAAAAAAAAAAAGTTGAAGAGTTGAAGATATTTTGTTAAATCACAGGTTTAACTAAATAGAGTTGTTTTACCACACTGAAAGGGCGTCCAAAGAAATCTCAGGATTTTTGAGGAGGCCAGAAATCAATACCAAAATCTGTAAATACCAGGTTTCCAAGCACAACATCACTGCCGACCCTGCTGATAATTTTACAAACTCCCAAAGCCCAGAAAAGGCCTGCAAGGTAAACCCATTCCATGTGTAGTTACACTTATCACTCTTCACTATATAAACAAACTGAGCACTCACAATTATCCACCATGACAAGCTCAACACTAGTGAACAACCTATCAATCCCAATCCCATCTTGTACACTGCAAGCCAAGTCAGTAATAAGTGGAGAATAAGAGTAGTTGCTGATATGATGGCACTTGGGTTTACTATGCTTTGTGATTGAAGGAATTTCTGAATTGGAAAATTCACAGCATAAGCGAAAATTTGTGGTATTAGTCCATAAACAAACACTGCTGCTGCTGATGCTACTGTGTTTGGTTCACCTAATAAAAGCAAAATTGGCTTTGATAAAAGGTAGATAATAGTTAATGGTATTCCTGTTACAGTGAGCACAACTGTTGCTCTTTGGAGATATGTCCCTAGCATTTCATGCTTGCGAGCTCCAAAAGCTTGCCCACATAGAGTTTCCACAGCACTTCCCATACCTAACTACAGAAAAGAAACATCAAACCAGGTCACTGATAATAAGTTTTAAACTCCGATCAGAGCATAATTAAAAAAAATAAAAATGAAAAACCTTTGAAAGTAATGTTACCATAAGGCCATAGGCAAAGAGTTGGATGCCGCTATTGCCAAGAGAGGCAGCAGCCAGTTGAAGATTGCCAAGGTGGCCAGCGAAGATTCTGGTTGACAAGGACATGAAATTATTGATCATGTAAACAAAAACAGCAGGTCCAGCCAGGCGGAAAAGGAGCTTCAGTTCAATTGCTGAAGCCAACATGATGCGCTTCAGGTAGGGTAATTCGGTGTCGTTTAGTACCTTTTCGAGCATGGAGTTCACTTCATTGTGAAGAGCAGCAGCAGGTTGAGAATGTGATTGTAGAATGGGTTCTTGGAGTTCATCTGGAGAATCCATAACTATTAATGTGTGATATAGGTGAAGAAACGTTATCAATGTAAGAGGATTGTTTTTTCCTTTTCTGCTCAACTCATTGCCAATCACCAGTTGACAGGAAGTTTTATAGTGTTTTCAGGTTAACATTACCAGGAAGTGAAAATTACTATTATCAATTCGGTGTCGTTTAGTACCTTTTCGAGCATGGAGTTCACTTCATTGTGAAGAGCAGCAGCAGGTTGAGAATGTGATTGTAGAATGGGTTCTTGGAGTTCATCTGGAGAATCCATAACTATTAATGTGTGATATAGGTGAAGAAACGTTATCAATGTAAGAGGATTGTTTTTTCCTTTTCTGCTCAACTCATTGCCAATCACCAGTTGACAGGAAGTTTTATAGTGTTTTCAGGTTAACATTACCAGGAAGTGAAAATTACTATTATCACCCATGAAATGACAAGTGTAGAATCAGAAATGATTCTTTAATGCTTTGCTTTTCAGTCTCTCATCTAATTGGTTAACTCATAGTGCCTGTCCAAATCTTTGTGCTTACATTACTTATGGAGTGCACTGTCGTCTTATATATTTGTTCTTTTTCATACATCAAAATTTTAAATGGATTATAAAATAAAGGATAATCAGTTAATTAACATATCTAAAGTATTTGTTTGAACATTCCAAACACTGAAAATATGTTTTTCTGTGGTTTAAAGAAACATATTATAACGTTATAATTTTTTTTTTTTTTTTGAGACATGATATCTCTGTTATTTGATTTTCTGGAAAAGTTAATTAAATATATTCTGATGCTCTTGTTGCATAAGTTTTTATGGCTTCTTTATGTCCGTATTTATTTAGAGGCACCTGATGTAGTATATACGGTTCTGTATAAGACAAATTATCTTATTCCATGAGAGCTACACAACATATATATATACGAATTAAATACATCTAGTCTAAATATTTCAAAATGGAAACTCAATATATATAGGCCAATAAGAAAGCTAGTTCTTTTATAGTAAAAGTAATTGCTTTTATTAAAAAAAAAAAAAAAGTTAAAAGTAACAAATTAATAAAATTATTATTCTATAATAAAAATAAAAAACGAGAGATTTCTACTTTAAATTCTTTTGATCGTACTAATATCAACGATTATATTAATTAATTGCGTAACCTATTCTTTTATATAGAATATAATAAATCAATAAATTTACTTTAATTAATTATTTTTAGCATGGAGAAATTCAAATTGAAGCATGTAAGTCTAATATTTTATTTTCATTGAAAAAAGAAAAAAAAAAAAAAAGACTCAATTCATGTCAAAATGTGGAAGTGGTTTGTGAATATCAAAATTCACGATGGATTGTGCATCTTCAATCGTTTTGGAGTGTTTGCTTGTCGTCATCCCATTTGTCCAGTCGCATTTTAGCCTTTTCAACCTGAAATACGAAAATGCTACTTTTTACATAATATTTGTAATAAATAAATTTATTCCATTTTCTACTAATAATTAATTCCATGCAAGCTTGCACAATTGTTTGTTTGAACTGATAATTATAAGCTCAGTAAATTTACGATTTATCTGTAAATTTTATAAAATTCTTCTTCTTAAACAGTCGATTTTATAAAATTAAAATTATATAGTTTTAAATGAAATTTTATTTATATAAAACAAATTCTTAGTATCTACCCTACCGGCCAGTCAACTCAAGAAAGTGTATAGAAGAGTTAGGTGAATTTTGGTGGTGCTTTCCTTTCAATTCTTACAGCTTTTCTGTTGTAATTAATGGTTACTGGTGAAGTATCCATGTTGATGTTGTTTCTTTTTATTAAAAGAGAGATTTCATTTCGATAAGCCAGACATGGAATTATAAATTTTCGATTCTAAATGCTATCAAATGGAATGACGAGCAGAGTATATAGAATTTAATTACCTCTTTAATCCAATCCGTACGAAATGTGACCCATAATAAAATGATAGTCTGCATAACTGTTCCTCCAATCATCCCGGACCATATACCCTAAACTCATAAGTTAGTAACCAAATTAGTTAAATAATAATAAACCTGTGGATGTTGTTCTGAAGATAAAATTATTACAAAGTAGAGAGGACATTAAAGGTTTTACCTTTGCTCCAAAATCAAACTTAAAACCAAGAACACATCCCACTGGAATTCCAACCAAATAATAGCACCCCACGTTTACATAAGCCACAAAGGCTTGCCATCCACATCCAACTGCCACTCCTTTACAATTGCAAGATAAAATCACAAGGATTAGGGTGTTAAATGAGAAATGCCGGTCGTGAGCAGTTCAATAAAAGTTCGCTCGAATTTGTTCGATAAGTTAGCTTTATTGAGGTGAGCTGAGCTCACAAATTAGCTTAATAAGCCAAATCAATTAAACCTATATTCAAATGATGCTGTTTCGATTTGATTGAGCTCGACTTTTGCTCGTTTATGGATATCAAGCTGAGCTTGAGCTTAGACTTTTGAACTTGGGTATATCCTTATCAAAGTGAGCTCAATGTCATCAAAGCTCGACACATTTACAGTCGTAACAAGGATTAGTGTATAAAAAATCTGCAATTATTTATCGAGTAAAGAAAGTTCTGTACCGGACAAAACTGGTTGAATCCCATTAAGTAAGAGAGCGACGGCTAATAATGGAGATAGCTCAGAGACAGCCTTGGCTACAGTTTCTCCTTCAGTAAATGCATAACTTATTACATTTCGTAGACAAAGCACAACCACTGCTTCTATAACTGCAATTATGAATGAAACCAAAGTCACCACAACAACTGAAAATGCTGCTGACTTTGGGTTCCCACCTCCCAATTCATTGCTGACTCTAACACTGCAATTCATAATTGATTAATTAGGAGAATCTAATTGAATTACAAATTTTGGTATAGAAAATTGATTTAAAATATATTTTAGGTAGTTAATAAATTTACCATTAAATATTTACATAAAAACTAACCTTGCAGCAGCGTTGAAACCGACTGAGACCATGAACAGCAACCCAGTTATACCCATACTGAAAGAAAAAAAAAATAAATAAATAAAATTATGTCACAGCCAGCCATTAAGCCATTACTAGAGAATACACATTTAGGTCAGCAAAAGGAATTTGGCAATTGTTCCCAAGACTGGCGGATCTAAAAATTTTTCATTATGGAATCAACATTTTCCCTCTTTACCGAAATCTTTTAATTTTTTTACATGAAAAAGTAGGTCAATAACAAAAAGATGAAGAGGGGTCAATTGACCCCATTTTGTTCCAAAAATTAATAATGAAATAATTGAACATATTTTATTGATTTTTTTAAAATCACAATATCCTAATGACAAAAAATAAAAATAAAAATAAAAGAAAAATAGAGTTGTTTTACCACACAGAAAGGGAGTCCAAAGCAATCTCAGGATCTTTGAGGAGGCCGGCAATTAATATCAAAATCTGATAATACCAAGTCTCCAAGCACAGCATCACTGCAGATGCTGATGATAATTTAACGAACTCCCAAATCCCAGAAAAGGCTTGCAAGGTAAACCCATTCCAGGTATACTTACACTTATCACTCTTCAGAATATAAACAAACTGGGCAATCACTATTATAAACCATGACAAGCTCAACACCAGAGAACAACCTATCAATCCCAATCCCAGCTTGTACACTGCAAGCCAACTGAGCAATAAGTGGACAACGAGAGTAGCAGCTGATATTATGGCGCTTGGGTTTACTATGCTTTGAGCTTGAAGGAATTTTTGTATTGGGAAATTCACAGCATAAGCAAAAATTTGTGGTATTAGACCATAAACAAACACTGCTGCTGCTGAGGCTACTGCCTTTGATTCACCTAATAAAAGCAAAATTGGCTTTGATAAAAGGTAGATGACAGTTAATGGTATTCCGGTTACAGTTAGAACAACCGTTGCTCTTTGGAGATATGTCCCTAGCATTTCGTACTTTCGAGCTCCATAAGCTTGCCCACATAGAGTTTCGACTGCACTTCCCATACCTAACTACAGGAAAGAAACATCAAAGTGATAACAAGTTTAAAACTCCAACCAGAACCTAATTAATAGAAAGACAATGAAAAAGTTGCTTTGAAGTTATATATATTACCATGAGGCCATAGGCAAAGAGTTGGATGCCGTTATTGCCAAGAGAAGCAGCAGCAAGTTCAAGATTGCCGAGGTGGCCGGCAAAGATTCTGGTGGACAAGGACATGAGATTATTGATCATGTAAACAAAAACAGCAGGTCCAGCCAGGCGGAAAAGGAGCTTCAGTTCAATTGCTGAAGCCAACAGGATGCGCTTCAAGTAGGGTAATTCGGTGTCGTTTAGTACCTTTTCGAGCCTGGAGTTCACTTCATTGTGAAGAACAGCAGCAGGTTGAGAACGTGATTGTAGAATGGGTTCCTGGAGTTCATCTTGAGAACCCATTATAGTGTGAAGAAAAATAGAAAAGAAAAGAGAATTGGTTGCGTTTCTTCAGCTGATTCCCAACTTAATAATAACATTGACAAGAAGTTTTACAGGCATTGCAGGTTCTTATTTATTATGGACAGACGTGTCGATTGTACAATTTAATGTAATTTCTGCTCATGTAAATGAAATTTACCCTCCAATTTTTAACTTTTGAGTTATGACAATATTGTTATAGGTAGTCAAATTGTTTCGTGAACTTATTGACATGACAAGTAAAGCCTGACTCCACCTGACTAAAAGAAAACAAATGGAACGACCTCATTCAAATTTTCAATAAGGTCAAGTGAACAGAAAAAGAAAATCTTTTGAACAAGTTCTTCATTTCTTCTCCATCTACATTAGAAAAACATCTGCACCTAAATCCTCTTAACATCTATTTCTCGTTCTTTTGAATGTTTTGGATGGATGTAAAATATGAAAAGGTAAAAAATAATGAAAAGAATAATAAGATTATCTTTTATTTTGAAAGGTCCATAACAGAGTGTATATAGGAGCAAGCAACAAATCAAAGCTTTTTTGCCAGCTTTCTTTCTGGAAATAAACTTTTGAGAACATTTATTGACATATTATGTAATGGAGTACCAAGAAAATGAGGTAAAAAATCTCTTATTGGTTGAATGGTAGACATGAATGGAGGTTGAAGGGGGAAAAATGGTCACTTTCAGACAGCTCAGGATAGCCATGGGAGACTATGTATTTTTCTACCAGTAGTAGTAATTGCTGATGTTTGTTTTTGTAATTAAGGGCATTCGAATATGGACAAACATCTACTTATTAGGACAACCAACAAACGGAAGAATAAAAAAGGAGTAGCTAAGGGAACTGAAATTAATATCTGCAGCAATCGCAATCCATTGTATTAAAAATGAAATCTTTATGTTCTTTTCTAATTTAAGCTAGATTATTTGAGAATCATAATATTTTGAGAATGTCATTTTGCTATTATATTTTAAAAGAAATTAATAAATTTTTCTTTCTTTTTTTCTTGAGAGAAAAATTCCCCAGTTAATGCTTCTTCTTCAAAATTAGTGGGATACAGGCATATCTTCAACTTGCAGAGATGAATTGATGCTCAGATGCTTGTACTTCAAAGATCAATTTAAATTATTCCATTTCTCCACACGGCTCTTTGCTTTCTCAACCTGAAAAGACAATCCAAAATTCATCCACCACTCAATTTTTCTTACATATCAAAAAAGGAGAATGCACTGTTCAAATTCTGACAGCCACAATTGGTTAAAAATATTTTATGTTAAAAAAAAAAATCTTAGATCAGATAATGAATTTGTTTAGTAAAATTAATTAGCTGACAGATATTTAATTAGTATTTCATCAAACGTTAAGAGATGTCCTCTCAAACTCTCAACTTTGAACTCTGGCATAAACATTATATTATATTATCAAACAGTATAAATAATAAAAATAGTATTTTTACTTAATTATCGCTGAACATGATCAATATAATTTGAAAAAGAAAATATTAGATACCTCTTTATTCCAATTTGTCCCGACAGTAATCCATATCAAAATAAAAGTTTGTATAAGAGTACCTCCTAACATCCCACTCCATATTCCCTAATCATCACAATAAATTTATGAGAACTTTAAAACTCTATTGTCTATATTATTTACTATTTAATTATGCAATAGACAAAAATAACTCTCAGTAAATAAATATTTACCTTTGCACCCAAGTCAAAAGTAAAGCCAAGAACACAGCCCAAAGGAATACCAACAAGGTAATAGCATCCCACATTAACATATGCAATAAATGTTTGCCATCCACATCCAACAGCCACGCCTTTAAATTTAAAATCAAACCCATATGATTTTGATTAATTAAACTCAGTAAATCAATAAAATTAAGCATTTAAATGTAATTATGTGTTAATTACTTATTCTTACCGGACAAAACAGGTTGGACTCCGTTGAGAATAATGGAAAGGGCCAAGAAAGGAGAGAGCTGTGTAACAGCATGAGCAACTCTCGTACCACTAGTGAAGATATAGCTCAAGCTATTGCGAAAAACAAGTACTAAAATAGCTGCAATGGAAGCTACGATAAAGGAGCTTGAAGTCACTATTATTACTGCAAATCCTGCTGATTTTGCATGTCCAGCCCCTAGTTCATTGCTTACCCTTACACTATTAACAACTAAAATTAATGACTTTTTCCAGTTAATAATAGAAAGATTAATATTTTGATGATAATAATTAAGTATACTAACCTTGCAGCTGCATTGAAACCCAATACAAAGGTGTATACCCATCCAGTTAGAGTCATACTGCATGAATTATCATTTTTTTTTTTATATGTTCTTTTTTCTTATACATTAATGGATGAAGCTTTTTAATTAATTTGCTTACCAGACAGAGAGAGAATCCAAGACAATCTCAGCATTCTTGAGCAACCCAGAAACTAAAACTAATATCTGAAAATACCAAATCTCAAGGCAAAGCATTACAGCAGAACCAGAGGACAATTTCAAGAAATCCCATAATCCAGAAAAAGCTTGTGATAGATTAAATCCACCCCATGTGGCTTTACACCTTTTAGTTTTCAAAATGTACACAAATTGTGCCAATACTGTTATCCACCATGACAAACTCAAAACCAGAGATGCACCCAACAATCCCACGTGAAGTATATAAATGGCGATCCAACTCATTAGGAGGTGAACGAAAAGCACACCGCCTGATATGTATGCACTGGGCAAAATTATGCTTTGAGCTTGTAAAAACTTCTGGATTGGAAAATTTGCAGCATATGCAAATATTTGTGGAATAATACCGTAAGCAAAAATTGCAGCTGAAGAAGCAATTTCTTTTGATTCACCTAATAATACCAAGATTGGCTTGGACAAGGCATATATGAGGGTAAGAGGTATTGAGGTTGCCATTAGTACAATTGTTGATCTTTGAAGATATATGCCTAGCATTTCATACTTTTGGGCCCCATAAGCTTGCCCACATAGCGTCTCCACTGCACTGCCCATCCCTAGCTACACATGCACGTAAATAATGCCGAGATCATATATATGATTCATACATAAGAATATATTTACTTATTCTAATACAATTTAATTCACTACTTAATTACCAGAAGGCCAAAAGCAAAAAGTTGGATTCCATTGTTGCTAAGGGAAGCGGAAGCAAGCTGAAGATTGCCAAGATGGCCGCAGAGAATTAGGGTAGACATGGAAACGACATTATTAAGTAAGTAAACGACAGCTGCTGGTGCTGCTAAGGAAAAGACTGTTTTCAACTCGAGCCAAGTTGCTCTCCGGGGCCTCTGAAAGCATGGAATTTCGGAATTAGATAGTATTTGTTCAAGTTCAGAGCTGACTGGCTTTTCATTATTGGCCATGATCGATCGATCGATCGTTGTCTTATATATCAACTGTTTGATATGTATATGAATAATTAACAAGTGATTGTTTGTACGGAAATTGTTGTTTTTTCTGAATATATTCAGTTAAATGAGGAGGTTGGTATTTTCTTATTTGAGATTTGAAGGTTAATATCAGAGCCTGTTAGAGCTGGTAATCCTCAGAATCTTTTAATTTCTAAAGAATGACGTTTCAGGAAATGGACGCTACTGTTTCTTCTTTCATCAGAATCAATTCTGTGAAGAACAAAATTAATGCGATTGCTTATAGACGTATAAATGAATCAATTCTGAGAAACAAGACAAAATCCAAATGTGGCTCTTCAGTGAACAAAATCGCCAGTATTAATATTGATTTTACTTGAATTTTTCTTTTTAGTCCAAATGCAAAATACATATACAAATTAAAAAATAAATAGCACAAGATTTACTGCAATTTATTGAAAAAAATGCAACCTAATATTAAAAATTCTTTCGAAATACAAAAAAATTCAAATTAACTAATAGTTTCAGTTTAATTTTATTTATTTTGAAAAAAAAAAGAAAACATCGACTTCTTGTGATAAAGCTATTGTTTCAGTAACTACCTGACATATAACCGCTAGTCTTCCAACTACTATTCAATATGCATGTCTACAGTATGTTATGAAAAATTTTAAAAATAAAAAAAGTAAGAGATTTTATCTGAATTCCGATTTTCTAGATCTTGTTGTTTAAAAAAAAAAAAAAAAAAAAAAAAAAACTTTCGAAATACAAAAAAAAATTCAAATTAACTAATAGTTTTTCCAGTTTATTTTATTATTTTGAAAAAAAAAAAGGAAAAAACATCGACTCTTTGTTGATTAAAAGCTATTTGTTTTCAGTAACTTTTACCTGAACATATACGGCTAGGTTCTTCCATACTACTATTCAATATGCATGTCTACAGTATGTTATGAAAAATTTTAAAAATAAAAAAAAGTAGAGATTTTATCTGATTCCGATTTTCTTAGATTCTTGTTGTCTTTAAAAAAAAAAAAAAAAATTAAAAAAAAAAAAAAAAAAAAAAAGTGAGATTCTGTCTGAAATCTGATTCTCCTTGATCGATGCAATGTTATGATTGATTAGGGAATTGGATTAATTAGGGTTTAAGATAAATATTTGGGTATAGATTCATTTTGCAAAAAGGCACAAATTAATCAAAAGCAAAAAGAAATGCTACTCATTTTAGTCCATAACAAGTGGCTCTGTAACATCATCCCATCTTTCCAAACGATCCTGTGCTTTCTCAACCTGAAAAGAAAACATTAAATTTAAATTTCTATTATTTATTCTAATTAGAAAAATATTTATTAATTTACTAAATTTACCTCATTATTCCAATCTGTCCGAAATGTAACCCAAAGTAAAATGGCTGTTTGAATAATAGTACCTCCTAACATCCCAGACCATATTCCCTAAATTTTTCAGAAAACAGATAAATTTATAAATTGAGTTTAATTAATAATAATTTTATTTAATTTCAAGAAAATAGTACCCTTGCACCAAAATCCAAGGTGAAGCCAAGAACGCAACCCAGAGGTATACCCACAAAATAGTAGCATCCTACGTTAACATAAGCAACAAAGGCTTGCCATCCACATCCAACTGCCACTCCTTTATCAAACAACTCAGTCATAGCAAAATAACATAATTAAGAGAAAGTCATTAATTAGAATATTAGAATTTAGAAAGACATGTGTAACTACCAATCAAACATTAAAAAAAAAAAAAAAAAAAAAAAAAAAAAAAAAAAACACTACCAATCAAACATTTAAAAAAAAAAAAAAAAAAAAAAAAAAAAAAAAAAAAAAAAAAAAAAAAAAAATAAAAAAAAAAAAAAAAAAAAAAAACAAAGAAGAGAGAGGAGAGGAGAGCAATGTACTTGTATCTTCACTCAAAAAAAAAAAAAAAAAAAAAAAAAAAAAAAAAAAAGAAGAGAGAGAGAGAGAGCAATGTTACTTGTATCTTCACTCTAAATTTGAAGCTTTTACTACCATATGCGATTTGATAGAGAAGAAGAACTGGTAGGTAACAGGGTTTAAGGTAGTTTTAGCGATTTTTATTAATAGTGTTTCGTAAGGTATTTTATATAGTAGTTTTTAGAGGTTGACGAGACTTAACAGCTAATTAAATAGTTATTTTTACCGAATAATTTCCTGCTAAATAAACTTAACAAATAACAGCTAGTAAAATAGAGTTAATACTTTCTAAAAACAGCAAGCATTGCCAAACTGAGTAGAAATATAGAAATGTTATTTTCCATTATTTAGAAAGCGAACAGAAACTAAGGAGTGAAGGAAACTAAATATTTCTTCCATAGCATGTAAATTAAATATATGCATTCAGGTGATATAAAAAAGGCTAACCGAGTAACGTACGATACATCGGACATGGTGATCATTAAAAATTAAAAGAAATTAGAAATGAAGTAATTACCTGATAAAACAGGTTGGATTCCATTTAGCAAGATAGAAAGGGCAAGGAAAGGAGAGAGTTGAGCTACGGCTTTGGACACTGTTGTACCGCTGGTGAAGATATAGCTCAAGTAATTGCGGAATATAAGCACCAAAATAGCAAATATCAATGCAATTACCAACGAGCTTAATGTTACTATTACAACAGCAAATGATGCTGATCTTGGATGTCCTGCTCCTAGCTCATTGCTTACCCTCACACTGTTTCACAAAAAACTTTTATGCTCTACTGCCAGAGGGGATTATACCTCATGGTTAAAAAAATAAATAAATAAAAGAAAATGACCTTGCTGCTGCGTTGAAGCCTACTGAAATCATGAACACCCATCCAGATATTGTCATGCTGCGTATATTCAAAAAAATAACCTGATCTTTCGAGTAAATTTCGCCTGGATTTTCAAAACTATTTAATTTGCTTACCAGATGGAGAGGGAGTCCAAAGTGATTTCAGCATTTTCGAGCAACCCAGCAATCAGAACTATTATTTGATAGTACCAAGTTTCAAGACACAACATTATAGCTGACGCAATAGACAGCTTCAAGAAATCCCAGAGCCCAGAAAAAGCTTGCCGAGTGAACCCAGTCCATGTTCGCTTGCACTTTGAGCTTGTCACTATATACAGAAACTGAGCTATCACTATAATCCACCAAGACAAACTCAAAACTAGCGATGCACCTAACAGACCCCAACCCAGTTTATAAATAGCAAGCCAACTCATTACGAGGTGAACCACAAGCGTTCCAGCTGCTATATATGCACTAGGAAAAACTATGCTCTGTGCTTGTAGAAACTTTTGGATTGGGAAATTTGCTGCGTAAGCATAAATCTGTGGAATAAGACCATAGACAAAAACTGCAGCTTGTGCTGCAATTTCTTTAGATTCACCTAATAATAGCAAGATTTGCTTAGAGAAGGCGTATATAAGCGTAAGTGGAATTCCAGCCGCAGTGAGGATAACTGTTGATCTTTGAAGATAAACGCCTAGCATCTCATACTTGTGTGCCCCGTAAGCTTGCCCACATAGTGTCTCCACTGCACTGCCCATTCCTAGCTGCGCATGCAAAACCAAGTTAATATATCTAGCTAATAATTTAATCGTTATGTTTATTTATTTATTGTTTTGGATTAATATGTACCATAAGACCATAAGCGAAAACTTGAATTCCAGTATTGCCGAGAGAGGCAGCAGCAAGCTCAAGATTTCCAAGATGGCCGCAGAATATTTGGGTGGACATGGAAACCACATTATTTAGCAAGTAAACAATAACAGCGGGGCCTGCTAATAGAAATAGTGTTTTTAGCTCTACCAGAACTGCACTTTTGAGTCGCTGAGAATATGATAACTCCATGTTAGACAATATATCTTCCAGTTCAGAGCTCACTGGCGGTGGCGAGTGCTTGCGAAGCAATGAATTTTGATTATTGGCCATATGGTTGATCTTTCTGTATGTTGAGAATTTCTCTCTCTTTTCCTTTATAAATAAATTATTGAACACTTCAGATTAATGATGGTTGTATATAAAAGGAGAATGGCGTGGTTGGTTGTAAAAAAGATGAGATAAAACGATCTATAATTTAGTGCGATCCTTTCATTTTATTTTTATTTTTATTTTTCTGGATCAATACATAAAGAAAAAAATATGGTTTACGCCAAAATCAGCTATTTCCCCATGAAAGAGACTAATCAGAAAGAAAAGGCCAATCAACCCCATATCTTTGTTTTGTACCATCTTTCTTCTATGGCTTTTTAAAGCAAACTAGTCTCTACCCATTAGAAATGTTATCAAATTACCAAAATATGCTTTGCGATTAGGTTCTGCAATTTCGGTGGGACTTGGGAGAATGGTGGCTGATATATCAAACCTGAATAACCTGGCACTACAAATCCCTAAATGCCTGTCAAAATATGATAAAATGACTGTAAAGCGCTAATTTCAAACGAAAAGTAAATTTCAAGAAAAAATAAAACATAATGAAGAATAGTGTCTCGATGTCATCAGATGTCAAGAAACAAATAAAACAAACAAAAAATAGAAGTAGATCCTTCAAAATCTTGAATGTGGTGTATCAATGAATGAGGAAGCAAGCAAGTTGATTCTTCAACGGATATTTCTACTTCTTGGAAAAGGAAGCATCTTTCACTTGCAAATCATTGCCTCAGAGAATTTTCTACCAAATGCTTCTTCACCTTCAATCCCGCGTTACAAGTGGCTCTGTCACATCGTCCCATCTCTGCAAACGAATCCTTGCAACCTCAACCTGAAAATTCCAAAATTTATCAGCCAAAATCAATTCATGCATCAACATTTTTTGGCCCCTAAATTCATAGCCTAGCTGAAAGATGAGAACTTTAATTATAGCAAGTAGAATTCAGAAATAGAATAATTTTTCCATAATAGTCAGCTGAGATTTTGAGTCTTGTTTTAAGAAATTGTTTGGATTAATTTACCTCTTTATTCCAGTCTGTTCGAAATGTAACCCAAAGTAAGATCAGAGTTTGCAGGATAGTTCCTCCTAACATTCCAGACCATATTCCCTATTTATTTCACAGTTGAAATAAATAAGTCAAAAACTCAAAATTATATACTATCAAAGTAGAAGAAAGAACTCTAATTTAAGGAAAAATTTTACAGTAAACAATTTGAAAATAATACATCCTAGTACCTTTGCACCCAAGTCGAAAACAAAGCCAAGAATGCCGCCCAAAGGAAGACCAACAAAGTAGTAGCAACCCACATTAACGTAAGCAACAAATGCTTGCCATCCACACCCAACAGCCACACCTTCAAAATAGTTATATATTCAAAGACGTTATGAACAGCAAGGAAGAAAGAGAGGTTAGATTTGCATTTGAAGTAATAAAAATGGTTACCAGATAAGACGGGTTGAATTCCATTCAAAATGATGGAGAGGGCAAGGTAAGGAGAGAGCTCTGCTACAGCATCGGCAACAGTGGTACCACCAGTAAAGATATAGCTCAACTCGTTGCGAAATACAAGGACAAGAATAGCAATGATCAAAGCAATGACAAAGGAGCTAAAGTTGACTATCACCACAGAAAAAGCTGCTGATTTAGGATGTCCAGCTCCTAATTCATTGCTTACTCTCACACTGTTATCAAAATCAAAATTTACTTTTTTTACTACATTATATCTGTATATGCTAAGATAATATTGCTAATTGAAGGTTTCATGTTGAGAAAACTGACCTGGCAGCTGCGTTGAAACCCACTGAGATCATGAACACCCACACAGATATAGTCATGCTGCATTAAAGTATGATCATGCTTTAGTTTTATGTATTTTGTATGGAAACTGATCTAAGCTTATTTTGCTTACCAGACGGAGAGAGAATCCAAGACAATTTCTGCATTCTTGAGCAAGCCTGCAATCAAAATCAATAACTCATAGTACCAAGTCTCAAGGCAGAGCATTACAGCTGAGGCAGTAGATAACTTCAAGAAGCTCCACAACCCAAAGAAGGCCTGCCAAGTAAATCCAGTCCAGGTACGCTTGCATTTTGGACTGACTACAATGTAGACAAACTGTGCTATTACTATAATCCACCAAGACAAACTCAACACTAATGATGCACCTATCAACCCCCACCCCAGCTTGAATATTGCAAGCCAGCTTATTAACAAGTGAACCACAAGCGTAGCGGCTGATATGTATGCACTAGGGAAGATTATGCTCTGAGCTTGTAAGAATTTTTGGATTGGGAAGTTGACAGCATAGGCAAATATCTGCGGGATAAGGCCATACACGAAAACTGCTGCTGCTGATGCAATTTCTTTTGATTCACCTAGTAAGATCAAGATTGGCTTAGAAAAGACATATATAAGCGTTATTGGTATCCCAGTTGCAGTAAGGAGGATGGTTGATCGCTGGAGATACACTCCCAGCATATCATACTTGCCAGCTCCATAGGCTTGGCCGCATAGTGTCTCCACTGCACTCCCCATCCCTAACTGCATAAAAAATGACATGGTTAATCATTTTATTGAACCCGTGCAGGTGAAAGAAAGTGTTATTAGGATTAATTACCATGAGCCCATAAGCGAAAACTTGGATTCCAGTGTTACCGAGGGAGGCAGCAGCAAGCTCAAGATTGCCAAGATGTCCAACTAGTATTTGAGTGGACATGGAAACGACATTATTGAGCAAGTAAACAACAATAGCCGGTGCAGCTAGATAAAACAGTGTCTTTAACTCCACCAAGGTAGCTTTTCGCGTTCGCTGTAAGTATGTGAATTGAGTGTTACATAATATTTGCTCAAGCTCATCGCTTACTACCTCGTAAGACGATTGTCTCCGGTTTAACATTGGTCGATTGCCCTCATTTTCATCATACAAGTTTTCGCTGTTGCCGGCCATCGTCTCCCACTTGCCCTCCCTCTCTCTCTCTCTCTCTCTCTCTCTCTCTCTCTACCAATTGGTCGAATTGCCCTCATTTTTCATCAACAAGTTTTCGCTTGTTGCCGGCCATCGTTCTCCCACTTGCCCTCCCTCTCTCTCTCTCTCTCTCTCTCTCTCTCTCTCTTCCTTCAACCTCTGGCGTCTAGGGACCCTCTCTCTCTCTCTCTCTCTCTCTCTCTCTCTCTTCCTCAACCTTCTGGCGTCTAGGACCCTGCTTTCTTTTAATAAAGTTTTGCTTTTTATGCTGCTTTCTATCCAAACAATGCTCTGTTTTATTTTTCAACTAAAATGAACAAACATTATAAACGAGCTGATTTTATTTTTTATATAACAAGATGTTTAATCCCCTCCCTTTATAGAGTATAAAGATTTGTTATCATTTCAGTGTGCTTCTGAGAAATTAAATTTATATTTCACAGTTACATAGATTAATTAAACTCGCTTATTATCCAAATCGACACCTGGACTGCAAACAAACCGATTAATTTAGCATCAGCCATTGGATCCTTCACAAATTTATCAATTAAAGAAATGGAGTGAGATGGCAGGAGTCTGGATTAGTTGAACAATTGAAGTTTGGAAAAGTACTGCTGTGACAGTTAGATTTGTATTTGTCAGGTTGCGTTGGAAGTTGATAATTTGGATCAGACTTTTCACGTGGGACAAGACAATAGATTATTAACATTCTAATTTAAATGATTTATAACTCATATCATAACAAAAATCTCAACTTCCGAACAAATATTAAACCTAACTTTCAAGCGGGCCAAACTCAGTTGACAACCGTGATCATGATGATGGATATGTTGATTGCATTTACAGTTTCTCGTCCATCGGTGGCTTAAAAAAAAAAATAAATAAAATAATCTTTTTTTTTTACTGTAATTAGAAGGTTTAATCCCTTTAGGCCTTAAAGCGAAAAGATTTTTCGCCCTCGCAACATTATCGAACTTGTATTTTTATTTTTACGAGAATTAAGATCGCTTACTATCCCAATCAACGTTTTCTTAATTTTACTCCTTGTTTTTTTTAAAATAAAATTAATTTTATTTCAAAATTCGTTACTCCTTTTCTTACGAGTGATTTTAATGAATCAATCGTCTACTGAAATAAAAAAAATAATAGTAAGTAAATGGAATTCTCAATACCACTAAAGCTTGTTTTGATCAATGATGCACGCAATTTTATTTCATCTTTAGCAAGTGAAAAATTAGCAAGCTCAAACTTCAAAGTCGGATAATGAGACCGAATTTTTGTTGGCATGAATTTTTTCAAATATTTATAAACATGATTTTGGTTGGTAAAATTAGTGCTGTAAAAATGGGTTGTCCAGGTCGGTTCAACCAGCACGGGCTCGATCTCAAAACGGGCCGAGCCGAAAAAGCTCGGTAAAAAATAGCCCTCTCATACTCAAGTCTGGCCACGAACCGTCCCGAACATGTCCGTTTTGAAAGTTCTTTTTTTTCTTTTTTTTTTTTATTTTACTGCTTTTTTGAATTTTTATTGATTTTGTATGTCCATTCAAAGAGCCTTGACGTGGAAAAAATAGGAAAATGTCTCTAAAAATTGAATCTAGAACCAGCGAAAGTTTATCGACCATGGTTCCAGTAGGCTTATTTTCCTTTTTATTTTAAAATTGTATGATATGTATATATATATTATTCTAATGCGGGCCCCACGGACCCATCCGGATCAGTACACACGGGCTTTTGTAAAAAACGGGCAGGGATAAACCTGTTTTGACAATACTAGCTAAAATCACCAAAAACTTTATTGAATTAATGCTTATATCTATATGGTATAATTGTAAAATATAAAGTAAAGAAAATATAATTAAATTAAGAGTATTATTATAATTTACTTATTCTTTATAAATTTATTGAAATACGATTATTCCAGTAATTCCAGTAATCCTAAACATTAATCAAATGAATCCATCGTCTTGCATTCAACTAAACTAATTTAAAAAAAAAAAAAAAAAAAAAAAAAAAAAAAAAAATCAACTTAAACTATTTAAAAAAAAAAAAAAAAAAAAAAAAAAAAAAAAAAAAAAAAAAAAAAAGAGTTTAAACGACATGGCGCTATGGAGCATCGACATGCCATGATAGTTACCAGCTTGCCGTTGCGTTGTTAAAGAGAAATATAATTGCGGCGGCTGATATGGGCAGGACAAGTTTTTGGTAAGCACACGGATAAATCTGGAGTTACATATCCCAACTATTCAAGAAAAATAAAAATGCACAAAAACCAACTCCTCTACACATACAAATCAAACACTATTTGTCCAAAAGTGGCTCCTTCTTCTCATCCCATGCGTTGAGCCTATTTCTGGCAATTTCCACCTGATAATTTCAAAATTAAAATAGTTAAAAACAAAAATATGGTCATTTCACAATTTCTAAATTACCAATATTTACCTCTTTATCCCAATCAGTTCTGTAGGTGACCCACAGTAGAATTATTGTCTGCAAGAAAGTACCTCCTATCATTCCTGACCATATCCCCTACAAATGCAACAAATTCAAAGCTGGGTTAGGGTTCTTAATTTTTAGGCACTTAATTATCTAAATTAACAGATTAATGGAAGTATAATAATACCTTGGCACCAAGGTCAAACACAAAGCCAAGAATGGCTCCCAATGGAACTCCAACAATGTAATAACATCCTACATTAACATAAGCCACAAAAGCTTGCCATCCACATCCGACAGCCACACCTTTCACAATTCAAACATTCAAAATCAATAAGTTATTAGATATTGTCTGATAATAAATTGCTACAAATTATGATATTCTCCCTCTATTCTCAAATATTTATTACCTTTTGAATTTTTACATTCCTTACGAAAATTATTCAATTCGAATGAATTGATTATATTAGTCTTAGTTTGTCTAAAGTTTCTAAAGTTTCAGATCTTTAGAATAAATGAAAGAAGAAGTAAAAAATATATTAATATCTTACCAGATAAAACAGGTTGAACACCGTTGAGAATGAGAGTAACAGCCAAGTAGGGAGTGAGTTCAGAGACTGCTTTAGCAACAACTTCACCTTCAGTGAAACCATAGCTAATAACATCACGGAACACCAAAACAATAATGGCCGCGATCACGGCAATTATAAAAGAAGATGAAGTCACTACAATAACTGAAAATGCTGCTGATTTTGGATGCCCAGCTCCTAATTCATTGCTCACTCTCACACTGTTCTTGTTAATCATACAAAAAATTTGTTGGTTACTCGCAAAATTTAATAATTAAAACCAAACTGATCGTTAAGGCCATAATCAAATACAGACCTCGCAGCTGCGTTGAACCCAACAGAAATCATGAATACCCATATCGCAGCTGCGTTGAACCAACAGTAAATCATGATAAGCATAAAGATATGGTCAGGCTGCAAGAAGAATTAAATCTGCAAATTAATGACATATATAGATAAGAACAAAATAAAGAGATAAAGGTTTTATTTAATTACCAATAGAGAGAGAATCAAAGCGATCTCAGCGTTCTTAAGGCAGCCCAGCAATGAGAACTAACTACTCGACGTACCAAGTCTCTAAAAGCACACATTATGCAGAAGCAAGAGAACAAGCTATGATAGAAGCTCCAGAGACCAGTAAAGGGGGCGCATAAAACGCGAGTTCATCTCTTTTTACTTGTTATCATTATTATAAACTAATACTTTGAGTCCATAACATAAACACCACGAGAATTACTCAAATATCAAGGCTGCATTCTCATGCATAACCAGTTAAAGCTGTATAATTTGCTTATCCATGTCAATACTAAGTGCAATATATATTGTCTACTGGATGATAGTTGCACTTGGGCTATTTTGTTTGTGCTGCATGAATTTTTTGTATTGGTAAACTTTGATTCAGCATTATTGCAAAAATTTGAGGATTTAGTCCAAATAACATAAAAGTTCTGCTGCTGATTTGCTCTGTCAACTTGGGTTCAACCGAGTAAAATCAAAGATTGGCTTGCAAAATCGACAATGAGATAACAGGTTAAATGGGATTCCAGTTGTCCATATACAAAGCAGTTGATTTAATAACTCCAAAAAGCTATGTCCACATAGTGATTTTCGACTAAGATACTCACAACGCTGCAGACAGATATACATAATAAAAATTTTAAATATTAAGTGATATAGACAACTCAAACATATACACCGTTCATCGAGGCCGATAGGGAAAATTAGGTACAGGATAGAAAGAGGAGTTGAAGATAATATAGTAAACCAAACCCAACACCCACCGAAATAAGACTAAAAATGGATTATTAAAAAATAGAGCTAGGAGATGAAACAAAATTGGCTTGCAAAACACATAGATCAAAGTTAAAGGGATTCCAGTTGCCATTAACAGAACAGTTGATTTTTGCAAATATACTCCAAGCATTTCATATCTATGCGCTCCATATGCCTGTCCACATAGTGTTTCGACTGCACTTCCCATTCCAAGCTGCAGAACAAAAAGAAGTTTCAATCAATAAATTTAAAAATTTATTTAGTGATTGAGTGAAGTTGACATATATACGTACCATGAGGCCATAGGCGAAAACTTGGATACCGGTGTTGCCAAGAGAAACGGCGGCGAGTTGAAGATTACCGAGATGGCCACAGAAGATCTGAGTGGACATGGACACTACGTTATTAAGCAAATAGACTATCACTGCTGGAGCTGCAAGATAGAAGAGCAATTTCAGTTCAACCCATGTAGCTGATCTGAAGCGCTTAATAGGGCTCGAATTGGTGTCTGTTAGTATCTGTTCTAGCTCGGAGCTCACTCCTTCATGGCCAGAGTCTTGAGGGCTCATTTTCTTTGCTTTTAAGTTGTCTGTCTCTATCTCAGGTCTGGAGAGGTAGCCAAAGCTTAGTCCTTCATTCCATGAAGTGGCAGTACATTTAAAAGGGAAAAAACCTTTTAATTGATTAATTAAAAGAAAGTAGGTGTGATTACAATTATTGATTTGTATTATATTATTTAATGACCATTTCTATTATGAATTTTGGAGTGAATACATAATTAACAACGCAATTAACAACAAGAAAAGGAAGGGCCGGTTCAAATTGAACCGAGGGTTAGTATTAGCCAAAAGAACCATTGACCCTTATAACAAATTATAAGTAGGAGATTTATTTAATCCATTTATATTATATAATTTATTCTGCAATTCAATTAAATTATATATATGGGTGCAGGTTTGTCGGGCAAAGATCGAATTTTCACGTGCCAAAACATTTATTACATGCATCCATGCATGATTCTGCCTATACCTTAATGAAACATAATATATTACCTTAATTTGGAATTATTATAAATATATTTTTTTAATGGAAATTATTAAAACCTAATATTTCCCGCTTAAAATGGGTCAGGTCAAGATCCGGAAGTTAATGGTGTAAGTAACATGATTTATTTAAAATTAAAATTAAAATTAAATGAAGTCCAAGATTCAAAATGATACCTCTTCCATTTTAAGCTTTTTTTTTATTCTCAATTATGCTGGAAGCTGAATCTCTTTCCTCTTCAAATGATTCATAGATAATATTAAAAGATTGATTGTTTTCTTTCTTCTAATAAAAATAAAAATACGAGGAGGAACGAATATTATTCAGATGAAAGGACTTCCTCCTGCTGTATGCGCCACATCGTTATTTCGATATCCATTAGGCTTTCTATATATTTTGCAGATATAATACCATGAACTTAGGTGATGTTTAATTGAGAGTAAGTTGATTAAGGAAGTGCAACTTTCTGAAAAGTGCATAAAATACTTGTGTTCGGTTTGTATTATTATTCTACTGGAAAGCAAATCGTTCAACTTCTCTTGCACAAGAGAAGTAAATTCCTTAAATATGGATAGATAAGTTACACTTCACTAATTAAGTGCAGTGCATTTATCAATTTATCATATTATTTAAATTCAATCAAATTTATATTATGAATATTAATGTAATTTATAATTTGAGAATAATTTGCTTCTTAAGAAATTGCATTGCAAACCAAACACACATAAATTATACCTGGTGGAAAATAATTTTCTTGCCGGAAAATCAATTAGTTTGAACTTAACAAGGCTTTAGTTAGTACTACAAAATACTCATCCAATGAGAAAAAGAAAATGAATTGAGTGAATGAGAGGTAGTGGATTCTTATTAGATCACGAAACCCTAATGAGATATGATCCCACCAACAAATACTAGGCCACGTGGTTCAACAAATGGTGGGCCAGTGGGCCTTACCCACCCACTATGTTACAAGTCAACACATGCATCAACATTATTTGCAGTCTGCCGCAATACGGCATTCAAACTTTCTAGTTTCTACACAAAGCAGCTCACCTGCTTGTCCTTCATCTATGGGCCAACTTCAATCTCACCCACCCTACATCTATCAAGAACGAAGAAGACGATCCTTTTTCAATCCTATGCTCTTCTTCGGCAAAGAATTCAAATTTTAAATATTTATTGTCAACTATCGTTTCAAAATATATTCCAAACATATGAATTGAAATGAATTTTTCCACAGTTTTTTGAACAAATTCTTCATGGAAACAGCTCTACACAAGAAATGAATATTAGTACTCTAGCTCTCCCGAAGGGACTCCTTTCTGTCTTGCCATTTCTTCAACCTATCATTTGCTTTCTCCACCTGAAAATTTTGTGAGAGTGAGACACGAAGAAAGGAAATAAAAAGAGCATCGGGGAAAAAAAAGACGGGTTTGGAGTAAAGGACAGATTGGGGTTGGTGAGCGACCATTATTTTGGGCGATGACGAGGTTTGAAAGAAAGCATGGACAATAGTCTATGCTTAATAGATTACCCTTTCCCTACCTAATCAACCATCAATGTCAGGGAATGGACAATCACATCCAAACTTTCGTATTGTCTCCATATTTATATGAGAATGAATATTTATCTATTTTTAAAATATAACTATTGTTTTGAAATTTTAGATTTATGAAATGAGATAGAATTTACCTCTTGATTCCAATTTGTTCGATATGTAACCCATATCAGAATAATAGTTTGCAGGAACGTGCCTCCAATCATTCCAGACCGTAATCCCTACAAATTAGAAACTAATTAATTTCTAACAAACAATAAAATGTTAAGTAATGTAAAATTATTGGTACCTTGGTACCCAGATTGAACTTGAAGCCAAGAAGAACCCCTACTGGGACTCCAACCAGGTAATAACACCCAACATTTACATACGCCACAAATGCTTGCCATCCACATCCAACAGCCACCCCTTCATTTTTATTTTTTTAATAAGATAAAAATAAGTTGAAAATTCATACAAATATATTAGTTGTTCTGTTAGCTGTTAATTGAATATTAATTACCAGATAAAACAGGCTGAATGCCGTTGAGGATTAGAGTAAGAGCCAATAAGGGACTCAGATCGGCCACTGCTTTAGAAACAACTTCAACTTCTGTGAAAGCGTAGCTGAGGTAGTTACGGAGTGCCATCACAATGATGGCTGCAACTACAGAAATAAGGAAAGAAGATGTTTCACCACTATAACTGAAAATTCTGCTGATTTTGGATGTCCTGCTCCTAACTCATTGCTCACTCTCACACTGCACTTTTATCAAATTAACAACAATCAGGTGCCAAATGAAAATTTTGAGCAATTATACTATGCATAAGAATTGAACAAGAATGGGTATAAAATAACTAACCTAGCAGCAGCGTTAAATCCAACTGAAATCATATAAACCCATCCACTTATCGTCATGCTGCAAACAGAATTAAATTAATTAATTGAGGGTAAGGTCTAAACACAACTCAATTTGAACCGTCTAGCTCCAAACAGGGTTCAAACAAGCAAATATAGTCAATTAGTCAAAACTGACAGTAGTCAGAGTTCAGTGGGCATACAGCATATGATGACACTGGTGATTATAGACCAAAACAAAAAAAAAAACAAAAAAACTCATGTGTATCTAGAAAGAACAACGTACCAGACAGAGAGAGAATCCAAGGCAATCTGTGGATTTGGAAGCAACCCAGCAATCAACACCAAAACTTGATAGTACCAAGTCTCCAAACACAACATGATAGCCGATGCTGCTGACAATTTAAAGAAACCCCAAAGACCAAAAAAAGCCTGAATGCTAAAACCAGACCATGTTTTCTTACACCTTTTGCTCATTACAATGTAAGCAAACTGAGCCAACACAATCACCCACCAAGAAAAACTGAGTATTAATGATGCGCCTAACAAGCCCCAGTTGAACTTGAACACTCCTAGCCATGTAATGAACAAGTGCACAAAAAGCGTAGCCAGTGCTATGTACGCACTTGGTTTGACCATGCTTTGTGCTTGTAAGAATTTTTGTACGGGAAAGTTAGCGGCATAAGCGAAAATTTGAGGGATCAGCCCGTAAACGAAAAGTGCAGCAGCAGACGCTATGTCGTTTGGTTCGCCTAGCTCAATCCACAGAGACTTTCATAAAAAATGGGTCGGACAAAAAAAGCCCGTCTTAAAAACGGACCTCAATTTTTGTATCTTTAGTTGCCAGCTTGCCGTTGCGCCTGTTAAAGAGAAATATAGTTGCGGCGGCTGATATGGGCAGGACAGGTTTTTGGTAAGCACATGCATAAGTCTGGATTCTGAACCTCTGCTTTTAGTTTTAGGCAAAAAGGTTTCCGATAGCAACAACTTGCTATTTTAATGCCTCCCAAATCAGATTTTTTTTTTTTTTCACCCACAACGTATAATTACTTTTTACCTTAAAATTTATCCAAAAGTTCATTCAAGAAAAGACTTATTTATATCCTGTATCGACTCATTTATACACTAAATTAATTACAAAGAGTTGCTTATGCCGACCATTCAAAAAAATTAAAAATGCACAAAAACGAACTCCATTACACATACAAATCAAACACTATTTGTCCAAAAGTGGCTCCTCCTTCTCCTCCCATGCGTTGAGTCTATTTTTGGCAATTTCCACCTGATAATTTCAAAATTAAAATAGTTAAAAACAAAAATATGGTCATTTCACAATTTCTAAATTACCAATATTTACCTCTTTATCCCAATCAGTTCTGTAGGTGACCCACAGCAGAATTATTGTCTGCAAGAAAGTACCTCCTATCATTCCTGACCATATTCCCTACAAATGCAACAAATTCAAAGCTGGGTTAGGGTTCTTAATTTTAGGCACTTAATTATCTAAATTAACAAGATTAATGGAAGTATAATAATACCTTGGCACCAAGGTCAAACACAAAGCCAAGAATGGCTCCCAATGGAACTCCAATAAAGTAATAACATCCTACATTAACATAAGCCACAAAAGCTTGCCATCCGCATCCAACAGCCACACCTTTCACAATTCAAACATTCAAAATCAATAAGTTATTATATATTGTCTGATAATAAATTGCTACAAATTATGATATTCTCCCTCTATTCTCAAATATTTATTACATTTGAATTTTTACATTCCTTAACAAAATTATTCAATTCGAGTGAATTGATTATATTATTGTTAGCTCGTGTAAATGAAAGAAGAAGTTAAAAATATATTAATATCTTACCAGACAAAACAGGTTGAACACCGTTGAGAATGAGAGTAATAGCCAAGTAGGGAGTGAGTTCAGAGACTGCTTTAGCAACAACTTCACCTTCAGTGAAACCATAGCTAATAACATCACGGAACACCAAAACAATAAAGCCAAGTAGGGAGTGAGTTCAGAGACTGCTTTAGCAACAACTTCACCTTCAGTGAAACCATAGCTAATAACATCACGGAACACCAAAACAATAATGGCCGCGATCGCGGCAATTATAAAAGAAGATGAAGTCAGTACAATAACTGAAAATGCTGCTGATTTTGGATGCCCAGCTCCTAATTCATTGCTCACTCTCACACTGTTCTTGTTAATCATACAAAAAATTTGTTGGTTACTCGCAAAATTTAATAATTAAAACCAAACTGATCGTTAAGGCCATAATCAAATACAGACCTCGCAGCTGCGTTGAACCCAACAGAAATCATGAATACCCATACAGATATGGTCAGGCTGCAAGAAGAATTAAATCTCAAATTAATGAACATAATAAGATCAAATAAAGAGATAAAAGTTTAGTTAATTACCAAATAGAGAGAGCATCCAAAGCGACCTCAGCGTTCTTAAGCAGCCCAGCAATGAGAACTAAGACCTCAAAGTACCAAGTCTCTAAGCACAACATTACTGCAGAAGCAAGAGACAACTTGAAGAAGCTCCAGAGACCAGTAAAGGCTTGCCAGCTAAAACCTTTCCATGTGTGCTTACACCTTTTACTTGTTACAATATAAACAAACTGAGCCAAAACCATAAACCACCACGAGAAACTCAAAACTTGCCAGCTAAAACCTTTCCATGTGTGCTTACACCTTTTACTTGTTACAATATAAACAAACTGAGCCAAAACCATAAACCACCACGAGAAACTCAAAATCAAGGCTGCACCAAGCAAGCCCCAGTTAAGCTTGTATAATGCAACCCATGTCAATAACAAGTGCAATATAAGTCCAGCGAGTGATATATATGCACTTGGGGCTATTATGCTTTGTGCTTGCATGAATTTTTGTATTGGAAAATTGGCAGCATATGCAAAAATTTGAGGGATTAGTCCAAACACAAAAAGTTCTGCTGCTGTTGCTATGTCACTTGGTTCACCGAATAAAATCAAAATTGGCTTGCAAAACACATAGATCAACGTTAAAGGGATTCCAGTTGCCATTAACAGAACAGTTGATTTTTGCAAATATACTCCAAGCATTTCATATTTATGCGCTCCATATGCCTGTCCACATAGTGTTTCGACTGCACTTCCCATTCCAAGCTGCAATTTTTTTTTAAGAACAAAAAGAAGTTACACTCAATAAATTTAAAATTTTATTTAGTGGTTGAGTTAAGTTGACATATATACGTACCATGAGGCCATAGGCGAAAACTTGGATACCGGTGTTGCCAAGAGAAACGGCGGCGAGTTGAAGAGTACCGAGATGGCCACAGAAGATCTGAGTGGACATGGACACTACGCTATTAAGCAAATAGACTATTACTGCTGGAGCTGCAAGATAGAAGAGCAATTTCAGTTCAACCCATGTAGCTGATCTGAAGCGCTTAATAGGGCTCGAATTGGTGTCTGTTAGTATCTGTTCTAGCTCGGAGCTCACTCCTTCATGGCCGGAGTCTTGAGGACTCATTTTCTTTGCTTTTAAGTTGTCTGTCTCTAACTCAGGTCTGGAGAGGTAGCCAAAGCTTAGTCCTTCATTCCATGAAGTGGCAGTGCATTTAAAAGGGAAAAAACCTTTTAATTGGTTAATTAAAAGAAAGTAGGTGTGGTTACAATTATTGATGTGTATTAGCCAAAAAGAACAATTGACCCTTATAACCAATTATAAGTAGGAGATTTATTCTTAATTTGTGAAATAGAACTGCGTGAGCTCCTTTGTAGATTGTTAAAAAAAATTACTTATTATTGCTTTACGTTCTCATTTAATCCATTTATATTATATAATTCATTCCACAATTCAATTAAATTATATATATGGGTGCAGGTTTGTAGGGCAAAGATCGAAAATTTCACGTGCCAAAACATTTATTACATGCATGCATGCATTATGCTGCCTAAATATTTTTTTTTAATGGAAATTATTAAAACCTAATATTTCCCGCTTAAAATGGGTCAGGTCAAGATCCGGAAGTTAATGGTGTAAGTAACATGATTTTTCTCGATCGTTATTTCCATATCCATTAGGCTTTCTATATATTTTGCAAAATATAATACCATGAACTCGATGTTTAGTTGGAAGTAAGTTAACTAAGGAAGTGCAACTTTCTGAAAAGTGTATAAAATAATTTGTGTTCGGTTTGTATTATCAATTCTACTTCCTGAGAAGTAGATCGTTAAACTTTTCTTACACAAGAGAAGTAAATTCCTTAAATATGGGTAGGAAAGTTACACTTCACTAATTAAGTGCAGTGCATTTATCAATTTATAATATTATCTAAATTCACTCAAATTTATATTATGAATATTAATGTAATTTATAATTTGAGAATAATTTGCTTCTTAAGAAATTGAATTGCAAACCAAACACACGTAAATTATACCTTCTGGAAAATAATTTCGTTGTCGGAAAGTCAAGTATTTTGAACTTAACAAGGCTTTAGTTAGTACTACAAAATACTCATCCATTGAGAAAAAGCAAATGAATGAGTGAATGAGTGGATTCTTATTAGATCACGAAATCCTACTGAAATATGATCCTACCAACAAATAGCAGGCCGCGTGGTTCGACAAATGGTGGGCCAGTGGGCCTTATCCCATATTTTACAAGTCAACACACGCATCAACATTATTTGTAGTCTGTCGCAATACAGCATTCGAACTTTCTAATTTCTATCAAGAAAGAAGAAGACGATCCTTTGTCAACCTTCTGCTCTTCTTCTGCTAAGAATTCAAATTTTAAATATTTATTATAAACTATCCTTTCAAAATATATTCCAAAAATATGAATTGAAATGAATTTTTCCACATTTTTTGAACAAATTCTTCATGGAAACAGCTCTACACAAGAAATGAATATTAGTACTCTAGCTCTCCTGAAGGGACTCCTTTCTGTCTTGCCATTTCTTCAACCTATCATTTGCTTTCTCCACCTGAAAATTTGGAAAATTTACTTTCATTTGAAGTTTCCAATCTGTTGGAATAATATAGACTAGAATTTAAAAATAACATACCCATTATTTCAAAAATTATATATTAAAAAATAAAGATGTGAGACAGTGAGAGTGAGACATGAAGAAAGGAAATAAAAAGAGCATCGGGGAAAAAAGAAGACGGCTATGGAGTAAAGAGGAGAGATTGGGGTTGGTGAGCGACCATTATTTTGGGCGATGACGAGGTTTGAAAGAAGGCATGGACAATAGTCTATGCTTAATAGATTACCCTTTCCCTACCTAATCAAACATCAATGTCAGGGAATGTACAATCACATCCAAACTTTCGTATTGTCTCCGTATAACTTAAATAAAAAAGGTTGAGCGTGCTTTATTTATATTATAAATATAAATATGAGAATGAATATTTATCTATTTTTAAAATATAACTATTGTTTTGAAATTTTAGATTTATGAAATGAGTTTTGAAATTTTTAGATTTTATGAATGGCTGATTCCAATTTGTTCGATATGTAACCCATATCAGAATAATAGTTTGCAGGAACGTGCCTCCAATCATTCCAGACCATAATCCCTACAAATTAGAAACTAATTAATTTCTAACAAACAATAAAATGTTAAGTAATGTAAATTATTGGTACCTTGGTACCCAGATTGAACTTGAAGCCAAGAAGAACCCCTACTGGGACTCCAACCAGGTAATAACACCCAACATTTACATACGCCACAAATGCTTGCCATCCACATCCAACAGCCACCCCTTCATTTTTTTTTTTTTTTAATAAGATAAAAATAAGTTGAAAATCCATACAAATATATATTATTTGTTTTGGTAGCTGTTAATTGAATATTGATTACCAGATAAAACAGGCTGAATGCCATTGAGGATTAGAGTAAGAGCCAAGAAGGGACTCAGATCGGCCACTGCTTTAGAAACAACTTCGCCTTCTGTGAAAGCGTAGCTGAGGTAGTTACGGAGTGCCATCACAATGATGGCTGCAACTACAGAAATAAGGAAAGAAGATGTTGTCACCACTATAACTGAAAATGCTGCTGATTTTGGATGTCCTGCTCCTAACTCATTGCTCACTCTCACACTGCACTTTTATCAAATTAACAACAATCAGGTGCCAAATGAAAATTTTGAGCAATTATACTATGCAAATTTTGAGGGCAAATTTATACTATGCAATAAGAATTGAACAACGAATGGGTATAAGAATAAACTACCTAGCAGCAGTCGTTAAATCAACTGAAATCATATAAACTCCATTCACTTATTCGTCATGCTTGCAACAGAATAAATTAATTAATTGACGGTAAGGTCTAAACACAACTCAATTTGAACCGTCTAGCTCCAAAACAGGTTCAAACAAGCAAATTATAGTCAAATTTAGTCAAAACTGACAGTAATCAGAGTTCCCAGTGGGCATACAGCATATGATGAACATAACTAACCTAGCAGCAGCGTTAAATCCAACTGAAATCATATAAACCCATCCACTTATCGTCATGCTGCAAACAGAATTAAATTAATTAATTGACGGTAAGGTCTAAACACAACTCAATTTGAACCGTCTAGCTCCAAACAGGGTTCAAACAAGCAAATATAGTCAATTAGTCAAAACTGACAGTAGTCAGAGTTCAGTGGGCATACAGCATATGATGACACTGGTGATTATAGACCAAAACAAAAAACAAAAAAAATTCATGTGTATCTAGAAAGAACAACTTACCAGACAGAGAGAGAATCCAAGGCAATCTGTGGATTTGGAAGCAACCCAGCAATCAACACCAAAACTTGATAGTACCAAGTCTCCAAACACAACATGATAGCGGATGCTGCTGACAATTTAAAGAAACCCCAAAGACCAAAAAAAGCCTGAATGCTAAAACCAGACCATGTTTTCTTACACCTTTTGCTCATTACAATGTAAGCAAACTGAGCCAACACAATCACCCACCAAGAAAAACTCAGTATTAATGATGCGCCCAACAAGCCCCAGTTGAGCTTGAACACTCCTAGCCATGTAATGAACAAGTGCACAAAAAGCGTAGCCAGTGCTATGTACGCACTTGGGTTGACTATGCTTTGTGCTTGTAAGAATTTTTGTATGGGAAAGTTAGCGGCATAAGCGAAAATTTGAGGGATCAGCCCGTAAACGAAAAGCGCAGCAGCAGACGCTATGTCGTTTGGTTCGCCTAGTAAGATTAATAAGGGTTTGGAGAAGACATAAAGCAGAGTTAGAGGGATGCTTGCTGCCATTAGAAGAACTGTTGATCTTTGGAGATAAATGCCTAGCATTTCGTATTTGTGTGCTCCATATGCTTGCCCACAAAGGGTTTCCACTGCACTTCCCATTCCAAGCTGCATATAGGCAGATATTATATATACATGCATATCTTTTTAATCTCAAGATCTTTATAAATTGGCTTTTCTTGTATAAAAATCCCAAAAATGATAAAACGAAGATCCAATAAACCCTTCATATTCAAAGATTTTAAGTACGTACCAGTAGACCATAGGCAAAGATTTGGATGCCAGTGTTTCCAAGAGAGACAGCAGCAAGCTCAAGATTTCCAAGATGGCCCACAAATATTTGTGTGGACATGGAGACCACATTATTGAGCAAATAAACTATCACCGCAGGACCTGCAATCCGGAATAGCAATTTCAGTTCAACCCATGAGGCTAATTGGATTCTTGTAAAACTCGATGTTTCTGTATCTGTTAGTATTTCTTCAAGCTCTGAGTTCACTCCTTCATGCCCTGACTTGAAGCTTTCTAGCAATGGCTGCTGAGAGCTCATTGTTAATTTCTTCTTTTGAGCTGTCCAATTCTCACTCGGTTGTGAATCTATATATAGTTAGTTTTTGTCTTCTTAGTATTAATTATCTATGATATATATATGCCAATTTTCATTTTGTGGTACTTGGAGTTTCCAAAATAATGTAACAGGAAAAATATAAAAATGGTATGAAGGAAAAAGATAAAAAAAAAATTAAATAGCATTGACTCTTTAAATTTAATTAAGAAGATAAACAAAAAATTGAGGACGCAACTTGACTGTCTTTTTCTTGGTGGCCGTATCACAGAAACGTATTTCAATTTTGTTTCGTCCATATTGATTTGTCTGCATATAAATAATTTTCCAAGAAAAGTTTTCTTTGTGTTTCCAGCATTTTATTTTCTGGGAATATTTAATTGCCACACCTTTTATGATCGTTATGCGCACTCTTTCATTTATTGTATATTATAATCAAAAAATATATAACAATTCTTAATTTGCATGAAAAAATATGTGTATGCAGCAAATAATATTTGTGTATGAATGCATGAACCTGAATTCTTAATTTGGCCTTCTAGAAGAAGATAAGTTTTTTTTTTTCCTTTTTGGCTTTTATTTTTGTAATGGACAGTATAAATTGATGTTTATATATAAAATAGAACAGTATCGAACGTAGGCAAGTCTTTTATTTTCATATATTATATATAGATAATTATGTATTAATTACAGTTGGCGTATCTAGAAAAAGAGTGTTAACTTATTATTAATGTTATGTGCATTCAATGTTTTTTTTATATATTTTTCCTAAAAAGTTATTAGAATTCATTGTCATGGACATACTTGATAGTGACGTATTTGGAAATTACAGAATTGTTCCCAAACAATGCTGCGGAGAATTTTCCTATTTTTGGTGGAAAATACGTAATCACGTACGACAGATATCTAACACGAATAATTTGGTCTATGTAATAATTATTATTAATTTTTTACAACGTAAATTCTCCTGAACTAATCTTTTTATGGAGTAAAAATTAATTAAATTCAACGTGAATGGTAAAAACGGACACGAAGGGAAACACTTACCTAATTATAAATTAAAAAAAAAAAGGAAGAAAGGCAAATAGATCGACGGTCAGATTTGATATGATGAGGGAAATGGAGAAGCGAAATGATGATAGATGAGAAGAAAGGAAGGGGTAGCCCAGCACTTGCGTCATCTTGTTTGTTTGCATTGGATGATAATGATCCTTAATTAGCCAACTGCCACAAACAAAACAAGCCTGCGCGTAGGGTTTTAATCACTTCTCCAACTCACAATATTAAAAGGGTTTTAATCAAAATTTACCATTTTAAATCCCGAGAATAAAAATTAATTATTTTAATAATTATTAACTATGCCGTACCAGCATTTCATCAATAGTTAAAAGGAAGCGATATGAAATACGAATTATATATAATGTAGATTAAACAAAAATTAGATTCAGCAGCTGTACGAAATACGAATATGCAGGGCACGGTCAAATAGGTGACAATATTATATCCTTTTTTTTTTTTTTTTTCAATTTTTCTACAAATGTCATATTTTGATTTCCCAGTGTTTCTTTACAAAAAGAAAAGAAAATTATTACACAGGCAAGCAAGAATCATGAATTAATACAATCAGACAGACAAACTTAACCTCACTTCAGGTTGAGACTTCAGGACTCTCCCAGGTACACTTTGATTAACAGGGGGTCAGACATGCAAAACCTCTTTTCACATTAGCTAAATCTGATTGAACTCATTCTACAACGACTGGCGAAATTGTATCACGCATGGAAACCTTCTCAATGTAGATATAAACGCAAGGTTATCTTCAACAAGGCACTACTACATGTCTATATTAGCATCATGAAGGCGAACGAGGCAGCAAACAGCACATAAACTATCAAATCTTCACTATACAAGCCTGTGAAAAATGAAATCCGAGTCAGGAAAGTTGCAATTCTAAAGTTGGTCCAAAATTGAAAAGGTCTCATTCCATTGGCTTCAAGTCCCCAGGCTAACTGGGGCATTTGAGGCATAGCTCACATATTTAGGCAGAGCTCCCTCCTCTCCAGACAGCAGATTTGAGAACGTTACGTGTGCAAAATGACAAAGCAGGGAAATGGGTTTTGAGTGAATTTTTATTTTTTTTCCAAAATACAGATGCTTCACACCATGGATATAAGTAATTTCAGAAACTTATCCACCTCATGTATTAGTCAAAGAAAATACTAGGTCAAAATACAGTGAACAAATATACTTGCATGCTCAATTCTTGCATACAAGTTCGATTTGTTGACTTGCAACTAACACTATACTAGTTCATGACACTCCACAAATAAAGAGGATCTAGTCCGTCTAGGAAGAAAGAAATCCTGCATGTCTCAAGTCTTAGAGGTACTGAGCACGGCTTTTAACAACCCTAGTACCTAAAACAGAAGTTCTACATACAAAGCATGAAAATATGATTCTGACTGACCAAGTTGTTAAAGTAAGGCAAAACGCATGAACAAAAGCTAAGTAGATATGTACTTACCACTTTGAGCTGATGCGGCTGCAGGAAGTGCTGGAATTTTCACAGCTGCAAATAACATAAGCCAAGTTACTGATATAACAATAAACTTAGAAGAGAGGACGCAGAGAAAATCTTCAAATAACAAAAATTAAACTCATTAGTCCAGTCCATAGTCTTTAACGAGTAAGACATACTTTTGTTGCATGATGATGCCGGTAATTGAGCTGAAGAGGGCCAAGGGGCAGGAATATTGTCATTCAGATCACAAATGAAGCCAATCCCCGAAGACTTGTCTAGTGTTGCATCAGAAGGCAAGCTTGGCAGAAGGCATCCAGACTCTACTCCCAAAAAATAAAATAATAAAAGAACAAGAACAAGAACAAGAATAGTGAAATAAACCACAAAATAAAATTCCATAAAAATGATAAATGAATGAAAACAAAGACAATAGTGCACCACCTAAGGTATTGTACGCAAATCTAGTCCTGTTCCTAATGCCACTCTAGATTATAGATTCTAATGCTGCATGCGTGTACACATACTCATACCCAGGTTCATTTTGTTGGCATGACAGAAAGAAAAAAGTTTGTGCATCAAGTATGTAGATGATTCTGTTACATATTCGTACCTTGCTTTGCAACTGATGTGTACAAATGTTGACAGCCAGTGTAAAATGGCAAAATGACAAAAGAATCCTGCATTAGTATCCACTTCAAAGCGGGAAAAAAAATAAAGGAAAAGGGGAAAGAAGAAAGAAAACTGACCTTGGAGTGAAAAATCCTTGAGGCTTATATGACAAAGGCTATAAATATTTCTGGTGATATTTGATTTCTGCAACTTCATTCCTAGAGTTGTAGCACAATCCAAAGCTTGCAAGTTGGTTATGAAGCTCTGCTTCTGCAAGTGAGACACATAGCTGTTCACGGCATGACAGCACTCTGTGGTGTTAAATATCCCATTCCCACAGCCTTTTGCAACATGACTCATGTCAGGGAAAACCAGAGGGCAAACTGAAGCAGAAAGCAGAAGATAAGAAAGAAAGGAATAAGCGACCAGGGGGTTAGTAAAAACAGAGCAATATACAAAAATTAAAGTGGCAAAGGTACGTGGAAGGAGATATTCTCTATAAAGAACTTAAGACACTACTAATACTCATACATCTAGAACAAATATAATGTACCTATGCCACCAATTCTGCATATGTATGGCACTGATGAGTCAGATGACTTCCTAATGGGGATTTTGCAAATACACAGTTAGTTGTATATCCAAAGAGGCAAAAAAAGTCAGTAGCATCCAGTATGCTTATGAATGTTAATTGATTTTCCTTCGCAGATACAGAAGTGATTTCAATATTGTGAAATTTCTTTAACAGAACAGTTAAATGATGATCTGAAAATAGCCAAATGCAGTGGTCAAAAGGCTCTCATCAGCCGAAGAAATGCCAACTATCTTGGCAATTTCTGACCATATAACAGATGAAGTCAGTTTTCTATACCCATATTTTCCAACTCACCTTTGTTGACATTGCAATTAGATAGTCCTCTGAGAACCTCCTTTGAACTACGAGGATCAAGTTTACTTGCCAACCACCGGAGGACAATATGTTTACAATCATTAACCCTAGTTGAGTGCTGAGGCAAACCATGGGCCTCATCCATGCTCAAGATTTCAGAAGCTTGTGATGCAATTCTTCCAGCTGCTTCTACTATTGCATTTTGACATACTTGGTCACAACATTCTTTCACAGGATCGATCTTCTCACAAGCAGCAAGAAGCTTGGACAAATCCACAGTGCTTTCGAACTCATTCACATCTTTAACAGGGCAAGACCCTTCAGTGAGATTTGATGGATGAATTGAGCATATTCTCTTAACATCAACTGAAGCACCTTGACCCACCAAAATTTGCTCAATATCCGAAAGGCAATACTTGGAAGCAGTCCCATTTAAAGCAAGCACGTTATTGTTTTTACTTGATTGGCCAATAAGAATTGCAACAGTTGCTTCCAGCTGTGGGCAACATATAACATTAGCCAGCAATGGCGCAAAAACGCCCCAGCAATCAATTGCTGTAATGCTCATCAAACTTTCAGCAGCAGTGAAGTTCAACGTACATAGTCCTAAAAGAAAGAGGTAAGGACCAAGTTCAAAGCATAATTGGGCATTTCAATTCAAATGACTTTGAAATTCTAATGAAACCAGGGTACAAAAAAGTAAACCTGATAATTTTGGTATAGAGCTGTTGGTAAAAGGTTGCAATGGAGAAGGTGCAAGAATAGGGAGAAAAGGCTGAGGAACTGCATTCGGTGCAATCTCAGGAAGAAAAGCATCCAATTTTCTGTCCATCAATGCAGAGCCTGTGACATGATGGTATTCATTCAGACCTACAGCAGAAGAATGGGTCACTATGATGATAACCGTAAAAATCACAATGTGCCATTGATTAATTGTAAACATTCCACATACATTATCAGGTTATTATAGTTTCAGAGCTAAATTCGATCATGAATGCACACAAGGATACACATTTTTTAAATTAAACATACAAATTATGTTGCATCACCACATTTCCACAAAGGTAAAAAGATCTTTCAACATCCACTGGAAATATAATAAACAATTGGAAACCAACTGACAATAAGAAAATCAGTGAGGGAATTCAAAAGGTAAATCCTTGGGTGTGATTGTTCACCATCCATGTATAACGGCACCAATTAGAACATTGGTTAAGTCGTGTTCCATGCACTAAAGTGCCTAAATAGGAAAATTTCAGGACTGGAACAAAAGTTCAATACTGTGAGACTTGCACATGTAACTTAGTAAGCAACTGAAGCATTAAATGGTGGCGTGCCTTGATAAAATGCTACATAGTGTTCACTATTCATTCTCCAACTGCTCCAGCCACATAAATCCATGAGAACTCTAACGTGTAAAATAGCAGATTATTAATAAAAATCTTACGAAAAGTCCAAACTGAGAGAAAATTTTGTTTATCAAATTGAATATCCTGAAACTTAAAAAAACCTTCTCTGCAAATTTTCATGGGTATGATAAAGGGAATCGAAACGGGTAAAACAAGAAGAATCAGTACTAAAACCAAGGTTAAGATACAATATATATAATTGCAAGTTAAAAATGTGAGAAGAAAAAGCGCAGGGCAAAAGGAGGAAACAAGTTAAAGTGCCAATGTACAAGGAGGAAACAAGTTAAAGTGCCAATGTACAAGGAGGAAACAAGTAATAATCAAATAATTCTCCACAAAATTCGCCAGAGCTTTAGGCAAAAACATTAATTATGACATTTCATAAAAACAATTGACACTAACACAGCATGGGGAGCCAAAAATACCAAAACCCAGTTATATTCAGTCGAAAACACAGCAATTTGAAAAATTAACCAACAGAGGTAAGGCATGGATCATGCTAAATTAGCAACACCCAGTAACAAAAACCGAAAATAAGAGCTGGGCACTCACTTAAAAGTAGCAGAAAAACCTCGAGAAGAATCATACTGGGACTAAAGTTGAGAGACACCCCTTCATTCATGCCTCCACCTTTATCACTCCCAAAAGAACAGAACAGTTAAAAAGAAAACCGCAAAATGACAAAGTTACCAATATAACAGATACGAAAAAAGATTGCTACTTTAAGAAGCTTGTGGCTTGAAACTCAGAATAATGTGGTGGGTATTTGAGAAAACAAATAAGAAAGAAGGCAAAGCCATGGATGAAACCCTGTCAAGTGGCGTGGGGACTAAGAGCAGTACCAGGACCAGCTGTAGTCTTCTGAAAGAGAGAGGAAAGGACCCACAGAGACATTAAAACTATGATATAATAGCACTAATACCATTAATGCCATGAATGGCCTTTTTCTCTATTTCTCGAGCAATACTAGCCGCTCGGCACGCGTGGCACGTGAGGAGGGAGGTCGCAGGTTCACATGTGTGGTTGTTTCACACATGTAAATGGTTACATGGCAGTTTGGGTAATAATCTGGAAATTAGTTGGTTGGTGTATTGTGGGTTCGGGATATTAAATTTTCTGGAGCATCATTTAAGAATTTGGCAGTTGTTTTGTTTTCTTTTCATTCTGCTACATTTTTCTGACTTTCGGCACTCTGCCCACACGCTTCTCAGGCCTAACCAAACCCAACGATTGCCTTTGGGCTTTCGACCGGCTTCTGGTTAATTCAAACTTATCTGGGCCAGGTTGAACTCAGACCGACCCAATTCAAGCCCATAAATGGTAATATATAAATACAAAACTATTATTACTAATATAAATCCATTTTTGAATAGAAACTACAAGTTATAGAAACTGTGGGGAGAGATTGGAATAAATCTGTAGTTGAATAAAAAAAATAGTTAATGGGTCAAAATTTTGAAATTGGATGTCTTATCTTCAAGAGAAAGATGCGGTCATAATCATGTGAATCATAAAGTTCATGTCTTCATGATGTGATCTTAATATGCATGTAAGAAGATTTTCTTTGTTTTTATTTTAATGGAGTGGAGAGAGAGAGAGAGAGAGAGAGAGAGAGATATGTAATGACAATAATAATAATAATAATAATTGAATTGTTGGACTTTGAAGGATAGCTTGAAAGTGAAAAATCCTTACAAGGAAGTCCTTAATTAATTAAATGTGAATATGATAAAAGATTACTGTAATTACCTGTATTATCGTAATACAACCGCAATGATCTTTTATATAATAATTGAATTGTTGGACTTTGAAGGATAAGCTGAAAGTGGAAAAATCCTTACAAGGAAAGTCCTTAATTAATTAAATGTGAATATGATAAGATTACTGTAAATTTAACCTGTATTAATCGTAATACAACCGCAATGAATCATTTTATATATATAATATATATATATATATTATATATATATATATATAATATATTATATATAATTCAGGGTTCAGAAAGATATAATTTCCATATAATCAGGGTTCAGAAAGATATAATTTCATTTAAACAGAAGAGTATAAAGATTGATTTTTTATTTTTTCAATAAAATATACTTTTCAAAAATTAAAATCGTCTATCAGTGCAATGAACGATATATTAATGTAAATGCAATAATTTTAGTAAAGAAAGAGGAGATGAATGTTTTCGAGTCAAATAAGAAGAAGAACATCAGCATAATCTGAATTTGCTGCATGTACATGGACGTGGCAAAATCACAAAGGATAATGGAAGTAGAAATCGGTGCAAGAACAAGAAAGCTTCAATCTTGAATTTGCCTGTTTGACCAGCTTCCCATTATTACAATTGCATCTAGAATCCAGGCTGCAACTCACATGTTTCCTTTGTTTTATATATAGTTTCTTCAAGATTTTTTTTTTTTTACGTAATTAATTTTTTTAATATTATAAAAAAAAATTCAAACTTAAATTTATTGTCGGATTATTCATACAATTAATTATTTAAAAAAAACACTTTTTTTTCAGGAAAATTTAATTTTTTTATTTAAACATACTGCATTGAACTATTTCTAAATATAAATTTTGGCTTGTTAGATACTATATATATCTAATTTTTATTAACGTGTATAGAATTTGTTTCAACGACATTGACAATGAAGATATATAATTTTTTGCAAAGGATGTTGGCGATGATGTTAGTGATATTACCCAGATAGAGAAATAAATCAATAGAAAATAAAAAATATCTCCTTTGATCAAATTATTAATTGTAATTATGTGGCTGTCATGTCATAATACAAATTGATTAAAAAGATATTTATCTCGCACATGTATGGTTCAGTGATTCCCATATTTCAGTTGTTCAAGAAAACGATTATGTTAAATAGAAGCTATATATTTGTAATTGACAATTAATCAAATAAATAAATTGTAAACAGAAATAAAATTATTAAAAAATAAAAAATATCTTCAATGAGCAAATTATTAATTGTAATTATGTTATCTGTCTTGTCATAATGCAAATTGACTCAGAAGATTTTTATCTCGTATGTATATATAGTTCAAACAGTTGCATGTTTCAGTTGTTTAAGAAAGGATTAAGTTAATTATTAGAAGCAATACACAATTATGAATTCGCAATTGACAATTAATCTAATTAATTAATTAATTAATTATTCAATTGAAAAAGGTACATTTTGTGAAGCCTATGCTCCAGTTAAAAGAAATATTTTAAGTAAAATTTTTTTAATAATAACGATTCCAAAATTTAAACTCTTAACTTTATAAATAAAATTCTTCGAATTGTAATTTATCTTTATCGATGAATGAATTTTTAAATTTTGAATTAATTTTAATTGATGGATGGAATCAGTTAATCACCTTCAACTATTAACAATTGTTATCAGCAAATAATTGATATCAACGGTTGAACTAAACGAGTCTTTTAATTCTTCTTAAAACGATCTTTGCTAACTCAAAATTTTCAATCTTGAAATTAAAGCTTCCGTTTGTTGTATTTGATCATATGATTAATGAAATGTTAAAAATTTTATATGGAAAAGGTAGATGGACTGTCATATATTAAAAAAAATGTGGCTTTTAGAATCAAACTTCTGTTACGTATTGGCAGGAATCAACTCAACCACCGACTAGAGTAGATATATTACCCTTCTTTCTTTGTTACTTTGCTCAAGATTTCATTCTCTTAATTTTTCATTTAGCAACGGAAAAAAAAAATTAAGAAGGCTAGCTACTTAATTAATTAATTAATTTGCACGAGAATTGGGTTGAATTTGTTACTGTAATTACAAACAACGACATGGTTTAATGATAAATTTATGTACGATATAATAATAGATTCAGTTTCGAGTCTCATTTTTCAATATTTAAAAAAAAAAAAAAATCTCTAGTTATATAATATAAAGAGTTACTAATGATAATTAATTTTCATATTCCACCAATGGAAAAGATAGGTATTAATTGTATGAACAGAATAAATACATGCATGGTAGGAATGGAATACGTATGATCTAACAAATCCCCACGTGCGAGGTTGAAGATGGAAGGTGAAGAACAATTCTATATTACTCGTCAAAGATCCTTTTTTTTGCATAGTGTTCACACTTAATAGTTAACACTTACTTGTCTCAACCAAAAATGCCAGCTCATAATTTTATTCACAACAATATATTTATTTTATTTTATTTTATTTTTACAAATATATATCTCTATACTAGATATATTACTCTGTGTAATTTAACATTTTTTTTTTTTGGCTTTATATTCACTCAATCAAAATATATTTTTCCTTTTTTAATTCATTTTGGAAATAGATATTTTCAGTAATATTTTTATATTTATAATTTATCATGTTTATTCTTCAATTCACGAGTCCACTAATATATTATACATTAAAAATTATTTTGCCTAATAACCTAGAAAAGTAAACCCTTAAACAAGGTATTTCTTACCTTTTTAGGCTTAATTAGCCAAAGCAAAGCAGCCAAGCCAAGTCTTTGCCTACCCTTCACATACATCACCGGCTTAAGCTGTAGAAGCCGAGCTTATGACGTCATCCTCCTCCACCACCTGGATTTTTTTGGTCAACTAACAGCCATCCATCTACACTGCCACCTCACCTGTAGTCCTACGTGGCTAATGTATTGTGAGCTTCCTGGAAAATAACAAAATAAAAAATATCCAGCCATTTCTCCCTCTCGTTTCTATATAAGCCGCAGCCTCTCCCAGCCCCAAAATCTCTGCACTTCCATTTCAAAAATACACATAAAGATTCTTTCATTATAAGAAATGGGAAATTGCTGTATTCATGGTTCGTCGTCTTCGGTGGTTTGGGCGGGGGACGACTGGGGTTCAGTGAGACCGGAGAAGAGTTTTCATCGTCGGAATCATAATACCATGATCATAGAAAAGCAGAGATTACTTGGTGAAGAAATGAGAGAATGGTTTAATTATAATCCAAATTTATCTTTGTCTTCTACAAGGGAGGTGAGGATTAAAATTACAAAGAAAGAGCTTGAAGAGTTAATGGCAAGAATTAACATGCAAGGTTTGACAATGGAACAAGTTCTTGCTAGCTTAATAAACTCTGCAGGTGATCACAGTAAATTTGAAATAATGGAGCATGATCATCATCACAGATCTTGGAAGCCAGCCCTGCAAAGCATTCCAGAGGTTAATTAGCTAATTAATATTTTAAATTTGTTGATTATGTCTGTAAATATATCTGTGTATTTCTGATTTTTTATCAGAACTTCATGAGCTGGTTATGTATTATATATTTGTTCATGACCTCTGGTGTTCTTGATTAATGAAAATCTTAGGAGGGTTTCCAATTTCAGGAGCATATTTTTCATGTACATCTCTTGATTTTAATGCACAGTTGTTCTCGTTTTGCTCTAATTACGTTTGTTATTGTGTAATTTTCACAACCATATAAATATATTCTAATTAGGTGTGTCTGAAAAAACCAAAGAATATAATAATGACCGGTCAAATTTATTCGTTTTAATATATTTTTTTTTAATTTTTGTTCGTTTTATTAGTTGCGTGGACCTTTAACAAGATTGGATTAAACCATTGTGGTCCAATCTGGATCTATCCAGTTCTAGTCTTTGGGTCCAAAAACAAATATAGAAATTTGAGATGTTTATATATATATGAGCAAATCTTGATACAATGAAAAAAGATTTAATTACACCTTAAACACATTTATTAGGTAAATTATTTTGATTAGTATTGTATATAGCGATAATTAAACAACAAATGACGATGTTGAATAAGTTATTTAGGAGATTTAAAAACTTTGACGAAGAAGAAACATGCAAGCATGTTGAATCACGAAGCAATCAACAGAAGAAAATGAAAAATTTTCTCAGGAATTAGGATAGTAAATGGTTACCCTTTTGGGGAAGTAACGTAACATGTTAGTAATATCTTATTTCTGTTTAGTTAAAATAGGAAAACCAACAAGAACTCACGCTTGCGTGAACCAGACCAATCTTATTACATTTTTGCTGGTTTTAGGGAATAGGTTTTGACGAAGACAATATAGGATTTGTTTGTGCATAATTAATACGAAGCCTAGAACATTTATCTCCCTGTCGTTACTTATTCAAAATCCAACAAGGTCTTTTACTAAAGAATTCGTAAAACGAACGACTTGTGGTTCCACGATCGACCACGACAGGTGAAGTTCGATGGTTGGTTCCCACAGTACGGGCCATGGCCTCTCTCTACCAAATTAGTAAATGATTTAACTTAATTAGCTAAACTCATCTTTCTAAACAATCATGGCTATTTTTATCTTATAATTTTCACAATTTCTTGCATGGGAGACAAACAGACAGTCGCTCGATCAGCTGTTGGCCTAATTATAGTAACCACTTCATCTGCTGCTGCAACCAATGCTGCTCATCATAGTTTCATAATTTCATAATTTCAGATGCTACTGTGCCATCTGTTTACCTCAATTCAATTACTTTCAGACCCTTTGAAAATTATGAATCAGTTTTTTTTTTTTTCTCTACCAATATTCCCGCAAATATTTAAAAATTAATTGTATTACCGATCAAATGTTGATTGATTCGAAGTATAAGCCACCTCAATTTAATTTCAGAAAAGTGCATTTTGCTAGGAGGGTTAAACACGCTCTTAGAGCTTAGGGGACTGTACAGAAATATCCCTCGCACCAATTTTTTTTTCTTTTTTCTTATAATTTTTGGTAAAAGGAAAAAGATATTTCAACCATGAATTCTTTTTAAAAAGAAGCGCAGGGCACGCGCGCAAAAATCAAATTATAAAGTACGTTGCCTCCGTCAAAGACTCCGTAATTGAAGCCTCTTTTGTGTTGTTTTGTTTCTTACAACACTCTCTGTTTCTAAAGGTGTCAGCGACGCCATCTCTTCAGTCTTAAGTCTTTAACACTACCTATTGAACTTCGAACGGCCACCACAGCACCAGCCAACTCTACGCCTTCGGATGAACTCTACCATCTTCCGTCGCCGGAAACACCAAGTTCCGGCAACTCCTCTCACGTCCTGGAAGTTCTATAGTTATGAAAACAGAAACAGAAACAAAATTCAGGTCCCATCTTCTGTCGCCGGGAGTGGAGGGACTGTGGTTGGACGGGGAGGTTTGAGGAGAAGGAAGGGCGGTGGTGGTGGTGGAAAAGTCGAGGTGTCAACTAGAAAACTCGCTGCCGGGATTTGGAGACTGTGGTTGGCTGCTGGGGTTTTAGAAGGTCCAGCATTTGGTGATGGTGGTGGTGGAAAAGTCGAGGTGTCAACTAGAAAACTCGCTGCCCGGATTTGGAGACTATGGTTGGCTGCTGGGGTTTTAGAAGGTCCAGCATTTGGTGCTGGAGGTTTAAGCTTCAAATGTGGAGCATGTAATAGTTTCGAAGCTGAGGTATGTGTTTTTTTTTTTTTTAAATTTATTTCTGCGGCTTGTGTGAATGAATCAATATGGTTTTGTTAATTGAACTGCTTGGTTGCCTAGAAAGAGTCAGAAAACAAAACGATGCTCTGTTTTACTCCTAAAATTTTTTTCCTTTTATTTTAATTTTTTTTTCAATGGGTAAAACATGCATAGCAAGGTTTTATTTTATCATTTTTTTTAAATAAAAAGATTTCCCGGTTATCATTATTAGACTTGTTGAATTATATATATGGAGTATAAATAAACAATATGCTTAGCCAGTGCTACTTATCTTTGAACTCGATCATGACATGGGATATAAAAATTGGTTAAATAGATCAACTGAATTGAATTCTCAGGAAATTTTGGTTTCAAAACAAGGCTTCAGAGAAAAATGCTACAGAGATAATTGTTTTTAGTGCATTTAGAAAAAATTTTCCTCTTATTTTTATGTCTGCATTTATTGATTCTTATACAGCACAAATTCCTATTGCTTTTGAGAAATCATGAATAATCATGATGCATTTCAACTTTCAGATCACCACAGGATCTTACATAATGATATAATTTTGATGAATTTATGAAAATGGATTCACCGTGTCCATTAACAATTGTTACTGTTTGGGTTCCAGACTAAATTAATGAAAGCACAATTGCGCATCTACAAGCTTGAAACTGAGAACCAGTTGTTTCAAAAGAAAATCAAACACTTGGTGAGGAAGCTTGAAGAAGAAAGAATCTCAAGGAAAAGGAAAGAATATCAGAAAATTCTTGCAGTTATATATGATTTAAAGAATGAATTAAACAGGGAAAGGAAAAATCATCAAAGAATGGAAATTCTCAATTCTAAATTGGTCAATGAGCTTGCAGAGGTCAAATTGTCTGCAAAGCAGTTGAGGAAAGATTATGAGGAAAATAAAAGAGGCAGGAAATTAATGGAGGAAATTTGCAATGTACTAGCAAATAAAATTGCAGATGATAAAGTGAAAGCTGAAGCACTAAGGATAGAATCCATCAAAATGTGGGAAGAAATGGAAGAAGAAAGGAAAATGTTTCAGATTGCTGAGTGCTGGCGTGAAGAATGCTCACAAATGAAGCTTATTGAAGCAAAATTAGTTCTTGAAGATAAATACTGTCAAATGAACAAATTAATAGCAGAGCTTGAAGCTTTTCTAAGGTCAGGAAGTTGTAATTTGGGTGTGATTGAGTTAAGAGAAGTTGAGTTCATCAGACAAGCAGCTAAATCAATAAACATTAAAGAAATTAAGGAATTTTCTTATGTGCCCTCAAAATCAAATGATATATACTCTATTTTTCAAGAAGTTCAGCAAATTGAAACAAATCAGAGGATAGCAGAAATATGCAGAACTGGTGTTTCCAAAATCCTGAACTATTCAAATGGCTCTATTTACAGCAACAGTCACTTTGAAGAGGAAGCAGGAGACTGGGAATCTGTTTGGTATTCCCTGGAAGACAGTGATCCTTCTGTGAATGTGCCTAGTCATTGGCAGAGTGCAAGAGAATCAGAACAATCTGTAGAGAAGATACCTCCAATAGATAATGGTAATAGAAAGTTCATAAATGACATAATTTGCAGACAGAAGCCAACTTCTTTGAAAAGAAAGTACTGTGAACGCAGGCCAAAGCTCCTAAATTCTGCAGGGCAGTGGAGCTCAAACAACTCGGTAAATCCACACATTATTCAAGGAATTAAAGGATGCACTGAATGGCCGAAACACAATCAAAAGAATAGCTTCAAAGCCAAATTGGAAAGCTAGAAACCTCAATTTCGCTACCTTCTTAAAAAGAAGACTCAGAAAGAATCATATATACTTAATTTTCATTCAAACCATTACTTTAGGGAGTGAGTTCCATATATTCTTGCTTTGTCTTTGTAGGCCTTCAGTACATCATAAAGCAATATAGAAATTCATTTCCTGAAATAGCTTATATCAATCTTTGCTCATCTTTTTCTTTCTTACTGCGGATAATTTCCCAAGAAAAACCATTTTTGACTCCTATATCCAACCCCACAAACACAAGCATCTGTCTGCAGTTTTTTTACTGTGAAACATAAATTTCGGGTCTAATATGAAAGTGGAGATGGTATTAAAATCTTTTTGTGGATTAGTGATAAATGAAAGTTTATAGAGTAAATTAGAGATGCCAAATAAATCAATCAATTCCAAATAACTAAAAAGAATAGTGGTGATCAACTCCATGATTGAAACAGAAAGCATCCTGTTCAAGATGGACATATAACTTTAGCACCATAACCACAAAAGTTAAGGGTATTATGTCATTCCATGCAAGTGGGAGAAGCACATACAAAAGATGTCCTTGTTGTTTTTGGATCTAGTTTTGAGATTGAACCTGAAAACGACGTCACACTTGCTTAGAAGGTTCTCTATTATACATTCAGCTACAGGCCTACAGCTATTACAGCTCAAACTCAAACTTGTAATTATTATTCAAGATTTTTTTTAAAAAAAAAACGTAATATTACTCTGTACTATTTTTGCTTTTAGGACCATTCTTGAAGTAATTGGGTATTTGTCTTTCTAAGCACTTTGCATTGACTGAAACAACACAAAGAAATGCCTAGTACAAATTCTCCATCATGGAAGATTTTAATTAAAGAAACAGATTGGCCTGTCATTTAATTTCTCTGAGACAAATAAAGTACTTAGTTGAAAAAAAAACTCAAATTTTTCTTTAATAAATGACTATAGACGACTATGAGAACTTAAGCCCATTGGGCTCTTGTTGGAGTTGTGGACCAAACAAAGTGTCCTTTCTTTCACTTCTTTGCATTTTCAAAAGATATCTACTCATTGTGACCTCATTTCTTGGCTTTTTAGTAATTTTGTAAGCATTTGGATTGAGTCAAGGCAAGGCAACCCATCTAAACAAACAGTAACATCCTCCCACGTATTTCTTGTTTGCTTGGAGCTGCAATATTTACAGTTTGAGCTTATGTAATTTTTTTTTCTTAAGAGGATTAAACCATCATATTTCTTGATTGCTTTATGCAGCTCTTAGTAGAGGCTAGAACGACATGTTCCTAAGTTAGAACTTTTTAGACAGATGAAAAAGAAATAAAAGCTTTTCTCTTATTATGAAGATTCATGAACACTTGGAAACCAAGAGAAGAGATAGTATTCTTCATGTATAGAAATTGACAAATCAAGAGGAAGTTAGCAGTAAAATGCACACGCAGCTTTCGCAAGTTGGTATAGCACATGGGTCAGAAACAGAAAGATAGCCAACCTTTTTTTCCAATTAGTTTCTTATTAGTGTTCAAATTTTAACCTCTGATCCATCATTAAGCTATTGAAAATCTTAGAATCCATGACCCATTTGAGCAGGAACCCTTAACCATGCATTATACATATATAAATGTATATATCAAAAAAATGATATAGAAGTTTATGAGAGAACCATAATTCATTTGTCAAGAAACTGTTCTAAGCCATGCTCAAGTGAAATTATGAATTAGTGATAGTTTTAGCTTCAAAGTGACTTGATTTGAGCTACAATGGGGTCTGCCGGTCTGGTGACGTTTAATGGTCAAATATACAAGATACCGAGCAAATCAATCAATCTATTCTCTATATACAGTGCCAAAAAACATGATTGAACAGAACCCCACCTGATCCATAAATGGAGGTGCCACCACAGCTGGAACCACAACTTTAGGTATAGATCATGTTATTCTGCGAGTGGGAGAAGCACTTCGCTATAATATATATAGCTATTTACATGCTAACCTCATCATCTAAAGATAATTATATGCTTTCTGTTAACTGTCACTTACTCATTATAACCGAGACTAAGTGAAACAGTTTTATTAAGGTAACAGCATTAGTTGGCTGAAATAATTTGATAGTGACTGTTTACCTAATCTGAGAATTCTTTTTTGTAATCCAAAATTTAAACCCATCAATGTTTGCTTTCTTTCATGCTTTCGTCCACAACCAACAAGATCATTTGACCCCCTTCTAGTTAAAAAATTTTCAACTGCAATTTCTTTCTTTTTTTCTCCCCATGGCTATTTTTCTAGAATTAAGCACTTACCCTGATAACCAAAAATAATGAGGAGAAACAAGAGCTATGGTTGCTTTGCTTAGGTGGTGGAGAAAACCTGATAGTGACTCCCCTTTCAGTTTCGGAATGGCAAGATTCCCATCTAATTGATTTTATTCACTGCAGAGAAATTAATTATGACCAAGATCATTGCGGAATAGATCATACTTAACAGGAATCTTTGAACTAATTGAAGGATATAATAATATGATTTTATCAGTAAAAAAAAAGACTTTAATCTTTAATAAATAGATTCTCTGCAATTATATTTCTGAAACTTCCTTCATATTGCAATTATATATATCTGAATCTTAACCAACCAGGCATTAAAATAAGTATTCAGAAGGAGACAATAACCGCTTAGAAAAAAAGAAATGCTGTTTCTATCTAAATTAATCACCTTTCACATTGTGGGATAGTTTATTTTTTTAAAAAAATTATTTCTAATGTCATTGAGATAGCATCTCAGTAATTTGTGTCTATTTCAGTGCATAAAAAGTTTTAAACTTTGGTAATAACAACTATCTTTCCTTTTAAGAACTTTTTATGTACTGAAGAAGAAATTGTCCTTAACAATATATAAGCAAGAAAAGTTGTTTTTGAGAATAAGAACAAGTACATGGTAGTGGTAATAATACTAAGAAAGTGTTATCAAATCACCCTCCTTGAAGTGGCACGATCAATATTGAAGGACATGTCTAATGTCTTAAAGGGATGGATGGGCGTGGCCCAATTCGAAAGTAACTATTCCAAATAGGAATCAATAGCAATTGTGACTGTTTAATCTGTACGAGCACACAAAAGATAGAAAGGATCCTACCACCTGAGTTGCCACCACTAAAATTGTTCTCAGAATTTGCATTGAAAGCCAATCTTGGTGGACTCTCTCTTCTTCTTTATTTTCTTCTTTTGATTGTGACTCTTCTTATTTATACATTAAGCTCTGAACAAGAAAATGAAAATTCTCTGCCACCCCTTATATAAGATTATTATTACTCATCAGGCGTTGCCACTCATATATTTCCTGCTAAACCTCATTAATAATTCAATCTCTTCCTTAAATTATCTTTAATTTCCATTTTCCAACGTTGGAAATTGTAAAAGTCCTTACATCTTTTTTACTGCTCGCACGCTAGATTGCTAGTTTACTGTTCCACTAGCACACCCAGACGGGCCAGACCAGACCCAATACTAATATTCCTTGCCCTTTAGTGGCCTGCAGACACTAGAAGTCAAAATGAGAGTGTCTTATACTCGCACAATATGTAAAAGATTTGAACTCATCATTTTACGAAGAATGGACCCCAGGGTTCCTGCAACATTTGATGGAGGAGCTCGTGCAAGAATCCTATTTCATTGGCTGTCCTAACAACCCTAACCCTCCTCACTACCCGACAAAGCCTCCAACAGAAATTTTTATGGTTCTTCCTTAGTACTCCGTGAAAGAAATTAAGGAACCCATCTCCTTAAACTAATCACACTGTCACTTTATTTTGTCTTTTTTAATTCTTTAATTCTTTATCAGTTGTTTAATTTTATGGCAGAACGTACACAGAATAGCAATATATCATTTCTTTATAATCCACCCAAGTACAATCATTACCAAAACTTTGATTTAGTGGATCTAATTAACAGTATATAATAAAGAATAGCCATCCAAAGAAGAAAAATTATTCTGATATACAGTCTATCAGTCACCAAAAAAATCAATATCCATCTGGAAACCATGAGATCACATGCAAAACACTTGAGGGTGTCTTCTTGTTTTGTTTGTCTTAACAAATGGATGGTTGTGTACACATTATAGCTAGCCGGATTTTGAGGCTTAAGCTATAGCTAAAGTATAGCAGGATTTTGAGATTCTGATTCTGGCAGAAACTGGAGACACCTAGATCTTGTCTTTTGGTTAAACCCTAAAAAAAAATAAAGAAAATAAAGTTAACCCATCAATTTCATGACGTATAAAACCATTTTCTGATCTTGGGTTGTCATGTTTTGGGCGTAAAAGGAGTAAAGGACACAGCTTTGTGGGTCAGGGTGCCTCTAAATTCCACTCGATTTGCCTTCCAATGGTTCTTATAAAGAAGAATCACAATTTGGGTTTCCTACGTTATTGGATTTTAATACAGCATGTGAAGGATACTTTTAGTTTTCAGAGCCGCCAAAGCCAAATTGATCCTAGCATTATGGATCCAAAGGCAAGGCTTTATTGGCTATCACATGGTGATTATTTTACCATTTTTGTCTCCCTTGAATGATCTCTCTGCATTTATAAATGCTAGCTTATATACATATATTTGTTTTTAATTTTCAAAAATTTTATTATACAACTTTTTCCATATATGGAATAAAAAGATTAAGAGTGAGGATAGATTTAATATTGGTTTTTGCATACACAAGTTACATTTTTTTTTTTTTTTTTTTTTTTGTTCTCCCCTTGAATGATCTCTCTTGCATTTATAAATGCTAGCTTATATACATATATTTGTTTTTAATTTTCAAAAATTTTTATATACAACTTTTTCCATATATGAATAAAAGATTAGAGTGAGGTAGATTTAATATTGGTTTTTGCATACACAAGTTTACATTTTTTTTTTTTTTGGATCATTTGGACTATCCTGTTTGTACATTTTTTTTTTTTTTTTGGATAATTTGACTATCCTGTTTGTATTTAAATTATATTTTTCCATCCATCTTTTGCACATGCCAATAATCCAGTACTGTGAAAACGATTTGTCGAATGCTTGTCACTTCAACTGTCCCCCAGTTTAACCACCTTAAAGAAATTTGTCCTCAACCAAGATTTTTTTTTTACTAGAGTTGTTAAAAAAAGAAAATATGAGATGAAGAGAAAGACTCGAACTCTGATGAAATCATAAGAAAATCTTACCATGGCAAAAGTCAAAGGTCAAAGAATCAGTAGGTTAGATATTTTAACTTATGGGAAAATTGCTACGGTTTTTTTTTTTTTTTTAATCAAAATTGTTGATAAAAAATGATGAAATTTTTATATTTGAGTTTAATACGCCTTTATTAATGAAGGAATTTTGATATGACTCAAACCGAGTTGAGGCGAGTTGAACATCAGCTACTGATTGCAGCTGTAGGGCCAAGAGTTCTAAATAGAAGTGGGTCAAACATAAGTACAGTCACTGCAAAAATGAAATAGAAGGGACCCACATCCACTGTAATGAGCCCATTACTACTAGTGTATAGCCAATTAGCCATAGCAAGACTAGAGGCTCCTCAATAATACTACATTACTGCTCAAAGAGGGGTTACCCTAAACCCTAATGGGCCTGGGCCTTCACTTGGATAGTGAAATGTATGATGGTGAATGGACCCAGATAATTTTTTTTTTTATTTTGGGAAAAGACAAGTCCCTTGTAGGACCCACATGATAGTGGACCCACCGTTTTGCATTCTCAACCGTCTAATGTGCCCATCATCTCCCCATCACAGACCAACAATTACTTCTTGATAGCTTTTCACCCAAAAAATAAAAAAAAAATAAAAAATTTTATTTGACACGCAAGTGGGAGATTATTTTACTAATTAATTAATTAATTTAACCTATCACTGTGTAACAAGTTTACGTCCTAAACCATCACTTATGCAAGTGAAATTGCAAATTTATGGTCACCATCATTATTGGCTCTCCAACATTAATTATTTTTTTATGTTTAACGGGTCTTGATTTTCCATGTGGCAAGACTGTGATATTGGTTAACGGGACCCGCTTGAATCTAAGCATCCACGTGTTAGGCTATGAAAGAACATGCAGAGGAAGGAAGAGGTTCTTTTAGGATACCCACGTGGATAACGGACCCACATTGGATGCATTCGAGTCTGACATTGTTAAACGAGAAACCAAAGGCTTTGGGCTGGGGTCCATCAGAGGAAGGGAAGAGAATGAAGTCTGACGTGGAGATAATATAATGCTCTTGACTTGTTTGGATTTTTATTAGATAAACCAAATAATCTCCAATCAAATCATAGGTTTTTACTTTAACAGCTCCACTCATTGCCAAATGCCAAAAAATCAATAAGTCATTTAAACTTCGAGTATGATAAGAAATCGCGAAATACATAAATTCACGATAAATATTTTTAATTTTTAATTAATTTAATTTTATAAATTAAAATATTTAATAAAATGATTTCATAAATTAAAGTATTTAATAGATATAAACTTATACACTGAATTATTCGATTGATCAAAATAAAATTTAAACTGTCATAAAATATAAGTAATAATGTTATATATTCGATTGATAAGAAATAGATGCATCAGAATAAGAAATTCTTTGGCATTAATAGTTGTTATTTCCACCTTTGAAGAGTGTTCAAGTGTTTCAATTTAGTAGATAATTTCCATAAGGCTAACAATTTTATTTATAAAAAGATAAACACTTTATATTCAAAAAATATGAGAAACTTTTTGATGAATTATCAGTTTATTGTGAATCTTTCTGCCATGTGAATAACTGGAAGTCTATAAGATACTTTTGATATTATCTTTGTATTTATACACGTATTTCTACATTTGGATTCAAAATAGTATTCATATAAAATCCTCCGAATATTTAGAATTCTGAACGTTCTACTTTTACTTTGATATAGTATTCCACTTCTATAGATATATATACAGTAAAGACATCAAAACGTATAAAATTGTATTCAAACTCTGTATTTTTGAAGTAGATTGCTCCATAATTACACCAAAAAGAGAAAATTACATGGTAAAGTTGAATACCAAATAACTAAAACTAGAAAATCAGGCATGACAATTTATAATCCAATGTCCAAATTCGGCAAGTCACTTCCCAATCTCACTCTGCTTTGACAAAATAAGCACACTCCCCTCTGACCAATTCCTTTTAAGTGTTGAACACGCGCCTCCAAAAGCATGTGAGTTCAGCTCTAGTTTTTTCTTTTTTTTTTTTTTTTACACAGTCGTGTGACTATCTTGGCGTCACCGTACATAAAAACCATTATTTGATAGCGAGGAAATGCATACAAAATGAACCGCAAATTCACATGAAATGAAACTGAGCCTTCCTCTACAGGGAAGTTCCCAATGCTATATATACATGTCTTCTTCTCCAAACCCAACCTATGTTATAGAGCCAAACTAATGGACTCATAACAGACTGTTTTTTGCTTTTTAAATTGGGTTTTTGGGTCATCAGCTCAATTTGGCCGCTATATGGCCAAGGGCAGGAGGCTAACAACAAGCCGCAGTGAAAGGTTACTTGGAAGCTTTGCTTATGCCAATGGCCAAGACAGGACCGACACGGACTCATCCGAGCTAGGCGAGGAAGACGTATGGTCGATGGTTGATGATGCGGGTGACCGGAATGAACAGAATGTCGATAATTCACAAGGAGATTGGAATACACGCGCCGATGTTGAGAGTAACGGAAGTATGACTACAAGGAGCCGCCGCCGAGTTCCGCGGGATAACCGCCACGTGGGTGGGTTGTCTCTGGCGTTTGAAGATTCTTCCGCCAAGACGGCGTCATCAAGAATCCTGCACCAGTTTCGAGGACATGACAGCGTGGCTTCCCCAGCAGCATCTCCTCGTCACATGGCCACGTCAGCTCCGGTAAACGTGCCGGACTGGAGTAAGATACTGCGTGTCGACTCGGTTGAGTCATTACATGAGTCGGATGATGGGTTTGATGACCGCGACTCAGAGATGGTTCCACCACACGAATACCTGGCGCGTGAATATGCTAGAAGCAAGAAAATGGGTGGCGCCTCTGTGTTCGAGGGCGTAGGCAGGACGCTGAAGGGCCGCGACCTGAGGCGCGTGCGCGATGCAGTATGGAGCCAAACCGGATTTGATGGATAATCGTTTTGTTAACAAAAACCAAAAAGGCTATTATTGTTGTTGAGATTGCTTATAATTTTTTCTTGGGCAATGATTCGGCCGAGTTGACTCGGCTTTGAATTGAGTCAAACTCTGCAACGAGTGAGCTCAAGCATGATTGTGCTCGATGAGGTGCCTCTATTTGTCCAGATTTGGAATTTGGAACTCCTGCTTGAGCATGTTTGTTAGTAATCTTCTGGTAATTTAGACTCCAAATTTTTACGTATTTATTATTTTTATTGCTAAATTCAAAATCTTCAAATCCTCGTGTTAGCCTCTTAACTACCTCTTTTAATTGGAGAAATGTGTTTTGCTTTGATTTTTCAAGAGAAAAAAATTTAAAATTCATGGAAAAAAATCTCGAAATGAGATTAATTTTATGTTAAAAAAAAAATTAGAAAATACCTATGGAGACAATTAGGAAAAAAAAAAAAAAAACTAAAGCCTAGATGTTAAGCTTTGTAAGGGATGAGAAAGTACTTTCAAAGTACAAATTATTAGTTTCCAAGAGGATGAGTAATTTCTTACTTATAACTGTTCATGTGGGGCAGATGTTTCCTAGTTCTTGGAATTAGCTAGTTAGGTTTTATGTAATGTAAGTAACAGAAGCCGGAGGCATGTGCAAAAATTGGTCCGAACATGAAGATTACAAGGACATGTCGTCTGCTTCCTATTCCTATCAACTGTGAATTATCAAGAAAAATGAAAAATTTTTTTTTTTGTTATAATCACAATTAGTCTGAACAGAAATCACAATTAAAGATGGTTTTTAATTTAAATAAGAGAGATAGGGACAGACAATTATAAACATGAAAACTCCCCTGAAGAGAGGAGAAAAACCAAGTAAGCAAGGTTGCTTTTAATGGAAGGGGATAGATGGAGACACAGTGGCAACAACAACAAGAAGTTGATAAGGTCAATAGAGGCTGTAATGAAGGGCTCAAACAAATAGTAGAGTTGTCTGAACCTTGTGACTCACCTTTTTCAGGAAAAGGACTTTACTGTTTGTTGGGCTCACAAGAGTTTAGAGCCATTGGATTATTTTAAATAAATAAAAAATAGAAGTATTGGTGGAGTGATTGAGTAGTAGTAAGTACCACTATAAGGTTTGATGATATTTACAGGGTCCACCGTAGATGATGATCAAAATCAATATGTAATCTTTAGATTCCATTATTATTCTTTTTTGTGATTCATGCAATTGACATGACTTCAAACAAACTTATACAAGATACACAAATTCATCCATCATCATCATCACTTTAAGTACTTAATGAAGGAATTCTGGAATATGGTCTCAGTTAATTTCCTTAAAAGCATGATTAATCTTTTTGAATTTATATATTTCGCTTTAAAGCATGTATTAATTTTTAATATATAATTATATATATATATAATTATATATATGATATATATATATAATGTATTTTACTGATTTTACTTTTTTAAAAGAAATTTACTTTTTTTGTGAGGAGAACAAAGTGTGAATGTTTTAATGGAAGAGTAAAAAATTAAAAAATATGTATTTTACTGATTTTACTTTTTTTAAAAGAAATTATTTTTTTGTGATGGATGAACAAAGTGTGAATGTTTTAATGGGAAGAGTAAAAAATTAAAAGGTATATATATTTAAAAAAAAGAAAAAGAAAATGCAATTATATATATACAAGAGTACAAGACATGATAGCCAGTCCAACTCAGTGCTTAACAATCTGATTTTAGCTTCCCTTTAGGCCCAAATTGTATGGGCTTGCAAGGCTAATTAGCCCACTGAATTTTAGCCTATCATCTACACGTGTCTGTTATTATTATTGAGTAGATACGATGATGAGCGAGCCCATATTAATTAGTTCCTAAAAAAAATGTAATTATTTTTTGTGAAAATATTATTATAAATTCCATCTTGTATAAGAATGAATTTATTTTTAAATATGAATATTTATTCCGTTCTCAAATATTTATCGAGAAATTATTATACTTTCCAATATTTATCATATTTGTAGATTTAATAAATAATAAAATTTTTTTAATATAATCAATTCACTTAATAATTTAATATAATTTAAATAAATTGAATGATTATGATAACATTTAATTTGCATTTCAATAAATGCCAAAAGAAGTGCAATTATGGTTCAGCGGTAACAACGTCAGAAGCAAAAAGGGGAATCTACTTTTTAGCTCCGTCATGATAGGAATTGATTGCAAATGTGGATTTTTGATCTTCTTCTTGTTTGGTGTGGAATCTTTTTCTATGGTCCCATACATCACGAGTTCGCGATACTTTCTCCAATTTTCTTTTTCGTTTTTCTTATGTATTGTCTAATTGATTATTCTCTGTGATTATGCAAATATTTGGTAATGTAAACTTATGAGATTAAGCCACAAATCTCTCAATTATGCAACCCAAAGCAAGCTGTTTTTACCGAATTTGAACTAATTACCTCATTTCAAATAGAAGGAATACCGTTTACCTGCACAAAATACATGCACGTTTAAATTCTAGATGAACATTTAATTACAGTTAAAGGACGCGTTTTCACATATAATATAACCCAATAAGATTACAGTCCCTTCATTTGTCTTTTGACTTGAAAAGTCTCTGTAATATCCGTCGTAGATAGACCTGGCTTATACATAACATTTCCCTTTTTATGCAGATTCAGTGTACAGGATTTGATTGCAACTTGTATAATATCTTTGTCGTCGTCTAAATATATGTCTCTGTGGTCCGTTCAACTGAAAAAGCCCAAAACTTGATCTGGGTTTCTACTCCCAAACCGGAATCTGGCTTCTTCTTATCCAAAGTTTCAATCTTTTATCATCTTTTTCATTGTTCCATTGAATCCCATATCCTGATCATCAGATGGGTTGTTACAGCAGTAAACAGAAGCCTTCAAAACCAAAGCCTACTGGGTACAGTCCTGGTAATTCAAGCCACCAACCACAACAATATCACCATCATCAGCCACTGTATCAACAACAGGCAATCCAGCAACCGAAAGTCACCGTTCCTCAAATCCAGTTAGAAGCTCCACAACCGCAAACAAGACCCCAACAGACAGAGACCCCGCAACTACAAACAAGACAGCAACAGCCACAGCCACAGCCATCAACACCTCCCCCGGCTTCAGTAAGAGTAGCACCCACCAACTCTACAACAGGGCCAGCTCAAAATCCAGAGACTGTACTGGGAAAACCCTTGGAAGACATTAAGACCTTCTACACTCTCGGGAAAGAAGTGGGTAGAGGCCAATTTGGCATTACCTATTTATGCACAGAAAACTCTACTGGGGACACTTATGCCTGCAAATCTATACTCAAGAGAAAACTAAAAAGTAAGAGTGATAGAGAAGATATTAAGAGAGAGGTTCAGATTATGCAGCACTTGTCTGGGCAGCCAAACATTGTGGAGTTCAGGGGTGCCTATGAAGATAGGCAATCTGTCCATCTTGTTATGGAGCTTTGTGCTGGTGGGGAGCTTTTTGATCGAATTATAGCTAAGGGGCATTATTCAGAGAGGGATGCTGCTAAAATTTGCAAAGACATTGTGAAAGTGGTGCACGGTTGTCATTTTATGGGAGTGATGCATCGTGACCTCAAGCCGGAAAATTTTTTGCTAGCCAGCAAGAATGAGGGAGCCACTTTGAAGGCCACAGATTTTGGACTGTCTGTCTTCATTGAGGAAGGTCAATTTCTTAATCCCTTTTATGTTCTTTCTATATCATGTGTCTGTTAATCTGATATATGATACATCAATTCCTGAATTGTTTGAGAATGTTTTTTATGATTGTAAATGTCGTTTAAAATTTCGACTTTGATTCCTGAATATACTCAAAGAGTAGGAGAATTAGTTTAATTCATTCTAGAATCACGCATTTGAACATCTTATATTAGAATGAGATACTGGGAATATAGCTTGGTGGCTGTTTTAGCATATACAGAATATGCAAGTTATTTCCTTTCTGCACAATTGGTTCAGGCTTTAAATTAATGATGTGGCTATTATTGTGGGACCAAATCTTGGAATTGGTCTTCTACAATTGTGCTAATCCCCAATTTAGGCATGTGAGGAAGTGAAACAACAACATTGCTTGTGATGAATATGATATTGCTAAGCAAATATATGGGTAAGCTAAACTTGGCTAGTAGCATTAGCAGAGAAAGTACCACTTTTGCAGCTTATAAAGTTATTATGAAAATATCAATGTACCTTGTTCATGTTGGAAAGAGTTCTGAATTTGGTATCAAGATCAGTTAAGCTCGGAAATACGAATAAGGCCATTTGGAAATGTCCAATTTCTTGCTATGCCTTGGATAGTCATATACATCCTATAGAATTAGAGAAAGATGGAGGGATTTGAAGAAATTTGATGAGTTCTTGTGTGCTGATAACTGACATAATTTGTGTGTAGATGCTGCTGTTAGTGTCACCATATCTTTAATTTTTGCATGTGCTTCTAGTAAGCTTGCATTTTCGTGTTATGTGACTATAAATGCTCTTGTTGACTGCTTTTATCCGAAAATCTTTTGCAGGAAAAAAATACCATGATATAGTAGGTAGCGCTTACTATGTTGCTCCTGAGGTATTAAGGCGTAACTATGGAAAGGAAATAGATGTTTGGAGTGCAGGAGTTATTTTATATATTCTACTCAGCGGTGTACCTCCATTTTGGGGAGGTAATGAATAAAAATTGACTAATTAATTTTTATTTTTAGAATGATCTTTTTCCATTTTAGATTTGTTGTTAACCACTTCCAAAGGCCAGATTAATTAGATCTTGTTCAATTTGTATTGCAGAAACTGAAAAAGGAATATTTGATGCCGTTCTTGAAGGACATATTGATTTTGAAAGTCAACCATGGCCATCAATATCTGAAAGTGCCAAAGATCTGGTCAGGAGGATGCTGACTCAGGACCCTAGAAATCGAATCACTTCTGCACAAATTCTTGGTATAAAACTGCCTATAGTTTCCTCTGAAATTTGGTTGAACCTTTTGTATTTTTTTTTTCTCTAGCCATGAGTTCTTTGTTCAATATAAATTGTTCGTTTTTCTCCCTGAGAAAAAGAATTGATTTGAATTTGATTTCTTAACACGAGCTACATTTACAGCTATTTGCATGTTATGTATAATCGTTGGTCTTTTTCCTCTCTCTCTCTCTCTCTCTCACTTCTTCTTCTTCTTCTTCTTCTTCTTCTTCTTCTTGGTGAGCATAGGGCTGGGTGAGGGGTAGGAGCAGGGAATAAACAACCAAATGTCATTTTGTTCGTTGACCTTTCTGATGTGACATCAAGCTTCTGTGCTAGGCTTACTGACAGCATATGCTTTTTTGTTTTTTTGGTATGGTTAGACCACCCATGGATTAAAGATGGAGATGCAGCACCAGACAAGCCTATAGATAATGCAGTTCTCTCTAGAATGAAGCAATTCAGGGCAATGAATAAACTCAAGAAGCTTGCTTTGAAGGTAAAGTTTTTAAGTTACTCTGCACTCCTCTTTTAGTAAAAGCTTGCCATATTCGCCCCTGAAGAACTGTGCTCTGATTCTTAGTTATCCTCTGAAGTCTGAATCTTTATTTTTGGCCTACGTTTACTCTCTATGTAATGAAGTTATTTTGTGGAATCAAATCCATTAAGAAGAAATTAGTCTTGCTAATTTACTCTCCGTGATAGTGATTGTTATGTTTTGGTAATGAGTCATGCATGACCTGTGAAGAAGCCACGTTGCAACCACAACCCCAACTACGATTTAAATCCTTGACACCTAAGGTTTACCACTCACTGGTCATATGGTAGACCCTTCAAAGGTCTAACACGAGCAGTGGATTTCAGTTGGCCGACTGCTATTTATAAAGAAAGCTGTTAACTTCAGTGTTCCTAATCTTTAGTTTTTCAAATATTTTTCAATAATCTTCCTCACTCTGTTATTTTTATTGGAGTTAAAATAAGAGTATTTGCTTTATACAGGCATAAATACTAAAACAATTTTCCTATTTTTTAGTTGTCTGAGTGAAAGTATCTCTTTCCATTTCTTTTTTATTATATTTCTGTCCCTTTGAATTCTCTAGGTCATTGCTAAAAATCTATCTGAAGAAGAAATTAAAGGTCTTAAAGCAATGTTCTCAAACATGGACACTGACAAGAGTGGCACAATCACCTATGAAGAACTGAAGACAGGATTGGCTCGACTTGGGTCAAAGCTATCAGAAACTGAAGTTAAGCAACTCATGGAAGCGGTAAGTAATAATGGGCCCCAACATAATCTTATTGTTCAACTTGTATCTCATACTTCACTGAAAATCATATCCTTCATATATATGATGTATTTCAGGCTGATGTGGATGGAAATGGAACAATTGACTACATTGAGTTTATCTCTGCTACAATGCATAGATATAAACTGGAAAGAGATGAACATCTATACAAAGCATTTCAATACTTTGATAAGGATAGCAGTGGGTGAGATTTCTGTCTTCCTGTCTTTAGCCACTTTTTCTTTAAACTATTAGCTGCCCATTATTTTATGGATCTCTGACTAATAAATGAGTGCATGTAATTTTCATATTTTGCCTTCTTGTTGTTCATCAAAAAGACTATTAGACTATATATATCAGGAATATCTTGAAGAAACTTTAACAACTGAATCAATTCATATATTTACTTGTGTTTCATACTTTTGTCCATACTGTCTTGATATTGAAGTCTTTCATGCGTACTTTTCTTCATCTTCCACTTGATTTATAGTTTTCAGTTCTGGTAGCAAATTACTTTATGTAACTTAAATTCCTTGAAGGCTAGAGGTCTACAACTTTTGGTTCATTACAGGTACATAACAAGAGATGAGTTAGAGTCTTCCATGAAGGAATATGGCATGGGAGATGAAGCCAGTATTAAAGAAATAATATCTGAGGTGGATACAGATAATGTAAGTGATCAATTATTTGAACTTCAGAAACCTTATCTTTCTGTTATTATTCATACTAATACCTTTGAATGGATAGGATGGGAGAATCAACTATGAAGAGTTCTGCACAATGATGAGAAGTGGAGTACAATAATTAGAAAGGCTTTTTTTGGTTAGGCATGGGATTTATGTTACTGTTTAATGAGACAGTAGAAGAACTGGGGCAAGGTTCCGAAGAGGTAAGAAGTACAACAATCCAGTTGCCACCTTGAATTCTCAACAGGCAGTTGATCACTAGTTTGGATTGCTTGGAATTTTTGTTTTTAGTTTGTGGCTTTGTGCATATCTATTTTTATGGTCTCTTCCATTTTCAATTTTTTTTTCCTTTCCTTTCTCCATTCTGACCTGATTCTTTTCTATGGAGTTTAATCAAATGATCTTTTAACTGAACCTGTGATGGTTGATAAATAATTCAGATAGCTAAGTTTCTTTGTTATATTTTACTATTGTTTCATTGTATCGTTTGTGTGGGCTTTTACAATGCCACCAGTGGCATTATTCTGCATGGCAGGTTATCAAATTTTCCTGACAGATTTAAACTTATTTAAAAGTAATTCAAACATCATCCTGCAAATCAGAAAACACATTTTTCGTTTGCCATTTCCAAGAGGGTGAATTGCTTTGAATTGTCTGTGGCGTGAAATTGAGAACATAAGCTAATTTTACTTTTAAAGCTGCATCTTTTGCCATTGTCTCCATTTCGCCTCTCTTTTCAAGGAGATCCCTGTCTGCCCTGCACTTGAGTTTAAAACCAGCAAAGTGGAGCAACAAATTTAAGATCATGTGGATTTTTCTTCATACAACAGGTTGCTGTCTGACAGTGGAAACTTTAATGCATTTGGCAGCTAAGTGAGAGAAACAACAGCAATGTAGCACCAAATTTATTATGATTTGAAAAAATTGATTTGGGTTATCATCTTATTGGAAATATTATTTTATTTATTTTTGTTGACTTTTATGTATCTCCAATTTAATCCCAGCACTAGAAATAGTAATATGTCCAATAAAATGTGAAGCCAATCAATAGTATTAGATATCCAATTGTTTCTTACTAGACTTAGCTTTGTCAAGCACAGTTAACTAAACAAACAAAATATAGGAAAAGTTACGGTATGGTCCTTATGATTTGTAAAATATAACTAATTTATCCCTGAATTTTTTATAAGATATCAATTTTTCTTCATGTTTTGCTTCTGCTTCTGTTATATATACCACTAGCTCCTTTTGTTCAATCTTTTCCATTAAACCATCAAGAAAAGCAGAGCCCAAAGGAGAAGATTAAAATTTTAATATGGAAAAATTACATTATGTTCTTCGTGGTTTGAAAAATACAACTAGTTCGTCTATGTATTTTTTAAAATATACTAAAGCTGAGAAAATGAGTAGTTTTGTTATTTCATAAAACACTTAACAGAAAAAATATAAAAATTAGATGAAAAGGCTTAGTAGTATAAAGCAAAAAATAAGAAAAAAAAAAAAAAAGTCTATTTTAGGACATACTAATTGTATTTTCCAAATTAAAGAAACCGTATTATAATTTTTCCCAGAACATATGATCTAAAAGCAACCCCACTTGCAATCTTTAAGGACTCTTTCCCTTAACCAGCACTTTCTTTCCAGGGAACACAGACTTAAGGCTGCCAGAACCAAACTTGATTGATCTATGACTCATACAAGGATTAACTTGTCTATCTGTGAACTAACATAGTAAAGAGATTTCTTTGGCTTCCCATAATTTAAAATTAGAAGAATGGTATCCAAGGTTTTAGCTTCATATTCCCCTGACACAAATTTCATTAGAGACAACCATTTGGGTTACCTTTGCACGTGAGGTTGGTTTTGTATATTGCAACCCACTAGGCATTATATTATATGCACGTGTGCACACAATTTCTTTATGCCTGGGAAAAGGAGTCATGGACTCTCTCGTCAAGACAGACACAGACAGCAAAGTTTTATTAATTATTTTTTCATTTTCATTTCACTATTTAAATGTTTGCAAATTGTCGTCAAAGGAGTGTCCTTGAGAATTCAATTGATTTTCTAATTTAATTTCCCTTCTTTAAACTTAATTAAGTGATAATATATATTTTATTCACTACATTAAAATAAGAACATTAATGTTGAAAAAATGTAAAATGAGAATAACATAGTTGTATTATTATTATTATTATTCTAACTACGTAATAATAATAGAAGGAGTGCCTCGGATGCTACTTTAGCTTGCTTAAAAATGGGGTATGGTCACACCACTTATATATATAACAAGGCAGTAGTTATTGTTTTAATATCATCATCGTCTGCAATAAAATACGAGAGGGTTAGGACACAATTAACAATGCAAAATCTCAATTAAGCAGAGCGTGATTAGTAAACTACTGTTTCTTGATCTATTAATGGCTGGTTTGCATTTGTTAGATCAAAGCAAAAGCACTAAAACTATATGTAAAGGTAACAGTGCCTCTGAGAGTCTTGACTTGGATAAATAAAACAAGAAAAGTAATTAAAAGCAAATGTAAAAACAAGAAGAAGAGAAAGAGATGCACGTGGGATTGCATGCCTCACTCTTCGCCGCTCTCTTTTGCTTTTACAAAACTGAAACAGAAAATCAAAACCCAAAAATACTTGTTTTTGTTTCTGTTTCATCAACTTCTCTTCTCTTGTTTATATCTTACAGGTTGCTTCAACTTTCACTCTTTGACTCGGACTTAATCTATATTTTCTTTCTTTTAAGTCTTTTGACATTGATATATTGAAAATCTTTGGACTAGTTTTGGCTTTTAATACAAGACCAACCTAGTTCATATAGGTTCTGCTTTCAAAGTCCATCAACTAAACGAACGGACATGTTGTTTTGATTAAAAATGCTAATTTCTTTTTGGTATTTTGATCTTGGAAGCATTTCTTTGAGGTTTTAATTATTGGGTATCGATTATATATTCTTTAATTGTTGTTTCTTGTCCATTAATCAATGGTGGAGCTCCAATCCTGTCCTAGTTTGATCAATGCCTCTGCATTGTGTTCCATAGAGCAAGAATCGAAAGGTGAAGGTACTGTCAATATTGTCGCAAAGATATCAGCTGAGTTACAAAGGGAAAGAGAGAAAAATGTTGAGCTTATGAAGAGAATCTCAGTACTTGAGGCTCAAATACAGGAAAGAGATAAAGACGTCTTTTTCTCTCAGGGCCAAGTATGATCTCGCCCGTTTCCTATTTGTGTTTTTGCCTTAATTAGTTTCTTGACTTTCCTTTGAAGTATATCAGTAATATGTTACTGGGGATTCATTTTCTACTCTTTTGACCCCATTGACGTTGTTTTAATTAAGGTGGATCAGTTTATCCCTCCAACCTGTGATTGTCTCATTTTTGGATATTTTCTGGTTTCACCCTGATCATGCAATTTTTTCCCTCGCTACTGCATATCTTTTTTCTCTCACTTATTGTCATTATCACTCTTGAGTTGCTATAGATGTCTTTGATCAATGAACCAGTAGTTCTATTTAAGAACTTGGCTAGTGGAATATGATACCGTACCATTATAACTTCAGCAAATATTTACTGATTGCATATTCAAAAATGTATAAGCTTTTGAAAACATACAGAATAATCTTTCAGATTATAGATTACTTTGGTTTTGAATATAATCTCTGGACTTATGGAACACCTTGTGTTGTTTTGATCATATGGAGTTGAAAGTAAGAATCTTTCTTAAATTTGCAAAAATGGAGTTTTGAACTTAACTGAATTACTTGCTTCGCCATTGACATCAACCTTAAATAGCCATTCTTATTTTATCTCTCAGGGTAAATGTCTCAATGCAACAGAAAGAAGCCACAAGAAGTTTAAAAGACCGAAGACAGGAGCTATTCATAATGGATTTGAAGAGAAAAATGCCGTTAATGGTGAACCACCATTACAGTTCAAGCATGGGTCTCAATGTGATCCACCAAAAGATGCAAATGTGGAAGACCGATTAGTTAATTGGATGAGCATGGATGAGACTCAGTTTTTGCTCACTGACAGATCGAAAGATGAGGACTTAGCTGCAGATTGTGATGATACGGATGACAGTGAAGAAGAAGAAGACTGTGAAGAAGTTGATACACAAGTTGATCACAAAAATGGAGAAACGTATGACACTTCTAATCAACTGGATGTATCGTGTTTGGGAAGTTATTTTGTTGGAAATTGTGATCTAACGTTTCCAGATGTAAACCAAGAAACAAATGCTGGTACGCAGAAATATTTGATACTACCTACTGAACAAACTAAGAACAATAGGTATTTACAAAAACTGGATGAGAAAGAAACTGAAACTATTGGAAGTCAAAAGACACCAGCTGATGATCCTGTCTTCAAGAAGGAAGCGTTTAATACGGGACATAGAAGCATTTCGCCAATTAGAAAGCCACCAAAGATGGCTTTTTGTCCGAAGGAAGTGAGAAGGATACTACAGTCAGAAGCTCTCCAACTGAAAAATGCCCAGTCTCACACCATTAGAAAGATCATAGTTTTTTCCTCTCTCGGCATAAGGCATGGCTCTGATGATATATATGAATTAGATTTCAATCATTTCAGCATTCTGAGGAAAGGGGAACTGTATGTGTCGCCAAAAGATCCAGGGGTAAGCAACTTATTTTATAATAGCAATAAGAATGAATAAAATGTTAGACATCAGAGTTGTCATATTGCCATTTTGAAGACTAAAATTTTGTGTTTTGTAATTCGCATCATATGATTCAGGTTTTATAGAATGTCCTTTTAGGTTGTTATAAACAAACCATTTTTATTTGCTGATGAAACAACTATTTGATGACTTTGATATGAAAAAATTAAATAAAGCAACTATGATAACTGAATCAACAGGAGCATGTACTCTATGAAAATCCAGGCGTCCGGAGGAAAATATTTTTTCCAAACCATCAGAACCCAACGTTGTGTCCTGTTCAGATACTTGAAGAGGAGAAGGCTATGCGTCCATCTGATCCTAGCTGCCCATCATGTTTATTTCTGTGCATTAAGTATGGTGGAAGAACAAGAAATCTTCCCCAAAATGAGTAAGTACAGTATCACCGTTTGCTCAGTTCCTATTGCAATATATCTGTTTTTGATTCTATTGTTTTCATCTGACTGAAAATGTTTGGGAATGGCCCAATCTGATCCCATTCATGGGATAATATTTTCCAGATATGTCAGGCAGCGCATGGGAAGAAACAAGCTAAAATCTTTTGGGCCAGTTATTTGTAGAATGGCAATGCTAATCCATATTCGCAGCGGAAGCTTCTTCTTTAAGGCCTTGGGAATCACACTTCTGTTCATGGCTGGTTTCCCTGATGACCTGGTTCAAAGGGAAACCAAGTACAGGAACTTAGACTTGCTGCAGAAGTATTACAGGTAAATGAGCTAAAAGATTTTAGGATATACTGATTTCAGAACTAAGAAATAAAGTAGGATTCATACATTTTTCTTAATGTCTATTAAAATGCATTGTCAGGTTATCATTCTGGAATCATTATAATTTGGTGAACGAGAAATTACCTGTTACATTGACTCACAAATTTCCTACTGCAGGACAGATGCAGATGCTGAAGGAGAGGAATTATTTCTGCCACATTCAATGACTTCTGATACAGTAAGAAAACAACTTCAAAATTACACATCCTGTCGAATATTTATTTGGGTCAATAACAAACCTTGGATTGTATTTGCTTTTTTTTTCCCCTTTCCTTCTCTTCTTAATGGCTTAAAAAATCTATTTGATTCTTGAAAAATAAATGCCAGCTAACAGATATATTCATTATCTCTTTGTGACATATGTTTTTGGTACCTAACACTGATCAATCTTTCATTTTTGCTACATTCTTGTCCTGTTAGCTGGCCAAGCCAGATTCTCAGAAGTTAACTGGGAAGACAGTTTCAGCAAAATTGAAAGGCAAGAAACAAACGAACTCTACAAGTAAGACTCATAATTTTCCAAGATCCTCAATTCATCAGTCTACTCCATCAAGCTCTGCAACTGCCACCCAGTTAGGCCTTATGGGCTATACCTCAGTTCAAACTCAGGCAGCAATAGCATCATTCCAGTCCATACCATCTCAAATTCCAGCCGATAAACAAGCAATTAACAGTTCTGGTGCCAATGTTCCTTACAGTAATCAAACCCCTTATCATTTTTTCCCACCACAGCCAGCAAATACATTCATGCCTATGGTGTATTGGTCTACACCAAATGCATTTCCTCCTAGCCCTTATGCCTCTACATATGGTTACCAAGCTTTTCCTTCCACCGCAAACTACATCTCTGTACACCCTCAGCCTTTTTACACCCATCCTTCTTGCGGTTCCTTAATTCCCAAAATTGCAGAAAAGAATAGGAAGAATGATGTAACTATGGTGGAAGCTGAGAGCGATTCGGATAGTAGTTCTAGCAATACAGATCCAAAAGAGGCATCAGCAAGCTGCAAATGATGGAATAGCAGATATACAAATAAACTTATGTGTTTCATGTAAATTAAAGCCAGTTGAAAATAATCCTAGCCGAGAAATGTGCACTGAAATGCATGCTTTAGGAATTAGGCCTCTCCTGCATTTCCGGTGTGCATCTTCCAAGTTCATGTTCCAACTATTTGTCAATTTACACAGTGAATATATGATTCTGAGGCTTCGGCCATTAAATTTGCTGAGCTTTACACATAAAATGAATCTTAATCTTGTTAAAATTAGATGACCATGCTTTCTTTTAATCATTTACTTGATAATAATAAAAATTAAGAATCCAACTATCCAAGGTCTTGTCAATAATCAGTTAACTTGGTCCTTGGATTGGAACTATATATTAGTTATGAGGGTTACAATTGAATTGGCTGTGGACCAAAAAAGTCTGCAGGATCATTTAAATTTCAGCTAACACTGTTTTGGGCATCATATATGCATACCAAGAAATTCTGTTGTTGGTTGCATTTCTGGAAGTTCAGTAATAAATGAAATTTCAGATTTCTCATGCCACTTACCACTCATAACATCTTCCTCTCTATAAGGCCCACAGGCCACAACCCTTTCCGTATAGCTCCATGTATTTGTCACATTATTTGTCTCTTTTACCCACCATATGCACATTTGATTTATATAGTATAGGTTTTTTGCACTGATTAGGGAATCTTATCCTTTCGCTTTTGAAGCCTGGACCAACCTTGATTCTTTTCAAGTTGTCATTTCTTGTATATATTGTTTATTTTCGTTAAATGTTGTTGATCCTCATATTTCTATATACAACAATTCAAATTATTTGATGCATAAATGTTTATTTTTATTACAAATTTTTAATTCTTAAATCATTTTCCCTTGTTTATTTATATCTCGAGATGGATGGAGTCTCTTACAAATATAGTTTAAAAGCAGCAATCATGGTGACCTCATGATAGATCAGAAGCTTAAGCTTAAAGGCATGAATCATCAATAACTTATCATAGATAATTGCAATACCTGCATCATACACCATCCATGCATACATACATACATACATGTCAACATTCCCCATGCCCATCACCAACATCAACAACAAAAGAAGCAAACCTATCCAGGCTGAAAAAAAGAGTAGTGCAAGTAATCACCATAGTCACCACCACTAATAGCTCCCACTCACCAGTCCCTACCAAAGTGCCCAATTTTAAACTCAAAGCATACCCATCTTATTATTCAACTCTCCCTCATTTATAAACGAAGAAGAAAAGTTTTGAGCTTTATCTAATGGAGCTTGTTAGCAACATTACATTGCTTTCTGATCTCACCCTTTGAACCAGTGAGTGGGTTGTTCTCAGACAAAATGGTAATAGCCCTAGAAAATTCCTTAAAGAAATAATCTTGGCTTTTGGCCATTTTCTTTACATAAGGCTTTGTCCTCTTGTCTGTGGCTAGTTGGTGATCTACTATCAACAAGCCTTTGTTGTCCAAAATATTTCTGTAGTAATTATTGTCAAGTACCATAGGAGTGCCACGGTCATTTCTTACATATTGCACTGCCTTAGGGTCAGGAATTGCATCAGGACATTTATAGAGCATGTGCTCAACATGGTCAGGGTTTAGCACTGGGTCAACCTCTGGGTATAGACGGTGCACCAGCTTCACACAGTGAGTTCTACCTACACTGTGAGCTCCTGTTGGACAAAAAAAAAAAAAAAAGTCAGAATACTTTTAATTGCTATATTGAGTTAAGCCATTTGGATTTGGTGCCTATTTGCATGCAAAATACGTGTCATATATACCTAGCAGGGAAACCACTCCAGGAGTGTCGATACCCATAGCTGCAAATCTCTCAAGAACAACAGAAATACTTTCATTGTGGTCTGGTAGGTATTGTTCAACCACATCTGCTTTGCTCTTCCTTCCATCTCTTCTTCCCGTTTTCAGAGGGATGTGAGGGCCTCCAAGCTGAAAACAAAGAAGTTTGCATGTGAAACAGTTGAAAAGATAATAATTTGAATTAGTTTAAAGATTTTCTAAAAATGCAGTATCACACAGTACAAATCTGTCAGAAAGAGCAGAAACAAAACCTAAATTAAACTGGGGACAGCAAATACAGTTGGGTTAAAAAGTTTCAGTTTGGTCCAAACCTGATGTCCATTTTCAGATCTAGTACCCAAACACAGTAAATCAAGAAAATTCAGTAAAAAATTAACAGATAAAAATGAAAAGAAAGGAAAATATAGAATACCGCAACAATGCCATCTCTAGCAGACAGCACAAGAATATCAGCACAAGAAACTACTCCAGGACATTCCCTCTCTACAGCTTCTTTGATAGTGTCAAGGTATCTGAAGTTCCTTAGACCAAAGCTCCTGTCGGTCTCCTTCTCAGACAAGGTCCTCCTTGTTGAGTCCAACAGCAGTGAAGCATCACATGACTGCAAACATGTATATACAAGAATTACAGGAAAAGAAAGAAAAGTTCAAACGTATCTAAAAAAGAATGGACCGAGTTACTTACCTGCACAGCACAGTCATGGAAGATGTTTCTTAGCCATGAAAAAGCAGTGTTTTTGTGTCTTTTGTAGAGAAGCTTAACTTGTTCTCTGATAATGTCTTCAGCTTGAGGACATGTGTCCCTGTAAAAGTTCATAATAAGACCTGGGTCTTGTTCATCTTCTGCAAAAGCTGGCCTGAGAGACACAGCTGATAGGGATAACAGAACAAAGAAGAAGAGGACTTTAGCTTCCATACTCTCTCTCTCTCTCTCTCTCTCTCTCTCTCTCTCTCTCTCTTTTTCTTCTCCACTACAGTCTCACTTGAGGTCAGTGACCTTGCTTTGGAGCAGCCTGGGATGGTTCTTTAAATAATGAAAAAGGAGAATAAGTAGACAAATAAATTAATAGCTACTTGTTATAAATTTTACCTTTTTAATTTTTGCAATCCAACCCATGCTGCATTTATTTACTGCCCAACAGTCTACTGGATTTTTTACTATTTAACAGATAACGCTAAATGAAGTTATAATCCGTGATTGTAATTTTACTATTTAAATATATTTTGACACTTTCTTGCAAATTGCAATCTGCCATTTGTTTTTTTTTTTTTGGGTTACCCTAAATGTTGTTTTTCTGGCATGGGGGTATTTTGTGAAATAAAATGCAATAACAGAATTTAATGTTGTTTGGCTCTTTGGTCAATGGTCTTGAATTTAATAAGCAATTCATATTTGGGAAATAGCATTTAAAGATGTTACTTATAAAATTGAGATCTCGAGGTAACCAATGCCATCCATATACATTTCATCATTTACATTATATTGCACGCAATGTATTAATGATTTTGATAATTAAATAGATGTGAAAAGATTATTGATGAGTTTTCTTCCTTTTTTTCTTATTGTGTATTATTAATAAATTAAGGGAAAAATATTATTTCGTCTCTGATGTTTGTCATAATTATTTAAGTAGTATCCGACATTTATACATATATTTATAACATCCCTGAAATTTGTCACCGTCATATTAATTGGTCCTTCCATCAAAAAAATACACTTTTTTTCCGTTAATTTTGAGAAGAAAAGACAAAATTGTCCTTTGAAAAAATAATTATTTCGTCCCTGCAAAATTGTCCTTGTTGAAAAAATAATTATTTCGGTCCCTGTAGGAGATTTGCCCATAATTATTAAGTAAGTCCCGACATTTATACAAATAATTTATACGTTCTTACTTCCGTCATATTAATTGGTCCTTCCATAAAAAAAAATACACATTTTTCGTAAATTTTGAGTGGAAAAGACGAAATTATCCTTTATAAGTTTTCGTTGACATTATTATTATTTTATTATTAAATAAATATTCATTCAAAAATTTGACAAAATTTTTAAACATTCGTCAGAAACAATTTTGAGATATTGGATCCATAATTTTTTTTCCAACCCAAAAACTCTTTCAAAAATCGTAAACTTGAATAAACACTCAAATCATGCATTTTAATAAAAAATGTTAACTTTTAATCATTTAATTAAGTCCTAATTATTATTTTTTTAATAATACTGGCGCATGAATATTGTTCTAGCAGTGCTTGACTAGGAGAAACCTTTAAGAAACAGTAAAAGATTTAAGAAAACTTTAATAATTTTTTCCTTCTCCTTATCTCTCCTAATTAAAATTTTAAATTAATCAAGTATTATGTATGCTTTTTAAATTAAAATTTTAAATTAATCATATTTAATGATATTTTAGAAATAATTATTTTCCCTTTTAATTTTGTTGGTAATCTGATTATGGAGATGATACTTGATAGAGACACGGTGGTGGCAATGAAGACTGCGTTGGGTTGAGGAAGATGGTGAAAATTTGAGTTTCTGGTATTTTAAAGGAAAGGGATTAACAATAATGTCAATGAAAACTTATAAAGGATAATTTCGTCTTTTCCGCTAAAAATTAACTGAAAAAATGTATTTTTTTTATGGAAGGACCAATTAATTTGACGGAAGTAAACCTCAAGAACGTTATAAACATTTGTATAAATGTCGTGGACTACTTAATAATTATGGCAAACCTCAGGGATGAAATAACTATTTTTCCAAAGGATAATTTCGCCTTTTATTCTCAAAATTAATGGAAAAAGTGTATTTTTTGACGGAAGGACCAATTAATATGACGGTGGCAAACCTCAGGAACGTTATATATATATGTATAAATGTCGAGGACTCAAATTACATATGACAGTGGCAAACCTTAACGACGTTATAAATATAACTGTTATAATGCTCGATATAACTTAAAATGATCATGCATCTATGGCAAACCCAAGGACTAAAATATATAATTTTTCCATAAATTAATTACTTAATTTTTAATTGAATTCTCTTGTGCTAAGCCTAACAGCAAAATCTGAAGATAAAGTAAAATAAAATCAATTCTTTTCACTATCGAGTGGGCCTTTCAGATGCACTAAAGGAAAGGATTAATTAAATTATGTAAATTAAGTCGAGACGTTGATGCAATTTAGATACGTGATTGCTCATCGCAACTTTCCAACAGAAAGAGAAGATGAATGAGGCAACTACTGGAAGAGTGTTGGAACTATTAAGACAGTGACAATCGAACGAGGCCAATTAGAATGATGTATCTGAGTGGTGCACCTGCATACAGATGGATATCTCTCTACACCATGGGGTAAATGCTTGAAGCTCTCACTCTTTTGCGTCCCCGTTTAAAGCCAAAAGTACCAAGAAATAAAATGATGCAATGAAAGGAAATGCATATTATTATTATTATATTATCAAAAAGATAATCTGTTGGTTCACAAGACATAGTAAAAAAATTTTTTTTTATTTTTTTTACGGAAGGACAAATTAATATGACAGTGGCAAACCTTAACGACGTTATAAATATATGTATAAATGTCGATGACTACTTAAATAATTATGGCAAACCCCAAGGACTAAATAATAATTTTTCCATAAATTAATTACTTAATTTTTAATTGAGATTCTCTTGTGCTAAGCTAAGCAAAAATCAAGAAAAGTAAAATAAAATCAATTCTTTCACTATCGAGTGGGCCTTTCAGATGCACTATAGAAGATTAATTAATTATTAAATAATGACTATCATTAATTGATTGCTCATCCAACTTTCCAACAGAAAGAGAAGATGAAGGGCACTACTGAATTGGAACTATTGAGACAGTGACAAATCGAACGGGGCCAATTAGATGATGTATATGCACCTGCATACAGAGGATATCTCCTACACCATGGGGAACGAAAGCTCCTCCTCTTTTGGTCCCCGTTTAAAGCCAAAAGACAAGAAATAAAATGATGCAATGAAAGGAAATGCATTATTATTATTATTATATTATCAAAAGATAATCTGTTGTTCACAACGAAATAGTAAAAAAATTTTTTTTTAATTCATTTGAGTCTTAACTAGCGAAAATAAAACCGTGAGCAATAAAACAGAAGATAATTCTCTTAAAAATATCAAACCACTCATTCCAATTAGTGGATGAAATCATATCACTTTGACATTATTCCGATTCGATTATTTTTATTTTTTAAATTAAAGATTGATCAATTTTGGAAAGCAGCTTTTTGGAGGAGTTTGTGGCTTCGGATTGGGAGCCATTTTTTAAATGTTGCCCTTACAAATAATAATAATAATAATAATAATAATAATAATAATAATACATGCCTTCAAAAGTAATCCATGAATATGAATTAAAATAAATATCAGCGAATTTATTTTAATTTTTAAAAAATTAATTAATGAAAATAAATGTTTTTAAATAAATTGGAGAATATATATATAAAATTGATATGGAACACCAGCTTATGCTTATGGCTCAAGAGAAATGAAAGTAAACAGGGAAGGAAAGAAAAGTGAAATGGCTTAGCCATATTCGCGGCTTGACAAAATCGCCACCGACAGTTTGTTTATATTTGTAATTTGTAGTAGCAGCCATGACTTTCACGTGACACGTCATGGCCCTTGACTGCGATTTCTAAACTCCAACCTTATCTCTTTGGCCCTTTCCATTCCATGAGTACACGTATAATCTTTGCGGTGCAATAAATTCTACTTACGAACCCTACTAAGACAGTATTGTCCTTCATAATTAATGATAATGCAGTAGTTTGAATATTATATTTCTCGATAAAAACACACATTATTCACTTTTAAAAAATATTTTAAAAACCTTATATTTCCACGTAGAAGACAAAAATATATCTAAAAAAAAAAAATTAGATGTGTCCAAAGCGCAAGCCAAACTCTTCTAGAAAGAAAGTGCAATAGACATAACACAGACAATAAGTTTACTGAAGCAACATATTCGTGTTGTGTCCCCTCAGTGTTCTAACACTGATACCTTTACTCCCAAATCACAGAACGTACAACAAACAGTTTGAAACAAATTCTCTCTTTAGCATCTTTGTCCATCAAATCAATTCACTTGACACATCTCAACCATCAAAATTGTGGGCTTCAAATGTAGCATTTCGTCGGGACATTATCACTGGCTTAACATATAGAGTGACGTACTCAATCCCTGGCATAATAGGAACATAGTTTGTTACGTTGGAGGAAGAGGATGTCTAAGGCTCTACTTTAGGATCTCTCTGCACCTCACATCTGCAACGAGGTGGCGTATGTGTGGAGCGTACCATTTTACCCTCTCCAAATGCTCTATTGTGACCTCCCAATTATGACCTGCCAAGGAACAAAAATCTCAGGAAGGTAAGCATCCGTATCCTTACACTCGCTTTATCTCAAGTGACTTGAAGAAAGCTGACGTAATATGCAAGTCGGACTATACCTTCTGATGTAGAAATTTCATTGATTGATTTCAAAACATGTTCGGTCCATGAGCCTTCCTCTGAGTCCTTCACATTCCCATGCACGTGCAGCATTCCACCGTTGCTCCTTAAGTAGCATTACCATCAGTAAGTTAAACGACAAGAACACACACGTAAACACACAGCGGATAAATTATACCACAGGCAATAAATAGGCATATCCTATGATTCCAGAACACATTAGTTGATTAAAGTAGCAATTCACAAGAAAACTATTCCTTAAAAAAAATCCAAGAAAATTGTCTTTTGAGATCAATTTTCAGTATATTACAACAATTTGGAAAAAAAAAAAAGTTTTTACAAAATGAATATATGCCCAAGCCAAAAACTTCAGGTAGGATAATGCTATCTACAAGTAGAGAAATCCAAATCAACCTAAAGCTGATAGTCCATGCTCCAAAACTTTGCTAGTCATATCATCTCTCCTTTTCACATGCAGTGAGTAATAAAAAGAATGGCAAAAAGTAACAGAAAGACGTCAACCTGGACCCTTGTGTAATTCACAATTTTCAGATCCATTTTAGGGAGTTCAGTATATCATTTGCACATGATGATTTTCATTTTTATTTAAAGATTCCACTTCATGATATCCAACAATCTAAGATGCTATAACAATGAAATATGTTAGGACAAATTACCTTAAAGCTCTAACAGCAGTTACCCAACTGTCCTCACTTGATGGAAGAAGACCAAGACAAACTCGATTGGCAACCCCCTGCAATAAAGAAATCCAGCTAAATCATTTACAGAATGGTGTTATTGTGATCAATGAGGACATCATCATCATAATATGTCCCTTTTCAAGCAAACTGCATAGCAGTCAACACAGGAAACACAAAAGCCAGATCCATGGAGATTGAATTCATGCTCCAAACAAATAAATGGTAGCAACTCAGATCACAAGCTAAAACAGTTAACTGGTCATCCAGCATTGTATATTTGAAAAAGAAATTAAAAAATTGACCAATCCCACCCCGCTCCATCACATAACCTTTCCCTTCTCACAAAAAAAGAGTGTAAAATATTTCGAGAAGACATATAATGATATCCATACAATTATCAAGCACAAACCTTCTCTAAATATGTTTTATGCACATGCAGTTCCGCCACAACCAGTGGATATGAGTGTAGCCTCTCCAAAACCACCATTTTTTTTTTTCTGCTATGTTATCTACAAAAAGATTTTAAGAAACTAGGAATATCCTAGTAAGACCAAGGTTGAAAGGTAGGTTCTAAGGTTTTGACGTAGAAGGGGGTAGAAGCAATAGGGAATTTAAGACAATTGCATGTAAAAGTAAAACATTAGCAGAATGGATGAAACCAATGTAACACATACTCTAGGAGCTACTATTCGATTATCTCCTTCAAGAACAACACACCGATCAGAGACAGAATTTGCTTCGAGATTACGTTTGAGTGCCTCAACAGCATGGGGATTCCATTCACAAGCATAAACCAACTTTGCTCTGGCCCTAATCAATCAAAAATTGAAAGTCAAGTGAAACACAAAGAAAAGCAATTTAAGAAAATGCTTAGATAAATAAAAAAAATTAACAACAAGCTAGCTAAGGAGCTGTCTGGAATTTAACTAAAAATTGGGAGTGACCAAATATAATTCAAATAGGAAACTGCATCATCTCACGTAAACATCAATCCACAAATTAAACTTGGGAGCTGAAACCAGTCAAGCAATTGAATAGTATCTTCCCAAACTCATTGATTCTTATCAGGAGACATCAAAAAAAGCACAAAACAGAAGAAATAAATTTGAAATTATCATATTTTTATCAAGAGGCAATTCTAAAACAAATGAAGATTAAGGCATCATGAATGACACAACAAACTCAATAGTAACTAGTAACTACACTGTACCTAACGAGGAATGGCAACACAAAATATCCAATTCCAGCAAATAAATCCACTACAACCTCATCCTCACAGTCCAAATGTGCCATACGAAGCTTCTCAGAAAGATTACCCCAGGAAAACATGCACTTGGCAGCATCAAAAGAATAAATAATTCCATTTTCTCGGTGATCAACCCAGCCATTATCTCCCACCAATATCTCCAAAGTACTGTCCCTGGTTCCAGTCGGTGCAACTCTGCCCTGAAATGCCACTGAATTCTTCAAGTAAATGTCTAGACAAACAAACACTATTGACCTCCTATAAGCAACAGAAACTTTTTCACAAGTGAAACTCAGGATAATTTTCATGATATATATGGCTAACCTTATCATGTCATTATTTACAATATAAGACACCAGCAGAATACTAGAATAAATCGAAAACAAGGCAGAAAAAGGTGAAACGACATTATAGTAACGTGTTCAAGTAGCCACAATGATCAGTTCCCCACACAGTAGAACTGTCTCTATGTTTGCATTGAAAAGCAGTCACTTATGACTATGGGTTATCAGTAAAGCAGTTATTTAAAGTGGATAATAGATACAACATGGTAAAGGTTGGGAATGTGGGCAACAGGTGAAGGAAGAAAAACAACGAAAAATTATATAGAGAGAGATCCTTAAACTAAGCACATTTCTATAAATTATGGATAAAACACAAATATGTATGCCAGCATTTCGGGACTTAAATACAAATATCATATGATATGCGGTCTAGAGCATGCCTATCCCAAACAATAACCGACCCATAATTGTGCTGACTGCTGAGAGAGCAATTTGCGTTGTGAATGATAATATCAGACTCTTACAATAAGCATTAGTAAATAATCAAAATAAACAAACAAACAAACAAACAAATTACCAGTTCTATGTTTAAAATATAATTCATGCAAACAACTTACTTTGCGAGCCAGACGATTGGAACTAAGTAATTTGGCAATGGTTGGCCAGAGCTCATCCCCAATTAAGTCCCATGATGGGTCCTTGAAAGATGTTGCAGGAAGCACAACAACATCACCCAGTCGCTCCCACCTAATAGTAGACAAAAGCTTTCAGTGCATACCACACAAGATTGTTCTATCCATAAAGAAAACTATAAAATTGCCAACAATTTTCGTGCAACTATGATATAAAGCTGCATCTTTTTAAGTGAAGATTACATTGATAATCTCAATTTGCGAAGCTGAAGCCATCATAAAGCACCAATAGAGCAAAGTTCCAAAAAACTAACCTAGTGGGAAGCTGATCCAACAGTTCTTCTGATAGTCCCTTGCATTTGATTAAAGAAGCTACAACTTCTTTCATCATCTGCAAGGGAGACTTGGCAGTTTTCCTGACTTCTGCAGCCTCATCTACCAGAATAACAGCATCAAATTCCTTTAGAAGATTCAAGGCTGTCGAGCATGAGAACTCATCTAATAAAACCCCTTCTCTGGGAATAAAATTCTGCCCAGCAACTGCATCTCCATGCTGATGCACCATTTTGGAGAATACGTCAAAGAATTGTTTAGTGATAGGGAAACAAATATGCAACTCATTGCTCTGCAAATGAACTTTCCTTGCTAGATCTAACCATCCAAATTTCTTCAATATGTCCTTCCCCAATTTTGCATATTTCTTTTCAAGTTGTAGTACCCAACATGATGCAACCGACTGACGTTGCTTAGCCTCAAAATTATAGGCACCACTAAGATTAGGGTCTTGGACATCGACATTCTTTTCTCCTTTTAGGCCATCGTGATGGACAGTAACATGCTTTTTTTCAGTTTCTACAGACAAAATTTTGTCATCTAAAGACATCAACGGAAGCAAACTGATTTTTAATGGCTCACTGAACTTTGTTCCAAATGCATAGCAAGCTGCCCCACCACCAATCATAACAAGATCATCACCCACAATATTGGCTGTACTACGCACAAGCAATTCTTTGCCAATGTAATCAAGTGTTACATGCTTCCACTTGTGGATTCGCAGATCAAGCAATGCCAACTCTTGGGAGTGTTGACTGACAGGGCAACCTCCAATGACTCCAAGAAAGTTATTGTAGATAAACATTGAATGGGAAAATCTTGCATGTGGACTTTCTCCAGATGTCTTTTCTTTTATCCAAATATGTGTTTGAACATTAAAACTGTATAAATCTCCCAGAGGTTTCTCTCCACTGTATCCTCCAAACATGAATAACTTAGACCCATACGCCACCATTGAGTGAGAATGCCGAGCACATGGTTGTTGCCCACCAACCAATGCCTCTTTCCACTGCAGATTTCCAGCGTTCAGGACATACAAGGATGAAGAAATTGAATCATTGTTAAGTCCACCAAATACATATATGTTTGAGCCGATAACTGCTGCTGCATGCCGATGCCTATAGAACATGTACACAAAATTCAACTAAATTCTTTTAAGGAAGAACATCTGCAACTAGGATGCTAAAAAAAAAAAAAGTAATGGAGATTTTATAAGTGATGGTTGATGAAGGCAGGTGAAGAAATCACACACTAAATGATGTACCATTCTTTTTCCAATAGATGTTTGGTGTATCCTTCAAGTCCTTTCATAAAACTTACAATTATAAGTTACAATACAATGCATAAAATGCAAGGCCAAGATATTAAAAGTTAAATTCAAAACAGACATAACTATTCTCAAGGAATTACCTGGGAGGGAAAATAATGCCAGAACATTCTGATAGCCTCCATTCATTACTAACAGTATTAAGAACCCATACATCATTCAGAATGTTCAAGGGATCAGATCTGCCTCCTATGACAAATAAAAACTCACCAACCAAAGAAGCTGTATGACCCAATCGTGGAGATGGTCCTCCCACAGCATTAATTGCCTTCAATGTTCCATTTAATGGATCAAGCAGCAAACTATCATTTCTTCGCGCATGTCTTCCAATACCTCCAAAACCACCGAAAACAAGAATGTCCTTGCTTTTTTTATGATCCAAAGTACAAGTAGAGTGCCCCCAAAGGAAAAGTTTCTCCAGAGGTTCGCCAACAATTACCATTTTAACAATAGATAAACTGCAACCAGAAACTCCTACTCGTCCTGCCAATGATTCAAATACTAAAACTTGTGTCACATCAAAAGCAAAGGTCTCCTGCAATCAAACATGTATTAGTTTGTAACAGATACCTTTGAACTAGGGACCCTACACAATGTTCTAAAATAGACATTTGTAGACATCTTCAAGCAACAGTAATATCATACATAGGTCTTATTGAGTGTCAGCTGATGCTATGAATTCAAAGTTGCAACCAACGTTAACCTCATTCACAGACAGCATTTTATGAAACTAATTGTATTTTCTGGTATATCCGGTACAAAGGCTGATAATTTAATCTCTAAATCTAGAGATAAGGCCGGTCAAAAATCACCTTGCAGTAAACACCCCCCCCCCCCCCCGAGTAATATGCATACATAAGGTCCTTATTGAGTTGTCAGCTGGATGCTATGAAATTCAAAGTGTGCAACCAACGTTAACGGCTCATTCACAGACAGCATTTTTAATGAAAACCTAATTGGTATTTTTCTGGTATACGTTCCGGTACAGAAGGCTGATAATTTAATCTCTAAATCTAGAGATAAGGCCCGGTCAAAAATCAGCTTGCAGTAAACACCCCCCCCCCCCCGGCCGGAGGCCGGCGCGGGCCTCGGGTACTTTATTAGTTTTCTTAAAGTTTTAAGATTGATTTAAAAGCAGTCATAGTTTGTTTAAGGCACCAAAGAATGAAAAACGTAGAATCATTACAAGCAGTCGATAAAGTTGTTAAGAGCACACAAGATGAAAAACTAGATCTCCTAATTGAGAGTATCCTGAGATGAATTGTAGCGAAATTCACACAAAGCAAGCAAAAGAGGTCGAGAGGTTGTTTTTTTTCTTGTTTGTTAAAATATCTCTCAACAACAACTTTAATTATCCGAACAAATAAATTGGAATAAAACGCATGATATAAATCAATTAAAAATTACCAATATTTGGCATCCCATCTGCTCTTTTCCAAGTTATCAGCATCCCCGTCTTGGAGCATCATCAGAAAATTATGATCACATTCTCTAAAAACCGGACAGAGTCACAAACCATTTCCCGTTAAGGCCATAAAGAAACGCTTGGGTTCTCTTTCTATTAGCTTTCCATTTTCTATTAAGCCACCTCCAACGAGAAACCTGCAACGTAACTCAGGCGATACAAGGGAGATTGGTCAGTGTCCACGCGCAGATCGGACACTCATGTCTTATGGAACCACCTAATACCACCAATCAATCTCTTACTATTAGCACTAGTAATTCCAGATTCCCTAAATCCACAAAGAATATTGCCAAGGGGAAACCATAAAACTGGGCGCTCAAGATATCTCTAGCATTGAAGGAGGGCGATGTCTTGTCTGCTATATTAATGCGGCGCCCTGTCGATCGGCGGGGACTCAACAGCAACAATTCAAACGTTTTCGAACCGGGAATAACGCTCGACTCGGATGGACTGAGTTGGCGGTTTGCAGAAGAGAAAAGTAGGGGAGATGACAGAAATCAGGTTTTGCTGGGTCGTGGCTAATGAATAGCCAGGACCCGCGCCACGTGCCTTCGTTTTGTTCTTATTGGACTGGCAATTTGGGTGGATTTAGGTTGGGAAAGAATAGGATAGCGCCGCGCCAGAGCAATGAGCTGGTGTGTAATAAGAAGGGTGAGAGTTTGGAGAGAGTTAAGGATGAATTAATATGGGAGTGGTCTAAAGTTGCCCTTTCGGGGTGATTTTGTCTGTTTCCGGATGATCGCATGTGAGGATAAAAGTCGCTGCTTTTCTCTTCTGGGAGACTCCAATTTCAATGGTCCTCCCACTTTCTATCTGTAATGCTCTGTTCGAGAGTTATTAAAAACCCTATCCAAGAAGAAGAAGGGGTTTTAGGTAACTAGATAGGATTTAACTGAAACGACTACCGTAACAATTTTGTTCGACTTTATTAGGCAAATAGTAATAAACTGGACAGAGCGAACGACAATATCGGTTTAGGTTGATTTACTTTTGGGCCGGCAGTATCGGAGGCCAGGATTGATTTTGAATTGACGTATCGTGGGCTTTCAATCCACTAAAGCAGTCTTGGCTACTGGCCGAAGGGACATCTTGGGGCTAGAAGGTGATTCCGGGTGGCAAGAACCGCAGCTTTTTTACATTTTGGCCGTCTAAATCTTTTACGCAATGATTAGCCGACAGTCCAAAAGTTATAACGGGGATGTTTTAATCTTCTTCGTAGACTGGGGGGTCCATCCCGAGTCAGAATTAATCGACCAGTCTGTGTCAGATCCTGGGATGATTTGGAAACCTTAATCTTTACATCCATCCTTCAATCCCCCCCCCCCCCCCGGCCGGCGGGCGGGCCCGGTACTTTATTAGTTTCTTAATTTTAGATTGATTTAAAAGCAGTCATAGTTGTTAAGGCACAAAGATGAAAACTAGATCATTTAAAAGCAGTCATAGTTGTTAAGGCACAAAGATGAAAACTAGATCTCTAATTGAGAATCTGAGATGATTGTAGCCGAAATTACACAAAGCAAGCAAAGAGGTCGGAGTTGTTTTTTCTTGTTGTTTAATATCTCTCAACAACAACTTTAATTATCGACATAAATTGATAAAATGCATATATAATCAATTAAATTACCAATATTGGCATCCCCATCTGCTCTTTCCAAGTTATCAGCATCCCCGTCTTGAGCATCATCAGAAGAATTATGATCAACATTCTCTAAAACCGCAGAGTCAACAAACCCATTTCCCGTTAAGGCCATAAAGAAACCTTGGGTTCTCTTTCTATTAGCTTCCATTTTCTCATTAGCCACCTCCACGAGAAACCTCACGTACTCAGGCGATACAAGGAGATTGTCAGTGTCACCCAGCGGCACCTCCATTCTTATGGAACACCGAATACCCACAATCACTCTCTTACTATTAGCACTAGTAATTCCAGATTCCCTAAATCCACAAGATATTGCCAAGGAAACCAAAAACTGGGCAGCTTCAATATCTCTACACTCAACAGCAACAATCAACGGTTCGAACCGGAATACCAACTCGGATGACTGAGTTGGCGGTTCAGAAGAGAAAAGTAGGGAGATGACAGAATCGGGATTTGCTGGGTCGTGGCTAATGAATAGCCAGGACCCGCCACGTGCCTTTTTCTTATTGGATGCAATTTGGGTGGATTTAGGTTGGGAAAGAATAGAGATACGGCCAGAGCAAGAGCTGGTGGTGTAATAAGAAGGGTGAGAGTTGAGAGAGTTAAGGAGTGGAATTATAGGAGTGTCTAAAGTGCCTTTCGGTGATTTGTCTGTTTCCGATGATCGCAGTGAGGATAAAGTCGCTGCTTTTCTCTTCTGGAACTCCATTTCAATGGTCTCCCTTTCTATCTGTAATGCTCTGTCGAGAGTTTATTAAAACCCTATCCCAAGAAGGAGAAGGGTTTTAGGTAACTAGATAGATTAACTGAAACGACACCGTAACAATTTGTTCGACTTTATTAGCAATATATAAACTGACAGAAGCGAACGACATATCGGTTTGGTTGATTTACTTTTGGGCCGCAGTATCGAGGCAGGATTGATTTGAATTGACGTATCGTGGGCTTTCATCCACTAAAGCAGTCTGGCTACTGGCCGAAGGACTCTTGGCTAGAAGTGATTCGTGGCAAGAAAGCCAGCTTTTACTTTTGCCTCTAATCTTTTACCAATGATTAGCCGACAGTCAAAAGTTATAAGGGATGTTTTATCTTCTTCGTAGACTGTCCAACACGAGTCAGAATTAATCGGACCAGTCTGTGTCAGATACTGGATGATTTGAACCTTAATCTTACATCCATCCTTCAATGTTGGTGAATTTGGGGAGTTAATTTTTTAATTAGCACCTCATGCTTTTGGTGTAGCTAGAATGTGTACGAGGCCAAGGTTTAACAGAATATACTGAATTATTGATCATGAGGGCAGTTCATAATGGAAGAGAAGAGAGTTGTATGAGTATAGGCAAAATTTAATAGCTGTTTAAATGATCTTTCATCAAACATTTAAGAGAGAGTTACATTTCATAATCCGCTCTCAAATTCTACACACCAGTTAAAACCAAGAAAGACAGAGCTAGACAAAAATTTCTCACATCCATTATCGAGAAGTTCCAGAGAGCTATCAACTACTCTGCAATCTTTTCTCGAAAATAAAGAAGCTGAAAGTACTATTAGAATTAATCTAATCAAGGTAATATTTTTTAATATAACAAATCCGAAAGGCAAACTCATTCTAAAAGTAAACATATGACTAAACGATAACTAAAGCTTTAGCTTCCAAAGCCATGCAGTTAATTTTACACCATATCTTAAACATTGCAGAAACCCATTTGTCTAGAAGTAAAAAGTTTCTGGGTGACTAAACTTCATCTCTCAGTTGATGATGAGCTATATCTTGAAGTCCAGTACTTCTCTATCTCTTCTGCTGTTCTTCCTGGTATTCTCCCAGCAATTAACGACCACCTATATACAATTAAAAAAAAGAAGAAGAAGAACACAGCCATTGATTATCAAGAACATTAGAACTGTTTAACAATAATGTAAATTAAAAACAATCAAACTGATGGGAAAAAGTACTGATCAAGTAATATGCATGTCCTCAGAATGTCAAAATCATATTAAGGAAAGAAGAAAACAAAAGCAAACCTCTCTCCAACCAAGTTAAACATTCTAGCAATGAGACTTTCCTCGTCCTCGGAGAAATCTGGTCGCGAACCTTGTCCTTTTATAGTACCTGAACAAGCAATATACATTAATACTGATTAACCAAAACAAGGAGACATTGGAACAAATATATTATTATCACAAGTGTCACCTTTAGTTTTAGTATCTTCACTAGTGGCATGTGATGATTTGTTATTTTGGTCCCCCATTTCATTCACTCATTCAAGAAATAAGCAGGGTGTTTAGAGGTATGGGAAGTATGGCCTCGTAGAACAGTATTTAATAAGGGGAATGAGAATGGTTTTGGTGGTTGAGAAAATAAGACTGGTAGTGCTCAACTTGGATGAGTGGTTGAGGAGGTGCACATAGACGAAGACATTTGTACACAGTTTGTTGGGTTGGCTTTTTGCGTGTCTTATCAACAAAAAAAAAATAAATAAATAATTATCAGCCATGCTTGTGATTATCCTCTTTTAATACTTACTAATTACTTATGCCAAACTGATTCTTTTCAATCTTTTGTAATTAACCTGTATTTAGGGGCGGAGCTCAATGGAGGCCCAAGGGCGCCCTGGCCACCCCAAAACATTTTTTAAAAAGAATTCCTTATGAAAAATTACATTTTGATTCTAAAAAAAAAATGTTTTAGTTCTGCTTTTTAACTACACGTGAAGTTGTAATTTAATTGCTAAAATTTGCCTGCAGCCCTACACTTCCCAATCTTGATCAAGGCCATTAAGATCTACAACCTACTTTCATAATCCAGTATCGATGTCTGCAAGTCTTGCATAAGCAGCACAGGAAGTAAGAACACCGATGGCAATGGAGGTAACTAACTCCATATGGTTGAGGTTGAACCCCACTACTTTAAAAGGGGCGCGCTTAAAGCATCCAATAATCATGGCAGTCCGAGAACAGACATTTTCAGCAAAAACCAGAAAAGCAAATTGAATGTTTCATTATACAAGGAACATGTTATCCTGCATGCTAATCTACAACAGTTTATCAATCATCTTTTGCTCCCTTTCCTAGATGCTCGATGTCAAATGAATTTTTATTAAGAACGTTTTGTTAAAGTTGTTAGAAAGTTCTAAATCAATCAATTAATTATAAATACCATCCTAAGGCAGAATCTGATGTTTTTGCATGAGATCTTCAGTCCAATGTTAGATCAAATTGCATAACTGAGCAATTATATTACAAATGTAGATTGTTAACTTTATTTGGGTATGATCCTGTAATGAAAAATAACTTCAGATGACACAGGTAGTATATATAAAAATTGCGGAACGAAAAGAAAAAGGAAGCTGAGGTACAAAGATAACCAGAACGTTCTCTTGTTCCAAAATACAGTTTAGTTCTCAATGTGTAACAGAGTTTTATAAGCAAGTTGAGAACTGCAATTTAAGGGAAAAAATGTCCTATCTCATAACTCTTATTAAAACAAGCACATTTGAATGAATAAGAGGGAACTCATGAATATATCCAGAAAGAAGCAGGATTGTGGGAAAGAAAGGGTTGAGCAGAGAACAACCACAATTGACTATGCTAATGCATTGGCGCCTGCAACAATCTCCAATATCTCTCCTGTAATCTTTGCCTGGCGCTCCCTGTTGTAAACTCTGGAAAGGTTCTTCTTTAATTCACTTGCATTATCAGTTGCATTGCTCATAGCACTCATTCTAGCAGCAAGCTCACTGGCTAGTGATTCCTGCAATGCCTTCAAAATCTGGCTGTTCAAGTATAGAGGTAACAAGGCATCAAGAATCTGAACTGGGTCCTGCTCAAACTGCAAAATTGGTGAGAAATCTGCTGTTTGAGTCCTAACCACATCTCTCTCTACAGTCAATTTCCCTTCTCTAGTTGTCAACCTAAAGAACTCATCCTCAGCTGCATCTACACAGTTCCCATTAATATCACATATCTCTCCCTTTGGTGAAAGTGGAAGCAAGGTGTGTATAACGGGATCAGACTTAACCAGTGACACAAATTTTGTGTATAAAAGCTCCACTTTATCAACCTCTTCGCTAACAAAGAGTGAAAAGACATCATCTGCAATTGCCTGAGCTTCTTTAGCTGTAGGAAGAGAGGTGCCCTCAAGAAACCTATCGACCGGAATATAAGGCCGCCTTAAAAAATAAGAGTTACCCTTCTTTCCAACACTAATAACAGTATAATTAAGGCCAAGATCCTTCAATTCTGCAATTCTTGCTTCTGCTTTCTTGATAATAGCATTATTGAAACCTCCACAAAGACCTCTATCACCAGTGCAAACAACAAGAGCAACTTTCTTGACAGGCCTAACTTTGGTGAGAGGCGCATCTATGTCCTCAGTTTGGAGTTGTTCATTAATATTGTAAAGAACTTCTACAAGAGTTTCAGAGAAAGGCCTACCATTGACGACAGCTTCTTGTGCTCTCCTCACTTTAGCAGCAGCAACAAGCTTCATTGCTTCAGTGATCTTCTGTGTGTTCTTCACTGAATCTATACGAGTCCGAAGCTCACGGAGACCGCAGTGAATTTGGGTCGCAGCAGAGGATCTTGATGGATTGCTGGTGGCTGAACTTTGACTTGGAAGCTGAAAAGGGTTGAGAGAAGAGCGAAAAGCGAGTGAAGAGGTGTCGGAAAGAGATGGTTTTGAGGACACCCACATTGTCAGATTTGAGCAAGACATGGTGTTAACCAGAGATCAAGAGAGAAGAAGACTGAGTTCTGGCTATGTGGGTTTTTTTTTTTGGGTCTCTATAGCTTTTTTTGTGAATGGCTTATCTTTTCCTTTTCTTGTTTATGGTATGGAGGACAAGAGGGGGGGAAAATGTGTGGAGGGAGAGGAAGGAAGCGGATGAGGTTTTGAGATAAGGATTTTGACCGTTGGAGATTGCTTTGGACATGAATTTGATTCATTTGCAAGATAATTATTGTACATGTCCAATCTGATGTGGCAAGATCTCAGTGGGGGTGCTGCTTCTGTGACCTCTTAATATGTTCCACTTAAGGGGAATATGCGGCTAAGCGGCAGAGATTCTGCACGGAATTTCATTGCAGTGAAAGCTAAATAGTGAAAACAGCCGCATTCTTGGCATGAGATTTGGACTTTTCTTTCTGCATAATAAATAAACAAAACCATTTATGTACAAATGAATTTGTCCAATTCAGTGTATCTAGGTCTACACAATCATAAGAAACAAATTTGTTGGTCTTCCGTTTGGACATTAAATGAGACCCATCATCCATGCCTGACATGGAAGCGTTTCGCTTATCGTATCACCGTAGGGAGAATCTCATTAGATTTGCAAATAATATCATCCTTCCTGTCTGATTCTATTTTTCTTTTTCGAGAGTTTAGGTAACTCGTTCAACTTCTCAAAGTACAAGCAGGGGTCAACCGGGAATAGTGACTTGTCAGAAACATAAAACTTAAGGCAGCTAGCTGATACAAATGCCATGATTCAAACCACTGGAGACCAATGCATGAACAATCACCAGGAAAATGAATCAAATTGAAAACTGAAAACAATTGATAATCTAGTCTTCACACTTCAGAGTTCTTGTTTACAATAGGTCCATTGTTGAAGCTCATTCTGCAAAACTAAGCTCAGGTCTCCACACCTTCTTGAAGAAGTGGACTGACTACAGCCTTGTACGTCTGTTTATGAGGTATTACTCCCTTAAGTACCATGTAGTCATGTAATTTAATCACTTCTTCAGGGCTGCACTTCTTGCTGAAACTGGTAATAAGAATCGTGTATGTTATATAATCAGGAACGAAACCCTGAAGGATCATCACCTTCATTAGTTCCTTTGCTTGTTGAATATGACCAAGCTTGCACAAAAAGTTTATCAATGTGTTGTAAGTGGCATGGTTTGCTGCAATTCCTGCATTTTTCATTGCAAAAGAGAAAGCAAAAGCCTCATCAATCTTCCCGCTGTTGCAATACCCATTTATCAAGGTGTTATAAGTTATGACATCAAATAAATTCATCCTGAGTAATGTATCTACGAGAAGCCTTGCAAGATCCAACCTTTCCTCCTTGCATAAACCATTTATGACAGAATTGTAGAGTACCAAATTGGGTTTTTCACCTGACTTCATCATTTTCTCATAGACCTGAACTGCATTTTCAACATTGCCTTCCTTGCAGTGCCCATCAATCAAACTACCAAATGTAACAATGTCAGGAACCAGACCACGTACATACATACTGGCCAGCAGTTGTTTAGCTCCTGATAAATTATTGCTTCTACACAAATAATTTATAAGAATATTGTGGGAAAATGCATCTTCAATAAGGTTATTTTCAAGAATCTTGCTGTGAAATTTAAATGCTTCATTAACATTACCATTTCTACAAAGACCCTTTGTGAGAATAGAATATGTGAATTTATCAGGGGGTATCCGATTGTCAACCATGCTGGAGATTAGCAAAGAAACTCCTTCCATATCTCCTTCTACATAAAGCCAGTGGATGACTGTATTATATATGACAGAATTCATTACCAATCCCTTTTTCATCATTTCATCACATAACCTAAATGCCTCCTCCAAACTCCTTGCTCTTGAATACCCATCTATCAAAGTTGCATAGGTTCTCACATTAGGCACAATATCTTTCTCCATCATTTCGTTTTTTAATTTCTCTGCCATAGTTAATTTCCCCATTTTGCAGAACCCACCGATGAGACAATTATAAGTTATAGAGTCGGGCCTAATAGAGTACACTGACATGACTTCCATCTTGCTAACTACCTTTAAGGCAAGATCCATGGCACCCATCTTGCAAGCAACATCTATGATCATGTTAAAAGTAACAACATTAGGCCATATACCATGCTTCAAGCTTCGATAGAATACTGACATTGCTTCTAGTAATTTACATTCCTTGCAAAGAGCATAAATAACCACATTGAAAGTATTTATATTTTCAACATATCCATAAGAAACCATCTCCTTATACACCTTCCAGAACCAACTAATCTCATTCAACTTCACAATATGACTCAACAAGTTGTTCCAGGCATGAATGGTAACCCCAAAACCCTGCAATTGCAGCTTCTTGATCACTTCATAAGCACCCTCAGCAGCTCCAATTTGGGTACATGCCCGAACCAGTGCATCAAAAACAGCTGGACTGGAATCGTACATGCCATAACTATTAACCAATGCATCTAAAATCTCCAAAGGGGATATGCCATTTATACTCATCAAGTCCCCCATAAGAGACAAGGCATCATCATACCTCTTTGAGTTGACCAGGACATGAATTATAGTGCAACGAGATTCCATTGAGAGAACGACATTCCTTTTCTCTAGCAACCACTTGTAAAATTCTAAAGCTAAAAAAGGTGAGTGTTGAAATTCGCAAACAATGCGACTCACTAATGAAGATGTGAGTGTGGGTGACATTTGCTCCAAGAAATTCCATCTCTTGCGTTTGAGATTAACACAAATAGCTTTGAAAACAATATCCTCAGCACTAGGGTTTGAGAAATGCTTGCCAACGTGAAAACCACGGTTTAAGACAGGGCTTCTCTTGGGTAACCAGAAGCTTAAAAACATAGAATACGGGAAACCAAATTCATCAAATGCTGTTGACAGCAATATAGAGTCAAACAAAATGAACCCAGACCAACTATTTATCTATATTCGCATATCTGACAACCAAAATCTCAAAAGCACATACCTTTGTAACCAAATTTTGTAGCAACTAGCAACAGCATTTGACAAGAAAGAAACCAAAATACAATAGCCAGTAAGAAACACTCAAATACGGAAATTGTAATTTACCGAACTCGGAGCAGCTAAACGGAGCTTACAGAAAGTTTACCTTGTTCGTAAGGCAAGTTACTTTACCAGACTCTGTTGCCGGAAAACAAGCGCTCTCTGTTTTTTTTAAGGCGGCTCTGCTTTTGTAAGGATGATTGAATGAAGAAGTCTGGGCCTCATTTAATTTAATTTCCTTCTTTGTAACGGGTAAGCAGTTGAAAATGGGCCCGGAGTCCACTTGCATCTTACGGGAACCCTTCAAACATAAACGTCCTATCCGTCGTGTCGTTCAGCTGAGTAAAAGAACAGCTCCCGCAATTAAACGACGTTATCACCGAGCTAGTAATGATAATAAAACGCAATAAACAAAACCAATTCCAATATATTTTCCTTAAGATAAGCGAGTCAAAAAAACACAGGGAATAAGTAGTAATTAAAAGTCAAACTTGAAGTATTAAATAGTACTTCACTAATAATTGAGGGTTTCAAGTGGTAAATGCTATCAGTGATCGAGACGGAACAGAGGTTGACAATTCCCATTTATATCTTGTCATACTGCATTATATTTCTAGAAAAATTTTTCATAATATATCATTCCACCCAAATTGGGAGTAACAGAATCTACAAGAAAAGTGTTATCTGTACAGCACCATCGTACAAGCATATTCATTCGCTCATACTATTGCACTAAAAAACATATTCACAATAAATGAAGACAGTGACCAAAAGAATAGATAAAAAAAAAAAAAAAAAAAAGCGCATTATATTGATCTAGAGATAAGATATTTTCATAATATATCATTACGCGACCCAAAATTGGGAGTACAGAATTAAACAAGAGAAAGTGGGTTATCGTGTACAGCACCAATCGTACAAGCATATTCATAGGTGAGGACGAGCGTCTTGGATCGGCTCATACTTAGATTCGCAAAGCTAAAAAGAACATATTCACAATAGAATGAAGGACAGGTGGACGAAAAGAAAGAATGAAAAAAAGAAAAAATAAAAAAAAAAAAAAAAAAAAAAAAAAAAAAAAAAAGAAAAAAGGAAAAAACCCTGCTGTAATTAAACAAAATTTTGGGGGCGGGGGGGTCAAAAAATCCCTTGGAAAAAAAAAAAAAAAAAAAAAAAAAAAAGGAAACCCTCTTAATATTGGGTGCAAATCTGAAAGGCCCTAAGGGGAACATGTTAGTGAGAAAGACTGGCATCCTCTAGACACCCAAATTTCTCTGCTGCTTCAGTATCTGTGCTTCCACTCCCACAAGCTCATTGGTTAATTGGGTTGACTACATCTGAGCAATTCAGACTATTCAACTGATTGCGCCGTTTATTAAAGACGCTGCAAATCAACTGAACTTGTCTTCATCATATCTCGAATTTTCAGTTGCCATTGCCGTGTTAAAACTTGCATTTGTTCGACAAGCTCGCTTCCTGGGTTTCTTCAACGTGGAAACAGCAAGAGGGCCAAGGCTGAGTTGTTGTGCCATGTCCATGACATCCTTCTCTGTCACAACAGTTCTCATGCTTTGTGTCGTTTTCTTGCATGATCTGTTTGGACGTCCTGAAATCAATTTTTTGGCAACAGGACAAGCACCAATTGTACATTCTTCATACTTTGCATTTATCCTTGGAGGGTCAACAGCTGCACAAGAATCTAAAGTCAACCATGCGCTACTACTAGATTCCTTCCTCATGCTTGTCAAGCTCAACTTTAAGAAAGGACTGGCCTTCCCTGGGATAGACGAATTGCCATCTGTGTGAATAGTGCTCTTCCATTCAGTTGTAACTTCTTCAGTTGCAGAACATGTAATCTCCTGTAGATAAATAATTAGATAGGACTTGAGATAACAAATCGAAAGTAAATAATTTACTTTGAGAAACATTATTAGCTTATTTGACGCGCTGATGAGAACAAGATGATTGAGCTAAACATGGGACTGTACCAAACCTCAAATATCATGACATAACCAACATCAGTCAACAACGAACTTCAGCAATTGTTCCCATCATACAAGACCAACCAAAAATCAAAGAAAAGAAAGGTGCAAAATGATAAGACATGCATTAGCAAAATGTTAAAAGTCACCTTATCTGGCACTTCAGTAACTAGTTCACCACCCAAACCCTCCTCCCCATCAGAATCAGCCATCTCCTCGCGCTCAAATTCTACATGTTCTTCAGTTTCTTCATCTGAGTCACTCAACTCTTCCTGTTCCATTATGATTTCAGGGTGAGACTGGTCTCCTACATCATCCATGTTGCAGATTCTGTCACTATTGCTTGGAACCGCTAATGCATCACCACATGAAACAAGGTTGCTCTGAACTGTTGAGCAATTTTCACCGTGTTGATGACAAGGATTGTTAGGTTTGTGCTTTTCAATTGTATTTACAGGATTTGGTGCACTTATCATCAACTTTGGTTGATAATTTGAAGCACTGTCTCTAGTTCCCTTTGTTTTTTCTTTTGTGGATGTAGAACTTAGATGAATTTCCAAGTCCAGCTCGTTAGATTTCTCGTTGGGACCAGAGGGTTTTGACGCAGTAGCAGATGGGCTATTGACTGGTAATTTGGTCTGAACAACATCTGAAGGATTTTGAAATTGAGCAGATTTGCCTCCCAAACAAACAAACTGATGTGTATTGGAACATGCTGTAGCTAATTCACTACTTTCTTCCCCAGTTCTTTGCAAAAGTGGATGGAAGTCAATCCCACATGATGCTGAAATGGATTCCTTTGTCTTTGAAGATTTATTCAAACAATCAGAAATTTGATTTGCTTGATGTGGAGCATGAAAGAGACTCAGATTCAACTGAGGCTGATTTCCTGCAAAGAAAGCAAAAGAACTAGGAGTAGCAGTGCTGCAGCTGGGTGGGTAATATGACAAACATCCATCTTCAGGGGCCTGAAAAAGTAAAGGATGCATCTGAAGATCTGAATCATTGCCTCTCTCTTCAGCAACACATACATCATTTTGAACTGCAGATTCTTCTGCACACGTAGCTGTAAGCTCTTCTGAGCATGCATTTGTGATATTATCTGTCACCTGATTGGTTTTATCCCTTTTAGCTTTAGCCAAACTGGTCGCTCTTGAATTCACAACTTGCAGAAGCTGAGGAACTATGTTTTCTCTTTCTCTTCCAGCCTCAACACCACTACCTCCTGAGGTAGGTATCTTCATAGGCAATCTGCACTGGTTGCTTTTGAAAGCTGCCTGAGAAATTACACGAACAGATGGTGGAAGATTTACAGGGGGCAAGTCTGGTGCTAATTTCACCAAGTGTGCACCATCAGTTCTATGAGTCCTGTATGGCCACATATAAATTTGAGACTTAGTAGCATTCAGTGTTGTATTAGACAGTTGATGATTCAATTGCATGGAATTAGGAGGACAATGTCTAGCATGAGCAAAGTATGATACGGCATGAGGATATTGGTAATATCGGGCATTGGGAAACTTATGCACATTATCAATTTGGGAATGCTCCCTAACACGGGTACCCTCTCTTAACACTGCACCACTAGGAAGGTTCTTTTCCCTGAGGTTAAAGCAGGCATCTGGTCTCCAGTCCGCTAAAAATGCCTGATGAACATAAGCTTCATTTACATTATCAACACAATCATCTCCACTATTATTTTCTCCACCAGTAATGTCAACCTGATTGTCCTGCAGCCAATTAGAGAGCTTCATGGAGTTAAATAAGCATCTAAAGGAAAAAGGCCTCAATACCCATCAAAAAGTACAAGCTGCACAAAATTACAAAGCTATATCAATCTAGAGCAAGCCAAAGCCATACTCAACTTGGAATAAGTACATTACATGGCAAATGAGCATGAGGACATAGATAAAAGAATAAATAGGGAAAAAGATGCATTACAAAATTTAGTAGTCAGTTTTTAACTAATGCAGATTTTATAAATTTGTTCTGTTATAAAAACATCTTAAGGTTCGACACTAAATTATCAACTTTCTTGTTCCATTCCACAATGCTATTATGCTTCAAAGCAACCGAACTTAAGATAAGCTGGGCATGGCCAGCTAATTTACAAGCCAGAGCCATAAATAGTCATGCAGTAGCATTTAAAAGCAAGAGTGAATTTTTGTATCCACCAAAACTCATTCAGAGAAGGTAAAAATAGATATGGCTATTGCATAACGTGAATATGTAGGGATTCAGGAAGAAAAGAGACAACCTTGTCAGATACCTGTTGCGAGTTGGCTAAATCTGCTGTTTTGGACCTTCTTCTATTTGATTCATATATCCGTCGTTTTTCCTTTTTAGCAGCATCTGATTTATATGACCTCTGAGTTCCTAGGGCCATCCGCCACTGTCGGGGTAGCAACGATGGATCCCTATGTGGAACAATGAATCTCCATACTGACATCCAATCGTGTTTGAAAACCTTGAGTCCCTGGATTGAGATGTTACCAGACAGCTAATTGTGATGAAAAGATTTTGGATGGGAAATGAAATTAAGAAAGATCCTGCACGATATTACCTCCTGAATACATTCTATCTCCTCTGCATTCAATGGAGAAGTTTTCATCCACCGAACTGCCTGTGTAAATTAGAAAAACATTGGATTAAATTTTCACTAATTATAAGAAATGAGGACACAACTGAAAGAGGCATCCATCGAACTAAATAAACTGACAGACTACACCAAACAGGCCTAACTAATTGCATTTGTTTTGAATTATGTTTTCCTCAAGATTTTTAATTATAAAATTGTGAATAAAGCCTGAATTTTTGTCATACCTTTATGGGATTTTCTGGTGCTTTTGAAGAGCAGCGGTTTTTCTGCCTAACAAAAATCTGCAAGACAATTAGCAAATGCTGCTGATGTAAGAACCAATACATGCAACTGTCATCTAATTTTAGAAAACTACAAACTACCAAAACCACAATTTTTTATCACCAAGATAATTTAGAAGCTGTAGCAATAAAACATGAATTATAAGCACACTGGAATTTTGACCATATAATTGACAATTACAACCTTTCGGTTGCAGATCATCCAAGATTCTTATGATTACACCAGACAATAACCTTAACACCTAATTTCTTAAAAGTGCACACACCAAAAGTTTAAGTAAAAGAAGAAGACAACCACAGTTATATATTTATTTATTTCCAGCCTACGATCCCCTTTATTCATTAGCAGAAAGTACACAGTAATAGACACCCATAACATAAATAAAGCTTAGATTTTAGTTCATACAGAAGTTAATGGAGGCTGAGTGTTGGCATTATGGACTCTAATATGAACTACCTGATGCTTAGATTTGCAGGGGAGAAAACGCTGTTGAATTGCCTTCCAATCTGTATTATACTCCATGATTCCCAAAGCTAATAATCTGCATTAAAACCCTTATCAAAAACTGCTGAACCTTGAGAATCAAATCTTGTTATTAATTATAACTAAAAACCCTATCAATAAAGGCTATGCATAAACATGATAAGTCAAAATAATTAAAGAAAATACACAAGTCAGCACAGAAGAGCACAAAACAAAAAGACTGGGCACCACCTTAAGGTCAATGCACTTTAGTTTCCTTTAAACTTTTTGAATGCAACATAATTCCAAGCACTATTATTAATAATTTGTTTATCCAAACTTCATGCTGTTTCTTATCAAAAGGTCACAAATTGATGAAAGCTAACATACTTTGGGGCAGAAAAAAATCAGGAAGCCAAAATAAATGCAATAGCAACCACTAGTTCAATGAAAGAATTAAAAGAGCATTATGAAATAGAAATGGAGAAATAATGCTACTCACTCATCCTCTGAATCGGTAAAAAGGACTCTGTTTGCCACAGCGGCAGGGGGTGGCTTATGAGGAAAGAGTGCTGGATTGAAAAGCGAAGAAAACCGCTGTGCTAACATGCTAATATCTTTTGGAACTAAAGCAACTGATTGTTTCTTGGCATTTTCAACGATGGATGCAGCCAGAGTCTTTTTGGGTAGTTGTTGGCCAGGCATAGTTGGCCCAGTACTAATAGCAGGAGGCGTGTTTCTTTTTGAAACTTCACTATTTGACTCAGTCAATGAGGGGAAATGAGGAAGGTGAAAGAGCGGTTCCCTCTCATTCCATGTGTCACAACTAGAGTCCAGATGACGCTGCCGATACTCCCGGACAGCTGTCAGAATACATATAAATCAACAGTAAAGTATTCAAAGTTAAACTGCTGAACAAGCATATGGAAGCAAATGCAAAAATGCCGGGTTGGTATTAGATGACATACCATTGAAAACTTCTTCCATATATCTTCCCACCAAATTAAGTGGAGCTGCATCCAGAATGGATATTATTGGACCATTCACGAAAGGCACCCAAAAATATGCAGCAGTTTGTGAAGAATTAATCTGGCCATCAAAACTAGCATCATTACTTCCCCTAGTTGTGGAAATATTTTGAGAAACAAACATCTGCGTGCTTGGAGTGGGGGATGATTCAGTGCATTGTGTTGGGTTAAAGTTTTGGATTTCATCTGTCACTGATGGACACATGTATGGAGGACGAAAGCAAATACAAGGATATGGCACACTTCTGCATGCTCTGACTTCCTCGCGTTTATGGATCATCTCAAAAATCAATTCCTGAACCTGGGAGGCAACCTGTTGCCGTGAAGGATCAAGAATGCTAAGGGAAAACACTTGAATAAGAAGCTGCAGATGTTCATGAATCAAACAATGCAACTGTCCTATTTGCTGTGGAGTAAATCCATTTATTAAACCCTCTTCTGCTGCAGAAGAGAGATAGCTTGGGGCTGTCTCAGGCGTTAAAGCTTTCCCTTCAGCAGTGGGAATCGAAGCAATTGTTCCATTTGGCAAAATTGGTAAAAGAGGACGCAATGGCCTCTTTGTCTGTTCTAAAAGCTTCCTTTTGTATTGAGCAGAGGCCTTTTGCCGTCTGTTCTGCCTAGTCTCTGGCCGTCGACCACCTCTCTCATACTCCACTTTCTGATCCTTATTCCTTTTACTGTCATCAACGTCACTCTCAAGAAGCTCTTCCAGTTCAATTTCAAAGTCTGCATCATTATCCTCATCTTCATCGTCAACATTTTCAATATCCTGAGTAGATTGGTCATCACCATCTCCACCCTGTAAAACAGCAGCAAGAAATTTCCTATACTCTTCTTCATCATCAACATTCTGAAGGTCATCCTCGTCATCAGTTTCTTGCAGAAAAGTCTCAAGTTCATCAAGAGTGAAGCTTGCAAGTGAATAACGAGCCCTGGTACGCTTCCAAATAGCATCCTCATCATCCAAGTTCATTGAAGGTTTACTAAAGCTATTCTCCTTCTGTCGAACACTTACATTTTCCAGTTGAGAGACAAAATCTGATTTCCTCTTCGATCTTCTATGTATTGAACTTTGAGTTTCTTTTTCACTCTCAGAAGAAAATGCAGTTCTCATCACAACCTCCTCCCCATGCTCAGAATCTCCAACAGCATAGTTTCGCACCTCACCGGTTGTGGGTTTTGATGAATTACCATCAAGACCTTCAACTTCAGAGCTTAAACTCGAAGAAGCTTCTGGTGAAGGTGTTCCCTTCAGAAAAGGGTTAAAATCAATATCTTCCTCCTCCTCTTCATCGTCATCCCTACCTTCATTCTCATTTTCATCGGCCTCGTCTGGTTTTGAACCACTCTCATCAATAAACGGTGACGCATTTTGTCGATCACTTGTTGGCCCATTGACATGTGAAGACATTTTGAACAAAAATCATCCAATAAACTTCAATCGACCTTAAGGGAAGGCAAAGAGCATAAATTAACAAAAAATTGCAACCAAACAAAAACAAGAATAATAAATCTATTGCATTGTCTGTTATAAACCCTAGAACCCAAAATTAAGAGACGGGAAAGCTGTTGTGTTACGAAAATGCTTTTGAAACAAATTTCACAAAATATCTGAGCCGCCAAAATGAAACCATATATAACGTAGATGAGGAATTGAACTTGTACCTGTTAATTGGATCAGTGATTGAAAAAGTTGAGCATCCGACAAGAAAATTGCGACTGTCCAGCTTGTACTACTAGAAGAGGGAAGGGGCTGTAAGAATGGGAAGGTCGTTCTATAGAGAAATAAAACGGAATGTCGTTTTCGTTTTACGAGGGAAACGATGATGCTGTTTGTTTTTTTTTTTTTTTTTTTCCTTTTGATGTCGTTTTCGTTTACTGAGGGAATCGTATGATGCTGTTTTGTTTGTTTTTTTTTTTTTTTTTTCCTGTTGATGGTTTTGGAAGATTTATTTTTTAGTCAATTGACAATTTTTACTCAAAATTACACACCAAATCATAATTTGATTTTCAAATTTTATATCAAATTAAACCATCAAATTTTTTAAATCATAAATTTTTGTTAAATATTATCTATTAAAAAATTTAATTATTAATTTGATTTATGTAACACATTAAAACAAAAAAATTTATTCATCTTAAAAATAATATATATATATATATACTCTTTAACTGCTGTTTTATATAATAATTATATTCTTAAAATCAAAAACAGTTTTTTATTTTTCAAAAATAAAAAAATGGTAACAAACCACTCTTTAATTAGTTTAATCTATTCGTTTAAAGAAAAATAAAGGGAAACCAAAAACTGAAGTTTATATCTTTAACTAATCAAATCAGATTAATTTTTTTGATAAGTGAAATTAATTTTTTGTTATTAGAATGGAAGTTTGCTCACCCCCTGGGCCGGTAGGCCCTACCTTCAACAACCTAGAGAGCCAATGTATCACGTGAATGTGATGCGATACTAGCCTTTAAAATTTCTATAATCTTTTTCAAGCATATTCCATCAAATTTATCGTACGATGCGTATTAGTCTAGCAATCAACGGTGATAGATATTACACACCTTGTTAATACTGTAGGGTGCATCATCATAGATTAGAATTACTAGGCTATATGGCTGAGATGCTGGGCCTTTTCGCTAACTGTATATAAGCCGGGATTCTCTGCG